CCTTAAAAAAAACCGCTTTTTTTTTTTGGGGCCTTGGGGTGGTTTCCGGCCAACGTTTTAATTCTTCTTTTTTTTTGAAAACGGGTTTTTTTTTGTTTACAATTTTTTTTTTTGGTTGTTTAAAAAAATTTCTGAAGTGTTTCCATTTCCAGTTGAAAGGCTGTTTTTGAAGCCTTAGTTCCCCGCCTTTTTTTTTTTTTAAGGGGATTAAATTAAAAGTTAAAAGGGGCTCCCCTTCCCCGGGTTTTTCTTTTTTTGAAAAGAAAATCCTTTCCCCGATAATTTCCCCTGAAAGGTTTTACGTTTTTTGTTTTTTTTTGGCCACCATTTTCCAACCATAAAATTTTGTGGGGCCAAAGGGGATATTTGTTTGGGGCGCCCCACCCTTTTTTTCTGGTTTGGGGGCCCCCCCAAAATTTGGTTGTTACCCCTTTGGAAAATTAATTAATTAAAAAGCCTTTTTAAAAAAAAAAAAAAAATTTTTTTTTTTTTTTGGCCCCCCCCCCCCCCCCCCCCCCCCCTTACACACACTTGGGAGATGAAAGCCAACTGTGTAGATATTCAGTGATACAAGTAATACAAGTAATATATCTTTACTCTTAGCACAGCGTTTATGTTGGCGATTCTGTAACTTCAAAGTTGCCCAGATCTTATACATGGTTTGTTTTTGGTTTTGGTTTTTGGGAAAAATGTATATGGTATTTAAATCTGTAGATTGTGTATCGTTAGACAATAAGCGTACAAGATACAAGAAATTAAAAAAAAAAAAGAAGAAGTCTCGATTTGTGTTCAAAGATTGATTCACAACAACAAGATGAAAATAAATTGCCAAGATGTGTGTGTGTGTCTATATCTACTTGAAAATAAGACGAGTATTAATAAAAATATCAGCTACAAAACATCTTGATAATCACAGTCTATATTTTATATAAAAGCTTCTTCTATTCAGATATAAATTAGGGCCAAAAGAAATGTGGGCTTTAGGATGCATTGAGACAGACTAGATATTAATACCAAGAATAATGATAATGAATATATGTATCAATTCACTCTAAAGATAACCTATTTTCTGGTTAATTTCTATTTGTTTTAATTATTGATGAATAGCAATAATAACAATAGTCTTTGGGGATTTCTTAATCGAGTCTTGTTGTTTTGGGTGCTATTACAATGTTTGAAATAGAGCTCTGGTTTCTGTAACTCTTGTGGCTTACATACCTCTTGCTTATCATCTACACACAATATATATATATGTATCTACATTATAGTATATGACTGTGTGTATAAAGGAAATGAAGAAAGGGAGTATAGTAAATATAAGATAGGTTGAAGTGAGGTGTTGCATAAATATACAACAACAAAAAAGACCTTGTTTCTAAGACGCAGGGGCCTGGTTTTCTTTCCATGTTTAGTCAATTCCACACAATGATGATCTCAAGGATTCAATATATCCTTTGTAAAAGACGGTGTTGCTTGATAATTCAATATGATTATTAAAATATACCTTGTATAGTTATCTACATTGGACTGTGGATTTTTCTTTAAAAAAAAAGGAAGTTATTCTCCGATTATAGGCTTATTTCTGTACTGTATTTTAATCGAGTCCTTACTGTTCAGTAACATAGGCTTATTGCCATTGAACCCTTGACCTTTAATATATTTCATGTAATACACGAATATGCTAAATAAATTGTGAAGATCACAGGCATCCAAGACTTTAATATTTGTCATTGTCTATTTGTTTTTTCGTCATTGAATTCTATTAAATAAGAATATTGTTTAGAAGAGGTCCTTCTTTATTTTATCTAACAAACATACATTTGCATATGTATCCATATAAGTTGATAATTGGTCAAAAAAGGGGGGAATCAAGAGGACAGAAGGGGTAACATAAAGATATAAATGTAATCTTTTTTTTTTCTTTTTGCATACAGGGAAAGGATTCAGGCCATATTGAAGCGCAGCTAAAAATTTCATTAAAAACGCGTGCATGATTGTAGCGACAATATCATAAAAAAAAAGTCTTTCGTTCATACTTGATATTTCCCTTCTTCTCATCATTTACTTATTCTCTTATGCGCTCATCTCGAGATCTTAGGGTAGCTTCCCTAATGGTCTCTATTCCAGTTTTTCTGGTCATTGCCTCTCTTGTTTCGATCACTGTTATCACTGTTTATACTCATTTCATTTCCTGGCTACAAGCCTTCTCTACTCGTGAATTATCGACACAAGCCCCACTACCACCACAACCACCATCAGCAGCAGCAGCAGCATACACAGCACTTGATACCTATACACTAAACTGTCTCGTATGTCCTATAAACAGACATCCTTCTCTTATCGATCTTATTCACGCCACACTCTGTCGACTGCTAAGCCCAAATATATATTCTTTCGTGGTACCAAATCAAGCACAGTCCTTTTCTTTTTTTCCTCAACTACCATGGATGGTATTATCATTACTGTCTTTTTGGATTGTCTCTCCAAAGGTGAGCACAAGGTTTTAACTTTACGTCGAATCAACACTACCGGCAGGGTGCTTTATGGAAGTGTAAAGTAATATGTCTTCAAGTTTACTTGAGCCAGCAAAATCAAGTTAGATTGACAAGTGAGGCTGTCACACAGCAGAGTGATTTCTTGTGTAAAGTAGTTGAAGGGCAGTCATAATTAAGAGCCGTCGTTAAGCCATTAAAAAAAAGGATAGAAAGTGAAGTGGATTATTAGAGATTAAATATAAATGTATATATGAAAGATTGTTTCCACTTGTAGGCCAAACTAATTCCGACTCATCGCCTGTATTTTAGCTCCAACCAAGATATCGAGCCGCATGTATGTCCTTTGGACAGTGGTCTACACGTACAGCAGAACATGTGTCTTTATCCATTTCCAATAAAGTGTTTAGCTCTATTGAATACATAACATTCCTGTGGAGAAAGTATCCCGCCTTGGCAGAAGCTAGAGACATCAGTTCATCAAGTGATACTCCCATGAAATTAATCCAGGTCAAGCAGAATGATAACGCCTTGGTGCGTCGAAAGAAAGAAAAGGGTGGCAGGTCACGGACCAAGAGATCAGAAGCACGTTCTCATACCAGTGGGTTCCGAGAACCAGCTGGCCAGGTTGACCATACAATCATGGATACAGTCAACCCAGCTCCGTTCTCAAACCTAGAGCCTCCACACACCGCAGACATATCATCATCGCAAAAAACTAGCATAAGTGATGATAGTGAATGGACATTAGTACGAGAAAAATCCTTTAGGAGAAGAACAGGACAGTCTATACGATGTCAGGATCCCCAAGAAGAGAAAAATGCCGAGGACAAAACAGAAATGAGGAACATGAATATATCATCTGATACCAAGCCAGAAACCCATATTTTGCTCTGTGACATCCCAAACTCGGTTGTGTGCAAGGAGAAGGAAGATCCGTCAGATACCTTTCAAGCCAGATTCCAGGTCGATCAAAGTGACGGAGAAAGCACCCTAAATGATGATGACGATGATGACGAGACCCTTGATCGTAGTGAATACTCTCTATTGACAGCAGATAATGTGTTGATACTGGATCACTATAATAAGCCAACTACTACAAGCACATCAAGGGATCTGAGTCTGATGTATGAGGATGGCAAGACAGACTATCTGGATCCACCATATTTGTCAAAGGGACAGGTTCCTGAGGATAATAACACAAATGGTGAACTTATTACTGAGCAAAGATGGTATTCCCCATTTTCAACCGGCTTTAACCTTGCACAGCTGTGTGATGATCCTCAAAAACCCTGGGACTGTCCAAGACCTCCGCTGGTACGTGAAAGCCTTGGTGAGAAGCCGGAGTCTTACTTTCACCACTGGAGTAAGAATTATGTGTGGGGAAACCCCTGCATCGGGATACATCCTGACCAAAAGACCCCGTCTGATTCACTGCCTTACCAGAAGCCGTTCTCACTTCCCTTACCAGAAGCGTATTCTGCCTCACGCTCAAAGCTTAATCCATCTTTGCATCAATATTCCGCATCACCAAACTATTTGTCATGTTTACCCAACAGACGAGCCATATCAGCACCATCTCTCTTTTCACATTCATCGACATCTATCTCTAAAACTACTTATCATAAACCAAGACATCCGACTCAAAATGAGAATACCAAAGCTCATTTTATGTAACAATATTCATTCTTTTACTTTCTTTTAAAAAAAAAAGGCTCTTATTTTTTATTTTATTTTTACAAAAAAATGGATGCTTTACTGTGTTTTATTTAAAGTCAAGATTTACATTCAGCTGTATATAAAGAAAGGGTGTTTAAGTGGAAACTAATTGCACCTTTATACGCTATAAAAATAAAGCAGGATGATTGCCAGGTTTGATTCCAAGTTTTAAATAAACATATGATGGACCTGCCTTGCAGTGTAAGAGAATTTACATTATCAAATAGTCCAGGACCACTTTTCCGAGTAATTTAGACATTCAATTTTTTTTTCTCAGGTTATAATAAAGTGAACAAGACAATATAACTTGAGCTGATAGTCAATACGCTAATATTTGCTATCTTGCTTGAGTCAAGCTATCGTCTTTTTTGAGGATTTTTGTTTTAGCTGTGATATCTTTTGTTAGTGCACTGTGTTTTGCTTTGTTTTGTTTTGCTCATATGGTGCATATATGCGTATACTCAAGATAAGCTTATATGATGTGTACTATCACGATTGCTGTGTAAAAAGTTCTCTTCTATGCACTGCATAATGCGTCATTAGGCGGTCTATTACAGTATCTTTTTTATTTCTTGATAGGTTCAGTACCTCAAGATATTTATACAATAGTAATCGTACATATCTTTTGGAAGACTAATATTCTGCAAATAGTGCACTTATTTTACGTACTCCACTGTGTGCAATTAATCTTTTGAGTAAATTTTCTTTCCTATATGTTTAGACTATGGTTGCTTTTGTATGCAGAGACTGTTAATAAAAATTTGATCTTAAATAAATTGGCATTAGCAAGATTTGTTTTGTATGTTTATATAATCTGTCTTAACTTTGGGGAGTGCATACAAGTACTCAGCCTAGGGGAGAGAAAGAGTTCTTTTGATGCGTATATCTAAAAACTACTCAATTCCATTGTGTGAAAATATGTCTATTGGACATTGACATTTAAACCTTTCATATGTGGTGTTTACAACCAAGATCTTGGAGCACAATTGGTATTGACAGGAATTTGGTTTTTGTTTGCTTTTAATTCCCAAAACTAATTTATTACTCTCGATCTTTTTTGAAAATAAAATACATAAGAATCTTTATTTTACAATAGACTACTGGATAGAAACTAACAAGAGAGACAGGAAGTTTAAAGAATTAAACAAATAAGTAAAGATTTTACTTCAAAAAAACCTAGGGGCAGACATAAAAGATCTTTATACTGTACAAAACAACAGTTCTGCTCCATATACTTCTTTTGTCGATTTATTGCTTCTTCGATATTTGTCTCGATGAAGTTATAAACAAAAGAAGGTCTCTTAATAACATAAAGATTTAATAATAATATAGTCATAACCAACCGTTGGATTAAATTGGAAAGATCTGTACTTGTAAACAATTCTGTACGCATACCGCATTATTATGGCAGTTTATGAGTTGAAATATCACTATTCTGACCATAAGCTAGAATTACGCCCTTGTTTCAGCACCACCTTAGCAACTAGTCTCTATATTTACTTCTCTGACCCTTTCAATTCAATATTTACAGTCTTTATGTTTTCTTGGTGTTTTATATATATGTACGCAGACCTTAAGTGGCTGGGAAAGTAACTATGTCTATCAACTCTTTTTATAATACTTTCCCTAGTGAGATTGATATTACACATTTCACTACCTGCATTAGTATACATTGGTCATTTTGTACAGATAAAAATATTCAAACAATTTTGACCTGCAGAATTAAACTAAAGTTGTATAGTTAAAAAAGCTGCGGTTACAACTATAAAAGTTTCCAATATATAGGGTTGCTTTTGAGCTAATATCAATTTAACTGGTAAATGAGATGTTATTCTCCAAATACCAGCCATGGATATATACTTTTTGGTCTGGTATATAACAGCTAGCACAATAGGTAGTATCAGACGGGGTTCTCTTCTTCTTACTCAAAGCGAATAACTCGAACCGATGTACAGGCACGATATAAAACCCACAAATATTTATAAATTCTTTACTTTCCATTCCACCAAAATTATGCACTGTACTTTAGGTGTGCTTGCTTGATATTTCTACCTTTCAAAATTGGCCAAATGTGTGTACCGCATGCAGCACGGACTAATGTTTGCCATCTTTGGTGGCTATGCTTAATTGTGCATGTGTTCATACATACTGTAAGCTCAGGCAATTCTTCGGTTTCCCATTTTTGATTCTTTCATTTTATTATATATGAATAATTAGTCCTTTAATCCCAGATTCGCTGCTGCATATTGATTACCATATACTTTTAGAAATCATATATCTCAATAACAAATTCCATAAGAGAGAATTAATAAACTTCAGGAATCCACCCGAGGGTAAGAAGATACCAATTAAAGGTATGTAATAGAGACCTTGTGAAGCTAGAACTAGCCAATTCAAATGAATTACAAATCGGAAGCTTCAGATAGAGTAGCATTCATATTCTATGATCAAATTGGAATATATGTATTTTAAAACCCTGGATCCAATACATATATCGTACATATATCGTACATATATCTAGATGACTAAGTACAATAAGCATATCCCTTTCCCCCCACACACACACAAAGCAATAGTCTAATTAACACTACGGGAGAAAATGTGTCTAGGGGTGTATTTTGACATTTACTGTTAACATATAGAGCCCTTACATAGTTTATTGGTTGAGACATAATTATGCACACTAGTAGCTTATTATATTTCCAAAAAAAATTAATATAATTATCAATATTTGCGTTACTTAATGTCAAGGCAGCAATTACAAGTTACCGGATGGGTATCAAAGTTTCTTAAACCATTACAATATTTGGTTTCTAAAGTGTATATAACCGCCACCCGTATATCCTTCTTTGCCGATAATTATCGCCATGTTGCCTGTAAATTGATACTAGGAATTTGCGGCAACAAATATCGGGGAGATCCTGGAAACTATCTATGAACAGGCCAGAGCTGTGGAGAATAGTGGTTAACTTATCGCATAGTTTTCTTGATCTTGAGGATCCTTTGTGTCTAAGACAAACAAGAGGCAATCCAAACATATCCAGAAGAGTTAGTACCGTTGACTCGGAAGATATTTTCTACGCTTGTAATTTTTTGACCAGAGTAATATGAAATAATTCGTGATCTTTGTGCGTTGAAAGTTTCTAAAAGAAAATGTTCGCTATGTTTCATGAGTGAGGGCACTACTATGAGAAAGCCAAGAGGATATAGATACATGTCCAGAAAAATATAACTTGACTTAAACGTGACAAGTTTCGCAGGATTTTTTTGAATTTTGACGTCAAATAACCGAATATTCTTACTGCCAAAAAAAAGAGCTTCCTCAGACTTTGAACCGAGCAAGAAGATGGCAAATTCTTTCTTTTACTTTGTAAGTTAGACCAGCAAGTTACTCTATCATTAGCTACTTTATTCCACAAGCTTTATCTTTCGCTATACATCAACAAATTCAAAGCTAATAAACACCTGACAAGTAATTTACAACTTACCTTTGGTCCATATTAGGGGGTTTCATTATCTCTTAGGATTCGGATTCGGATTAGGATTCGGAAAGCGGGTGTTTAAATGATAAAATTATTGGCTGAGAAGAATCTGAATAGAATTAAAATGTGTAGATTTAATCCGAAGGCTTTCGGATTGAAATTTAGGATTGCTCATTTTGACGTCTTGAAATACTTAAAGCGAAAGTTTCTCAATTTATTTGCCTCTCTTACATATTTCTACTTTATATATCAACTTTTTATAAGCTAAGTTTCCAATATAAGCAATAGAAATTAACTTAATTGTTTAGAATAAAATATTAGGTTCAAGAATAAAACGATTAATTAAAAAGGGGGACTCAATAATTTTCACTTTATAATCATTTGCATTGGCTACAGGTTTAACATCCGCTTTCCGAATCCTAAGAGATAATGAAACCCCCTATTGTGTCTTGGTCATCAGAAACTAGTTTTAACCTCACAGCAGATGCTACAAACCAATAATGGCTTAGAGACTGGGCACGTATTTCAAAAACATGGATCCAACTTTTGCCTAATCGATGAGTTTAGTACAACCAAGCAAATACCCTAACTCTTACTCCATATCGCCGCACTTGAACCTCAAGTATAGCCAGCTATGGTCTTCTATAGGAATATTACAGTCAGGGTTCATTTTCTCTTTAAAGAATGCTACTGTTCTTTCAAATCGTTTCAAACTTATCAGTCAAAATTGTTTAGAGAACACGGATTCGTTATAGTTTGGGTATTGTTTGTGGAATAGAGATCTTACTACTGTCTTGAGCTTCGACCACATTCTTAACTAAACGAGGCATGATAGTATTATTACTGATATGCTTACCTGTATCATTCAAGTTGGAAGTACTTTAATATTAAGAGAGAATGTTCCAGAGAGTTGTCGTGTGAGATGAAGACTAACAACAACAAAAAAAACAAGCCCTCTAATGTTGTTATTGTCAGGCATCCCCAATATACCTATTTAGTGTTATTAAATTCTTTGAATAAGCTTGTGAATTGTTTTTATTAATATTTTCTGTACTGCGTTGGAGTTGTATAATAAGAAGTTTTTTTCTTTCTGCGTCGATTGCAAAAACATGGCGGGGCATATTGAAAAGGGCTCTACATTCAAAGCTTGGAATATTGACTTTTTAGATATAGTAATAGTAATAGTGATAAAAATAATAGGATCACTATATAATTCTGCTATATTGAGCACAGTGTACTTTTGAAACAGAATTATTTTCTATAAAAATTTTTCTATAATTTTGAAACATCATACTAAAAATCATGATATATACCATAGATTATTATTTTTATATGGATCGATATTTTCATAAATATTGGTCTGTTGCTGATTAGACAAGAACGGGTCATCATCGATTAACACTACACTACTTTTAATAAATCAAATTTTCCCTTTTTTTCAAATTCTACCCTGAGGAAAAGTAGGTACCCAAAATGGTCTTTTTAGTAAGGAGTAAGGTCCAACATATAGTCATCAAGAGAGCAAGTAAGGTTCAAGGCACTAACATCTCATCAAAATCATATTACATTATGTTCTCATTTGTATGCTTTCTTTTTCCTTCAAATCTTTCTTCTCTGATAATAAATAAAATCATTGAAATACACATTTAGCTTTTTATTGACAGTATCATTTAATTAACTTCAATATTGTCTTTAAATTATTATCCAAATTTAAATTTCTTCAAGCTATATTTGAGGTGTGGTTCTTGATTATTAAAATAGGTTTTATTACAGAATTAATTTATGATAAATAATATGGGTATTTAAAATAGTCTAATCGGAAGATTTAACAAACGAAACTGTAGGTTTCAAATAGTTATAATATCCATAGTAAATATAAGGCTTTTTATAGTCAGAGGGATGCTGCTGTGTCTTTATTAACTTCTATTTTATCATGGATTTTAATATCTATTAGTGTTGTGGTATAATATAGCTTTACCTTGAAACTAAAAAGAATCTCCAATGATTACTCAAGTGAAGTGTACGTAGTCATTAGTGTTGGTAGCGTGATTTTTTTCAATAAAATAAAACTGTATCCTTTTCCTTTTGAAAACGAGTTACAGTATAATTCAATGATGCTATCAACAACAAATATGCCAAACACGTAAATTTTTCTTGTTGATTCTGCTTGTGTGATGCGATAATTAAGCTGTTTCTTTAAGCTTTTCCCCAAACGGGCTCGATCTTCTTTATTTAGACTTTCATCAGTGCAATTCGACTTCACCTCTCAACATCCCAACTCTTGACTACTGGTGTACAGTAAAAAATCAGTCCGTACTGTCTTTTCTATGTTGTTCTTATTTGTTTCAAAAGGTTGTTCCCTAAAGAGAATTATTAGACGGAAATTGATCTTTTACTAATTAAAAGCAGGCTTACCGACATATTTTTACATTAGATCTTGAGTTAAATACAAATAAAAGCAATATTGCTATGTTTTGAAATGAAAAATCGGTCTCAGATTGTTTGTAACTATTGCTTTAAAGTGGTCTGTCCGGTGTTTCTCTTAAGTATTGTGGCACACACACCACAATCCAGAACGGATACTATACAGTCAAACCTATGGAATTTGGCGTTTTCTCAAAAATAAATGGCAAGAGGACAAAAATAAATGTCGAATTTAGAAAAATAAACGCCATGAGTTTAAATTGTTTTTGTCATTTTGGTTAAAAACAATTGTCGAAACATAGTAGGTGATGTTATGCAACAGTTACAGCGACTTTACCTGAGAAACATTTATAGATCGTATACTCGAAATCATTAAAAGCGTGGAAATGAACCCTCCATTAAACTATTTTGGGCAACATTTAAAAGGAAAATGAAGCGAGATCGGCTTATGCGTGAAGAAAAATGATCTAGTACGATTGGTGATCCCTATAATGGTGTATTCAAATCATTAAATAAATGCTATATTGAGACACCGTTCTGGCATGCGCGTATTTCTTTTGAACAAATATTTATTTTTAATCCTCAAAGTTCCATGATAAACATTATCTTAATTTTTAGTTGAGAAAACGCCAAATTCCATAAGTTTGACTGTGGCAGACAAAAGCATTCTGTAATGTACCAAATAGGAATCCAAGTGGAATCGCTGTCACATGTGGAATCGCAAAGTGGAATCGCTGTCACAAGTGGAATCGCAGAGTGGGTTCCAAGTGGAATTGAAGTTTGTGCCTTTTTTTTTATTCAAAGTTTGAGTAAAGGAATCGTGTGCAAAATGTCTTTCTCTTGTGAGGAAGCTAATTGCACAAAAAAATCCTACGCAAACATGCGACTTAATAAACATAGCTATGATGATCATACTTTACAAGTAACAATTTCAATTCAAAACAGTAAGTCTCCAAAATATGTTTTCATTTTTTTTATTAATCAAGTCAATTTCCAGCCTCATACACTGTCAACAAAATTGAGAGTGGTTTTGTTTGTCCGAAATGCAATAGTATTTTAGAGTCGACTTCAACTTTCAAGGCATATGCAGAACGACACAACAAATCACCAAAGGCCAGGAAAAAGAAGGGGTGAGAACCATGACGTTTCGCCACCCAAAACCAAACTACCTAGAGTTTACAGTGAAAGCGATATCGAGACTGCCCGACGTATATCAAATGACATGAAGACGCTTACCAAACCTATTGCGACACTTGCTGCTGTTGATCGATTGGAATATAGTCCGGAAGACCAACAAAAAAAAACATAATTCTTACTGATTTAGCAAATTTGACGCCGATTGCATTATTATCAGGGCCACTATCATACTATCTACTTGGTGATGCAACTGATGTCCAAGAATTACATGAACAGCAACCAGAGGTTATTTTCTCTATTCCACCTGATCCCAGCCACCAACCAAAAGATTACGAGACTAACCACACTTTGCTTACGTTCTTAATGAATAACTGTTCCATGGCGTCTTCATTAAAGAATGAACACTATATTGAATTGGACACTAATCACCTGAAGAAGGCGAATCGTGATTGGCTAATAAACCCAGAAGCAAGATATGCAGTATTGCAAAGCATTTATTAATAAATATCCTATACTGCACACACATCAGAGAAAAATAGCTTTGAACTTTTGGGCCATATAGCTTATAATAAGGCGCATGTTCTTATTATTATTTTACTATCTTTATATTAGCTTCTTGATGTTTTAGCAAAATCAGGGTAAAGATTTTAGTTGTTTCTCATGGCTAGCTATACAAGTAAATAGCAATGGAGTTTTCTGTTCTCTTTTGTTACGGTAAAGTTCTCAGATTCTTGCACATCTAGATACTAGATATAAAATTCAAAAAAAAAATCGAGAATTTTTGAAAAGATCAAATAGGTTTATCAATACAAATATTCAAATTATAAGTTTCTGTTGAATTATCCCAAATATTATCTAATACCAAGCTCTTATATTTGAGTTTATACTTTATTACTAAATATCCGAGGATATATGGGAAAAACATCAAGTCGTAGTCCAATCTATCAAATAAAAATATGATTATTATGTGAAAGAAATTAAAGCAAGATAGATATACTATAGCCTGTTTTGCATAATATCATACCACACACCAATATACGAACTTGATGAACTTCAAAGTAAATCTAAACTCATCAAGTTAAATCCTTATTTCATAAAAAGGCAATGGATACTCGAAGACGGGTGTGAAACTTTAACCCAAACTAGTATGAATGTAGTTTTCATACAAAATATCTCCATCAATCTACTTTTAGTAAATAACAAAGAAGAGCCTGATCACATTCAACTTTATATGTATAGCTTACCTATTTGTAACCAAGGTAATTAAACCGACTAACTAAACGATTCAGTGACTCTACTGCCAAAACCATAGCTACTGGGCTTAATGATGTCGATTTTTTTTTAGTCTAAACAACTATTTTACTTTGTTTTTACTACTATAACAACATACAATATAATAAACATAAATACATAACTATTTTACACTATTTCTCTAGGGTGTTTCACCAGTTCTTAATGCTCACTTCGAGGTAGCGGTGCTTTAATCGAAATCCAATAATAGTCAATATTAAAAAAGAAACGTTTGAGTACCTTGAACACATTTGAGCAAAGTACTCTTAAAAGAGTATTAAATCAATCTTAATTGTATGTGTGCTTATATAAATTTAGCTATCAATTGTGTATTTACTACAAAAATCTGTATATTTTGGCCAAGTCTCAATATCGAAGCATCGAAAAAATGATTCAATGCTTAAATGCTGAGTTTTATGTTTTTTTTCTTCTATTTATCATAGCCAATCATACGTGTATATTAAATTGCCGCATATCGAATATCGAACATAAAAAACTAGTGAAACCCCCTTATGTTTTTTTTTTTTTAAAAAAAAAATCTTCATCATTTGATCGATGCATTTAGCGTTACTTCAAGTTCTTATTACTCATAATAATAGTTTAAAGAGAAACACCCCATTGATTAATACAATGCTTCATTTGTTCAGGTTTATAGTCTCTATTTTTATTTATTCTTTCTGTTAGATTCTCATATCTTCTATAGAATATTGTGAGCTCATTTTTAAATCTTGGTGATAAAATATAGAACCGTGGATGAGAGTATCAATATATAATATATGATTATGTACACAAGGGTACCAAATATCTTTAATAGACAAGCGTGCTTCATAATATTATTGTATAAAAGGCTTCTTTGTATGTACAGTCATGTATACCATTAAATAAAACAATTCTTTAAACTGGTCTTTGACATTGAGTTTTTTTTTTTTTTAAAAAAAATCAGTCAGTCAAAATTGTTTCAAAAATATCTCCCTATTTTATTTTTGAATTTTTTTAAACAAATTGTGTAACAAACCAAGATATTCTGCAGAAATCGAACCTGTCTTTTAATGAACTGGAAATACAACCAACAATCTTGGAATATTTCATGTATACAATATATGTTTTAATTACGTATGTATAATGCCATATATCTCAATAGACTAGCAACAAAGTGTAGGCCAGCATATTATTTCATTTATTGGATGACCCTTTTTTGGCTTAATTATTTTCAAGTTCAAGGGTTTGATTTTTGAAAAAGTACCCTTGGTATAATTCTTGGTTTGATTCTGTATTTCATACAAGAATTCCCTTGCATTTACAGATCTATGTGCCGAATGCTGTAAAACATTCCTTGATCAGATGCATAACACAACATCTGCTATTTTTGTTAAAAAAAAAAACTTTCATAATGCTTCTACCTTTTCAGTAAAACAAGGTGATTTTGTTTTTGAAATACACGTTACTATGGTTTCTTGTTAAATTAAGCCTGAGTAGTAGTCATATAAATAAAAAGTAAAAAAAAAAATAGTTTATTTCCAAATAGGAGTTGGCGTAATTCATATAATTGGTTCATCTCAATGACTTTCATGGTGATATGAAATCACTTGGTGGCGTGACCCTGTCTATATACAGTTTTACTCTTACAGTATTCATATTAAAGCGAAACTTTTGGGGAAAATGGATCCAGTCGTGAGAGAATATCTCCCCAAAAAAAAACACTATGCATAAAATGGAATATGAATCTAACAATCGATTCTAGACCATGTCACAGATATTATTAATTATGGCATTTCACAGGAAATACGATCACATAGTTAACAGTAAGAAAAAAAAGAAAACAATTATGTTTTCCAAAAATTCTACCTAATATTCTTCTTTCAATAAATAAGTGAAGTGTTAGACTAAGATAAGGCAAGACAAGACAAGAGTAAAGTAGTAGATTCTTAGATCAAAATGTAGTAAGGAGAAACACATTATGCAATAATTGAAAAGGGGGATTATGTTTGGTTGGTCTGTATCGTTTGCATGATATTTTGTTGTTTGACCCTAAAAAATGAGGAACCAATGAATCGAGAGAGTTGGATAAGCAGTCCAGGGGCAGGAGATGTCTATAAAAGCAAGAGCCAATTTCTCAAGTTTCCCCTCATCAATTTAATCATATATTTTTATATACGTATTTATTGGCATTGTCAATTGGATTTCTCTCACCTTGGTACTTCATCCGAGACTCTCCAGACTCATGAGATGTTAGATTTTTGAAAACCAGGACCGCCTTGTTGGCCAATTCTTTCTTTCTTTCTTTTTTACTTGTGGCCGCCCTTCCCCCAAGAGGTTTATCCATTTTTTTCTATTTCAGTTCATCGATAAGATATCCCCAAGTCTATAACAGCAGGCGATTCTATCATCAATATGAGCAAAGGTATATGCTATACTTATAAACTATAGCAATACATTGTATGCCTTATATTTACCCTTTTCTTGTTAAAAGGCGAAGCCAAATCCCACCCAAGGAAATTAATAACAAGACAAGAAGCTAACACAAAGGCACTAAGTGAAAAAAATACATTGCGACTTGATATTCAATACCCACAAGCACCCAGTATAACAATACAATTCCAGGAACTCCAAGATATACCATACTCAAATTAAGATTCTTTTTTAAAAAAAAGCAAAAACTCTGGCTCACATTCGAAAAGCAAAACAAAGCAAAAAAAAAGCGCACCCACACATACACACATTTTCATTTTCTTCCTACAGCAGCAAAAAACATTATAGCCATCACAGGCACTATACATGATAATATTCCCGAATTTTATTTTACATACAGACACCAACAGGAAAAAAAATCTTCCTAGTATCAACTCAAATTTCCAGTAGACAATTTTTTTTTTCATTTATATATATTTATAATCATTTGCATATACAACAATTGTAATCAAAAATCCCAGGCCAAGTTTGCACAAGACCATCATTCTTACCGTAATCCGATTCCTCCTCATCAGGTCCGCATCAGTCAGTTATCACTATATTTTTTATACCTCGAAGAATTAATACTACACATCAGCCCCAGGTTGTAGCCTTCAAGACAACTATCAAAAGATAAGTACAATATTCTTTTTATAAATCCAGTATGATTCAGCCAATGTTATTAGATAAAACATTTTCCCCCGGCCCATGCAAGAGGCCAGACCGGATTCGTGGTAGAACCTGAACATGGACACCTCATTCTTCCAATCATTTTTCAGAAAGTACACAAGAATGTCCCACAAATCTTAACGGTAAGTTATATTTGTCAGCTTACAAAGCATTCTTCAATATAAGTATTCTAATTTACATATATATAGACCTCATTAGCCGCGAGGTAAGTAAGGGACATGTTCGAGTCACTGAAGATTATCGGTCAAATGTCGCCCTCATGCGTTGATCCGTGTTTTTCCTGGACAAGATCACAAGCCCATTTCCGGTTGAAATTTCCCTATCCAAAAAAAAAAGAGATCGAAAAGAAAACAATGAAACTGAAGAAACTACCTTGAAAATACATCTGAAGAAAAAAGAATTGAATGAATTTCACTCATCGTTCCAATTTTACTTTATATCATATATTCAATATTTCTTATTTCTTGCAATATTATTTTTTTATTCACACGGTATATTATTTATTCAATACATTCTACATTCTACTATACAACTCAAAAAAAAAAAGACATATCATATCATCACCTTTAAATAAAATTATGTGCGTACATTGGGTTTTTCTAAATCCTCCATCAAATTTTACTCTTTCTTTTTCAATTATTACTATTATTAAATTGGAATATTTATTGTAAATAACAAATAATAAATCCATAATTCAAGTTTCAGCTCTCGTTTCATTTTCATACTTGATAAATGTCTTCAACGTCTAATTTTTACTATGTTCACTTGCGCCTTTTATGCTTTACAGCAAAAAAGTCTGCTGTCAAACAACATTTTAAAATAAATTCTCTTTTCTGTCAGAAACCATGCTTGCGTATGATATTCCGTTTGAAATTCTTTCCAAGATCGCGATCCTCCTCTCGGTAAAGGATAAAATACAATGTATTCTTACATGCAAAGCATGGCAGTCTCCATTTCAAGACGTATTATGGGACACCATTTCTGTATTTAGCAAGGAAAAAGTTAGAGAAATTTGCGACTCGGATATCAAAGCAAATATCTACAAGCAAAACGGTGGTCGTGTGAAGCTATTGATTTTTGGACGGAGACTCCGTGTAAGCGATCAAGACCTCAATACGATTCAACATCGATTCAAAAATTTACAAAGTTTTTGTGCACCAGACTCATCGCTGAGCTCTACAGAGTTCGGAAAGATTGCTGATTGGAAGCTGTGGAACTCTCTGAAAGAGCTAGATATATTTATACCGGTTCTGGACAAGGTGCGCTCACTGAAGGAATCGTTAAAGATCCTTTCAAACTTACCATCCCTTAGACGGTTACATTTCACAGATGGTGGTTTTGAAGACTCTCCAATTTACACTCTGCGAGACATCGAAGCATTACATACTCATTTGCCCAAACTAGAATCTTTATCAATTCAAATGGTCTTAGCACCACTTGAGCCAGAGGACATACAGCTTGCTAAGAATACGATACCAGCAAATACTTTAACGGTGTTGGAGATAAAGTTGGAATTCAAGGATTATCGATGGCTATATTACTTTGCTCGCAAGTACTATAATTTACGCACCTTATCGTGGGACAGCATGCATGACATGGACATAGATGACTTTAAAGATAGTTTATCACATATGCTATCAGATATTTCTCCAGTATTTCCGCACCTGAATTCCATCACTGTTTCTAGTATCTGTTGTTCAGAACAGAAACAAGCTACATTTTGGAGAATATTCGACATATCTAAATCGACAATCAAGGATGCTAGATTCCTCTTTACTGGTGTAAATGATGGGAAAGTTCTGTTGGAAGAAGATGTCAAGGGATGCATAGAACTTTGCTCAAGAACACTTGAGAAGCTTTCAGTTACATGTGATGTGTATGCATACAATTCAGATACTATTTCCCTATCGTTCAATACGTGCCCCCGCTTGGTTGAGCTGTATCTCGACGTACGCTTTCTCCCTATTGAATTGGATACTCTTTTGGATCAGTGTATGAGCCTCAAGTCCATTAAACTATCTGTTGATTCTCCATCTGTTTCTCCAAGTGCATTTAACGACATTATGACTCATGGAGTTGGCTTTATAGAACTAATTACCTCCAAACTAGACACCTCAATACTCAAGTATATATCATTTCGCTGCAGAAAGCTGTATCATATGCGCCTATGTGATGTACTTGTATACGGGCCAATATCTCAGGAAACTGGAAATATATATATAGACATGTCCCACACACACTTTGAGTTCTTACACCTGGACCAAGTGCACTTTTATCCATCTAACAAACCCTATTGTATGATGAATGGTAATAAGCCCCAAGATAAAAATTATCTGCCAGACATGCGCACAATCCCAGTCAGAATCCTTGAAATTTGCCAACAAAAAAACGGAGGGCATGACAAAATGACTCCGTCAATAAAGGATAAGTATAAACAGCCTAGTATTGAGTCCATATGGCTACACACATACCACTGTCCAGAAGCCTTTTACCCATGGAAGAGTGTCCGAGTATTGAAAAAACGAGAAGTTAAAATGGCCAAGAGATATTTTTGTGGCTTCCAACGCAAAAGCACAAGAGATTATGTTAATATGACAAGAGAGAATGCAATGATAGAAATGGTGCTAAGACATGAATGGAAAAGCAACCTTCTAAGGGGGTATGTTACTTTCAGGTGTGGTGATATAAAGAAATATCGTGTAACTGGCCATACGGTGAGCAACGATGCTTTGTGGAGAAAGATATCTGGGGAATCATAATAAATTCTACTAAACTGGACCCCAATATGAAGCAAAAACAAACGCAGAGCATATTAATGTACTACTATAATAATAAAAATACGTTTAGAAACTTTTGCTCTTATCGAATAAAATGTCTTGGGTTTTCTCTATTAGAGAAATAGTAATACTACAAAGAGATTTTCTTTTGTGTTGACTACTTTTTTCTTTAGCCACATTATGAATAAATAAAGGAACCAATAAAAAGGTTTAATAAAGTACTGGTTATTCTCTAGTCCGTAAAGGTGGATTGTGGTTGTCAACTCCTTATTGCCTTTGGATATATACAGCGAATTCTGTCTATGTCTTTGGGTATTTTGAAAAAGCTAAGACTTTCTCAGAAAATATTTTACCAAGAGCCTAGTGTTTGCTTATAAAATAGGACATCATATTATATTAATTACGTTCAATTTTATTCCTCCACACTTGTTCAAAAAAAAAAAACTTGGGAATTCAAAGGTAAGTAGCAGAGGTACTGTTAAAGCGGGGATTTTGGGCGATCAAACAATGATGGGACAGCTTTTATGGTTGTCATAGTCGGGATATAACATTGTATTTCTTAATGTGAGTCTACAGGAGACTGTGACAACTCTGTAAACAATAAAGGAACATACTTTTCTAGAGTTGTTCTTGCTCTTGCTCTTAAATACTTAAATTTAATATATTAAATATACGACAAGCTTATAATCATCTCTCACCCTAAGCCAATGTTTCTATTGCAAAGAGGCTACCTTGGCTGTATACATTAATCAGCTGAGAGGTATCTTTGGCACAGAATCTGAGGTTACAAGACGACGGAAGCTTCAAAAAAGCCTCAATGGAAGCATGGCTGTATACAAATACACACAGTCCAGCTGCTATAAGAAGATATGCAAAAATCTACATTGGGTTTCGTTCGATTGCTTTACACCAACAGAGAAAGAATTTTTAAAAAAAATCTCTATTTTCTAATAAAGATACTCGACCAGGTAAGCCTGGTATACCTGGAAATATTCTAACGAGTGAAGATAATTTTTTTAGAAAGAACTCTAAAGATTTTTTTTAGTAAAAGGCGAAAGATTTATCCGATCTGATTACAAGACAGAGACAATCTTTCTAAAGATATATATTATGACAACCATAAAAGAGAAGGTGTTATCGAATACCATCAGAAATGAACAAAAAAATGATGATGTACAGCAAAAAAATAGAGCTCCCAAAGACTGTTTGCTGTAAATACTTTAAAGAAAACCTGACACACAAGCAGAAAGATAGACAATCGCGAGCTATTTATAAAGATACTATCACAAAGATCAAGAATCTTCCTGGTACAAGTATTGAAATGAAAGAGTACTTAGATACCCTGGTAAATGAATCAACTAAAAAGGTACAATAACAAATGAATATCGTAAACTAGGGTTAAATATACTTACTTTTGTTTATACATAGGTCCATGAAGTAAATATACAAGCAGACAACCAATATATCAACTACGGATATATCGAAAGCCAAGGTCCCACCAATATTACAATAATCAGAGGGAAGAAAAGAAGAGTCAGTAAGTTGAGCTATAAGAGTCGATTAAAGCTAAGCGTCATCTAAATTGTATTGCTTCAAATCTAGGTAAAGAGAATGACTCCAGCAGGAACCCTTCTGATAATAAGGATAGTTCTGACTCTGACAGCTCGTATCAGCGAACACCAGTATCACCACCATCAGTATCACTACACAGCAGTCAATTAGAAGAACTTGACTCCTTCGTGTCTGATAAGTCGGATAGTACTTATCTAACCGAAGAATCAAAACCCTATGGAGATATCTTAAAAACAAGAAAATATATTTTAACGTTAAATGAAGTAGATGCTGGAGATAATGATGGAAAAGAAGTATATAATTATGACACCAACAGCTCATTATGTGAAAGATTGTAAGGTCTCTTAAGTGCGTTAGTTAACTATAATATTTACTTTTCTTTTTTAAAAATAGAAATATATCTAGTATATGCTATAATGCTGACTCATCTGATATCTATGAGCTTAAACCAGAAGTACTAGATGACGATGAGTACAAAAAGATGAAAGACTGGAGAATGGTATAGTAGAAATAGGACTTTTTTTCAGCATTATAGCTTGGTTAACTTGAGGTCTTTTTTTTTCATTGATGATTTAGAAAGTAAAGAAATGCCAGCTTTATTTTCCACCAGCCGCAGCCACACCAAAACAGCTACATCTAAATACCTTTCTTTGTACTCTGACAGACACTATAGTCCATGAAAAATCCCAACAAGAAAGAAAGAGTGAAATAGGATTTACAATTGATCATGTATCTCCTTTACTTAAATACATCTTCCCTGCGAAAGGTGTGCTATCCTGCAAGTGGTTAGTAAAAGCTTTAAAAAAACTACAATAAAAAAGTGGCTAATTGATAATTGGTATGATGAAAGGGAAAGGTCCTCAACTTTACAAGCAAGCACTGCTTGTAAAAAAGTTCGAACGGACCTTATTTTAATCGCAAATGGACAAGAAGTTGGCTGTGGTGAGATAAAAACACCATGTCCTACCTCTCAACTACTGGAAGAAGATCGATCTCGTATAGCAGAAACTTTAAAAAGACAGTTGCATGCTCGTATCATGAAGAGCAAGGACGTAAAAGAATTTTTTACTTTTGGTATAATATTTGACGGGTTCAACATTGAACTATACATGATGATTTTCGACTTCCAAAGAACTCTGCCTTATCAATTTTATTATGTTGAACGGGTGAAACTTCCAACCTCATTTGAATCCTATAACAATATGGAAGAGACAATTGAGTATCTACTAAGTTTTAAGGTAAGTTGTTCAATTAATATACGACAAGAAATTATATGAAGATGCAAACTATATATTATGATTGTAGAATTTAATCCTTTCTAGTTTGGCCGGTGAAGAAGACATGCACAAACCTTATGCTTATCATAATTTTACTCGTTTATTTAAACCAACAATCGCTTTTATAAAAGATTAAAGTGTTTTCTTTGGTTTGTTAATGATGCTAGATATTTGTTTGATTAACCTGAAGCTTTAGGCTGTCACTACTTTATTTTAAATAATGGTGTGCACCTTTTTGTGCCTTCTATTGATATAACAAAATATATCAATAGCATAGTCCGCTGTATATAGCATAAGGATAAACAATACTAGCTGTGCTAAAATCGTACAATAACGTATAAAATCGTACTACGCATATTATCGATCCAAGATCAACAAGTATATCAAATAAACAGCGCTTATAAAAACCCTATTTGTTGAGTGCCTGACCTAAAAGCTAGTGCTACTAAATATCCCAAAGAAAAGTGTCCCACTTCATCACACTCACCAGTTTTTTTTTTTACTTCCAATGCTCTTTTCATTTTAGCGAAATATATATATATCTTTTCATGTATATGTATTACACGATAACATCTGTTTTGAACGTTTGATATTTGGGGGTAGGATAAATGGTTGTAAAATACAATTCTATATTGTTAAGAAAGTCATAGCAGTTAGCTTCTTTAGAATCAAAAACCTGCATTTAATTATATATCCATACTCTAACGCATATAAAAGTTCAATCAAAGATTATGTGTCTTTAAGCTTAAGGGCGCGTGGATATAAAATAATTATATATATATATATATGGTTCTTGTTACTGCTGCTGTGTGGATATATAAGTAATCTGGACCACACACACACACACAACGGGTTAAAACGGCATTTGTGTCTGGACTTCTTTCTTATGCTTAGTGGTACAGACTTTGTACTTTAAAGGCTTTACTCCCTTTTTTTTAATCTCTCGATGGTTTATTGTTCATTTGGCATCCGATAAATATTACCCATGCTATATTCTTTATATATCCATAAGTAGAGATTTCTTATTGCATGTTCTTTATCAAATACAGAACTTTCTAAAAAAGAGACACCCTAGAATACATAATATGTGAATAAAACAACCATGCTTATTACACATGATAATAGCGTAGTCTTTTGTCGGATAAGATTCATAAACATTGAGTAAATATCAAAATACATTTCAAGCTATTGTTTCGATTGGGCGAAGAACCCCGATTGCGTCGTCGCTTATAGCTTTTTTATATATATATATGTCAAAATTCAATTATCCCCTTTCTGTTCTTTGTCCTGCACAAACTCATCGACACCATGTCGAATAATTCATCTATCTTTACAAACCCCAATCCACCACCACCACATACTTTCTCACCAATGTCAGCACGCGGAAAATGTAAGCAGTAACGGACCTATAAAATGTGATCAATCTAATGATTGATGTGCAACTATGTAGATGTCGTGGGTGTGTGTGCTATGGATCGCAAAGCAAGATCAAAACCCATGCGCTACATCCTTAACCGATTACTTGCCCATGGAAATTTCGAAATTGTGATTTTTGGAGACAAGACGATTCTCGATGAAGGTATAAAGTTGTATATATATATAACACACGAGATATAGGCAGATAGCAAGTACATGCAATTTCTGCTTTTCTTTTGCTTGAACACGGACGTTATTAAGCTCAAAAAAATATGTTCCAGATGTCGAAAACTGGCCTGGATGTGACTTTCTCATTTGCTTCTTTTCCGGGGATTTTCCTCTCGAGAAGGCTGTCAAGTACACAAACTTGAGACACCCCTTTGTAGTCAATAATGTGGCAATGCAAAGCTTATTGTGGGATCGACGAGTGGTTTTATCTGTTTTGGACGCCATTGGTGTACCAACACCTCCAAGACTAGTTGTATCTCGCGATGGAGGTGCACGGGTCGATAAAGACGCTGCTGCTGAATTTAAGGAATTCACGGGAATGGATATGGAACGTGTACTTGCTAAATACACTAATAACAGCACCGGAGTCAAGATTACTGAAGACGGTATCGAGGCAGACGGAAAGAAGCTCTTGAAAACTTTCATTGAGAAACCTATCGATGGAGAAAACCACAATATCAACATATATTACTCTAAAGACAAAGGTGGAGGAGGTCGCCGTCTGTTCCGCAAGGTAAGCTACTGGTTTCCTAATAAGCATGTGATAGACTAAATAATTCATATGTCTATATATATACACGAATTAGATCGGAAACAAGTCTAGCGAATTCGATTCCTCATTGAATCTGGCATCCACGGAAGGCTCTTGGATTTATGAAAAATTGATGGAGACTGAAAACTGTGAAGACATTAAACTGTACACAGTTGGACCTACATTTGTACATGCTGAAACAAGAAAGTGAGTCTCCTTATCGGCAGGATAAGCCAGTACTTATATAGATTTTCTTTTAGATCTCCTACCGTGGATGGACTAGTAAAACGCAACACAGATGGGAAAGAGATACGCTATTGTGCAGAGCTTACACAAGAAGAGACAGATATTGCTCGTAAAGTATCAAAGGCTTTCGGCCAATCCGTATGCGGACTGGATCTTTTGCGTGTACAGGGAAAGTCATATGTTATTGACGTTAATGGCTGGAGCTTTGTCAAGGGAAATGATCATTACTACGACCAATGTGCACGTTTGTTGAGTGAGGACTTTTATCGATCGGTTCAGCGTCGTCCTTCGATGCTAGTCGATACAATCCCACCAGAGATTGCACCTGAAAATTCGTGGCGCCTGAAGGGATTTGTCGGTGTATTCCGTCATGGTGACCGTACTCCTAAAGAGAAAGTCAAAATCTCAGTCATGTCACAGCCTTTTATCGATCTATTGGACGGATCTAAGCAGGAAGTTGTATTCCGCCAGAAGCACCAACTTGGCCTTGTTTCGAGTGCAGTCGAGGAATGTCTTGAAAAGAATCTTGAAGACTCTACAAAGCTACGTACCCTCAAAGAAATCCTCGAAAAGAAACGAGAATTGCCTGGCACAAAGGTCCAGCTGAAGCCCCAGTTTGACAAGACAACTGGCGAACTCAAGAAGCTACAAGTTAATGTCAAATGGGGAGGAGAGTTCACCCATGCCGGCCTTCACCAGGCTCGTGATTTGGGAGAAAACCTTCGTAAAGATATGAACATCCTGAACAGAAATGTAATGGACAACGTCAAGATCTACAGTAGTTCCGAGCGCCGCTGCCGTGCTACAGCAGATGTGTTTGCACGCTGGTTCCTAGGCCAACCCGATTCAATTGAAGGGATCATCACCGAAAGTAAATTCTTGCTTGACGACAGTAATGCCTCTAAAGAACCTGGAGATGCAGTTAAGAAACAGCTCAAGGAACTTTTGCGACCCGGGCACATCATTCCTGAACTGCAATTGGCACAGATGGGCTGGCCAAAAGATCTTCCTCAACCTCATCTTGTATTGCAAGAAATTTCTCGCATCATGGCACGCATGCAACGTGTAATGAATGAAAATTGGTCAACTAAGAATGTCGATGAGCTTCAGCGTCGTTGGTGTTGCTTTGAATCGCCTACATTGTTCAAGGAACGTTGGGAGAAGATGTTTAGATACTTTTGCAATAATGTTAGTGGTGATGATAGCGATGATCCCGAAGTGAGACGACGTGCTGATGCGGAACGTGTGATTGATCCTTCATGGATTCCAGAAATGTACGACATGCTCAAGTATGATGCTCTCCACAACAGGCCATTCCTCCAGGCAATCTTTAGTGCAGACGGAACAGTTCCCGATGACCGTAATTCAAGACGGTTGTCTGGCGACAATACCACACCTTGCTGCGGAAATAACGACCTTAGAGACCTTTATAAGAACGTCCGCCTGATGTTTGACTTTATTGCACCTGCAGAGTTTGGTATCACGGATACTGAAAAGATGAACATTGGGATGTTGATCAGTTTGCCTCTTCTCAAGTCTATTCTTCGCAACTTGGCTGACATGAAGAGAGCAGATAATCCAAAGACCCGGATGTACTTTACCAAAGGTTTGTTTTAAATAGCTTTACTTTCCTTTTTTTTATTGGCATTGTCTAATTTGGATCTTTAACAGAATCACATGTCCATGCTCTTCTTAATCTCGTCTATCTATCGGGAGTACCTACCAAGGGACCAAGAAACAGACTTCCTGAACTTGATTGTAAGTAAAAGAGATTATAATGGTGAGTATTTCTAATTAGTATGATTTATTACTATCATTATTACTTTTAGTCTTGACTCAGATTACATTTGAGCTTTATGAACGCAATCAATTGAGTGATGGGAAAAAGGAATATTCCCTCAGAATTGCCTTTAGTCCAGGTGCTCATTACGACAGTGTGCTTGATTTGCATATGGATGCTGAGCATTGTTTAAAGGTGGCTCCTCGCAAGTAAGTTTCCTTGGACGTTAAAACATATGGAACACCAAAGACTTAGTTTTTCTCTAGAAATCTCCTCCCACACCTATCGCTTGAAGAAGTGGTGGCCTATCACCAAAAATATCTAAAAGTACCCAATCTGGCCAGTATCGAGAAGCAAATCGAGGCCACAAAACTTTACTACGCCCAGGAGGATAACCAATAGACCAGAAACCTACCTACGCTCACATTTTCTATAAATATATATACAATTACATTTATATAGGATGTTTACAAAATATTCATACATCTGTGTAAATACACTTTCAAAGAAAAAAAAACATATACACCCACACAAAATATAGATATCACTGCTGCTCTAAAACACTTGCACATATTCTTTTTCATTTTTTTGTTTATTATTCTCAACAAGAAATTCGACAGGTTGATTTTTGCCTGGTTTCGCTTTTTTATATGCAATTTTAACGGTTAGACTTGGCAACACGCTCGAGCTCGTCCTTCTTCTTGATGGCATAGGAGTTGGAGGAACCCTTGGCGGCGTTGATCAACTCATCAGCGAGACATTCAGCAATGGTCTTGACGTTGCGGAAAGCAGCCTCACGGGTACCGGTGGTCAACAAGGAGATAGACTGGTTGACGCGACGGAGGGGGGAGACATCGACGGCCTGACGACGGACAGTACCCTGGGAACCAATACGGGTGGAATCTTCACGGGGACCGGTGTTGATAATAGCATCGACGAGGATTTGGATGGGGTTCTGGTCGGTCAACAAGTGAACGATCTCGAAAGCGTGCTGGACAATGCGGGCAGCCAACAACTTCTTACCGTTGTTGCGACCGTGCATCATGAGCGAGTTGGTCAAACGCTCAACGATGGGGCACTAAAAAAAACATTATTAAAAAAGATATAGAATAAGTATTCATACCATTAGATTTGGTTTTCATTTTTTTTGGTCTGCTTTATATATGGTCTTACCTGAGCCTTGCGGAAACGCTTGGCGGCAAAGCGACCAGCAGTATGGGGGAGGTAGACATGCTGGCGGACGGAAATGTAATCCTGGAGAGAGATGTCTTTGACCTCGATTTCCTCGTAGGACCACTTGTTGAAGAGCTTGGGAGAGCTTTCGGCGCTGGCCAAAATGTCAGCAGGCAAGTTCAATGCAACCATGCTAAAGTAAATGAGACATGTCAGATCGATGGATAGATAAATGGATGGATGGTGTATTTTTAGGCTGAGGGTCTACCTTGTCGATGTGAAAGAAGGAACGATGAGAGGGTACAAGCACAGGGTTCTCTATGGCCAACAGCAAGCCCCGGGGGGAGGTGCTGCACCGCCGTTAGCACGTGACTTTGATTTTTTTTATTTTTTTTTGTAGGCGATCTTTTTATTTTAATTTTTTTTTCAATATGTATTTATATATATACATGCTGTATTTAATTTTATGTATTTTATTTTAACTGACCATTATCCTTTATCTTGACTTGACCTGCATTTTTTTTATTGGTCTTGGTTAATTTGGCTTGAATTTACCTATTAATTGCTGTGGTTCTATTGTATCTATAAGCCAGTTGATAGTCTTAGTTTGTGGGCCGGCATGGGTGCTGAGCCAGCGAGACCAAGAGACAGGTTCGGTGTTTTGAATAGGCAAGGCCATTTGAGTATACCGGATATGCAAAAATAAAAATAAAATATGATTGCTATTTCAGTCCTAGCGCCCTTGTTCGGCCTATATATATTTCCATATCTAAAAGGTTCTTTCAAACGTCTCTTCTTTTTCTACCTTCTATTTCAATTTTTGTTTTATTTTTTGCTATCATGTCAATACTTCGTTCTATTGTCAAGGATACCCCCGCTTCTTCTGGAAATAATGATAGCGATCCTGACAGCACAGAAGTGCTAGAAGACAGCTCGCGTAGTATTATCATGGGTATCATAAGTCAATTGCGTAAAGGCATGGACCTGCACCGGGTCACTTTCCCAACGTTTGTGCTTGAGCCACGCAGCTTGTTAGAGAAGATTACAGATTACATGAGCCACCCAGACTTCTTATTAATGCAAGTGAACAATAACATATTTGAATACGCATGCCTATATCTCTCAGCTGACGACGTTTGATGAACAGGGCGTCTAAGGAAACTGACCAACAAAAGCGTTTCATTGGTGTCTTACGCTACTTCCTCTCTGGATGGCATGTTAAACCCAAAGTAAAAACAAAAAACAAAAAACAAAAACAAGAAATATAATCATACACCTTAGCCACAATTCCTCCCCACCTCCCCCCCTATGCAGTCTAGCTGACACATCGTTTGGTAGGGTGTCAAAAAACCTTACAATCCAGTTCTTGGTGAGATATTTGAGTGTCAATGGAAATATGGGAATGGGACCGATGCATTTTACGTCGCCGAACAAGTGTCGCACCATCCGCCTATCTCAGCCTACTACTATGGAAGTCCCGAAAATGGAATTCGGATTCAGGGCAATGTTCGACCGAAGTCCAGGTTTCTTGGTAATAGTGTTGTCAGTCTGACAGAGGGAGACTCTTACATTGAGTTTTCACATTTTCACAACGAGCGCTACGACTTTACAATGCCAAACATGTATGCCCGTGGTATTCTGTGTAAGTATGATATATAGATATAGATATCAATACATATATTAGATAGAATTGTGGATAAACAAGGGAACCAACTTCCACGGATGAAATGTTCATACTCAACGGACATTGGGGTTTGCGATTTAGTCGGTAAAATGGTTTTGGAATTGGGCGATAATTGTGTGCTACGCTGCCGTACAAGCGACTTAACATGTGAGGTCGACTTTAAGACAAAGGTAATATTTGAAAGAGTGTTGATGGATGTTAAAAAAAAGAACATGGATATTTTTTTTGTATTGGTTAGGGATTCTTTTCTGGGCAGTATAATGTATTGGTAGGAAAGATTAAGAAGGAATCTACAGGAGAGGTTTTATATGAGATATCCGGCCAATGGTCAAATGAGATATTTATCAAGTCTGTCAAGGTAATTGAGAAAAGAACTTTATTGGATAATGTGAAGGGTTCTAAGACGGTGTTAAATGGTCTAGTCAAGTACCAAGACTAGCTTGTTTGATGTCAGTACCGCCCCTATACGACAAAAAACGGTTGCACCGGAATCAATTCAAGCCGAAAATGAGTCCAGACGATTGTGGTCCAAGTTAACTGCAGCAATAAAGAACAATGATATGGACCAGGCCACAACCGAGAAGTTGGCTATTGAGGATCGTCAAAGAGAGGAAGCAAAGTATCGTGAAGAGCATGGAAAGCCATTCCAACCAGTGTTTTTCGAATTGGTGAATGGTCAGTACGAATTCAAGGCAAATAACATGTAAGTATATTTCTTCTATATAATTCCTGTTTTCGGGATACACAAAGCACCTTATTTTGTATAAGGGTTGACCTTTTTATTTGAATATAGTATCGACTTCCAAAACCCCCAGCACGGAAAGCAGCAGCTGTGTGACCTCCTGTATTCACACCATCCCAAACAGACCAACAATAACCAACCATAAAGGAACCGTTGTTTTTGTTTTTATACAACCAGTGTCTTGCATTAAACCAATTGACATTTCATACAGTTTTTTTTTATTTATTTTTTATTTCTTATCTTTCTTCTTATTATTGTGCTTATATAAACATTTTTACACTTTATATATAAAAGTGAAACCAAAGAGAGATAGATAGATATAGTGAGAAATAGAGCTATGTACTTAAAGAGAAAGGGGGTGTCTTTTTTTTTATTGTATTTATTGTATTTATTTATTGTATTTATTTATTGGTACATTGGCCGCACAAATAGTATATGAACTCATTGTGATTATAACAGTAGATTGTGTGTTCGCTTCACATCTGAGTCACTTTAAAGGACCATATCCATATTTGGAATGTTGAATCATTTACGGGGGAAAGAGGTTTGACCGATTAAACAGGTCACTACCTCGCCTTCTGCAGATGTAATAACAGCATTGACAACGTATTTGCCCTATAAAAAAATAAGTCAGTAAATACAGTCACTCAATACACTTGCTTGAGCGATTTATGCAATTCAACTTACACCAGCTATACAATGGTAACAGAAAAAAAAACAAAAGGTTAATAAAGAGAAGAAAACAAAAAGTATAGCATCAATGAAACATGAAATTATCAACTTACGGATCTCCTTTGGCAACGCGACATCCTTGTGGAAAGTAAGAGGTCCTGCAGGGATAGGACACTCTTCTTGAACTTCAGGGGCAACCTCACTGCAGAAATCGAACTTTTTGCGAATCAACTGAACTACGCCATACTTGACCAGGATGGATACAGTTGTGCCTTCGGTAACCTCTTTCTTGAGGTAGCCTGTAAAATCGATTGTCAAGTTTTGTCCCTTTACAGGAATCTTGGGAGTCAGGGTTATGTCATCAATTCTACAATGACAATAAAGATTCCATTAGACCGAGATCCCCTAAAAGTGGATTCCACAGGATAACTTGCATCAATAAGTCTTGATCGTTGCCACAGGGTTTGATTAAATCAGTTGAGGTGGGGTCATAGGTTTGTTCCTGCTGGTTATGGAAGAATGGCAAGAAGGAAGCGCTTGCGATGGAGGCAAATGTGGCGATAACGAGAATAGACAGCTTCATGGTGAGAACAGAAAGAGAACAGAGAAGCCAAAAAAGGCGTCAATGGTCTTATTCTGTTGCAGCATTTGATGGCCCGCTCACATGATCGAAATGACGAAGGCCTTCGAGGGATTTGTTATTGGGTATTTCGTTCTCTTGTGCCTTTTTTCTTTTTCTCCGCTCATCAACCAACACTGAGCTTGTTTCTTGTTTCTTGTTTCTTTTTTCATAAATAATAATAAAATTTGAAGATTTTATCTTATTGAGCTTTGGTTGCGTGTTACACTTGTTCACAGTACAAAAAGGTAGAATACAATGATGACGCATGGTTGCACGAGCATTATGTCCATCAAAAGGTAGAAGATAAGCTGACCAAGGCTGCTGATTTTACAGACCAACAAAAATATATATTGTTTGAAGTCTTTGTAAGTTTGGCTCTAACGGAGACTACTAGATATAGACAATTGGGTAAATAATTTCTTGGAATGAATGAATCTAACAGTTTTAAATATAATTTATGGTTTATACTCATAAGAACTGGACTTTATTACTATTACTTTTACTACTACTACTATTATTATCGCCACTACTAATTTATTACTATTCCAATATCATTTTGGACATGAAACAAATTGAAACACAAATCACAGTCATTCATTTTGCTCTCTTTTTTTTTCTTTTTCTTTTTGGCCGAGGGTGACATTTACTGTACACAACGGACAATATGTAATTAATGAACAAGGTGAGATGGTTGAGAATGTAATATGAATATGTCTGACTTGTTCACAGTGAACATTTTTTTTTAAAAAAAAAAGACAAATGTGTAACAATAAGATGGGAAATATTTCATCCGTTATTGAATGGAAGAAATACATTAGACTTTTGGATAGATGTGAATGTATATCTTTGTCCTATGTTGCTCTTCTCGATCCAACTGACAGAGCATTGTTGGTATAAATATCAAAAATTATTCATTCAATAAATATCATCTTTCTCAAGTTCAACTCATTTCTTTATTTCCTCAAGTCTGGTTACCTAGACAGGTACTATCTCCATTGGTGAAATTAATTACCTCTTACAATCATAAACTTTAAGAATTCACAAGTTGCCTATCAGAAATGAGAAACGGGATCAAACCAATCTTAGGATCCTGAAATCATATTCTTTCAGTATATCTCTTGTTATGCGATGCTATAAAGATACCAAGCCAGCGAACCTCTGAAATGCTTATAAAACGATGTGTATTCCCAAAGTGCAGTTGTACGAAAAGTAGATCTGATACTGGATATGAAATGCAATATTTCTGAGTTTTCAGGAAAGTGAAGTCGAAAATGTCTTTAACAAACAAACTTTAAACGAACGTTTTGAATCAATCGGCATTGTCCTATTTTCTTCAGCCTTTTGATAATCAAACTGGGTTTAGATTATGAATGATATGGGATTTCCGTATATATGTGTGTTTTTCAAGAGCATATCCAAAGCCGAAAGTTTATACAGAAAGTTGGTCAAGAGGCTCTACAATATATATCGATGCACTTGGTTACCCTTTTTATGAATGGAAAATATTAGTAATTGAGTCACGGAGTGGGAGATTCAAAGAAATTAGTTTCTATAAAAATCAATAGCACAGAAAAGAGAACGAATAAATAGCTCACTAATGATGCTTAAAAGTAATGTTCGAAATCACCTTGATGTCAGCTTTGAGACCATGTGTAAAATCAAGTTTTACGTTATCCAAACAGCCCAAAGTTTAACTACAATTTCCAAGACTACCATGAATAGTATTCAAGGTGACTATATCTACCGAGAACTACGCACGGCAAAACTTCAAATAGGTTATATATATATATATATATATATATCACCATAGGTATCTAAAAGTAATGTATCGTAAGGCAGCATATTACACGGTCTGTGGAATAAACTGGGGGATTATGAGACAACCAGGCTTTGAGCAGAATAAGTGTAATTGGTGCTCAAAGTAATGGGAGGGTATCATAAGTACAAGAATATTCTTTAACTTTGCTTTACTTTACTCGTATAGTATTTACCTAAACAATAGTAGATTATCCTTTCATTTTATACTTGAATAATTTCCGGAGTTAGCACTTTGCAAAAAGGGACTCGCTATTAAAACGTTACTGTCTCCTTGAAAGAGAAAGAATTCATACATGATGAAGAGCTAGTAAATGCTTATGTAGTATGATTTCTTTTATTGTTGAGTGCTCGTCAAGAATATAAGCAAAGGACTTTGATGAAATGAAGCGTTGGTATAAAAGCTTGATTGTTATAAAAAAACAAATAAACAAGAACAACAGACATTGGGAATGTGTTAATAAGATAAAGAACGAATTGAAAGTCTGCTATTAAATTTACTTTGGATGTGAGACCTATGCATTCTTTGTTACTTCCGTCTTTTTTCTTTTTGCTCTAATTCTTCAGTAGTAAAAGTAGATAGTTTATTAATACTTTGATATTAAAGCATTCCTTTTCTTTTGGTTTTTACAAATAATAATGATATTTGAGGATTTTATCTTATTGAGTTTTGATCGAGTGTTACACTTGTTCACAGCATAAAAAGGTAGAATACAATAATGACGAATGGTTGCACGAGCGTGATGCCCATCAAAATGCAAAAGATAAGCTGACCAAGGCTGCTGATTTTACACGCCAGATTATGCTGTTCTAAGACTTTGTGGGTCTGGGTCTAATTGAGACTACTAGATACAGTAAAGTGAATAAATGATCTCTTGGGATGAATAAGACCAAAGACATAAATATGATCTGTGGTTTATACTTATAAAAATAAACTGGTCTTTATTATTCCAACGTTATTTTGGACATGAAACGAATTGAGACACAAATCACACAGTCATTCATTTTACTCTTTTTAGCCCAAGATACCATATACTAAATAGTGTACACAATGCACAATATAAACATATTTGTTGGGTAATATGAGATAGCTGAGACCATATTGTAAGTACGCTTGGTTTTCCTCAAAGTTAATAACTGTCTTATTTAAATAAAGAGTACCTATATTCTGGAAGGTTTTCGATCCATTATTGAATGCATAGAATAAAATATATCAGTATTTTGGGTAAATGTGTATAACTAGATAATTGTATTAGGCACATAGCTAGCTATCATATTTTTGATCCCCAAGTTCTGTTACTGTCATAACAAAGACAGTATTGGCACAAATAAACAGTAACCGATTTATGTATGCCTATGGAATGCTGGTCATCAGCTTATGGGCCATTAAACACACCCTTTATTTTCATATAAATTATCCGGGGATATTTTCGGAATCTTCTAATATAAATTATACATAGTTGTGCTTAAACTAGTAGCCGAATATATATATATTATGAACAGTGTACTTTGCTTACATAGAATTTACTTGATATTCTTTTGTTTTTTATTTTATTTTAATTATTTTTCTCTTCACAGAGTCATTTATTGCTTCTTATTGAATAGAATATTAGCATAGACTCTTAATAGATGATTTATCTCACATATCTTCTGTAAGGCCAAAATTAATATTTGGAATCAGAAACCCAACCTTCATATGCTTCATATAACATTTAGCCATCTAGCCTTGTCTTGTAACTGAAGCTGGTTATGCTAATGAAAAGGAAAGTAAACACGTGACCGTGGAAACATTTCAAACTCTGTCAATTTTACCCCTCAATCAATCACTCTTTAATTTTGTGGGGTGGACCAAGCGCCACCTATAAAAAGAATATTTTTTAATGAGAGATAACCCTTGCTCTTTTCACTCCATTGCCTTTTTTTTTTCTTTCTTTCAAGAATGTTTACTAGCAACAAAACTCAGACCAGCATTAATTCCCAAAAGACTACCCTTTGCTTCTCCATTGCCGATAAAGTGGGTGCCTTGGAGGATTGCCTGTCAGCTATCAAGGCTACCAACGTCTCGCTCACCCGTATCGAGTCGTGAGTAAATTAGATGATCACTTATTATAATGTCATTTTTAAACCATTTGTATTTAGCCGCCCAAGCCAGACCAAGGATTGGGACTATGACTTCTTTATTGATCTTGATGGTGTCAATGCTATCAAGGTAAAGGAAGTTGTCGAGAAGCTGCGTGCACACACAAAGGATGTGCGTGTAATTGGAGCCGAGTCCACTAATGGTAAGTTATAATTAATTGTAACAATCAAATAAACAGACATAATAATATTAATAACAACAACAACAATATTCCTTGTGTCATTGCTTATCTCGTTCTCTTCGAATAGGAAACGTCCCTTGGTTCCCACGCAAACTGTCAGATTTGGATTCTTTTGCCGACAAAGTGATGGAAATGGGAGAGGAACTCAGTGAGTACAAAGATATCCGCCATTATTTTTCCCACGCTCCCTTTCCTTTCATCCTTCCACTCCCAAGGACTTTTTTCTTTTCTTTATAATTTCTAAATAATCAAAATACAAAAATAGGCTCTGACCACCCGGGAGCAAAAGACCCAGTCTATCGTGCTCGTAGAGCCGAGATTACAAAGATTGCCAAGACTTATCGCACCGGGATGGCCGTTCCTGAAATCAAATACACTGCAGAGGAGAATGAGACCTGGGGAAAGGTTTACAAGCATTTGACGGCCATGTACCCCACCCACGCCTGTCGTGAACATCTTTATGTCTTCCCTCTTTTGATTCAGAACTGTGGCTACGGTCCAGACAAAATTCCTCAGATTGAACAGATATCTCGTTTCCTCAAAGACTGCACTGGCTTTACAATTCGACCTGTCATGGGTCTACTTTCCAGCCGGGACTTTTTAAACTCGTTTGCTTTTCGTGTATTCTACTCTACCCAGTACATTCGCCATTCATCAAAGCCACTGTACACTCCTGAGCCAGACTGTTGTCACGAATTACTTGGACATGTCCCATTGGTAAGACCCTCTCCCCATATACATACTTTAAATAAAACTCACTCACTCACAACAATCCTGCATAATATATATTTAGTTTGCAGACCCTGACTTTGCAGACTTTTCTCAAGAGATCGGTCTAGCTTCCCTTGGTGCATCTGATGAAGATATTTCACGACTCGCTACAATCTTTTGGTTCACAGTAGAGTTTGGTCTTTGCCGACAAGACGGAGAGATTCGTGCATTTGGTGCTGGTTTACTGAGTTCATTTGGAGAATTGGAATACTGTCTGTCAGGAAAACCAGAAATTCGGCCATTTGATCCTACAAAGACAGCAGTACAATCTTATCCCATCACAGAATTCCAGCCTGTAAGTACACTAATAGGCATAATGACAACAATTCGTTCATTCGTTTATTCATGTGATTCGAAATCATAGGTATATTATGTAGCAGAATCATTTAAAGATGCACAAGAAAAGGTTCGAGAATTTGCAGCCAACATGAAGCGGCCGTTTTCAGTTCGATACAATGCATTGACTCAATCAATTGAAGTACTGGACTCAAAGGTAAATAACAATAACAATAACAATAACAATAACAATAATAATATATTAAAATAAACCTTTTCTCTATAGGAAAAGGTGGTTCGATTTGCAAGGAATATTCGGGACGATATGAAGACTCTGACTACAGTACTTGATTCAATGATGTGATATAATTAATGGTAGTGATCGTATACTTTGTTGTATAAATTCAACTTTGAAAACATCAACAATAAAGGGAATATATGATTTATCTCAGTCTTTGTGGCATGTGTATGAGTAATGCAAGTCTATGTTTTTTTTTTGGCTTTTTTGAATTGATACAAAATTTCCTTTTTTGAAGAAAAAAAAGCTGATTAATAATCTACAATAAGAAAAGAGAGATATATATATAGGTAGATAGGTAAATAGGTAGGTAGGTAAGTAGGTAAGTACAGCCAACCGTATCACAGATTATATTCTAATTTGAAGGTCGAGTTGAATGAGGTGGTGGTGGCGGTGTATGCGGTGATGATGTATGCGGTGGCTGATGCGGTGGCGCAGGATATGGAGAAGAATTTGCAACAAAAGGTGGTGGCGGTGGTGATGATGGGTCATAATGAGGGGGAGCATATGATGGATGTGCTCCATTGTACGCTGCTGGGTTCACCCAATTGTTTACAGGAGCTAATGGATATCCATTTGGTGGAGGGCCGTAATAATTTGGAGCTTGAGAATGTGGAGAAAATGCTGTCTGGGTGGCTTCCATGGCAGACTTGTTGTAGTTTCGGGTTCGTCGTCTACGGCAGCCTACACAAAGAACGCGGGATATACAAGAAAGTAGCAGCAAGCCAATAACAATGCCTACTGGAATCGCAATGTTCTTATGGTCCCGCAACCAAGAAAGGGCCTTGTCGCTAGTGCTTCCAAAATCACAGGAGCCGCTCTTGCAGTACCCACCAGAGCCACAGCTGGTGCCATCCAAAAATTGACCATTGAATACAAGGCAGCCCAATCCATCAGGATTATTACAATACAATTGACATTCTGAGCTGGCTGAGGAGCAAGATGAAGTGACATTCAACGAAGAACCTCGCGATTTACATTGTGTGTCTCGGGAGGTACACTGGCCAGAAGCACATTGGAGGCCATTACCACACGATGCTCCATTTGGAGAATATAAATCAGTGGGACAAGAGGACGAGTTTCCGGTACAATACTCTTCGATATCACACTCAGTACTTGCTGGTCTGCAAGAATAGGTACTTGGGCGTAGCTGGCATTTATTGCAGCAGAGGTCATTATAATCACTAAAGTCATTATTAGTATATGTGGTGGAATCGATGGAAAATAGTCCTCGACGACTTGAAGAAGAAAAAGAAGAAAGAAAACCGTTTCCAAAAATCAATAATAATAAATAAATAAAAAGCCTTACTCGCAAACAGCTCCGGTTTTGAATGTACATGTTTTCGCATTGCAACAATCAGTATCAGTTCCACCCGAGTCACACTCCTCGCCGTCTTCTATTAATCCGTTTCCACACATCTGCAGAGTTTGTGTGGTTTTGCTATTTGGTTCTAGATTTGCATATGAATGTTTTAGAAATGTTCTATACATCCACAACCCACACACAAATGTTACCTTCCAGACAGGTTCCTAAGGAAGGGAATGCGTCACATATGGTAGTAATTGAACACGGGCTGAATGCATTGGAAGATACATTGCTTGTCGGGTTCATAATGTATGTTCCACCTGCACTGCATTGGGTGTCACTAAGTGGGCAGCATGAACATGAAGACCCACTGCATGGACAGGTATCGGATGTACAGTCGTGAATTGCACCTAATAGTAGAATGATAGCAATGATAGTAGCAATGTGTGGGAGGTTTGTTAAAAATACGCACAATATCCCGATGAACATATAGATATTTACCAAATCCATGACCAATTTCATGAGCCACAACCTTCCATTCGTCCCTAACTGAATAACAGGGTAAGTGTCACGAGTTTAATCAGATTAAAATCTTAAAAACCTACTAATGGAAGATACACCGGTGCCGGAAACGTATTGTCGTACACCACTTTGTGTCTGTGAATTTGCCTCTGTGTTGCAGAGCTGAGAGAGCCAAGCTACACCAACTTCAACACCAGTACTATTTTCAATATTATTAGACTTTGCCTTTCTATATATATATAAGTTACTTACGCGCATTGTGTCATGAGATGCCAGAGACCAGCACCATCTTCACTCATTGTACCTCTCCATCGACTAAAGTCACTTAGACGATTGCTGATAGTATAAGAATCCGAACAGCCTGTGTTCCATGCTGTGTCTGTTGATGGGGTAGTTGGACAGACTTCGCTCATGACTGTGATGTTTATTATTCCTAGGGCAATATTGAAGCTACTTTCATAGATTGCAGAGGCGCTATTCCAGTCATTGATAATCTGGGTGCGAGCTTTTTCAGTTGATTCGTAATACTTGGTATAACTACAATCGGCAGCTAATTGTATAAATATTAATCAGATGGACATAATTCAGACGCATATTCGGTAATATAGGGCCGACGGGTAACTATGGTATGATTCTTACCTACACCCATGTAATTGACTAGTGTTGCCAATGATAATGACCATGGTAATTATAAATAATGATAATGATAAATATTAATAAATGAAGGCGAGATATTATGTGTAGAGTAAAAAAAAAGAAATAAAAAAAAGAGGGGAATTCATTCGTGGAGGCTGGTTTTCCCGTTAATTTTTTTTTTGGAGTATTAAACAAACACGCACCTTTCTTTGTGGTAGGGCATCCCGTGGCTGCTCTCTTGGCAATAGAAGGAGGGTTGTATGACTCAAATGATAAGCCAAAGGGATCATTCAAACTATTCAGAAAGTTCTTGTTTCTTGGTGTAATTGTGTGCGTATCGAGCAATTGATTTCTTTTGGATTGCTGGTTTAGATATTGGTTGTGGTCTAGATGATCAAATCCGCAAGAAGACTTGGCAAGTGAACGCCGCTGTGGTACAGACACCGTATCAGAGTCCCGATAGACAACCATGTGTACATTCTCCTCACTTGACAACTCCGCATCATCCAAACGCTTGGCAAGCTTGTAGTTTGAAGTGGCCTTGATATGATACAAGTCTCCATAGGCACGAAAGCTACCTTCGACTATTGGATAATCGAGCGAGTGCCTGAATAAATAAACACATAAAGCATAATAAGAATCACTATCATATATATATTTTATATACATTTTATATAATTTAATTTAATTCAATTCAATTTTACTTTATATCGTGTCGAACAATTACGCGAGCCCAACCAAGAACGCCTACATCATACTGAGCAGTAAAATCATCACGTTTGATACCTGCTTGGTCTGCCTTCCAGCGATTGTCAGAGTAATAGGTCTCAATGGCATAGCCACGGTATACGCGAAATGATTCTGGTATTAATGGTTCAGTAACACCATGCTCATTAACTGTCACGGCATTGGGGTGAAAGAGATCTGTATTGGGTTCGAGATGGAGGTGGAATGTCTGATTGTATGCCTCGATCGTAAGGCGTAATGTATCGTCATGCTCGACTGATCGTGCGGTTGGCTCATGTGCCTGATTTCGTGTAAGTTGACGTTTTTGATAAAAATGGTCCAATCTTGGTGCAATGTCAAGTTTGATGTTCTGAAGGGGTTCGACTCTGGTAAGCCTCTTATTGTCTATACTGTGGCCTTTTGCATTAACCAAAAATAAATAAATAAATAAATAAATAAATGTAAATAAAAAATTAAGGGGGTGAGGGGGAGAAAAGAAAATTGTTATGCATGTGGCTCGAATATATTATTATTATTATTATTATTTGTTATGAATTGTATGTATTTGTAAAATAAAATAAAATAAAGTAAATTAAAAGGTAAAATATTCTATAGAATTACCTAAAGTTAATTGTACTACGACTACAGAGCACAATAAGCGCAACCAGAATCGTGTGTGGTGTGGCATCTACAGAATTACTGACTGAAAATCTTGGTTTCTTGTCAATAGTTGTGAGCTGAAAGTAAAGGGAAGAGTATGGATATAAGTGTTGATGAAAGTAAAGAGATGAGCTAAAATACCAAGAGCCTTTATTGTCCATTTCTATCTTTCTTATATCACTGTAGGAAATGACAAAATTTAGAATACCGACCCGGTCAAAAACGTCGACCATCAGCCAGGCACTGTAAAAAAAAAACTTACAACTCGTGGTGAAATCCTTACAACTTCTTTAATCTCCTACAGGTTTTACTATGTTTAGGGCGCTTTAATCCTAATTAGGCCCATTGATACTTATGTTTCTGTAAAAGCTTGGCCACAGAAGACTCAAAAGTATATTAAGTCAAAATCTTCTAAACTTTATTATTGGTCTGGTAAAACTATTGAATTTCAACTGTAATTTCAGCAGATTTTTCTATTTTTCAATCGAGCTTTTTTTTTTTTTTTTTAATGAATTTGAGTATCTAAAACTTCCTAATAGGGATATCGCTCCCCAGATGTACATGAAAACCATTGTAACACTAATGGTTAAATATTATATTTCTATTGGTCAAAAGAAAGATGTAAGAACGGTGTTTTAAATCCTAGCATTTGCTTACAGTGATGGCAAACAGTAAATATAAAGAAGATATACTTCCTTGATAATTTACTGTACATGAGTAATAATAGTAATGTTAAAAATAATTATGGTTTCTATCTCTTTAAATAAAAAACAATGAAACAAAATGGTATTGCTGAGCAAAGAAGATAACAAGGCATCTTTTGGTGTGAAATGTATTTTAAACGTACGCTAATATTGTGTATGAAAAGCCTGCTGCGTGGAATATTCTAATTCTCAGACGACTATTGCTTCACAGCTGTAGGATATAATAATGTTATTCCGTTACCAAAAATAAATAAATAGTACGCTCTTTCTTGTGGTTGTTTATCTTTCTATTTCTATACTATGAACGAATTTTTCCTTTTATTTCCTCAAAAAACAAAGAATCTAAAACAAGAGGTATTTTCAGACTAAAGTATCTGGTATTACCATGACGTAAAGAACAAAAAAAAAAAGAAGAGGAGGAAGAGAAAAGAAAAAGAAAGGAAAGCTTATATAATAGATCGCAAGTGGTCAAACAGTATGGAAAATACACTTTCCCTAATAGCAACTACAGAAAGAAGCACCTGAAAATGTGCTACATAAATAAAGAAATAAATAAATAAATAAAAACAAGTACTCAGCTTTGTATTATATGTAATTTATATTCTACTTTAACTGTATCAAAAGCTGGGCGAGATTTACCCGGTAAATAAATAAAGATAGAGTGAATTTCTCCTTTGACGCCTCGGATAACTCGATAGATAATCGTGTTTTGGTGATACAATGTCTTGGCTAACGGTGTGTTCGATCGTAAGTAGCTTTGTTGGTTTAGGCTACAACTAAAGAAGTCTGAGAAAGACTGATAAAATAAAATAAAAAAAAATAAGATAGAAGGCTGGAAACAATGAGGGACCGTGCGTGAATGACCTATAGTCATCGAGTATGTTCTTTGTAGTCCCCGATGATACCAGCTTGACTCCGAAAATATGAGAACTCGCCTTGGCATTCCATTATAAGCATTTATTCGTTGGCGCGGTGTTTTCGCAAGCACCACACACTAATGAGTCTTCAGTCTTCAGTCTTAATTCGTTTTTTTTTTTGGGAATTCCATTTTTCAATAACCTCAGTGCTTAATACACGATAATGAATACAGTCATTGTAGAAAGAAAAAATCAATGATTTTGAGTTTGATGTCGTTCCAAACAAAAATTCTTGTTTGACAATGATGTCAGTCGATCCAAAAATAAGGTCGTGTTCGGATTGGATGAACCTTGTCTGATTGATGTTAGTTTGGGAGTTCCAAAGCGTATCAAAAAGAGAAAAGCTTGAGAGTGAGACGAATGTTGACAGCACAGGAACAGTGACAGGGCATTATAGGAGCTTTTTAAAGGCTACTCTTGATAAAATGGATAGCTTCCTTATCCATAGCTCAACTGATATAGGTAAATATATTCACTTACGAGGATATCGATACGTTTATCTTTCTCTGTATTCTCCAGAATTAGATCCAATTGAACAATTCTGATCGGTTATCAAGATTAAATTGAAGCGAAATAAGTTCCTTGAAAAAGAGACGCTGATGGCTAGAGTGAATGAGGAATGTAATAGCTTATATTTAAGTAACCTTAAAGTTTTTTTTTTCAATCTGTGAAATGCTTTGGTAAGCCCATCAACAAGGAGAGCTTATAAGATGACCAAAAAAAACATTTGGGGTGGACAGACTAAAGGCTCAAAAAAAAGAACAAAAAAAGGAGAAAAAACTGAAGTTATATTATCGGGCGAGAGTTTTAATTAATTTTGCACTTTTTTTGCCCTTTTTTTGAACTTTTAGTCTGTCCACACCAAGTGTTTAATGAGGTAAAAAAGCAACTTTATTAAGCTTCACTAAGCTTCTTAATGGTTTATACCGTCCTCTGTAATTGCCTTTGCTTTATGTTACTCCGTTTTCTACTTTAATTTCATTATTTGTTTTACTTCATACTCCAAGTAATGGTGCCCAGCGAACGTCAAACCTATCGTCTCAGATGCATTTCTTTCTGTCATTGAAATTTAAACTATTTCAGTACGTGTACAAGCTATAAGCCTTTTACAGGGTGTTATTGTTGATGGGTATTATTGAACGATGTGCTTCATTCCTAGGTGGGGTAAAATATGTGAATAAGCAAGGAGCAGGCTTTCTTTCCGGTGAGGGGCAAACATTACGGCCTTTACGTTCACTGCGCTTCAATGATTTTTCTATCTTGTATCCGATTCTCTCAACATCTTCTTTAAACTTGAACATCATTTCAAGATCGTCTTTTAGATCTTCAAGCTCGCTGATACAGGTAGGAAAGTAGAGAATGAACTGATGAACATTTACATAAATCATGCGTTCATCATCATACATAAGTGATGAGAAGGTGGCAGTCAATCCACATATCTTAATTGCCCAAGTGTACACATATCCTTGGCTCTTCAAGATGTGGTGTATAGCTTCTGTGCTTATCATGGCTTCTCGCACCAGCTTCGATTCGTCATGTCGTTCTTTGGCTTCATTGGCAGATGACACTGACACTTCAGCACTTGCTAAATCAATTTCTAATTCTTTATAGTCGAATACCAGTCTGAAGTCAATTTTAAATCCAATTATGTTCTTGTCAGTTCCATATTGCTCGGCTTTCTTTTTTGTCGATTCTGGTGGTACTGACTCTCCCGATTTTATTCTTATATTATTGTTTTTGATATTAAAAAGTCTTGTAAAGAGAGGGATCCAAATTTGTGATTCATAATCCTTTTCAGTTACTTTAGTCGCGTCTTTTGGATTTATAATAAACTGCTTGCTGTCCAACGTGTCCAGAAAAAAGTCGATTATTTGCAGCTGTTTAAAGGTATGCTCATCGATATCTGATTGGATTGATATATAATTAAAGGCTTGACGAGCTTTGAAATACGAGTGATTCTTTGAAAGCGTTCCATAAACGGAATCCCACGTTTTATATAATACATCCAGATTGGAATGAGGTTTTACGTCTAAAAACATCTTGGTGAATTGACTGTAATGCTTCGTTATAAAGTCCCATTTATCAGTATTAAATAGTTCTTTCTGGCCATGGTATGAGTCATCCGCAGTATCCAAAATTCCAGAGAGACCAGCACACATGCGTTTCCTTTCACAAGGACTCAAATCATCATTTTGTTTGTATCTATTATGGAGCTCCTCAGCATCTTCATAAATAGTTTTCTGTATGAAAGTCGCTTTATCTTTCGTCTTTGGAGAAATGCTACTAGATCCGCTGTCTATATCACTTGTATCTTCTTCAGCTGCCGTTGAAGAATGATCAATTTCGGCATCGAGCTCTTTGCAGAGGCTTTGCGTTTGTTTGATTTTGATTCTTTTTCTAAGCCTTTCTTCTTCCTTTTCTAACTTCTTTTCTAATGCAAGTTCTGCAAAGGTATCGTTATAGTTATCTCTGGTGGTTTTCAAGTCCATGTACTTCACAAGACGTTTAGAAAAGCGGATCAAATCAGGCTGTTGGACAAAGCGATCACTGATAGTGCTGAACGTAGCTTTAAATTTATCATAAGTTTTATCGTTGCAGTTAGAGTCTAGGGCACTTTTAACTAGATCCGAAGCTGAGGTCCATTTTGATACAGTTATACCAACAATTGCTTTGTATAGCTTGAGATGCTTGGCTTCTGTCGCACTTATTTTAAAGTTGGGGTTAACTCCGTGAGGTATTGGGGGAAGCATAATGATTGAAGTTGAAAAAATGGATAGAGGTTGAGAAAAAGAAAAGTTAAAGAAAAGTTGAAAAAGTGACATTAAAAGAAACACCAGAAAAAAAAAATCGAAATTATCACGTGCGATAGACTTGCACTACCAGCCGAAAACAATTTCTTTTTTTTTCAATTTATTATTTAGTTCAATACACTACAAACCACATTGTAACATCTAACAAGGGCAATATTATACACGTCTTATATATAGTTGATTAAAATTACTGACAAAAAAATAATACATACGGTATTATGCTGTAGTGTTATGTAATATGGTATGACTATTGATCCTTTACTCTGTGTCATGACCATTCCAGGGATTTCCTCATAACTTTACAGTACAAGCCAATATTCCTTCATATAATTTATTTAGAAAGGGGAGTTGAGCTATGGAGTTATTCATACTACTTAATTTGTTGAGTCTGTTTCACTTAGTTTTATGCATTTTGGATTTATATAATAGAGAGCTTTTTTTAAATTTGCATTCAATCTTTACATTCTTTTACACGAAACAATTTTGAATTCTTCTTTTTTTTTTTAGTAGTCGTTATGTCATTTGAAAAAGCAAAAATATGCTGTGGTTGTGCCTGAAGCAGTCCAATGTGGTGTTTATACGGATCCCTAGATTTTATGTATCAAAGAAAAATCGCGTTCTAACAAAGTAAAAAAAAAAAGAAAATTTTTGTTAATTACCATTATGTCCAAATCTAATGTTGTGGTAAAGTAATGAATAGATAAGACTACCTTCTTTCTGAACTCTGTTATTGCAGCCAAAATACTTCAAAATCCGGATTATATTCAGAGAGCCACCACTCCATACCGTACAAGATTGATGCAATATCGCTCAAGTACTTAGAATATAACCACTCGGTATAACCGTGACCCCACATTGTCCTATAGCTTAGACATCAAACGCAAATGCGAAAAGATGTTGTGGTTGCGCCTGAAGCAGTCCAATGTGGTGTTTATACGGATCCCTAGATTTTATGTATCAAAGAAAAATCGCGTTCTAACAAAGTAAGAAAAAAAAGAAAATTTTTGTTAATTACCATTATGTCCAAATCTAATGTTGTGGTAAAGTAATGAATAGATAAAACTACCTTCTTTCTGAACTCTGTTATTGCAGCCAAAATACTTCAAAATCCGGATTATATTCAGAGAGCCACCACTCCATACCGTACAAGATTGATGCAATATCGCTCAAGTACTTAGAATATAACCACTCGGTATAACCGTGACCCCACATTGTCCTATAGCTTAGACATCAAACGCAAATGCGAAAAGATGTTGTGGTTGCGCCTGAAGCAGTCCAATGTGGTGTTTATACGGATCCCTAGATTTTATGTATCAAAGAAAAATCGCGTTCTAACAAAGTAAGAAAAAAAAGAAAATTTTTGTTAATTACCATTATGTCCAAATCTAATGTTGTGGTAAAGTAATGAATAGATAAAACTACCTTCTTTCTGAACTCTGTTATTGCAGCCAAAATACTTCAAAATCCGGATTATATTCAGAGAGCCACCACTCCATACCGTACAAGATTGATGCAATATCGCTCAAGTACTTAGAATATAACCACTCGGTATAACCGTGACCCCACATTGTCCTATAGCTTAGACATCAAACGCAAATGCGAAAAGATGTTGTGGTTGCGCCTGAAGCAGTCCAATGTGGTGTTTATACGGATCCCTAGATTTTATGCATCAAAGAAAAATCGCGTGCTGACAAAGTAAAAAGTAGAACACCTCGCAAGGTACCACTATAGTTAGATTTAATGTTGTGATGAAGTAGTGAAGTAATTAGTAGTTGAAATGTGCAAATCCCACATTATATTCAGTAGCCTACCATTCTATACCGCATAAAATTCTCCGTAAACAGTATATACGTCATCAGTTACTTTAGAGTATTGCATTCTCCAGCCTCCTTAATAGGACCTTGAATTTTTTTGCTTTTGTATGGAGCGACTGATAGGCTTATTCTCTATATCTTTAAAAAGTTGGAATATCAACCCATAACTTAGTCTCTGCCTTTAAGTAATGTAGTTGTAAAATGATACGAATATTTGCAGAGAATTTAAAGTCTACTATTCATTCATTAAACTGCTCAACTCATTTTTACACATTAATTGTGATATATAGTAGCTAGACTTTTCATAGCGAAGAGTTATATAAGGCTTGAGGGGAGGTGGAGAATTCTACTTCCAAAAAGTATGCTAATTATTTATTGATTTATTCTTTATATAGGTTTATAAATTCATCACAAAACAGATGTGTGTGTGTCCGAGTGAATTTATGTGTGCCTGGGTAGATTTGCGTACCTGGGTAGATTTATCTGTGCGTGGGTGGATTTATGTGTGTGTGTAGGTAGATTTTGTGCGCCAGACGTGACACAGCGGAGGTACAAATATTAAGAGAGGCAAATTGAATAGTAAGAAAAAGAAAGTCTTTATCGATTGATATATATAAACATATTATTCTACCTCTTTAATAAATAGCACTCTCACAGTATATACTCTTTCTAATGTTGAGATACTATACTAAAGCCAGTTCCAAACATTTCGAATATTATTTTAACTTTCTTTAATAAATAACACTCTCACAGTATCTATTTTTTCTAATATTGAGATACTAACCCAAAATCAATCACAAACACCTCAATTGCATTGCAGTATAATATTTAAATAAAATTATGATTGGAATAAGAGGGTCAATTACTTGTTATAAAGTAATAATAAAAAATCAAAGACTAATTGAAAACTCGTAAAAAAGCAAAAATAAAATAAAATAAAAAAATAAAATAATTAATTTGAATTTCAAATGTCAAGTATTTCTGGCAGACTGCAGGGCATTTTTGGAACTCAAACTGTCTAAGCTGTTTTTAGTAATTTAAAAACACCTAGGAGCGTGGCATTTTTGTGAGGCTAGCAGTTTTCGTACACAAAAAAAAATGCGACGGTGTTTCAATATTTTGTTTCTCCTAATGTCGTATAATAAAAAAAGCGAAATTTTACCACTTCGGATATAGAATCGTACTTTAGAAAAAAATGTACTAAACTGTCTATTTTTTATGTGCTACAAGTAAAGTAGCAAAAAAAGGTCGGCAAGTAAAAATTAAATAATGGGATTTCACATATAATATTGCACTTTGATGTGTGAGTGTCTTTTTTTTTTTTAATTAAATAAAAAAACTATATCAATTTAATTTTTTTGTCTTTTATATAATTTAAAGAGCTGGTATTTATTGATAAAGTCTTGACTTTGATTATTACAGTGAGAAATTAAACTATTTGTTTGGAGGGTTATGTGGGATTATATGATGTTTTTTTTTGGGTTTTTCTATTTTGTTTTTACGTCTAGTGGACAGGTGGCTGGGATATAGTCAATATTTTTGACAAAGGGTGAGACTAGATAGCATTGGAAATTATTATTCTATAGGATGAGACGGACCAAAATTTCCGGGTTAAGCTATGCAATATGTGGTATACACACCACAATTGAGTGAAGAACAGACCCCACAACCAAACACTGGTTCCTTCTTGCTAATGAACCTGGCAAGTTAACAATCTCCGGAACTGTTACACACCAGGCACACGTACACTACACACTCATACAGTGTAAACCAACCATTACACAACAGGGATTTGAATAGTAGCAGATATAAACAATATTATTTGGTCTCTTTAATAAATAACACTCTCACAGTATCTACTTTTCCCATTATTGAGATACTAACCCATAAACAATCCCGAATACCTCACAATAGATGTCATGGGAGAGATCCGAGTGTAAAAGCCTCGAATCCAAGCTAGAAACACAGTATGCACTAGAAAAACCACGAAAAAGATTGCTTTTCCCATGAGTCGAATTGGAGACTTTCCGTCTGGCGGACGGAATGGCTGAATAGTACATAGCCCCACTACGGGCCTTCTTTTTTTTTTTTTTTTAAAAAAAAAAAAAGAACAAAATCTCTGTCTAAATCAATTTTATATTATGTGCCCAAGGACTCTAATAATAATAATGATAGTATAATACACTTAGGACTAGATATAGTGATCTATGGTAGGCTTATTGTTTATTGTTCATGTCATTAGTATCACTATATAAAGCTTTGGCTGTGATGCTAATAATATCAATAATAAAGAGATTGATTTGATTACTTTAGCAAAGTAGCTTACAGCTAAACAAGCATCTTTTTTTGATCGCATTGTTTAATATAACAAAGAGACGATAGATAATTTCTAGCTCTTCTCTCCATCTTTTTTTTTTACACTGAAGAAGAAAGAAAAGAGATTTTCTCCCTATTAGGATCAAAGTTTTGCCATGATAATCTATAAAGTCCCTCTCCTTTCCCTACTCCAAGAATAGTCCACAGAGACTAAAATAAAATAAATAAAATAATATTATTTTCAGTGTGATGAGTTTCATTACCCACTTTTATTTTATTTTATTTCTATATATATATATATATATATATGTATTCAATAATAGTAATGTAATAAAGAAAAGAAGAAAAAGAAATAGATCATTAATACACAGTACAGAGATCTTCTCACAAGGTTGTGAAGATCTCTAAAATGTTAAAGTGTGTGACCAGCACTGGTAAGCGGCTATAATGATTTACAGATGATTATTAGTAATTAATGTACTGCAGGAATATTGTTAGTTTAAAAGCTAATGTACTAGCTTGAATTTCTGACACTTGAGAAGATATATATATATATATATAAATAGTTGAGTGAAGTAAAGACCAAGTAACTTCTTAGCGCTTAGGTCAAGATCTTTGATGATCTGAAAAGTAAGAAAAAAAGGGTTGAATAATTTGGTAATATATGTATAGGAGTATTGATATAATTACTATCAATTTGCCTTTTGGTAATAATGTATTTGTGTGTACTATACAGGTGTATGTGTGTGTGTGTAGGAGTTGATCAGCAATTGAGAAATAAACATTTCTTGTGCACAAAAGGTGTTGGACAAGTGAGGACCATTATTTGCATTGTACACAAATGCATTTATTGTAGAATCTTATTTATCCCAGCTCTGCTTTGAATACATATATATATATATTTGAAATTGACTGCTGGTACTTGTACCTCAGATCGTGCTTTCTTGAGATGAGTGACTGATCAATAGATCTATATAGCTATTCAGCAGACAAAAAAGAGGTACACGATATGCAACTAGACTACCAATTATTATTATTTTTCTTTTGATTAATAATAGTAATAATAATTTTGGTTTATAAACTTTATAGAAATAAAGAATAATAATATTAATATTAAAAGGAATTTTTGCGCAGCAAAAGGAATGATGAGAACGTTAATGTAGATTATCAAAGTTTAGATAGGTGAATGTCTAGATGAGGATGTGATTCTGACAAAAGATCTTCCACATAACAATAGTATATTACTACTATTAATACAAAAAGAGCTCCTAACTCTTGTACCATACAATATACATATACATATACACAGGCCATCATCTCAAAATGGAAATCATTCTGCAGTACATCAGAACAGTTGTGGATCTTCATGCATACAAAGCTTCAAATAATAATTGATAATTGATCATCTAGAAATAACTTGCCAAGTGAGCCTCATTGTCCGTTCAAAGCTACTTCAAGCATGATTCAAAAAAAAAACAAATCCAAGCAACATATCCAATAACAACAATTACAACATACAAAATATACTTTATATACCAAAAGTAACACACACACACACACATATATATATATATACGCACGTACGCACGTACGCACATTCAAAAGAGAAAGAGAGAGAGAAAAGAACATGCACAAGGTCATTTTTTTTCTTTACAAAATGCGGCCACATTTGAGCACACCGCAGAATCGAGGCCTTCTTTTAGCCATGTCTCGATTTTATTTTAAATGATCCAAGATAATAATAATAATAATAATAATTTTCCTTTGAGAGTAATATATGCTTACTGCATGCCAAATGACACAATAGTTTATCGACATTCGACTAGGTCATCAAGAGACTCTAGAACCATCGATCCAATTATTACACAAATGAAGGGGGTGGTTGGAGAGGGGTAGAGAAGGGATGAGATGAGAGTAAGAGTAAGAGTGAGAGGAGGAGTAGGAGGAGAAATAAGGATAAGGAAATGCGGAGAAGACAGCGAGAGAGCAATGAGTAAAAAGAGAGAGGGGGCTGTCCTTGCTGTTGTTATTTTATATATATATATAAAATAATAATAGGTTCATTAACAGCCGCAAAACTAGCCTTTTCAATTGGGATTTTGGAATTGAAAAATAATGTGGATACAATATACATTATATATATATATATAAATATTTCCTTCTTCCCTTATGGTGATGATCCTGTTATTTGTTGTTTTCTATTAACAACGCTAAGCAACACACCAATGATAACGGTATATTAATTATATAAGAAAATGAGAAGTATATTATAGTTCCAGATCTCTGGTGCGAATCTTTATTGATATAATGATCAATATATATATATATATATATATTCTCGGTAATAAAAGCAAAAATTAGCAAAAGAAAAATAAAGCTGGTTTAATAGCCAATAATGCCATTATTCCTATTAGTATTAATCTATTCATTACAACCTGTCACATATAAATATAAATATTATAAACTCGAAAATAATTATGATGCTTCTGAATAAGATACAATAAACACATGATTATGTACCTATGTATGTACGTATTCACAGATACATATATAAATAAAAAGTTTATTTCTTTGATAATCATATATATGTATACATATCGAGTGACTCTCTTTATCTGTAGATAGATAAGAGCAAGAACAATATAGTATAGTATAATATAATATTAAAGAAAAAACGGTTTCTAGGCTTAGATATTTAAAAGAGGCTGGTAAATGACTTGCACAAAGTCCGGATTTCAATTTCGATTGAGAACTTGAGGAAAATTTGAAAAGTTTAAACAAGTAATAGAGAAATAAATAATAAAATAAAAGAGTTAGAAGAAGTAAAAGTAGACGGACACCTGCAGCAGATACTACGGCATCTCATAGAGATAACAACAACAAAAATAATAATATTTTTTTTCCATGTCTTTATTTATCTATTACATATATAAATTTATACTTATATAATCTAGTTGATCAATCTATCTGTTCACAGCTTTGTTTAGTGGTGCTATGCACATGCTATGTAATGTTTGGAAAGACAAAGGCAGATTTCTTATAGCAATAAAAACATTTGCCCTTTTGAATGATTCTTTATGATTGGCTTTATAATTAGTATATTATAGGTAAAATGGCTCAATAAAAGCATTACCAAGTCCTGTCCAGTATTTGGTTGGTGGTGCACAAATGCAACGGTAAATATAAGAAGAAGAAAAATAAGAACCTTCAAGAAATGCAAGTGGCGTCTCTTACAGTTTAACCTAGTGCCAGAGTTGGATGTTCTTGTACCTTGAGTTGCACTATTCTTGTTATTTTTGTTGTTGTTTTTATTGCATCAACAAAGAAAGAAAGAAAAAAGTTGGTTTTCATTACAACCAATAGTGTCAATTTGAAAACTAACTGGGTTAGACATTGTGACTAATGCTTTACAGCAATATAAATTTTATTTAGTCTGTAAAGAGGCTTGGGGCAAGTCAGCAGTGAGTATCAAAAGAAGAAAGAAAACAATATGAAATACAGATAAATTTATATATATATTTTTTGATTTACTTGAAGCTTGTCAGAGACAGAATTCTATTGTAATTATGATTATATGATGATGTACCTGACAGGCTGATCATATATTATTACTATCATTACAGTCCCTTGTTTTTCTCCCTTGCCCTCTGTCATCCTCAGAGACTCTCTATTTTCTTTTCCTATCTCTCCTTTATTAGTCTCCTAATATTAACCCACTCTCCTATTAGACTTTAGTATATATCTATATTTAAGCTTCTTTTTTTTTGGTGTTTTATTTTTATAGGCATAAAAATGAAATGAAATTAAAAGTAATGAAATATACATGCAAATGTACAATTGTACAAAATCAATAGAGATTATTCATTTGCTAATGATAATATTATGCACTAGGTAAGCATCAACCTAGACAAACCTGTATCAATCAATCAATCAATCAATTAATGATTTAATGATTTAAATCCTTTAATAAAATCAAGAGAGAGAGGAAAAAAAGAAGGACCTCCTTGACATCTATTCTCCTCTATTTCTCCTATCTTCTCCTTGACTTTCTTTCTTTCTATGGCTATTTCTATGCCTTTCTTTTTATTTCTCTGGCAATCCTCCCACAAGGGTACATTTCCGGTTTAGAGTAGTAATATTAGTATTGATATTGGTATCTTTTCTAGGGTAATAAAGAATATAGAATATTAACAGTAGCTTGTTCTAGACAGCATGAATTATTATTATTATTTGTATTGATAAAATAAAATAAATTAAATAAATAATATTCCAAGAAATAGTATGCATATTACCAGACCTTTGATAAGATTGGCTATGACTTAACGAGAAATAGTGCTACCATAACGAATACTAAATTATCATCATCGTCATAAGAAAGATTTGGTGGTTGACTGATTGAGAGAGAGAGAGAGAGAGAGAAAGATAAAATTATTGGGCTAGAATGGTGTTCTAGTTTTCCTTGTTATTATTTTGTTTTTGTAATTAATGACAAAAAAGAAAAACCACTTTATACTTATATACATAGTGTGTGTGTTTGTATTATTCTAGACACACATTACATAAATTACACACACTATACATTTGTGTACTTGCGTGCTTGTTTTGATTGTGATTTATTTATTTTGATTCTTTGCTCCCGTGGCATCCAATATGTGCCTTATCGGTCAAATCATCGATACACGCACACACACAAAATAATAATAATAATTTATTTATTTTTTCTTTCACAATGAAATTGACCTTTTCATTATTAGTAATATCATTTGTCAAAAACGACAACAACAGTCAAACAAGATTTTCTTGTATCTTGTACTCTATAACCACAGTATTTCATTATACATTTGAGAATAAAAGAAAAGAAAAAAAAAGGACATTTTATTTACATAGCCTAGACAACAGATATATTCATATGTGTATGTGTATATTTCTCTTGTGTTTGTGTGTTTGTGTGTGTAATGTATATTTTGTGTGATGTAGTGTGATGTAGTGTAGTGTAGTGTAGTGTAGTGTAGTGTAGTGTAGTGTAGAGTAGAATAGAGTAGTGTGTACATTAGATGTACACACACAAGAAAGAAAGGGAAGCTTTACAAAAGCAAAATATAAAAATGAAAAAAAAAAAAATGCTGATTTGGAATATCAAGTGCTGTTTAAATATGAGTGAGTTGTGAATGTAAAGAAGAATGAAAATGAAAATTGAATGAAAATTGAATGAAAATGAACAAGAGTTCAAAAGTTTGATCTTTTTCTATATGTAAAAAAAAAAATAAGAAAGAAAGCATGAGAAAAGCTTAATAGCAAATAAAAGAATAGAAAAAAAACCCCCCGCTCTTCTAATCTCCTTGTTTTGATTATAAGCAAGAAGCATGAGCGCTGCCGGCAGAGCTCTCGGAAGATGAAGAGCTACGACGTAACGCAGCCATGTTTGACTTGTCCTTGCCGGTGTGGCGGTGGATCCGAATGTGCTGATTGAGATTGTCGGATCTTGAAAACTTCTTTGAGCATGCTGTGTAAGGGCACTCGAACGGCTTCTCCAGAGTGTGAATGGATCTTGCGTGACGCTTGAGATGCTCGGATCGCTTGAAGGCCTTGCCGCATCCGGAAAACTTGCATTGAAATGACTTGTCTTCATCAGACACCTGATCATGTGCAGACCGTCTTCCACGGGATCTGCTCTGAGTCTTGGGCTGGCGGGGTGTCGAGGTCTTTTGCTTGGTGAGTGACTTGTCCTTGGGGGTCTTCTTGGCCGCCTTGGTCTTGGTCATTGGAGGGGAGATTGAGAATGTTTCGGGACTAGCGGAAGGCTCTCCGAATGAGATATCAAAGTCTCTGTGGTTAACTGGGCCTGAAGGTGAGTTGTTGTACATGGTCGGAGAAGATGATGATGAAGAAAGCGAGGAAGAAGATGAAGACAGAGAAGCAGGTGATAATGATTCTGGTCCTGATACTGATACTGCTCCTGAGCATGATAATGAGAGTGATGGTGAGGATGGTGAGAGTGAGAGTGAGAGTCCGGATGCTGAAGATGCTGAAGATGCCGATAGCTGTGCTGAAGAGTTGATGGCAGCAGAGATATCCAAGGTGCCCATTGGGAATGCAGACAGGACATCAGTTGGGGTAGACATAAAGAGAGGGGGGATGTTATAGTTGATCTGTGGCTGGTGGTAGTTGAGGTGATAAGGATTTCCAAAGTTGGTCATTGGAGAGTTGAATCCTTGGGGGTATCCACATGATGAATTTGAATCTGATTGTGCTGAAAGAGTCTGGAAAGCAGATTGATTCTGATGCTTATTGAACAATTGCTCATCTATGGGATAAGATTGTTGATGCTGATGCTGATGATGGTTGTGATGGTTATGCTGTTGCTGTTGTTGTTGTTGTTGTTGTTGTTGTTGTTGTTGCTGGTTATGGTGAGCTGGCAAGAAAGCAGCAGTATCGACCATTTGTGACATGTATGGGTTGCAAGCATAGTCGATTAGAGAATGGACCTTTGAGTCATCAAGATCATTGATTAGCTCGACATAGGTGTTGACTGGAGAGGGTGTGTGCTGTTCAAAGTCTGAGAGACTTGCATCACTCTGGTTGGACAAGAGACCAGAGTAACTAAAACGACGTGTGTTCTGATAGTAAATGTCATCAATAGGAGTTTGGCGACCAAACATTCGTTCGGCAGCAAAGGGATATTCAAGGTGAGTGTATTCGTAGTTCATATTGTGATGTTTAAAGTAAGTAAGAGAGGTAGAAAGATAGAAGGGTTATAAAGATGAGGTATTTAGTATTTGAGTTAATTGAGTTGATTTGGATAGTGAATATTCTAAAAAAGAAGTGATTGATAAAGAAGGTAAAGAGAACAAAAGAAAAGCGAAGCAAAGCAAAAATGATTTGTATTTATAACAATTTTTTGAATTTTGAATTTTTTGAATTTAGATTTTGGATTTAGATTTTTATTTTTATTTAGATTTTTATTTTTATTTTATACATCTATAATTAAAATTTTATTATAATACCCTTGCTTCTTTGCTTCCTTGCTTCCTTGCTTCCTTGCTTCCTTGCTTCCTTGCTTCCTTGCTTCCTTGCTTCCTTGCTTCCTTGCTTCCTTGTTTCCTTGTTTCCTTGATTACTTGCTTGCTTGCTTGTTTTATTCTACCCTTTCTCCCTTTATTTATTTATTTATTTATTTATTTATTTATTTCTGGTTTAAATGTGCTATAATGCAAGGTGCTCCCGCAGAAAATAAGAATCAGAGGTGAATATTAGAATTAGAATTAGAATTAGAATTAGCATTAGAATTAGAATTAGAATGTTTTTATTTATTTACTTACTTATTTATTTATTTTGTGTGTGTAATTATTATTACTATTATTATAATAATTTATTTGGCAATAAAACAAACAAATCTTCTTGTTTAGTTATTTCTTTGTCTGGACTTTTAATAATATACATATATACATTTATACATTTATACATTTATACATTTATACATATAATCTTGTTCAATTCTAGTTACGCTTTCAATTTATGTCCAAAAGGTACATTTTACACATAATCATACATGTAAAGGTCTAAAGATATATAGACTTATAGATATACAGCTATAGAGCAAATAGGTAATGAATAATAAAAATAATAAAATAAAATTCATGGTCGGAAATAGGCCTTCCGTTTCAAAAACACAAAATAATAATATTATTATTATGATTTTATGTGATTTTTTTTTTGATTTTACTTTTAGGGCGGATGTTCATATTGTTTGTATCCGATCTCGATCAGCATTCCGCCCTATAAATACAGCACACTTCACACACACTACACGCACTACACAACTTTATGCCAAAAATAATAGACAAAGAAATTTTTGTGCGATTATTATTTATTTATTTTTGTGTGTGTTGTGTTGTTGTACGCTGTGCACTGTGCGCTATGCGTAGTGTGTGGTGTGCATGGACAAGAAAATATTTAATAAATAATAATAATAATATAAAGACTTTCTCATTGACCCTTGAACTCCTTTTTCTTACTACTACTACTACTACTACTACTACTATTACTATTCTTATTATTCAATATTATAAAATATATGTAAATTTTAATATTGAATAATAATAAAGAAAAAAAAGAGCATATATATAAAAAGGCCTACATTGATTGTCAATAAGGCATGGCAGGATGTGTGCTGTGCATGCAGATGTGGCATGGTTAGACACAACCTAATCCTTGTGACGTGTGTGGAACCCCTATAATGGGTTTTTGACGAGTTGCAATCTCGTAAAATAAAATAAAGATTTATATGATTTTTATATTATACAAAGCAGATCTTTCTATTATTATTACCATTATTGCTATAGCTATTATCGTTATTACTATAACCATCACTATAATTTCCTCTAGATCGCAAGGACCTACAATATCTATCGACATTAGACTTTCAGATTTGACATCCTTCACTTTCATTTTTATTTTCTCTCTCTCTTTGTTTCTTTTTTTGGTATATATTTTATACGCACACACACACAAACATTTGTATATGTACATATATATATATATCTTTATTTGGTCATTTCAAGATGTTCTATTAGTATTGCTACTAGAAATTAGCATTGTGAGAACAAAGAAAATAAAGAGAAAATAAAAACATTTTGTAATTGTGCAAAACAAATATAAACATAAATATAAACATAAATACAAATACAAATACAAATACAAATACAAATATAAATATAAACAACAACAAAGAAAGAACGAAATAAAGAAACAAATCAAGACTGTTTCTTATTGATCTTAGTAATCCGGATCACAAACACAGGGGCCAACATAAACTTTCAAGGGCAAAGGGCAAGGGCAACCCTAAACCTTATTAGTTATTATTATTATTATATATTATTTATTTATCACTAAACCACTTCAGCATAACAAACTGCTACTGTATGTTCATATAATAAAATAAGAGACCAAAGGAGGAAATCAAAATATACAGTAATAAATAAACGCAAAGAAAGAAACCAAAAAAAAATAATAGACAAAGGTAGGGGTTTATGGTTTCTTGCTTGTTTTATTATTATTATTATTATTATTATTATTATTATTATTATTATTTTTATTATTATTATTACTATTACTATTACTATTACCATTAGTAGCCTTACTTTCTAATAATCAAGCATTTGTATGTGTGTCTAATGTGTGTGTGCAGTGTGTGCGTATCATCGACTTTACATATATATACATATACATGTATATGTACATATAAATATATTATATATTTAAACTCATTATCAATAATATATATATATATATATATAAAAGTGAGCATCGTGCACACAGACCAGTCTATCTATTCTTGGCCTCATGGCCGTACCCTTTTCTCCATTCTTCCTGCATGTACGCGTGTTGATTACTCTTTACATCTTGACTTTATTTATCAATTGTAATCCATCGTACACATCTAGATATCTAGGAAACCCGGTATCTAGGCAACTAATCGACTAGGTAACTAAGCAACTAATCACCTAGGTAACTAAGCAACTAATCACCTAGGTAACTAAGAATATAGAAAAAAAAACATATACAGTTATCTACAATAGTTAATTACAAGGTACATGTATATAAATAATGTATAGTGGATAATTAATAAACAAGTAATTATTTTATTTTATTTTATTTTATTTATCTTTATGTGGTCTATTTGGTTATTTGATCACTGATAGTCTGATAGGCTTTTTTGCCAGTTCGATCCAATAATCCTTCTTCTTCTCCAATGTCCTTGGGGGGCTTGCGAACCAAACTCATCACAAATCCAGCCACATAAGTAACTACAAAGACCCAGTGGCTATAGTAATATACTGCTGAAACCCTTGGCGAATTGAAGCTGATTCGGTCAATCGATGTAGAAATGACAGTGGGAGTACAAATGTCTATATAGTTTATACACAAGAAAAAGAAAATAAGAAAAATATAAGTAAAATAAAATTTATGTATCTTTCCTAATTGAGACACACTTTTAACACACATATTACACACAGCAATAACAACATTAAGAGCAACGGCAACAAGTATTGTGTATTGCGTATTACCATTAATATTAATCTTGCTATTCCTAACTACTATTACTACTATTACTACTACTCTATAAATTATATATATATATATATATACTTTTTCTTATGTTTATGTTTATTTTTATATTTATTTTTACCTGTCGGTCCGTAGATATCACAGGGCACAATCAGATCAACATCAAGACTGCAGTCCCGAACGTCTCCTTCCTCAGAGTTACACTGAAACAAACAAAAAGTCTCATCAGTGATGATCCTTCACACACACACACACAATATATATCTTTATCTTTCTTTTTTTTTTCTTTGTGAACAATGAATTTTAATCCCCAGGCCAAAAAAAGAAAAGAAAAAAAAAGAAAAAAAAAGAAACTCTCCCTTTGGTTTAAAAATATATATATACACACATAAAAAGAGAAATAGAGAAAGGGCCTTACATAAACTTGACTTCCAAAATGAGCATAGGCAGGTGCAATAAACGACACGATAGAGTAGTTTGCTGCCAACAGTCCTAATGTCAATAAAGTACTACTGATCACCAGTGCCTGAGCACCCGTAGCCTTGCGTTCGACCCTGTACAATGTCACCCAAAGGAACTTCAGCCCAAGGCTGTCAATTCCAACCATGGTAACCACCAAAAGATAGACAATCAATCCAACCAGTAACATGTAATCCAATGGGAATGCCTATTATAATTATAGATATAATTAATATCATTATCATTATGTATATATATAGTGTATTTATATCTAGTCCGGGATTACACTATTATTATTCTTATTAGTTTTTCTTGACTCACTCTCTGTATATTGACTAGAATGAAATTGATAGGCTGAAAGAAGTCTGGGCTACTGGCAATATAACCGCATTCACTTCCACAAATAGAGAACACCATCTTGTCAAAGCTGCCAAGTACATACATATACATGTACATGTACATATGAATAAATATAAATAAAAAAATAAAAAAATTAAAATACAATACAATACAATACAATAAATGAAGATTAGATTCAGGTTATATTTTTTTTGATCTTCATAAAATATAAAGATTTATATACATATAAGTATAAACTTACCAGGACAAAATTATACAGAGGACAATCAAGAAACTCACTACCAATAAAAATATACCAAAAGCAAGCTACAAAATAATATATGTAAATAGCATAATTAATATCATTTCCAAATATAAGCCAACCAACCAAAAAAAAAAAAAAAGTAACGACATTAATAATAAGAATAATAAGAACTTTTTTTCTATATATAATTAAGACTTAATTATTCTTAATACTCGATATTTTAATAGATAGATTCTTATATAAATGATTGGTGATTAGTGATCAGTGGTCAGTGATTATTATTACCTCAAATGGTCGGAACATTAACCAAAGCTTATATCTCCACTTGTTCCGGTCGTCTTCAAGATCCTTTAGTTGACGCTCAAATATCCTTAAAAGAAGTTTGTACATAAATTAATATTTATTTATTTATTTACTTATTTACTTATTATTTTACACATATTAAAATAAATAAATAAATAAATAAACCAACTTATTCTACAATAGACTTACTTTGCTTCATCAATCAGATTGTGAAGGGTCCTCTCTTGCTCAGAGTGAGTAGATCTAGAACTGGTCGGATGATGCTCAATCTTACGCTGTTGTTCGATATTGGAAGCCAATCGGGCAGTGATATCTTCATACTCGGTGTCAACCCGTCCCCGGTCTTTGAGAAACTTGAAAGGCAAGATAGAGAGTCCAGGTGCCTTTTGCATACATTAAAATAAATAAATAAATAAAAAAAAATACACTCAAATAGACCTTATGCACTGATACACATACATACATATATATATATATATATATATGTGTGTATGTGTATGTGTATTCAGGTTTGTAATACCAATTATAACAATAAAAGAAATACATAAAGTAAACAATGAAATCTGGCTACTAACCGTGTAGGCTACAAAGATAAACATGCCGAGTAGTTGCGGACAGGCCATGACAAAAGATATTGCTTTTTCCCCATCTGTACTCCAAAAATTAATTCTATGCAATGCAAGAGCACAATAAATAACCAACACTAGCACAAACACAAACACCAGTACCAGTACCAGTACCAAAACAATAAACAGAAAAAAAAACAAAAAAAAAGAACTTGATAGTCTTTCCATTTCTTTTATTTTCTTTTGTGTTTTGCATACTGTACTGTACTGTACTGCATTATATTGTGATGTAGTGTAGTGTAATGTAACTGTTTATCTATCTGTTTGTTTAGGTGCTTTGTTGCTTTAACTTACGACTCTCATTAATCAAGTTCAAAAACCACTCGAGCTCCAACTGAACTGGTAACTGCGTCGGTCTACCAAATAATCCAATCATAAAAAGTACACTTGCCAGAATACCAAATCCAACCGTGTATCGAATACCAGTCAATGCGCGTTGCCTCCGGTCCTGATCTTCATCGTACTTCTTGTAATAAAAGTAAGCAAAGGGCAAGACAAAGAAAAGTAACAGTCCAATCAAAGCATGGCATCCTAAGTATCAACAACCAATATACATGTATATATAAATGGATGTTATTGTTATTGTTAATGTTAATGTTGTTGTATATAGCCCATGCATACACACACACACACACACATATATATATATATATATGAATAGTTATCTCTTTATTGTTTGTTTGTCTCTATTACCATAGTAAACAATAAAAGTAGCCATCGTGATCCAGTACACAGTATCTTCATCTGCCCATTCTTGCTTCAAACCGGTTTGATGGTCAACCGTAAGAGACACCAGAAACACGTCTACCGGTAATAGAGCCAACAGGCACAATGACAGTCCAACTGACAATACACTCACGAGTGTCACTGCAACTCTAGAGTGGTGTTTGTCGTGATAGTAGTTTATAAACCCTGCACTAAATAAATACAGGCCCTGTGGTTCATATACGCATATACATATATTTTATGAGATGTTATTTATTTATTCATATATTTATTCTTTCTTTCTGTCTATCTGTCTTTTCTTTCTTTATTTGTTTGTTTATTATTGTTGTTGTTGTTTTTTTTTGGGTTTTGGTTTTGTGTGAGAATCTTCAAATCATTACCACCGAGACCATCCCGAATGTCATCCAGGCTAGTCCAACTGCAGCAGGCATGATGAATCACCACAGTAAAATATATTAAAATATCTTTATACGAGTGTAGGTATATGTATAGGTTGGTATATGTGTATGTATATACAGCAAGGATATTTGTAAGAATAATATAACAGTAGCAACAGCAACAATAAAAAAAAAGATCCTTTGAATATATTTGAATTATTATTATTATTATTATTATTATTGAGGCTTTGATGTTGTCTGATTTGCTGGTACTGTGTATACACTCTAACAAATCAAGCTTTTCATATATATGTATTATATATATTATTTTAAGATTCGCTTCATGACATCATAGATACTACACACACACACAGATATATATATATACATATATATATATTTAATTTTATATATCACTATGATTACTATGGTTACTCATTTTATTCTTGTTCTTTTCATATGTATTTATATATACTTTAAATACACAAGGAAGAAAACATTCTGAAGAATATTATAAAAAAGAATAAAATAAAATACAAGCTTTGTCAAGAGAAAGAGAGAAAGAGAGAAAGGGAGAGATGTGTGAATGTAGATATGAATGTGTAAAACAGTAAGAATAATACTAATACTAATCTCTTTCTTGGTATCTTCATTTAATTTCTTGCTCTATATTATATACATAATCATTATATCTTATTTTTCTTCTTCGTGTTCTTCTTCTAGTCGCTGTCAATATCTCCTTCCAATAGATCATTGTGCAATAAACTCTCTATAAATGGCATGTCAGGCTTAGCTAGGGTAAATGACGACTGATAGACGTATAGTCCAACGTGCTCGATAAAGAAGCCTAATTGCCGGATGCTGCTGATACTGTGCATCGTCAGCATTGGTCGTTTCAATTCACCCAAAGGTGGAACTGACGATGATAATGATAATGGTGATGATGATAAGGATGATGCTGTTGCTGTAAAATTGCCACCCATAGTATCTGACAAGGCATCCTACAGGAAGAAAGAAAATAAAATAAAAGTATAAAAGATAATAATAATAATAATGATAATAATAAACATTTTTTTTTGATTGTTGGTTGTCGTTTCATCCTTTTTTCCATTCATTGTCTATTTCTTTTTCTTTTTCTTGTTTGTGTATCTATCTAGTTTTCTTACTGTTGTCTGTGGACTGGAGGATCCCTCGGTTAATTTCTCACCGAGCATTTCCATGATAGGTGTGGGACCATCGTTTAAAGGTGCTTTGATGAGTGTCTCGACCGTGTCACGAATAAAGATCCATTGATAGCTTTTGTACACGAAGAAGATTTTTTTTTATATATCACACACACACACACACACACACATAAACAAACAATATTTATATACAGTGTGTCACCATGGAAACAAATCACAGTAACATATGTCTACTTACATTTGGAACGCGTCCGTTTCGAGAGCACACAACAAATCAAGGAATTTACAACCAGCCAACCCAATCTGAGCTTCTTCAGGTCGGTCATTCGCATTGTCGTACAGGAACGCGTCAAACAGCCGGATCTAGAGACAGAACCATCAATACAAACAGCACAGGACACCACAGCACAGCACAGAGCATTACAAAACAGAGCAATATATGACACAAACACAAACACAAGCACAAATATAAAACACATAATTAACAACAAAGAAATCTATATATCCATATTGTGTATCTGTGTATCTGTGTGTGTTTGTGTTTGTGTGTGTATTTTTTTTTTTTTTAGAATTTAATTTACTTACCAATTCTGTTATCAAAACTGGCCAGAAGTTCAAAAGATGCTTCTGAGAAAATCGGACGAGCATCACTCTCAGACACAAATAAATCTCCACATGAACCATTTCCCCATGTTCAAGCTTCAACAGTTCGACAAGCTTCTCTTGGATGAGAGGTAGTTGGGGTACATACTGGTCAGGCGATCCACAAAAAATGACATATGAGAGTCTTCGCAGGTTCAGACTGCGATTCAGAGTTTCCTGATCTTTGTTGGTGAAGAAGGCTGTGTTGGGTGTCGTGGTAATCCGGCCCATGAGTTCCGAGAATCGTTCCTTTTCAAGAGAGAATACTGTCTGGATGATCGTACGCCACTTCTTTGCCGTAGAAGCATTCATGTAAAAGAATCGGTTGTCCGTAAATACTTCCCACACTTCCTTGCGCCAAGACCGATAAGTAAATGGCATACGTGCCATTTCGCACACTTGATCCAATATGGCCGTCATCTTGCTGAACCTTTATTAATAAGAATAATAATCGTATTATTAGTATTTGTATTCATATTTACATTCAATTTTTTTTGGTTTTGGTTTTGGTTTTGATTGTTGTTATTATTATTATGTATCACTGCTAGTAACGCTTTTTCTTTCTTTGTTTCTTTTACCCAGTCTTTGTTCTCATGGCAGGCCCGATGACATAGTAAACCAGATTGTTGAGGAGTGAGTTAATCCTATCTTGGTCAGCAACCAAGAGTCGTAGATTCGGAATGACAGCGCTGGCAAGATATGCATTGACTTGGATGATCATGATATCTTCGCGTGATTTCCAGCTCGCCTTTTTCTCAAGATCAGACACATTGCTTGTCGACACGTTTCTCGAAATGTCGCTCGCGATTGTATCCGACAGAGACATACTGTCAGATCCTGTTGCGCCAAACAAACCCACACCTGCCAGCACAGATCCACCATCTCCAGAAAATCCGGATCCTAATGATGCCGTTTCATCATACACCGTAGTCGACCGTCGAAGCCACAAACTCTGGTCAAATGATCGGCCAGCAATCAAAATGCAATAATCTACGCATCGTTGATAGAGGTCCTGAGCATCCTTGCGTGTCTTCTTGTCATCGAAGCCTTGGTATTTCGTCAGTGTGTCCAACACGACAGTCAGGAAACGCAAAAGTCCGGGCAAAAAGTTCTTGTACGCATTTGCCTGGGATAAATAATCCTTGGCAAATGCATGAATAAGTGGCCAAAGATGAGCAAGTGGTTCAGCTGTAATAATATTTCCACAATAGATTTCTGCAAACCGCATGATCGAAGTATCAGTACTAAAGAAGGAAATAATTGTCGGTTTACTAGTTAGCCAAGCAAACACAAAAACAAACAAACAAACAAGGAAACATAATAATAATAATAATAATAATAATAATAATAATAATAATAATAATAATAATAATAATAATAATAATAATAATAATAATAATAATAATAATAATAATAATAATACACACAGTTTTCCAAGGCGTAAAATTGGTTTTCGACGATTCATCTGCATCCCAGGTGTTCTTTGGCGAATGCCATCCAGAAGAGTAGAAAATATGTGTTGAGGTGAGATGGTTGGCGTGGCAACAAGGATCTCTATGGCAACCAAATCAATTTGTGCCGATGTTGCCTAGTAACAAAGTGATAGATATTGTTATAAAATATTTATTTATTTATTATTATTTTTTCTTAAGAATTTCTTCTATTTTATTCTTTTTCTTACCTCATATTCAAGAGCAATAGGATTCTCCATAAAAAATACTTCTATAAAACCTTCGATAAATTCGACAGGACAGTATTTGTACAGTCTCTGAAAGATGCGCTCTAGGTGGCTCTTGATATTTTTTATCGAAGCAGCAAATGCTTGTCGTTTGAGATCAAGGCTACCATAAATTGGCTCACTGGATTCTTCAGGTTTACGACACGTCCGCCAGGTGTCAAGTAATATGTGAAGAAATACAGGCAAATTATACAGAATAACGTCATGCGGCTATAGAATTGAGCAAACAGATAGATAGATAGATAGATAAATAAATGAATGCATGCATGCATGTAAAAAATAAATTATTAGTATTAAACCACAAAATCAACATCGACATCAATTTTTTTTCTTCTTTTCCTTTTTTTCTTCTTTTCCTTTCTTGTGTGTGTTTGTGTATGTATATTTGTATGTATATGTATATGTATATGTATATGCGTTTTTGTATGTATGTGTATAATTTGTTACCTTTTCTCCAAGTCGACTTTGGTCTTCATTATAGACAATTTGAGATAAAACCTTGAGAGTAGAATTGGGACCTAGTTTGGGAATTACCAAATTGGCAATGTCGGTCTTGTCTGCCGGATACCAATCATCACTGAGATTTCTTTCCGTCAATGAAAACATGAGTGTTTTCTCCAGTCCAGTCAAATACACCACCAAATCAGATTCTGTTGGTGCTGCGGATATTTGCCGAGATCCACTTCCACTTCCATTTCCACTTCCAATTCCTCCTACTTCACTCAAACCTTCGTTGTTGTCAGGAGTAAGATCTGCGTCGCGGCTTTGTTGGCCGTGAACCCTAAATTCAATCATCTTTTGGCTAATGCGGACCTGTTCACACAGAAGTACCAGAACTGGAACGACCATGTGTCGAAAGCCACCGCGTAGGTGGGGCAGTGTGGCCAGTACAAAATCCATCCATTGCTGCAGCATCGAACGATTGGTGTCGATCACCAAAGCATCCGTGACGCATTTGACATACAGTGCAGAAGAAATCCGGGCTTGATTAATAGCTTCCACAAAATAGGGATTGGATCCACCCCTTTCGCCCCTTTCACCTCCTACACCTCCTTGTCCATGACCTTGTCCTTGAACTAATCCTGATCCTGATCCTGATCCTGGCCCTGGTCCTCCAGACCCAGCTCCAACTCCTACTCCTACTCCAGTACCAGCTCCTGCTCCAGATGCAGCTCCTACTCCTCCTGCACCAAAAACACCTCCACCTCCACTTCCACCACTTCCACTTCCACTTCCACCTGCAGTGGCTGTGGCTGTGCGTGGAAAAGAACCGGTACTGTATTGTGTCATGTCATTCGATGCGTGATCTACCGAGCCTTTTCTTCGATGAGATCGATCAGCCATACTAGATGATTTGTGACCGAGTGCATTGGAAGCCATAATGGACATTGTGGCATGTAATAAATGCATTAACTTTTGTTGGATATCAAGTTGGCCAACTGTGACACAGTAGAGTAGCTTTTCGAGCACGTTCTTTTGGATTAACTGGGTGATCTGCATATCCACTATATCTAGTTTAGATATGATCAAATAAAGTAGTTCAACAGCATGAAGTTGTATGCTTTGTACTGCTTTGGTCAGTGTAGAAACCAGCTTCTCAGATGGTTCGCTCATTATAAATCTACTCGTACGTACACACATAAAAGAAATATATACATACATATCCGCATACACACATACATACACACACACACACACACACGGACGCATGCAGTGCATATGTATAGGCATACATTTATAAAATGTAAATGCAAATGTAAATATATAAATTACTGTTATTCAATCTATTTGGAAGTCTATGTACCCAAAATAGATCAAGAAGTAGAGCAAATACATTACCTTAATGCGATGCGTACGATTAACTCGAGGAAGGAGACTGACCCAGGATGTGGTCCATCTAAAAAGTAAGAAGATCTCAAGTGCATTAGTACATCACTCCTGCCTTTATCATGTACTAAAAAACTAAAAAAGAAAAAAAAAGAAAAACTTTACAGCCCCTCTATCTAGTTCTATAATTTATCTTTTTTGTTTTGTTTTTTTTTGTTTGCTTGTGCTTGTGCTTGTGCTTGTGCTTATGCTTATGCTTGTGTTTATGCTTGTGCTTGTGCTTATGCTTATGCTTATGCTTATGCGTATGCTCATGCTTATGCTTGTGCTTATGCTTGTGCTTATGCTTGTGCTTGTGCTTATGCTTGTGCTTATGCTTGTGCTTATGCTTGTGCTTATGCTTGTGTTTATGCTAATGCTAATTCTCATGCTTGTTCTTGTGCGTATGATTATGTTTATGCTTATGTTTATGTGTATATTTATGTGTATGTTTATGTGTATACTTATGTTTATGTATATAACTATTATTATGCTTGTGCTTGTGCTTACCATGTAAAGACACATCAAGAGAGTGCTCTACTAGTTCGGGGATATCTCCTACAATTCCAATTGACTGATGTCTAAATGCTTTTAATGCACTTAATCCGCTGTAGCTAACTAGCGTTGCCAGTCCGGTAAAGATATAATCGATTCTTTCGGTGTCAAACGGGCGCATGTACACAAAATACTCTAGTCGAATCGGCCCACTTTCCTCTTGCAGGGTCTGATGATTGTAGTCTATCATCTTCTCCGCGGTCCGCCGTATAATACGCTTGTCAAGTAGTCCGACAATGCAGGGCTCCAATAGACGGACATAATTCTTTAGGTGACATCGAATCCAGGTCTCACCCGCACGTTTGTTCATTGGATTCGTTCCTTCCCTGAGTAAATCCAGCATAATCATCATCGGTCGAGAAAAGAGCGAGAGCCCTGGCTTGGACTCAGAAAGTTCCCAAAATATTGAGAATTTTGCATAGTTGACCATCCTCTCCTCATCCCTAGGTACAATGAGATAATTGGTTACAATGGTCTCTATCTGGTGAGGAAGCGAGATTTCCGTAAGGAGCCAGATAAGTTCTACTGTTCGGCGGTGCAGGACATTCAGTGGAGTAGCAAGAAATCCCCAAAGCTTTTTTTTAATATATATATATATATGTATGTATGCATATGTATAGAATATCACAAGCAAAAGCCAAGCATACATACAAAAAAGAAAGCAAAAGCAAAAACAAAAACAAACAATAATAGTGCAACGGGAAATATAAGAAGAAGAAAAGAGTAAATACATTGGCTGATCATCCATACACACATGCACGCACATTATTTACACACACAAACACAAGCACAGGTAATTTACCTTGTCCACAACGCCCCTCAATGCCTTCTTATCATAAAGTACGGTATCGCTGATAAACTTGCGCTTTACGAGTTGGGTCAAGGTAGTAAGGCCAGCATCTACAATACCAAATTCTCTGCCTTCACAGCTGCACTTCAATAAAGTCTTGCCTACTTGATCCTGCTGATTTCCATCATTCGTTTCCCACCCAAGTGAATCTTCCGACTGTTTTACAATCGACGTCAGGACAGTGCACAGGCTGATTAACACTCGCTCCAGGTAAGAATCGATGTGGTCCAACAATCGACCGTCTTTACCAACATCCACACCAGCCGAAAGATTCTTTGGTGAGACAATGTAGCCGTCAACCAGCTCAATCAGAAACTGAGAAAGGTTGTTGGTAAGTTCGTGGATCAAGACTATTCCACGAATCGTCTCAAATGATGGTCGTACGAGGGTCGCTGTTATGGATTGTGGTGGCGGTAAAGGAGATGCTGTGAGTGATGCAATGGACATATCGCCAGTGTCTTGGGCGTGGCTGGGGGATTGAAGTGCGTTATCAAAATCATCAAGTCCAGGCAGATTGCTAGATGCTCTTTCATGACTTCGTCCAATACCATAGAACCCACGTACATAATCTAGAATATTCATTCCCAGGACAAATTGGTTCTCTTCTTTGAATTCTTCTGTCTGTTCGTCTTGGTGAGGAGCTTTATCCAAAAATATGACTGTTGGAAGATGTCTTAATATCAACTGGATCAATTCGACGCATTCGTTTACTTGTGGCAGCACATCGATAAATGATGGGTGAGAAATCGATTCCTTTTTTTTTAAAAAAAAAGAACAATATTAATATTAATAGTATTAATTAAAGAGGAAAGTTATTCTTTGTGTTTGTCTCTTTACATATAATTTACGTGTCAAGGCAGCCAGGATTAGTGGTAAGTGTACTTGTCTGACTTCATCGTCTGAAAAGCGGAAAGTTTTTATGGTGAATTCCATCAATAGCATACTATCGAGAGTTTTTGTAGAAGAGGATTTTGCCAAGGACGATGATTTGGAAGGAAAGCTTGCATCAATAAGTTTGAAAAGCTTCATCCAGATTAGATATGGCTCGACCATCTCTAACCACATATTTGCCGTCTGAAGTATCTAGAGAAGCATCCGTATATTAAATATATATAATATTTCTGATGTGATTCCAAAATATATATATATATAAAACTAAAGACTATGCCAATACCTCTGTAGTGTAAACTCCTCTTTTGACATGTCCTTGTAGGCTCACAAGCGAGTCAATAAAAATGTTATTTACAATGGTTTGCCCAATTTCCCATTTGTCCATCAATGAAATCAAGATTTTGTAAGGCCTTTGGGTGTCGGCCACAAGTCCATCATAATGGTCCAAGTTATTGCGACTTGTAGTAGAAATAAGTCCTCGGATGGCTTGAGTGGATGCTTTTTCAGCAAATGCATAAAAATAAGCCAGTTGAGATTGAGATGATGTTTCGGTTCCAAGGACCCAGGCATACAAACGCCTATTGAGTGACATATCCTTGCGAAGTACAATAGCGAGTGCAGAACGGATCAATAAAACTAAATCGTCATGGGGGATCATCCTAATAAAATTTTATATATAAATGCGTATGGGTAAATATATATTAACCCATAAACACGGAATTTTGCTACGATTTATTTTATACCTATTCTTGAGTGGAATATTTTGGACCAAGAGTTCAAGCATGCTTCTCTGAACAAGTAGCTGTTGGTCTCCCAGTGTGGCCGAGAAAGCCCGAGTCATTAATTGAACGTTTTCCCCACTTCCAAGGTAAGTATGCACATCTTTTATTTATAGAATGCACATGTACATATTACTGCAAAATTAGGTACGATACAGTATTTAATCATACCACAAATATATACGTTACCTTGATCATCTGTGATTTTTGGAAGTCTTCGCAAGAGATAATTAAGAGCGGGTGCACGTAAGCTGGGATTATTGATCATCACGAGCCACAGACACGAATAGAAGAATGGTAATTCTGTTGTTTTGCCAAGGTAATCGATCATGTATATTCCCTAGTAACATATTCACATGCATGATTATCCTTGCTATTACATCTCTTTACCCTTGTATGCCTTCCTTCTCCTCATTCGCACCCCCCTTTTTTTAAAAAAGAATTACTATGTTACATATATAAAGTTATAATTGACACTATTGTATACCTTGTCAAAGAATTCGCTTCCTTCTTCTTCTAATACTGGCAATAAAGCAATGATGAAACCTCTCATTGCAGGTCTTAGTTTTTCTCTCAGTGGAAAATAATGTTTTTCAAAGATAGACAACAATTGAGGCTATGAATATTAAATGCAGCAAATAAAAAGAAAAGAAGAAATTATTTAATAAAGGCTGTATCGCATTACTGTCTCTTGGTTCTTTTAAAAACATACCTTTACATGTGTTGCTGCGTACTGAACAAAGGGGAATAATCCCATAGACCATAATGATAAATCCTCTGCCATTTGCTCAGACTAAAAAAAAAGTAATCAGAAAAATACTTTACTATTTATCTACAATCATAATTCCGCCCCGACTTACTCCAATTGTCTCTAGAAGATAACTGTAGACATCAAGCGTCTTTTGATGAACACCTGCAGGAAATCCTGGGTTGAGACATTGGGCTAGTCGTTTGGCCACCGTATGCTTTCGAGGAACAACCGGGAATTGTGGATAGGCTTGAAAAGACTTATTATTATTATCATTTTTCAAGAAATAAATAAGTAAATAAATAAATAAATAGACCAAAGAGGTTTATACACATATACATATACATATCCAAACAAACAAACAAATTGTTAGACATTGAAGAAATAAAGTAAATAAGAGTCCGTGTTTTCCTCTTCTTCTTCTTCTTTCCCTTTCCCTTTCCCTTTCCTCCCTTTTATTCCTTTCTCTCTTCTTACTTTAAGGAGACGACCCAAGAATGAGATGATGTCAGCCCATTCATTGACTGCATCAAATGACTGAAGATTTTTCTCGATAAGCTGGACGTATTTTCGGAATCTAGGATCGCTTTGATATGCTTTCAAAAGATATACATATTCAAGACAAAGTGAGTAATGAGTGATGTTATAAAATAAAAAAGAAGCAGAGTCAACAAGGTAGTTTATTCTGAATCACCTTGCTCTCTAGCCGCGTTTCTTTCAAGTTTAACTCTTATGGGAGTTGGGGAATTCAATGACATTTGGTCTGTTTGTTTATTGTTTGTTTTTGAAGAAGAAAGAAGAAGAAAAAGGGGGGAGACAAGAGTGTTGATGAGGAAACAATCCTGTGCCTGCCTTTATTTTATTTTTCTTCTACTTACCTTGCTGGTCCGTGACCGGAGAGGCGAAACCAGAAGAAGGAGAGGGTAGTGTAGAAGAATTGTCTGATTCTGGACGGTCATTGACAGTGCGAAGAGACATTTTGTTGAAGAATTTTTGGGAGATGCTTAGAGAAAGTCTTGGTTGCCTTCGAGACGACGAGTCCGAGTTCTCGTTATCAGACATTGCTCAACTTTAAACAAATGTAAGGCAGACGTGGCAAGCCAAATAAAGAAAAAAAGCCAAGAACGACAGAATCCGGGGATTGAAATTCTAGAGCTGGAAGAAGAAAGATAAAAAAAGAAAACGCTGAAAGCTTCCATAACACACACACACATTTGTACACAGACACACATATTTACACACTTGCACAATCTTTTAAACACTTGCACAATTAAACACAGTACTTTTACCATCAATTGAAAAGTTATTTGAAAGAATTGATCTAAATTTTAAACAGATTATACCATTTTTCGAAGGCTAACTTTGTCAAAAAAAAAGTTTATTTGATTCTGCTTCTACCAACTATATACCCATATCAAGATTTCACTGTAATCCACATACAAGATGCTATACTCAAAAGCTAATGACAAATACTCTCCAAGATTGCTCAAGAATGCTTATTTAGTGTAGAGCTCGATAATTCGATAAATATTTGATGCATAAAGCTTTCTATTATTATTAAAGTATTGGAAGGGGGGTTTCAAAGCAAAGAAAAAATCTATCATTGCACCTACTTTCATCAGATACAATAGCCAATACAATGTAGCTGCTCTTAAAGATAGAGTGATCATAGAGTCAATAATGCTAATAATAACCCTGTGGGTATCTCTCTTATAACGCCAAAGGAGGAACACAAGCAATCGGCTAGGGAATTTAATGTGAAAGAAACCCGAGAGATAGAGAGGAATGACAGGGGTAAACGAAATCTACATTAGACTTGACCACTTTCTTTTTCGCTCGTTGAGTTGGTGATACTTACCTTGTATTAGACGTAATATTTGGATATTGCTGTGTTTAACACTGCTTGGCTTCTTGATCAACGTTTGGCCTGTAAATCTTGTTAAGAGTTTTGCATACGAATCCAACACATTCTTCGGGCGGTGCTTTTTACTCAGGGTATATATAGGATCCAAGTGTTATAAAATTTGTTGACAGTGTATTTCCAAGTTTCACCTACATAGTTTGTTGATAGCTTTGCCAAAGCGTACAAGGTTCTCTGTGCGGAATTGTTGATAGTCAAACTTAAGATCTGAATAGAACTTGCCAAAAGGTTTTTCAATTATATAATTAAATATGACACTGATAGTGGATTCAGCTCTCCCAACGAGCAAGGATAAACCTCTTAAGCTACCAGGAGAAGACATTCGACAAAGCAGAATCATCAGAGTCACTGTAACTGGTAGAAAAAAAATGTTTTGGAGAACCCTCCTGAAGTAGAAATCTACTCCCAATCCAAGAAGAGCGGGCAAGGAGCGTATCTGGGTTTATTGAGGCATAATATTAGTACTTTCCTATCTTGAAAATGAATATCCAATCATACCTGCGAAAAAGTAAATTTAAAAGGTTTTACAGTCTATGTAAAATAAAGCACTTGTGTCGAAGCCATCTTGATGAGACATAAGAAGAATTGTAAGATCCAATTATTGTTGATTATGAATGCCATGTTCCAATTCTTCTACTTCTTCGAAATTTAGTCCAGTGTCTTCTTCTTTGGTGATAAGTTCGGATAGATAGTCAGTACAGGAGCTTTCAGTGGCGATAATAAGTTTGATAGCTGACATTTTAGATTTTCTGTTATAGAAAAAGGCAAGCGATCTGTTCTTTTAGGCAATACACTTCTTTAAATGATGTGACTGAAAATTACGACACAAAGTTAAAAATTATGGTGATCATGCGTTAGTCTAGTGGAAATTTACTCTTTTAATCAGTTCGACTCGACTTATCCACTCTGGCAATATAAAGCATCATTATTTTCCCCACAAATATACCGTTCCTTTGACCACACTTTATTTTCTTTCCTTTTGTAGAAGTTTTTCTCACAACTAAATCACTCATGTTGTCAAGAAATAAGAAAGCCTAAAATATGTCTTTTAGATTACAGCTATTAACATTTGGGCATAGCCGTATTATTTAGCTCTATAGCACAAACAATACCCAACCTTGATTGAAAAATTACATGGACATCACTCGGACAACAATCAACACCACTATGAAAGATTGGGAAGAAATTGGTACCCCAAAAACCAAGAGAACAAACCTGGGAAATCAAAGAGACTCAGTGTTACAGACGTTACAAGTCATCAAATAATTTGGCAGCCGTTGGTGTCATAATCTGTATACCAAGACGCATATGTTAACTGTTTGTTCAAGGTCATTTGTTCCTGATATGCAAAATTAAATTAACTAATCAAAGCTTGTGGGGAGCTACATCATGTATTAGACTATTTCTTTTAATTTGATCTTGTGAAGAGGAAGTGATCCTGGATTGTTTTTAAGTTATTGATTTTTATTTAAGCTTTGAAAGAAAAATTAATGTACATGGTTGATATAAATTGGTTGGTGTGAATGAATAAAGGTAGAGGTAGAGGTAGAGGTAGATATTTTTTTCTAGGATACTGAAAGAAACAAGCAAGCAAATCCTGTTGTCGCTTTTCTTTCTTTCTTATGCCTTGGAAGCAGCAAGCTTCTCCTTGTAGAGCTTCTCAGCACCATTCCAGACCGGAGAGTCCTTGCGGTTCTTGAGAGCGAGCATGGTAGGGAGAAGATCCTTGGAGAACATATCAGAGCTCTCTCTGGGCAAGAGAGTGGGAAGATGATCGATGGAACACACTTCAAGAGGGTAAGGGTTTGATGACTCGACAGGAACTGTGGGCTTGTCAAAGGTAGTGTTGATTGTGTAGACAGGAAGAGGGTTGTTGGGGTTGGTGGTATCGCAAGACACGTCACAAATGATCGAAAGCTTACGGGGACCATCGATGAGCTGACGAGTGATGAAAGGAGGAATCTTGGTGTTGAGGTAGATACAGTTGACAAAGATGTCTATACAAAATTGGTCAGCGGATAATGCCTTTAACTTCTCGTTTTTACAACAATAAAAAAAGACTTACCAGACTCAACGATTTCGCGGAAAGGACCACCAGCCTTGGTCTCCTGGATATCCCATTTGATGATGTTCTTCTCAGGAATACCAGCCTTGCGAGCAAAGTCACAAGCACCAGTACCGCAGCGACCGAGAGCACCCATAACCATAATCGTAGGGTAGACGTTTCCATTTTTGGCAGCTAATAATGGGAGAAGTTAAATATCAAACGTATTGTTTGTTCGCTTGTCCCAATCACTCTAGTTTATAGTTAAATTACCAGCTTCAGCCAATCTCTTCTTAGAAAAGTCAATCAAAGCATTCTCATTAGGATATGGCTTCAAGGCGCCGTAAGTCTTGCCCTTGTTGATCTTCTGGTGGCACCAGACATCAATGGCAACAGCAGCACCGGCAAAACCAGCCATGTAACCGAAAGCGGCAACACGACGACCTGTTTAACAGAAAAAAACAAACAAACAAACAAAACAAATTTAGTTTAATTGAATTCTTCTCACGACATTATTCTCAAACAACCCCTCAATATCATAAGATATACTCCAACCGAATTGTGCTAAAACTTACCATTGCTGTCATTCAAGAACTCCAAGTCAAGAATAGTACCCTTACCGGCATCGAAGCGATGCAACAACTCCTTCCAGCCACCTTGGTTCTTGAAGCAGTGAGCAAAGAAGATGTGGGTGTGGTGGAGGGGAGAGTTATCGTTTTCGGGGAGCTCCTTAAGGCCGACAATGTAGGCATCGGCGGGTGCGTCAGTCTTCCAGCTAAGGGTCTTGACAAGAGGGCATCCAACCCTTTTGAAGAGTGCTTTGGTGAGCAATTGAACAACTTTATGTTGATATATAATTATATACTATTCTTACTTGGCATATTCCTCATCATCAAAGATACGCTGGCTGGATCGCTCAACGGTGATTTTAAAGCCTGCGTCCAAGAGGGTCTTGGCAGTGGAGGGTGTTAATGCAGCTCTGTGTTCCATGGGCTTGGTCTCGGCACGGAGCCAAAGGTGGGGGGCTTGAGGGGCAGACATGTTATTGAATGTGTGTGTAAGAGAGAGAGAGAGAGAGAGAGAGAGAAATGTACGGTTGGATCGAACAAAAAGAAGGTAGAGTAGAATTGATATGAAAGAAGCTTTGGTTTTTATATATTTATGCGTAGATGATACTGGTTAGAATATGGAAAGGTCTCAAAGATGAGATGTGACTAGATTTCCCTTTTACAGTTTGGTTATCTCGCTTGGATACTTTTCCTTTTCTCCCCCACCCCATATTAAACTAAAAATCATGATGATCAATTCCTTGACAATATCTCAGCCAGTTGCCTTATTCGGCAATACTTTCAGATGGCAGGACCTTGAAAATTTTAAGCAAAGGGATTTTAATCAGTAAAAAAAAATTAAAAATTAAAAATCTTATTGCCATTTTTGTCACATCAATCTATGGATCAAAAAAAAAAAAAAAAAAAAAAAAACTCACAGTGAACTCCACATAACCCTCTTGTTTTGGTGCCTCTATTTGAAGCTGTAATTAAACCATGCAAGTTAGAATATGATATTAATCAAGCAGTGTACAAATATATATAGACTTACTAGCATACAAAGTATCCCATTAGGAGTGAATCGTAAGTGTACTCTGGTAGCATGTATCAAAGCTTTTGTACAAGCCATTATATATGAATAATGGTAACTATTATATATATATATATATATATAAAGACACTACTTAGCCTAGTTTACTTGTGCATATTGCCCATTCCATTAATAGGTACCTAAATGATATTTCTTCTTCGCATTTGAATGAAATAAAAGACCCGGAATCATGGTGATATTTCATCTGTGCACAAGATTATTAATTCTCAATAACCCCAATCTTTCTATACTCATTAATACACTATAATATAATATATTTTATTATAATATTATCATTATCGTTATCCATATCAACGCACCTCCCAAGAACCTTTGGTTCCTTTTCCGGTCAGCCTAAAGGAGTTGTCAACAGGAGAAAATGACATTGTAACACGCTCGCAGGTACTGTCAATCTCATAAAACACATTAACAAGAGCAGAAGCCTAAGAGTGTGCACTCAGCAGGTCAATTATACATCCTAGTCTCCAAAAAAAATGAATATAAAAGTAGTAAAGACCTTCATAATGACTTGAAATGATTCCATAAAGTCATCTCTCATTTCAATGGTCGCATTGTTTCCATCGATATCGTATGTATTGACCTTGCACTTTGTAACAACGTGTGCATTTATATCCTCTCGCCTATATGTACGGTGTAGATCCAATATATATACATACACACATATATAGAATAAGAAGAATTCGATTACTTTTTTTACATTACTTTATTCACAAATCAATATCTCCTTCTTTCTCTTTCTCTCTATTGTTTTACATAATTTCAAATGGACCTCCATTTCCATCATAAAACAGGCTACAAGTGTCTGATAATACGCCTGTGGCTAAACTGACAATACTCAGGCAATTGACTAGTGCTGCGAGATCGATTGCAAACGGTACGAAAACAGTATTGGATCTTCTGTAGTTCTCAAACATATTCTTTTTCACATAAGCTACTGCCACAACACGAGAGTTATCTCCGGCTGAGAACATGAGCCCTTCTTCTACAACATGACAAGTGGCATCCTGTTTTCTCATTCTGAGTCTTTTTTTTTTCGTGCCAATTTTTCTTTTTTATGCATGTTCATTCCAGCTCATCATTCCACTTTTACCTTTGTTATCTGAATAGCCTTGAGTAAGTTCACTACCAATTTTATACTAATAACGTCCCCACTAAAGCTTGATGTTATTGTGCTTCCTGGGTCTGCTTGGGTCCCAATCTCCAAGTTCATCTCAAATGCCTTTTTCTTTCTTTCTATATACTAAAAAAGAAAAAAAAGAGATAGAAACATAAATTCTATAATATTTAAGATAGTGAAAGAGCTACGTGACTCTTGTTTGTGACGATTGTTCAACCAGAACTGATTTTTTTCAATTCCTTTTTTTTAAAAAAAAAAAAAGAAGTCGAATTCTTGTCAGTATTATAAGTTGTTCGTTAATATAAACCATTACTACCATGGCAGCAATCGATCAACCCACTAAAAACACGGCAGACCATTTTGGATCAGAAGAACCCAAAATTAAGACACTTGTTATCGATACCAATGCGATCATCAATGGCATTTCCCTGAGAAACCTCGCCGAGGAGTTTTATACTTGTCCTGAAGTAATGGTTGAAATTCGCAGTAGTCATTCCCGTGATTTCCTTACTCGTCTTCCCTTTGAAATCCAAATCGAACAACCAAGTGAAGAATCCATGAAGGCTGGTAGGTAGAATATATGATTTATTGTTATATATCTATATATTGCATTTTTATTTAAAAAAAGAAAAGAAAATTAAAATGAAAATGAAAGAAAGAAAGGAGAAAGGGGGTGGGGAAGTAGAATGATTAATAATAATAATAATAATAATTTCATAATGCTTAATAGTTGTGGAGTTCTCAAAGAAGACTGGTGATTATGCTTCGCTCTCTATTCCTGATATAAAGGTCCTTGCATTGGCACACACATTTGCCATGAAGGCTCCTGGTCATGAAGAGATTCGCTCAGAACCTCTCAAGGTGATAATAATGATAATAGGCAGAATTGATATGTGGATCTGTGATAACAATAAATTATACTAATAAATTAAAAAATTAATAATTATGCAGACTAGACCTGCCGGCTCCCTTCCTAGCGCACCCCCACCCCCACCTACCAAGAAGCAGTTAAATGCTGAGCCAGAACCAGAGGCAGACGATGATGGTTGGGAAATTGCTACCTCAAAGAAGAAGGGACCTGCCAAGAAGGGACCTACTCCAAAAAAGACAAACACACCAGCTGCCCCCCAACCCGTTAAAAAGGAAACAGATGAACCTGTCAAAGAGAAAACAAATGAATCTGCCAAAGAGGAAGTAAAGGAATCTGTCAAGGAAGAAGATCCCGTTGAATATCTTGTCCAGTCTGTGGATGATATTATTATCGATGAGAATATCGATGAGGATGACAGTGATGCTGGAGATTGGATTACACCTGAAAATGTAGGAGAGTTCCAGGCTGCACAGCTGGGTGTGACCCCAGAAGAGATGCGCAAACCTAAGAAAATGGAGGTTGCCTGTGTCACAAGTGATTTTGCCATGCAAAACGTACTCTTGCAAATGAACATGAACCTCGTCTCAGCAGGAGGACATCGCATTAAAAAGGTCAGAAACTGGGTCTTGCGATGCCACGCCTGTTTCACGTAAGTAAATGTATATATACTATTGATAAATAAATAATACAGATAATAACTGGGATTTTTTTTTTACTTACACAGAGTCACCACAGACATGGAGAAGAAGTTCTGTCCCAAGTGTGGAAATGCTTCTTTGATGCGTGTTTCATGCAGCACAAATAACAAGGGACAAATTGTATACTACCTGAAACGTAACTACAACTATAACTTGCGTGGCACAAAGGTAATATATAAATAAAGAAATATAGGAGGATTACATTTAGACAATATATATATACGTGTGTGTATGTCTGTATGGGCATATTATGGATAACTACATAAAGAAATACAAGGAAGATAAATAAAACTTAATTAACATTTTTTTTGCTTGGTTTAGTATGATATTCCTAACCCTAAGGGTGGACGTCAAGTAAACAATTTGGTCTTGCGCGAAGATCAAAACGAATATGTCAAAGCTACCCGTGGCCATCAGAAGAAGAAGCTTGTTGATCTTTTTGACCCTGATTTCACGCCAATCTATGGCAAGATGGAGACACGGACACCGGGTAACAATATGTATGGTACTGATGTCATTGGCTTTGGTCGTAAGAACCCAAATGCTACAAACAAAAGAACTGGCAGAAAGAAGTAAATCAATGTCGATTCGTTTCTTTCTTTCTCTAAAACCTTATTCTGTATACTTAACAAGCAAAAATTCTTTTACCAAAAAAAAAGTACAAATAAAATGGATAAATCCATATAAATATAATGAATTCCAAAAAACGTGTATATATTTGCTTTGATCTCACTCTATTGAAAATCAAATAGAAGCAGAAGTGCACGGTTTAACCTTATTTACCCCCTCTTAAAAACCAACACAAATACAAGATACACGATATACATATAGACCTCTACTTTACTCTAAAAACGAGAGAAAGGGACATCGCTGACAAACGAATTATTATCAAGTTAATGAATATACCCTGTACAATTAAGTCCATAGTTATGTGTCCCAATCGAGTTGAATAGTAAAAGTATCCCCAACTGTTACATTTTCGAAAGCATCTATACAATTATTTTTATATAAAAAACGAGGTAGATCGGCGTCGCCATAGGAACTGTTTTAATGATTTGAAAGATTTGAATTACACCGACATATCACATGTTCCAGTATCTTGGCTTTTTAGATATATGTAATAAATATATAAAAAGGGAAAAATGGAAAATATAACTGCTGGGGATGTTCTAATAGCTGTGATCAACAATATTTGATATTTCCTTAATAAAAATAACGCTTATATCATTTACTTTTCTTATTTTTTTTATTCTAGCCCAATAATAATCCTAAATACATTATGAATGACTTTCTTACATTACCAGTATCGTTGGCATATTCTTTTCTATCTATGTGTATGTGGGCATCTTTACTGATTAGATTCAACTGATATTTGATAAATAAATATTTCTATATTGAATCAAATAATGTATGTGTTGTACTGCAGATGAAGACCAGTCAGTCAGAGTTACACGAAATAACGACATTAAACAATAAAAAGGTGATACAGCCATTGAATACTTTAATTGCCTAATTCCAGCCACACACTCACCAACTCAATCATTTACCCTTTTTTTTAAAAGAAAAAAAAACGTTTATTAAGAGGAAAAGTGGGCTTACTTGCATCTGATTTCTAAAACAAATAAAGCTTGGCTAAATCTTCAACAAGGCATTATCCTTTAATTGAGGTGCATGAAATTCTATAAAATAAATGAATATAGAGAAAATAGTGATAGTAATAAAAAACATATTTCTGCCCAGAAAAATAAAACGTTTCTTGAGATAAGTAAATATTAAATGGGCTACTTGAGGTAAGACTTGGTTTCTGTTTATAGTCAAGGAAGGAGAATATTTTATCAATAATAATAGAAAATGAAAGAGAAATAACATAGCCTTTCTAGAGAAGACGTAGAAGTAAAATAAAAAGAAATCATAGGAGATTTATTAAATATGTACTTTATTTCATTTCATCTTTTGTCTTACTAGACTATCTTTTACATATAAACAACCTTAACCAAAAATACTTCTTTTTGATCGTAAGGATTAGTATTAATTTTGTACACAGACCATTAAGAGTTGCTTATATCAAACAACTGATCACCTACACTACATTCCATATATATTGTATGAATTTTTAAAATGGGATCTTTCGGATCTTCTTGGTGATTTTCCATTACTAGATTGCATGTTAATACGACCAAATAATAATAATAATAATTGTAATGGCACAAGCCAACAAACTAAACTCTGTATTTTAAGCAAGAAATAATTAGTGAGAGAAAGAGAAGGGTGGAAAGATCTGCTGCTAATGGTGCAACCAAAAAGAATATAGCGGCAGACCAAAAAAAGAAAAGAGAAATTAAGGTGTGCCTTATTATGTGGAACGTTAACATCTATGCTTCTCACCTGTTGCCTGATATTTTCTTTCTTTATTACATTTTACTTTATTTTAATTACTCAATTAGACATTTCACTCTTATCATGTTTAAAAGTAGACGAAAGAAGAAACAAGAAAAAGAACAAAAAAGGCTCGCTCTAGCAGCAGAGGCAGAAGCAGCAGCAGCAGCAGCAGCAGAGGCAGAAGCCTTGGATAAAAAGTCTAAATCATCCCTTGTTTACCACCCACTTGAAGAAATAAAAGTTGCTCGAGACTTTCGAACGTCTGTTATTGTCCCTCAACTTCAAGATCTCGCAAGCCCATTTCGTAATGATCTCATTCCAACATCACTTCCTAAACAGCAATTTTCGTCTCCACTGGCTTCCAGAACAACCGATAGGTCTGGACCTGAAAAACCAACAACTGGAAAAGACAGTAACCAGCAGTACCAGGATTTGGCTGCTTGGCGGGCGCTCCGCAACCAAAGTCGCTACTCCAATGCCATGTTTGGAGGAAAACAGCGAGGGCCGAAAATGATACCCGGTCGAAAGGCACCTACGCATCAATCAAAGCAAGAAAATATCAATGTAAAGTAAAGTAAAGAAGACAGAGACAGAAACGAAGATGAAAATGAAGACTAATATTAGTAATGATACATAATTAAACCAAGCTTTACGACTTTTTCAATACTCACAATGCAATCAAACATCTCTTATTATTATCTTTTTTTTTTAAAAAATATATATATATACTTATATAGGATTCTGAACCACAAAATGTATACGAGGTTCCAATTTGTCCTGCAATGACACCTCCAAGAAGTTCAGATATCCACCCTGATCTCTATCCCAGCCACCGGGTTGAAGAATGCGAATACGAAGACGAAGATTCAGATGTCGAGAATTATTTTTTTAAAGACTTTGCTCCTGGCCACGAGAAGATCAGATCTCAAACCCCAACTCGACAGCGTTCCAAGCGGTACAGTGCCCGTGCTCGATCCAATAAACCTACGCGCCAATTTGACGTCTTGTCCTTTGCACAACATTTGCACGAAAACCGGCTCTCGGTGGCCCAACCTCGTGCAACCAGCGTAGTCATGACAGAAGAAGACGAACGTGAGCTGCAAATATTATTGCAGCGTACACCTCCAGAATCACAAGAAAACATGCCTGTCTATCCAGCTCAGCGAGCTCAACAAATCCAATCAGCCCAACAAGTTCAACCAATTCAACAAAGAAAACCTGCTACTAAAATGTCTTTACCTATTCATTCGGAAAAGACACTACAAGAAACAAAACCGAATAAAAGGCCATCGCAAAGAAAGAAATTTATACCCGAGAAACCTTTAGAAACATCTCCTGTGCAGCGATCTGCCTTGGGCTCTAATTCTTTTGAAGATATTTTTTTGAAAAATGCACCTACCAACAAAGACAACCAAGAAAGAGAAAATCCGCAAGAAAAAATAGAAGTAATAGAAGATAAAGTTTGGCTGGATATCACTGGTGTACCTAATGGTGTACCTGCTCGTTATTCAAACAGCACTGCTTCATCGAGTGATACCCCAAAGAGCATAGAGAACATCCAGTCGGATACACTACACAAACTCACCCAAAAACAGAGTCTACCTTATATAACACCGCCAATCACCCCTCCAGAAATACCAAATAGAGACAACCGAGTTCTGTTGAACAAGAAACCGTCTCTGCTCTCTCAAAAACTCAATCGAGCCAATTCTGTAGAGCACAATAATATCAATACGGCTGCAATCGGTAGACCAATACACCCTCCTTCTGCTTTAAGAAATAGTAAGGCACACAGTCACAGATTAAAATCTACCAGGAATACCTTAATTGATTCTATTTTTTTTTTTGCTTTAATTTAGTGCAATTGCCATCGTTAAACTCGAGCTCTTATGCATTTTCTTCACCGCGCACAGCACCACTACCACCATCCAACAATCTTGGACGCAGTCCGTCTTCTTCTTCCAACTTCACTAGTACTTCTTCCTCATCGATCCAGGATTCTGCAACGTCTATATCATCTTCCAACACAAGAACTAGATCGGGTGATTCTGGGTTCCGCCAACCTACCCTTGTTACCATCACAGACATTAGTGTTAGCTTGAATAAGTCTATAGACTCTACTGTCGCACAAAGACAGAGGAATAATGGACACCGTCGATCTGTGAGTCTAAACACCTCTTTGGCTCCAAACATTATGATAAATCGAGTGGGTTCGACAGATAATGAACGGGATCCGGCTGGCCGGACACCAAATGTGTCTTCTCCGTTGGTTCCTCAAAGTTCTGTCACTCGCAATAAAAGAGATGACGATGGTGGTGGTGGAGTTGTGCCTGGCCCTCCTAAACCCCAGGGATTGTTCGGTACTTTGCGACAAGTAGGAGGGATCAATCGATCACAGGGTTCTTTTCGAGGATTGATCCGCAATTTCAGTACCGGAAACCATCGACAGCAAGAATCTGGAAGTGATGATGGAGCGCCTGGGGACTCTTTTTCAGAGTCAAGAGGAATGTCTCGCGCAGCCATGGCCGTAATACATCACAGTGTTGTCAATAGCAAGCCTGTAGAAGAACCTGGGTTAGACAAACCACGGCCTCACGTACTGACAGCAAATAATTCGATTCCTAGTCTGTCATCGAACCATCAGAGCCCGAATGAAAGTATTGCTGTCTCAAAAACCGGGGGAGGCACTCGTCTTATTTCCCAGCTTTTAGCAAAGGCAATAAAGCCTAAGAAGACTAAAAAGGCCGGGGCTGGTGCAGATTTGTCGCTCGATATAAATTCCTCTGCTGTACAATTACCACGGAGTCAAGTGGTTAGACGGACAATCATCTATGTGCAGCCTGATTCTATTCCTTTGTCGGATTTTCTGGATGGTCAAGATGTGCCTCCTTTGCCTTGCCCGCTCAACCCGGTGCTGTCTCAGGCTACATGGAAATCAAAAAAGCTAGATGAAAATATTTCAACCGAAAGTCTTCTTCAGTCGAGTAGTTCTGCCTCAGTTGTACCTCCAACTCGGCCACGACGAAATGGAGATAGTCCAGGTATATGTATATTCCTTTTATATATATAGATCTACTGCATGTGTATGATAAACCTATATTTTATTTATTTGTTTTTTTTGTTTTGTTTTTAATATAGGTATAGGTACTTTAAACAGAGCTGCTGATCAGCTTAGCCCAACTACGCCTTGTCTTCAGGGTCTCGAATTAAGAGAGATGAGCGACGGCTCAGTAGAATGGGGGTTGGTGAAGAAGAAGGGTAATCGAAAGAGTTTTTATCGACCTTCTGGCCCAGCACAGTTGCCGCCGTCATCATCATTGCCGTCACCCGCATTCTCGTCATCATCATCATCCACTAGTGTTCCTTTTTCTCAAACCAGACTCTTGGTCGAAGATGAGATTGAGGATGATGTTGAAGACGAGGATTGGTTTGACAATCATCTTCTAGCCATAATGGCATCTGATACGGATCTGCCCAAACCTAATGGGTCCAACGCAAATGCGCCAGCGATACCACGTCGATCACCTCGCCGTCCTCAAGCAAACTGTATTAATACGCCTGAGTCTACCTTGAAGAAGGCAGACACAGATATATACTACGCTCCAACAATGACCTTGCCTAATCTACTACATATGATGGCCAGTAATAACGATGGTGATCTTTTAGGCGAAAAGACTGGAAAATCAATTGAAGACGAATTGGATGATATGATGAAGATGTTTGCTAGCCATTAACCCAAAACAACAGCAAGAAATATATAGAAGCAGGAAAGACATTAGCTATTATTATTTTATATTGGTTTCTTTCTTTCATTCATTCATTTTTTATTCAGATCCTGCGCAGATCTTACACTATATTACTACCTATTACTTATTATTATATTACTTACTATTAATTTATTAATTAATTTATTATGAAAATACAAAAAGGAAGCACTGGTTGGGCACTTGTTTTGGTGATCAGGTTCTGATATCTACCATCTATTTTAAATACTTCTTCTTTGTCCTGTTTTGATGTCTTGGTGTTTCCTGTTGCTTGAGAATAATCTTAATCTAAAATAAGGTACCACACATGTCTATTCTGTAAAGAGTATGATTTACCGTCGATTTGTAGCAGTATTATTACTTGTTCTTCTTTTGTAAATCACTACATACAAAAAATACAGATCATTAGATCATATTACATTACATTACATTACATTGCATTGCATTGGAGTATCTGTTGTGGGGGACTTTCAAGGACTGGATTAACAAAAAAGACATGTACGCCATTTGTTTTGTTTTAGGGCGCTAATAATGATCCGTTATCCGGTAGATCGGTAAGTTTTATGTAAGTGAGTGGGTGATTTATTACTATTTTATTATTTTATATATATCTTTGTCATCAAAATAAAATTCTTATTAAAAGAGAGAAACATATACGGCGCCGATTTCTAAAATTCTTGATTTTATTTGGTTTGATTCAGCTTTCGGGGTTGTCACATATGTAAAGGTTCCTTTTTGATTTATAATCTGTCATGGAGAAATTTGAAATATAAAATATAAAAATAAAATAAAATGGAATGCGTTTTGGCTAAACAAGCGCACGGATCATTTAAATCCCAAGTTCTTTCTTTTAATATAAAATCTGAACTAGCTAATTTTTTATTTATTTTTTTGAATAATAGAAAATAAAAATCACAGCAGAATATTTATACTGCAGAATTGATTTACAGTAATGAGCTCCAACGAGAATAAAATTCATTATAGACCTAAGTAAGTAAACGGTATTTGTAAGCTACAGTCTGAAACATATATACGGAAAGAAATGGTGAATGTCCCGATTGTCTTTACATTTACAGACATACAATGATTGGGTTTGGTTTCTCAAAGGAAAAAAGAAAAAAAAAAGAGTCTCAGATTTGATTGATGGTTGGTTACTAAATTGTCTTTAAACACAACCAAGTAAACTGTAACTATTTAGCATAGGAAAGCCGAAAGCTTTGTACACTAAATAGAGTTTTCTCGAAATCTAACAAAGGAACATGGTTCAAAATACCAAACAAACTTGTAGTTTTGTAGTAAATTCTCTTAATTCTCATTAGTATTTTCTATCACACACCAAATGAAGACCAGCATGTATTTATATATACATATATAATCGTGTGTTATTTTATTTTATTTTTTGATAAAAATAGGTATTATTACTTATATTTAGAATATGCAAATATGTGTACACACACAAAATCAATCAATAAAGAGTCTCGCAATTCCCGGGTTCTGGTGGAATTTGTACACAAATTGAAACCAAAAGCTTAATTGATCTTGCTTATTACATTGATACATCTTTAATAGATTATAAGAAAAAAAAAAGGACAGCATTATACAGTAATTATGTAAATTATATATATATATATTCCAAAAGCCTTAGGCATAATGTATAGGTGGAGAAAGAAATGAATATATTGATATAGATGTATACACAAAATAATAATATTTGAGATTAATTTTGTGCTTTTTAAATTGCACAAAAAGACAAATAGATCAATTTTCATGAGATGTGCGCCATTGAAATGAATATTCCCACAGACACACACCAGACTTGAGAGTAACATTTATAAATGTATGAATTTATGAACGTATGTATGTATTAATGTATGTATATATATGTACAAAAATGTATAATTATATAGAGCATAAAATAGAAAAAATTCTTTTTTAGTTCATCCATTGAACAATGTACTATTGTTACAACCTCTTAAGATACTCAAAAAAAAAGAAGATCAATTAATTACATTTACACTTCTTTATAAGTAAACACACACTCATTTAAATGTATATGTAAGATAGTAGATCCTATATTTCTCTCTCTCGCTCTCTTCTTTTTATATAATTAGATATATGTTTAATTCTTTATTTACTCTATAGAATAGATTTGCAAATCAAGACATATACTTTGTGTAGCTGTGGCTGTTAGCGTCGGTGTAACTTACTTGATTAAACTGAAAAGGAAGGGTTGGAAAATTATCTACATAAACGCTATAATAAAAATGAAAGAATAAAATAAAATAAAGAGGGGATCAAATTTAAGATACACACACGAGATAGTAGAGTGGCTAAATCAAATATAAAGCAAAGTAAGAATTATACAGACTTGACTTGTACAAAACCAAGCTTAGAAGAAGAAAAGAGAAGAGAAGAGAAGAGAAATTGGGGGGTATTTCGGATGAAATCTTTAAAGGCAGGAGGCGTGATATCTGGTGTACATTACCAATGTACAGTTATTAGCTTGTGTAATGTAGCACTCAACATTGAATTCTCGGTTACACTTCCAAACCCTCTAAAGAAACAACAAATATAATTTATATATATATATATATATGTACATGTACATGTATATTATGTATATGTATATCATTGAAAAAAAATACAAACGTAGATCGTCCTATTGAGAAATCGATAATATTCTTGTGTTTTCTTGTTAACTACAAACATATAATTTCGTTAATAAAGAATAGCTTACTATTTACCCAAAAGCCTAATATTCATACTATATATATATATCTCTGTGTGCCTATACTTCATATGTACACAGATAAAGTATTACAGAAACATGTACTATATTCTCTTGTATCTTTACAACAAACAGCAGCCGTTACAGTACAAAAATAACGATGTTCTCAGTGAGTTATATATATAAATATATGTGTGTGTATATTGCGCTCTTTTAAATAAAGAGAGAAAGAATAAAAGAAAGATATGTGTAATTCTTTCTTGTCCTATGTCCTATGTCTTATTTTCTTTATATTTTTTCTTAATACTTGCACATAAAAATAGACTGCTTCTTACATTTTTTATGAAACTAACTGTATACAAATATCACACTTTATTAGTTGCGTTCAAAAACGCGTTTACAGGTTGCTAAGCAAAAGAAACAAATATTATCTTATATTTCAATTACAAATTATATATATATATTTGATGTAGTCATTTTTTTCATATTTTTTTCCATTCTAATGTCAAAAATCTATTTTTATTACTTTTTTTCTTTTAAAAAAAACTTACATTTTTAAACAGCGTATATATATATTTTTTTCCTTTTTTTCCTTTTTTTCTGTTGGCTATGAAATGCGGTAAAAAAATAAGCTGTGGTTTCAATCGTTCGATCCAAATTTTTATACCCCCCAATTTGCTTTGGTTAAATAATAATTAATAAAAAAAATATTAAATAACTATTAAAGCTCGACTATTACCTCTCTTCTTCTTCTTCTTTTATTCTCTCCTTCTACACATCATCCTTAACATCATCCTTAACATAAATATTTAACCGTTAATATGAAATACGGTGCCGAATTACAAGATAACATCTTTGGTCCCTGGCGGTCGTCTTATGTCGCCTACGATGCCCTGAAGAAAGAACTCAAGTCACGCACCCAGAATCGCATCTGGACCGACCTAGACGAATACGAATTTGTTTGCCTTTTGGACAACGAACACATGAAGGTCCATGATTTCATCAACGCAAAATTGTCCGAAATAGACACTCGGATTCTCTACTGCGAACGCACCATCCAATCCCTCCAGAACAGTGAAACAATGAACTCGGACGCAAGTTATACCCTTATGGACGAAACCCTGACCGAGATTTTGTTTGACGTCAATGATCTTTCCCGATTTACCCGTGTAAATTTCCTGGCTATCCAAAAGATCCTCAAGAAACACGACAGATGGACTTTGCTCAACCTCCGCCAGGAGTACGTCCTCAAATTGAGAGAAAAACCACTCGACAAACAGAAATTCGATGTCGCAATTGTCTACATATCCGCACTCCACGACATCTGTCGCAACAGAGGCAAGAAACACACCGGAAACAGTGCCGCCGGAGGAGACCAGAATGCGTTCGAACGTGCCACAGCAAAGTACTGGATCCATCCGGACAACATCACCGAAGTTAAGGCAATCGTAATGTTACATTTGCCCGTACTTGTATTCAACACAGCAAAGAAGTGGGAGCCTGAAGATTCAGCTGTCTCTAGTGTCTACTTTGACAACCATAATCTCGACCTGTACACCGGCCGACTCCAGAGAGATGAAATGGCAGAAGCCATTCGATTCAGATGGTAAATTACCTTGATTTATTCATTAATTCATTTACTTTCTTTTTTCTTTTTAAAGAAATTATCATAATTACCATTAGTATTAGTATTGGTATCACTATTGTGAAAAGCCATTTATTTATTTTATTCAATGCGTAAGAAACTTGTTTATTGAAACCATTTATTACATCACGACAATTCATTACTTAACAACAATACATTTTACTAATTTTCTTTTTTTTTTATTAAAAAAAAGGTATGGTCCTTTTGAGTCCAAAAACGCTTTTGTTGAAAGAAAGACTCATCATGCTACTTGGCTCAATGGCGCATCTGTCAAGGATCGGTTCCGTGTCAACGAAAACAGGGTCAACGAATTTGTCAGCGGTGCCTACACTGCTGAGCAGATTGCTCAGGATTTTCGCGCCACTGGCGCTGATGAGGCGGCTGTCAAGGATGTCCACTTTATTGCCGACGGTGTACAGACTTCATTCCGTGAGAAACAATTGGAGCCAATGCTCCGCGTTTTTTACAACCGAACAGCCTTCCAATTGCCGGGAGACCAGAAATTACGAATCTCGCTCGACACCGATCTCACTTTTATTCGCGAAGATCACACCGATGGTATCCACCGTCGCCAGAACCCGCCAAACAACTGGCGTAGAACAGATGTCCGGACAGACTACCCTTTTAACCACGTCAAAGATTCGGACATCTTGAGATTCCCATACGCTGTGCTTGAAACAAAACTCCAAACCCATCTTGGACAGGAACCACCAACCTGGCTCACCAAGCTAATCGAAAGTCACCTGGTCCATGAAGTACCTCGGTTCTCAAAATATCTCCAGGGCGCATCCCACTTTTACCGCGAAAAGCTACCCCTGCTGCCCTGGTGGCTGACCGAGATCGATGTCGACATCCGAAGAGCCCGAAGCGAAAACACCGGCCTGACTCGTTCTCAGAGCTTCAAGCCTCTTATCGATGGCAAATATCGCCGCGCAATGATTGAAGAAAAAGAACGTGCAAAGAAGGCTGCCGAAAGCCAAACTGTGTACCATATCCAAGATAACACGGTTGCAAATACATATACAAATATGAACAATGCTGGTGGAGCAGACAAGGCAATTCAGGATGCTCAGCGGCGACGATCACTTGTAGTAGATGACAAACAGGAGCTTGCCTGGAAACCAGTCTACAATAATGCAAACAGCCAAGATACACAGTACACCAACCTGAGACCTGATTCAAAGCGACAGGGAAGTAGTAGCCAGAATTCGGCTACTAACCAACCTTTACTTGACAATGATCCCTTGGGTGGTCAATTGCAATCTTCAAAAAAGCAAGCGGACCAATTTTATTCCCCGGGTAAGAAAACCACAGCTTCATCTTCGACTGTCACCAATCTTGGATCAGGATTGAGCGGATCGACTGCAAACCTCACAAAGGAAAAGAAACAAAAGCAGGGTCTGGGTGTGCCTGTTGCATTTGATGAAGAAGCCCAGGTTGGAGAGAAGAAAAAGAAGTCCAAGAAGCTTAAATTGGAACCAAAGACCTTTTTCGCAAACGAACGTACCTTTATTGCTTGGCTTCAGTTCTGTGCTCTACTCTTGTCAGTTGCACTGAGTTTGCTCAACTTGGGAAGTGATGAAACTGCACGTATTATGGGCGGTGTCTTTATTGGCCTGGCTATTGTGGTTGCTCTCTATGCTCTCTATCTTTTTGAGAAACGTGCTTGGTAAGTTTTCCAAAAAGAAATGCCATCAAAAAAACTGTATATGTTTACATTGCTTCGTTTACTAACATTCGTTTGTATAATATTAGGATGATCAACAATCACAGTGAAGGTCGCTATGATGATATTTGGGGTCCGGCAGTTCTTTGTATATTACTTGTGGTTGCCCTTATTGTAAGTAGTGATGATGAAGCATTGAATTCTGTGGAGTAGATACTAATTCTGTGTCTTTTCTTAGATCAACTTTTACCTGCGTTTCCGCTAAATACCATACTATTTATCCAACAAGAAAAAAAGCCCCATCTTCATTTTTATTTTTTACCTGTTACACTTTTGTTCACCAACTCACCCACCTACTCACCTACTCACTTACCTACTCACCTACTCACTTACCTACTCACCTACTCACTTACCTACTTATTTACTCACTCACTCACTCACATATACATACATCCCACTCTCCATACTACTCATTCTACCTCTTTACTTTATATGTACCATTCTATTCGTACAATATCAAAGTTCCCAAGGCAATGGCTATATATACATACATTAGTTTCTTCTTTTTTATCATTATCTTACTATTATTCCTGTTACTACTATTATTACTATTTCTTGAGAAATTGAATAAATGAATATATTATACGCAGCCAAAAAAATATTGTTATTATCTACAGTGCAACAATAATGACGTGAGGTCGTGTGTGCAGATGTGTGCTTAGCAAGTTATTAAACGAAAAGAAGAAAAAAATTTATAAAAGGTTTTATTATTATTATTCAACTAAGCCTATTTAAATATACTTGTGAACCCTTCATTCCCTGATACAAAATTTTATAGATCTATTTACTTTTTGTTGTTGTTGTTGCGTAGTAATAATCCTTTTTCTTGGATATACTGCATTGTGGGACAATACAGACAGACAGACAGACAGACAGACAGACACACAAACACACATATAGCTACGCAGTCAAAATAAGGAAGAATAAAAAGGAGATTCCATGAATAGAAAATCCCACAATACCGGCAGATCAATGACTAAGATCAGGATAACTTGTCAAACGCATGTTTGCATGCTGAACCTCAATACTAAGCTTTTGGCTTTTATTTTTATTTATGTATTTTAGTGGCCAGCAAATATGTATATACACAGCCCAAAGAAAGAAAGTTCTGTAGTCAATTGAAACCACAAAACACTCCACAGTATTGGTAACATTGACTTGCTAAAAATATTCGAATACATATATATATATATATATTCGCACATGTGTGTGTCTCTCTCTCTGTGTGTGTGTATAGGGCTTACAAGATGACCCGGTTGTGGGTCCCCTTGTCTCCGTACTCATGTATACATGGCTAGTGGGTACAAATGTAGCATTAATTTTTATTATTATTATTATTATTACTAATTTGACATTTGTTTTTATCAGCCATCTACAGTTATTATATATTTATGTATATAGTCCTTGTCTTTATTGTTGACATTAATTCTTTCTTGATAATATATACACCTATACATGTATGCGAGAGGGAGGGAATTTGTGTGTGTGTGTGTGTTTGGATTTGAATTGAGGTGTAAATCAGGCCTCTAAAGGAACCTTTTCATCATACCACCAAACCTTAACCGTTTGGTCATCACTACAACTGGCCAACATACTCTGTTTGGCATTCCAAGCAGCCTCATACACTACACCTGAATGACCACGCAACTTTTGTAATACTTCACCAGTTGCTTGATCCCATATGTACACATTTCCATCCTAAAGATATTTTTTTGGGTTTGTTTTAATTAGCCAATTCTTTTTGTCAATTTTTTCTCATATATACAAAGCAATAGATAAATGAACGAATACTTGTAGAAATATAGAAAGAAAAAAAAGAGGGGTATTCAATTCAATTACCTCTGAACCTCCAACTATCAAATTGTTATCTGCAAATCCAGCTCTGACAAAGTTCTTTGAGGTATTCTGGTGTCCCTTGAGTTTGCGAATAGGGCGTACCTACACACACAACAGCAACAACAAAAATGGTAATATAGATTAGATTAAATAAAATAAAATAAAATAAAATAAAATTAAATTAAATTAAATTAAATTAAATTAAATTAAATTAAATGGAACCCATTAAAGAATATCAAGAATATATAAACTCTTATTGCTTGTTTTTCTCTCTCTCTCTTTAAATAAGACCTACCATTCGAACATCCCACAGACGATTGGAATTATCTTTTGAGCTACTCAACAGAAGAGTGCCACTCGAATTCATCTCTACTGACGTGACTTCACCCAGATGGGATGAGATCGTACGAATACACAGCCCAGACACAATATCCCAAAACTTGATTGTATTGTCTTTTGAGCCACTGATTACCAAGTTGCCGAGTGGATTGAAGATTGTCTTTGTGACTGCAAGTTGGTGACCCAAGAAGCTCTTTATTGTAGCACCTGTCACGACATCATACAATCTGACTGTCTTGTCATAACCACCAGTAACCAAGTGATTCTATTTTATAAATATATATATATAAAGGTATTATCAATACCATTGATACTAGTATTACTGACGGAGCCATAGATATAATATTATTAAAGAATAATAAAGAAAAACATACCTCGTTAGGATGATATTTGACTGAGTAGACATCGCCTGCATGTCCCGTCAATGTGTTTGTACAGCTCGCCTTTGCATTCTTTACACTCCAAATCTATAAATACAAACTATATGGTCAGAAAATGATTTATACATGTTTATGTGTAACATTCATCCAATTTTATCTTCTTATTTCCAACTCACCTTAATAGTCGAGTCTCCACTAGCACTGGCCACAAAGTCTCCAAGACGAGTACTTGAAATATCCCAAATTCTTGATCTGTGCCCGTCCATTATATCTAAACATTCGCCTGTCTCTGTTTCCCAAATACGCAATGTATTATCACTGTTATATGTAATTATTACTATCTTATGAATTTACATAATACAATATACCCTCGTTTAAACCAATTTTCCAATGTCTTCATCACCTCTCTTTCTTTGATTTACCTTGACCCAGAAACTATTTGTTTTCCATCTTCACCTATGAATTCCACACACTTGACGTTGCCTTGATGGCCAATACAGTTAGCACCGACGGCATTAGGAATAACAAAACTGGTATAGTCTTCAAGTAAACTTTATGTCACAAAATCAACCAAAAATAATAATAATAATTAGCTTTATTTTTTATTGTGTTCATGTTTGCATATATATATATATATACTAAAATCAATAGGTAATAAAGTACACATATTTTTTCTTCTTCTCTCTACTTACGAGTTTACAGCAGGCGCAATTTTAGGATGATAACGGGAAAATTCAATTTGATAAGCAACAGCTTGACGCAACATAGTCAACAGTCGATCGGGTGGTGTGTATCGGTTGCCTACAGACCAACAAAAAAAAAGATGTACACACAATTTGGTTTATTTTATTTTGTTTTACTTTTACTTTTATTTTATTTCTCTTCTTTACTTTATATTGTATATATATATTTGGTCTTCTTCTTTCTAACCAACAACGACCACAACCACAATTATGTTCATAAAAAGTCAAGTAAAGAAGGGGAAAAAACAGGGTTCCTTTCACAACAATACATATGTATTCTTTTATATATATATTATTTATTATTTTTATATGTATTTGTGTGTTCGTTTGTGTTTGTGTGTCTATGAGACTATTTGGGTATTTGTGTGCGTAAAAGTTACCTGTCCTATCGGCTGTCTCAAAGTCTAACATGTTTTGAAGTTGATCTGCTAGATTCTCTCTAAAGGGATCCATTCACCAAAAAATAATAATAAGAAAGCAACAGATATATATATAAAATTATCATTAATTTTTGTTACCATTTTGTAATATAATAACCACAACCAGATCCATATTCATGCTGCTATCAATAATGTCTAATTTACCTTGCTGCCATAATTCCTTCCCAATTCTTAAAACTCTGTGCCTCATGAATTGATTTGGCTGTCAAAAGATAACACAAGTCTTTGAATTCATTTGGATTTGTCTGAAGATGTTCAAGTGGCTTTAACCTTTTGTTGAGAAACGTGAATGCCTAAAGAAAAGAAAAGTACAGATATTTATTCAAGTATTCAACCAATTGTTTATATATATATATCTCTATTTGATTTTACCTTTTGGATTTCTCGTTTTTCAATATATTCCAAGTATTGTAGTTTGTAGACTGAGTACAGAAACGAGCGGTGATTCTTCACCAAAGGTTTTGTACACAATTTCTCGACCTCTTGCCAATCACCATCTTGAATATTTTCAAAAAGAAAACGAAAATAAAATAAAATAAAGGTCATTATTATACTCTGTACTCAAACACACCTCCGCGTATATATAGACTTTCATATTTCACTTTTCATTTTATACAACCACATTAAATCAACATACCAAGAATAGCCTTTTTGAGTCTTTTGGCTTCAATTGTCCGCTCTTCTCTCTCTTTCCATTTGACATTAGTTTCGTCATACAATACAGCTTGAGATGCATAGTAGCCTTCGTCGGAGAGGTATTGCATGATGATACTGTTAATATCCTTTATATATACATATCGAGATCGAGATCGAGAAAGATATAGAGATATGATAGTTGTAGTGGTGTAATTTTTGGGGGATATTTTCATCAGCAAATCCATGATTCTGTTTTTTTTGTATTTTTTGTTCCTTTTCTCACCCCACCCCCTTTCCTTCAACGCAAATATCTGGAACAAGAGAAATAGAGGTCTACCTCTTTGATACGAGGATCGTTGGCATTGAATATATCTTCTGTGGGGCGAATGTGAGTGTTGCATATTCCTACGTTTTGGTTGTTGGTTGCCAGGCTATCAATACAAAACAGAAATAAATATATATATACTTTTTCTTCTTCTTTATATTTTCATTGTAATTAAATTCTACACACACATGCATACATGTACATGTATATATGCATGTATAGTGTTGGCTTCTTTACTGTTCGTACCTGCGTCTTTGTTTAGCATGAGAACTAGAAGAGATGCCACTGTTGTGCCATGGATGATCATCCGGACGGGGTTCTTGTCGGACAGGCCATGAAGTAGTTGGTTGCGATTCTGTTTCGGGTGGATCGCCCACTTGAAGGTTCTCAAGTCTTTCGAGGTCTTTTTCGACAGATGAACTGGCCATGACGATACGTCTTTAATTATTATTATTATTACTTTAATTATTTTTATTATTATTAAAAATATAATAATAATATTGTGTGTTTCAAACTGTGTTCTCTTCTTCTTTTGGGTTATTCTTTTTTCTTCTTTTTTCTTTCTCTCTCTTTTAAATATATATATATGTAATATACTTGACTTTTCATTAAAGAATATGTATGACTTGCACTCTCTTGATACGTCACCTGGCCGTCACGAATATAGAATGACATCGGCGTCGACATTGTACCTGAGAGACAAAAAACGTCGTGTTTTAATAATCATTGCAAAGAAAAATACAGCCAATGTTTCTATGAGACAGGCCAATTTATTTAAATAAAGGCACCCGGGAGGATTTTATATTTTATTTCAAGCTCATGAAAAGTAGTGTACTTGAAGACCAGCTTTCGAAAGAAGAATCGAAGCTACCTTTATGCGAATGAATAACAATAGTAATTCATATGTTCATTTTGTAATAAATAATATATTATTAGGGGTCATCATTCGTGAATAATCATCGGGATTAGACAAAAGGCGATGGTTTTTAGGATATTATGATTAGGTAACGAAAATAATACCTTTTTGAAAGGGTGAAGTTGAAGAGATATAAGAATACGTCGCTGTGATTGGCTTATATCATAACAATGATATATACGGCTTCTTTTTACCAATGTTATCAATAAAAGTACTAATATTATTAGCATTTATTATATTTTATAGCATCGTACTGATATACTACTAATGTAGCTAATATGATACAGTATTCCGTATCATTTTATATAAAAGTTCACCGAAATTTAATCTTTGTATGTTTTTAGGCCATCATTCGCAAATGAGTCTGATTGGTTAGGTGAAAACTTCACCTTTTTGCCTAACTTTGCCGATTATTCAATAATGATGACCCCTATATAGAGATTATTTTCTGATGGGACACGACACTTATATCTAACCAGGCTAATTAGTAAAAATACAGTACCTATCCGGGGCATGGTGCCTCTCTGATTCTTCAAGGTAAAATGGCGTGTCCTGAAGAATACAATATATTCGTATCAAAATAACTATTTGTGCCCTAGATTTAGACTTGGCTATTAAGAAAATTAGTCACAAATACATTATATCAATACCCAGTTATGCAGAAGGCTATAAGGAGTTGTTGTCATTAAAGCGTGATACAATCTTGTTTGATCTTTTACTATTTATTGACATTCTTACGCACATGATGTCTTTCCCTTTCTTTCACACATACATATCACCAGAAAAGAACCCAATGCTTGTTATTGAAAAACCCAGAACCAATATGAAAGCATCAACTGAAGTTACCAAATAGTCACGCCAGAAGCAAAGGCTGAAGAACCCACTTTCTCAAGAAAGGCAAAAAAGGTAAAATGAAATAAAAAATAAAAAATGATACACTTTTGGTTATCATTTCCTCCAAATATATAGAATCGTCATGCAAAGATCAATTCAAAATGGCCATAACTTATGGTCCGGAAGAATCAAAATGTTGTCTGCCATTAGAAAACGTTTCCCCCACCAGGAAATATTTTCTGCCTAGGATTACTATCTTTTTTTTTGTTTCATCGCATTCTTGTTTGACATTGGTCAATTTCAACAGACTTTATGCTTACGAAAGGCCAAGCGAGCTGTTGTGTCTTTAGCATGTGGCCTTTAATTAAGAATCGACCATTGGCCAAACAGGCACTGGAATCATCGACACTAGCAATGGTAGCTTGTCATCATGCAGATCTTGGACCACGAAGCCCCATCATTATGAGCAAAGCTGTACAGAAAATGGATCAATTCACATACATAAAGTATGATGACATGGCTGAAGAAGAAAAATAAGAATATCCGCAACCAAATCGCGAAAGAACCTATCAAAAACAGCATGTTCCATTTTATAAAGAGCCAGCGCTGCATGTTCTCAAAATGACACTTTCATTTGGGAAACTAGCAAATTTTGAGCTTTATACCCAAGAGCTTGTCGGTAGCACGGTTTTGCATTCCATTTTAACCAACTATTTTCGCCCTCATGCGATTTCGCTATCCACTGTGGAATAACGGATCAGCGCCGATGGCGGATTTGGACCAAGTTCCCGTTCTGGTGGCCCCCGTGGCCACAACCTGTGGGTTTTGAAGCCTTACTATCGGAAATCCTTGAGCGATTGGCAATCATTTTATGGAGTTCACGTTAACGAGTTGTAAAACCGTTGGCTATGCGCGAAAATCTCGTAGAGGGCGAGTGAAACTAAATCAGCGACTTTACTTTATGAAATGACTATATATATATATATAAAGCTCCATTTGGTGTAAATCCAATACGCTTATCAGATTAACATTATCAGATGGCTACGGAATGTTTATACACCACAAAACAAAACAAAACAAAGTAATAAAACACAAGCCAAAATGTTATCAATGATAGACATTCATGGTTGGGTTTTGTATTCGGTGTAAACACGCAGACACACAGACATACACACACAAACAGATACTATTCATATAGTCTACCTGAAAGAGAAGGACGACATTTTAATTTTAATTTTTTTTTTCTTTCATGCTTCTTTTCCTTTAAGAACTACAGTATTGAGTAGATCAATACAACCAAACAAACCCTTTTTACTTATACATATTTTTTAAAAAAAAAAAACACTAGGGGGTTTCACCATCGTTAAATGCCTTTTTTTTATAGAACTATGGTTTAATATAAAATTTGATTGGCTAAAAAGAGTCTTAATAAGAATAAATAAAGAGAGAGAATTTTGACATTCAAGCGTATAATTCCAAGGTTGAATGTTTGAATTTTGCGAGTTAATATGTAGCCTTTATTTATACTTTATCATAACTATCCAATATTACAGGACGGCTACTGATCTTATTTGTGAATATATATATTTACTTAAGCTTCAAGTACACAGCCTACTGCTATATTATATATATATATATCTAATATCTAACAAAGCTATTCTCATAGATACAAATAAAAAATTGACAGCTGTAGGATTATGTATCTACATATGTCTATAGAAGAAGAAAAGCAAATTAGAGTTAAGAAAACACTTTACCAGTTTCTTTTTTCTATATTGATTTATTTCGGTTAAATATTGAATTATATATCACAACTCAAGTATTAAAGAAAAACTATTAAGTCCCTTCAGTATTCCACTGTATTCTTTTCTCGTTCTTCCATTCGATTATACAAGCTTGAATGTATATATATATATATATATATATATATAAGAAGAAGCCCTGGCATCTTTCAATTTATTAATAATAAATATATATAAAAAACGTTCCCTACCCACTTTCTTTCTTTTTTTTAAAAAAAAAGATATTTGTTCAATTCGTGACTCCTTGAAATAGTGGTCACGTTTTTTTACTTTTTCTTTTTTTTAAACCTCACCTTACCTGTCAGCAAGACTTGGATTAAGCACTCTAAGGCTGTTTCGCCCACCCCCAGACCTTTCTACAGCAACCTACGAAATAATGGCGGCATCGTTCAACACCCTCGAGCGCGAACGTCTCTTCCGCAACCCCTCAGAAGATTCCTACGGTGTTCCGATCTTGCAAGAGGTTGTCGCACCACACTTGGATTCCTTCAACAGCATCACCAAATTTGGTGACTCTGAGGAAGGTTTGCTTGATTATGCTGTCAAAGACATTGGAAAAATGTCTGTTTTCGACAACAGTCAGAACGATACCAATGTAACTGAATCTGGTCAGATTCTTGGTAACAAGCTCACCTACTGGATCGAAGATCCCAAGATTCACAAACCCATGGTCAACGAGAACGATATGCTTTCAAAGAGGCGCACAGTTCTCCCCACCGAATCTAGAGAAAGATTGGTGACCTACCGTGGAAAGCTTTCTGTCAAGCTCTGCTGGAGAGTAAACGATGGTCCTGTATCTTCCGAGTCCTTTGGTCTCGGACAGGTCCCGATCATGGTTCGTTCTAACCGCTGTAACCTGTACAAAATGTACTCTAAGCAACTTGTGGAGAGCATGGAAGAGTCTGAGGAGATGGGTGGTTACTTTGTTGTGAACGGTATCGAAAAGTTGATCCGTCTCTTGATTGTCCCTCGCCGCAACCACGTTACTGCCATTATCCGTAACTCTTTCCAGAATCGTGGTTCTGCTTACTCTTCCTATGGTTGTGCCATTAGATGTGCTAGACGTGATCAGACCACACAGACCAATACTGTTCACTACCTCAACGACGGCAACAGTATGCTGCGTTTCGCCTGGCGTAAGCAGGAATACATGGTTCCTGTAGTCCTGATTCTCAAGGCTTTGGTGGATACTTCAGACAAGGAAATATTCGATGCTCTCTGTCAGGGCGATATCAAGAACACTTTCTTGACTGATCGTATTGAACTTTTACTGAGATCATTCAAGATCTACCCTCTCTACACACGCAACGACTGTCTCAAGTACTTGGGTGAGAAGTTCAGAATTATCATGGGCCTCGATGACGACTTGACCGACCGTGAAGTTGGTGAGGCTTTGCTTAAGAAGATTGTCCTCGTTCATCTCGACAACAACAGAGACAAATTCAACTTGCTTATGTAAGATATCAGGCAGAAGAAGAAAAGGATATATACATATAAAAATGGGACGGAAAAGGATTGTGTGTGCAGATATCAAGAACAAGCTTGTTAATTGTGATATTATGCTTTTTTTTTATAGTTTCATGATTCGTAAACTTTACTCTCTTGTTTCTGGTGAATGTTGCCAGGACAACCCAGATGCCCCTCAACATCAGGAAGTTCTTTTGGGTGGTCATTTGTTTAACATGATCCTCAAAGAGAAAATTGGTGACTGGCTCACGGGCATTAAGCAGCAGATTCGTAACGAAATTCGCATGTTCCCTGCTAAAGTAGACTTTTTCAACAGTAAGTGATCCAGAAAAAGATTCCAAAGAAAGAAAGAATGAATGAAGGATAGAGAAAAAGAAAAAGATGGAGGAAAGGGAAACATGAGGTTTGACGCAGTATTCTAGACAAGTACATCTCAACTGCCTGCCGCAAGACACCCTCGGATGTCGGTTCCAAGCTGTCTTACTTTATGGCTACTGGTAACCTTGTCAGTAAGACTGGTTTGGATTTGCAGCAGGTAATTATATATAAAGTGTAAAAATGACAAATATACTAATTTCCGTGATATTCTTTATATTCATATTCAAATTCGTATTAGGCTACTGGTTACACTCTTGTTGCCGAGAAACTTAACTTCTACCGTTACATCTCACATTTCCGCTGTATCCATCGTGGTGCTTTCTTCGCCGAACTCAAGACAACCACTGTTCGTAAGTTGCTTCCCGAAGGTTGGGGTTTCCTCTGCCCTGTACACACTCCCGATGGTTCTCCTTGTGGTCTTTTGAACCATTTGGCTCACAAGTGCAAGGTCGTCAACGAACCTTTGTCTGTCGATAAACTTCCCCCTCTTTTGGCTACCCTCGGTGTGTCTCAGGCTGTGTTGCATTCTATCAACCGTCCTGGAGATGTGGCTGTGATGCTCGATGGTTGTATCATCGGTTGGTGTACACCCAAGTCTGCAGAGAAGATTGCCACCAGACTCAAGGTTCTTAGAGTCAATGGTGAAAAGGGTGTTCCTCTCGATATCGAAATTGCTTCTGTACCTGTGTCTTATGGTGGTGAATACCCTGGTTTGTACATCTTCTCTACACCTGCTCGTATGATGCGTCCCGTCAAGTTCTTGGCCAACGGAAAGACCGATATGATCGGTACCTTTGAACAGGTTTACATGGATATCGCTTGTATGGATGATGAAGTTGTGCCCAATGTCACTGCCTACCAAGAGTTCGCCCCCACCAACATCTTCAGTATCATTGCAAACATGACTCCCTTCTCAGACTTTAACCAGTCTCCCCGTAACATGTACCAATGTCAGGTAATTTCTCTTCTCTGTTACTATGGTTTCCGGGGAAATCATATTAACATCAAAAGTACAAGTTAAAAAAAAAAAATAAGAGAAGGGAAGAAAAGGGGGGAATTAAACAAATGATAATTTATACTTTTTCTTTTTAAAAAAAACTTAGATGGGTAAACAAACTATGGGTACTCCCTCTGCTGTAATCAACCGACGTACCGATAACAAGCTGTATCGTATTCAGACCGGTCAGACACCTATTGTTCGCCCCGCACTTCACAATGAATACGGTTTTGACAATTTCCCTAACGGTGCTAATGCCATTGTCGCTGTTATTTCTTACACTGGTTACGATATGGAGGATGCTATGATTTTGAACAAGTCTGCTCACGAACGTGGTTTCGGTTACGGTACTGTCTACAAGTCTGAGATTATCGATCTTTCAGAATACCGTACACACGGTGAACCTATTTCCTATCACTTTGGACTCGATCCCACTAAGCGCAAGAAGTTCATGGGCAAGATCGGTGATGATGGTCTGCCTCACATCGGTGCCCACTTGGAGGCTGATGATCCTCTCTGCTCTTACATTGACGAGTCTACTGGCCGTTCGGTGATCAAGAAGTGGAAGGGACCTGAAGATGCGTACGTTGATGAAGTTCGTCTGTTGGGTGATGACTCTGGTACATCTCCCCTCCAGAAGATTCACATCAAGCTTCGTATCACTCGTTCCCCAGTTATTGGTGATAAGTTTTCATCTCGTCACGGACAAAAGGGTGTCTGCTCTCAAAAGTGGCCCGCTGTCGACATGCCTTTCACAGAGAGTGGTATGCAGCCAGATATCATCATTAACCCTCACGCTTTCCCCTCCCGTATGACAATTGGTATGTTTGTCGAGAGTATGGCAGCCAAGGCTGGTGCTCTTCACGGTATTGCACAAGACAGCACACCATTCAAGTAAGTATCCAAGAAAGAGAGAGAGATAATGTTATGAGATTGTGGTGATTGTGATGATTTTCTTTTGTTCAAAAAAATTGATAATGTTTAAACTTCTTTTTTTAGGTTCAATGAAAAGTACACCGCAGCAGATTACTTTGGTGAACAGCTTATTGCTGCAGGTTACAATTATCACGGTAATGAAGCCATGTACTCTGGTATTACTGGTGAAGAATTGAAGATGGATATCTACATTGGTGTAAGTTATATACATTTTTTTCTCCTTTTTATTTAATTCAAAAAGATGATTACATATACGTATTTATATGAATATTAATGTGTATTGGTCATTAAGGTTGTCTACTACCAACGTCTCAGACACATGGTTAACGATAAGTTCCAAGTGCGTACAACGGGTCCTGTGCACAATTTGACTATGCAGCCCGTCAAGGGTCGTAAGCGTGCAGGTGGTATTCGTTTCGGTGAGATGGAGCGTGATTCTTTATTGGCACACGGTACAAGTTTCTTGCTTCAGGATCGTTTGATGAACTGTTCCGATTATTCAAGAGTAAGTGTCAAGATATTTTAATGCTTTCTTTTATGAGAGGGAGAGGGGGGAGGTAAATTAATTTCTTGATCTAAATTCACTCAACTATTTTATTTTCTTTTATTTTATTTTATTTGTAGGCTCATGTCTGCAGATTGTGCGGTTCGATCGTTTCTCCCATTTCTACAAAGGTCGCTTCTTCACTTTCATCGAAGCAGCACTACGAATGCCGAAGCTGTGGTACATCAAAGGGCATTGATCTTGTCGCAATTCCTTATGTATTTAGATACCTCACTACTGAACTCATGAGTATGGGTATCCGCCTCACACTGGGTATTGCACCAGGAGCCGAAGATTACAAAAAGTAAAGAAAACTGCAAGACTATAAACAAATTTGAGAGAGAGGGGAAAAAAAGCGCAAAAGTTCATCCACCACATTAAATTATCAATTTTACATTCTTTTTTTTTATAATCATAACTCAAAAACACAATTACACAATTACACCCATATATATATATATAAAAATAGCAAAAGAAATGAAAGGAAGACATTGGGATATTCTATTATGAACTTGTTTTGAAATCTGTATATTAAACAACAAGACATAGCGGAAGAAGAAGATAAAGTAGAAGAAGTATATATATATATATATATATATATTCTTTGATTAGATACAATATATGAGCTGTGGATATATAAATCGGTTGCCTTTATATTATTATCATTTTATCCATTGTGTATTTATTTATTGGTTGATTAAAAATGATACTCGGTAAAAACCATAGAGACATTTTCAACAAATTGTGTGTCTTTGAGATTCACAACCGGTGTAAATTACAAACAATTATTTTTATTTGGCGTGGATAAATAATTTGTAGTCGAGACTTGATTATTGCTATAGATATTATGATCAATATTATAACTCTCCTTTTCTTTATCAAAGAAAGTCTTCTTGTTCTATTTTAGCCTCTTAAAGCTTAAATCCGCGTTGATCAAAAGTCCTTTATTCTTTCTTAATATTTTTCACACAAAGTTGTACTCCTAACATGGTTAATCTCCTTTATTTTTGATTTATTGCCATTATAATTTACGTTTTTATTATAATTATAATTATGATTATGATTATAATAAATAGTACTACATGAGACATATTGAAAGGAATACCTTGTTCTGAATATTGATCATTAAATTGAAATGAGTTACATTGAAACGAGTTGCATTGAAATGAATTGCATTGAATTGAATCGAATTGAATCGAATTGGACTGAACCAAGCTAAATCGAAGGAGATAATATATATGCGCATGTATTTAATGGGGTTTTTTTTTGTGATGGAATGAAAACACAAGGAAACTCATAAAGTATCAAGTCAACCAGATGAAACAAACAATTATATGTAGAAATTACCCTATCTAATATAATAATACTTATAATCATCATTAAAAATGAAAATGAAAATGAATATGAAAATTAAATAAAAAGGCTGCACATATCGGGCCATAGCTAGCCAAAAACACACCCAAATTTTAATATTTAATTATTGAATGAAAGTAGAAAAATAAAATAAAAATAAAATAAAAAAATAAGCAAATAAATAAATAGAGATGTCGAATAAATGAATGAAACCTCGACTTCTTTTACGTTTTTTTGTCTTTTGTTTTCCTTAATCCCTAGATTTCTTTTTCTTTATTCTGCCCTTCTTTTTTTTTAAAAAAAAATTATTTTGGTTCTTGGTTTTATCTTCTTAATCTCCACATATATATTCTTTATTTCTACATTATTCTCGAGCTGTGACTAGTACAATATGCTGTCTAATATTATAGCACTATGTGTACTCTTCACATCTACAGTTGTCTCTCAGGATAGTACTTCCCCGAATGCACCTTCGCCAGCCCAGGCATCTCCTGCGTATCTCTCCGATATTCCAATACCCCAAGGTGTTGTTCTAGAATACCCGCGTGATGAAGATGTCCAGTGGGGAGACCTGCCTCCCATACCAGACATTGATCTGTCCGGATATCCTGCCCGCGGTGAACTACCCTCGACAGATAACCCAGAAGTCCAGAATGCCATGAATTATATCGACTGGACCTATGTTCCTCTGGTAGACCCTCGAGAGGTTGTTAACTGGGTGGTTGACACTTCTCAATACGACATTGCTTCAGATCCATACTGCTGGTGGTCTGCGTCTATTTGCAAAAGACCCAAATTGGAGTATCTCCCTGAAGATATATACTACTGTCCAAATGCAGGCGATTGGGGTCTCAACTATGATGATGGTCCATTTAAACTTCTCGACCGAGACCATCCTGACCGCGAATGGGAACAGCCGCGCTTCTACAATTCCCTGGTGAAGTACAATAAGCAAAAGGCAACTTTATTCTGTAAGTAATTCCCTTCAAATTTTTTTTTATTTTTCTTGAAGAAGGAAGGAAAAGAGGGGGGGATATAAAGCTTAACAAGAATAATAAAACCAAAAGCTAAAAAAAAATTAAATATATGCGTACAACAATATCAATGCAAATTCATAGTTGTTGGTGCCAATGTGGTGTCCTTTCCTGAAGCAGCTCAGCGTGCACTTAACGATGGCCATACAATCTGCTCTCACACCTGGAGCCACCCCTACATGACTTCTCTCACAAATGAACAGGTTGTTGCTCAATTCTATTGGACCCAAAAGGCAATCAAACAAGTGCTCGGAATTACACCTAAATGTTGGCGACCTCCTTTCGGCGACGTTGATGATCGTGTTAGAGCTATCGCATGGCAAATGGGAATGCGAACTATTCTCTGGGACCAGGATTCGAACGATTGGAACATGGTAAGTCAATCATTTGAAGTCTTTGTACAACTTTGACTCTGGTCCATGTCCATGTCCTTGTCCTTATTCTTATTGTTATTGTTACCATTCTTTATTCCTCAAACAAAACAAACCGAAAAAAAAAACAATAGCCCGGTACAGCAGGACTAGGACATATCAGCCCTGACACTGTGAATGGGTTCTTCCAAGCCTGGGTAGATAAGCGTGTATCGGGAAATGACAATGAGCATGGCCACATTACTCTGGTAAGACATGTGTTCTTTCTGTAACTCTCTGTCTTTATTACACTCAAAGTACCAAAAAATTATAATGATAATTAATCAACTTAACCCTGTAATTTACAGCAACACGAGAACAGCAATTCAACTGTAGCCATGTCAGAAAAATGGCTTCCTGAACTCCAGTCAGTGTTTAATGTGATACCTATTCATCAGTGCATCAACGATCCATCTCCATATTGGGAAGAATCATTTATCTATCCTACCCTGGACAATCCATTTCCCGACCAACTGGAGCTTTCTGCAAATAACAACAATCAAACCAAGACACAAGTTACTCGAGATCTCTCAGATGGCCCGAACGCGGCTATTCGAATTGGTGCCAATACAGATGCGGATGCTGTACTTAACATAGTCCAAGAAACGTCCGTCCACACGTCAGACGCCTCATTCCTACCATTTTATACCTCCACTCTGGTTTGTATCATGATAATGGTTATTACCATTCTTATTGCTTAAAGAATAAACTGCATTTCTATTGGTCATATATATAGATATATATATATATTTATAAATGTATCTATCTATCTATCTATCTATCTATCTATCTATCTATGTATATTCTTTTTTTTTCATTATAATAATTAACATTTCTAAATTTATATAATAAATATAATTGCATTAAGCTTTATATTAATATTATAATAAAATGAAATACTAGTTAAATATATATATATATCTAAAAGAGGAGAAGAAGAAGAGGGTTATGTTTTATGTACTTTAAATAAGTTGGTTAATATAAATGAAAGACTAAGCAGGTAGGTAGATATAGATATCCTTTTCAACCCTAGAGAAAAATTCTGGAATCCCAAGTCCTTGACACTTTGTGTTCTGCATTCTTTATATATATATATATATATCATTGTTTTGTTCTAAGCACGATAATTACAAGGACATCATTAATAAACTCCCAACAATAGATATCATATAAATTTAACAATGTGTACCAAGATTGCGGGTTTCGGCATATATATATATGACATTTTATGGACAACAAGAAAAGAAGCCGTATAAAATGAGAGGAAATTAATAGGGAGGTTACCAATAAATGAATAAATGTATGTATAGACCTTTGTCACTTTCTTTAATTTTATTTATTTATTAATACTTGCACACATCTACAAGATGTATATATATACTTCTCTGGCTTATGTACTATATCTTTTGAAAGAAAAGAGGGGTTGACTAATAGGGGGGGCTATGATAGATGTATAACAAGAATGAAGGAAGGAGTGATTTTATTTCTTTATTATTATTTTGAAACCTGTTTTTGCCTTATTTCCTATAGAAAACAAAGTTGTACTCGGAAGCAAGTTTGTAATATAAATAAGAGTAAAGGTTTATTAATGTCTGCATGCATGCATTATACATACATACATACATACATGCACATCTTTTATGTAACAAAGAACAAAGAGATAGAGGGATATCAAAATAGCTATATATGATTTTTATTGTATATATATATATATATAAAAGAGTGAGAGACTTTATGAAGGTTTAGATCAACGAACGTGAAGGGTAAAAGACTAAGCTATCCAGTACATATAAAAAACTATTTTATATAAAAAAAACACATTTTCTTTATGCTGAAAGGATATTATGAACAAAGGAATAGAATGAAATAATTGAAAGGAAAGAAAGAAAAGAATATTATAGATAATACCCATTGCAGATGTTAAAGTAGAAAGGAATAAAGAAAGGGCTTGGCACTGCTGTTTTTGGAATGTCTATTTAGGAGTGTTGGGAGACCTGCGTTGAGATGGTCTCTGGTGTGGCTGCCGTCGCTGAGAATTTGCTCTTTGTAGCGGCGGTTGTGTCAATGAATTTCCAGAAGTGGCTTGAATAACAGTGGGCGCCTGTGCGTGAGACGGTGCTGGTGAAACATTTGGAGAGATTGGAGAATTCGATTGAGGGCGATATGATGGATAATAGCCAGAGCTGGCTTTCCCTGGAGCCTCCTTGGAAGGATCAAAGTATTGCATTGCTGGGCCTGAATTAGAACGTGTGGTGTTGGAGCCGTCAGAACCATGAGCAGAGTCTGTGTCTTGCAAGAGTCCGCGTGAACTCTCGTCCTCATGGTCAGGTCCAATCACACTATGTATATAGTGGCCCGGACCCAGCTCACGAATCTTACGTTCACGACGTTTGACAGCCCTGACTCGTTTGCGCTCATAATCTTCCCAACGTTTGAGAGGAACTTTTGTGGGATCAAACACACCGTCCGAGTTACTGTGATCATCTCCCTTGGCTTCTCCGACAACCTTGCGGGTCTCACCCCATGAGAAATCGTCGAAATGCCAGAATGCATAGACCGGAAGTACAAAATTCCATATTGGGAGTGCACACAGATAAACAAGCATCCAAGTAAGATAGACCCATTTACGAGTTGTGATAAGAATCAAAAAGGCAGGTGAAAACAAGACGATTATAAGAAGAATCAACGGCACAGCAACCGCAAAACTAGTGATCTGCGTCTTGGCCATGGAGATAATCAGTACAGCTGTAAGAATGATGGCAACAGGTAAAGTAAGGGTGCCGATTAGATCCATCATGACAACAAACTGCATCGAGAAGCAGAATGTGCCACACAGGTTACGAACAAGAACGAGTTCAAACAGGTTATGAATAGTGGAGTTGATCCATCGGCGACGTTGAGACAACAGCACCTTGAATTCATCAGGAACTACCGTTTTACAGATCTACACGATTTAAATTTTTTTTTGTCAGCAAACCACATAAACTTTTTTTTGGTCTGTGGGTGCTCAATTATACTTACAGCTTGAGGAGTAAAGACCATCTTTCGATAAGGAAACTGGCGGAGCATTAGGGTGGTCAAGAATCGATCTTCACCCAGCAGCAACAAGTTCTTTTGATGAAGTGTATTGATGGTATTAGACGAATATTCCTGAACAATCTCAGGCTTGGTGATGATTGGAACCCAGTCTCCATCTCCTTTACGAGCCTTGAGTCGATACATGCAGAAACAGCCCGGAAGGCAAGTTACACCACCAAACACAGCCTCAAAACCTTTGGCCAGATGATGGGAAATAAAGTATTCATAGACCTGGATTGCTGTCACCCAAGAGTCTCGTTTGTTGGCAATCTTTGTCTCACCGCACAAGCCCATAATCAAATTGTCGTTCACCATGCAATTGACAAGTAGGCGCAAGGAAGTTGAATATACTTTGGTGTCAGCATCAACCTAATATAATATATATATATATATCAGATATTATTAAACTTTCTTTATATCACAAGTATATATATAGAATATAATCAAAAGAGGTGTATATGTATATACAGAATTCATTCTTCAAAAATAAAATTACCATCAAAACGAGCTCAAAATGGTCGGGAGTAACACCCATTAGGTATTGAATCTTTTGGAATAATTCATAGTCCAAGGGAGTCATACGGTCATTGTAGGTTACTCGACTGAAGAAGTTCATCAAAATAAGCTGAGAGTCTCGCTTTCCACGGTTTCCAGCCTTGCCCTTGCCCTCTTCTTCAGGAGCACCAGACTTTACTACCAGAATCATAGGTACCTTGTGGCCTTCACAAACTATGATTGGTTTTTTTTTAAAAAAATAAATAAATTAATTAATTAAATGTATGTATGTACATGTTATATCTTGGTCATGTATGTCCATGCAGAGTTTGTAATTGTATCAAATTGAAAAGGTAATATATGTGCATGAAAAGAAAAAAGAAAAGAAAAGAAAAGCTTACCATAATGACCTGCATACACCTTGGCACAGTTGTGCTGTTTTGATCCATTGGCTACTGCAATGTAAGGTTTTGGTTCCGGATTTCTCATATCCGGGTTGTCGATAGTAACCAGGGAGAGACACATCTCAGGTGTTGACATTGTCTCGCCACTGCCTGTAATCATTCCGTCGGCAATAAGAAACAAGAGCTTGCGGTCATCTGGATAGTCTGTCATGGAGAGCGACTCTACAGTGCCCCGGATGCCTTCGGTGTTCTCGGAGTAACACGTGATTAGCATAACCGTATAGAGATCATTGCCTACTTCTACTTGAGACTTGACAGTGGTGGATGAAGCTTGGCGTACAGGGGCAGCCAGGGCAGGCAGGTTTCTGGTCTCGGACATCTCTGGTGCTCCCAGGGAGACAGCCGGAGGAGATCGTGTTGCTGGAGGAGGGCTGCGAGACAGTTTGCGGGAAAGGAACCACGAGAAGATTAGGGCCATAAAGAAACGAGCCAGGACGATGGCCAGGACAATGAAGAGCGAGCAGAATAGGACCAGAGAGGCAGCAAAGCATCCTGGGGTATCCTTGTCGATATGACCAGCCATGTATTTTGATATGATGCAGTTTACAGATGCTCTGAATTCTGGTTCACGAAAGAACATTTTTGTGGCATCGCGGCCACCTGCTGCATAGGTCTGGTTGAGGACAGCTCTGATCATGGCATCGAGGGGGTCGTTGGCAATTGGGGTTGGGTAGGCATTAATATAGGGGTCCATGTTGAGAACATTGCCGTCAATTACAAAGAAGTTGGTCAGGTTCTTAGAAGCAAGCTGGGTCCAGTCAAATCCAACCAGACGACTAGAGTTTGTGATGTGGATCTGGTTGTAAGTAGCCTGGCTAAGGTCTCCAAGAGGACAGCCGCCGTTTCCATTGTCAGCAGAGCAAGGATCAAAGGCAACGGCGTGAAAGGCAGCGGCTTTTGCGTTATCTATACTGGTACAAGCTGGGAGGTCTGTGCCATGTTTGAAATAGTTGGTGATATCTGTACCGGGCACGCTAGCAAGAGCGTAGAGGTTGACGTTGGAAGTGACTTGTGAGTTTGATACATCGAACTGCCAGCCAGCCACACCCAGTAAAGAGGCTATGGATTTTTTTTTTGATAATAGAATTAATATATTTTTTTCTTCTTATTGAACTGTGTGCTTTATGTGTATATATGTATTATATATTTAAAGTGTGTGCTTCGTTTGTGTAAATATGTAGATATGTAGATAAAGTGGCTTTGAAAAAAATAGTAATTTAAAGAAAGAAAAAAGAAAATATATCTATATATATATATATAATTATATAGAGATACATAAAAGAAAGAGAGATAATGAATTTGATAAACTTACGGCTATTCATGGTATCGTTGTACGCAGCATAATTTCGCTGGTTGTTGGCTTCATCTGGTGGACACATTACTGAGCTGAGCCCTACAGTAATGAAGGCTACAAAACCACCCATACAGGCAATAATGAAACACAAGGCGATTTTTTCACGCCACGCTTGCTGCATCCCTGGGTCTGTCTTGCCTATGGCTCTGAGCATGGGGGGTAAGGCCCAGAAGGTGACAACCCTTGAGAAGAGAACCCAGGGATCGAAGAAACCCCGGCTCGTAGATTGCTTGCCGGTGAGTAGGGGCGGCGGCTCTTGGTATCGATCTGGTCGGATCAAGGTGCGACCTCGTTGGATGTTGTGGCCTGCGTTTGCGATGCTGTTCGCACCGGGAGTAATGTGTCGTGTGGGTGCCCGTCCTAGGGTGGTTGTGCGTCTACCTACAGACGCATTTCCTTGATAATAGACATCTTCGGTTGAGGCTGTATAATTGTAGTCTGTTCCTGTTGAAGTGGCCGGGTTACCACTAGGCAAGCCATTATTGGCTCCATGCTCATAGCCAGCAGGAGACATGAGGATTGTATAATTGTAGGGGTAGTAATAAGAGTAGTGCTGGTAATTGTATTATTATTATTCTTCTTCTTCTTCTTTTTCCTTTTACTTCTTTAACAAAGAGAGAGAGAGAGGGAAAGAGTGAAAAGAGAAAGAGAAACGAAGAGTAAGAAAAGAAATTGGATGAGAACTATTGCTCCAAAGGGGGGGAAGGTAAGAAGGTAGACACGAGAGAGAGGGGTCCTTTCTTTTTATTTTTTTATTTTGGAAGGGATGTTTCTGGCCCAAAGAGATAATAATATATAGAAAGGCACAACAGGGAGTCAAAGGTTAGAAGGAAGAAGAAAAGACAAAAAAAAATAAAAAAAAGAGGAGTTGAGGATTCCATTATATATTTTACAACCATAAAAATTTCTGCAAAGTATTATAGATAATGACTACAGCAACTACACAAATTCCAACAATAATCTATTAAGAAAAAAAAACTGTCAACCCTAAAGAATTAAAGACCGTAATTTTATTTTTTATTTTTTTAAGAAAGAAAAAAAAACGGGCTTCTTGTACAACTCACGCCCCACAAGAAGTATAGATAGAAAGCCATGGGCTATTTTTACCAGTCCAAAAAAGAAAGAAGTAAGATGTGTGTCCCCTTTGAACAGGCTTCAAATGATTCGTTGTCCGCGCGACATTGCAAAAATAAAACATAAATCCCTATTAAGTGATACCAGAGCGGGATAGCTTCTATTCTGCCTCCTTCTCGAGCGTGGCGTGAAACCGATCGTTGGCAGATCTCATTGTGAAAGGACAACAAAATGTGTAAAGAAATAAGCCCCTCCCCTCCTTCCACCTCCTCCTCCTTCTCTTCTACTGGCCCTCAACCCTCTTCTGTATCTTTGACCTCTTTTATATCTTTATCTCTTTATCCTCTTCTTTTTTCTAATTTTTATTTTTTATTATTATTATTATTTTACATTTTATTGTGAAAGAAAAATAACATCAGTTATGCTTGATTCCACTAAGCATCTCTAGATAATCTTCGGATGAAGTTGCACATTCGAGCTCATCTTTCTTGGTTGCATACAGACTCTCATATACCTTTTCAGCTTGTGAAGACTACAAAAATGAAGTTGGTAAGTAATTGGCTATATACACAAGTAAGTCCATGTGCTATTACCCGTTCGTCATAGTACACCATTGGTTGCCACTGTTCTTCTTCAGCATTACGAACAGACATGGAATACAAATTTCTTCGGCCTGGACCGTCCTGCTCTGCATTTTTGACAGAAACCTATATTTTACCAAGAGAAAAAGAGAGAGAGAGAGAAAGGAAAGGAAAAATAGAAATGTATAGATTAGTATAAATTAATCTCCATAGAATAAAGAAATTCAATGCATTCGAACCTGAACTGCCTGAGCCTGGTTGTTCTCTACAACTGGTTTCTTAGTCTCTTCGAGCTTTTCTTGATCTTGGATTCTCTTGTTGGCTGCCTTTAACTTTTCGTCGATCTTGTCAATGTACTTGAAGCCGGGCCTCAATTGAACAATAGAATGAAGCGGGGTAACATGCAATTCATCTTTACATATAAATATTAATAACCATATAATAGAAATATGCAATTGAGTAAATAGATATATTGTATTTTAATTCGGGTGAATGTATTTATAAACCAAGTAATAATTAGAAAATCCATACATATATTTTATATTGGTATTCATTTTTTTGTGTGTGTGTTTCCTTGTTTGATTTTATTGTAATATTATCGATATACCCTTTTTGTTTTTTTGATCTACTGCCGTAAATACTATTGCAACTACTGCTACTAATACTAATACTAATAATACTATGCATAATAATAATGATAATATATATAAAAAAAAATTAATGAAGAAGAAGCTTACCTTGTCGTAATACACCTATCAAATACTTGGTCTGACTAGGAATGTCTGTGGATGTCAATGTCATTTTATCCAACAGCTCGTCTTCTTTTTGTTTGTTTTTGTTGTACATGTTTCCGGAAGATTGCTCTCCATGTTCTTCCATGCGTCGATCATATGCTGTCTTGATCGTCTTGTCATTCATACCCATTGCAAAATCCTCACCCCGATCAGTATTGTAAAAAGCTGATCTTGTGTCCAAAGGCAGATCCAATTCAACCTTTTTTGAATTAGGCTTCATGCGAATAGACAATGGCCCGGTTCTGCTGGTAAATGGAGCATTGCGTAGTGGGTATTGAAACAAATGAAGATACTTTGAGAGTTTGTTGTTTAAATAGACTGGGATTTCGGCAAGAATCTCATCATTGTCGTCAGAATCAATCTGTTCGGTAGGAAGCTCTCCAATAAGATCGCTTTCAAAGAGTGTTGGTGCTGGTGTTGGTGTTGGTTCGAGTGAAGGAGAGTTTATTGGTGATGCCATTATTATGTTAAACTTGCTCCAAAAATAATAATAAAAATATGTATATTTGGCGGGTTGGCTCAAACAGGAAGAAACTTGGGACATCAATATAAAAAAGTCACGATGTTCTTGAGCATGAACAAAAGATCAGGTCCAAGCTCAAGCTCAAAATCAAGCCCAAGCCCAAGTTCAAACTTTAATATTTATATTTATTTTACTTTTATAAAAAAAATAGCTACAGAAAAATCAAACTTAAAGCTAAATTATCCTTCGTTTCTGTAGCTATTTTTGACTAATATGTCTATATTATATTGAGTGGGATAATGAAGTACACTGAATTTACTTTGTAGACTAGCCAAAATAATACTCCAAAGTTTCTTGTACACATATGTACTTAACCATTTATACACTGTCAATTTAAGCAATACATTGTCCTTTTCCCCTCAAGTAAATGCTTATATACACATACACTACTCTATCAATAAAATTATACGATTCTAAACCATTCAATTGGTTCACAAAGGAGTATGAAGAGGTAGAGGAGGTGAAGGAGGAGAAGGAGGAGGAGGAGAAGTTAGGTTGTGGCAGCAGGGTGGCGGTGATGCAAGTCGTCTTTTGAAGCAAGTTTATAAACATGGTCTACATATTAAATGTTTTCTTTTTTTTTACGCTTAACTTTCGATTGTTCAACTCTCTATATTGTTTTTTTAATCAGTGTTATTTGCAACACAACTTGGGATTTCCATTTGAATTGACATGACCATCAACGATAACGGGTACTTTTGACTCAAAATAATATACGGATCTATATTTAACGTCCTTCCCTTTCTTTTTATTCTTTACAGAATTATTAAAGCCTCAATTTGCTTATGATCTGATAAAGAAGAGTACAAAAATAACGACTGAGCCATACGTGTGTCTATATATTATATACCTTTTGCACTTTAGATCTGTAAATAATAAGATTATTAATATATGAATTGCTTAAGATATATATAAATATATATAAATCAGTCGGCTAGTCATTGGTTCAGTCACTCGATCACTCTATCACTAAGCCGTACTATCTTTTATGAAAGATCTCTATATAAATACAAACACAATATTTAAAATAAAATATTATTATTGGGATTTCAACAACAACAGCAGCAAAAATGCAATCAGCTCTTTGATAGCATATGAACCAAAAAATAATACATAATAATAAAAAAGGCTTTGTTTCTAGTGAAATCTTGGTAATTTACAAGTCTATCAAATATATATATTTTGAAAATAACCAATCTCTTTGGGTAAAGGAAACCCAGAAAAAGAAAACGACAACCCTTGTACAGACTTATTCCCTTGGATTTCCCTGTTATATATATATATATATATATATTCAATCCCCTCCCTCTTAACCCCTTTGCTTCTTATATCTATATCTTATACATTTTGTTACCAAAGTATTACACATTTCGTTGTTGTTGTTTCTTACAGTCTATAGCCCTTGTAATTATTTTGATAGAATAAACAATTATAATAAAGCAGAAATAATAATAATAATAACAGTAACAGTAACAATGATAATAGTAATAATAATAATAATAATAATAATAATACTTGACCATCCTAATAATCTACAAAGGTATAAAAAGTCGTCTATTTGGTAGGAAGATACTACAGAAGAAGAAGAAAAAGGAAAGTTAATATTTGATGTAAAAAGCCTGGATTTAAGCCATATTAAACATTGTACACAGTGTTCTTATTACCTTGTAAGGGTTCATAATTCCATTGGGATCAAACAGGTTCTTGATAGTCTTCATCATATTGATCATGACAGGAGACTTTGAGTACCCCAAGAACTCATTCTTAGCCACACCCAAACCATGCTCAGCACTAATGGATCCCTTGTGCTTGGCTGAGATTGTGTACATGAAATAGAAATAGAAATAGAAAAATACAAGACAAGACAAGACAAGTCAAGGCAAGGCAAGGCAATATTAGTATTTTATTCTATCCATATATCACACATATTTTATATATGTATATATGTATATGTATATGTATATATTATACGTATAGAGAGAAAGTGAAAGATAAAATTAAAGTTAAAAACCTTGAGTAACACTTACCAACCCACTCAAACAAATAAGGTTCAATCAACTCAGAGGTCTTCTTGTCGTGACGGTTAGCAGCAATGTTCAAATGCAGGTTTCCATCTCCAACGTGACCATATGCCACGACATCAATAACAGCCGAGTCAGGTTTACCCAAAACACCACCCTGAGTCAAATGAGCTCTCATATCCTCTACACACTCATAGATCTTGGGCACAGGCATAGAGATGTCGTACTTGTACACAGCTGGCTCTTTACCCAACGCCTCAGTGAAGCCCTCGCGAATTGCCCACAAGCTACGGATCTGGGTCTCGTCCTGTGCAACAACACCATCTTGTGCCACTTCGTTCTCCATCATTTTTTCAAGATAGTTGTTCAATTTCTAATAGTGTGAATCTATTTAGTAAAAGTAATTTATGTCGATTCTGTTCTGTTCTTTTATATATATATATATATATAAAAGACCAATATACTATACTTTAACTCACCTCATCATCATGGTCCTTGTTCGATCCACTAGTTTCAACCAAAACATAGAAGGGGTACTCGTTTTCCATGGCAGCTTTAGTAACAGCGTGCTTCTTGAACATTTCGAGAGCATTGATATCCCAGAATTCAAATGCTATATATGTGTGTATTAAAAGGTTAGTAATATTATACACACCCACGCTTATAAATATAGATATAGATATAAAAATTTTACCCGAAAGAATTTCAGAAAGTTCCTTGCGAGAGTGTGTGAATGCCTTTTGGACGTCTTCAAATGAGTTTAATCCAAGAAGAGCAACATTGACAGCCTACAAAAAAAAGTATTATTATTGAATTTTTCGCTTTCTCTTGGTATTTAAATATATATATATATTGTTCTTATTCTCACCTTTGAACGATGGGGTGTGAGGATAGATACACCAGTAACAACACCAATAGTTCCTTCTGATCCAATAAACAATTGCTTCAAGTCATAGCCTATTTATTTATTTTTACACACGCATAAAAAAAAAGCCTGTGAATTTGCGTACAATATTTTGCCGGATTTTCTCTATTTCGCTTCTGTATAGCTTGCTATACTAATCATTGCTATTACTTCACTAACCAGTATTGTCTTTGCGAAGGGTAGCCATGTTGTCGAGAATGGTACCATCGGGTAAAACCTAAACAGCAAAATAAATACATAAATAAATAAATAATGCATTCATTCATTCATTCGTTCACACGCTTAATCTTTTCATGGCTGAAACACATATGCACGCACGTACTTGCAATACGTATTAGATATACATATTTAACACCCCCTCACAATTAAAGAAAGGAAAGAAAAAGATCTTACTACTTCTAATCCCAAGACAGTTCCATGAAGAGAACCATAGCGCAACAAACGCAGACCACCAGCATTAGTGGCAATGTTGCCTCCAATGTGACAACTAGATTAATTCATTCTTTGTGTTGAATATATAATACACTAGTTGATTTTTGGGGATTATTTTTTTGGTCTTACCTTCCCTTTGCTCCCAAATCCAAAGGCATCATGTAACCTTTCTCACCCAACCAATTATCCAAGACTTCAAGAACGCAACCTGCATCAGCACTAAGAACACCTGAAAGTTTTTTTTTTAAAAAAAAATTATTGTGTAAATACAAATAAACTTCTTTTATATATATATATCTAAAATTTTCTCACCTGAAACATCATCAAATCCACGAATGTTGTTCATGTTTTGCAAGCTCAAAACAACTTCGTCAAATAATGGTACAGATCCACCGACCAGACCGGTATTTCCACCCTGTGGTACGACAGCAATCCTAAATAAAATAAAATAAAATAAAATAAAAATAAATAAATAAAAAGCACATAGTAATACTTATAAAATATAACTTAGTGTGAGTCTGACTTACTTTTGGTCGTTGCAGTACTTCATGATAGCAGACACTTGCTGGGTGGTCTTGGGCTTCAATGCCAATTGAGACTTTCCACGGAACTTATTCATCCAGTCGGTGTTAAAGGCGAATAGGTCATCTTCATTTTTGTACACAACACCGGTTTCACCAAGAAGAGACTTGAAGAAGTCGACGTCTTGCTCGGTAATCTTTTTTTTTTAAAAAAAAATAATTAATTAATTAATTGATTGATTGATTGATTGATTGATTGAATCAAATTGAATCAAATTGAATTGATTTTGTTTTTTATGATTTGAAGATACTATTTATCTTATTTTAAAGAAGCTAGTGTTGAAGGATCTGTATACCTTTTTAAAGTTCTCGTTTCTAACGTGCCCAGGGAACTTATCGACCGTGTAAGGAATGACCTTTTTGGTGGAAGGAACGACAGTTGTAGTGTAGAGACGTGTGGCGTTCAAGATAGGCACGGCCACTGTTCTGAGTACGTTGGGTCGGGTGGCGACAATTCTAGCAGTGGTTTGAGTCAGTGCTCTCAAACGTCCTGTGGCTGAGCGGGACATCATTTTGATGCGTATTAAAAAAAATGAAAAGAAGAAGAAGAAGAAGAAAAGAGAAAGAAGATTCGATTAGTCTCTCTTTCTTACTTTTTTTTCTTACAAAAAAGGTACATAAAAAAAAATCCCAAAAAAAAATGAGAGGTTAGATCTAATCTCCGACCGGAAAGATGTGACGTGTTTCACTGCTGAATTGGTTAACTGACCAGTGCGAATTAAATTAGAGTGAATTTAACTCTTATTGTTATATCTCTAAAGTCTTTTATTTTCATTCTCTGTTATGACTAGTTTAGAATTATATTAATATTAACTTGGCTTTATGACCAATTAACCAATTGAAACAAGATTATAAAGGTTAACTAGCGCTAGTAAGTATGGGTAGTAGTAGTAGCATTATTCATAGGAGTATTTGACATGACAAAAATCAAAAAGAGGATAAAGAGGTATTTTACTATAGTATGTTATCTTAGGAGATTCTACTCTATTCATCTCCTTTACCCCAAAATTATGATACTATATATGTATATAAAAAGGGACGTAATGAGCTCAATAATAATAATGATAATAATTCATAAGCAATTTCTCATTATTTTTTTTATTAAAGAATTCTTTATTTAACTCCCACTCATTTCGCCCCCTTTCTTTATATTATATATCTTATTAAACAATTACCATCATTATCATTAATATTATTATTATTAATAATAATAATATATTTTTTATTAAAAAAAAATCAAAGGGGGAGAAAGATATTAAAGAGGATATTGACATGAAGGATATGATTGAATATACGATAAATTCATTAATTTTGTACAAGAGAAACAATATACATATATATATATATATGTGTGTGTGTGTGTGTGTGTAAATGAAGTATGGATCATTATAATAAATAAATATAATAAATATTTGAGGGAGAGTCCTTTATACAGAGAGGCTAGACTGCGTATAAAGGCGGGATTGTGCAGGTTGAGTGTCTGCAGCAAACGATTGAGGGGTAACCATTGCCGGAAAAGACTGTGCGTCAAATGGACTAGAATCGTGAGAGTGTCTGATTTTCTGGGATGGCAGTTCATAAACGATATTGAGCTCGGACAGGATGTCCTTGAGAGCCATCACAAACCGAGTGTGTCGTTGCCAGCGCTTTCCAAGATCCTGCCAATTGCCTTTGTGAGGTAGCCACATTGAAATGATCAACTGGTTCACATCAATGATATCAACCACACGCAAATCAAATCCGTGAGAGAAATCTCGGGTCTGCTCATTGACCCAGCCAGTGATCCGGTCTCTGAGCTGGTGGACATCCTCTGTCTTGGTCCTAAAGTCGATATTGATCACTATGGACTCCCCCATGTCTCCAGAACGGCGCACATTTGTAATCAGTTTGGTCATCAGAACAGTCGTGGGTGCGTAGATTTTCTGTCCGTCAGCTCGGATAAAAACAGTTCCCATCAATCCCATGTTATGCACCAGCAATATCTGTGTGTCAATTATTACATAATCGCCTGCATCGTACGGGTGGGTCACAAACAAAAAAAGCACACTTTCAAAGATGGTTTTGCAAGTATTGCCAAACACAAACGTGAGTGCAAGCAAGAAAGAGCCCAGGGGAACCAAAGACTGCCAAATGTCAACTTGAAAGACCGCAAGACAGACAAAGATGGTGGCAATTGAGCTGACAATAAATAGCATTGCGTCCACTTTACCCAGTGCTTGACTAGTATCACGAATCGATTGCGAGAGTGCCTTGCGCTCACGGTAGATCTCCAGCACAGTGTCGCGGAACTCACGGCGGGTCAGATTGCCGTTGCCGTCCTTGTCAAATACACCAAATGCCTTCTCGGCTTCTTCTGGTGTCTTGAAATACGGTACAAAGTCTCGAACATAAAGCGAACGCTTCGAGTCTGCCTCTCCAGGTGGAATGCCGTGAGGGTGCGCAAGACTATAGAAGAGCTTCTTGGCGACTTTCTTGGCAAATTCATTCGAGTTGATGTCCACCTTGGCTCTCTCAATCCGGGTCCTTGCTTCCGGTTGATCGATCATCACAATGTTCTGGAGCTTCTTTTGAAAACTGTTGATCGCATCGGCGGTAGAGGTAGTTCGTTTATTATTGGGTCTTTGGTTGGTATTAACACCTGTACTATAAGCGGCCGCGCCTTCGTTATCCGACAGAGCGCCGCTTTCCCATCGACCGTTTGGCGAGCGACGATTTCTTAGGTTGGATGGTTCAACTCTCGAACGACGATTTTCGGACTTGCTGAGAGAATCAAGGACTATTATTATCATTTCAAGAAATGAAAAACATTAGTAATATTATTAATACCAATGTTTTTTTTATCAATCAATCAACTAAAGAAGTTTAATATACATACTTTTGAGCGCATGCTTGCTTTCATGGAGACGTTCTTGGTAAGCAAATTGATGGAAACGGGTAGCTATAATTTATTTATTTATTCAAGACAATAAATGAACTAATTAAAACCCGATTGTACAACTATTACCACCACCAACTGAGGTTTAAACAACTGTATAAAATATACGGGTATCTTAAACTTACCAATGAGCTGGATAATTGATTTCTGGACAAACAGAAAACATGAAGCAGCAAATATACACGCAAATACTTTCCAGATGATAGCAGAATAGTGATTGTTTTCGACAGACTATTGAGGTAACCAAGAGGCCTTGTTAGTCTGATCTGAAACAAGAGTTCCTTTTGAGTCTAGTGTATCTTACTGAGAATGGATGTTGCAAGAAAAAGGCCCAAGCGCCCCAGTTCCAAGAGGCCACTAAGAGGATTCCAATATAGAGTTTGACGGCCATGTAATACTTTTTTTTTTATAAAAAAAAATCAAAAGGTTTATAATTCAATAAGAATCTACTCGTTTTCATCATATTCTTGGACTTACCTCCATTGTAGATTTTACACGCTCTGATCTTCTTCCCCAGCAACACTTTGTCCATAGAGAGACTGCCGAGGGAATCATTTCGATAAACACAGTTGTGATCCACCCAATGTGCCACATAAAGGCAGCCCAGTACATCCATAATTGAACGTTGCTTCGGACGTTTGTAAAATTGGGATCTTCCATCTCAGCCTGACTTGGGGGTGGTAGAAAAACATTGACGCATACAGCAACCCCGACAAAGGTACCTGAACCCAAGATTGCGATTATAAAGCGTTTCATGAAAGGCGAAAGAAAGTGCCAGCAACATGGTCTTTGTATGGCAGCCTGAAACCGTTCTCTGGCCGTTCTCCGTCTCTTTGGTTTCTGAGGTTGGCTGGGATCATCGTTCCAGTCAAATTCTGTGTCGTCGTCGTCTTCAATATCAATGTTTTCAATCAAAGGATCAGTGCTTCTGTTGTTAGTGTTGTTGTTTGAGTCTCGGGCAATGTGGCTCTCGGTTACTCTGAGATGGTAGAGTCCATCATCTTTTTCTCTGTCGTAGTTAGGAATATCTTCAAATGGGTTCTGGATGTCATTTTCGTCTTGATCTTTGGCGAGTGTTCTGCGAATTGTTGGAGTACGAGGAAGTGTGGAATCCCTCTCGGATGGTTCTTGGTTGGGCTCATAGAAGAAGTTGTCTGATTTCATGTCAATTGAATAAGGTTCTTCTTTTCGACGCAGATCATTTCTTTGGTGTACAGGAGGAAGATCTTCATTTTGGTTTTATAAAGTTTAGTTTGTGTGAGACCCAAAAGATTATTATTATTATTCTTATTCTTATTCTTTGTGTATTACCCGCAATCAAGATCTTTTCTTCATCTGCTATACGAACAGTTTTTGGGCCTGACATCTTTAAAACAAAAAGTAAAGAAGAAGAAGAAGAAAGACCGATTGTTTTTTTTTAAAGTAATATTTTTAAACGATAAAACAATCGGACACTCTGTTGACCTCCCGATTCCCAATGTTTCAAAAAGAAGAATCAATTTCTATCCAACCGTCATTTCTCTTTCTCTATCTTATTCTTTCGGAGTAAGAAGATAGTCTTTTCCATGACCAGCTTACCTACATTTTTATTTTATTTTTATTACTCTTACTACTACTTGACCTTTACTGTTTCTATTAATAATATTTTTTATAAAAAAAAACAAATTGAAACATCTATATTTACATCTAACTTGGTCTAGAATTCAAAGGTATGGTATTCAGTAACGTTGGCAACTATTTTAGCTCTTGACCCAAAATGTTTCAAACACATTTGTATACACACATATACGCTTATATATATATAATATGTAGGTATGTCTCTATCTGTAGATTCAATATTAATTTGTGTTAATATAGACATCAAGTACAATAAGATCACCGAGATTTTTGTATATTTTCTTTTCAATTTCAAAATTAGTTTTTGGTTCTCCGCCATTCATATGTATGAGTATGTGTTTAAAAGACTTGGCTTAATCCAAGAAGTCAAGAAACTGTTTATATTATAGTAGTATGATATTATATCTTTACTAAATATACTATAAAACAGAGTAATAATAAATGTTGGTCTAGACTAACTAAATGATGTCTCTTTAAGGAATAGAGTAAATGGATAAACTTGAATTGACGGCGAATTAATATTTACTTGTCCTGAGCCCTGTCTTGATCAAGTAAGAGATCGACTAGTGATTTACGTCAATTGAGACATATAATATTTTGTGTACAGGATTTTAAGTACGAAATAGTGACATCCCCAAGTTGATTTATTTATTTTGGCTGCTACTTGTAATATCTATGACAATTGTCTTTAGTTTATTACATCCCTATTCCGCACTTAAAACTTGGTATGCGTTAAATCCAATAACCGAGTAGCTGGATCACCACAAACATCGTCCCCATCTTCCACAACGTCCCTTTCTTTTCTCGCTCCATTTTTTTTCACCTTTAAAGCAACCGAAACTGTTCACACAAAACGGAATCATAAGAATAAGAGGTTAGTACACTAACTATTTCGCTCCATAGCTCTTAACCTCGCACTCTTCTGAACCAAGGGATGATGTATAATCGTCGTGGCCAGAAATGACCGAAAAGTAGTTGAACAAGGAAAGAGAAGAAGAATAATAATAAATCGGCCATAGTCATTAATTTCCATTATAAACCATTCTTTAACTAAATAAAAAAAGGGTATACATTGCATAATTGACTGTATCTATTTCTTTTTATATGAAGCAGTGTAGAAGTTTTGGGTGGCAGTCAAAAGATTCAGATTGTTCTGGTTATTTAAGAATACCATTTCGTTGATATACTTCATACTTTCTTACATCTTGGAAACGATCCACGATAATATACTCTAGAGATTTATGGTTTCTAAGAAAGATTAAGTCAGCGTAAGTGTTCGTGTGTGCGTTTATAAATAATTGCTCGGTGACACATAGACGCCTGTCACTTCGAAGCCGGATTGCAAGCACAGAATCATTTTTTATAAATGATTTCGTTTAATTTATCGTCTGACATTTCGATAGGATTTTTTCTTGCATAACTGATCACATCAAAGCCATTCATCTTGAGCCTTTTTATAAATTATTTATAAAGAAATTGGTAGTTGTTGATATTCTGTGCTAGAAAGGCTTATTTACTATGTTAGTCCCTAGCTTCCTCCAGCCGATAAACTATACTACATCTGCCATCAGTTTCCATTACATAAAGAACCTTTCGTTTTGTTCGTTTGCCGTTGTGTATCTTTCTTGTTACGGTCGCCTTCAAATATCGTACTTTTATTTTTTGAGGGGTCAGACTTTGATATTTGTTAAATGTTTCAAAAAAAAAGTATTAATAATAGATAGATATAAATATAAGAAAAAAAATTATAAAGAGGATAAAAATTGAGATAGAGATATGAAAAAAAAAAGTTGATTTTTAGCCAAGAGAATTTTCATGTATTTTTGCGTTTGCCAAGAAGTGACCTTGCATACTTCCAGGCTGTCCGTAAGGTTCCCCCCAGAAAAGTCAGTTGGTGTGACGCCATGATTAATTATTCAATCTGACCTCCCCAACATGTCCTTCCAGCATGTCCGTAACATCCCCCTATTAACATATAACTTGATTGTTGACTTTTGTTAGATCGTTCTCATTAGTAATTGTGGAAGCACAGGAACTTTTTTTCAAACGAAGATACTGTCCCCAATATTACTGAAGATTAGTATCCTTATTAGAAAGTTACAAACACTCAAATTTATTCCTTTTTTTTTTAAAAAAAAAAAACTCAATTGAAAAATAGAATTCTGCTAAAGAGCTTCAGTGTGCGTCCAAGTACTTTTGCAACTTTTAGCACCCTTTCTAACCAATTAAAAGACACTTTGCATAAAAGAAGCAGAGAAACGATAACAATAACTGAAATACTTTTAACCTATACATAAAGGAAAAAAATAGAACTTTAGTATCTGTGATATGAATGAATTTAATTTTAAATATCATACAATCAAATCAAATTGCTATAGATTCTTATAGGTGTAGTATGCTATAGCATATGATCTTGAATTTCAAAAGTAGGAAGCACGTCTGCTGAAATACAAAAGTTTAAACCAAGAAAAACAAATTCGGCAAATACAGTAGTGGGTATTTTGCTATAGAACAACACCTACTCTAATAAGAAAAAGAAAAAGAGGAAAGAAATCAGCTTGCTTTCTCTAAAGAAGATGCTTGACATATTTGACAAAGGATATTATGTTAAACACATCTATTTACAGTATCTGCAAGTTCTGATATGTCGTGATGTTTTTTAGCACTTGTTGTAGATCTTTATGTACGTGTGTATAGTATGTATAGTGTGTATAGTGTGCATGTACAGTGTGTAGTATGTATGTGAGCGTGTGCGTGCATGCGTGCGTGCGTGCGTGCGTGCGTGCGTGCGTGCGTGCGTGCGTGCGTGTGTTTTGTTCTGTAATAGAATAAGCAAAAGAGCAAAAGAAAGGCTTTTGTAATGAATGTGGGAAATAGTGATTACAATTTCCAAAAATATATATATATATAAAAGTAAAAATAATAAACTTCAACGTTGTGTAAGGCTGATATGCAAACTTGAGGCTCCACTTGTTCTTATTGACAGCTTAGATTGGTTCACAGGGGTTAAAGTTGTATGCAATCAATCAAATTATATTTTGCGTGTATGTCTTATTTAGATCAACCTTCTTTATTTATAAAGATCAAGTGTTTAGTTGAATACTTTTTTATATGGTTCTTTCCCCTATTTCTTTTTTTTTACAAACATAAGATATTACAAATGAAAGGATAATTGTTATTAACTTGATAGAGTTTCTTGGCACCAGGGTTTCCAAGGATACAAATAAGCAAAAGGAAGGGGTTGAAAAGAAATATGTAGAGTTTATTTGATAAGTGAGTTTGTAAATATGTGTAGCTGTTTCGGTGAACATCAATATATGGTTTCTGTGCATGAGCTATGGTGATATTTTGTCTGTCAAAACCGAACTAGACGCATAAATACACAAAACCCAAAGTTTATCTGATGATCTTTCTCGCTAGTCTACAAGAGTAAGAGTAAAAGCAAGAGCAAAAGAACGAGAATAAGAATAAGGATAAAAGTAAGAATCGCCATATAGAATATTGGTGCGGATAGACATATAGATAGATCGATAGATAGATAAAGAAGATGGATCGAAATAGATACAGCACAAAATAGAGGGGAGAAAGGGAGAAAACATTAAGAATCTATTCCGGTCGAGCCGAATGATCTAGGCCAATAAGAAACCACCTTGAACAGACCTTGTTATAAAATAAATCAGAAACACAAGGTTACCAATAAAATAGCATAGGGTTTTCATTTTATATATATATATATTATTTTTGGCTTTGTTTAAGCAATATAAATAAATGGCCAATGAGTTTCTTCCTTTAATTCTATAAAGGTAAAACGATCTAGTCTAGTGGTGATAAAGTGACGAGATTTATGAATAATACGTGCGTGTGTTGGTGTATGAAAGATTGGAAGATTGAAACCAACAAGATGGACTCTCTATACAGCTATCTAAAGACCTATAAATAATATTAGAATACATGGATATTGGTAATGATTTATAATGATTTAAAGTATTAACATTTTCCCTTGGAATAAGCGTATAATTTTCATACTTATTTTTACTTTTTATTTTATTTTACAGTGTAAGATATCAATAATATAATATCTCTCTTTCTCTGTGTGTGCTTGTGTATGTGCGGGCTGCAAATACTTTGTTTCCGGTTCAATTCTTGCCAGTCATGTGTTTGTGTGGGATAATCAGACTAACAGTAAAGTAATGGTAAGAGCAAAAGGGTTGATAATGATAACAATAATAATAATAACAGCAACAACAATAGTAATAGAAAATAGAAATATAAGACTCCTTTGGAAATATCTTCCTACTCATATTTACTTGTATATTAGATTTAGGCACAAGAATTGTACTCTCAATCATCGTTAATTATCATTATTTCTTAAAATTAGAATTTTAAGAGAATTACACAATATCTACAGATTACTCTTTGTCAATTCATTCATATATATATATATTCATACTTACTGGATACTTGGATACTTAAATACGTTGATCCCATCTATGCTTTACTATCTCATCTTATTAAATTAAATTAAAAACAGTTCAATAATTTGTAATTTTGTCAAACCCATTCATTTTTTTTTTTTTTTTCTAATAAACCGCCTGCTTTTTTCTTTTTATTTCTTTTTTCACGACACAAATTTTATTATATTTTATGAGCCAATTTGTTCTAATTGATTAAAGTTGGTTTTCATTGGTCAATATTAATGAAATACTAGTCACAGGGTCATGTAAGACATTTGATTGGCAGACCAATTTAGCACACATTAAGGTGTAACATATTACTATTCTAATTTATTTATATACATATTAAATGTCCAGAAATACTTAAATCGCGTCACTTGGTTACACAGGTTGCTTGGACAACCAAACCCAAACTCAAAGAAAAGATTGTAGGAGTCTAAAAGTTATTTTGGAAAGACTTCAAAAACCTTTATTTTCCCTTCACCCTTTTCAATTTTTTTTTTCAATACTTCACTCTTCATCTTCTTCTTCTTTTTCTGTCGTTTATATTTTTCTCGAGCTATTTTATTCTATTGTGCTGGTTCACATTAGTTTCATTCCACTCGCTTATCTCTCTCTTTTTCTTCTATATTCTTCAAACAAACTTCCCCTTAACACACACATCTCCACCAACCAAACCGTATATATAAACCAAACCAAACCAAACACCATCAAACACCATCAATATACACAAAAAATGATCTCAAAGCCTGAAATTAACCATTCATCCAACCATCATCACAGCCATCATCATCACCAGCACAATCAACAACAATCCACACCCGTCGCCTCAACCCGTAAACGGACATATCTCAGACCTCCTCAGGTTGCCACTCTTCAGGAATCATTTGAATCCAATCCTTTGCCAGATGCCAGCAGTAGAGCATCCTTAGCTCGGCAATTGGGTGTCACAGACCGCACAATTCAGGTCTGGTTCCAGAACAGGCGTGCCAAGTCTCGCAAGATGGAATCCATTTCTAGTGTCCTCGGTCAGACCAACTCCTTTAATCAGCTCCGACCGGGAATGTTGGATACCGACAAGGTTCCTGCGCCACCTCGTTACCAGGCAACCTTCCGCACCTTGATGACACCCGAACGATTCGAGGAGTTGAGACAACAGCAACAACAACAACAAGATCAAGATTCTTCGTCACAGCCTCGTCGTCGTCCCCGATCTAGTTCCAAACCAGAACCAAAGACCTTGTTTGTTGACGAACCATGTCAGAGAGCCTTGTCTGAAGGCATTTCATTGATTTCATCTCAAGGTAAAAGGGAAAAAAATATAATAATAATAATAGCAGTAAAAAAACAGTATTATATACTTCTTGTACATCTGTGTTTGTGTACATCTATACTTTAAAAAAAAAGTCTATTTATCTAAAAATAATACTAACTATTATATACATATATATATTTTATAGTTCCAATTTCTTCGCCTCCAGTGGATAATCTGTTTAACACATCTGCTCAACTAGTCTCTCTGCCTGTCAATGTTCTCCGAGTAGGTAGTTGGACACGTTTTGCTGATTCCAACAGTCCAGGCACGGACTGGGACCTCGCATGCTACGGCAGCCCGATAGAGCGTCAGTTGATCTGGCAGGTACAGGCGGAGGGACATTACTTTAGGGTCCAAATCCCCTTTGGAAGCATTCGTCAGCTCCGCCTCAGTCAGCAGGTGCAGGTGGAAACAGGCGACATCGTGGGCCAGCTTGATGTGACTCTGGAGCCTACAATGCTTGAGTTCTCCATGTGGCGACAGGGAGTTGACAATGACTGGGTGCGCTGTGGAGACTTCTCTGAAGAACGCCAGGCCAGCCAGTCTGCAATCCACACCCTCCAGGGCAGCCATGATGCATTCAAATTGGCTCTTCTTGATCTGGTTACTCTTTCACCTGAGCTTGCTTCCAAGGTTACCATCAACCACCCTTCGTCTCTTGTCGACCGAATGCAGGCAACCCCCCAGCCAAGCCTTCCTTCCCTAGACACCTTCCGTGACATTACGCTTTCCCCCTCATCTACCCCTGAACCCAGTGCGTTTGCCCCTAATCTCACCATGTCTATCTACGGTGCTGGTGGTGGTATTCAACAGGCCAAGCCGGTTATGGCCCAAGAGTCGCTCTTCCAGGCACCTTTCTACTATCAATGTGAGCCTGCAGCTCAGTGGAACTATGTCCAACAAATGCTTGTCCCTCAGACATATACTATCAACACACCTTGGCCCATGAATACAGATCTTTAAAATAAAATAAAACTTAAAGAATATACAAGAAAATAAGATAAATATAAATATATATATTAGCAATTTTAAAAAAAAATTGTATATATATATATATATACATACATACAACACAACACAAGCACACATTCTCTTCCTCTCTATCACACACCGTTATACATATATATACTTATCCAAATAGCCCTCCCCTCCTCCTTCAACCCATTCCATTTTCCCTTCCCACACATAGTCCTTTCTCTTTATTATATATATATATCTTTTTTTTCTAGTCTTCTTGATGAAGTGAAATAAAATAAAAATAAAAAACCATATAGTATTATCTTTTTATTTTTCTTTTTGGTTATCCAATCAATCCAATTTGTCCCACCCCTTTTTCAAAAAAGAAAAAGAAAAACCAAGTACAACCATCATGCGCAGCCACGTTGAGGTCCGTCAAGCTTGAGGCCTGTTGTACATTTAGCCAATTGGCTAATCATGAATGTCAGTTTTATACATATATTTTTTTATGTACAAATGAATAACTTCGGTCCGACAGTATATAGAGAAAGAAAATGCTAGCAAAATTTTTTCTTACACACATACGCAAGAATTATCATTACAAAACAAAATTTCATCGCTTTCTTTCTTTCACTATTTCCCTAACGTCTGTGATCTAGTCAAAGATGCCAACACAGACACTATACACACTATACCTACACACATACACACACACACACACAAGAATTACTTGTGGTACCTTTTTTTTTGGTTTAAAAATGATCTTTCTGTTACTCGAATATGACTATATAGAAGGTGAGACCAAAGATACCATGCGAATTAGAAGATCGGGACATCGGCAACATTTTTTTTAAAAATATATATATAATATATAATATATATACAATAATTATAATTACAGTAAAATGGTTAGTACAGAAAAAAAGCAAAAAAAAAGGACAATGGATCGCTACACAAGGTTCTAGCGTGTATACTCCAAACAAGGACCTGTTCCGCACCAACAGGTCTATTTATATTCTGTATATTGTATTGGACTGTACTGTAACTATTGGCTGGTTAATATTCAAAAAAAATGAAACAAAAGGATCTAGAAGCTCAAGATAAGAAGCCAGAAGCTGAAAGGAAGAAATTGGAAACTAACTAATGACAGCAAAGAATAAGTTCCCTAGCAACAAAATAACAGCAACAAAATAAAAATAAAAAGTTATTATTATTTACTGTTGTTGCCATGGATTCTTATTGACAATCCTGTTCTTTAATTAATTACTGCATCACCCCTTCTTTTTGATTTTTTTTTCTTTTTTTTTTGCCCCTCTTCTCTCTCTCTCCGATATTCCCTTTCTTTTTAATAATATGTATGATGTATTGGTTTCAAAATTGAAACACTATTTGCTATATACGCTAATATTAAATTACTATTCTCTAATCAATGCAGACACTATTTTTTAAGAAAGAAAAAAAAAGTAGAGAAAATAAAGGGAGTGAGTATTGATTACAGAAATTGTAAAGACATTCGGCAGTCAACTTTATATAATGTTAAGTATATACAAAAAAAGAACACAGTATTTCTCACATGTTTTTTTTGTTTGTCTGTTTGTTTGTTTGTTTGTTTGTTGTTTTCAGAATTTGACTTTTAAATGATTGTCAATATGATATTTTAGCATCCAGATATTTAAAACCTGGCTAATATTATTATATATCATTTCAGAGTTAATCATTAGATATTAAAGTACCTATTTGACAGATCTTTCTCTTTCATATATAAATTTTAATTTAATTGAATAAAAATCCCATATACTATAAAACCAACCTCTGGAATACTTTGTCTTGCTTAAGGATAATATAATATATATACACATATTTTGTCCAAAATGCAAATATAGCATACTATAAAGTCTTTTTTTTTATATAAAAGCACAGTCTCTATAATTCTTAATTTCTCATCGTCAACATCAGCATCATTTTTTGTGTCTATAGTTTTCAGTTGTTTTTATATTTTCTTTATATGGAAATTATGATCTTGCCATAATGAGGAAGAGAGGGGTGGGTAAATATCTTTTTTTTTAAAAATTTTCTTTTCCTTTTTCTATTTCATACATATTCTTTAAGAAACACCTCCTTTTCCATTAACCCCTTTATCCATATAGTCTTTGGTATGGTACAAAATAAGAGGATAAATATATGTATATATGTATATTCACAGCTCACTTACCATTGTCCACAAAGAATAAGCAAATATATATACATATACATATATACATATAGATAAAGCTGTAAATTATACAAAATCAAGGTACAATTCATAATAATAATCCCTATACTACAATAAATGAAATAAAATAAAGAAATACACGTATAATATATACTTATATTCTCTTGTTCTATATACCTGCCTCTCTTTCTCTTCTTCCTTCCGTATTAGAACCGTTTCCAAAAGACAAAAAAAAACTATATACCCGACTAGCTAGCCAAATCTCAAGTAAGAGTACTTTGGTCATTGTGTCATTGCGCCATTCATTACCTCATTTCTCTTTTATTCCTCATTTTTTGCCTTTTTTTTTTGGCTGTGTAGTCTAAGAAGACAAGTAAATAATCATGAATAATGCATGGGAAGCTATTCAACAAAAAAGTAAGCCATATAATAAAAAAAAAGAAGAAGCCAAGTAATAAAACATACTGACAAATACAAATAACCCATAGCCTTCACCAAATGGTATGTGTATATATTCTATACGCGCATGCACAAAATACAAAAGAAAAGAAAGTATGCGTTTTGTAACAAATCCAACTCAATTATCTCTGTTTTATTTTCTTTTGGGTATTTAGGGTCAACAATAAACTTGACATTAGACAAGTACCACACATCAAAGAGCTCTGTGCTGATCTAGCAACCGGTGTACGATTGATTCAACTATTGGTAAGTACAGAAAGACAAGTTTGTGGGAGTCTTTTTTTTTTTTCTAAATTGCCCTTGCTCATTTTATATGCATATATCAATAGGAAATCATTGGAAACGCACCGATCCCACGCTACAACAAAAACCCACGGATGAGGATCCAGTGTGTAGAGAATGTTAATATGGCGCTTGAGTTCATAAGACGAATTGTACCTCTGACCAACATTGGAGCTGAAGGTACTACTAAAAAATAATAATAAAAGTAATAAAAGTAGCAGTAATCTAAAAATTCAATTTATTTATCTGTGTGTGTGTGTGCGTGGGATTTTGTTGTGTATTTTAGATATTGTGGATAAAAACTTGAAGTTGGTATTGGGGATGCTGTGGACAATTATCTTGAGATTCACAATTGACGATATCAAGTAAGTCTTATCAAGCACGATATATGATCCTGCTATTGTTGTCCGTATTTAAAGGGGTTTTCATTCTCTACTAAAAACAGTCAAGAGGGCAAGAATGCAAAAGAAGGACTTTTACTTTGGTGCCAGAGAAAGACAGCGCCTTATGATCAAGTAGATGTCCGTGACTTTACTTATAGCTGGACAGATGGTCTTGCCTTGTAAGTTTTCTTCATTTTTCTTGTATATGTATATGTACCTAAATCAATATAGTGACGCCATTTGAAAGTAAAATATTGATACTAATATTGATATAAATATAAATATAAATATAGCTGTGCTTTGATTCATTGCCATCGACCAGACCTGTTGGATTTTTCATCGCTTGATCCTGTAAGTTTCAGTATCACAATAAAATGGCTCAATCCAGATTTTAATAATATTTATTTATACATTAGAATGATCGCCATGGTAACACTGCCTTGGCTTTTGACATTGCTGAAGAATATCTCGGCATTCCGGTGAGATAATTTTGTTTTCAACTATTATAATCTTTTTTTTTTGCTCACTTTCAAGTTCTTTGGGATCTAGAAACTATTGGATGTAGAAGATGTATGCGATATCTCAAAACCAGATGAAAGGTCTGTGATGACCTATGTTGCCGAATACTTCCATGCATTTTCAACTAGTGGTTAGTTAGTGAGAGTCAATTGTTTGGTGATAGTTTAGTGTTACATGATTTTATTGATTCTTATTTCTCTATCATCTGAAGACAAGGTTGGGACAGCAGGAAGACGTATATCAAAATTTGCTGAAGTAATGTCTTCTATCTGGCAAATGCAACACACGTACGAACAGCGTGTTCTTGCAGTAAGTACATAGGTATTGTGTGTGTGTGTGTGTATGAGAGAGAGAGAGAGAGAGAGAGAGAGAGAGAGAGAGAGAGAGAGAGAGAGAGAGAATAAGCAAGCAAGTTCAAAATCCAAAAATTAAATACACGTATATATACATATTATTTATTTAATTATAAAAGTTGATGGACGCTGTTGATAATGCACAGCAGCAATGGAAGGACACTGTCTTGAATGATAGCTATGATGATATGAAACAGCGGGTTGCAGACTTTAGCCATTACAAAAACACACAAAAACGGGAATGGATTTCAGAGAAACGAGACCTTGATTTACTTTTGGGAAATATACAGACAAAGCTTAAAACATACAATCTCAAACCATACTTTCCTCCAGATGGCTTGACACTAAAAGTAAGAACCCGAAAAAAAAGAGTGGGAAGGCTATTACTTTTATATATATATATATAATTATCGTTTTGTTTTTATTTATGAAAAAAGGTTATTGTTGTTTTTATATATGTATAGGACTTGGACAATATATGGTATAGTTTATTACAAGACGAAGCTTTATATCATCAAAGTCTCAATAGTAGAATTAGAAGGTAAAGAACGAACTTATCTAGCAATTTATTTAGTAAGCGAGTGAAGATAAGAATCATTGCCAAAATACAAGGATAATTATGTAACTATAAATTTATTTAGAATTAAAGAGAATCTTCGAAAAGCATATGCCAATGCTGCAAATGACTTTCAGAATCAACTTGACACAATTTCTGCAGAGCTAGCTTCTCTGGACGGAGACCTCGAAGTAAGATTAATATATATATATATATATATATACCTTATATAATACTAATTATTGCTATGGCGTATACATTGACCACTGGTACTTTTGCTTTTCTGTCTGTAAAATAAAATAAAAAGTCTCAACTTAATAGACTCAACCTAACTAAACGCAAGGTCGATCCACTTCAACTATATTTGCACAATATCGAAGGACTTGACCAAGAATGTATTCATGCCAATACCGAAGAAAACGATTACACAGTCTATTCCGTCGAAGATTTGGCATTTGGGCTTGGACTGGTGCAACAAGCAATACAAAAGAAGAATGCTTTTATACAAAATCAGGTAAGATCCACGCCTAGTTTTGGATATATAAATATAAATATATATATATATATATAATCTAATCTTGTTTGATATACTTATATGTATACGTATACAATTGTACATTGGTGTGTATTGTTTTTATTAGGTTGTTTCACGTAACATGACCAGCCTGACACCGGCACAGCTGGAGCAATTCGAACAGACATTTAGACATTTTGACAGCAATTACAATAATACCCTCTCACCTGCAGAATTTAATGCTTCTCTTGCAAGTCTGGGAATATTCTTCAAGGATTCTGAATTTATATCAATGTTTAGAGCCGTTGCCGAGGGACGTGATGAGATTACGTTTGAGCAGTTTATTCGATTTATTGTATCAGTAACCGAGGATAAATCAACTCCCCAGCAACTGCACGATTCATTCCGGGCAATTGCTGCCGACAAGCCTTATGTGACCGAATTGGATCTGAGTATGTGTCTTGTTCCTGCTCCATTTATTGATTATCTCAAGCATACTATGCCTCAAAGTCGTGAAGAACCAGGGGCATTGGACTATAGCTCATATGTAATGCAAACATTTATATAAACAAATAAACAAATAAAATACACAAACACACACCTACATACATACTATACATGCTATACATGTTATACATGTTATACGTACATAATATTAATATTAATATTAATATTAATTTTAATTTTAATAATTTTGAATCAAATCGAATGAAAGCCAATCAAATTAAATTAAATAAAGATATTCAGTGATGATTGTTTCATCTATTGTCTTTACTATTAACAAAGAACAAGAAAATGAGCATTGGACTTTAACTTCTTATCATTACGAAACACAGCCATATCCATACCTATACCCACACACACACACACACACATACACACATGTATATGTATATATATATAATAATAATAATCTAGAAATAAAGAAATCAAATATGACATTACTGAAGCTACGTACGCTGAAGCATTTTGAATCCAACCAAAAGAAAAAAGTGCTATGTGATCGAGAAAACAAGATAATTGAAACTAAGTGCTAATAATAATAATAAGAATAATAATAATACTATGATAATTGTAATTCTTTTAAGAAAAAGAGGTACATAAAAAATATCATGGATTAAAGAAGAAGAAATCTTTATATTCAATAAAGAATCCAAGTAATAAAAATAATCAAATATATGTAATATAAATAAAGAGTACCTCCTCCTCACCCCTCCCATTTTGGACTATCTCCTCCCTTGATTGTTCACAATCTTTGATTTTGATTTTGTATAAATATACAAGCTTTCTTTTACACACGCACTTGCACACGCATACGTACAAATAAACCCTCCTTCCTTGCTCTCCAGCACCTAAAGCCTCATCCAACAAAACAGCCAAACATCCCCAATACCCACATCTTTTATTTATCAGTACATACATGAGTTCTCACACCCTAAGATCAAGCAATATCATATCCCAGTTCATCTCGGAGGAAAATACATCCAAAGATCAAACACCAATTAAAGACGATGGTATCGAACCAAAGAAACCATTTTGCTACCGAATTAGATCTTCAAAAGCCTTTGTTTTCAGTACTGCTGCAATAGGTGTATTTACAAGTGTAAGTATATACATGTATGAGAATTTGCTTTTTCTGTAATTGACCTAACATTCTCATTACATTTGTAAAATATATGTATATTTTTATATATAGAATTTTGTACATTCTATTTTATTTCCACTTGCACCGTTCATTGTAGCACGTATCAACAATGGTGGGAAAGAAACATCAGAAACAGAAGTAGCATCATCTGCAGAAACTGGTATTCTAGTAGCTGCTTACGCTATTGGATTATTATGTAAGTACAGGAGCGAGAGCAAGAACAAGAGCAAGCTGAGAATCATATATAATGAGCCATGTATTCTCACAATTATCTATCACGGTCACTGGTTCTAGCCGGATCGCCAGTGTTTGGATGGCTAGGTGATAGACTGACTCTTCGTCGACTTCCTATGCTGCTCGGTATCTCGGTCTCAATTGGTGCCAATCTATTATTTATGTTCAGTACAGCATACTGGATGCTATTACTTGCTCGATTTCTTCAAGGGTTTTCAAATGCGTGTGTGTGGACAATGTGTCTATGTATTGTGACCGACAATTGGCCCTCGGATGAACTTGGCAAGTGTTATAAAGATGTATACATAAGGATTGGAAGGAAGATGCCAGTATGGGTACTTACACCATATCTTTAGGATTACAAATGGGAAAGTTAATGGGATTATATGCTTCTGGTATGGTTATCGGTCTACCAGTAGGAGGTAAGGTTTATCTAAAAGATATGTGTTTGCTTATTCTTGTTATCATGCATTCTAACCATTTGTTGCGACTTCTCTCTCTCTCTCTCTCTCTCTCTCTCTCTCTCTCTCTCTCTCTTAAACTTTTTCTATAGGCGGTAAGTTTCTCAGTATACTGAAGAGTTCAAGAAAGTATAAAACCTGTACTCATACATTTACTTACTTTTATATATATTCATATAGTTTTGTACAGTGAATTAGGATATCAAGCACCATTTATCGCATCCCTTATTATATGCGCAATAGACTTCTTTATGAGAATAGCAATTATTGAAAAGCCAGTATTTTCAAAAACATGGCCTCTCAATACCCCCACTATAAGCGAAGAAGATGGATATTCAAATGAAAAACCAAAGCCCAACACCATTCGACCCAATTTTGATGATGCACCATTAATGAATCCAGTCCAGAACGCCAAACTCTCCAAGCTATTAAGACAACCTCGTCTGCTTGTTTCGCTTTTTCAGATGGCCGTTGTTGCCTCTACTATGAGCTCATTTGAAGTAATAACGATAATCTATCCCAAATTCCAAACTAACGTCCATTTTTTTTAGCCTACAATCTCCATGTGGTTGGCATCAGAGTGGCATTTTAATGCAGCCGAATGCGGGTTAATCCTTTTAGCTTATATTTTACCTTGCATTGTATCCAGTGTATTTTCAGGGTGGCTTTGTGACAAGATTGGAACAAAGGCTGTTGCAGTTGTGTCTCTTAGCTTTGCAGCTAGTACATGTGTTTGCGTTGGTATTCCGAATCACACGAATTCATTCTGGACACTTGTGCCAGTGCTTGCTGTTTCAGGAGCAGCCATTGCAGGGTGTGAATCTTCGGTGTTTCCAGAAGTAGCCAAGGTTATTGCTACCGAGAATAATAATCCAGACGATCACAGTGGTATTGCACGGTGTTATGCAATGGTTAATGTGGCATCTGCGATAGGTAAATCTTTAAATACCTTTCTCTCCACCCATGTGTTTAAATGATTTTATTAATTAAAGTATATCTATGTTTGTGTATATACTAAACTCCTCTTCTTTTACTTCTTTGAACCATTCACATCCTACTAGGCCTGTGTGTTGGGCCCCTACTCGCTGGTTTCCTGTACAGTGCAATTGGATTCTTTTGGCTCTGCTGCCTCCTATCTATTCCCTTTGTTATATGTATTCCATTTGCCTATTTCTATGTAGGAGGATCAAATACTAAATTCATTGTTCGTCCTCCAAAGCATTAGTGAATATAGCAGTCTTTTTCTTTCTTTCTTTCTTTTTGTTCTTTTCTTTCTTTCTTTTTTAGACATATATCTTGTACACATCTCCTACAATCTTTAGTGATTGAAGTAGATTGGCACTTTATTCAATTATTTATTATTTATTATTACTATTATTTATTACTATTATTACGTGTATTATATATTCTTATCATTATATTCTTATCATCAGTTATTTTTAACTATTGAAAAGTCTGGAATACAAGCGATCATGCATACCCTGACATACATCAAGTAGTGGGTTTGTTTGACAGCAATTGTCCACTGTTACATCTTTTGTTTTCTTTACAATCTTTTCTACAGACCCACGAGAATCTAGTAGTAATCTCTGTGCTTCATATGGACCAATTATGTTCAGTCGAACAGCAGAAGAGTACAGTGATCTTGTAAAGAGGTAAAGCCAGAGGTGCAAGGTGTTCTCTATTTTAGAAATAAATAAATAGATAACCAAACCAATAAATATATATTTGGAAACCACATCAAAATTTTGTGCATAACGTTTTTTTTTCTTTACCTAAATCAACATCAAGATAGCGGCAGATAAGCCCAAAGCACACCGAAAAATGACCATCTGTCTGTCCAGCACGAATCTTGTTTTTCCAGCTCTTGACTACCTTGACACCATCCGGAGTAGCATTCTTAGTGAAACATTTAAGGTACAGAGTGAGCATAGCCACACCTTGAGCAAGTGAGGCGCGTCTTGCAACTGTGTTGGCCACCATCACAGCATCACAGATAGAATCAGATTCTTCTAGTTGAGAGATCGGATTAGCATCGTCAGGTGCTTCCCAGCCGGCTCTGACAAATCCATTTGTTTGCCAAGCATAGGAATGAGCAGAAGTTGTGACAAAGTCAGAAAGGTTATCTGCCGTTAAAAGACCAGCTTGGTATGTGGCCTCTAGTCCAGAAGATGCTACAAATCCACCAGTCGGAAGAGCTGAGTCGGTGAGGATGTAAAGGAGCCAGCTGCTGGTCTCATTTGACACAAATGGCAACGATGTATTCATTACAATTTGCTGAGAAAAGGTTGGTTCATCATATGACCATGACTTGGGGTTATCTTTTTTTTCTCTTAATCTTTTATTTAAAGCAGCGTCGGTGGACCCTTTTTTATTAGCTTATTTTATTTTATATTCTGTTTCCTTTTTATTTATTTTTACTGCCATCTCGGTCTAAATCTCATTTTACTACCATTAACCTCATAAATTTTTTAATGCCAAAAGATATTCTCAAAGTAGTGCTTATCGGCGACGGTGGAGTTGGCAAGGTATGTTGGTTCACTTAGCTAATCGTCCTTACCAAGCCGTCACTCATTTCGTTTATGCGCTCTTTGGAACTTAATGTATCAGACCAGTTTGCGCAACCAGGTACAACTTGTAGACCATTTAACTATAGAATTCTAATGACATTCTAAACATTAACCATTCTCTCCTTATTTTTTTCCTTTGCCTGTCTTTACATAAAATAATAAAACATCTGTATTGTCTGTATTTCTGTCTATATGTCTATATGCATAGTTTATCCACAAACGATTCACAAATGCATACAAAGCTACTATAGGTAAGAGAGTTTTCTTTGCTGAATTAAATTTACATATACAAAAACAGAAGCACATATAATCTTTAGTAGTAGCTGGGTATCTTATCACTCAAGTTACTTATTATGTGCACAATAGGTGCCGATTTTATCACTAAAGAGGTCCAGAAAGATGATAATACCAAGGTAATGCTCCAACTTTGGGACACAGCCGGTCAAGAGCGATTTCAATCACTGGGTGTTGCATATTACCGTGGAGCAGATGCCTGTATATTGGTGTATGATGTCAACAACTATTCATCCTTCCAACACCTAGGTAAATTTACTTCATATATATATATATATATATTACCTTTTGGATTTTCTTTAAACAAAATCCACAAAGTAGTACATACATACACATATATATACGCAAAGAGAACAATGACTAGAGTTTCCTTTATTTTTCTTTTTATCCTTCTTCTGTATTTGTGCATCTATTTGGGAGAAAACAGGACGCTGGCGAGAGGACTTCTTAAAGCAATCTTCGCTGCCTGAAGACGAAGCCAAGCACTTTCCATTTTTGATGGTCGGTAATAAGATTGACATAGACGACCGTGTTGTGTCCAGAAGACAAGCCCGTGCTTGGGCCGAACAAAACTCTTCTGACAGAATGCGAATTCCATGCTTTGAAGCGAGTGCCAAGGATGGTACAAATGTTGAAGAGGCATTTACTTATATTGCCAAAATGATCAAAGTCCCGCAACTCGAGCTTGATTTGAACGGCGAAATTCTTACCTTGTCCAGTGATTCTCTCTATGGACGTAGAAAAAGCACTATTAATCGCCTCTGCTGCTAAAGAAGAAGAAACTAATTCAATCATTCACTCTCACTCAGAGATACTTGTTTATATACTTATCCTTTCCTCTTAAATATTTTGTACTCTCCCACCCACTTCCCCTAAGCCAATCCTTTCACAAACAACAACTTATTAATATCGATATCTCAGTCATTATGATTGAGATTCTTTATTTTGTAGAAATACTTCTTACTTTAATTTTACTGTATACTTTAATACTCTTACTCTTACTCTTATTTTCATAATGGATTATCTTTCTATACTTTCATTTTTAAAAAAAAATTAAGTATAAAATCCAAGCACAATCAACATATATATAACCAACAAGTTTTTCTTTCTTTATACAAAATATTACTTTATTTTTTTATTGGGAACAATCTTTAAGATGATTTGGTTTAAAAACTAGTGTAGAATCAACGTATTTACATATATGTATGTACAGAAATTAGGAGGGAGAAGAATAAATCTACAGATTTAAAGACCATGTCCGGTGGCAGCGAGCTCTTCACCTTCGGCTACCTTGACAGGGTTGTTGGTAATCTTACCGGCAATCTTCTGGAGATTACCCTTAATCTTGTCACCGGCAGAAGGAGCAGTGTGCTCATCACCAAGACCATGCTCAGAGATATCGCGCTTGCTCTCATAGTGAGGATCGATAGCATTGTGCTTGGAGTCATGATGAGTTGCCGAAACGTTGCGCAAGGGATCATTTGTAGAAGAATGAGTTCCTCCAACTGGTGCGCCGGTAGAAGAACGAGCTCCAAGGTCTGCAGAGTCAGCACCATGAGGAACACCAGAGACACCGCCGCTGTAGACACCAGCAGATGCGCCAGGGACACCACCAGTGCTTGCTCCAGTACCTGATCCGGTTGGGATACCAGTCTGACCAGTGACACGCTCCTTGGCATATTCATCGCCGGGAGGGCCATTGTGGGTTCCGGTGTAGCCGCTGTTGTGGCCTCCGGTGAAAGCAGGGGAGTGTGATTCACCAGTGTGGGCACCAGTGCGGCTGTCAGTGAAAGCAGAAGTATGGGGCTCGCCAAGATGGTTTCCAGTGCGGTTTCCAGTTACACCTGTAGTGTTATCGCCAGCAAAGTTACCGGTGCGGCCAGAGGGATAATGCTCGCCAGTGTGGATACCAGTGTTGTTTCCAGTAAGACCAGAGGAATGGCGTTCGCCAGTGTGGGTTCCAGTGTGGGTTCCAGAAAGTCCAGAGGTGCTATAGTCATTTGAGCGAACACCGGTGTTGTTGCCGGTCAAGCCAGAGGAATGGTGGTGGTCATTGGAGTTAATTCCAGTGTTGTTGCCAGTCAAGCCAGAGGAGTGATGGTGGTCATTGGAGTGGATGCCAGTGTTGTTGCCAGTCAAGCCAGAGGAGTGATGGTGGTCATTGGAGTGGATTCCAGTATTGTTGCCTGTAAGACCAGAGGTATGTTGGCCAGTAGGATTGTGGTTTCCTGTGAGGCCAGAGGTATGATGGTCGTTGGGGTTGACGCCAGTGTGTGCGCCAGTGTGGGATCCTTTCAGACCAGACATCTCATTGTTGTAGATTCCAGCGTTGGCACCAGTGTTTCCGCCAGAAAGTCCTGCTGAGCGATCACCGAGATTGTTTCCGCCAGAAAGACCAGATGTGTGATCATTTCCGTATGTACCGGTGCGTGCACCAGTGTTGCCATCAGTGTGTGTAGTAGTAAATCCGGGGTTGTGGTTGCCGCCAACGTTATGGTGGTTTCCGCCAAGGCCATGGTTGCCTTCAAGATTGTGAGATTGACCGACAGAGTGTGTGCCTGTAGTTGTTCCAGTGCGGCCAGCAGTTTGATCTACCATGGAAGGATCGACCTGAGCACCAGAGTAGTTACCAGCAAGGTTGGAGGAGTTGGTGTTGGTGTTGGAGTTGGTGAATTGGGACATTATTTATAGTATATATGTTTTTTTGATGTGGTTTGATTGGGATTATTAAAACTTGGATGTTTTTGTACTTTGAGAATTGATCGCAAGACTCCCTCCTTTTATACAAAAAATCTAATGGTTTCCAAGAGCGTCAGGATGAGATAATGATGATATGAGCCCATCTTGTTCATAAATGACAAGAGCGGATTCACTTTGATGGAATGACGTTCACAAAGGGTGATCTTACCTAATTTGGACAAATTTGTCAAATTTTACGTTCTATTGTTCTACCACACAATAATGTGCTACTAAAAAAAAATCCTGAATTTTAACCTGTGTGGTAATTGGAGCACGCCTTTTGGTATATTGATCTTGCACATACCCCTTATACTCACATACATACTCACATACAAGCATAAGCATGTGCGCACGTACGCATAAAAAATGTACGTATTTAAACATTTAAAACATTCAAGCATATACGCATATACGCATATACGCATATGCACATTTTATTGGTAATATATACTTGACAGTCATAACCGATATCAAACAAGCTCACTTACACTTTGTTTTCTTTCTTACTCTGTACTAGCCCTCTCAAGTTAGACTCCGCTTGGCTGATTTACATTTTGAGCTTATTTCTCCAAGCAGGCAAAAGAAGATCAATAGAAGAAGCCTAGGACCAATGCGGACCCAGACATGACGATTTTTTTTAAGATTTATTTGTCCGGAACTTGGAATGAGTAGCTTAACGCAGTAATCCCCACGAATACAATAACTACGGTATCTAGACTCTCAGTGGCGCGATCAAAGTAAAAAAAAACAGCTATATGTCTATGTATTTATTTTTCTCATTTATTTTTAATTCTTTTTTAAAAAATTCAATTACATGTATGATTGGGAATGGGTAGATACACATATCTATATTGCGTGTGTATATGTACTTGTCGCAGTCCAGGGGTAGTGATTTCGCCCTGACGAATTTTCTTCTATCCAAAACTAATCCCATAAAGGAGTTCTGTATGTATTCTGCGTGTATTCAATGGGTGTGGTTATGTGGCTTTGAAATAAAAGTGAAATTCGGTGAATAGAATACATATTACAATTAATCGAGTGGTATGAAATCAGATCGATACTCAATGAAACACTCTTTGACTTAACAATAAAAGGAAAAAAATTGGGGATAGATCATAATAGCCAGCTCAAAATCGGTCCTCAATTAATTACGACATTGCCAAATAATAATACAATTATTGGTATAGTAAGACCGTCTATTTAATGTAATTCATGCAACAATAATTTATCAGATTAAAGTAGAACATATCTTGAAGTATTTTTAGAGAGCTGAAATATATCATACTCGGAGAATACATTGAAAGAAAGAAAGAAAGAAAGAAAGAAAGACGTCAGGAAGAGACATTTAATACATGTCTTTTTGAAAGAAAGGTACATAAATGTGAAATGGTTGAATATACAAGGCATATATTGTTTGGAGTATATCAGGAATATATTTCTATATGCTCTAAATACCGTGTATATCCGTATATTTAAGCTTAATATACATCATTCTTTATGTTCTATACAAATTTAAGTTGAAAGTTCCAAGGAATTTGCTGGCCAAGAATAAAAGTGTTTTCAAAGGATTCGACTTGCTACTTTGTGTAACGGTGAACATTTGACAGCGGCCAGGCCTACTCGAACGAAATTATAAAATATCATTTGAAAATAATATCAAAGATTCTACAACAAAGTCATTTTATAATAGTCTTTAAGGATGTTCTCCCAAACATTTCTGCTTTCACGACAAAATACCAAGAGATATGTCTTCCTAGGCCTGATATATATATATATATATGCACGCAATTAAATTATAGACATGATTATTGATCTTATATTTACATATGTACAGAAAAAAAACAGCGGCTTTAAATCTTAGCTGTACAACAACCTTTCTGAACATAATGTAATATCTTGTCGCATTTATTATAACGACATTTAGGAGATTTGATTTATGGAAATTAGAGAATATCATAGATTTGGAAGATATATGTAAGAATAAATCTACCAAAAGTTTCACCGAAGAATGGTCATGTTGTTCACTAGGCATATCTACCTTAAATTGATCTATCTACTGTCAATTAACAATGACTATAAAAGCAAAAAAAAATTAAAGGTGTATAATATAGAATCCTAGTCATTTACTCAAAGACTTCTATAATATAACACATTTGTCTAGACACGCCTAAAGCAATACACCGAGAAGTTAACTAGTATGACTATTTCGAAGAACCTTGCCTTTTCCTCAGGTTTTCCTTCCCCGGACCCCAAGTCTTACACAAAATCCTATCCCGGTAAAATAAAAGGCTCTTTTAAGACAAATTACAGCAGACAAAGGAATACTGGACCAAACACATCTTTGGTACCTTCTTTCAACAATGGGAGCATTACCGACAATGATCAGATTCAAAAGAAAATAGCGACTGCAAATGTCCAAGAGATTGATCAAATCATCTTGGCATATGAAAGAAATATCTACAGGGTTATCAAGCAGTACTGTGCGCAACACAAACATGCAGAGGATACTAAAGAAGCCAAGAGTCGCCGAAGCGAGATCTCAGATATTTCTGCTGTAATGAGACTATTCTATACACACAGGCGAGCATCTTTTGGCCCAAGACAGGAGATTAAGCCAAAGGCGTGGTACTACAATTTAAGAAATAATGGATCTGACACAAAAGTTCCAAGCTTGCGTCTACTAGGATATAACCCGCCAAATCAAGATAGTATCGTGTTCGGAACAATCGATATCTATCTGTCCGCCTTTGAGGCAGCTATGATTTCTAGAGAAGAAGATATTAATTTGGCTTGGAGTAATTGGTTACCTGTGTCTTTGGGAAAAGAACATGAGTCGTGGTACAACAGCACTATAAAAGACAGACCTCTATCCTGGGAACAAGTCAAACAGCTGTTGAGAGACAAGTTTAATATAGCTAAACAGCTACGGATCAATGGTCGTGTGTACAATATACTGCCAAGCAATAAAGATGGAACAACAGGATCGCCCAGTCGTTTTTCAGCCACCCAAGTCAAGATAGGAGGTTCTGAAGACAGTAAAGTCACCAATAAGCTTATGGCCCCGTTTAGCCCATCCCTGTATCATAAAGGAAGACAAGAAAGAAGTAAAAATTACACCGCCACAAGCAACAAAAATCTGTCCTTACGTTCTGGGGGCTCGACTTTGGGGAACTATAAATCCCAATATCCACCACAATGCAATCCTGGACTTCGAAAGTATGTCGATAGCGGGGCCGGATATTCTCGGCACAGATTACTCGGTGTTCTTCCTGATGAAAATATGAAACTTTTCTGCCCTATGGCAAGAGAAGATATCATTTGTAAGACTAAAGGTTGTCGAGAGTTACAGAATACAGCATATGACATTGACATGATGATCCAAAACAGAACTTGTCGCCATTGTTATAAGATTTGGTCGCACGATCACTGTTGCAGTAGAGAGAGAGTGATTAAGCAAAAATAGAAGGAACTAATACATCCAAAAAAATCCAGTAGAGGAAGTAGTACCATGCTCCTCTTAGTATCAATATCAAACTAAAATATTTACGTAAACACATAAAAATAAAAATAAAAATAAAAATAAAATAAAAAGAGGATTAATACTCCTTCAGACTAGAATTGGTTTTTCTCTTATTCATTCGTGTATTTATTTTCTGAGAAAGCACATAAAGATTATTACAAGTGAAACTGAATTTCAGCTGGGAAATCATTCTTTCTTTGCAAGACACCTCTTATATATCATCTCTTTTGGTTTTGCAGCTTCTATGACAAGAGATAGCTGATATTCAAAATAGCAATAAAGCTAAAACCCTCAATTTTTACTAAAGTAAGATAGAATTCAGAAAAATAACATTACTGAGAGCTACAGCAAAGATCATAGCTAATGTTAGATTTTTGTTGAAATAAATAAAAACTATTGAGGCCTCGAAATTTATAGTTAATTTGTTCATCAGCAAATATATTGATATTTACCAATATATATATATATGAATATATCTTTACATACAAAATATCCTTTAAATTTCTCATGAGAGCATATCTGAATAAATGTTATAAGAATCTGTGAACGTATTTACGGTTTTCTTATACTTATTAAAATATTGGAATTGGATTGGATGAAATATGCTTCTTTAGATAAATGCTCAATTGAATATAGCAGTTTAACGAAGTAGAATATAACAATAGCAGTAGCAATAAATGATACAAAGCCATTAAAATACTCGGCTGAAGTAGTAACAAAGCAACAAAAAGAGAAGATATGTATATTTTTTTCTAAAAAAAATTAAAAGATTTGATTTATGTTTTTAGACAAAAAGACCAAAGTTCTTCTTCTTCTTTTTCGGTTGGCCTCTGCAAGTTCAACTGCTGTCTCCTCACTTACAGAATTAATAACCGTATACTCCTTAATGCGATCGACAATTCTTTTACGTCTATTGAAGAATTGTCGATCATTGTATCTCCACGTAATACCGTACCTCGTCTCCATCTCATGCACGGAGACACCGCCAGAGAGCCCCACATGTCATTCTCTCCACAAGTCAGGCACCGTCTGCACAAATCTGCTCATTCTATACTGAACATTCATACCTGGCTGTTGGGAGCTGGACTCAGTGTTAATGGCTGGGGATGGGAGTGATGGGGTGCTCATCGGTCTAATGCCAGCTCTCTCCCCTTCATCTTCTCGGAAGAACCGAAGAGAAGTTCTTCCAGACACCAAATCGTCCATTTTTTGCTGAATAGCTCTGAACTCCGTCAACATTTCTCTTCTAAGCGCATTAAATTCGTTCTGTGTGTCCTCCAACTTCTTGTACAACAGAGGCATTGCTCTCTGCAGAAGTACCTCCGTTGGTTCAACATCTGTCTCAACAAAAGCATCGGCTGATCTAAAGCATTGACATGTGAATATATTAGAGCTATGTATTGTATTGTATTTTTTTTACCTTTTGAATTCAATATATTCTGGATCGTTGAATATAGCATGCTGCCACAATGATGCTCTGGAGCTTTTCTCATCATTAGCACAGAGTCCTGAAGAAAAGTGACTCTTAATTGCTTCAGAAGCTCCAGGAATCTAGATGCGGATTTTGTCTGCTGACGAGCTCCGGACGAGCTCTTGTCGTACCAGAATTCAACCATTGGGAATACCTTGCGCTGGAGCGACTCTGATGGCTTTACCTGGGCTCTTTGTAGGTAAATCTGCCCCTCTCCTGGAGGGAACCCAGCCATGGTGCGCATGGCATCTCTTGGGAGATTGGTGATATACTCACCATTCATACCAGCCATTTTGACAGAAGATCCACGGACAGCTGGAGCCTTTGTTGTGGAAACGATCCCACAGGCCCTAAATGCTCTGTTGATGGCATTGATATGGGTGGAGTACGGCATCTCCTTGGTCAAATCCTGGTCAGATTTCAGCAACTTGTATCTTAACCAACTCTCGGATGTCTCAAGAGATGGAAACTCTTCACCCTCAACATGCCATCTCCAGAAAAAATAGCACCCAAGTGCCATGAAAGGGCAGATCTCAACCCTCGAATTTCTCAAGCAGGCTGTAAGTTCAATTCGTCGAAATTGGTTCATATTTCCGTGCTTCAAGACCAAAACAAATGCAGGACATTCGGAGGGTCCTTCACGGTCCAACATGATAGTCTCAATATCAGCAAATTCAGCTTTTCTCAAAGAATCACCAGGGAGCGTACAGTAGTGGGAGAGAAGAAAAGATAACGCATTTCGCAAGTCATCTCCGCTTGATCTCGAGAAGTAGTAGCTAGCGATACTAGCAACTTCATTCTCTGTGATATGTCCACCAATAAGGTTTCCTAAACCACAGTCTTGGACTTCCGCACGGAGGTTACGCTCATCATCGACCTTCATGTTGTCCAACAACTGAATACAGGCACTTCGTGGATGAGGATGGGTGTTGGAACCAGCCTTTACTTGCTGCTGATACATATCCACAATTGCAGCGAGGTAGGACATTGCTGTGCTATACTTGATACTTTTTCCTGTATTTCTTCGGCTGGTACGATTAACAACCTAATAGAGGAGAACAATGAATTCCATCACTTGCAAAAAAAATATCGCCAAAGAAGACATCAACAGCAACAGCAACAGCAAACAAACAAGCAAACAAGCAAAAAACGTATACAGTCTTTAAGAAATAAATAAAGTTTATCTCCATATACAGTGTAGCGATATTCTGGGAGAACGCTCGAGAAAGCTTCATCACACCATTCTCTGAACTCCTTTTGCTTAGAAGCATAGCTTCTCTTTGTGTTATCTGGTCTGTTGGCTTCAGCTTCACGAGAAGTAGATGCCTGAGCTTCGATCATTCTAGCGTATATATCAGGAGTTTCGGCGGGGTGGTTGGAAGAGTTCGAATTCATTTTGAATAGATAGTAAAAGGTCAAGAAAGAAGAATAAGCTGCACTTTCGCATGTTACTTATTTTGATGTCTACCCAGTAATTTTATGGTTTATAATTCTGAGTAAGAAATAAATTAGATGACTTTCAATATTATACTATTGCTAAGCCATATATACGACAAAAAAAAAGAGTCCCCAAGAAGTACTTGATAAAAAATCCTTCTTCTTGACCAAGATGTTACACTGCGAAAGACGACTGTTTTAAGTAGCTTAAGTGATATTTAATTCACCACAAAATCGCAGGCTTAAGGTTAATTATGGTTCGTTACTTGTTACAAAAATCAAATCATCTAGTTCCTAAATGATGAGATTTCAGATACCAGAACTGAAGGACCAATTGAGAATAATACCCTATAGAAAAAAAATAGGCGATTTTAGTGAATTGTTGCAAGTTTTCCGGGGTTTAAAGTGTCTTGTAGTTGAATTTTAATTAAGCACCAATTTCTCTCTTGCTCTCTTTTATATTATTCTACTTTTTTTTTACCCCACCATGTTTTTTGCAGTCAAAGCAAAACATCTTTTTCTTAGCTTTTTCAACCCATTACAAAACTAAATACCAAGTTATTCAAATCTAATGGCTTACCAGCGGTAGCTCGGGTGGGTCCTAAGCGGTAACCAGGACGGAAATTTTTCATCTTCTTTGAATTCTAGTCAGTCTTTGTCTCAAACGACGACCCTCCTGGAGATCTTCTTCTGCTTGTCTTCTGATACGTCCAATCCGAATGACGCGGGTGAACCTTACAGGTATAGTCCCATCATATCTCAGATTGTTAAGTATATGTCGGAAGTTCAGGACAGTAGCAAGGTCCCGATTCCACAAACGATGCATAACTTCTGACCTGTCCATGTTCTCCAAACAATTTAGATTGGTACATCCAAAAGGACTTGTTTCTTTTTTTTTTCACAAGGTCTAGAACTATTAAGTGTCTTTAAAAGAAACATACTTAATAACTATGAAGGCTAGTATTAATAAAATACGAATCAGCAAAGTTGACAAAAGAAAGCAATCTGAGAAGAATTGACAGAAAAATATATGCATCAAGTACAATTTGGTTGTCAAGATTGCTCGCATGCTCATTAGAAATCTCGGTAGATTTAGAGAATTGCAAGGAATCTGTCTTCTTGTTTTTCAAAAGTAGGAATGAGACATGACAATGTTAACACAAAGCAGGTTTATACTCTTTGATAAAAAGAATTAATTAAGCAATATTCATATCTTCATCAATATCATAGTACTTAGAGAATAGTCTTTTTTTTTTAGGTAAAAAAATGTGAAAAGTATTACATAAAAATAGATATATGTATATCATTTAGTAACTTTATAGCTTAAACTGTTACTAAATATCATAAAAAATAGTACTTCTTCTTTCCATACTTCTTTATATTCAACTTGTATTATTTTGATCAATAAAAACTATAAAATTCCAATATAAAACCGTGTATTTGTTAAACCAATTATAAGAACAGAGATATCTAAAAAAAGGTATAGATTTGCCATATTTGGAATATTTGATTGGATTATATGCAAAAATGATTTGAAATCCAACGAATTGTACTATCCAAATTTGTTATAAAAAGAGAAATATGTACCTAAAAATGGTATAATTTTGCTACTTTAAACGATTTTATTGGATTAGATAAAAAGTAATTTTAACTCTCATAAATAGTATTCGCTGTAAATATTTTTAATTTACTAAAAGCCAAGATTCTATTGGCAGAAATTATAACTCCGTAACCGTAGGAATTATACGGTCGCGGTTATAATGTCTGCCATTTACTACAGTGATAGTTCAATATTCACTTTGAATGCTGCACTTTATTAGATTTCTGGTTCTATCTTTCTAACTTCCAGCCTTACTTAAATCCTACCCATTAGGGCTTTGGCTCAATACTCATTTTATTTCTTTCAAAATTTTTTTTTTGGTATTACTGGATTGAATTCCCTAAGACTGGCCTAGAATCGACAAAGTATCGACCAAAAGTCACAATTTTTAAAAAAATAATATAAATATATAAATAAATAAAAGTAGTTTTAATATTGCTTGAAATCCTGTTGACATCATCAAAAGATGACCCTTTGGAAATAGATTATAATAGAAAAATGGTTCTTATTGATTTTTGAATGATTGTAATATATATATAGTAATTTAACTTTATTAATACTTCTTTAAAGACGTCCATCCAAATAGTAATGTTTGTATAGATGTTATACTTTTTACTTATTGGACGGCTTTAATACATCTAAGAACCCGGCTTGCAATATACTCACTCTTACTGGTTTCATATATTCAATCCTCTCATTTTTTGTAGGTTTATACTTCTTTAACCAAAAATCCAACCCCTTGCATTTTCTTTAGCTTTTTTTTCTATTGAAAGTCTAAAAGTTATATATTCTACTAATGGTTTTTTTTGCTTTGTAGTATGACTGTATAGAACAATTACTGTTTTTTTAGTTTCCCAAGCTTTTCTCTTGCTCAATCAAGATAGCAAATTACCAACCTTGATCATATACATCTATATCTTATCATTCTACTCTCAATAATCATCAGTATTAATATCATTAAAATTCATTTAATAGAAAGAAAGAAAGAAAGAACTGGAAAAAAACGTTACTTTTGTTGAATAGCAAATATATAAAAAAAAAGTTTCGGTACTTGTTACAAGCTTAGAGAGAAAACAGATACTTTATTATTTAAAACAGAACCTTTACTATCTTATTTTTCATGTTGAAGATATCAACTCTCCTTCTACATATAAATAACCTTTGCTTTTTTTCTGGGCATATTTTATGTTCTGTACCATAATCCCCGGATATCTTATGGTCATCACCCATTCCCTTGAGAAATCATCTTGACACTCAACCATCGATATAACCTCATTTCAATAAAACTCAACCTGGAATTCAAAATTCCACCTCCTATCGTATTGTGAGGATTCAGATAATATGCATGTATACTTTTTGCTTTCGTTTCTGCTTTTTACTAGTTGACCTATATAGCTTTTGAAATATATGTAAGTTTATCTCTTACTGAATGTTAGGTCTTTTTTACGTCTAATTTTGAAAGCAATAGAAGAAAGCTTTTTCTTGTACCTTTGAACAAACAGCGCACAGACCAGCTTAGAGTAACCTACAAATCGCCGTTATAGAAACTTGTACTCCACTTTGAAAGTTATTGCTACACCGATCAAAACCGAACCTTTCCTTACTTCTTTGCTTTTTTGCTTTACTTTGCTTTACTTTGAAAAAGCCATCTTCTCTAGTAATCTAATTCAATATTACTAGCTGTCTACTCTACCTTAGAACAGTTACACAAACCCAATAAAAAGAATATATAGCCATATCACGTTTGCTCTGACGTGGACATCTAAGACTGACAAAAAGCGCAGTCGTAAACTTTAATCGCAGATGAAAAAATTTTCTGTTACTTATAGACCTCCTCCAACGCGTGTCGTTTGTTTTCTCCTTGAGCAACAACAGTCCCGGTTTCATAGTGAGGCGTCTCTTGCGACCGTTGCAGGGAGATTCTTCCATGCTACAAGCATCGGAAAGTGAAAGTTGTTACTCGCCAGCTCAGTTAATTCTGAGAAGTCGTGGGGCATGGTCTCTTTTCTTTTGGAAAGACTACTGTGTACATCGCATCGCCAATGTGGAATCATGATGCTGGGGGGAGGGAGGTCTAACCTGTGGTGAGATGTGCTGGCTCTTCACTGCTAGCCTGACTGAACTCTTTAACGGCTGACGGTGAAGCTACTGGTAGTCGAATGAGCTGGACCTTATCACCTAGTGGTAAGTTCTCTGGCGAGTTCGCACCCACATTACTCGGTGACGAGATGTGGGGCTGGATGAACGGGTGCTTTCCGTTGGTTTGCCACCATTCCAGCACCTCCTTCGCTACCAAGTCAGGTTTACGTCCTGAAGGAGATTGAGCCGCGTAATGCGGGGACAAAGAACTTGGTGTCATGCTTTTTATTCTTTTACTCATGTAAAAGAACATTAAGTGAAATTAAATCAAATAGAATATTTTCTTTACGTATATCTTTAAATAAATAAATAAGGCCTTTCTTAGCTATTGTCAACTTTAATAAAAAAACACGCTTTTAAACTTTTTTTTTTGCTTGATTGAAGAGTTCAATGTTGTAATTAGGAGGGCTCATTTATAAGAAGAAATTAATTAGTCAAATAACTCTGAAAAGAAATAAAAAAATATTTGTATATTCTAAAGTGGTATTGATAGCCGTGTTCAACTGCAGAGGTTGTTGTTGTTTATAAATTATATTAGGATTAAAGTAAGACTAGTTTCTGAGAACGCCGATTCCGTAGATTTTATATTATTGAATTTGGCTAAGCCGGATGGACATTATGAATGGCATGCATTGGAATGAGAGAAAGAGAAAAAAAAACAACAAAATGGAGAGATGAGAGATTAGAGGGAATGAAGAAATGTATCTGACAGAAAATATGGGATGTGGTCTGAATACACAAGTAATACCCTCGTTGTATTTACACAGACTGTGTAAAAAAAAGAAGTCAGTTTGGATGTATTTATGAAACAATAACCCTTACATACAAGTGTTTTTAAACTTTGATAACTACTGAATGCTTGGTATCTTTCATTCGTTATTGCATACACATATGCGCAATAATATTCACAGTGTAATAGATGCTTTGAATTCAAATGAGAAGAGTAGACAAGTGTTAACAGTTACAAATTATATCCTTCAATATTCTGTATAAAAGTTAGTTGCCAAAAATGTACAGGCAATCTTTATATTATAGCTCTTAAATACAAGTTGACAGACATAGGGTATATTGAATAGCAACGCCCGGATATTATAAAAGAGGTGCATTTTCATATTGAGTCACATAGAGTAGAGTCGAATAGAGAATAGTAAAGAGAAATTTTGATGCTTGTCGATTATTACAGCCGATTCATTTCTTTATATATTTTGCTTATATATCAGTTTTTATATGTGTTTAGGTGCAAGTTCTCAAAATATACCGTGATTTCTGCCATTTCAACATCGACAATTTTCTTTAAATTACTACCAAGAATAAGATTGACCTAATTTTGAAGAGATTGAAGAAAATACTCTCTATAAAGTAAAGATAAATCATCGATTTATATTAGCAGAAAAACTCTTGTGTATCTTGTCATATTTAAATTATTTAATAAAAAATGATTTTGAAAGTATGTCAACCTGCTCAAAGATCATCTTATTTCGATAGTATTTACTGGAATTTTCACTATGCGCACAAGAATAATGAATTCAATTACAAATTATATAAAAATACGATTTCAATAAGAACACTTCCCTTAGTACTTTGCTTGGAATTGTTGGGTTCCTTCCGAGTAATATATATATATAAAATATCATTGTCTTGGGTAGATAATAGATCTACAGTTTGTGATATTAAGAATTTGGTTCCTGTTTCATTCATGGTTATTTGAACAATAGTTTAAAGCTTAAATAATCCTAGATATAATATACTTAAATTATAAAAGGTAGAAGCCATAGATAGTTTACTAATTTATTTTTTAGTAAGACAAATATTTTTAGAGTTAACAATTCGGTGACATTTCATCTTCTGGGACGACATAGTGCTTGTTTATTTGTGATTTTCTCAGTAGTGGTTGATTATGGGCTTTTCATTTCTTTTGTTTTTTCTAAGGATTTGTTCAGGTTTTCTAATATACTATCCGGTTGAAAATGTTCTCTTGAGAGTCTAGATTTTTACTGTTAAATTGTCTAAATGTTATTTTCTTATTTCATCTATATTTCTAGAAATTTTGTCAAATTAAAGCCATAGGCCCATTTTCGTGTGTATGTGAAAATTTACAATACATTTGGTATGGACAGACTAAAAACCCAAGAAAGAAAGTTCAAAAATGTAACTCGTATTATTGGATTAGAGTCTAAAAAAAGTTCGAAGATTTTGAACTTAAAGCAAATTTCAAAAAAAAAGTTCGAAAAAAGTTCAAATGACTCGGATGGTCTAATCTTCTTCCATTACCAATTGGATTGAGAAGATCATACTTTTGGTGAAAAATATGTACCATGGAATGTAAGGCCTAGAAAACATCCCAATAAAATATCTTCCCCTGAGGGAAAAGATGGTATTACGAGCACTTAATTTTATCTAATAAGGATTTGAACTTTTTTGAACTCGTTTTGAACCTTGTAGTCTGTCTACACCAATTTTGTGAAGATATATTTGTCGATGTGTGAAAGAGAGACTGACTTTGTTTATTAGTGAAAACGCATTATATACCATTTCTAAATTGAGAGATTGTATCTCGCCTTGGTTACCCATGTGACAGCGCTATAGAACCCCACCTTTTCTGGATATCTTATTATATACCCCTCTTTATTCGTATACTTGTTAATGTCTGCTATTCCTTCCCATGTCTCCGAGCGATATATTAACAGTCGTTATAACAAAGCACTAAATATCGTCCAGCATCTCTCAGCGTCTTCCAGTGTCCAGCCTACCAAAGAAGAAAAACTAGAGGTTGTTTTATACACGCAAAAAAAACAATAATTTTGTTATTGGGACTTACCGTTCTATCCGCAGCTGTATGCACTTTATAAGCAGGTCTCACATGGCAATGTCAATACTCCACGACCAGGAATGTTTGACCTAGTTGGCAAAGCTAAATGGTATTGGAAAACATATTTGTTGGTGTGTCATGGCTGACATTCATTAGGGATGCCTGGAAGAATCAGGAGAGCATGGCAGCTATAGAGGCTAAGTACCGGTATGTCGACTTGCTTCTGAGGGTTGCTTCTGAGGTAAGCGTTATTAAAGGGTTTTTCGATTAAATACTTCCTTTTATCAAAAGAAAACCCGAGATAGCCTTATTTATGCAAGTATTTCCGATTATATTAGGCATACAAAAAGAGTGCAAGTAGGTTAGAGGCACAGCAGATTATACAAGCCTTTGCGATGGTACGACCATCGGAAGACAACGATAGCGACGAGGACATTTACAGAAACCCAGAAGGTAAATTTTCTGACAAACATAGTCTTGTTCTTACTCCTATATTTTATATTACAGGAATGAGCATAGCCTCAGAAGATATAGAGGAGCAAGCATATCTGCGAGATATTCAACAAGCAAAGGCCATTAAGATCGAGGCTCAAAAATCTCAAGATAGCAGGCCAACTTCCAATTCACCAGGTGTGCGATCCTTTCAGTCAAGTGGGTCAGGATCCCAGCAGCCGCCAATGAGAGTGTCATCTTTACAGGAAAAGGCATCGTTACAAGACAAACCAAACTTGCAGCCCAGCAGAACACCATCTGTAGCATCTGTGCGTTCAAATACGTCTCTCACCAATCAACCACGTCGCCGTCCCTCAGCAAGCAATGCATCTGGAATGCATTCGCCACTAATACAGCGCACACCGGTGCGGCGTCCTCTTAGAGATCCTCCCCATCTTGGATTACCTCGACTTTTTCAAGAGAATTTCGATGATAAGACAAACCCTTGGGCACAACAACCTTCTCAGCAGCGCTATAAAGTAGATCACAGCAGTAGTGAAGATAGTATCGACGGTCAAACCAGCCTTCGCGCAGAAATTGCCTCGGCCTCGATGACCTCCCCCATGATCACTGGTCAGAGAACACGTCCGTCGGGAGAGTCTCCTATACAAGGATCGAGTACAACTTCATCCGTCACAGCAACTCCCACCTCTGTCGCACGCCCCTTCCTAACCCAACGTATACCATCTCGGGTTCAGGAACGTTCGTTTGATCCCAGACTCTCTCAAGACGCCTCATTCTCGATGATAGCTCTTGGGCCTGCTACTAAACGTGCCCTTGAGTCACTACAAGCAGAAATCATCGCTCTAAACGAACGGATCGACGACTTGAGGCAGGAATTAGTAGAACGTAATAAGGAGAGTGTGGTTAATCGTATGTCGATAACAAAGGATAGCAAAGGAGCTGTGGCAGAAGACAACGATGAAGACGACAAGGAAGACGATGACGAGGCCTGGGAGGGGTGGCGTTGGGTAATAAAGGTAGGTTGTATTGTGTATTTATTCTGATGGTTGGTATGGTAAACGTTATCTCTATTGGTTTAGGCTGCTGCCAAGCACGCGGCCGTTAATCTTTTAACTACACTTGTACTGTTTGTGGTGCTTTACCGGAGTGGCAGTCCAGTAGCACATGCTATAACAGGTCATATGTTTCGTGTGTGGCAACGTCTTAAGCTACAGATATTATTCACCAAAGTGGTTGTGTGATTCAAAGGAGGTTGGGGGAGAGGGATGGGGAGATAAGGAATGATATTTTTGTATAAAAATAAAGGAGTCGTAAGAAAAAAAGACAGCCCCCACCTCTTTCTCTTCTACTTTATTGCTTCCATTATTTATTTTTGTTCAGTGCGCTCGTTTTGTCCGACATGAGAGACCATCAGGAAGTCTCGCCCCAACTGCGAATGGTCCAAAGTAATCCCAACCTACGACCATTATCTATTCAAGATACCTCTACCAAGAAACCTCTTTATCATAGTCGCACACAGCACAAACAGCTTCTTCAACGACAGTCATTCTTAGCAGACGATACCAACTCACTCGACCACCCAGTCAATATGCGTAGACTAACCAAAGAACTCGAGCGTGTGAATAGAGAATATCGGTGTGTAAAGCACTTTGTGGACCCTTTTGCCGAGTCCATTAAACGAATTCTCGTCCAACACTCGCCTTCAACCTGAATAAAGAAGTCTACTTATTTTTATATATATATATTATTTTTATTGATTTATTGATTTATAAAAATGTTCTTCGTTCCCTTTTTAAGCTTTACGAACAAAGTCAATTAAGCATAAGCCATAATGAATTTGATCTGACAAACGGCCAAATTCAGACTTTTGTTGTGAGAGAATGGCGCTGAGCTTGTCATGAATGGGGTTTTCAGGGTTAGCAACCACCAGGTCGCCGTGAATTATACAAAACACATTTAGCCATGCTTGTGCCAGCTCAAAGTTCTTACGAGTCGAGAGCATATAAGAGATTGCGTTCACAAATTGATTCATTGCAGTCAGTTGACCATCCACTGTCATTGAACGAATCTCAAGATCAATAGCCGAAGGGCTAAGAGACTTGCAATATGCTACAAACTCAGAAACTAAACACAATGTTAAAAAAAAACAAAAAAAAAAACCAAGAATGTGTTTGTTTGTGTGCATATATATATATATATATATTAACTTACAGTCTTTGGACTCATCCCCTGAGCGAAGTAAACGAGTAAAGTCGGTAACAAAGTGCATCTCGTTCAATTGGAAGAAGCTCTTTTTTGATTCACTGGATTCTTTCTTTTCTTCAATGGCAAATTGGGGAGCTGCACCAGGCAGTGTTGGCAAGAAGAATGGGGCCTTTTCTGGTAATTTAGGTGCTTCGGTGGGTTTGTTGCGTTGCTATTTTAGAGGTTAGTAATCTAGAAATAAAGATTATTTTAGGAGCAAAAACTCACCTTGATATTATCCAAGTTCAACAAGTTTTGCCATTTAGAACGAGGCTCCAAAGAAAGTGTAATCATTTTCTCGGTAAGTTGCTCTGTCTTATTCAATGGATCTACAACTGTGGTCATCTCATCCTCATCCTCATCTAATTCGCCTCCATCGCCATTCAAAGAAGGAAGAGACAAGAGTTGTACTTCTTCATCATCTGGGATACTGTGTAATGAAACATTGGTGAACTGTGTGCGGTTTGCCCTAAAAAAAGTCGAAACAATAAGTAAAAGTAGATATTATTATTAATTTATATCAAATACATTACATACCATAAGAAAATTCCAACATTATCTACATGAGATGTGGCTAGATAATCACCGGTAGGAGAGAATGTCAGACTGGTAACAACATCCTGTACCCGGAAAATATCAACCATTGTGCCAGATGGAAGATCCCATGTACGAATTGTGGCATCCAATGATGAAGATACGATCCACCGACCATCAGGACTGAAAGTCTATAAAAACACACAACTTAATACACTATTTATATATATTACCCTGTAAATCACTTACCATATCTGTAATTCTGTTTCTGTGACCCCAAAACTCTCTGACCACCTTTTGTGTTTCTATATCAATGACACGAATACCAAGATCATCGCATGCTACTGCTAAAAGATCATTATCGCGCAAGAAAAGAATTTCAACTACAGGGGATTCGAGTTGAATGGTATGAAGCAGGTTAGCAGACTTGAATTCCCAAATCTAAAGAAATACAAATTAGAAGGTCATGGTATGTAAAATCAGCCACTCTTGCCGATCATTACCTTGATAGTCTTGTCCACAGAAGAACTGATTACGAATCGGTTCACATTATCTGTTGCCAGCCCTGTAACTGCCTTTTTATGACCATCAATACCGCCATATGTCTTGCGATGAGCACCGGATTGCAAGTTGAACATATCAATTTGACCGGATGCACAGCCAGCAAACACAAAGTTACCGCATGCACTGATAGTAGTTGTCTTAATTGCACTCTTGTCTTTACTAATCATAGTATATTTTCCTTTGCTCTTCTTGTTTAAACTCCATGTACGAATAGCATTATCATTCAAGTGACATGTTGACACATTATCCCACTCTTTTTCTTTAGCAATGCCTAAAAGTAAAACAGAGCTAGTGTAAGAAATATATATGATATTCATCATTGACAATTTTAGTTACTTACAGGTCGAAAAGTCAACAATCTGAGGTAGCTTAAGGTCCTCCATCTTTAGCCCCTTCTTGTTGGACTTGCTAGCCAGATGACCTTGTGAAAATTCAAAGCTCTGGGCATCACGTCTAAGTGAAAATGAACGGAGTGATTGATCTCGACCTGCACTGATAATCGCCTTTCCAGCACTATCATAAAATCTAATCTTTGAAGGAGGTCCATAATGTCCACTACGGTACTTCAAGGGCAAGGGTACGGAGTTGTGCTTCTCGAAAATCCATTGCTGGTATAAATTATATATAAGCAAACTAGAAAAATATTGCCCATGATACCATCCCAATTGTCGTTTGCTTTACCTTGACAGCGTTATCCGCACCTGCTGTCACAAGTACTGGTTGACCATTCAAAAAAGCGACAGAAGAAATCGACCCGCTATGAGCTCCTTTCATCTTATGCACCAGACGACGAGTGTTGAGATCCCAAAGAGCAACATCGCCGTGCATGTTAGCAGTAGCCATCATAGGTTCCTCATCTGTTTTGCGTTAATATGCTCTCTCTTTTTCTTCTTTCTTTCCTCCCTATTCATCATATTTTACCTGTGCGGAATGAGATGGCCGTTACTCGGTCTTCTTGTCGTACACTGTCGATTTTCTCATCCACTTTAATGTTGTGTAGCTGCACAGTACCGTTCAGTAATCCAATAGCGATAACATCGACCACAGGTGATTGAGTCAAACATGTAATAGGAGATCCAAACGATTTAAACTGATATACAAGACTGTTGGTGCGAATATTCCAAATTTGAAGAGTTCCTTCAGTACTACTGATCAGTAATTTATTCAAATAAGTGCTAGGGTGAATCATCGCTGTAGCAGTAAATTGATCACCGAATTCGATCTCTGTATACAATTCTAATCACATACACAAACATAAATTAATAAACTCTTTACACATCTGAGCACAAAATAGAATTCACCTCTTGTAGCGGTATTCCACATCTTCAGTGTATTATCATCGCACAAACCGACAACGTAGGGACCAAGCACGAGCAGCTGGAAGATAATGAAATTTCCTTCACCTCCAACACGAGAAAACTATTAATGGGGTAAGCCAGTCTTATTAGTTATTACAATCATTATGTTTTTTTATCCAAAAAAAAAATCTACCTCTTTTCCGCGTTTAAAAGCCAATACGCTATTACCGCAAGCTGCATAAGTTATTCCATTAGCAGATGTCATGGCGCTGATGGCATTTTCGGTAGTAGGGCTCACAAAGAGCAAGTTCATTTTAGCAACCTAAAAGCACATCACATCTACTTAAGACTTTTTTCTCGTCCACATTATTCGATGCAATGAATTTACATTGTAGGTCTGGAAGTTGTTGCCAACGCTGGTAGTCAAGAAATAATCTTGTCCACGAGTTTCAATGACAAATGGAATATCGTTTGTAATGTATCCAATAGCGCGGAAAGGTTGGAAGATGCGGGATCGCAGGGGCTTTATAGCTTTCTCGACACGCTGCTTTTTGTGGTCCATAAGTTCGTGGTTGGCCATTGTATGAGTCGATCGATCTTCACTCAAAAAAAAATTGGAACTTGGCCCTGTTAAGAAAAATGGAGCGCCACCAAGAAAAGCTGTCACGACAAAACGTTCAAAAAAGGGTATTCTTGTCAAGAGAATATGCAAAATGTATTTTTAAAAAAAAAAAGAAAAAGAAATTAAGGCGCTATAATTAAAACATAGTTATGCAATTGAACCGCAAAAGATCATCCTAAGCCCACACCTATCACAAAGCAATTTAATAAGTTTAGAGGTTTCACCAATTAGCCTTAATTACCTTTAAAGATGCATCCCAGCTACCCGTACACAAGACTGTTCCGTCACCAGAAACTCCTAGGCACGAAACCCGGTTCTCATGACCTGTCAATACACCCACCCGCTCGCCTTTGAGAGTATCCCAAACATGACAGTTATAGTCATCATAGCCTGCGAACAAAAGTCGACCAGAAATAGAAAAATCAATCGACGTAATGCCTGACAGAACAGATTCATGCGTAAAAACATTCAATTCGCAATCGGCTCGTATATCATATAGTCGACAAGTAGCATCATCGGATCCAGTTACAAACGCTTCGCCGTTTGGAAAAAATTGGACGGAATTGATATCAGTTTCATGTCCTGAGAATGTATGGACACATTGAGCTGCTCGGATATCCCATACTTTGGCTGTAGCGTCACACGCTCCAGTGACAAACACATTAGGATTTGGACTAAGGGAAAGGCTAAAAGGAATATATAAATGTCAATCATCATTTTCTGTTTAGATTACTCACTACTTTACCTCATCACGTCTCCTGTGTGATCATCAAAGCTCTCTGTCTTTACGCCAGCATCAATGTCCCACAACATACAGCTCATATCACCCGAGCTTGTTAAAATACGCCTATCATCTATAAATCTACAACTACTGACATAGCCTGTGTGGGCAGATAGTTCGCGTGTTGGACGGACTGGTCCTTCACGAATTTTGAGGCTGTAGATTGAACAAATGTTATCTAACCCACCACTCGCCACGAAATCTCCTGAAGGACTATAGGCACATGTCATGACCCATGAAGATCTTAGAGGGATGGCATGCACCTTATTACTTGAATAAGCGTCCCACACAATAAGTTTTCCATCCTGAGAGGCCGACACAAGGTGTTGTCTGTCTGTAGCCCAATGCATGGAATATATTTTTGCGAGATGGCCTTTGAGTGCCTTTCGATTCTTCATTAATACTCGAGGCAGAGAATCAATATCCTTTGCCATCTCTTGCACTTTTTTAACCCAAAATAAGAATAAATGTCAACTTCGGTGTCACCATTTCTGCTTCGAGCTATTTAAATCGCTATATTTCTTTTCTGTCACTTGCATGTAGTATCTGATAAAGCATCTTTTCGTTGTTTTATACGTTCTTTGAGTGCTTCTGCATCTCGTCTAGCAACAGCGATTCGACTGGTAATTTCGTATTCTTCCATTAGGTGGAAGAAGGGAAGGATAGGAGGGAAAAGGGGAACTGTGGACTTTATTATTATTGTTCCTATTCTTATTCTTATTATTATTTCAAGGGGAAAAATAAAGAAAGAATATTAGTCGTTAAAGAATAGAAAGTATAAAACTTATTGCCACATGTACCAGGCAACGAAACTTGCTACTAAATTTCATTGGACACAATTTTATTAAATTTGTATAATATTGGACTTCTGGCTGTGGTTATGGGGATTTATTGTTAATTCCCACAATTTATGGAGGCAAAAGAGCGTATACATACATCTACTGTTGATGTTGATTTTTTGTACTCGGTCTAAACTTAGATTACATTCAGCGTAACCGCTCATATGTGATCAGTAAATCGCAGTAGATTGACACTTTGGTGATTACATTGAGCAACTTTAGTGAGACTGCGAGTGCATAATTGGAAACTAAACATAATTTCTGGCTCGGGTTAACTATTGCAACGAAAGTGGTTCGACTTTTATTCTTCTTCTAAAAAGTATAATCGTAAGAGATTGGGAGAAAATGAAGTCCAAGTATTGTACTCAACAAATACCCCGTATTTCAGTATTCCGGTTTGTTGGCTATAATCCCTTTTTCGTGTATTATCCAATTCATGTTTGAGACACGCACAAGCACACACACATATATACAAAATCGTTATACTTTGATAATAATAATAAAAATGTTTATGAATATCTTTCAATTTTATTGTTGTTTTTTTCTAACTAAATAAAAACAAGTATCATTTGGCAAATCTTTACTAAAAGAATAAATAGAGTCATATGCGCATGCTCGTGTAGCTCTGTCTTGAAGTTGCACTACGGTTTTTGTTTGTATGGAGCGGAGCTCTGGTTTATTGGTGGGACTCTTGTCCAAAAGGCTTAAGAGGCGCCACAACTTGTTTTTGGTTTTTCTATTATTTAAATGTTTTTGGGGATTTTGTGTTTTAAGTTGTAAATGTAATGTAAAAAAAAAGTGGAAACGAAGAAACGCGATGAACTTAGACAGAAAAAGGGCGTTGATCAAGGTTTTCTTCGGATTGTAAACGGGAAAGCAGGGAGTTGGCAGTGGTAGTGGCATTAGCGGCAACGAAAGGTGATTGATCGAATATGAAAGCCCAGTGATGTCTCCACAAGGCTAAAAGAACAGAGCCAAGGATTGAGGCAGGATGTGAAGTGGGATCAAGGGGGGGAGGGAAGGAAAACTTGTATAGCGCATTGTGAATGTCAGAGGATTGGGGGGAAAAGCCGAAATGCGCGAGCCAGAGTGTGTGCCAGAGAGGAAGCTTGAGTGGGCATGCGTAGAGAAAATGGTCTTGAGAGTCAATTTCCGTTCCACACAGCGAACAATTAGGGGAGGGAAATGAGGTGGGAATACGGTTATGCAGCACGGATTGACATGAGATCTTGTGGTGAAGCAGCCGGAACCAAATGTTGCGAGAGGCATACGGAAGGATAAAAGACCAGAATTGACGCCATTTGATGGCTCGTATGTTGTGCGGTACATCCTCGATAGAAGAAGTGACGACTTCACAGGAGGAACGGAATTGGCGTGTAGACAAGCGTTTCCAAGGAAAGGTAAGAGAGAGGGCCGACAGGAGTGTGGAAGGGTCAACCTCAGTGCCCGTGCGAGCCATCAAGTCAGGGAATTGTTCGGTCAAGATACTTTGAGGCAGGCAAGCGCGAATGACGAATGCGTGAAGGAAAAGAGAGTGATCATCCACCCGCTGAAGGACTTTGCGGAGGATGCGTGGTGAACGAGGAAAGGAAGAAGGTAAGCGGCGAGAAAGGATATCCAAAGTGGTGTTGATCTCGTAGGCATCCCGGATCCGGAGGTGACGCCAAGAAGCAGGAAAAGCAGGGAGACCATGTGGAACCACAACTGCAGAGGCGAGAGGAATGTCCAGACAAGTCGGTAGATTTATCACAGTAGAGTCAAAATCGTGAGGCAAGAGATCGCAGGCAGCAAAAAGGTTAAAGAAAGGACTGGTGTAAGTTCGGAATCGAGGGTGTCTGAGGTCAGGAAAAATGAAAGGAAGATGGGGATGGACATCAGGTAGATAATGCCGAAGAAGATATAGCAGCCAAGGCAACACCAGACCAGAAGGAGACGAAGTGGATTGGAATAGAGGTCGAAGCCAACGGAGCTGAAGGGCACCTTGTTGCAGTTTTGGATTCAAAACCCCTAAACCGCCCATTTTTGTGGGGAGACATAGAGTGTCAAGTCTAATCGGTGGGAAGCTTCGATGCTGAAGAAAGCGACCCATGAGAGAGCGAACTTTTGTAAAGAATGTGCCGGGAACAGATACAACACGAAGAACGTGCCAGAGCTTTGACAATATAAGAGAGTTTAGGACAGTAGCACGGCCACGGAAGGACAAGGCGCGGGAGAGGTGGATATGTGAAGCTCGCTCTATCTTAGACAAGATTTGTGAGCAGAAGGAGTTGCGTTGGGTGAGGGAGGAGATGATCGGAAAGCCAAGGTAGCGGAGAGGTTCTGGAGAGCGACTATCATGCCAATCGACAATCTGCAAGCTGTGAAGGGTGTCCGCCCAGTGAGGATGAGGTCTGCCTGACAGAGAGAAAGCTTGGGTCTTGTGAAGGTTGATGCGTGCGTTGGAAGCAGAGGCATAGGTGGCGAGGTGGTGCTGCAATCGGGACATGTCCTGGATCTGCGGGAGGAAAACCAGAAGATCGTCGGCATAAGCGAGTAGCTTTATGGGTGGAGGTGCGGGATGTTCAGGCGTACTTTGGATCTCAAATCCAGGAAACTGAGGGTCGTGTATGAGTCGGCGCAAAAGTGGTTCAAAGGCCAGGTTAAACAGAACAGGGGACATGGGGTCACCCTGTCTGAGTCCACGTGCTTGACAAAGAGGACGAGAGAGAAAACCGTTCACATTAATCTTAAGGTCGGAAGAGAAGAAAAGATTAGTGGTGCAGGTTATAATTGAAGGAGGAAAACCGAATTTAACAAGAACTTGTTGAAGATAGTCAGGGTGAACCCGATCGTAAGCCTTTTCCTGATCCAAGAGAAGACCGATTCCAGAGTGACCAGTAGAATTGGCATGATCCATAACCAGCTTCGTAAGTATACCGTTATCAGCAATGAAGCGACCACGGACAAATCCTGTTTGATACGGAGATACAAGCACTCCAGCAGCTTTGACCATTCGAGCGTTGAGAAGCCGAGTGAAAATCTTGGCATCGGCGTTGATCAGAGCAATCGGTCGCCAATTCTTCAGGGATGAGAGATCGCCTTTCTTGGGCAACAGAGAAACACATGTTGTTTGCCAGGATGAAGGGAATTGGCCACTACTAAGAGCATCATTGTACACTTGTGTCAGCAACTGGGAGCAAGAATGGTGATGAAAAATGAGTTGGAGGATCTCATAAGGGAGGCCGTCCGGTCCTGGGCTACTTGTTCGTGGAGAGCGAGACACGCCTTCTCGTATGTCTTCGATGCAAAGTTCAGCAGTCAGAGAGGAACATACGGTATCAGAGAGGCAGAGATCGTTGGGAAGGTGGCGAAGTAAATCGTCTATGGCTAGTTGATCTATTGGTTCAGGTGTATACAGGCCTTCGTAGAAAGAAGCGGCAGCTTCAGTCATGCCATCAGGCTCAGTGTGTAAGTGGTCAGTGATGGGATGGCGTAGTTTGGTAATGTTCTTTCGGGCTTGGCGTTCTGCAACTGTTCGCTTGAGGTATCCTGCGGAGATCTCTCCATTCTCTCGCCAATGTTTGCCTGCACGCAGGGCAAGAATTTCCACTCTCTCCAGCTGGACTTGTTGCAACTGTCTTTCAATAATGGGCAATTGGAAGTTTTGGGCGGGTTGTTGTCTGAACTTGTGGATTAACTTGTCACGTTTACTTTGAAGTCTGGCCTCCAGTGTAGTGAGTGTTTGTGTGCGGCGCCTAGTAAAGGACTTAATGAATTTTGTAAGCATATGTTTTAATCTATCCCATTGGTCTTGTGGGGACATATAGGGAGAAAGTAGAAATACGGAGGTAGAAATATAGGCGTCAAATTCAGTGCAAAAAGTGTGGTTGCGGGCAAGACGAGGGTTGGCGCGCCACATTCCCTTTCCTGTTGCATGGTTGGCGGTAAACTTAAAAGTAGTGGCTACTAGACAATGATCGGACCAATTCGGATGTATATAGGACACAGAAGAGGACTGACGGCACGGGGCAAGGTCGGAAGAAGCAAATACATAATCTATGGAGGAGGAGCAAAGTTGTCGGTGGAAGGTTGGGGCAGGGACTTCACCACTCAATGTGACACAATCCACGAAATGGTTAGAAATAAAGTTAAGCCATTCGGGAGGGGCCTGGCGAGGGTTAGAAGAAGTAGTGCGGTAGGTATAATTGAAGTCGCCCAAAAGTATGCATGAGGATGGGAGACGAGGAAGTAGTGATGGAGAGTTGAGAAGAGAGCGGAGGAAAGAAAAGCGGTCCCGGTAGGAAGCTGGGGCATAAACAACGCATATACGGAAAGAGGGAATGGAATTATTAGTATGTATGACTGTAGTAGAGATGCAACGGCCACAAGGGCTGAATAGAGGGTTAATGAAAGATAGGTGCGGAGAAAGAGAAACAAGACCGCAGTGCGGAGACCATAAGGAATCTTGGGCATGGAATTGTGTATGGAACATCTGTTGGAGAGGTTCAGTATTGGCATGAGTTTCTTGAAGGGCGAGTAAATCGATCCCGCAGGATCGAAGGTGTCTTATAAATAGGGAGCGCGTTTGTGGGTGGTTAGTTTTAGCTAATCCACGGCAATTCATAGATGCAATTTTTATCATAATTATTATTGGGGGATAGTTTCTTCAATACCCTTCATAGGGTCGTCTTCGCAGTTTTTCTCAAAGTATGCCTCCACCTCTGCCAAGTCGTCATCGGTGAGCGTGGGATCATCAGCGGGGAGTGTTCCCCTATCAACTAAGTTCGCCTCAAAAGGGAGTGGAGGTGTTTTTGGTGTCTTGGTGCGTGAATCGGCGGGTACAGCTTTGGTGGTGTTGGCGGGGTTGTGTTGAGACCCGGCAGAAGAGAGGGAAGGGTCAAGTAGGGCATAAGGGTTGGCTGTGGTGAAGGAGGGGGGGAGGGACTTCTTCATATGTGAGCCAGAGTGAGTGACAGTGGGTCGGTTGGTGGTGTTGCGGGTGGCAGTGGTGCGATGGGGGCCATGCGGTTCAGGAACCTTGCGATCCCGTTTGTATGAGTTGTCCACTTCGGCAGCACGAGGGCATTTAGAGCGAAGATGGCCGACCTGATGGCAGCCATAGCACGAGCGAGTTTCTTTTGGTCGAGTGGGGCAGTTGTCGCGGTCATGGCCCATGGTTTGACATAGAGCGCAATGGGCTCCCATATTGAGCCAAGTGGCCAAGAACGTCGTGTTATCATCGAAATCCATTTTAAAGCGAAGTGGAAGGAGGGCACCTTCCTCATATGGAGGACGCTCCACATATGCGTGTCCACTTCCATCCATAAACCCAAACAACGTGTTAATGGAGATATCGTGCACATAGCCATATTTCGTGAGAGCATTACGAAGTTTGGTATCCAAGGTAGCGTATTCTTGAGGAGGGAATCGGGGGAGCTTTGACAAAGTCAGCTTAAACAATTTGGATGAGCTAGCAATGGCAGGGGAGGCAAGAACAGTTTCGTTGTTGTACCGAAAGCCTACACGACAAGCACGAGCACAAACATCTTTGGAGCTCAAGTGGAGCTCAAAGAGGGTACCAGCTTTATTGGAAGGGTTCAGGCCAAAGATTTCGCCAGGCAAAAAGGACTGGAGCAGAGCGTCAAAGAAAACAATGAATTCGGGAGAGGTTTCCGGGGGAGTAGTGTAGTAAACGGAGAACTGGCTAGTACTTTCTCGCCAAGTGCGAGGTTTTGTCAGGGGGTCATTAGACCCAAGTACGATGGCATGGCGGAATGTCGGTGCGGTGTTTGTTAGGGCAGTCAAGTAGGTGAGAGGGAGTCCGGGTGTGGGTGTTGTGATAGTGGGTGAATTGTTTGTATGGCTGTTTATGAGGTGTTCCCCTGTGGGGGGGTCCGGTTGTATAGCGGAGGAAGCCATGTGTGAAGTTGCACTACGGGAAAAAAGGGGCGTTTTTTGTAATTGTGACTTCATTTTTTGCCTATAATAATTAAAAAATCCCCAAAAAATCAAAATGAAACAAAAAAATCTCTGTTTTTTGAAATAGCTAATAAAAAGTAAATTGACTACCTAGAATTAAATCGCAGAAGAGACAAAAGTACATTTCAACTACAGACTTTACATTTTTAGATTGTATAGATTGAAATTGAGGACTATTAAAAGTCAGAAGTAAAAGACAAGGAAAATATCTAAACGGATTTCATTCTTGCAGCAGAAAGTTAAGACAATTTGAAAAAAAACAAATTATAGGTCTCTATATTGACCAAGATTTAATTTCGGGCCGCGGTTAAGTTCCGGCCACACTATATACTTTGTTGTTGTTGTTGTTGTACTATCTGTTGCATCTGACATTACAAGACCAACCAACTCCTTGACGTCTGCTAGGTGGACTACCTTTGGTTTGAGCTGGCCATTTACCACCACCGGAATGCCATTGTATAATACAGTACTATATATCAGCACCAAAACAAGGGGCCACATTTTACCAGAATTCTCATGTTCAAAGAAAAGAATTACTTTTCCAAAGAAGTCCTTTGCAACGGGAGTGTATCGGCGACGTACATTTGTGAACAGATCGACTTGCACCTGAAGACGAACATGATGCGCCTCTCTTAATGTATTTTGGGCAAATGAGGAGTCAATCACACAGCCATTAATAAAAGCTTTGCGACTAGTTATTATAGCTGGCTCAATCGTCCCGCATTCAACCCCCTTTGATCTATAAAAGTCTTGAATAAGAATCGGAAGACAAGAAATGTCTTCGAAACTGTCATCAATTGTTTTATATCCTAAAGGTCCCCAGAACTCAATATCGGAATCTGCACCAGCACGCTCGCCCTCACTAGTAATTGGCCAACCAGCAGACATATCTTCGTACTGTAATACAACAGCTCTCCGTTTGCCTCCATCGGAATCAGTCAACAATCGCCGTGTACGAGCCAGCCTGACCATTATGTTTCCAGCATTCACACCAATTGCCGAATTGCTTTTGATGGCGCGAGAATACTCGCCAATAGCACGCTCCATTGATCTTGTGCTGTATGCACGAGGAGGACCAAAGGCACTGATCATAACGGGGTAATGTTGTAGAAGGTGCTGGTTGATAGTAAACACCGTTATTTCTATTTTATCATTCCGATAAAGGTCTTCGAGATACATGTTCCATAATTGTAATTTTCTAGAAGAAAATTATAAGTGGCAAGAAAAAAAACACTGAATCTTATTAAACATACCTTTTTATAGAGGTTTGTTCCTCTGCTGATAACTCCCAGCTCATGAGTAAGTTGCAAGCTTGCACAAGTCCAAGCAATGCTTTCCTGGCAGTTGTATCTCTTACACGCTCGGCCACCATTGTAGGGACAACGAAGAGAAGGAAATCGGCCCAGTCTACAGCCTTGAAGTATCCACTGTACTTGGATATGTTTCTCCAAGAGCCATGAAATGCTGTCGGAATTGTTTTTCTTGTTGCTGCCATTGCCACGCCGATTTCCTTGAGTACATTGGCAGGAAGAAACAGAGAGTGTTTAATCCCATACTTTCCACCAATAAGCCCCCAGACCTGTTTGCCTATTCCATTGCAAAGGCCATGCATCTCGTCAAGGGTAAAAAAGAGCGGGCCTGTGAATGATGCCAGTGAAGAAAAAGGAGATTGTCCTACAAGACCCTTGCTGGACAAACTTGCTGAATCAAAGTTTTGGAAACTTTCCAAAGTGCGCATAGTAGTGTCTGGTAAAGATCTAAAATATTGGCCACGGCCAGGAGTTTGGCCCACAACATTACAGAGTCGACAGCCACTTTTGCTCATATGACCAGCGTGACATGCCAGCTTCGCCACTTCCGGAATATCACCAGTTACAACAAGGACATGGACCTTTGCACGGATGGTGAGAGTTGGGGTTACGACAACCATTCCTTCCTCTTGGAGTACCTTGAGGTCTGCCAAGGTTGGCTTCAAAAATGACCAGAAGTCAAGTGGTGCGGAAGGACCTGGGATCATCGCAATTTGTAGCATCCGGCTTTTCTCATAACGGACCATCGGAGGAAGATTAAGAACTGTGGCATGCAGAATAGTAATCGAACCGGGAACGTTATGAGGCGCAAAGCCATCGACAGACAAAGAAATTGCAACATCGTTTTCACCGGAGAAAAGGTGTTTGATTGATTGGTATGCATGCCCGTCAAAGATGTCTGCCTTGCTGCCATCTGCCTTTTGATCGTGATTGTGACGGTATAGCATCTCATGTCTGGTACCATTGTTGGCCAAAGAAAGGGCAATTTGCCTGGCCAAAGGAATCTGGACCATGGTTTTCTCGGCAATGGGTATACCGTCCTTATCGGTTTTGTCGCTTTTGTAGCGAGCTTCACCACAATGCTTGCAAGCAACCTCCTCTGCATCGTTAAACATCATACATCCGTTTCGGCAGACGTCGTATACTGTTTTTTCTACGCTAGAGAAACGCTTCAAGAGCTCCTTGCCCAGGTATGGTGTACACACTCTGTACGTTATCTCGGTTGACATCCCCAGAATGCTGTTGAGATGCGCAGCAAGCTTCTCATGAGCTTGACGGGAAATGCCAAAGTCATTGATGATTTTCATGAACTCCAGGTTCTTTGCATCATTGTTGCTCGGGACAGGAGAAGGCTGGCTAAAATCGAAAACCAAGGGAGAGGTGCTACTTTCAATTTCACTCTCACATTCGATATCACACTTTAATAACGCAAAATCAAATTAGTACAATGCATTTGTATATGCATATATATATATATATATATATATATCTTACCATGGGATCATCGAGGTCAGTGCTGTTATTACCATCAGTGCTTTCATGACTAATTGTGCTTGTATTTTCTCTGTTTATTTGAAGCATCGATATTGTTAATACATAGTTTGCCTTTTTTAACTTTTGTTTTTCTCAAACTCACTTAAGCATCAAGCCTGGAATCGCAGCTGAAACAGACTGGCTAGGCATCGAAAGCAAAGGAGTTGCAGACAAGTGTGCATTTCTCATATTTTCCAACTGATTTTTCAGGACAAGGTTAAGCACTTCTCAGCCATTTTCATATTACTATAGGTTTTTTTGCAAGAACCGCATTTATGAGGGAGAGTTTTTTTAATTGACGGCATTTTTAAGTAGGTAATTGAGTAACTTTGGTAAGAATAGAGATACTTATCTTCTCAATACGCGTCTTTATACTTAATCCATTGAAGGTGACAATGATATAGATAATTTGAACTCCCTCACGGGACTCGTAAAGGTAATAACACATGGTATGTAGTTATTGCAGCTATTATAATAAAAACAATAAACTTCGTTAAACCAATAGATATACCGAAATAAATCTGATAGTAATTAGAAAAAAATTTTCTTCCTCTTTTTCCCTTTTTTTCACAACAAACCCATATTTCTGATTTTTCTAATACAATGAATAATACAGATTATACAATTCTCCAGATACTTCAGGGCATGCAAGAAACACTTTTTGCATTGCAAAAAGGCCAGGAAGAACTTCAGGTTTGACAAGACGCACTCAAGAAAGGTCAAGAAGCACTCCGGGATGAACAAGCATTGCTTAGGCAGAAGATCGCCGATGTTCATAAAGATATGAATGGCCGAGAAAGCCCAGGGCCGACAATAGTACATAACGTAAGAAATAATAAAAGGAAGCAAAGTATACAGGCTAACATAAGATAATACAGAATCTCGGTGGAGCAATTCCAAGACCAGTACCGAATATCAAAGATATAACTTTGGTACATATCTACAGAATGATGAGCCACGATCTCGGGGTTAAGCTGGATAAAGGAAACAAGGCAATCCTTCACATTTGTACAGGCCTTGTCTGCGATGAGCTGGCCACTCTTCCTTCTGTGCAAGCTCTGGGACAATATCCAAACTGGAGTGCAATTTCTCAAGAGGACAAGAACTGGGCGTGCACCAGACACGCCTGTCTACTTGGAAACAATGGTATAGACTTTACCAGATGCCACAAAAACTGGGCATCTGTTGCAAAGGTCAGCCAATTATGGAAAAACCGTAAAAAGCGACAGTAGATTGTAAGTCTGTGCCTGGTAGGTATCATATAATAAAATATCAACTATCAATAGAGTCTAGTGAATAAAATTATATTTAGTCAGTATAATCTATATATAATAAGCCATTTTTTGTTTTGACAACCAATAAACCATGTTCTGTAAAATTTATTTCTATTCCAACAACCAATAAAATACTCATTTATAAGAATATTTGGTGAAAAATATGTTTTTAATCCAATTAAAATTATTAATAATCCAAGCTCTATATAAATGAAAACCAATCAAGTGAATATGAATTGTAAAGTGACCAATGGTTTTAGATATAAGCTTAAGATGGAAATTTTAATACCCAATAAAAGAGAATTATAAACCAAGGCTTTCGTATATAAGCACCAATAAAAAGTCAAATATAGATTACAAAAATGTGTATCGGTAACTGAATAAAACTTCACATTTGTTAATGAGCGGGGTTATACGATAATCCATAACAGGCAGGAGGTGAAAAAGTGGGTAGGCAAAAAACACCCACCTGGGCGACCTCCTGAGCGGCCCCCCAGTGAACCCCCGGCGGACCCTCTTTTTTTCCCGTAGTATATTTGTATTTACGCTTTAAGCTCTCAAGATGTACAAAAACCTCCCATACAACAATTGTAGTTCACCTCACTCCAAATAAATAGTATCTGAAATCTAACGTCAACGTGAATTAGATGTTTATACTTACGTATCATGTCGACAAGATTTTGGACTTTTCGTTCGAAAGCTAAATACTACCTGTATATGTTTTCAACAGTGTGCAATACAAATGTGATTTGTACAAATTCACAATATATAAAAGTACCTACCTACACTAGGAAAAAGGAGACAAGCAAATAGTAAGAGGAAGAATAATAATATAATTGCTCAAAAATGAAGGCTTTACGAGTCTTATAGAATGAAATACTTATCTAAGGGTCAAAAACACAATACCTACTGTTCCCTTTCCAATGACTCATTTACAAAAATTACTATTTATACAAATGGGATAGTCGAGTGAATGAGTAAGCAGCTTATATCATAATAATATTTATTTCTTTATAAGCTTACTTCAAAACTCATATTCCTTTCTATATTTCGAACATTATGATATTGGTAGTTTAGAAAATTGGAGTAATGAGAAGTGCTCGGCTACTCAAATCTTTATATGGCCTTTTTTTATGTGATATACTTTTCGTAGTGTCTTGAGTACAAATTAAAGATAAAATAAAATAGTAAATTTAAAGAATGCTTGTGTGTGCGATTGTCAGAATAAACAGGTTTAGCAATTTTTTGTGTGAGTTTTGGAATGGTTCTGTGTGGGTCAACTTAAGGTCGCGATGCTATATAAATTATTAGGAAACTAATTCTATGCTTTACGCCATATGAATGTATATCGAGGCTTTATTACCATAGCTACTAGGATTTCAAGTATATTTATTTAAGCAAATATTTACTATTAAAATATTGTTGAAGTTACCGCTGAAAGGAGGAATTATTTAATAATAATAAAAGGTACATTTAGATCAAAATAGTATGGTGTGTTCGAGCATAAACATCAAAGTTTTGAAATCTTTTCAATTTTACCCCAAGAAAACTCCGATAGTAGAATATATTCAATTCCCGATATAGATAGAAAGAAAATCGAAAAATAGTATTTTACGTTACACAATAATCTTTTTTAGGAACATTGAAATGTACCTGTTGCTATAGTGACTCTCTTTTTCATTTCAATATAAAAAAAAAAAAGCTGAAACTCCACTATTTTCTATTGATACCTCTTGACTTTGAAGGTCCATGACTTTTTATTCAAGCCTTGTTTTGAGAATCTTTTAAACAAGAGTTATTCGGAAGAGTCTTCCCTATAAAACATGTTTAAGCAATTCTCAATAACTTGTCTGTAGCAAAAGTCATGGAACTTTGAAAAGCACCTAAAAACTTATATATTTATCCCCGAACACACCATAAATTATATATAAAGAATCAGATATACATCCAAATTGATTAAGCAAAGTACTTCTACATGTGTAAGTAGTCCAGTGAGGCACATTAAAATTCACAACTTAAATAATCTTTGACATTTATTGCTCAAGTATTGCTCAAGAAGTCTTTTTTTAAAAAAAAAAAAAAACTGCGCGAAAATGCGTGGCCCAATAACCAATATCACTGTGAATAGCAGATTTTGTAACTATTTAGTAAAGAGTGTTAGCGAGACAATATAAAGGTTTTGATTACCACTGATATGTTTCTCTATTACCGGTGGAAAATATATATATGGAAATCTGCTACAAGTCTACATTCTCTCTAATATATCAAACTTTGGGTGTAATGCATCGGGTCAATGAACCGTGCTTGGACCGTACTTGAAATGAGTTAGAATTAATATAGTGGCCTGGGCGGAAAGCAAGCTGGAGAAAATTATGTTAGGAGCTGGCTAATGGTCCAGATTATTAACATGTTTCAACTTTTCGTGTTAGAATTGACTCATATCAGGGTCCATTACCATATGTGTACTCAGCAGGATTTTACGTATAGTTTTAAATTACAAAAAAAAATTGGAAAAAAGGGTCTTTTACCGACTTAGAAAAATTCTATATCCAAGAAAATAATGGTAGATTACTACAAATCCACAATTTCTTTAGTACAGTAAATAAAAAGCTATTTATTTTGCATTTATTCTTACTAAAGCACAAGATATACTACTTTTAAAAAATGATCTTTACTTAAGCAGTTGTAATATTATTCTGTGAATACACAATGCTCTAATAGTACATATTGTTGTCTTCTACATTTTCCGTGTGTATTTCCTAAATTTGTAGGTATCTCAAGCATCTTATTCTGTAAATTTGTTTGGATTAAGAATTAGCGAGACAATATTAGCCACTTGATTTTTTCTAGTAATAGTAAAAAGGAAATCAAATAATCTACTGCTTGATATATTTGTTTGGTTGGCTATGAGGGTGTCATTTATATCCTTCTTTCTTTTCCTTTCAATATACACTTTAATTTGTTTTTGGGATTTTTAAGTAGTTATTTTTTCTTGACAAAGACAAGAATCACACTTTACACAGCAAACCTAGCGTAATTTTTAAATATTACATTTCAATACATTGAAAATAGTATCTACCCTTGGTAAAATATAAGTTAGGTTTATTTTTAATTGATTGCCTCAAATAATTAGATTATGTACATTAATATGGCATGGTGTGTGTATCCTGACGTAAACAGATAAAGAGAAAATAGCTTTAAAAAGAGAATGACCTGATATGGAGTTATAGTTAAACATTATTGATAGGTCAGTCATTTGCCCATTAATTGTAATTCGGGCGACTTTGATGTGAAACGAGGCGTACAAAATGCAATATTTAGACAGTGTAAGAAAGTTTCCTGGTGCTGGTGCCTATACTGTGCATATTTTGCTTTAAGGGGTTACATAATAGTACTGTACTGTTTTTTTGAAATATTTTATTTTATTTTATTTATTTTATAATCCTGGAGATATTGAATGCACTGATGTATTAACTCAGAGCTTTCCTTGGAGTGGAGTGAGAATGAAATCAGGGTAACCTGGGTAAGTAGCATTGAGCCAATGTCCGCCTAAAAAATAAGAATAAAATTGGTAAATTCCAGTTATTTGCCTTTTAACAAGAACCTCATTGTAAGCACACAATTACTTACCATCTACGACTAGAGTTACACCACTGATCCAGTTTGCGGCATCAGAGAAAAGGAAGACGGTTGACTGTGCAATATCCTCAACACTTCCCATACGCTATAGAGATTATGTAATGTCAATAAAAATATAAAATTTTCCTGGAGCTATATATATATATTACCTGTAATGGAACTGCTGTTGCATCAAATTGAGGACCAAGCTTTTCCATACCAACCTACGATCAAAGGTTTATAATATCAACGTTTCATCCACATGACTCTATAATCTAAACAATGTCACTTACAGTTGATTCCTATGAATTCAAGTTAGATACAATGCACATGTAGATCAGGTATATAATTTTACACTTACAATTGGGCCTGGAGCAATACCTGTCGTTCCCAGCAGACAATGCAAGTCAAATTATTATTTATTAGATGTAATCCATGCTATCAATCTTTTTATATATTTGACATAACCATACCATTAACACCTATATTAAGAGAACCATATGTCACATTAGATTATTATACAATAAAGGTGTACACACACGCTATCAAAGGTTACTTACGGACGCCGTGTGGGCCAAGTTCAACAGCCCAATGTTTGGTGAGTGCCTTTTGACATTGAAAATACGACATGTAAATTACATATGTCTGTAGGCAATCAATATCGACTTACATCAATAGCAGCCTTTGCTGATCCTGCGTGCTGCTGGAAAGGAGTACCTGTGTAGTACAAAGTAGCGCTCACATTGATAATAGCGCCTTTGCTAGCTTTAATGTGTTTCAATGCAGCCTTGGTGAGGTTAAATGTACCTAAGAAATAGATAAACATTTGTTTTTGTTTTAGTTTCTAGACTTTTTTACAAGAAAAAAAGTCTATGGCTTAGAATTACCGAGAAGATCGATTTCAATAACAGTACGGAAAGCATTATAAGACAAGTTTTCGAAAGGAGCCAAGAAGTTTCCAGCTGCACCATTGATCAAATAATCGATATGTCCGAATCGTTCTACTGTTTTTCTAACAGCTTCCTCAAGCTGCTCAGGCTTACGGACATCTGCAGCAATTGCACTATGGAATAAAATAAGCTCAGGCACCAAAGGAATGTTTTTATGCTTTTATTTATTTACTTATATATATATATATATATATAAAGCGTTATAGTATATTTACTTACATAACCTCTCCACCAGTAGATTCGCGCATTTCCTTTGCAGCCTTCTCAAGCTTATCCAAACTTTTATGTATACATTAAATATAAAGTTAGGCTTAAATATATATATATTCCAGTTTGCCATCTTATGATGTTAACCTTCTGCTGATGATTACAGCCTTGGCACCATGACGAAGAACAGCTTCGGTCATTCCTCTACAGATTCCACTTCCACCACCGGAACAAAGCAGCACTTTTCCGGCAAAGATGTTATCCTTGAAAATCTGAGTTGTAGGTACGGAGGCAGACATGTTGTGGTATTTTGTATTGAATTTATTTTGATGCTAAAGCTTAAATACTCGTATATCTTTACGGATCACGTGATGCTGATATTAAAGCTGACGCATAAAAAATACAATTAGTGTCAAAATAAGATCCTCTTTTCAATTGAAGAATATGTCATTAGGATTTTCTTTGTATTTGTATTCAGGGGTATATTTTCTTCTGCTGATATAAGTATCAATTATCATTAGATCTTACAGTGTGGGTGGTTTTTTTTTAAAAAATAATAATAACAAAATAAAATACATTTCAATTGGCTTTTGACAAAGGAATATTTTCATAGATTTACAGCATATGTATGTATATGTTAATAGTACTATTATCATTAAATAACATCTTCAACAAAATGTATTTCCCCACATCTTTAATTTATTAATTTTAATATGCCAATAAAGCATTATGTCATCTTTAAAAAACTATATTAGGTAGTAAAATATTACATCAAACTCTCTCTCTCTCTCTCTTTCTGTGTGATAAATACTGAATGTCAGCAATAATGGAAATGTTGATTAGATTCTTGTATTGTGTTACTGTAATTTCTTTATTTGGAATGAATTTCGATCCCACACTTACATATCTTAGCAATAAATATAATTTTAATTACTAAAATTCAATTATTATCGAATCTCACGACTGTTGATCTGTCTTTCTTTCTTTTATTCTTATTTGTTCTTTTCTTGTAAACTGAACTATCATTGATTTGATACCCAAGATTAATTCTGAATATTATATGTATATTATATATAAATATACAATTGAAAAATCAAGAAAAGTGCAATCCCGGTAGCTTGATCTGGTTTGGTGGATTGAAAAATATATACAGCAGGTTATTCATATAAAATTAATGAATATAAAAATAAGGTTAATTTACTGCTTGAAAACTTTGCCATAAAATGGGTAACCGAATTATCCAATGTATACTTTTTTCTGTATTATTTATTGGCAATTCAAATTGCGACATATAGATACAACTAAAGGACCGTACGTAGTTAGGGACAGTCTCGTTTTTACTCTCATGACAGCTAAAATAGCCATCGTCGCAGCTATGTTGTAGCTGAAGGGGATATCGTCAAAAGCCAGTATGAAATGGACTGACCATCTTGCACGCAAAGTACAACCCAAGAAAGCATGAATATTGACAGCTGTATTTTTGAGATGGAGTCTAATGTATATTAGTTTGCAGTCGTTTATCGACTGTGTGCTTATGAATGTATATTAGTTATCAATGAGTAAAAGTATATACATACACATACATATATATGCATACATAATTTCATTCTTGACTTACTACTTACAAAGTTAAATATATTGTTCACCATAAAAAAGCTTAATTTGTTTTTTATTCATTAATCAGGAAAACTTAAAATTTTAAGTGGGCATGTATAATATCTTTAAGAAGTGTTCTAAAATAACGCATACCATAAAATATAACCTCTTTAATTACAGTGTTATTCTTATTATTATCTTAAATCAAAAGTTGAATATTAAATAGATCTTGCCCATAAGTAAGTGTATGACTTTAATAAATCATATTCTGAAACGGCTTCATTTTTCTTAAAAAAAAAAGACAAAACAATAACAGCAATGGCTGGCTACAGCAAAAAGAACAAAAGAGATAAACCTTGTGCATTTTATTTGCATATAATGACTGTAGCTTTTTCTTTAAAAAAAGTTTTTTTGCACACCTGTTGTTTATATTTGCACGTTTTCACATCTACAAAAAAGATATGCTTAATTTTCCTGGTTTTGTATGTGCAAGAAGATGATAGCTAAAGAAAAATAGCTCGTTTTTATTACTTTGGATTATTTAAAATGGCAAAGTAAGAATGGTTCATTGGGGTTTTGATAAGAGTATCTCTTTAAAAAAATGGATACCGTGGAGTACTTGTTTAGTTTTAATGCATTCTCATTTTTTAGTTTACTAATCTTTGAACAGTATTTACTAACATGTATCTAGTAACCTTGTTTACAAATAAGGTTGCAGTCCATGTACACCATACATATGTTTGACTACTTGAGGTATATTTAGTAGATAGTGGTGCACACTACTTTAAGAATCTTTTTATCGATCTCAAAATATAAAGCACACCAAATTGTTTTTTAGCAAAAGAAATTCAATGGTTCCTAGAAGAAAACACTGATTCTAGAACCCATTGATGAAATTGAGAGTTTGATAATAAAATAATATGCCAGCTTTACAATAAACATCACATCAATTCCTACTGTTTATCCGGATATATATTGGCATATTAATATTAATAACCCCAAGCTCAATTGTTCAATTCAGCATCAATCCCAATGACCATATAAGCCAATGGCTGAGATTTGTTTAGAGTAAATACCCAGAACAAAACAAAACTACAAGGGTTTTTATAGTAGGAGAATAATAATAATACAATAATATAAATCAATTAAGTGAATTATTTGACTTGCGATTATCAATTTTTTTAAAAAAAATCTCTTTAAAGCCAACGATGCTTTGAAAATACAATATTTGTACACACATGTGTAATTGTAGGCAGCTATCTTTAAAAGGTCGCTAATTCTGCCATTTGAGTTCAATTTGAGTGTGCAATGCAAGGTTAGCCAAGGACGCTAACATAACATTAAATACATTGCTTTATGTTCGACGTATTTATTTTTTTGGACTTTATTGGTCGGATGATCAAAAATATATAAAAATCCATGATAAAGTACAGAAGAACAACTCTTCTCTTTCCCGCTCATCAACCAAACGTCTCCGCCTAAATTACCATACAAGCGTGTTATTTTTTTTATCAGATCTTCTTTTTCTTGCACAACCTTTAGTTTTTCTCGTCTTTCCGCTTTTCTTTCCGTTTCTTGCTTCTTCCTCTTAGCTCTTCACTATGTCAAAAGCATCTTCAGCACATACATATAATTATATCGCAAATGATGAGCAGACGAGAATATCACCAAGGTAACTAACAAGTCCTTGATCAGATAATCATTAGTATGACGTATTCAAGCTCCCAAAAGATCAAGTCTTACCAAACCCACTCACCCTTTGTTTCTTTTTATCACTATCATCTAAAGACGATTTGTGCTAAGAGCTCGCCAACAGCCAATACAGACGCGTATTAGCACTAATAATGAAAGAGGTGCGTAGTCTATTGTTTTACTTTATTTTTATTTCTGCTTTCAATAAAGCAGTTAGTTCCAACGAGTATTTACCCGGTTATTTCTCCAGATCGTCGGACTCTTGACCCCCCTCCTATCATTCAAATCAGATTACAAGATGCCTTACCACAGGAGACGCAGTGAGTGCAATTTCCCGGGAGTTTTCCAAGTCAATTTTTTACTTACTCAGTTGTTATGTTATGAAGAAATTTTTTGCAGGCTCCTAGTTTTTTTATGTGTGCCAATCTGGCTCACTGGAGCGATGATAATGAGATCTACACTCCAAATCACAATGCTTTGTCTGGCCAAGCTGTGTCTTCGCTGTACAAACTCAAAGACATTGACAATAATGGTAATTAATGTCTGTCAAAGGACACGATTTGTGTTCAGTGATGCTAAGCCCCAACCATTTTCTTTTTTTTTTGTGTTTTTTTTTTTGGTTTTTATCAGATGGAGGATTTTTTATTTTTGGTGATTTGTCGGTCAAGGTTGAAGGAAGATTCCGATTAAAATTCACTCTGTTCGAGATCACAGCGTAAGTCTCGCACATATTATTTTATTGCTCTAATTTATCATGATCCGTGTAACTCAAAATAAGGCGTTTCCTACTTGAATTTCTATATAGTTCAGGTGCTAATGCCAGTGTCGCAATGTTCTCGGAAATCTTTACAGTTTATTCGGCAAGATCCTTCTCAGGAATGCTAGACTCCACCTTTCTCTCACGTACGTTCTCTGACCAAGGAGCTCGCATTCGCATTCGAAAAGAACACAGATCTCAATTGTAAGATGCGAATATAAAATATTAAGATAATCAATTATTCAAATCTATTATAATGAAAAAGAAAAAAAGAAAGAAAAAAAAACTTTAAAGAAACGAAACACAGACGCTGACTTTTCTCTTTGTTATCAGATCTGGGTCACGCAAACGAAAACATTCTATTCAAAATTTGTCCGTTAGCCCCCCGCCAACTGAGGCCCATTCGCTCACACCCTCAAGCTGGTACCCAAGCACAGACGACTCTACTTGCCCTCAGAAATCCGCCAGCAAGTTTAGACGATTAGACCAGGATACGGGTTTTCCCGTGGTTGACACCCATGTCTCAGTTCAAGGCTCATATTCTCTTGATGACCAATCGCCACTATACACACCAACTGGATACAGCGGTTGGAGATCTCAGTCTGGCCGTCCTCCAATGGTCGACACTCACCAAGATGTACCCATGCCTATCCATAGCAGACGAGACAGCATGAGCAGTAACAGTGGAACCGAAAGCACCTGTAGCGAGCCAAGTTCAGCATCAATGCATCATCTCACGCCTTCCCACCCCTTGACAAAACCAAGCTTTGTTCCACTATGTACCACAAAGTTCATCTCTCCGCAACAACAGATGTGTAACGAGTTTGGTTTCGTACAACGTGGTCTGGAGCACCCTTTTTCCAGGGCGACTTTTGTCCAATCCGAACACAACAAGAGAGAATCTCCGGGAAGCCAAACCCCTACACTTTCGCCATCTCTGAACAAGCGTGCCTTTTACGACAATGAAGACACACACATGGTACAACTTCCACCTCTTCGTTACATAATCCCAGACAACCACTACCCTTGCCCATCTATTTTTGACAAAGATGAGGTGGTCAAGACCAATGCTGCAAAAGCAATGGTTCAACTTTCCAGTCATTTCAATATTGCACAAACTCCACAGCCAATTCACCCTACCAGTCACACCCACACGAACTACTATGCCACCCTTTCTCCTACGTTTTAATCCTTGCACTTCTTTATATATTTATTTATATATTCTATTCTATTTATTTTATTTATTTCTTTAAAACAAAATCCTTTCATATATATATATAGCCCTCCCTCTTCCAGTCACATATATACTATACACCATTCTACCCAGGATGGATTTCGCTACTTTGTACATTATTTTATTTAGATGTATACATCTTCATTTGCATTCCCCCCCACCTCTTATTATTTAATCATATTGTAACATTTTTTTTTATATATTATATATTTCTTAAAGCCCTTCCCTCCTCCTCTCCCAAGAAATATATATTTTATTATTTTTTATTCTTGTTGTGCGTGTGTGTTCACACAACATAATAAGTAACGCCTTCCCACCCCCTCCTCTACTTTACTCTATTCTACTCTACTCTACTGTATTCAATTCAACTACCATTTTTATTCTTCCAATTAGATTTATAGTAAACACAAAAAAAAAAGAATTTTTTTAATAAAATAAAAACGCATATTTAGGCGTTATTAGTATCAAATTCAATAAATATGTATATGTAACAAGATTAGCTTATGTTAGTATATTTTATTGGTCGGGCGCAGATATACCGTCTAGACACTAAATACAATACAACATAAAGAGGTACAAGAAATTGTATTATTCTAGATCAAATAAATAAATATAAGCAAAAGCTAGTCTTGGCATCTTCTTTGGTCATTTTATTTGCCCATTTCGAGCCTATTTTATTTTAATTTATTAAATATAACTGACTTTTTAACTGCTATCTTCAAACATACCGATCAAATGTATTGCAAAATGAAGCACGCTTTTTAGCTCCAAATTTAAATATATAAAAAAGGGTAGATATCCCATAATTGCTAGTTTTATTCAATATTATGTTCTCTGGCGCCACCAATCATGCAAACATACTTATAGATATACCACATATACCCTGTAGTATTCTACGTGTCTCAGATAAGGGCTCCTATACGTCGTTCAAGTTTAATATCGATCATAATGTAATCGATCGCTTGTGTAAACTAAAGCCTATCATTATTTGTTTTAGTCTTATTAATCCACAATTGAAATAACCTATCAAGAAAAAACGTGATCAAAGAGTATAGAGCATACAATCACATACATACATATATATATATATATATGTAAATGCCTATATATATAAGAAATAGTACCCTAGGATAGAATAGATCGACACACTCCTTCCCCTTGAACCACACATTTCTCTTCTTCTTTCTTTTTCAAAAAACAGACAAACAAACAAAGAATTACTATGGCTGTTATTACTCAGTTCTTTTGGCTTACCGGTGGATTCTGTCTGGGCTTAATGTCGATGGTCATGTACAATCCCAGAGATGCTAGTCATTGTGTTAGCATGGGACACCATGCCACTCGTGCAATTGAAGACAGCTCTACTGTTTTGCAGTTTGGTAACCCAGGTAAGAGAAACTTTTGTCAGACAAACAAACAAATAAAGAAAGAATATATATATAAAATAATAATAACAGCATCAAAAAAGGTACACAAAAATCTGTGTCGGTTTTCTCACTTTATTTTTAATTTTTTGCCTGTTTTCATTGTTTCATTGTTTCGTTCTTTCGATCATTTTAGGCCCTATTCATGATCTGATTCAACGAGATGCCTATGTCACTTCATACAATCGTCGTGACCGTATTCCTGACTGGGTCGGAGAGCATTTGACTGCTGATTCTATCATCAAGGGCTCTGGTGTTGACCGCGACAGATCCAACTTCCAAGAGGACACTGCAATTCCATCTCTCTACCGCGCTCTCTTGAGTGACTACAAACTTAGCGGGTATGACCGTGGACACATGGCCCCGGCAGCAGACGGTGTGGCCACCCAAGATGCTATGGACCAGACCTTCTACCTGACCAACATGTGCCCTCAGGTTGGAGCAGGTTTCAACCGTCAATGTAATGTTTATAATTGTTGTAGTAGTAATTATTTTTGTGCTAATTATTATTTTTATCTTTTGTATCAATTACATCTTAACAGACTGGGCTTATTTGGAAGCATTTTGCCGTACCTTGACCGCATCTTATGCTGATGTCTATGTCTACACTGGTCCTCTATTCTTGCCCCAACTCAACAACGGAACTTCGTCCGCTAGTGTAACTAAGCGCAAGGTCAAGCGTTCAGGTCCTGCTGCATACACAATGACTTACAGTGTTCTTGGTGATGTTCCCAATCTGTCTGTACCAACTCATTTCTACAAGGTCTTGTTGATCCCCACCTCTGACACATACGCATTGGCCGCATTTGTCTTGCCAAACAAGGCCATTGCCACCAGCACAGCTCTTACAAGCTTCCAGGTCAAACTGGAAGATATCGAAAAGGCCTCTGGATTGAACTTCTTCGACAAATTGGACCGTACCAAGTTTACTGATTTGTGCAAATCTACCACATGCGCTGTTAAAGCCTAGTCTTCTTTTTCTTCTTCTTCTTCTTCCCTTAATTCACACGCGCTTTTTTAATTTTTAATAATCTTGTGCAATGTATCACAAAAAGGGTGCAATTTCCTTTCTTTCTTTCTTTTTTAAAGATATTCTAACAAATACCACTTTTATATTATATAAATAAATTAAAATAAATATATATTATTGATCATAGTAATAATAAAATAATTAGATAGGATTAGTGGTAGGAAACTAAATAAATAAAGTAAATAAATTAATCATCAATAAATAATTAAATAAATAAATAGATAAAAATGAAGATGAAGATGAAGATGAAGATGAAGATGAGGTTTGCAATTAATATAGACAATTTAAACTATCCGAGATACATGAGTTTGATTATCCACTCTATTCCTTTTTTCAATTTCCATTCTCTTGTTGGGACTGGTATAAAATGCAACAAATGCCATCAAAGGCATAGCCAAACCTGTTGCCATGACCAATCCACGTCTCATATTGTTTTCCGGAACTCCGTGTTCTTCTCGAAGGGCGTCCATAGAAACCAAGAAGATGAGACCAAAAACCTGAGAGCATACCCATAGCATGGAACTCGAGACCGCTTCAGATACTGGATAAGAGCCTGTATAATTCAATAAAGATATTTTAGCCTTTTCTTTCTCAATCTGAATATATATATATATATATACGTGTGTATGTAGATGGTTACAAAAAAAAGCTTACATTCAACACTCAATTCAAGTGCAACAGGCAATAATGAAAACGTAAAAAAGCCAAGAAGTGCAGATATAACCATAATTACACTAAAATTATCTTCCTTGACTAAAGTATAAATCATTAACATATGAGTATATATACATATATGTATATATATATATATATATGATTTCTACAGTTGGGATTAATACCATGTTTTTTTTAGTTGCTTACCAACAAACAAAAGGGCAAGGTACATAAATCCAACCACAGGTACAAATGTCTTTAGTACAAGTTTGTGTTTCATTGTTTTGTCGACAAATAATCCAACCACAACGGCGCCCACGATACCAGCAATAATAAAGGCAGCCCCCAAAAACCCAGCATCGTCGACCGAGACACCGTATGGAGTCACGATCTGTGTCATTAATGAGGTAACGGTCGAGAATAAACCGCACGCAATACCAAAAGTGATGAAAATGATGATGAAATCGCGATTCTGCAAGAGCTGGAGAACGGCCGTGTGAAAGGGTAGATCGTGATCCATCTTCGTAGAGGCGCTGTAAGAAGGTGGTGTTTTAGGTTTGAGTGGGATAAATATCGAAGGGACAAGAACGGCTGTTGTTGCACATGCTATGATGAGAAACTACCCAGAGGATCAGAATATATTAATAAAGTATACAAACCCTAGCCTAGTTATTGTCACTTACACCTATCCACATATCTGATGAGTCCAGTACGACGGCAGGAAGGAGTAAATCGGCCACTGCCATGCCGACTGCATTAGCTAAATATCATTAAACAAGGAGATCAGATGAAAGTACAAGTACAACGACAAGAAGAAGAATACGAAGAGAGAAGAATAGATAAAAACAAATTATTTCAGCACAAAATGTGCATAGTTCATATTTACCCAACCCGCTCACCATGCTTGCCGAGCTACGGCCATCGGGACTAAACCAAAGAGAGGCATACTGTAAAGTTCATTATCATTAGAAGAAGAGAAGGGATATTATATTCACATAGGCATTAAAGCTTTGTACTCACGGGTGTAGATGAATTAAGAATAAAAGGTTGACCGACGGCACAAATGACCTGGCCTACCATTGCTAGCCCGAATCTCCCAGAGTCATTCTTGACATAGCTAGAAAAGAATCTCAACCAAGACCCTAGGGTTTGAAGGGAGGCACCAAGGAGGATCTAAGGAGAGCAAATGTAAGTCCACATTCTGTTTTTTTTTTCATATTTCAAAAAAAAGCACGATAATATATATATCGAAATTCCATCTTTATTTCTTTTGCAAATATTTTTGGGACTTTCTAAATCCAAGATCTTTGAATAACTTACACCGGTTTTTATACTATGATGATCAAATACATAGCTGGATACTGGTCCGGCAACAATATAGGTCAGCAGAAAAACATTGCTGAACCAGTTTACCGAAGTCAATCTGGCATTTCCAAAAAACTCTGACGCATAATCAGGCACAGGAGCAACAGAGAGCCAGTTCATAGACGAAACGATATTCAATAGTGCAATGAGGAATAAACCGTAGAAGCGAATACGGTAGGTCCGGAAAGGAGTTTGATCTGCTGTTTCCTTGGGTTCGACCGACTCTTTTTCATCGTCAAGAGGTATGCACGATTGCTCTTGCTTTAACGAGCATTCTTGGACATTATTCATGCTAACAAACAATAAATAAAAATAAAAAAAAATGATTCTAATACTTCTTTATTTACTTGTTAATAAAATGGAAAGAAAGAAAGGCAAGGTTTCGGGGTTGTTTGTTGAGATCTTACTTAAGCGGATATATAATCGCTGTTTTACCTCGTTAAGAGAAAAAGAAGAAAAAAAAGAAAAAAAGAAAAGAGAAGAGTTATCTAAAGGAGCACATGTTACATTGATTTAAAGCTACATCTTTCATATAAGCTGTACGACACCTCACAGACCCATATATTTAATGGAAAGCAGCTGGTTTTTTTTTATATATTGATGTAATTATATTATATATACAAAGTATATATCTTTTTTTTTCTATGCTTCGTTCTACAGTATATATGTATTTATTTACTTGTTGTTTAAAGAAAGAAAGAAAAGAATACAACACAGAAGCAGTGTATATAATTTAATTGGTTTACTCACCATGGTTACCTATAAGACAAGGTTAAACTTTTTAGTTGCAAAAAAAGTATTCATCAAAATGTCTAATAATTAGCAGAAAAGGACAATGGAATAGTAAAAAAAAATAGCTTAGAAACAGATTTGGCTCTTTGGATGTCCTATTTTGGCACCCAATGCACTATATGGTCGATACCTACCGAGCCAAGTGCTGGCCCGACGAGAAATAGTTAGTATTAGAACCCCGGACCTTGGGGTAAAGGGTGTTCTTGGATAGGAATCATTTGATCTTTCTCTTTAATAACAGGCTTCATCATGGTGCGTAGAAGAGATATCCATTCATCCATCTGTCGATCCAAAAAATCCTCATAGCTTATCAATGTCATATACATACATACATATACATATTTAGTCCGCGGCTGCCAGACCCGTTATCAACGTCTACTCCAAGACCGGCAAGGATGCTTCGGCTACCCTCCCCCTCCCCGCTGTCTTCAAGGCCCCTATCCGTCCCGACATTGTCAACTTTGTCCACACCAACATGGCCAAGAACAAGCGTCAGCCCTACGCTGTCTCTGAGAAGGCTGGTCACCAGACTTCCGCCGAGTCCTGGGGTACTGGTCGTGCTGTTGCCCGTATTCCCCGTGTCAACGGTTCTGGTACTCACCGTGCTGGTCAGGTAAAAAACAATACAAAAAAGTTTAGGGGGGAAATAGAGGAGAAAAAAGAGATAAAGATTAGATCTTTAAAGGAGAATATTGGAGATTAATCATCATGATCATGTTTAATTAGGCTGCTTTCGGTAACATGTGCCGTGGTGGTCGTATGTTCGCCCCTACCAAGACCTGGCGCAAGTGGCACATCAAGACCAACTTGAACCAGAAGCGTTTCGCCACTGCCTCCGCTTTGGCTGCTTCTGCTCTTCCTTCGTTGGTCATGGCCCGTGGTCACCGTGTCGAGAAGATCGAGGAAGTTCCCCTCGTCCTCGCCGATGATGTCGAGACCCTCACCAAGACCAAGGATGCTGTCGCTCTCTTGAAGGCCGTCAACGCCTACGCTGATGTCGTCAAGGTCTCCAACTCCCGCAAGCTCCGTGCTGGTGTCGGAAAGCTCCGTAACCGTCGTCACCGTCAGCGTCGTGGTCCCCTTGTCATCTACAACGAGGACAACGGTATCGTCAAGGCTTTCCGCAACTTGCCCGGTGTTGAGGTTGTCAACGTCCGTCGCTTGAACTTGTTGCAGTTGGCCCCTGGTGGTCACCTCGGTCGTTTCGTCATCTGGACCAAGAGCGCCTTCGGTCTTTTGGATGCTCTCTACGGTACCTACGAGACCCCCGCCACCTTGAAGAAGGACTACGTTCTTCCTGCTCACATCATGACCAACCCCGATGTTGCCCGTCTCATCAACTCTGATGAAATCCAGTCTGTTGTCCGCCCCGCCGGTAACAAGCACGAGAAGCGTCCCTTCACCCAGAAGAAGAACCCTCTCCGCAACCAGGGTGTCATGAACCGCCTCAACCCCTACGCTCAGGTCCTCCGTCGTGCCGAGATCGTCGCTGACTTGAAGCGCAAGTCTGGTAAGGTCTCCAAGGCCCAGCCTGCCAAGAAGTCCAAGCGCACCAAGCACGTTGCCACCAAGTTCCTCGAGACTCTCCACTCTGCTTAATTCAACTGTAATTCATTCAATTAGATTAAGGGACATTAAATAAATACATAATAAAAAGAATATATTAAAATATTTATTAAATATTTATATATCTATATATAAAATGATTTATTTTATTTTATTTTTTAATTCACCCAAAAAAATATGTATATATATGGGAAGAGATCAAGAGAGAGAAAAGATTGAGAGCATGTAATAGAAATTTTTCTTGTGTTTAAATAGAGTGCTCTACACGTGCTTCTAAACTCTTTACCCTTTTATTGCCAATTCTTCATTACTTCTTTGTGTGTGAAGTTAACGAGGTTTGTGTGGAACCCTACTGATCGAGACAAGCTTAGATTATTTATTTATTTATTTATTCTTTCGGGGAAGAGAAAAAGAGGCAAAAAAATAATAAAAATAAAAAAAATAGCCAAAGTGTCACAGTAGTTAATTACTTTATTTCCAATTCCTTTCCTTTCCTTTCTCTCTCTCTCTCTCTTTTACTCTTTTCTTATTGCTTCTTGCTTTTCTTCCTCTTCTCCTTTATCATTGGATACTGTAGTAGCGAAGACGCTTTGAAAGCGACCGACGGACACAGCCCAACACCGCTCCCTTTCATCTACATTTTTTTTTATATATTTTATAATTTGAATAGAGTTCAACTCTATATATAAATATTCTTGTCTTGTCTTGTCTTGTATTGTCTTGTGTTGATCAGGTCAATCAATATTCATACCCGGCCATTCCATTCCAACAATGACAAAAGACAGCCAGCAAACTGCGGCTATTCAAGTAGGCAAGTAGCCTTTTTCTTTTATTTCTATTCGCCTCCCTGCAGCCAAGCTTATTCTTCTCCTTACAGCACTACGCATAAGGCCACTGACCGGGCGAGATCGAGCACAACCTCGGTTCGCTAATTTGGCTCAGGATGACGTCCTCAAAGTTCACGAGAGTACTGTGCAGGTTGTTCCTCACAACAAGCTTTTCACATTCGATTATGTGTTTGGACCAGACAGCACCCAAAACGAGATATTCTCCGCTTTAGGAGACAAGCTGATTCAGAAATTTGTTGATGGTAAATTAATAAATTATTTATTTATTTATTTATTTATTTATTTATTTATTTATTTATTATTGAATATATATATAATATCATGAGATAGATTAGCTGGTTGTGGAAATTAGGTGTGGTGGTTGCTTAGATACTAATTTCATATTCGACTCCCTCTTTATGTAAACATAATTTCAATTCTAATTATTATAAATATTCATATTTATGATGATATTCTTTATTCTATTGTTTTATTATATTAGGGTACAATGTTACAATTCTTGCCTATGTAAGTTACAGAATATATAAATATATATATATATATATATACATTTTTTTTGTGTTAACCTAAATTCTAATTGTGTTCTAATAATGAAATAATAAATTAAAATATGATATACAGGGTCAAACATCATCTGGAAAAACATACACAATGGGCACTGCCCAACACAGCGGTCGATACAATGCTGAAGAAGAAGGCATTGTCCCACGTGCAATGGCTCAATTATTTGATATACTTCATCAAACCGATTCTGCCATAATCCGACCCGTGTCACCAACCTCGTCCGTATCCTCTTCCACCACCGCCACAACTCTCTCCAAAGGCCGCCTGCGTCCACTTTCTCGAATCTCAAAAACACCTCGTATCAGCACACCAACACCATCTCAGGCACCACCATTACCATCATTAAAGCCAAAATATACAGTCAAGGTCTCTTTTGTAGAGATCTACAACGAAGAACTCATTGATCTCCTCAATTCTGCCCCACCCGGAGAAACACCGCCGGTTACGATCCGAGAAGATTCAAAGGGACACATCTATTGGACAGGAGTCAAGGAAGTCGTCGTACACAGCACAGACGACGTACTCTTGTGCGTAAGAAAATATATGTCGATTGGAAGAACATTATAGACTGACCCAAACAATTTACTTTCTCTCTATATTTTTTGTATATATATATATGTGTGTGTGTGTGTGTGCGTATTGGTGTGTTGTTGTGTTGTTGTGTTTGTGTATATTTCCTGTTTATAGCTATCTTGAACAAGGAACCCAAAACAGAGCCACAGGCTCAACTGACATGAATGAAAAATCCTCACGCTCTCACGCCATATTTTCTGTATCCCTGCGACAGGAGAAATGGATGCCAAGCCAAACATCTGGACTTTCTCAAGCAAGTCTCAGCCGAGCAGCTAGTCCTACACCTTCCCGATCTACTGGTTCAAGGCAACGACCGCCAAGCTCACTCAACGTACGTCCCTCACTTAATGATCTCCGCCAACCAGAGGAAGGTGATTGGATTATTACAAGCTCTAAATTCAATTTTGTTGATCTTGCAGGCAGTGAACGGGTAAGAATTTACTTATTCATGCATAATATACATATAAAAATAAAAATAAGCACAAATCAAGGGGGAGCTGTTTCGAAGAATCTGTTGTTGTTTTTACTGTTGTTTTTGCTTTGAGAAAGGGGGGGAGATTTTTTTCCCGCGAAAATTAATGACAGTAATTATACTTTTTACAATTATATATATATATATATATATAGCTCAAACGCACTGCAGCTGAAGGCGATCGACGCAAAGAAGGCATCAACATTAATGCAGGCCTCTTGGCACTGGGAAATGTAATCTCAGCGCTTGGAGACTCGTCAAAACGAAGCACCCATATTCCCTACCGTGACTCCAAACTGACCCGTTTGTTACAAGATTCCCTTGGCGGAAGTGCAACCACCCTCATGATCGCCTGCGCCAGTCCAGTAGAGTACAATCTTTCCGAAACCCTAAATACCCTCCAATACGCCAATCGAGCACGAAACATTAAAAACAGAATCGAACGAAACGAGGTCGAAGAATGGATGACTACAGACAACATCGAACTTCTGAGAGGAATGATCGGAAAGCTTAGACAGGAAGTGCGTGTCTTAAAATCCGGCTCATTAAGCTCGTCCACATCGGTCGTACACCAACACAACAGATACGGCTCCGATGACACTGACAGCACGTCACCTATTCCCCCAACGGACATGGACCAGTTTTATCAGGAGCAGCGCGCTACTATTGCAGACCTTCAAAGACAAGTAGAAGAACTTGACGGCGAAGCTACTGTTACACGCGAACGCAACAAGGTCGTTGAGGCCGAGCTTAAACGAAGCCGAAAATACGAACAGATTCGAAAAAAGGAAGATGAACTCAAGGCCGGTGGCCCAACCGACCAAGATTTCCAACATCTTGTTGAACCAGTAATCGAAGAATATGAAAAAAGTATAGCTAATCTTGAGAGCCAGCTGGCCTTGGCTCGAACTGCCCTCAGTCACTCAGACAAAGGTTACGAAGAACAACAATCCAAGCTGACCCAACGCGAAGCTCTTTTGGATAGCCAAGAGCAGATTATTGGAGATGTAAAATCACGACTCACCAAAGCACTCGAAAGAGAGCAGAGTAACGAGTCTTATATCGAAGAGCTAGAGGCCAAACTCCAGCGGTCTGCAAGCGATGCTTTGCGTGACCAAGATTTACTAAATGAACTCAAGGGTAAAATAATGAAATTTAAGGAGACAGATGAAAACACAGAACAGTATGTCCTAAGTCTCGAGCAACGCTTGGCCGCAAGCGACACCGAAAGAGCCAAGCTCGTTAAAGAAGTCGAACGAATGGAAACAATTGCTGCAGAAAACAAGAAAGCCAATGTCGACCTTCGAAAACAAATCAAGAAAACCGATAGTGCGGACGTTCAGAAGATGATGTTAAAAGAATTGAGTGAGATATCCAACAAATACGCACTTTTAGAAGCAGAGCGCGACTCTCTCAAAAATCAACTCAGTCAAAAGACAATAGCCGAATCTTCTGCTGCTTCTGGTGGTGCTACTGCTGAGCCTATTAATTCTGAACCAAAATTTATCGCAAAGGATAGTATTGCTGCACCAATTCCAGTTTCTTCGGGATTGGCCGATGCTCATCAGGAAGATCTGGGATCCGCACGCCAAGTTAACAGAAGAAGTTACGCTAGTGAACGCGAAACAGCTGCGTCCGCTGCCGCATTAGCCGCTTCCCTTGCTGAAAAACGTGCCGAAGAAGAAGCAGCACGAGCCCGCCATCTTCAAAAGGAACTTATTCAACTCCAGCAAGATCATCAGGAAACACTAAAAGAAATGGACGAGATATTACAACGCTATCAGGAAGTAATTGATCATGTAAATGTACTCGAAAACTCCACGGCACATCAAAATAATCCCGTAGATGAAGATTCTCTGAGTAAAGAAATGACTCGAGCTAAAGAAGAGGCTCATCAGTTGGAACGTAAAGCCTACTTGGCTCAGATTTCTACAATGGAACAAAAGGTGGCTGATTTACAGAGCCAGATTGAGCAGCTCTCTTCTCCAGACCTTGCTAATGAAGCACGCGCTCTTGAGGAGACACTTCAAAAAACAGTATACGAACAGGAAGAAAGCCAGCGAGTTCATCAGAGCCAGATTGATGCCCTCAATACTTCGCTCTTGCACCTTTCCGCTCGTCTCAAAGCCTCGCGCAATATTTTGCCTCAAAAGTCTGAGTTGACCGTCCCTTTGGAAAGTGCACTAAGAGATGTAGCGGTTTCCAAACCAGAGCAGCAACCTGTAGTAGATAATTCTTCTCCCTGGCGTCAGAATGAAGCCTTGTTACAGTTGAAAGACACTGTCCAGTCTCTAGAGTCCATCCAGCAAGATTACAACGAACTCCAGTCACAGTGCACTATTCTTGTAGCAGAAAGAGCTCACCACCTAAAGTCCAAAGAAGAGCTCGAGGCCCAGAAATCTGATATGAAGCTTATCTTGGAAGAGCAGGTTGTGGACTTGGAAGCAAAAGAAAAGATGATTGTGTCACTTCGAGAAGCACTAGAAGATAGTTTGGTATCTTCCAAGACCGCTCAGGACAATCTTCAGGCAACGCTTGAAGCAAATGTTCTTGCAGAAGAAAAGCTCAGAGAAGCAACCATTCAGGCCCTGACTACTGAAAATGACAACAATTCTTTACGTGCTAAACTGAAGGAGACAAAGGTATTGACTACTGAGCTTCACGAAGAGATTTCAGGATGGGAAAAATCTCAAGCATTATTGTCAGAAGAGCTCAAGGAACTTCAAAACCAGAGCATCGCATTTGAAGAGCAATTGAACGACAAAGATACCCATATTAGCTCGATGACCCTGGTTCTTGAACAGCTCAAGCAATCGCTTCAAAAAGTGGAGGAGGAGAAGAGAGACTCGGCGGAGAAGCTTGATATCAAAGTTAAGCTTCTCGATGATGCAACCCAGGAAATCGATAGACTTATGTTGAAGTTGAAGGAAGCTGAGGAAGGATTAGCTGTTGCAAAGCGCGAGATAAGCGACGAACAAGCAAACCTGGAGAAAATCACACGAGAGAGTATGGCCGAAATGCAGCGTCTTTTGGAAGAATCAGACTTCAAACTGAATACACTTAAAAAACAGACTGAGCAGACTAGAGAGTTTGAGACCCGGGACGCGGCAGACAAGGCGAATGAATTTTCTCGCTTGATTGAACAGTCGACAATCGAAAAGGAGAAGTTTATCAAGAGCATTCAAGAATTGCAAGCTACAAACCAGGAACTCCAGGAACGTGCGCTGGTATCTGTAAAAGAGCAAGAGAAGTTGACCAAGAGCATTCAAGAAATGCAAGACACAAACCGAGAGCTCCAGGACCGTGTTTTGGCGTATGAGAAAGAGCAGGGTGATTTGATTGAGAAGCTGACAACATTGGAAGCTGCTCTTGTGGCTGCACAGGCAGATGTTGTTTCTGGCCAGAATATATCTTTGGACACCGAGAATATGATACGCGAACTGGAGAATAGTTTGGAATCTGAGAGACGACTATTGAAGCAGATGCCGATTGATCACAAAGCACAGCTTGATGCATTGGAAAAGAAACTGACTATTGCCCAGACTGAGATGGAAGAGGCACATAAACTAAATGACGAAAGACTTGAGCTTGCGAGGGAGTTAGAAAAGGTATCTCACGAGATGGCAGACGATCTTTTTGCGGCCCAGAGTAAGATTGAAGAGAAAGAGAGTCACCTTGTTTCGTTGCGGGCACAGATTTCAGAGCATGATCGTACGATTGCCGAGCTTCAAAAGATATTAGATCTTAAGTCTGATGAGCTCGAGCGTTCCGAGGGAATCTTAAAGACCCATGAGGACCAGATTAGACAGCTTCAGAAGAGTATTGAACGCCTGGAAGAGGAGAATCTTGAGTTTGTTGGATTGTCCGAGGCAATGGAGACCGAAGTTAACCGGCTGACTAAAGAAATTGAAGAGTTGTCGCATGATTTGGATGTCAGTGAGGAAAAGGCAATCGAAGCAAAGGTCAAATGGCAAGCTCTCGAGGCCGAGAACGTGATTCTCCAAGAGAAGTTAGTGGGAAATGCGGGAGATGCGGAAGAGAGGGTAGCATCAGAACGTCAAGTAAGCAATGTCGACAGGACATCATTGTCAGATGCAGGCGCGCGTGACGAATCTATTGTGGTGAGCCTGAAGCGTAAATGCGATGACCTTTCCCAAGAGAATGCCGAACTTTCTATTTATGTTGAGGAGATGGACACACAGCTTTCTATGCAGCAGTCTGATATGCAAGAAAAGATTAGGGAATTTGACAGACAGGTCTCGGATCTAAAATTAAATAATGCGCGACTTAATAAGGAGCTTACCTTGGCACACAGCATGAAGGTGCATGGCCGAGATGGAGACCGAGAATCTGAAGAGTCGTTTGGCAGCGGACGTCTTAATAATAATGGCGGTGGTGAGATGCATGATAGAGACACACCGCAGCAACAACGGCCGCCGACACCTGACACAAGTGTGCCGCCTGACTCGCCATCGACTCATACTGCAGATGCAGAGTTGACAGAGCGATATGAGAAGGACGTGCTTGATCTTAAGACTGCACTAACTAAACTAGAGCAAGAGGCTAAAAAGAAAGAGCGGGATTTGATGACAGCAGAGACAAAGGTGTCTGAACAAGCATTTACGCTTGAGGAAATGAGACGTGAGCTAAAGGCTTCAAAGGACGGACGCCAGACTACAGATGAAGCTATGCAACACCAATTGGAGGATATGAAACGCCAATGGGAGTCTAGCCAGGAATTGGCGCATCAGTTGGAGGCTAAACTTGCAGCAGAGAAAGCGCAAAGAGAAAAGGTGGATCGGGCGAGGGCTATTTTGGAAAATCGATTAGAAGAATCATTGAGCAAGAAGAATAAGTTTATGTGCTTCTAAATTGTCTTGATATTTTGCTATAATATTTTTATTTTTATTTTATTTTATTTTTATTTTGCCTAACACTTTGCTTTCTTTAATTCTATAACATTTGTATTTATTTGCATCAATATTTATACTTGAAATTCATTACTATTACTATAACTATTATTATTACTATAACTATAACTATTACTATAATTATTGTTATTTATCTATCTATTTATCTAATTACTTATTTTATTTTATATTATCACTATTACCATTATTACCATTATCATTCAATCTCATATATACAAAGCCTTGTAAAGCTATGATTTTCCTTTATGTATAAAAATGTATGTGTGCATGCGTATGTGTATATACCTATAACGAGGATTAGAAAACATCAAGGGGGTCAATGACATAAAAAGAAGAAAGAAGAAAATGAAAATTCTAAGTTAGGCGGGAAGATTGTATTGTATTGTATTGTCTGTTTCTTTTTTGCCTTTCTTTGTTCGTTAAATCCGTATAATTACTATTGACCTATCATAAATGACCAATGCCCATAAAAAAAACATAATTGGGATCATAATATCGCAATTACACTCCTTTCCTCATACTTATTTATGCTTTAATAAAATTTCATTCTTAACTTTCGTATAATTCAAATAATTCTTATATATACACACAAATATTTAGTTACTCATTTCCCTCTCCTTTCCTCCCCTTGATCTTTCTGTACCCTTTCTCACGCGATAGAGATTTGAACCGATAAAAATGGAGGGATAATATACATCTATACATGTATGTGCGACAAATTAGCAGAAATCGATATAAATATAAATATAAATATAAATATTATAATCTGGGAGAATAAGAAGAAAAAGGTCTCGAGTCTGATGATATAATGAGTAGCTGAATAGAATTAGTCTGTTAAAGCCAAAATCAACTAATGAACAACAGCAGCAATAACAGATAATAAAAACATAATAATAATACTATATTCTTATCAGCATCATCATCATCATGATATAAGCTTACTCTTTTACACATCATTTTGAAGAATAACACGGGGAACCGAATGTAGATCAGGGCAAGCGGCACTTTTTATGATAATAAAGAAAGAAAGAATAAAGGAGTTGACGCCAACAGATTGTGCCGAGGAAAGTCAATAGGATATTATAAATATGATTATAATTACTTGTTTCTAGTATTTAAATTATTTTAAATTATCCACGAATTCTGAATATGGATAGATAGATATCGTTGATAATACTATTATTGGTATCCTAAAAACAATATTTCGTTGCGAATATATTGATATTTTGTGTGAATTCCTTAGATGTTAATCTTATTTTAATATGCAGGAGACTTTTATGAGTAGAAAGGGTAACCAAATGTGCGCAAGTGTAGGCACTAACTTGTAAATAACAATATTTTGTCCTACACCAGTATAAAATTCGACAATTTTCTTTTGCAAAAGAGAGTTGGATAATCTACAACGTAAGCCATATATATATATATATATGGCTACACTTCTGTGTCGTCTTGACAATAAAGTAATGATCTTAATTACACATGTCTACAAGTAGCAAGAAACATATATAATATATCTCTATCGACACAACTTTACGGTCCCTGTGCTTTTTATGTACACACACATTAAAATAAAGAGCATTCATTTTAGTTTGTATATATTAAGGGAGATTCTGAAACAATTGCTTAAACACCATACTTGGTCTCTATCTCTCTTTTCGCTTCTATTTCTTTATTTCTTTCTTTCTTTCTTTATTTATTTATTTATTCTTTTCAATTGCCAAACATTTATTTCAAATCTTATAATACACACACACACACATAGTATTCTTGTTCTTTTTATGTACAATGTAATGATGGTCAGTGCGCTAATCCCCTAATGTACAAGAAAAAGAAAATTGTATAATATTAACAACTTGTTGCTAGGCAACCAATATTTATAAAGTGAAATAATAATAAATAAAAACATACACACATAGACATACACATACACATACATAGACATATATATATATATATATATATATATATATATACAGTCCAAAGTTTTTGAATTATTATTATTATTGTTGTTGTTGTTGTTGTTATTATTATTCGTGTCTTGAATTATTAACGGTTGATTTTTTGTAAGATAAGAAAAATAGAAAAATGAAAACAAAAGGAGAATTCGATCTTTTGAGAAGTACAGTAAAGATAGTATGTGAGACAAAAATCAAGTCATGCGAAGTTATAGTAGAGAAATATATATATAATGGAAAAGAGGAGAGAGAGAAGGGGAGAGAAGGGGCAAGTATGTATATATACAATAATATATATACATATATAAAATAAAGTATTATTGGGGGGAGGGGGCAACTCTTGAGATATTAAGTTATATATGTGTGTTTGTTTGTGTCTATGTTTGTGTCGAGTGCTACGCATAAAAAAATAAGAATAGAAAGATGAAGAGGAAGAGGAAGAGGAAGAGGAAGAGGAAGAAAGCTAGTCTAGTCTCTGTAGATTATATGTTGTCTTTTAATGGAATTTAGACATGGACTTGGGGTAATATTATCTTTTTTTTTTTGAATTGTTGCTTCATAGCACTTTGTATAACAGAACCTTTATCTACTGAGTATACAAATACAGATACAAATATAAATATATATGATATTGTAATTGTGTATTCTAAAGGTTAACAAAGGCCTTAAACGGGTGGGGTACCAACGTTGACAACCACGATTAATAATAAAGGTTAGTGAATAATAAAGGAAAATATATGATAGTTTATATACATACGTACATACTTATATATATATATACATATATACATAAATAGAATACACTCACACAAACCTATATATATATATATGTGTGTGTGTGTGCATAAACCCCAAGTCAACTGCTAACTATCCTATTACTATTTTTTTTTGAATATAAAATAAGCCATTATTTTCTCAAGTGTCTCTTTCGTTCCTTTCATTTATTTATCTATTTTTTTCCTTGACTACCTTAACATCTCACATCACCATGACAACCACTTCCAATGTAAATAACTAATATATATATATATATACAAAATACATAAAATACGAAAAATAAATACGTACACTACGTTAAATAAATCCATAAAATCCATAAATAAATATATAATTACAACAATTTACCTGCATCGGGGTTCCTAATAACTCTTGATCCCCTCACTAGCTATCCACATCGCGCGTATTTTCCCCGCTCGTCTTGTATCACGACGGCGACACCAGCCCTCTGACAATGTCATTGAAAACAAATAGCCGTCGCTTGATGATCGATGAGCACAAAACAAAGACAATCGACAGGCTCCAATACGATGCTCATCTCTGGACAACACCTTCTGACGCGCCCAAGGGTAATATTATATATATATATATATAAAGATTGATATTAACCAATTGTTCTTTTACTGTATTTTATTTTACTAGATACTCAAAGACCCAGTCTAGACACTACAGGGAAACAGACACTCGATGTATCTCCGAGCACGAGCACATCATCTTCTTCAAGCACATCCTCCGATTCTAGTTGGACTAGCCGGAGCTCGTGCGACAGCATTGCCACGATCGATTCACCACCCCGAACGATGGAGCCGATGATTTACTCCTCAACGCCACCTCTTACGAGAGAGCTGTCACCTGTACAATCAGCTGTCTGCAGCATGCCTCCAAATACCATTGCAGATCACCACCAAATGCAGCAACAACAAAAACAACCAGTAAAAGATGCAGCCAAGAAAAGACGACGAGGAAACCTTCCACGAGAAGTAACCGAGTTTCTCAAGCACTGGCTTATTCAGCACAAGGCCCACCCTTATCCTTCAGAAAAAGAGAAAGGAGATCTGGCCTGTCGAACTGGCCTGACCGTCAACCAGATCAGCAATTGGTTTATTAATGCAAGACGCCGTATCTTACAGCCTATGCTTGACTCTGAACAGATCATTAGATCTCAATGGATGTCCTACCCAGAGATTGCTAGCATCGAAGCAAGAAAGATACGCCAGCTCAGTTTATATGCCCAGCAAGACTTTTCCATTCAACGTTCTCAACTACCAAACCTCAATTTCTTTGGACAATACTAGTCCTTAATACCTTTATTTATCTTTTGTCCATTATTCATTTTGTATTTTTTTACTTACTTACTTACTTACTTACTTACTTACTTACCTACTTACCTACTTACCTATTTACTTATTTCTTATATCTACGTATCTTTATCTATCTATTCATATATCCACTCTCTCTCATATATATATATATATATATATTTCTTCTTCTTCTTTACATACATACACACGTATATATCTCTATCATTCTATCTATCTATCTTATAATTTATTTTTATTACTACCATTATTATTATCTTTTTCATCAAATACCTTTTTTTTAAAAAAAACAAAAAAAAGTGTTTCACCGTATCAAATTTTACTCCTTACTCCTACTCTCTCTTTTTCGCTCTCTTTTTCGCCCTCTCGATTTCCATTTATTTCTCTCTCTCTCTCTCTCTCTCTCTCTCTCTCTCTCTCAAACACCTGTCTTGTTTCTGTATTCATCGCTCAACACCATTCATCGGCTCGTTTTACATGCATCATCCCTGCATCGGTTTCATTGATCAATTCGTGTACACAGACATTCATTGTTGTTACTTGCCCTGTACAACATGCATCAAAAAAGGAGCCAACATCTTGTATACCTTTAGCTCCCTTGTCTTGCATGTCTTTTACAGAACACGACTCATTAACGCGTCTTATTTTCTCTCTCTCTCTCTCTCTCTTTCTGCACCCCTTTTATGGCGGTTACTTTTCTTCTTTTTCTTCTTCCTCTTCTTCTTCTTGTTATTATTTACCTTGCTTTATTTTACTTTTCTTTTTATTATTATTATAATGAAAGAATATTCTCTATGATATGCCATCTACACAAAAATACATGTTATATTTTTAATCTTTTAATTTTTTTTATACAATATATATATAATTCAATTGCCTTGTATTTATCGTCTATCTTGTCTAAAAAGTAAAAAAGAAAAGAAAAGAAAAACTTTCTTTTTGTCATACTCTACAACAGGCGGTGTCACTAAAGCATAAATAATAAAGACAAAAGCAATAGCATATAGAATATAATAAAACAGATAAATAAAGAGAAGAAGAAAAAAAGATCACGCCCAAGCATGATGTGTCTCATTGACAAGGAGAGATTGCGTGGGCTACACAGGACCTAAAATGTATATACAAGATAAAATAAAATATTAACGATTATAAATATACCGAATAGAAATGTGGCAAAAGGAGAGATTCTAAAACCAAACACACGGTTACCCTTTATTGACTACACAAAAGCATTCATTGTTGCCTAGGAAAGTTAATTAGATAAAGATCCTTGTGTATCAAATAAAGGTAATCCAAGATTCTTTTGTGTGATATGGCGCCAATAATACCATATAAAATAAAATAAAATTATATAAATAAATATGTATATAAAAGCCACATATTCTTAAAGTACCACCGCCAAGGTACACACACATACACACACATACACCTATAGAAAGAAAGAGAGAGAGAGAGAGAGCAATATAAAAAAATATATCAAGGGGCGAGGTTTTTTTTTGGGGGAGAGAGAGAGAGCGCTGTTATCGTATACAAGATTAATCTGAAATCTATTCGGGAAAGATTGTATGTATGACATGGATTTAAATGTTGTTAGTTACCGTAGTTGTCATGGCAACAAATAGATTTTTTTTTATATAAAATAAATAAATATTGTGTATACCGGAAATCAAACAGAATTGGCATTATACTGAGCTGTACTATTTGAATTTATCTTTAAATAAATAAATAACAGTGAAAGGTAAATCTGCGGCCCGTGCGTTGGTGTTATGAGCTATGGTTGGACTACTCTAGACCAGGATAGTAAAATAGTAATGGAATTAAGAAGAGCGGGTTTTTTTTGTTAAACTGACTATGTGTGTGTGTGTGTGTATTTCTTTTTCATACTCTTCTTTACCATTAAATCTTTTACAAATGTATATTTTTGTCTTTTTGTTTGAATTTCATAATCCAAGTTCAATGTGTATGGGATTTGATATCCCGATAGGTTTTTTTTGTGCTTTCTTTTTAAGTCTGTGTCCAAGAAAACATCTTATCTAAATATTCAATCTTTCACCCTTATTTTTAGGTAATTTTTTTTTAAAAAAAGTGTATGTGTGTGTGTGTGTGTATTATGTCCATATTTCAATATGATCCTCCCTCTCAAATCCTAAGCACTACGCAGTTGCTATTTCCACCACCCCTTACTATTTCTCAATGACGATGAAGCTTCTCTGCTCATTAGCGCTCATTCTCCAATGACAGTCAAAGTGTCACCATTTTCTTTTTCTTTTTAAGAGAAAGGTGTGTGACAATGCAGGATAGGATCGGGGCCTTTTTTTTTACACATATTTAGTTTACCTATAAAATAGGAGCTTTGTGCGGAGTCATCTTGACTTTAAGGCAAAATAAATAAACATAAATAAATAGAATATAGCAAGGCCAAGTATCTTTAACTAACACACCCTAAAGACTTATACATCTTGCTTCTCAAAAGAAAGCTGTGATATAACAAAGCCTAGGACGCTAGAAAAACTCGAGGCAAAGTGATTTAAGCCAGTCTAGTTTCAGAGAAGATTGGTTCTATAGGTTCATCAAATCCAAAACTCATCAAAAATAAATAAATAACTAAATTACGATCTACAGAAAAATATCCAACAAATAGTGGGGAATCAAAAAGACAAAAAATAAAATAAAAATAAAGTTGGTGTCCTTGCCAAGCACTTGGTCATTTTCCTCTTTGGTTTGCATCCGCTATTAAATATACTAGGATTACCGTTTCGATCTTTTGGAAGGAGCCTGCTTTTTATTTTATTTTTATTTATTTATTCTTTCTTTCGTTTCATAATTTGCCTTGGTAACTAACCCTTAATCATAAGGAGGACAAGAAAATGGGTTTCTTACAATATTCTGTATATAGGCTTTAAAGAAGTACTTTGGACAATATTCAAATACGTTAAACTAACCTTGGATTCACAACTACTCTTATTATTGTTATTATTATTATCATTTCTCTTAATATTGTGTCCCCATTGCTTTTGACACCTTGACACCAAGATGACAGATTGCCCTATACACACGAGATTACACCAGAAATGGCTAATGATAGTCTCACAGGCTGTCGTAAAATATCAAAGTCAAATGTTGTTGGATATTACATTTCCCGTATTTGATTCCTTTGATAGCTCCCGCAATTAAGAAGATTCAATAAACAAAAAAGAAACTCTCTTTATAATTATATTATATATAGTAGATCAGCAGATAGTTTATCGATAGAATAGGCCACATCAATAATATTATCAAACAACAGGAGTTTAATTCTAACTTATATTAGTATTAGTATCAGTGTTATTTCTACAAGTATCTTGAGTTTAATAAAGGGAGAAGAACATCTCTAGATTGTTTTACTTTACCTTTAAATTTAATGTCTTGTAACAAGCCAACAAGCACTTTTTCTTATATCAAATATCATCAAGTACAGTAAAAAGAAAAGTCTCTTAATAGTCTTGATAGCTATCTATACATCTTGCTGTTCTTGTAATCATCAATGTCATTTTATCCATAGCTGTCTTGATTTCCCTTGTGATAAACCTGACAATATGGTTACATCTGGCGCCTCATTGATCCTCTATGATATAATTGTTGTTATTATTCTATAGTCATGCGATGGATAATCATCTGTAACGCAATTGCACTACTGATTCTATTAGAGAACATGAGACGATTATTATTTTTATTTTATTTAATTCGTCTTTTCATTCCCTTGCTTTTATAATATTCAATAACATTAGTATATATGACTATCAGTCTATTCACATACAAAATTACATGTTACAAATCCAACAATAATAAACCTTTAAAAACAACCCCCCCCCCAAAATGTTTCCAGATTCAATCTCACCAAATATACCTATTTATTTAACAGTGCCCGGTAAACCAGGAATGGTTTGAAACGTGCAATTTTTTTTTACGTATATATCTTTCAAGAGCTATTTTCTTTTTTCTTTTTATGCTTTACAGGCTCGAATCTGGCCCTGCTTCCACGGCTTATTTGTATCTAAGAAATCTAATGATCTTTAACTCTTTTATTCTATTACATTCTTCTTATTTGAAGCACCAAAAACCATAAAAAAAATCATGCATTTATTTATTTATTCGATTCTTAGTGTTACGAAAATAAAATTATAATTATAATTTATGTCTTGATACGAGTACAATTTTTTTTTTGTTTTTGTTTTAAAAACATAAGCCCCATATACCTATTTTTCTACCAACGAAACATTCTTATTTTCTTTTTAAAATTAAATATAAAAAAAAAATACATTAACCTGAAACAAGAAAACAGTTCAGCTAAAGGAGAAAGAGAGAGAGAGAGAGAGAAAAAGAAAGAATAGTCGTGTAGGGAGATAGTCTTTCGGCCTTGGAGCATTAAGAAAAAAAAAAAGAAAGTTTTCAAGAGAAAGCAAAAAGGTAATTTTTTTTTATTTTATTTTTTTGGTTTGTGTAGTATCAATAGCGACAGCCAGAAACAGAAAAACAAAACGAGATTTTGTTTTCACACTTCTTTGATAAACTTACAGAAATTCCCATATTATAGCATTTTGCCGGATATCTTTTAAAGTAAAACGATCATTTAAATAGATAGATAAATAAATACATACATAGTTTGTGACAGACAGACAGACTTCCTTGCCAATTTAATACCTTAAACAGTACATGTCAGCTCCAAATGGTTTCATTGTCTAAATTGTATTAGTGTGACCTTGCCGTACCTACTCAATAGCATTATTATGATTATGATTATGATTATCTTATCCAAAAGATAAATATCTATGAGCTCAAGTTTGGTTATAAGATACTCTTTTCTTTCTTTATTGTAACCACGACAAGATACAGCCTCTATCTTTTTATTTTATTTTTGGCATGTATGAAATATTTCCTTTTTGTACATTTAGTTATTAAAAGCATCACCAAGCTAACCTAGATGTCACGAGAGTTATAAACGCCAAAGTTAAATGTGAGGTTTTACGTTATCTATTTAGAAAGCCTTACCCAAACATCTTCTCTTTTCACAATACTACCAATTCTACTGCTGAAACTCACCACTTTTACTCATTTCTCTGGTCATACTTCTCACGCATCTATTTTCATATAAAGTTTAGTGATAAGCCAGATGTGCCTAACCCTAGTTGTTACACTATAATAACAATAATAGTAGTAGTAATAGTTAATATTAATAATGCCAGTTTTAGTAAAAGACAAAAATGGCAAAGAAATGTGAAATATTATGATTGAAACATAAAAAATAATCGCAAATCAATTCACCTAGCTCTTTATTAAATATAAAAAAAATATTAGTATGATGAAGCACTACTAGAAAATGATCTTAAAAGAATATTGGAGGATACATTTTGTATTTGTGAGCAACGTTATAGACGATATTATCGTGAAGGCCATTTCTGAATCATGTATTTAGTAAAGGTATCTTCAAGTTGGCAAAGTTGATACTGTTTCTTTAAACATTCTTTTGGGAGTTAGAAAGATGTGATATGATCTTAGATTGCTATTCTTCATGCAGCTAGCTACCAGGCAAGATTCTCCTTTTCTCTCTCTCTTTTTTTTATCAATTTACATAGATCAAGGAATCGATTGCTCGGCGGAAATGTTGACTATGTAAGTAGTGTGTAATTCTGTAGTCCTGTAGATAGCGATCTGGTAAGACATTTTGAGAGTAAGATGCAGGTGTATTAACATGTAGAAAATATAGGTATTAATGTGACAGAAAATGAGCTCACAATAACACCTTGTTACTTCTCTGTTATTCAGTAAGGGTAGCAGTGGAGCGATCGATTTACGAGAAAAAGAAAAAGAAAGAAATTCATCCTCAAAACAGCTCTTAAATCCCTTCAAAAAACAGCTTGTAGAAAATCATAATGTATAGCACGTCTACTCTTAAGCACGTAAAGCCAGTCGCTTAGTGCTTTGCATTGATCTAGCTACCAAATAAAAGTAAAATAATACCACCCATATATATATACGCGGTATTGTCTTGGCTTAGTTATTAAAAAAAAAGCGATTTTAGTGAATTGTTGCAAGTTTTCCGGGTAAAGTGTGTCATAGTTGAATTTTAATTAAGCACCAATTTTTCTCTCTTTTATATATATATCCCATTTTTTACGCCACCGTATTTTTGCAGTCAATGCAAAACACCTTTTTCTAACTTCTTCAACCCAGTATAAGGATTAAAGACAATATAAAATTATTCAAATCTAATAGCTTACCATTCAGTAACAAATCCCCCTCCTGAATCCGGCTTACATCATATCTCATAACACTGACTAGAAAGATCCTGAGAAATCTTATAAGCAGTTCAAGTCTCTTTCGGTATAAATAATAATAAAAACTATAGAATTCCAATATATAACATTATGCATTTATGGGACTAATTATAAGATAAATAGGAATAACTAAAAAAGGTAAACATCTACTATATTTAAATTATTTGATTGGAGTATATAGAAAAATAGTCTGAAATCCCGTAAATATTATTCGTTGTAAATCATTTTAATTAACTAGAAGCTAAAATTTTATTGGCATACGTTATAGCTCCGTAATCGTGTAAAATATACGCGCTCGTATACTATCTACGAGCCCGGAGTTATAAAGTCTGCCATTTCCTAAGTAGTAAGCACATATTTAGTTCGCTTAAACGCAAATAAGTTTTTTGAACCTCGACATAAACTCAGGTCTCTAAATTTGCAAACATTTTAATGGACGGTAAATAAACTTGATCTCTACGTCATCTTTAGCGGTTATTTAAATCAAGAAAAAAAAATCGCAGTGTAAACTATAGCAAGTCTCACCTCGCCTACCAAAAAAAAAAAAAAACTTTCTTTCATTGACTTTTGTAAAAAATAAATAATAATAATAAGAAAGAAAAAAAAAGAGCAAATAGAAAGGCAATAATGGACGCGGATACACCTACTTCATCGAGCTTGTACAACAGAGACAACACAAATGAAGACACAATAATGGAAGAAAATCCACAACCAGGCTCACAATCTGTTGAACAAGTACACGTCTCCACAGAAGAAAATCCCCATATGGAAACTACATCTACTGAAGAGCAGCGAGTACAATTCGCAAACACACAATTTACAGAAGAATCAGTAAAAGAACAAATCATCCAACCAGAACAACAACAACAGCAAGAGCAACAACAGGGAGAAAATGAAGACGTAGACGTAAACGTAGAAGAAAAAGTAGAAGAAGAAGGCGAGGAAGAAGAGGAAGAAGAAGAATACGACGAAGGAGGAGAAGAGGGAGAAGAAGAACATATTGATGCTGCTGATTACGATAAAGACGATGATGAGCAATTGTCTGTTGAAGAATACAACACACCTCCACAAACCTCAATGGCTATGGAGATGGAAGAAAAAGTAGAAGAGAAAAAGCCAGCCGTTGAATCACAAAAACAACGAAAATCAGAGGAATCTATTCCTCACCCAGCACCACATTCGGTAGAGCCTGAGGATTCATTTATTAGTGCTCCTGCTTCATGGCAGATTCCTCCGGGAGCACTTCAAGCAAAAGCAGATCATGCTAATCATGTGCGATTACTTGAGCCTATAATCAAAGTGAATCACAAATTAGAGCGCTTGGAAGAACGTGTTAAAGAGTATCCAGATGACCTTGAAGCATGGAACGCGTTAAAAACAGAAATCCAACAGACAGGAGATTTGGTACAAATGCGTAAATTTTATGAGAAGTTTCTTGCTGTGTTTCCCACCTCGGTAAGTGTGTCTTTCTTATTTGGTGTTTTTGAGGTCTTCTTTCTATCTCTCTCTCTCTCTCTCTCTCTCTCTATCTATCTCTCCGTCTCTTTTATATTGTTTTATACCTTGATGATATCTTTGATTCATCTAAAGGCAAAGAAGAGCAACGAGATGGTTGTATAGCAATCATGAGAAAGAAGGGGTTTTTTTATGCCGTTGTTGTTGGAAGAAGAAAAAGAAAAAAAAAGGCTAGGTAAATTTTTCTTTATTATTATTATTTTTTACAAGATGTACTTCTGTAGTACATTTCTTTACACTTTCCTACCTTTCATCTTCTCCTTCTTTTCAATTATTCCTATATCATACCTCCCCATTTCATTTCATTCCACTCCACTCCACCCTTTTTTTCCCTTTTCCTTTTCCTTTTTCTTTTTTCTTCTTCTTGGTTCGGCTCGGCACAGGCCATTTGACCAAAGAGCAGGGAATCAAAAAAGAAGAAGGATCCGGGACTTCTCGTTTCAAGCTCTACATTTCAACTTCTTGGAAGTACACAAAACAAAACAAAAAAAGGTCTGTCCACATAAGTATAAATATCTATCTATACATACATATATATATATATATGTGTGTGTATGTATGTAATAAACGCATCTTGCAAAAAGAAGGCAGCCAATTCAAGCGGTTTTATTTGCAGATGCTGTCGGTCTCTTATATTTCTGTATTGCTCTATCTTTTTTTTTGTATTGATATTCACTATTCACATTCCTTTTTTTTCCTTTCTTTTTTATTTTTATTTTTCTATGAGCGTTTTGATGATCTGGTTGGTTTGCGTTCTGAAGAGAAAGCTTTGATACTGATAATCTTTCTATGTTTGACCTCCCTCCTCCCCCTCTCTTTTGAACTCTCACTCTCAATTGGAAAAGAAAGAAAAAGGGAAACACTAGATGAACTTCTCCTGTGTTTTTTACCAAAAGAGCAAAAGAGATGAAGAAGAGAGAAAGAGATATTGGAGAGAACAAGAGAAAGGGATATGTAATTAGAGTTAGAAATAGAGAAATTATATATGGAAAGAAATGGATAGAGTAGATAGTAGAGAAAGGGAGAAAGAAAGAAAGATAAATGAAAGAAGAAACAAAGTCTTTGGAGGAAGAAGTAACATATTTTTATTTTTTACACTGACTGCTGACAAAAAACACACACACATCTCTGGTTTTTGTTCTTGTAGCCAAGACAATGGCTAGCTTACTTGGAAATGGAACTCAAACATTCAAATTTTAATGAGGTGGAGGGTCTCTTCAGACGTTGCCTAAAGACTGTGCTTTCCATCGACCTTTGGAAGTTTTACCTTGGTTATATTCGCCGTATCAATATGGGCGAAAATGGGGCTGCTGCAACTCCAGAAGGACGAACGATTATTGAGAAAGCCTATGAATACGTACTCAATAATGTTGGTATTGATAAGGAAGCGGGCCCCATTTGGGCTGATTATATCTTCTTTTTGTCCTCTAACAAGGTAAAAGAAAAGCTAAGAATAAGAATAAGGAAATCTTCTCCAAAGAAAAAAAAATAGAAAAGAAAAGAAAAGAAACATTTCAAAAATGAAAAACAAGGATGTGGAGCGAGATTTTGTTAGTAAAGAAAAAGAAAAAGCAAGAGGTTAATATGGACCGTCAAAAATGATAGACTACCAACACATGGGAAGAACAGCGAAAGATGGATAGTATGCGCCGTGCTTATCAAAAAGCAATGGCGATTCCATTGAACAATGTTGAGCATCTTTGGAAAGAATACGATCAATGGGAAAACACATTGAACAGATTGACGGTACATAACGAGTACATTTGACTAAAAAAAATAACAAGAAAGAAACAAAGTCGTACTAATATGCATATTTGCTTTTATCTTCTTTCCTTCTTGCTTGTTTGCTTGGTTGATTTTTTTTATCAATCTCAAACTGCAGGCCAAGAAGTTCTTGAGTGAAAGATCGTCAGCTTATATGACAGCTCGCACAGCACTACGTGAGATGAGAGGTTTTACAGATCAATTGTCACGTACAATAATCCCCAGACGTACAGAATGGACAGATAAAGACTTGCAACAGGTAAATAAATGAATAAATAAATAAATAAGAATAAAAGTATATATACATATATATATATGCATTATCATGTGTGTGGGTTGACTGAGAATTGATATTTGATTAGCTCGAGGTATGGAGAGAGTATATCCAATGGGAGAAAGGCAATCCACTTCATTTGGAAGACGAAGAAGCTGTTGTAGAAAGAGTAGCATACGCATACCAACAGGCCTTCCTTGTGTTGCGGTTCTTCCCTGTCCTGTGGTTTGATTATGCCATGTACTACAAAGAAATTGGCAAGGTTGACAAGGCATTAACCGTATTAAAGCAAGGAATGGAGATCTTGCCAACAAGGTAAAGTAACATGTAAAATAAACAGATGCACACCCGAGTAGCCTTTCTGATATGACTTCCAAAATACGACCATACTTTCTAATATATATATATATATATATATATAAATTGTCTTGTTAGTCTGTTGATTCACTTTGCCTATGCCGAGTTGTGCGAGTCAAGAAAGCAATTTGACGAGGCTCGACAGGCATTTGACTCTCTTCTTGAGCAATTGGATCAGGATATCGAAAAGTTAAAATCAACCGCTCAAAAATCCGTCGAGAAGTTGCAGCAAGAGGCTGAGGAGGAAAAGTCCGGCATGAATTTGTCTGATGATATCGACGGAGAGTTGAGAGAACAACTGAGACAGAGAGAAAAGCAAATTAAAAAAGAACAAGATGAAATCGAAGAGCGTGTGAAAGAGCAGGTGGATGGCGTTGCAAGAAGCTGTTCACTTGTCTGGATCATGTATATGCGTTTTGCAAGACGTTCTGATGTAAGTTTCTTTATTTGTATTTTTTTTTAATACTGTACACTATGTATATGTACAAGTACTTTATGCTTATCCAAGGTTTGCGAAACTAGGGCATCAAAAGTGCAAGATCATTGTTCTCTAGAGCACGCAAGACTACCAACCTGACATACCATTTATTTGTAGCTTCTGGTAAGTATCCCTCCAAAAAAAAAGATGATGTGATACAGAATAAGAAAGATGCCCATCAAACTAACTGTATGATATTTACAAACTAGCGTTGATGGAGTACCACAATAGCAAAGATGCCACCATTGCAGGCAAGGTATTCGAAATTGTGGGATACAAGCTATTCGCTGATGACCCTGCTTTTGTGTGTGAATACCTTGATTTTTTGATTGAGATGAACGATGACAACAGTAAGTTTTTATTTCTCTTTCTTTATTGCTTTGCTAGATATGACAATAATCTAACAGCTGATTTACTATGATGCATAACATTCCCTTCTCTTTATTCAAGATACTCGTGCTTTGTTTGAAAGAGCCTTGTCTACAATGCCAGCTGAAAAAGCAGGCCCAATCTGGTCAAAATTCTTGGATTATGAAAACAAATATGGAGATTTGGCAGGTGTCCAAGGTGTAGAGAAGCGTCGAAATGAGGCAATACAGGGCAGTAAGTATAGAGATGGGACATGAATTTACCCAAAAGTATTAAACCTTATGTTCTGTAGCTACTGTGCTTGAATCATCCTTATTTCGCTACAGTTATCTGGATATCGGCATAGATATTGACTCTGAGCTTGGTGGAGAAGGTAATTTAACTCAATTCAATTCAACTCAACTCAGAATAAGAAAAAAAAATATGGCTATCGTGTACAAGAATAATAGTCTAATAGACAATCTCTTTCAAAAACCAAAAAAAAAAAGCTCGAAAGGAAAAGAGCCCGAATGTTGCTCAATCGCCTGTCATTCAAGAAGCAACTGTTAGTGGAACTACTGGACATGAAAGATCCCACCGTAACAAAGATCACGGGAAGAAACCTCTTTTGCAGCCCGTTCACCCAGAGAAATATCCTAGACCTGACTTTGAGCAGTGGAAACCCTTTAAGCCTCTGACCGATTCTGCTCGCCACGTAGCACCAAACACTGTAACTGTTCCACGTGTAGTTGCTCCAGACTCGGTTCCCAAGGTTTCTACTCCCACACCCGATGTCCCACCTGTTGCTGCAGCTCCCGCACCTCCAGTCACATGGAACAAGACACAGTCTACAGATTTACCTGGCCCTATTGCTTATTTTGTTTCCAGTCTTCCACCAGCACATTCATTCAATGGTAAGATAAAAACAAATACAGTACAATAGAGTCAATTGAAAAACCAAAGCAAAAGGGACAGAAGAAAAAAAGAGAGGATCAGGACTAATAAAAAAAAAGAAATATTAATCATTTGCTCTTCCTTTTAAAAAAAAGGCCCCTCGATTCAAGCAGGTGAATTGGCCGATCTTCTTCGGAACATCATCGTTCCTGTTCCTGCCCAGCTACCCGCACCCGGGAATACATCTGGTACCATGGTTGCCCCTGGGCGCAACCAGAACCCTCAATCGCATCCCAAGAATATAATGAATGGACCACCTATGCACTCGCAACAGCAAATGGCTGGTAGAGATATGCCACCAATACGTGGAATACCTGGTAATCGTGCAGGTAGAGGAGGTTTCAAGACAAGGGTAAGTTTATTTATTTTTATTTTTTTTTAAAAAAAATGCGCGCTTCATTTTGACTCAAAATCACAAAATATTTTCTTTGTTTATTTGTTGTTGGTGCTATTATTACTATTATTACTTCTAGGGTGGTGGTATGCCAATGCGGGGTGGCAAGGGTAATATGAAGCGTAAAACGCGCGACGATCATGAAGATGATTATATGCCCCACAAAGGCATGGGTCCCAACCGCCCACCGGATAACGATATCTTCAGAGCCAGACAAGTGAAGCGACACCGTGATGACCCACCTTATTAAACAAAAATGCTATAACAAATACTTCCTCCAAATCCCAACGGGGAGATGTATGTATGTGTGTGCGTGTACGTGTGCGTGTGTGTGTGTGCCGTGTTGTGCCGCCAATCTTAACCTATCAATCTATCAATCTATCAATCTTTTTTTTTCTTTATTTCTTTCTTTTTCTATTATTTTCTCTTTCACTTTTAAACTACATACTTCTTTGTGATCATCAAGTTTCTTTTTTTTTTGCCACGATTCTATTATTTTTTTTGTTGTCTTTCATTTTTTCTATTATTATTTTTTGCGATAAAAAAATCCCATTTTCTTAAATAATAATAATAAAAACCACACTCACACAAAAAAGACACTTAAAAACAAATAGGACTTTTGGACAACTATTATTATTATTATTGATGGAACTGCTCCAATCCATTGCGGAATGAAGGGGTTTTTATTAAAGACAACGCAATGAATGCATTAAAGCTATATTTAGCAAAAAGGGAGAGAGAGAGAAAGAGAGAGAGGAGTAATGATATTATTATTTTTAAAGACCACCACGAAGACGGAGCACAAGGTGGAGAGTAGATTCTTTTTGAATGTTGTAGTCGGAGAGAGTGCGACCATCCTCGAGCTGCTTGCCGGCAAAGATCAAACGCTGCTGGTCTGGGGGGATACCTTCCTTGTCTTGGATCTTCTGCTTGACGTTATCGATGGAGTCGGATGACTCAACCTCGAGAGTGATGGTCTTGCCAGTGAGAGTCTTGACGAAAATCTGCATACCACCACGAAGACGGAGCACAAGGTGGAGAGTAGATTCTTTTTGAATGTTGTAGTCAGAGAGGGTACGGCCGTCCTCAAGCTGCTTGCCGGCGAAGATGAGGCGCTGCTGGTCTGGGGGGATACCTTCCTTATCCTGGATCTTCTGCTTGACGTTGTCGATGGAGTCAGACGACTCGACCTCAAGAGTGATGGTCTTGCCAGTGAGAGTCTTGACGAAAATCTGCATACCACCACGAAGACGGAGCACAAGGTGGAGAGTAGATTCTTTTTGAATGTTGTAGTCAGAGAGGGTACGGCCGTCCTCAAGCTGCTTGCCGGCGAAGATGAGGCGCTGCTGGTCTGGGGGGATACCTTCCTTATCCTGGATCTTCTGCTTGACGTTGTCGATGGAGTCAGACGACTCGACCTCAAGAGTGATGGTCTTGCCAGTGAGAGTCTTGACGAAAATCTGCATACCACCACGAAGACGGAGCACAAGGTGGAGAGTAGATTCTTTTTGAATGTTGTAGTCAGAGAGGGTACGGCCGTCCTCAAGCTGCTTGCCGGCGAAGATGAGGCGCTGCTGGTCTGGGGGGATACCTTCCTTATCCTGGATCTTCTGCTTGACGTTGTCGATGGAGTCAGACGACTCGACCTCAAGAGTGATGGTCTTGCCAGTGAGAGTCTTGACAAAGATTTGCATACCACCACGAAGACGGAGCACAAGGTGGAGAGTAGATTCTTTTTGAATGTTGTAGTCAGAGAGGGTACGGCCGTCCTCAAGCTGCTTGCCGGCGAAGATGAGGCGCTGCTGGTCTGGGGGGATACCTTCCTTATCCTGGATCTTCTGCTTGACGTTGTCGATGGAGTCAGACGACTCGACCTCAAGAGTGATGGTCTTGCCAGTGAGAGTCTTGACGAAAATCTGCATACCACCACGAAGACGGAGCACAAGGTGGAGAGTAGATTCTTTTTGAATGTTGTAGTCAGAGAGGGTACGGCCGTCCTCAAGCTGCTTGCCGGCGAAGATGAGGCGCTGCTGGTCTGGGGGGATACCTTCCTTATCCTGGATCTTCTGCTTGACGTTGTCGATGGAGTCAGACGACTCGACCTCAAGAGTGATGGTCTTGCCAGTGAGAGTCTTGACAAAGATTTGCATACCACCACGAAGACGGAGCACAAGGTGGAGAGTAGATTCTTTTTGAATGTTGTAGTCAGAGAGGGTACGGCCGTCCTCAAGCTGCTTGCCGGCAAAAATCAAGCGCTGCTGGTCCGGAGGAATACCTTCCTTATCTTGGATTTTTTGCTTGACGTTGTCGATGGAGTCGGAAGACTCAACCTCCAGGGTAATGGTCTTGCCAGTAAGGGTTTTGACAAAGATTTGCATTATTAGGGGTTGAAAGTGAAATGGAGAGGAATAGATAAAGAAGAAGAAAAACTGCGTAAAAAATTAGAAGGGGTGGTTGGTTTTTATAGTTTTCATTTTTCATTTTTTTTTCTCTCTCTTTTTTTTTGGTCTCTGATGAAAAATCACAAATTCTAGAAAGAGCTGCGGCGTCACTCACGATGAGTGGTCCATTAGTATTGTTGACGTAATCAGCTCCTTATATAGCAGTGGGTATATTGACCCCCTCTCACCAAGAATAGAAACTAATTTGCAGATTGGATAGGTCTGCGATAAATATACTAGACTAGGGTTGTTTTGAACCAACCGTAACTCACTAAAAAGTCTATAGTACAAATAGAAAATAGATAGATTCTTGGACAAACCTGTTAGTGTGGAGTGGAATTTTTTTTTCTTAGTGAGGAAGGAAGAGGAAGAAGAGGAAGCTTAGAGGCGGAGTATGGCACTTTGTATTACATCTATCCACAGCATGACAAAGAGAGGCACGATCAACACCGCCATTCTAAAATAAAGTAAAGTAAAATAAAAGATACAGAACCCAAATGCCCTTTTTCTTTATTAGTTTAAATGAAAGTAACCTGGGATGCTCTTTGTGCTTGCAAGTCTCGAGCCTTGTTCTTCTTACGAACTAGAAGACAAGATGCTTAGAAAAAATAAAGAATATAAAAGATTTGTGCTCACAGATAACACGCGATGTGTGTAAGGCGTACAAAGATTAGTGGGACAAAGTAAAATAAGAAAAAAGAAAAGAAAAGAAAAGGGTTGCATCATATGGGGTTAAGGCAATCGGTTTATCTTAAATATTTTGTAAAGGTTTCTTTATTAATTTATACACGCCCAGGCTCTTCTTCTTTTCATATAAAGATATAAAGAAAAGGGAAAGAAGGGAAAAAAACAAAACAAACAAATATACACATTAAGAATAATATAAAATTATTATTATTACTATTAGTTCTAAAGCAATTCACATCGAATTGCCCGTGATAATTTGGTTGGCAATGATAAAGGTACACTAAGTTCCATATTGCACCCGGTCATCTTGTAGACTTCTCGAGGGGACTTGACTGGAACATAACGATTGCACTTTTGAATACGGCGAAGAACTTGGTGTCGTAACCGTCTTACGGATTTGTAATCAGTGATAGGCTGGGGGTTGCCAAGAATGGTGTGGCTGATATCAATACCCAACATCCTTTCTGCCTCGACAGCAAACACATTGTCAGTGAATTCCTTATCCAACTTGTATGACAAGAGCTTCTTTCCAGAGAAACGGCGGGCACTGCCTTTGCTATGGCCAGTCTTGTACATGTCCCAGAGCTCCTCTCCAAGATCGTGATCAATGTCGAGCATATCATCGACCATGACAATCGTCAGATATTTGTATTTGGTTGGTTTGGTGGTTGGTGCAACAATCGAGGGTTTGGGGTCAGGGAGAGAGATGGCCTTGTCGGCTACGGAAGCATAAAGGGGACGGCCTTGGTTGGCGGCAGAACAATAGTCCAGGCGTTCCCAGGCATTTTCACCATCAGTGACAGAGGTAAGAGTGTGTGTAAAGGTGGTTTTGGGAACAGGGTCAACTGCTTCCTGTTTTTGGATAAAGTGCCACCCGGAGTCAGTTTTGGTATTCAAGGCAGCAAGGGTAGGGAATTCTGTAGGGTGGAAAACAGGAATTATGGCTTCTGGATCATTGTTATGAACGGATTCGGCAAAGGCAATAGGAAATTCCATGATATTGATGGATGATGCGATGCTGGTTGTAGTGATAGGGATAGTAATGGTGATAATGATAATGAATTAATAAAAAAAAAGTCATTTAGACCTGGCAAGGGTGAGTATTTATACTGTTTTATCAGTTGGCCAAGAATTGATTGTGTATTTTTTTTTGCTGCGGTTCTCCTTAATATAAACCTCTTGCTGGTTTGGTTCGTCTGGTATTCAAAATCTAGCCAGGTGCTAAGAAAGTGGCCAAGTTTAGTCCATGCAGCTGGGCGCCGCAGTCAACTTCACACGTTTGATTTGTCCGCCCAATACACGAGGTAGAAAATTAATTTTGATAAGCAAAGGATGATTATTCATTCATTCATTCATTCATTCATTCATTCAATTGTTAATATATTTAATTTTATTTTAATTTTTATATATATACATACATATATATATATATATATATATATATTTTATAAGAGTCATTTCTTCTGTAAATTCCTGTAAAGACACTCCAAGAAAAACCAGCAACAGAACCAAAAAATTAAAGTCACCTGAACTTTGAATCTTTCTATTATCTCTCTCCTTTTTTGTCTAAAAAATAAAACTGCATTGACAAATACAAGAACACGTCTATATATGGAAGTTTATTGTTTTTTACTATCACAGATGTGTTTGTAAAGGAGTGAATGGGAATAAGAAAATCGCGTATATATTATCTCTGGCATCTTGTAATTATCTTGTTTTTTTTTTAGCATACAGCTTTTCTTTCTTTTTGTTCGTTTGTTCTCTTGCTAGCTACACATTTCTTCCGTATACATTGAACTTCTTTTAAACTACATCTTTTTCTTTTAACAATGGAAATACGTAAGTATATATCCACCTTAACTTTAAGCTACACAATAACTAGACTATCAAAATAAAATAATGCTTCTTTATATACAGTGCTGTCTATTCTCTCTATCTCTCTCATTTTACATAAATATTCACAGCACTTACATTATTATGGCTATGGCTATGGTTATGGCTATTATTTTGAACTTATACCACAACAGATGGTCAGAATGTTGTTACCTATAAGCTTAAAGACTTGGTTAACTCATGTAAGTAGCTCTTGATTTGAAATCATATCTTTTCCTTACATTCCCAAACCTATCATTAATCAATATACTTTCTAGACGGTACTTATAAGAGACAATCAATAGATTGATATTGTCAAATACATCTTGTACTTTATTTAAATTTATTCTAAGCTTTGATAAATGTTCTATAAAACTACCGTAGAAGACCACTCTTCTGAAACCGAACGCGAAAGATTGATGGGAAGAGATGGAGAGACAGTACTCATCTCCTTTGCTGGAAACAACAAGCTTGACCAACTGACAAGCTCTATAAAAAGATTTGAGGATCTAAATCTGTAAGACATTATATATATATTATATATATTTCTTTATCGCGTGAATAATGTTTTTTTTTGATAGACGTGAGGACATTCTTACTGGAGTCTACGAAATGAAATATTCAGCTCCATCAAAGATTCAAGAGCGTGCCCTCCCTTTGCTACTAGAAGATCCGTAAGTCACTGGACAATGTGGCCTTATATCTACCATGTTCTTACGACGCGTCTGGTTGTTTATTTGATTTTCATTTGTTTATACAATTAGCCCTAGAAATATGATCGGACAGTCTCAGAGTGGAACAGGTAAGGTTTAGATTTAATCAATAATGATAATGATAAAATGGCATTACAGTACTGAATTTCAAAATATTATTATTAGGAAAGACGGCTGCATTTGTCTTGACTATCCTACAACGTGTTGATCCTTCCCTTCCAGTTACTCAAGTAAGATATTAAACTCCCCTTCCCCCCTTCTTTTTGACATTAAATATACACATTGATATTAATATATATACATATATGCATATGTTTTATTGAATGTGATATCAAGGCAATATGCTTGGCACCAACTCGTGAATTAGCTCGTCAGATTATAGATGTTGTCGGAACCATGTCAAAATTCACATCTATAACCTCTACCTGCGTCATCAAAAACTTTGACTTTAAAGAAAAGATCTCGAGCCATGTTGTGGTTGGTACACCTGGCTCAATACTGTATGCAATCCGCTCCAGACATCTTGACACCAGAAACATCAAAGTGTTTGTACTTGATGAAGCAGATAACATGCTTGAACAAAATGGTCTAGGCGACCAAAGTCTGCGTATCAAAAGGTAACTAGATTTTTGAAATACATATATATATATATACATGCTAAATGCAAGATGTCTTTTGTATTGATATATTGACTTGTTTGTTTTTATTTTAGAGCTATTGTCAAGAACCCACAGATAATCTTGTTTTCTGCCACATATGCTACACGTGTTGAGAAATTCGCAAGCCAGTTTGCACCAGACGCTGTCAAACTGACCCTAAAGAAGTCCGAATTGACTGTCGAAGGAATCAAACAGTTTTACATGGATTGCCCAAGCGCAAATTCAAAATATGATGCGTTGTGTAACTTTTATGATCTATTGACAGTGAGCCAGAGTATAATCTTCTGCAAGGCAAGTAACATTCCTAGCAATCTCCCTGCATCTCCTTCTTACCCTTTGCATCCTGCCAATAGTATCGTCTGGAGGCAGATGAAATTGCCAGGCGCATGACAGAGAATGGTCATACTGTTGTTTCTCTTCATGGTGGAATGTGCTCAGAGGAGCGCGACCTGATTATGGATGGATTCAGATATGGTGAATTCAAAGTGCTGATTACTACAAACGTTTTGTCACGCGGAATCGATATACTCCAAGTGAGTCTTGTGATTAATTACGATATGCCAGAGCTGCCAGAGGGTGGCGTGGATGTGGAAGCCTATTTGCATCGCGTAGGAAGAACTGGTCGGTTTGGGCGCACAGGAGTCAGCCTTAACTTTGTTCATGATAAAGACAGCTGGGATAAGATGAACTTTGTGGAAAAATACTTTAACCGTCCTATTCACCGTCTCAGTATCGACGATCTTCAAGAAACTGAACGCATCATCAAGTCTATGATTTAAATAGCATTTCTCTTTGGCTTTCCCTTTTCTTTGTTTTAAATATACTTACATATGAATTAGCTGGATTCCTAAATTCTAAATTCTAAATAAAGTGGCTATTCTAATCAGACTTTTGAACATCTTCTTGCCGACTGTCCTCTCCTTCTTCTCTAGGAAGTACGACCTATTCTTTCTTTCTTTATTTTTGGGAAATTTCATAATAGAATTCTGTCTCATACAAAACAAAAAGGAAGTTAACTCACTGCTGAAGATGCTCTAAACCTAGTCTTCAAACGTCACATTTCCAAAAATAAAATAAAATTAAAATAAAAAAAAGGCATCATTCGGACTTTAGATTCATATTTTTCTGCTTTACAGTTTATCGTTGAGAACGTAGCTTTTGGTGCCATCTCTTTCATATCAATTTATTTTATTATTATTTTTTTAAAAAAAATAAGATATAAATGTCTGATTCCACAGAAAACATTACCGAAACCTTGACCAGCAATGTCAATACCTCTCAAAATGACACCCCAATCAAACCTCACAAAGTTGCAATGATTCAAGAACCCAGCACCGATGCAGAAGATTCAGAGGATGAACCCGTGACCGAAACAACAGAAGAAGGTAGGGAATATAATGGTAGTCATCCTCATAATAATAATAACAATAAAATAAAATAAAAAATAAAAGGGGGCAAAATCTAATGTGAAGATGTATTGCATCTTGGAACATTAGGCTTATTGGATGATTACCCTGATGACACTACTGTAGGTTATATATATATTTAAAAGACAGCTATTGTGAATATAGCTCCAATTGCTGACATATTCCTTTAGGAGGTCGATGCTATTCATATGCGAGTTGCAGACATTCCTTCTCTTGGTCTTGAACGGTTCCAAAATCTTCAGGTAAAATATACATTGATTTTTTTCCCTTTAATAGTAATAACATGTAACTCATTTTATTTAATTAATATTAGCGACTTTGTTTGCGTCAAAACTTCATCATTGATGTCAAAGGATTGGAAGGTTTGAAGGAGCTCAAGGAACTCGACTTGTACGATAACAAGATTTCTCGTATCAGTGGGGTCAATAGTCTTCAAACATTGGAGTAAGTAGAAAAATTTCATGATCACGACTGTTGTTATCTAAAGGGAAATTTTGATGTTCGTCATATTTACTGATCAACGTTGCACAGATCCCTCGACCTTTCCTTTAATAAGATTAAGCACATCAAACACATTGAAAATCTTGTCAATCTCAAGGATCTGTACTTTGTGAGCAATAAGATCTCAAAAATCGAAAACCTTGATACACTAGTTAATGTTACCAACCTTGAGTTGGGTGCCAATCGTATCAGAGTAAGTTTTACAAATATTATACACATAATTATCAACTCATTAATTAATCGATGTACTAACTAACGCTTTTCTGTAGGAGATCCAGAACCTTGATCATTTGGTGAATTTGGAACAGTTGTGGCTCGGAAAGAACAAGATCACAAAGCTAGAGGTATGGTAAACCAAGGATAATGATTCTAATATACAATGACAAATATTGATATCAATGACATAAAGAACCTGGGTGCATTACGCAACCTGCGAGTGTTAAGTATTCAAAGTAACCGCCTGACAAAATTAACGGGCTTGGAAGGATTGGTTAATCTCGAGGAGTTATACACTAGCCACAATGCGATCGAGAAAATTGAAGGGCTGGAAAATAATGTAAGTATAAAGTAGTAATATTTATATTATATATTTAGATGTGGATAATGTCTAATTGATTTTCTTTTCTTTTCTTTGTACTCTAGCATAAATTGACTATATTGGATGTAGCTAGCAACAAATTGACTCATATTGAAAACCTATCCCACCTGAAAAATCTCGAAGATTTCTGGGTAAGATAAAAGAGGATATTGTAATTTTTATTTTATTTTATTGACAAGTATATCCTGACATATTATGGTTTGTGTTTAGGCTAATGGTAACCAGTTTGGTAATGAGTGCTTTGCTGAGCTGGAACGTGAACTTGGAAACATAAAGACATTGCAGACAGTTTACTTGGAGGGCAACCCAATGCAATTGGAGAATATGGCAACCTACCGTAACAAAGTACGCCTTTCTCTCCCAAACATCCAGAGAATAGATGCAACGTAAGTATTTGTGCATATACTTAAAATATCAGTAAATTTTTATACTTGTTACTAAGCAGAAACTCCCTTAATGAACTCTAGTTATGTACGTTAAAGAGGGAAGGAGAGAGAGAATGTTCATTCAATGTACATGTACCTTAATCGAATAAAGGAAAACCAGTCAAGTCAGTAACTTCGAATGATAAGGTCTGGTGGCTTGGAGAGAGGTGTCCCCCAGCTCCATTTTTTACCCCTCTCACATTTAAATCCTCTCACCTGTCCTAGGCTGGCACTTTTTTTTTCCTCTTCTTTTTTTTTATTACACTTTGGCTCTCTTTTATCGAAGCTTCTCAGCTTATTTTTTTTGGCACTGCCGGTTTTCTTTTTCTCTCCACTCTGTGTGCCTTCTTATATATATATACACACACACACACATATATATATATATATTATTCCTGTTGCGATCCCCTCTTTGTACTTTTGTTTGAATACCATTGCACTTGGTCCATAAGTCTCTTTGCTCTTTACATTTATTCTTCGACTTTGAGCTTACGATACAAGATACAGAAACAAAAACAAAACACACAAAACAATAATAACCGTTCTTCATGCCACTCGCTTCTCTCTTGGGTACGACCAAGCCGTCGTTTTCTTTCGTATCTTCACCGTCTTCGGGTCGCGGTAGCCTCAATGACCCTTCTTCCATGACAATGGACTCTCCAAACGGCAATAATTCTGTTCCGTCCGTGTCAGCAGCAGCAGCCGTCGCGGCCGCAATGGCTCGTCAGCGAGCAACAACACCACAAACACCCTCATCAGTTCCAACCAAGCAACGCCTGTTAGCCCATCCTTCTCATTTGCAACCCGAGTCTCGACCACCTAACTTTCCTGGAATGCCGATGGCCCGGCCTGTAAAAGGAAAAACCCGGGCTAGTCTTGGCCCTGAAATGACCAACGACGCGGCCTATTCAGTCATGCGACATGCTGTTGTTGTTGGTGGTGGTGGTGGTGGTGGTGGTACCAATGGTGGCAATTCCAATGGCAATGGTGGCGGTGGTGTACCTTATCCGAATGACCAACGGCTACCACCCCTCACTCGCCATACCCAACCCTTATCCCGGCAGCAACAGGCACCTTTGAATCAAGCACAACCACACAAGAACAAGTATGGATTCCTCGTTAGTGGAGGACCGGGTGTCATCATGAATGAAGCAGACGGACCTGAGTACTGGTTTTCTGGTAAAGCTCGATTAAATGAATCGAATGAGGAGAGTTCAATGGAGGCACTAAATTTTTTTTCTTTTTTCTTTTTATTTATTTGCTATATACCTAAATCTCTCTTTCTCTCTTTTCTCTCTCTACACATATATCTCTATATGTAGCTGATAGCATAGCCAACTATGAACCTCATGGCTATGAGCCTCATTACGAGCCGCCTAACTATGAACCGCCTAACTACGAGCAAACGTTTGAAGAAGACCAGTTTGAAGCAAGCACTAGCTATGAGACGATTGGAAGTTACGAAAACACACCAAGCTACGACAGCGTGGGTCACTACGAAACCATAGCCAGTCACGAGGGTGCTGACAATCGACGTGTCAGACGTCGAAAAGATATAGAGAGTCGCCTGGAAAAGCTGGAGACAGATTTTAGCGAGAATAGCTCACGGTAGGTCTGCTGCCTTTCCTGGATCGTTTACTGACCATCGCAGCATCTTCACAGACAAGATGGCGGCTCTTCGACAAGAAATCCAACAAGTGATGTCCAGTAAGGAACAAATTTAATAGATTAAATTAAATAAATAAATAAATAAATAAATAGAAAATGGATTGGCTGGCTGGGCTGGTCTACAAAAAAAGGGAAAAAAAAGAGGACACTTTAAATTCATAATTTATATCCTAGATACTCACGCTGGATTGCTTGAGAGTGTGAGCCAACAAGAGACAAATAAACGGAAAATGATAGATGACAGTGGACTTTTCTGGGAGTATCAGCGGCAACAGACAGATAACCAGGCAGCTCTAATGATCTATCAGGCCGAAGAAGACTATCATGTAAGAAAGAAAGAAAAAAAAGGGGGGATGACAAGAACTCTTTTGATTTCGATTTCGATCTCGATTTAACGGAATATAAGCTGTGATTGGGAACTGACCTGCTATTGATGATATCGCTCTATAGACCGAGACACAGAATGTAAGAGAGCGACTCTTTGCTGCACTAGAAGCCAAACGTAGGAAACTAAAGGAGGAAAAGGATAATGGAGACTTCACTTTTGGTAAGTAAAATTTTCTGGGATGGTGAAATTAAATTAAATTAAATCAAATTAAATTAAATTATTGGCCCAATTGAATTTTTGTTTTGGGGAGATGACATTTTCTGAATTTCTCACATATGTTTATATTTATGCTTGTATTTATAGATGTCCCAATCGATGCCCAAATCCGACCACAGAAACGCAATTTACGTAAAAGAGGGAATGAAACTACGGAAGTCAAGACTAACAAACGGAAACAGGCGTCAGATATCCTTTGCATTTCAAAAAAATATATAAATATACGCTCTAATCTCGGTAGATATTTCACAACTATATCCTTAACCCATTTTCACTTTTACGCCCGTCATTAGTATTCAGATTGACCGAAGACGACATGAGTTCAGATATGATCAAGATGCGAGGAGTAAGTAGCGTAAGGAAGCATTAGTCCATGCAAGCGCCTGTGTATTGTATGAATTATTAAGTACTTAATGGTGTTTGTTTGTGTGTGTACTTTATAGGGTATCGAATTCCCGGTAAAGAAAGCATGTGCAGCGGTACACAAGAAGAAGTAAAGAAAGTATCATATCAAACCACAACTTTAAAATTCAACAATATTACCAACACCAACAACACCAACATCAACATCAACTATTATTACTTATTATTACTACAACTACCACTGCCACTACCACTGCCACTACCACCACTACCACCACTACCACCACTACCACCACTACCACCACTACCACCACTACCACCACTACCACCACTACCATCACTGTCACCACTACCATCACTGTCACCATCATCATCATCAGCACTACTACTACCACTACTAAAAGATCACCCAACAACTACGCTTTTCTTTACGGTAAAAAAAAACAAAAACAAAAACAAATGAGCTTCAACAAGCAAAGAAGTCAAAGATACCAAATCACAAATTCCAAAAAGTCCAAAGTATTGAACCAAGAACAAGAGGAGAACAACAAAAAAATAGCGTTTGGTATCCTTTCTTTCTTCCTTTAATTTCTTTGATGTCCCCCCCTCGGCTCTCCTTCTTCTTCTTCTTCTTCTTCTTCTTCTTCTTCTTCTTCTTCTCCTTCTTCTCCCCCTCCCTTCTCCTCCCCTTTTCACTTACAACCTTAGTTTCTATCTATTTTACTTGTATTTTCTTTCTTTCTTTTATTTCTATCTCCCTAAACCTCTCTCTTTCTTTACACTGCATCACACAACTACAGGCATGACACTTCAGAGACCAAATTCCAAAAAAAAGACGGCATCTTTCATATTATTTACAAATTTATTTACTTTGCCAATCTGTGGCTCTCTTCCCAATCTTACCCTCTTCCCCTTTCATGTCTCTTTATATCTCTTTATCTCTTCCTTGTATTTCAACCTATTTAAGGTTGGATAAACCCCACCTATCTACCTGTACATACTCTTTCTCTCTCTCTCTATCTTTCTACCTCTATCCTTTTATATATATATTCTATATAAAAAACAACTCTTCTCCAAATAATAATAATAATAATAATTTTGTCTGTATAAAAAAAAAAGAAGTGTGAATTTTTATAATGGCAAGACTTTTTTTTGGGATGCTATTTTTCCCCCCCCCCCCCCCCCCCCCCCCCTAAACTGATTGATTGTAAAGCCCGCTTTCCCGTCCCTTTTCTTTAATGCAATTTTGTGATTCCCCGTAGTTTCCTTTGGTATCTCAAATAAACAACCTATTCACTCTATACACTTAATGGTTGCTAACACACGTATCAGGCTAATTACCTTTGACGCCTTTAACACTCTTTTTAGACAGAAAGTCAATCCTAGTGTTATTTATGTGAGTTTCCTAATCCCAAACTGGAATCTAAAAACAATTTTTTTTTACTCATCTCATTCACACACACTTAAAAAAAAAGGCTAAAGAAGCTCATCGATTCGGAATCAATGTTAATCCCACGAATCTTCAGGCAAATTTTGGGCCTGTTTATAAAAGTCATGTAAAGGCATTTCCATTCTATGGTCGTCATCAAGGCAAAACACCTCAATTGTGGTGGCAAGAGGTAAGAGCAATCAATAATTTATGTGTGTTACACATTTAAGCATAAGCTCTTACTTTTTTATGCATATTATTTTTTTATTACACTTCTTCTTCTTATTTTTTTTTTGTTAGCTTGTTTACAAGACATTCCTTAGCTCGGGTGTTTCTCAGAAAGGTAAATAATAAACTCTCATACGCACCGATTTTATGGTTATTATTGTTGGGAAAAAATAACCTAGCTTTGTTTATTGTCGCTTTAGAACTTGATTCCAGCTTTGATACCTTGTTTCACTCTTTATACCATCGATTCACATCAACAGAAAGCTATGCTTTGTTCCAGGACACATTACCTGGATTAAATATCTTGCGTCAAAAGGGGTTTAGGATGGGCGTTATTAGTAATTCAGATGAGAGATTAAGTAAATATAATGATTCTCTTAGCGTTTAAAGAATAATTATAATCTAACTTGGGTGGTTTTTTGGGTGCTTATTGTTAGCGGATATCCTAAAGAGCTTGGAACTGGAAGGTTATTTTGATTTTGTTACCCTTAGTGTGGACGTTGGGCATGAAAAACCCGACAAGGATATTTTTGAGGTTGCGCGTCGAGTTAAAGGCAATTCAGACATTGCACCAGAAAATTGTCTACATGTAGGCGACACAGAGAGAAAGTAAGGGAACATGTTATAAGATCTGTTGATGAATAGACTTCTTTGTTTATTAATCAATCAATCAATTGATTTTTTTTCTTAATAGGGATTACTATGGTAATAATATCTATCTTTGAAAATAAAGCAATAAACTAATATGAAACTCGATTTACGCTAGGTGCATTAAATGCAGGTTGGAACGCGGTCTTGTTGGATAGAGGTAAAATTTTACTTTTATTGTTTATTTCTTTTAAGGAAATAAGCAAATTTTCCTGATTCCAATTATCTAATTTTTATATATATTATTTATATAGAGAAACTTGATTTTGAGGAACCTTTTGAAACATCAGATCCTATTTTGAAAAAGAACACTCTGGTTTCTTTGGTAGATTTGTATCCTTTTATCTTGAAGAACCTTCCATAAGCAATATACTTGGACTGAACTCGTAAAGCTAATTAACTAATTAACTAATTAATCAATTAATTAATTAGTTATATATCTATGCAAATTATATGTCAAAATAAAATAAAATCATGCAAACCAAATTTCCAAATATTATTTTTTTATTGATATGATGAATTTAAGCTACTAAGTTATGTTTGCTGTATATTGTCGATAATGCAAAATAGCCTGTGAATAATCACGCTAAAATACATCAGAGATCCCTGCATTTATTCAGCGACGCTATATGCTTGTATCTGATGTTATTATCATTATTACTTAGTATGATTCATTTAGACCTATCGTTGTCGATCCATATTTTGATAATGAAAAATAAACCAAGACAAGTTTAATTGCAACCCCAGCTTAGTTTGTGGGATCCCTTGAAAAAAGAAAAAAAAAAGCAAGATATAATTCGTCAATTGCAGTCAAAATGACGGGGGTTATTATATTGATCTTCAGGTTGACAAATATATATGCATCTTCATAATCATGCTTGACGCCAAAGATGAAAAAAAAACACATTCTCGATTATCACTAATACTATCTAAGCTCGGTGAATTAAAGCTCGGTAGTGAATAGATCAATCATACACCAAAAAGTTGCCTGGCTGTCAGAGAATTGCTATTTCTCAAGGTACTTTGGGTCGCCGATGCAAGCCAATTTGTTCTTAATTTGCTCTACATGACAAGGCTTGTGACATAACTGATGCAAATATATGTATGTATATAATAAAAAAAAAGAATTGAATCATAGTAAAGAATCATGTATAGAAAAGCACTAAGAGGAATTTTTTTTGCTGGCTTCATCGCACGGACGGTCTTGTAATGAACAAGGGAGGAATGTTTCATCCTGCAAGAAAACCAGCTCACACACTATAAATCTCTCGTTAACTTTTGGATTTAATCGTGTGGTAGATACACCTTGCTCTCTTTTTTTGAATCACTCTTACTTTGTTCAAAATGACTGCTGCCGCTATTGAAATACACAATAACATGGAGCCCATGAATGCCTTCTTGCTCGACTGGCACGTACGCGTTACATGGATTGCCTGGATGACTCTGTATGTGTTCTGGGGTGCTGCTTGGTTTTCTCGCCATGCATTTGATAACTCGAACGAGAGCGATCTGTCAACTGGTGTTCATTCTGGTACCGCTGATCCAGCTCTTGATGGTCAAGATGTTGCAAACCACCACAAGACAGTTCAGCCTCCTTCCTGGTCTCGTGGTATCTGCGTAAGTAAAAGACATTTCTAAACAGTATACAAGGTCCTTTTGTCTAACAGTTCTTTATCTATAGAACCGTCTCAACCGTGCCCATGATATGCTCCGTGATCAAGTCTTTATGCTCGGCTCGGTACTTACTCTGAACACCTTTGCTCGTGCTTCCACACGCGCAGTGATGATTCTCTCTTGGATGTAAGTTTGTTTGTTTAAATAATATTCAAAGTCATAATTTTATTTATTTATTTAACTTTGTAAATTTTTATAGCTATGTTGCCTTTGCCTTTATTATGTTCTTTGTTGAGGCTGGTTACAAGAATGGTTATGTCCGTTTCCTCTACAGTCTCCTCTTCTACGGAATCGGCCTCACTATCTGCGGTCTTGCGTACAGACAAGGTTTCCATGCATAAACAGTGCCTGCGAAATAACCGACTTTTACTTAATAACCTTTACTTGTATTCTATACTCTTACTTTTAATATAATATAATATAATATAATATAATAAATAATAAATTAATTTTTAATAAATTAAGGTCGCTTAATATCTTATATTTTATTTATATGTGTTGTACTTTGTCTGTGCGAGTTTCCTTTTTCTCTCTTTCTCTCTCTCTTTTTTTTTTGTTTTTCACACTGCGACTTTATGACGTCCACTGATTCCTTCATTCACATAAAGAAACCAATTCAAGGTTTCCTTTTTTGATAAGAAAGTATCTCATCATCATGGTTTCTACTTGGTCTGTAGATTACGCATCTATCAATACTGCCAACAAGTAATGTCTATAGTTATATATTATCTTCTTTATATTATATTATATTATAATACAATATAATATACTTATAAATGAAGCTATAATCACTTACTCGACAATTTACATCGATTACAATTTCTTTTATTTCTTCATTGATTGAATCCACAACTAAATAAAAGATCAAAAGTTCCTAATCCTGTTGGATATGATTCCCATGCCTTCCACAATGCCAAATTAGGATTGGTAAGGCGAACTTTGAAGAAGAAGAAGAAGAAAAAGTATTCTCGGGTTGGAATGTTTGTTCTTATGAATTTATTTGTTTAACTTTTGTTTAGAAAGGAGGAAAAAACCTGAATGCTCAGGATGATCATGATGATGTTCCAATTAAAGTCAAGGCAAGTCTTTTTTTTTTTTATTTATTTTTGTTAAAAAAAATTGTGGTAGTACTAGTTATCAGTAGCTGAAATGTCTAATACACATACACACACACACACACACAATAGAGAGCATGGGATGTTGCAATGAGTCCAGCAAAGAACATTCCAATGAATGCCATCATGATTTACATGAGTGGTAATGGTGTACAAATCTTCAGTGTTATGATTACATTTATGCTTTTCTTCCAACCTGCCAAGGCTATCATGACTCTCAATCAAAGTAAGTATGGTTTTGTATGTGGGGGATATTAATGCATTTTTTTTCTCTCTCTCTTTTGGATGGGTTGTATGTTGAAATCTTTTGACGTATTAAATTATACTTACCAAAAAAAAATACAATAATAATAATAATAATTAGCATTTGAGAGATTTGAGTCCAAAGGTGCAGCTGCCAAACGTCCCGAGGCTGATTTACTGCTCCCAAAGTTGACCTATATTGGTTTGCAGCTTGTGATCATACTGCTGGGTGTTTACAAGATCAACAACATGGGATTGTTGCCAACAACCACTTCAGATTGGTTAGCATTCCTTCCCCACAAAGAGGTAAGTAAAAGAAAAAGAAGATGAATAAACGATAGATGATTTTTTTAAAGTATATTTTTGGGAATTAAATTAATTATCAATCTAAATAACTATATATTTATAATAGGTGCTTGAGTATGCATCAATTTAGATGGGCATTTGACGTAGGAAAAAAAAACTCCCCCTTTTGCCTAAAAGTACAAAATATTAAAGACAAAAATGTCGGCTTAGGATTGTTATTTTATTATAAAATGCCAATGTATTAAAAAAAAAAGAAAAAAAAGGAAATATAGAGAAAGAAATAGATAAAGAAATAGATAAAGATAAAAAGAAAGAGAGAGAGATAGAGAGATAAAGTTACTTAAAAGATAGATAAAGAGGTTGATTTGAAGGAAAGACTTGAAAGGAGGAAGGGAAGAGGTACACACAAATTGGAATGGTTTCTTCATCAACGGACCTGTTTTTTTTTCTTTATCATTATTTTTTTTTCTTTAAAAAAAAACAAATCACGAATAATGATATGTACAAAAAGAAAGCTGCCTTTTCTTATTCATTATGACTGGGCTGGGTTGGCTTCAGTAGAGGACTGATTGCTTTCTGTAGAGTTGTCAGTTGTAGAAGGTGCCCCGGAAGATGACTCTGTAAACCATGAAAGCTGAAGTGTTCCCTTTGGGAAATTGGCTCCTACAGACATTGCCTGGTGGTGGTGGTTGTGGTGGTGATATCAATAAAAGAAATTGTTTTTTTTATGGTTAGTATATTGGACTAACAAATACTGGTGCCAAACAAATTATCATTTTATACTATACTATACTATAGAGTATTGGTTGCCTCTTGTATTTTATATTAATTTACCTTTTCAGCTTCAAAACGTTGAGAGTACTGCACAATAACGCCTTGTTCAGAGGATTCATAAGATGTGACAGTGCCGTATTGCTACGAAATCCAAATTCAAATAAAAATGATAATATAAATATAAATATAAATATAAATATAAAATTTCCAATAAATAAAGCTCCTATAATTTACATAACCTGTATCTTGTACACACACACACAATATATATATATGTATGTAAATATTTACCTCAAAGTGTTTCTGAACTTCCTCAGCTGTGTCTTCTGGGATATCCTTTATCAACAGTTTTGTGGGACGGTTATCGAGACTCATCCGTGTCATGCCACCTCGCATTCTTGGGTATCCACGTCCGCGTCCAAAATACCCACCACGTCCGCCGCGGAAACTAGGTCCATAAGCTGCAAGTCCTAAAGCAGCAGCTTCAGCTTCTAATATAGCCAACTTTTTCTTCAGATCTTCAGGTGTTTCTGGTGTTCCAGAAACTGCAGTAGCACTGGCAGTTGCTGTAGATGTTGTTGTTGTGGTGGTGGTGCTAGTTGCTTGTGTTTGTGGCGCAGAAGCAGCAGTAGCTACTCCACTTCTAGAGGCATTAATATCAGCTCCAATCTTCTTGAGGGACTTGAGTAATTCCTCCTTTTCGGTGCGTGACATGTCTTTGTTTCCGAGCTTTTCCATCAACTGTTTCTGTTCGTCAATCTGCTTCTGGAGGAGCTGCTCTTTTTGTTTCTGAGCATCTAATACGGCCTGCATTCTCTCCTGGTGTTTCTTTAACTTTTCTTCTCTTTGTTTTGCAAGTTCTGCTGCTCTTGCAGCTACAAGCTCCGGATCGGGTTCATTTGCAGCAATACTTGCAGCCAAGGCAGCTGCCTGAGCCTCAGCACTAGAAGCTTGCTGTTGCTGTTGTTGCTGCTGTTGTGGTTGCTGGGAGCCATCTTCCTTCTCTCTTTGCCAGTATACCTTTACAAATCGGTTGTCAAAGATAGCGTCAGGAGAATGGTATGCAGCTTCAGCCTCTGCGCGTGTACCGTATTGCAGAATAGCTTTCTGTTGGTGTGGTTGGACACTGATGTTTGTTAAAGTTCCGAATTTCTGGAAAAAGTCGTGAACCTTTGTTATCTGACATTCCTCGGGAGGGATATTTTCTACCACAAGAGTAGTTCCGGACTTGCTGTGGAGTTGTTGCTGATAGCCTCCACTTGAACCACCCATGTAACTACCACGGCCACGGCCACGGCCGCGCATACCTCCGCGTGCAGTTCCACGGGTTGGTTGGCTCATCTGAATTGGTGGAATTGTTTCAGGAATCAACATGCTAGACATATCAGTGGGGAAAGGCATATTTCCGTTGGGCATCAATGTAGCACGCTCAGGGTCATAAGCATCAGGACCCATACCATTAGGTACTAATTTTGTTTTTATTTATTCATTTACCATTATTAGCTTTCTTTCCTTTCTCTTGTTTATTTGCCACATTGTAAAAAAAAACGATCTACTTACCCATAGTATTTGGCATACCAAAGAATGGAGGCTGAGGTCCTCGCCCACTCATAGCACCCATGTGGCCAGGGCCGTTAGGAAATGGTCCGTTGAATCCTTCATCTACAATGATGCGATCGACACCATGGTCATAAGGACACATGTCTCCTCGCATACAGAATCCCTTTTCTGGCAGCAATTAAAATATGCAAAAGAAGAGGACACAGAAGAAGTTAATATTTGAGCATATTTTAACCACATTAAATTGAATACATCTATATCCTTCCCTCCTTTTTCTCTTTTTTCCCTTTTTCCCTATATATATATATATATATATATCCCTTTTTCGTTTTCTCTTTCATTACTATTATTATTCTTTTACCATTATAGTCTCTGCATCGGGGTCTTTGTGTACGTCCCATGTTCATCCCTCCACGGTTTCCTCTATTTCCTCTTCCTCTGCCCCGACCGTCAAATGTTGATTGCTGAACGGTATTATTGTACATTGCGGCAGGTCCCATCGGAATTCCATCGGGTCCCCGTCTACTGTCATCCACACGGGAGTGCTTGTTCATACCTCCGGCCTGGTTGTTTTCTGGGAAACGACGCTTACCACGCTCCTCTACTTGTCTGGTTGTGTAAGAGTCTTCCTGATCCTCTTGTCTCTGACGTCTATGCTTAAAGTTGCGGTCACCATCGTCCTCATCATCAGAGAAGTCGCTTAAACGGCGAGAAGAAATATTCAAAGGATCTTCGATAGCCGCAGACAGAATTTCTACTGGTCGGTTGTTTTCGTTCAACTTGTCAAAGAGTCGATCAATAAAAGGACCAGTTTCTGCATACGTGAATATTCATTGATGTATTAAATATGATAATAATAATAATGGTTAGAAATACTTCTTCTCTATTTTTCCACAATCAAATAAACAAACAACCAAACAGTTATAAAAAGAGAGAGAGAGGGAGATAGAAATAAAAATAGAGTTATCTCTCTCTATCTCTCTCTCTATCTCTCTCTATTTTTTTAGGCTGTTGACGTTGTTGTCGTTGATGCTTTTGTTGCTTTGTTTTGTTTTTTTGTTTGTTTTGTTTTTTGCTTTGGAAAATAGTTGATTTATGTGGATTACATACGATCGTCGAGAAAATCTCTGAGGTTCTTCTCCAAAGATTGTCTTAATGCGTTATCTATCTCCTTTTCGCCAATAATTGTCATGACAAAGTTGGCAAGGACATCAGGCTCAGCATCACATCTGGATTGTAATGATTAGAACATCGCGTTCCGTAATATCTACTGCTCTAGCTCCTTGTTTTTTTTTCTTCTTTGTCTATTATATATATATATATATACAAAACAGTAATTACAAAGATCGACTACTTACATTGACTCCACTTCCTTACAAAGGAAGGCTTTAAGATCTGAAGGTTGCTGTCTGTTGGACATCACGACTATAAAGAAGAAAAAAAAGGAGAGTAGAATTTGACGAGCACAGTCGGTTTTTCTGCAAACGCGAGTGACGTCACCTGACTGCTTTTAATATACATATCTTTATCTTTTCTTTTTCTTTTTTTTCCCGTCTCTCTCTCTCTCTTTTTCTATATACATCTATTTCTGCAGTCTCACCTTTTGACAAAAGGTAGAAAGACCTCAAAGAAACCACCTGTATTTCATTCTTTACTCTCTCTCTCTCTATATATAATTATAAATACATTTATATTTCTTTCGATTTTTCTTTGATAAGAACAAAATGTCATTCAACAAGTCTTTCGTGTCTCGAGGTGTTGTTGAAGGCGAAGAAGAAAAGTTGGATGGATCCGAGGTTCAAGGTAAATCAGCACAAGAACATACATTCACACATGTCATGTCTTGTGAATTTTTCTTTTCTTCTTCTTTCATTGTGTGTGTGTGTGTTTTTGAAGAATGAAGCATGTAAAAGATGGTGGGAAGTAAATAGGTTTCTGCTAGTGTTGTTTTTGCTTTAGCTGTTGTTATCGTTGTTCTTTTTTTTTCTCATTAAAAAAAAAGGGGGGTCTTGATACCATTCTTTGGGATGATTGAAAAAATAAAAAAACAAAAAAAAATAAAAAAATAAAAAAAAAAGCATCGGCACCAATTCAGGACTATGATCCACGTACACTTTTTGAGAGGTTACAAGAACAGAGGAACATTAAGGATGAAGAGTTTCATGAGGCTACCCGGTTGAGTAATCTGATTAAACTTGTGGATGCCGATGAGGCTGAATTCTACAAAACCCTTTCTGACGAACAAAAGAGTCTGGACGAAAAGAGAAAAATGAAAGAAAAGGACGAATTGGAAACATATCGAAAGTAAGCTTCTTGAGACTTTTTTTTTAAAAAAAAAATGGAATTGATAAAGGGAAAAGAAAGAAGGTTTACAAGAAGTATAACTGGTGTAAATATATATAAAAATATATATATATGGGTGTGTCTATAGACTATTTTTTTCTTTTTTTGATTAAAATAGGTTGGGCGTTTTCCTTATTTTAATTTGTGTGTGCGTGTGTTTTTCTATTTTGTTTTCTTTCTTTCTGCTATTAGGGCAGTTGAACAAGCACGTCTCACTGCTCCTCCACCTCCAACTTTGGCAGCTACCGTTTCCGCAACCAGTGTCACCATGACACAGACTTCATTAAAGTCTACAAAGCGCAAATCAGTCTCTAGTCCCTTTCAAGGACTTGTAGTAAAGAAAAAGAAGATTGACGGCCAGGATGAGAATAGCGAACCAAAGTCAACTCCAACTTCAATTTCAACTCCAAAGGCTGCTGAGAGCAAGCCAAAAGTTGTAGAAAGCAAGCCAAAAGAAACCTTGAATCCTCTTGGATCTCTGGTTGCTTATAGTGATGATTCTAGCGACGAAGAAGACTGAAAAGATGAAAAGAAGCTAAAATTCAACAAAAACTTTTAGTAAAACAAACTAAACAAAGAAAACCCCAAAAGGCATTTAGATTTATATTTATATATATATATATATGTGTGTGTGTGTGTGTGTGTGTGTGTGTGTGTGTGTGTGTGTATTTGTGTGTATACTACTAAAAAAATAAGAAGAAGAAGAAGAAGAAGAAGAAGAAGAGTAAATAAATAATAAATTAATCAAGAAATTCAATGTACTCATATATATATATATTGCAATCCATGTCAATAGGACATTTAGGGAATCAATCAATTGGGTCCATTACACTCATTTGTACTTTAATAGTATCTTATGAATACCAAGAACAAGGAAGCAAATTGAAAATCAAAGAGGGATATTATTAAAAGACTAGCTTAAAATATAGACTTTTTTTTAAAATATCTTTTAATTTAAGATGGGATTATATGATATGGCAAAGATATCTAATACTTGTAACAAGGTTACAAAAATGTCAGTAAAAATAATAAGTAATTGAGTGAGTAGAGTATTAGAATATACAAAAAATGCAAACAGTTGTTTTTTGCACAATTACCTCAATCCCCCCCTTTGAGAAAACCAACACAACACAACATAATAGAATGATATGGTATATATATATATATATATATAATTATTTAATTATTTAATTATTTAATTATTCACGGCTCCTTTGTTTGTTTGTTTTTTCTATCTATCTCTCTCTTTGATTATTTATCTTACATGTCATGAAATCAACCAAGAGATAATATCGAAAGTTTATCAGAGCGTAATTAATATATTAAGGCAGTTAACTTTCTTTTCTTTAGAATATTCTACAAGTCGGTATGCACCTATTATAGGAATGTATCGTTGTTCTTTTCTGTATGCTGTTGTCTTTATTAATGGATAGAATACATATATTAGCTTTATGTATAATTATCAATTGCTATAATTCTTTTAAGGATATCTATAGGAGAAAGTCAGAAAATAAAAGGGTTTTAAAAACAATTAATTGATCGATTGATAGACAGGATCTTCTTTGGTAAGTTCCCAAGCAATATGATCTCAAAACAGTCTATATTTCTTGAAAACACCAGACGACCTTATCCTCTCTCCGTTTGAAGACCTACAAGGCACAGTCTATAAAGATGTAGTCATGTTTGAAATTCTTGGTCATTGCTTTTGACAGATAGTATACTATAACTTAAAGAAGAAAAGGGTAAACAAAGAAAGAGAGAGAGAAAGAGAATGAATTAAGAAGAGCAAAGGGAGGCAGATACAGAGTTTTATATGTTGCTACTGCTGATACTTAAGGCTGATAAGTTAAAACAGCGTTCAATACATAGAAACGCCACATTTATTTTGCATTTTGCATTTTGCACTTTATGTTTTATTTTTGGTCTATTGTTTGTTTAAAGACAGACTGTGTTTGAGGTTCTGTAGTCAATCTATGCAGGGTTGTTGACAATACATGATATCTTTTTCTCTTTTTATGGCCTGTGAGAATGGCATAAGTTGTTCAGGTTGAGGAAGAGAAGAGTATTATGGATGTATTTACTATTGAACGAGGTATGCAGCATAAGCCTTGGTATTTTTAAACTCTCTTTCTTCCTTTCGCTCTCTTGCTCTCTCGATCTCTCGATCTGTACCGACAGATCTGTTTCTCCATGTATTCTACGTATATTTCTATATTTCTATGAAATTTTATGTACAAATCCAATACATACTTATATTAGATATTCAAGTATTAAGAAAATGATCAAATTGGTATTGGTGAAAATAATAACAAAACAAAAAAAGAAGGGATCATATACACAATTCTTGACCTATTTTATTTTGTCGTTTTGTTTTGTCTTGTTTTGTTTGTTTGTCCGTTTAGGAATTAGTGTCAGAATGAAAGGATTACTGGGCAGAATAAAGAGAAGATGTGTGGGGAAGGTATTTGTAAGGATTTGGATCCAACTCAAGCATGGCGTATGAATGAAATCAAACACTAACCGGCGGATTTGAATCGAAATTGTAAGAGAAAAAGAAAAAGATATTAGTATGTCATCTGGAAAACTGCCCTGATTTTTTTTTTGGTGGCCAGAGAGATATACCTTTGCCTTTTTGTGTGAATAAATTTATATTAATATAATATAATATAGTTACTATTGCGATCAAAATTACAATCACAATTACAATCACAATTACAATCACAATCACAATTACAATTATTATTTGTCTCTCAAAATTTCAAGAGAACCAAGCTAAAGAATGCATTATCTAAAATACTTTGGTTCAATACGTCATGTAGTGTCTATTTATTATAATTCTGCCATTGCTTAAACCTCTCATTTCTCTTGGAAACTGTTCCCTTTTTGTTCAAACTGATATCCTTATATATACAATAAAAAAAAACTTGGAGAAAGATAGATACTAGAGCTAAAGATCTTAGTACCAAACCACCTTACCAAAAAGGAAACAAAAGATTATAATTATAATGATTTTCTGATAGTAATACTAGCATCGATCATCTCATTCTCCTCAAAAAAAAATTGTATTATTATATATTTTCTAACCCTTATATTCTCTATACCAAATTCAACAATATCAAACTTATTGCACACAAGTTTCAATTCTCCTCTTTTCCTCATATCTGGCTTCCATTCCTTTCAGTTGTCTACTTATTCTTTTCGTACCTTCCTACTCGCCCTTTCTCCTTTTATCTCTCTATTTTTTTCCCTTCTTTTTCTGCTAATATCCTCTATAGCTCTATCTATACAATATCGTCTTATATACTCTATACCCATACTTTGCTTTCATTTTACTCTAAATTTTTTATTCTAAATTTGATCTTTATTTTATTTATCTATAAAGTATATACATTTCTTCACTTGAATCTTTTTTTTTAAAAAAAAAAAGAAAAGAAATTTTACGTTATTCTATGGACTCTCCTTTTGGCTACTCTCATCTTTTTGGTATTCCATCTCCACTACTAGACACTCCTGGAACAAGTCCCGACTATGATGGTACACCTATTCAACCAGACTATTCTCACATCGATCTCAATGAGCATTGGCCAGTCACTACCTCATTTCCATCACGCTATTTCCTCAGCTATCCTCAAAGTACCTTGACAGACGAAACACACGATACTGATCTCTTGTTAGACTATGATACTTGTCCTCAACTTTCAAATGCTACAAATACCAGCACTAGTAATAGTTCCAGTACCACCACCAACAACAACAACAATACTACTACTGCTACTGCTACTACTACTACTACTACTACTACTACTACTACGAACTCGAACTCGAATCTAAACACGAACCAAAATACAAATGCAAGTAATACACCTTCATACATGGAGTATTTACTTTCTTGTAATGAGGCTGGTATGACTGATCCAGGAACGTCGTTTTCAAAAGATGGTTGTCACAACATGCCTTTGATAAAGGAAGAGGGAGCCAATTACTACCTTCCGACCACAAATTACGGAGTGTATTATCAATGGCATGGTCAAAATGACAATGTACCTTTGAGCAATATCACAAGTTTCTATTCGAGTACACCTATTTCTGTGCTTGATCCTTCTTTTCATTCACGCCCGACAGTCGAAACAACCGACATGCATGGATATGTGAGCCTAAGTGTAAGTCAATTATTTGATTAATTATTCATTTGTCTTTTACCCTTTTCCTTGTTATATAAAATTAAAATAATATAAGACGCACATAAATATCAAGTATTGTCTTTTTTAGCTTTAAAAAAAAGGGGGGAGGGAGACCAATTTTGATGTTTACTGCTTTATGTTTCCTTTTATATACAACTATAAAAGATAAGAATTCCCTCTTTCCATTCCAATGTATCTTTATTTTTTATTTTTATTTTTTTGGGGGGTTAACCCCTATGTCTTTATTGTTCTTCTTTATATATGTGTATATATATATATGTATATGTATATATGTGCATGGGTGCTGTATGGGTGCTTGTGTGTGTTTTAGGATGTCAACGCGTATGTTGCTGAAGCCGACTCAACAAAACACTCGTCACTTCAATCGATCTCTAATCCATCTACCCTTTCATGTACATTGGGACCACTGTCTCCAGACTGCGACCAACAATCCCAATTCACGTCTTCACCATTTTACCCTTCTCAGCCAACATCAGACACCTCTTCTGAAACTAATACCGACAGTATGGATGAAGATGAACGGTCAGATAGTGAAATCATGCCTGGTAGTTACTGTTCATTACTCAACAAAAGTACACATTCGAGTACGAGTACGAGCACAGGCACCAATAATAACGATCATAATAATAATTCATCAAAAACTATCAAACCTCTCACCTTACGCCACAAACTAGTCATCAAGATAAAGAAACCAAAAAGCATGCCCTCCTTAAAACACTTTCCTTCAAAGACCCTTCAGAGAGAAGATAGACTTGGCTTTCACCGATCGACAAAACCCCAGCAGTCCATCAAACCGTCCTTTCATCTCACCAGAAACCAGATACATATCCATGGCACCAATAGCTCTGCTTCACATTCTACGTCTTCCTCCACATCTACTTCTACTTCTAATAACAACCTACACTGCCACAGCTCGTCCAAACACAATCCTCTTTGCCGGCTCTCACCTCTTGTTGGGGACGTGAACTCTCTCGGGATATCACATTCAGAAAGTATCAGTACCATTCTGGCTAGACAGCAGCTGTCGGATGAAGACGACGATGACACATTGACAGACGACGATGACAAGGATGAGACAGAAGATGATGAATATTACGGACTTTTGAAGATGCCGCGCACCCAAAGCCGGCCGACCAAGCAGCAGTCTGCCCAGGCTGTCAAGAAGACTCGTATGGGAGACAAGGGACGCAATGTTGACAAGGCCTGTCAGCACTGCAAACGGTCTCACCTTCGATGTGACAATGTCCGGCCCTGTGGAAGATGTGTGGCAACCGGAAAAACGGGCTGTGAAGATGTCCACCACAAGCCAAGAGGGCGACCAAGACTGCCAAAGAACCGAGACAAGCCCCAACCACGCACATTTGCAGTCATTTTGTAACGTCCTTGATCTTTTCTTTTTTTTAAATTTTTTTTCTTTATTTCCTTTGCTCTTTTGTTTTGCTTTGTTTTGCTTTGCTTTGTTTTGCTTTGCTTTGCTTTGCTTTGCTTTGCTTTGCTTTGCTTTGCTTTGCTTTGCTCTGCTCTGCTTTGCTTTATCTATCTACCTATTATTCTTATTAGTTTGTCTTATACCCTTTCTCTTTCTACACGAGCACGCAAACACATGTATTTATGTGGGTGTCTATCTGTGTGTGTATGTATGTATGCATATATCTTCCTTTTTCTTGTAGAAGAAGAAAAAATCTATAATTTTGTGTGTATATATTAAATGTATTTTGAATAAATATTTGCACTGTAAAGATAACCTTGGGATAAATACAAAGCCAAGAAGTAGAAGAAGTAGAAGAAGAAGAAGACCGTTTTTTCTCTTTCTTTCTTTCTTTGGTTTTAGTAATGTAAATTGAGTTTTATGATATATACATAGAATCAAGCTTAATTGATTAATGAATTGACAAAGAAACTATACAAAAGCACAATATATTGATGTAATACTTTTGTTTCTTCTATATGTAGGTGTGTGTGTTTTGCTATATATATATATAAAAGAGGTGAGTATGTTAGTATTAGGAGAGGTCTTACACTATCTATACTTCTTTAGAAATTTGTTGAAAAAGAAGGAAAGAAAGAAAGAAAAACATTATTATGAAAGAAGTTCAACAAATCAAATATCTCAAAATATTCAAATGTATTGAATTGAAACAAAAATCCACATCTTTGCTTTTCTGTTATACATTATTTTCGCAAGTACTACTGAGCTATCATTGAATATCTTCAAAGAAGTTGTTTTACAGGGTACTCATGTATATGTGCTTGTGCTTGTACTTGTGCTTGTGTTTGTGTTTGTACTTGTGTGTGTGTGTGTGTACATTTTTGACACACTATAACCCTTGTTTTCACGGTGATAGATTCTGTAAAGAAAAAAAAAGGTGTTCTCAAGGGAATCGGGCCTTGATGCCTATATTTTTATTTTTCACAAGTAAAAGTTGAACTATATGGTTGCCGTGGGATTATCAAATAACATGCCATTTCAAGTTATATTAAGTTGGACTGAGGTTTACAGGGTAGTGCAAGATATTATTTCACCAAAAATGAAAAAGAAAACAAAACCAAAGAAAAAAAAAGCAGATCGAGAAAGATGGACGTGATAAAAATGATGATAACTTTCAATATATTCTTGTGCTTCTTGTACTTCTTGTACTTCTTGTACTCACAAAAGATTCTTTTCTTGTATAATTTAATGGGGGGGGGGGGGGGGGGGGTTTGGTTTGTTCAACCCCCGTCTCTCCACAAACTTCTCTAAAAAAAGCATTCAAAGTAAATATAATATATTTATATTTATATTAATATTAATAAAAAAAATTGTATTATTCTTTTCGTGTCATATTATGTAACTGTGCCTTATGAAGCAATATATACATAAAAGAAATAATGAGACGGGTAGACAGGTAGAGAAAAATGTAACAAAAAATGCTGTAAATATTCTTTTAAATAGACTACTCTTTGTAAATTCTATCAAATTTTGAAAGATTCATATGTATTATTATTTTTTATGTATATATTCTACAGCCATTTTTCTTGTACTAGGTTCTCACAGCGGGATTTCTTTGGTTTTCTTTGTTTTTTTTTACAGCTTATAGTTCATTGGTATTATTATTATTCTTATTATCGCTTGTTTGAGGTTGCACCTATCCGCATCATTTAAGAGATGACAAATATAACCTTGGTTTGTGGAGAAACAATAAGACTCCGGGTATCAAAGAAAGAAAAAAAAAAGGTAAATAAGGAAAAAGAAGATCCTCAGTTCTTGATAGAAAATGTATGAAAAATACACGCACACCAACACACAAGCCATTCATGACTTAAACACAGTGCCACAACTAATACCCAATAATAATAATAATAGTAGTAGTAGTAGTAGTAATAGTAATAGTAATAGTAATAGTAATAGTAATGGTAGCAATGGTATTAATAGCATTAATGGTATTAATAGTGGTAGCAAGTAATACATAATATAAATAATAATATAAATAAAATAAAATAAAAATCTACGACCAAAACTAAGGTAACCGTGTCTCAAATGTTGTGGATTTCATATTGAATAGAACACATAGAATGGGGAAAAAATGGCTGCGGTGAACCCAACATGTGAATTACATATGAAAGATATAGTATAGTAAAATATACATACAAACAGAGAGAAAATGAAAGGTTTCTTGTGGCAGCTGCGGGTTTATTATCATTATTCCTCTCTTTTTCTTCTTGTTCTTCTCCATCTTTAAGTCTGTGTTTAGCTGTGTACAACTTGAGCTGGCTAAATGATTAAAAGGAGACATGAGATGTGAGAATATATATATATATATATATATATATAGAGAGAGAGAGAGAGAGAGAGAGAGCAATCAATAGAAAGAAGAGTCTTTTACATATGTAGATGGAAAGCTTATTCACATGCTGGTATTATTGGGCTCCAAGACAAATGCCAAGGGGAGAAAGCCAATGTTATAAAATTAGGATCAGAATATGATAATAGCCGCATGTGGAAAGCCTTATGGGTGAGGTTGCCCCATAGAATCATGCTATTCTTATTTTTATTTTATTACAATACTAAGAGCAACAACAGTACAAGCCCTTTTGTCTATTGGCTATTGGCTTGCTTCTCATTTAAATATTTAAATTATTTAAATTAAGTACAGATATATAATATATATCCACAGGTTCGGTAAAGAGTGTATGATATATAAAAGCATATTTGCTTCATCAACATGTTTGAATATCTTGAATTGGCTTTTTTCCCTTAATTACTTACACTTTTATACTCTAACAAGAATAATTCAATAATAGCTTCTCATTGTTAGCACTATTAATACCTCTTTGTGTTAGGTTAGATGTTGAATATGATCTTATAGAATATCCATGTATATAACAAGGTAAGATAGTAAAATATTATATTACTCCAGAAACTAAATTGATATATAGACTATAGAAGTCACAACATATAGATACATACATACATCATAGAGATGTAGTGGTAAAGACAATGACAATAGAATTATTATTATTTTATAAAAAATAAGATAAAATACTTGACTGTCATTGGAAATTAAAATCACACTTTTAAACGCAAATAATGATAATTAATTATATAAATATATATATAGAGAGAGAGAAAGAAAGAAAGAAAGATACATAGTATAAAATAAAAATAATTAAGGGTCTCGAGTATAATGAGTTGAGATCGTCATTTAGAAAGTGCTGCACACTCTATAAGTATCTATAGTCTCTTAGAAACACAGGTACACACACATATAGTGATTTTTATTTTTATTGGCGTTTGGTCACAGGGTGAGACGAAAATCTATCTCTAAATCCTTTTCTTGATAGGTTTACCTTGTTGTCTTATCGGAAATCATTTTGGAAATAATAGCCTATTAAAATAGACTTTGAACGCAAAAAAATAAATAAAAAATAAATGAAAGCATTGTGTTTAACCAATGATAAGTTGCAGATTAGGTCGATCCATACAAGACTCCCTTTATATCTTTGTAAAAGTTACACGTATATCTAAAGAAGAATATATATATATAAAAAAAAGTGCCAGTCTTTTTTGTTGTTGTTGTTGTTGCTGTTGTTGTTGAAACAGTAAAGATTTACGATTTGATTTTGATTTTGACTTTGACTTTGACTTTGATTTGGCTTTATAATACAAAAATACAAAAAAAATTATAGTTTATACTTTATGTATATAGATGCTTTAACAATAGTTTATCTCTTTTAGAAATAGAAATAAAATACGCGTTTGGAAGCTTGACCGTTAGCTTGGTAATCGTATTCTTACAAAGTAGTTTATGCCTATATTTATTTATTTATTTATTTATATATATAAAAAGGTGTGGTTTAGAAAGAGGAAAGTCGGGTTACTAGTGTCCTTGAAGATTTGGTTACTTCCAATCATATACTCTTATTATTTAATTATTCATTACTTTGACCAGATAGATTAATCCCCTCCGAAATGATAGTAAGAATGGGAGAAATATCTAAAACGTACATACATATACATATAAAGGGATAGGGTGAATGAAATAATAATAATATTACATTTCTTATCATTTTCTATTAATGATTCTATAAACCAGGTGGTTGAAATTGACACTGACATTGATTATCGTAGTCCTTATTTTAAGTAACAAAATCATGCCAAAATGATACTAATATTCAAGGAATAAAAATGAACGCAAGTTTTACTATAGATTGCGTAAATCGGTACACAAAAGCACATACATTTGTACACAGCTACATACAAGAATACTATACAATAGAACTCTGGCAAGGTCTAAAACACTTGGTTTCCGCGCATCTAGTAGATGATTCATAATACAATAAAGAAGTACAATCAATAGATAATTAGGAAGATCAAGTTCTATTTTTATATTGATCCTAGAATACACTATATCTATCTATCTGCATACAAGGCCACTATACTCACTTGAATTTTATTTCATGATTAATTTAAAGGATCCTGAGGGATTTATTCATATTATTTTATTTTATTTAATTATTGCTATCATTATCATTATCAACATTCAACACACTACTAGAATCAAAAAAAAACTAGGTCTTACAATCAAATCTAATTACAGATTAAGTAATATCCCACGCCCTGAATTGCTTGACTTTACCAGCCTTGTTTCTTTTCTTTTCTTTTTTAAAAGTGGCCTCAGATTTATATATTTATATAATAGTATACCAGATGAAGTACAAAAGCCATGGAACTTGATTTACCTGCATAAAATATAGATAGATAGATAGATAGATAGATAGATATATAGATAGAACCATGAAACTCTTCTGAGAAATAAAGAAAAATAAAACAGTATGATATGAACAAGATAATCTTATTTGACTTCTTTCTTATAATTGATTGGACAAGACTTGGACAGATTTTCTTTTAGAAAGAGAGAACAAATATATAGAGTTTTTATTATAATACAAGCAGATAACAAGATAATCAAAAGAATAAATAAATAAAATAAAGAATAATTCAAAAATAGCAACACAAGAATAGAGTTTTTTTGTGAGTGAATTATGAATGGGATATTTCACAAAAAAAGCTTTGGGAGGAGGAGGAGGAAGAGGTAGTGGTTGTGGGAACAGGAGGAAGTGGGAACAGGAGAAGGAGGAGTAAGAGGAGAAATGGGAGATGGTAGGGAGGAGGCCAATTTTTTTGGGATTTTTTTTTTTGCTTCTTTTAAACATAAATATAATAAAGAAATAGTAAGTAAGTAAATAGTAAAATAATAATAATAATAATATCAATATTAATAGAGCAAGTCACGGAGAAGAGGTGCCGGATGAGGTGGCGCCATCATTCCTGAAGACCAGTATAGTGCACTGGGGTCCGCATCTGGTGGCATTTGAGACATCATCATCACATCTACTGGAGACAACATTGATGCTGCTGCTGCAACTGCTGCTGCATGAGCCTGGGCCTGAGCTTGTGCCTGGGCTTGTGCCTGTGCCTGTGCGTATCGAGAGTTGGAAACCATTGAGCGTAATTGGGAAGGCATGTCCATAAAGTGAACCAGTCTCTGGGTTTCCTTGTGCTGGGATGTCAATTCAAGGAGTTCTTGCTGGATGGGATGTGAGACTCCCTTAAGGGTGTGTCTGAACAGCCGCGATGCCTGCTTTCCCTCCGTAAAGTCACTGCACTGGACCCACACTGGGTTCTTGTCGGTACAGTCTGACTTTTTCTTTGGTTTCCGGGAATCCTGGTCCTGTGGTCCGGTTGCACTCTCCATATAAAACAGCGGTGGCTCGCTAATGTCGATATGCACATCCGCAAGCACATCACATGAAACGTAGTCGATGCTTGAGATTGCGTGCAGAGGAACTTCCATCTTGAAATGGCAGTCGTTGTCCGAGATGTGCCAGGCAAACATGCGGGTCTCGGGAGTATAGACACAGACAAGATCAGTTGCATTGAGCTTCATGCGATGCCATGTTCCAATTGTAAGAGTGACTGCACTGAGGTGGACTTGGCCTTGTGATGATGATGAAGAAGAAGAAGAAGGGGATAATGATGAAGAAGAAGATGAAGATGATGATGCAGTTGGGGTTGTTGTTGTTGATGATGATGTGGTGGTAGTGGTAGTAGGAGGAGTAGTAGCTGTTGATGACAATGATGATGATGGTGATGTTGGGGATAGTGGTGATGCGGAAGAAGAGGATTGAGATGTGGGAGAGGGCATGATCAAATTAGAGGGATCAATTGTGGATAGAGTTTCTGCAGACAATAGACAATCGTCTGAGATGGATTGTGAGGAAGGAAGAGATTCTATAGAATAGCAGGAGATCATAGATTAGATAGTGAATATATTTAGAAATTAAACAAGCTTGCTTACCAGTCGAGAGGGACCAGAGGTCAAGGCCGGCCCCAAAAGAAAGCTCGGGGGACAGGGAGAGAGATGGTGTGTAGGGTTGCTGGAGAACGGCAAGCATTGCGGTTGGACCTGCATCTGGAACGGCAACGAGGGTTGGCATGCTTGTGTTTGGACTGGCTGAGGGAGAGAGCTGGCCATGGAGGAACTCTGGAAAATCAACAAGGGGTGTTGGGTAGTCCGAGGACTTGTCTTCGTAGTTGAATTGGTCCAAATACTGCTGTGGTGGCATGCTCTGACGATACATTGGGCTATCGTAAACACTAGATTGTGGCCAGATTGATGCTGACGAGAGCTGGTTGAGCTGGGACTGTGCTTGTGATGCTGAAGAAGTAGAAGAAGTAGAAGAGGGAGGAGGAGGGGTGAGTGCGTTTTGGGAGGAAATGGAAGGGGTTGGGGTTGAGTAGGGGAAGTGGGCGACGGGAGAAGGTTGTCGGTTGAGACCAATGGCATCGACGCTGTGTGCACGCGAGATTGGCACACGTGAGTGAGGGTAGTAAGAGTAGTACTGTTGCTGCAGAGGCATGAGAGCAGACTGATGATTGATATGCTGTTGCTGTTGCTGCTGCTGTTGCTGGTGGTGCTGCATGTGTTGCTGTTGCTGGAGGTGATGTTGGTGCTGTTGTTGCTGGTGGTGGTGGTGGTGCTGATGCTGGTGATACAGTTGGGCACGGATCGACGCATGATGCATCTTCATCTGTGCACGCTTCTGGATGTGCTTTACTTTTGCTCTTCTGTTCTGGAACCAGATCTGGATTGAGCGCTCACTCATCTGGAGCTGTTCTGCAAGCTGTTTTCGGAGCTTGCTGTTCGGGCTCACGTTTACAGCAAAGGTATCTTCGAGGACTGCGAGTTGGTCTGCGGTGGCCCGAGTCCGCTTCCGGACAGAGGGAGCTGAATCGCCAGACTGATCCATGCCATCTTCTGTGAGGATATCTTGGGATGCAGAATCTGTGAGGTCTGGGGTGGGTGTAGCTGGGTCTGTGACTGTGGATGAAGGTGTAGCTGTAGCCGTAGCTGTAACTGTAGCTGTTGCTGCAACAGGCCATTGAGAATCGGAAAAGGTGGTGGACATTATGTTTAATGAATTGAATTGAATTGAATTGAAGGAGAGAAGATAGAAGAAGATCTTTATGATTTATAAGGATATAAATATATAAAGGGCGAGGTAGAAAAGAAATGGAGGAGAGGAAGTAGAGGGAATGAAGAAAGGAAAGAAGAGGAAGAAAGAGAGAGCGAAAAAAAAGGAACGAGATTTGGAGGGTAAAATAGGTGGAAAATAATGAGAAAAGGTTTAGACCGGTTTAGCTTCCAAACAAAGGCGAACACAGACACAGACACAGACACAGAAACAGGCAGACAGGCAGACAGAAAAGACAAGACAAGACAATACAATACAATACAAGGCAGACATTTACATTCATACTCACTCACTCACACACACCCTCACACAGACACAGACACACTGACTGACTGAGTGAGTGAGTGAGTGAGTGTGAGAGAGAAGCATAAAAGCACAAAAAAAAATGAATAGAGTAACACAGTGTATTTTTTTTTTTCAAAACCAAAAAAAAAAAACTAAGGTTTTCCCTTTGGTTTCTGTGCGCCTCTCTCGTGTCTGTCCGTGCCTTGGTGGGCCTTTAATGATCGTATCAAAAATACCAATCTTTGTTTGAATTTGGAAGTAACAATCAAATGTGGTTTGGGAGGGAAAAAAGAAAAAAAATAGGTTTGTAGTCTGGTGACCTATCTGTCCCTTTTCTTTTCAAAGCACGCCTTGCGAAAGACACGTTTTTTAGTCTTTCTGGAGACAAACAGACTTATTTTTGTCTTTTTTTTTTGTCTTTTGTATGTTGATTAAAGAAGTAGGGGAAGAAAGGGGAAGAAGAGGAGTAGGTAAAGAAGTATGAAAGTAACTCAAAGAAGTACAACAATTTGTATGTGTATATCTACAAGCAATAAAGTAAAATAAAAAAGTAATTTATCCTCAATGTCAGATTAATATATCGTACTGTACTGTACTGTACTGTACTGTACTTTACTGTATTGTATTATATTATTATTTTCTTTAAAAAAAAATGATAGCCATATTAATCGAACGAGTTCAGTCAAAAGGGAATATCACTGGCGGAACCAAAAATGCCGTTGTTACTACCCTATTTGATACACAAGTCAGCCAACAAAAATAATAATAATAATACTAGTAATATTCTTATTATTTATATATATATATATATATATGTGTGTGTGTGTGTATCTATGTATGTATAAAAATAAAAATAAAAATAAAAATATAAAGCCTACTTAACCCACCCTTTCACACGCGCTTCCTGAGAGAGTCACAGGCACACAAGGGCACTTTGAAAGGTAAACCAGCACGTTCAATTGCCTGCTTTGAAACTCCCTATTTACCCACCATGTCCCCGATTCAGGAACTTGTAAAGAAACACACACACACACACAAAAGAATATTACTTGAAACAGATTACCAGCAAAGTCCTGTATTGGTTGAGCTGGTTTGAAAATAATAATAATTATGAAATAAAGCAAACAAGTTCTCATTTGAGGATTCTTGGTCAAAGGGAACAAGTATAAGTATAAGAATGCACTTTGTACTTGTACTTGTAAAAGATGCCACGGCCACGTTTTGGGTAATAGAATGTATTTCTCCTTCCAGAGGGATTTGCATATGCTTATAAACTAACTGACTAGACCGACTGGCCGACTGGCTGACTGGCTGACTTGACTTGATCCTAGTCGAATTATAAACTACCAACTAAAATAAAGAAAAAAAAATTAAGTCTCATATTCCACCCCCCCCCCTCTCTCTCTCTCTCTCTCTATGATATACCTATATATAATTGATCATTATGCAAACAGATAATAGCTTGGTCAAGATTTTTTTGCTGGTAGGTTTCTGTTATCTATATGTGTGCCTTTTTGATCTTTTTCTTACTATTATCATTATTATCATTTATGGCTCTTTGAACTGGGTGCGGCATCGTTTCTCCAGTGTTCCACTATCCTGACTTTGAACAATTGAGCAAGGTAGCACATTCCTTCTCTGTGGGGGACAATCTCTCTACTTCTATTTTATTTATTTGCTCCTTCTGTATTGTACTCTTATTATTATTATTATTATTATCATTATTTCTTTACTGTTGTTTCTAGCACGACCCAAAAACGGATCACAATGTCCGGTAGGATCAGACCAGATGCTTTGTGGTACACAATGTGTTCCTGTTGATAATCCCTCTCAGACAATGAGGCACTTGTAATTTCTGCCTTAATAATACTAATATTAACAACACAGGAAAATCATTACAAATTTGTATACAAAATAAAATAAAAGACAAGGCAAGACAAGGACAGATCTGTAACCAAGTTTTTTTTGTGTTTTTTTTTTACAAGCTTACATACAATATACCCTTCTTCTTTCATTCATATATATTTTTTTTTAATATTTTTGAAACAATACAATAAAATACAATATATATATATGGTCATAAAAATAAAAGCAAAATAAAAATAAAAAATTAAAAGGCTAAAACCTTAGATGAACCATTCCCAAGCCCGATCCTTAACGATCCACAGCAAGGATCTGATCTTTTTAATCCATTCTTTCCAAAGAGTTTCAAATCCACTATCCTGCCACGCAATCATTTGCCAGCCGCCGCCATATCTCTTTGTCCTTTTGGTTGCTTCTGGGCTGCTCAAGCTACACATCAAATCATTCGCCTCTTCATCTCCTTTAGTATCTTCATCGTCTTCTTTAATCTCTTGCTCTTCAATCTCTTGCTGTTTATTGTTCTTGCTGTTCTGCTGACTTGATGCGTCATTCCTTTCTTGTTTTGGTTGGATGTGTTGGGGTTGACAGGCTTCAAGAGTCAGGCGCTGGACGGACTGATCGGGGCTCATCACACCAGCGATCCACACAGATGCAAGAAAGTCAGTTGGACTGTGGAACAAACACGGCGAGGGTACGGACGCAGTATAGAGACCAGTGCTGGTATTAAGTTTCATAGGCCAATCTCCATAGCTTGTCTGATTATCGATTCCTGTCAGACGCACCCATAAACTGCTGGGCTGTGTAGCCGTCGCCTTGTCTGAAGATCGCTCTCTGCTCGACTCACCACCAACAGAAACAGAAAAAAGGTACCGCAGCGAATTGGAGTCGGGCGCATTTGAGACGGGAAGAAGCTCAGCTGAGGGAATCTCCGTAAGACGACAAAAGAAAGAAGTGTACAAGATGATAGCCAGTGTAATTCCGAGGACGATCCCAGCCAAAAGATAGGTCACACACCGTGATAGACAACCGATTTGACCACCGGAAACAGTAGCAGCAACAGCAGCAGTATCATTAATAATAGTAGCGGTAGTATCAAAAAGATCAGACATATCAGAAAAGGCACCAGTAGCAGCAGCAACATCACAACCATCACAACCACTGCCACCATAACCATAGCCATAGCCATAGCTGTAACCGTAACTAACGCCGTTGCCGTTATTTCCGTTGCTGCTATTACTACTACTATTACTACTACTACTACTACTACTACCACCACCACCACCACCACCACCGTCGTCGTCATCATCACCATCACCATCGCCGTAACGACCATTTAGAGATGTGCGATTGAGTTTTTGTACGAGTGTGTGATGTAAATCTCTGAGACTTTCCTTCTGTAACGAGCTAAACTCATCCAAGCACATCAGGTCAGGACTCGGCAGTGGTGCCTGACTCGCAAATGTCGGTGCTTCTGGCTGTATGCCCGTCAAAGAAAGACATTCGATTCTATATGCATTGAGATACTGTCGTAGCTTGTGTCTCATACCAACCACAATTGTCCGGCTGGCAAAAGTATCCTTGTGTGCTTTTTTTAATCCAATTGGTGCATTATCACTACTACTACCACCAACAATATCACTATTACTATTACTATTACTATTACTATTACTATTACTATTACTATTACTATTACTATTACCACTACTAGTAATAATATCATTATCATTATCATCATTATCATTATCATCATTATCATCATCATCATCATTTGACCGGATTAGGGAAAGAATTGGGATACGATGATCCTGAACAAGTCCCAGAATTTTGAGATCGCCCTCGGTTTGTTCACGGCTGAGGTCTGACAAAGATCCATAAAGATAGACTGCAAAGTCAATACCCCGGTGTGTTTGGTAAATCTCTTTGGCCGTTAGTGCCGAGTGTGACTTTAGATATCTTTTGGCACGCTGATGAACATCTGGGGGGCTAAAGACATCGATATCCATGTCATGGTAGTAGTGGTTCCGTAGAGAGTCAATCGGTTTAAACCAGGTCATGTCGACCTCAATGAGATGGATTCCACTATCTGGACAGTATGACTGGCGACCATGGTCATCCAAGTGAGTCAAGGCTTGATAGAGAAATTCACGCGAAAGAGGCGAGCTGTTCTTTGTTATTGTCCTTGTCTTTGTTTTTGTTTTTATTTTCTGACTGGTGCGATAGGATTCTACTAGCATTTGACATAGTTTACTGCGCAAGATGTGCTTGTCCTTGGCCGTCATATTGCCGAGGAACATGACCCTGAATTCGACTGGGTTTCCGGGTAGTGGCCTTTGATACACAACATTCGTTTTGGGTTGATTGCGAAAAAAATCTGTGTTTTGAGCCATCTCAAGTGCATTTCCTATTGCCGAGTCTTCTCTTTCGACTAGATCATATTCTTCGCTCTCGTCATTTTCTACAGGTTCTAGTAAGGTAGCTAGAAAATAATAATGATAGTATTATTGATAAATGATCAATGTTTGTTAATCACCAATTTGCGTGCATATACACTAATACATATATATATTATTATTATTATTATTATTATTACTAATAATAATAATTATAATTATAGCAGTAGTATATTTGGGACATTGCCTCTTTCCATTGGGTCTGCTAAAGGTGGTAAGCTAGAGTTTGAGTCGGCTAAAAGAAAAAGAAGAAGAAAAAGAAAGGTAAAATGTATATACAAAGAACAAAATAAAAGAAAGCCAAGATTGATAGAGATGTGTTTTGAGAGTGTGGAAAGAAAGGGTAGGTTGGTCGATAGGTCGGTAATAAGACGAAGATAAAGAGATAGAGAGAATAGGAGAATGCCAGTGTACTTGAGTCACACTAGAGAAAGGCCAGCGTATCTCCTTTGGGACTTACTCATCTCGAATGGTGGTGATTCTGAATGGCAGCAAGCAATCCTCACAAGTACAATGTACAATCGTGTACGTATACAAGTAGGTAGGTAGGTAGGTATATGTGTGAGTGAACAAGTGTGTCTGTGTGTATAGTGTGTATAGTGTTTGTAGTGCGTCTGTGCCTGTGCCTGTGTTTGTGCCTGTGTTTGTGTTTGTGTGTTGTGTTAGAGAGAGAGAAAGAGAGAAAATAATAATGCACGGACGCACAAGGAAAGGTAAAGGGTGCTTTTCTGTGCCTAAAGACTTGATGAAACTTTTTTTAAAAAAAAATTGCTTCTTTACAGGCTTTGTTTCTGTTTCTACCGTTGTTGCTGTTATAGTTTTTGCTTTTTTTTTTGCTTTATTCAACTTTGGAGCAAGATAGATAGATAGATAGATAGATAGATAGGTAAACGAAAAGAAGAAGGAGGGAAATAAAGAAAGATAGAAAGAAAGAAAGAAAAAGGTTAAAAAATCAGGATGAAAACCAGCAGACAAATCATGGTTTTGATCATGCGATTCATTTCATTTTTATATATATAAAGTGAAAATAGTAGTAATAATAGTGATAATAATCATAATAAGGATAATTTTTTGTCTTTAAAAAGAAGGGGAGGTGAAATAGGAAGGAAGTAAGGAAGGAAGTGTATATATGAATGTTTGTATGTGCATGTGTGTGGGTGTGGGTGTGAGGGTGTGTAATAATTTATCTATAATTCCGTAGATGCATCATAGCATATTCTGAAGGGATTGGAGGAAGTTTGGTAGTTGGAGGAGGAGGTTGAGGAGGCAAGATAATTGGTAATCTGGTTCGACCTGGTGAATGTGACCATGACGAGTATGATGAATGACTGGAGTGGACATCCCATGACGAGTTTTTTTCATCTGATACTGGAGTCAATGGCGGTGTACTTGCAAGGTAATGGCTTGTGGATGTTGTTGGGGTCGACATTGACATTGACATTGATTCTGTGGATCGCTGCCCATAGTTTTCTTCAATGTTAATACTTGCCATGATATTTGGATTTAATGTTCCAGTTGGATTTGTTCGTAGCCAGAACAGGGTTTTTTTTAGTCGCTCAAGCCAAAGCATTAATGTGGGTCCATCGGGTGCCTGTATGAACCAGCTGTATGATTCTCCGTTCATCTTGCGGATTTCTATGCAGTGGGGTACTCCTGCGAATTGATCTGTCACGAACACATGGGTCAATCTGGTCAACTCTAGGAACTCTTTGTAGTGATCTGTCTGATGGTCGGTCTTGAAGGTGTACAGATATCTGTCGGCCAATATTACATAGCGGGGCTTCTTGTGGGAAGTGAAGGAAAAAGACGGCGGTTGGTGTTTGATTATCCAGCCACGCATGGTTGCATTTCCCCACACAATTGCATCATTAATGAGTGGTCCACAGGGAGCGTATTCACAAGGATCCTCTTGGCCTCTGTCTGAAGATTCGCCATAAAAGCTGTGCATTTGTATTTCTTTCTTGGTTATGTCTTAATAATTATTAATATATTAATATATATATATACAAACTATATATATATCTTGAATCAAATGTAAGCTTTTGATAAGAACGTGTATGTATTAAAGAAAATGAAAATATTAGAAGGAGCCTGCCCACTATATAAGATAAATAAATAAATAAATAAATAAATGAAGAAAAAGAAAGCAAAGAAGAACAACAGGCAGAAAGATACACTATACAAAAGGAAAGAAGGAAGTAAAGAACAAAGGAAGTTAGGAAGTTAAAGGAAGAAAATAAATAAAAAGGAAAAAGAAAGAAGTATATCTGGATCTCAATTCTCGGTAGACAAAAGAGAGACTGATTATACTTTAAAGACTGTAATAGCCGGGGGGTGCAAGGGAAAACTCAAGGGTTTTCTAGAGCTTCCCACACTGACTCTTTTGGCAGACCCCGCCAAATCAAATCAAATAAATAAATTAAACTTTTTTTTATATATGAATATTATTACTTAATGTATAATCAGATAAAAATTTACCTTTATATATTAAGAAATTGATGTAGTGTCCTGTGTATGATAGATATATATATATATATATATATTATACTGAACACTGAACACTGAACACTGTACTTTACAAAAACAGACTGATTTCAATTAACTCTGAAATATTAACTGATAATATATATATATATATATATATATAAAGGTACAAAGCATAGGCCATGGTAGTGTAATAAATATAAAGGAAGAGCGACTGAAACTCCCACCAGCACAAGATCAGGCTCATCTGTCAAGTCACTCAAGTGTAACTACTTCTTTTTTTTAACACAAAAAGAGAGTCTCCACATAAATTGGCATTCTTGTATGCCTACAAGGCTGGAAATTTACTCTAATAAACTAACCTGTTTCAGAATACACTATTTTTGATCTCTTGCTTACCCTTACCATAGTACACACACACACAGACGCATGTATGTGCACACAAAGAGAAATAGTGAGAGGGAGAAAGAGGGAGGAAAAGGGAGGAAAAGGGACGAGTTATTGTTCAAAAAGACATCGATATTCTCTTATATTCCTTACTTATCTGTTTATCTATATTAAATATATATATATATATATATATATATATATAAAATGAACAAAGTGACAATGATTTTGATTTTGATCAGCTTCTTAAGAAATCAAGGCAAAACGGCAAATTTGCTCAAAAACAGTAATAAGAACAAGAACCAAAAAAATAAATAATAGTCTGGTGTTGTAACAATAATCAATACACACACACGCAAGTAAACGTATAGCCAAGTCCTTTCCTTCCTTGTCAATTGAACAAATATTTCCCCCTCTTTATATTGTGACACTACAAGAACACAATACAGCCCGATTTGAGTCAATTTAAATTTTACAGCCCTTTTCATGTCTTTTCTTTCTTTCTTTCTTTTATATTCTTTCTTATTACCATTCTCTGTCTGCCCGTCTCATTTTTCTTTTCTTTTATGGTGTGTAGCTGTGGGGATATTTATATATTTATATTCCCAATAAAAAGTTTCTTTTGGGGAAATATAAAGCAAAAATGTCATTGTTCACTATTGTAGTATTCCAATCCCTTTCTGATATTCAAAAGATAAGCATTTCGCTCATATTCATATTCATATTTGAAAAAAAAAAGAATCTCAAAATATCATATGCATACATGAATGTCTATATAAATGCTACAATATACTGCTGCTGTTCTTTTTTTTTTAAAAAAAAAAAGGCTAATTTTTCACTAGACGTATTACTTTTTTTAAAAAAAAGTAGTTGATATTCATTGCATAAAGTAAAGTAATGTAAAGTAGTGTGAAGTAGTGTAAAGCGTATTTTGTTAAAGTGGGTAATTTTTTTTGCGCCACATTAACGTGGCTCAAATCACAAGATTATTATTATTTTTTTCTTTTTATCCCCCACATTACAGACGGGGCACTTTGATTGTCTGGTTGACATTGACCTTTTTAGAGGCTGCTGGGAAAATACAAAATTACTAGTGTTACACCTGAACACAAAATATAATACCAGAGAGTATGACACATTTGACAGTGTAACAAAAACTTGGGTGTTGATCTCAGTTATAAAAGAGAAATGAAGAATTGAAATTGAAATTGAAAGGATCAAGTTACCAGGAAGGAGTAGATAAAGAAGAACAGCAAATTTAAAACATATTTAATATTTAATATCCTTAGTAGTATGCTTACTACTGATACTATTGGTAGTGATAATATTTTAGAATACTTCTCTTCGAATAGTATTTAATATACTAATGTCCTTAGTTATCTTGAGGATCTACATGATATATGTACTCTTGGAATCATTTGTGCTTTTGCTTGTATGTGGGTATTTTGATCCCAAGAATCTTTATTTATTTTTACCGTTTTTCCCTTGGAGATGGGATCTCTTTATTTATATATCATATATCTAAAAAGAAATAAAGCTCTAACTTTACCTTACCTTACCTAACCTAACCTAACCCAACCTGGTGGTTCTACCCATCATTACAAGTCTTCCCATTCAACTTGAGAACATTCTAGACAACAAGACATTGTCCTTTAATTATTATCTGAAAATAGTACACACACACATCTATATATACAATGACATCCCATGGCAACAGAATAAGAAAAAGAAGTATCAGCAAAAAGTAAAGGCAAAAGCAAAGAAACAAAAGTAGAATTAGTGATGATACTATTAAAAATAGATTATAGGTAACAACCAACTTCTTTACACAACTAAGAAGCAATTTCATCAAGACCACAAAATAAAATCCCTTGTCTCTCACACATGGGCTACAATGTATTCATTCATTCATTCACTCGTTTATGCTTGCATACATTTAGCAGTCATTTATTTCTTTTTTTTCTAAAAAAAAAAAGGCATTGTAAATATGAAGATTTTTCCAGATCTTCCCCCCTCCTTTATATAAATGTCTATATATATTATGATAATCAGTTCTTAATCAGGATTGTATTTCAAAGTTCTAGGCAGCTTACATTTACAGCATATACTAATCGCGATAAAATATACACATTCAAAAGAGAAAACCGGTATTATTAGATACTGTTTTTCAACTGGAATCTCACATCTAACCCCTTTTATTCTTCCTCTTCTTTCTCCTCCTCTTCTTCCTCTTCTATTACTTCTACTGTCTCTTCTTAATTTAAATTTGTTGATGCCTTTTTTTACTTGCAATACATCGTCTAATAAGGTTTCTGATGCTTGGTTTGATGTTGACATCATTATTGAAAAGTTACTTCAAGGTGGGATAAGTCCGGATGGGGAACACAAGACACAATTTTTTTTGTACCATCATGGCTTAACAACATCCATTTATATATTTATCTGCCTATCTATCCATCTATCCATCTATCCATCTATCTATTTAATCATTTATATTGGTAAATTAATATCGATAAATTGTAGCACATGGATATCAAAAGCAAAAGACACACTGTCTGTGTGAAGGGGAAATCGAGTACTTGTGTAGGACAGCACAGACTGTCTTCTTAAACCAACCCATGTTGCTCGAAGTAGCCAGCCCAGTGAAAATATGTGGCGATTTCCATGGGCAATACCCGGATCTTATCAGAGTATTCGACACTTGCCTTTACCCACCAGATTCGAGCTATCTGTTCCTGGGTGATTATGTCGATAGAGGCAAACAGTCCATCGAGACAATCTGTCTGCTGCTAGCATTTAAGATAAAGTATCCCGATACATTCAATCTTTTGAGGGGAAATCATGAGACCTCTAGTATCTCGCGTGTATATGGTTTCTATGACGAATGTAATGATAACCATAATATGTAGCAAGATCAATTTTGATTTTCTTTCCTTTCTTTCTTTATTTATTTGAGCAAATACAAATAATTAGATTTGAGATTTAGGTAAACGAATGTTTAATGTCAAATTATGGAAGACATTTGTCAACTGCTTTGATTGTATGCCTGTCGCTGCCCTTATTGATAGTAGAATTTTATGTATGCACGGTGGTATTTCAGCAGATATCATCAACCTTGACCAGATTAGGGCTATCCAACGACCCGTAGATATTCCTGATTCTGGTAAGCCAAGCTGTACACACACAAAAGTATAATAAAAATAAGAAAGAAAGAAATACTTATTCTAGCCTCTGTGTGAATATACGAATCTATTTCTGTTTGTTTGGAAATGCACGTTAATCAACTGTTGCCAATAATAGGTATTCTTTGTGATCTCCTCTGGGCCGATCCCAGTAATGAACACACAGGATGGCAAGAGAGTCCAAGAGGTGTATCATACACATTTGGACCCGATGCTCTGTCGAAATTCTTAGAAAGACTTGGACTCCAACTAGTCTGCAGAGCTCATCAGGTTGTCGAGGACGGTTATGAGTTCTTTGACGACAGGAGGCTGGTCACGATCTTTTCAGCCACCAATTACTGTGGTGAATTCGACAACGCCGGCTGTGTGTTGAAAATAGATCGGTCCTTGACCTGTTCGTTTGAGGTAATTTTATCAAGCTTTAAATGGAAAGATGATGCTTGGATGTATAGTATAGTATAGTATAGTATAATATATTATTATGATTTTTTTAAGGATCTTCTTATCATTTGATTTTTATCATAGATCTTCAAGCCAACAAATCGCAAACCTACCAGTTATGTGTATGCCGATGATCCTAATAGGAAAGCCAAACTACTTGCCTTAGACAATTGACTAATGAAATTTGGACCACAAACACGAAAGACCATAAAGATCAAATCTATATTATTCAACTGGCTATCTACAAATCTATCAATTAAATATAAACTATTTCTATTAATATTTCTTAAAAGTCAAAAGCAAAACACAAACACATATATTGTAATATCTTGAACAATAGATCTTTGCCTTTAATCTATATCTATATCTAAATTTTCTACTTTTATTTTTAAAGAAAAATAACCGCTCTTTCTTAATGCTACTAATAGTAATAATCATAATCATAATCTCACAATCTTTTTTTATTTATATATATACATCTTTAATTCACTCACATTTCCCTACTTGGTTTGTGCTTTAGGTTTATAATAAGGTACAATTCTTTTACCGCAAGATATATATATATATATATGAATCTTATTGTACAATAATAATAATAATAATAATAATAATAATAATAGTAATAGTAATAAAAAGAGCTACACGACCATTTTTGTACAATCTAGGTGCACAGATATTCCGTATACTATTAGTATTTTGATGGTACTAGCAACTGATAGAGCAATAAATTTAGTACCTCTTCTATACAATCAAATTATTCGCGTCAACAAAACAAATAAACTAGAAGAAGAATAAAGGAGCAGTTACAATTACAAGAAATATAAGAAAAGTATATATGTAGGACATTTTTGCCCTGAAATAAATAATACCAGCTACTGACAATAAACCAACGCCGAGCAAATGGTAGAAAACGATTGAGAAAGATAACAAATCAGGGCTATTTCTCCCCATCTGCTTCCCTTCCTTTCCCTTCCCTTCCCTTCCTTTTCTTTCCCTTTTCTTTCCCTCTTCCTTCCACTCTGTGCCGCACAAACTCTGAACTTTAAAGTACCGTTTTCGGATACCCTTTTTTTTCTTTCTTTAATTCATTCAGAAAAGTTTCTCATATCTGGGGAGGCTTTGCTACACACACACACACACAATCAATAAACTTTTCCGTGGCGTCGCGTGGTAAATCTCATGGTTTATATTGTTAGAGCATTTCCTCCTCATGCACACTTGAGCACATGCATGCACGTGCATGCACAAACACTTGTATACATGTATATATCTTTGTTTCATGGCCTTTTTGATGTTTTAATAGGTGTTTATTGATTTTTGATATTTTGATCAGTTTTTATTTAATTTCATTTTTGATATAATACCACATTGCTATGAATTAGTAACAAAAGAAAATAAAAGAAAATAAGATTAAGGAAGAAATACGCTTATTTGTTGCTGACAACACCATCGAACTATAAAACAAATATATAAAAAGCAAGACAATTCAATTATTAGCAAACAGAGAAAAAAAAATAAAACCACTATGATTTCTTTATGCTCACAGCCCCAATCCATTCCAATAGCATAAAAATATCTATATTTATGCATCAACTTACGCGGGTCTTGAACCATTCAACAGACTCCTCCTTCTTGATACGGTGGGTGGCACCAACCTTGGACTTGCAGTGCTTGCGACGAGCGACACGGTTACCGGGACGGCCCATGACGATGTAGTAGTCCATACCGTAAATACCAATGGAAGGATCGTACTTGATACCCAAGTCGATGTGCTCATCAATACCGAAACCGAAGTTACCGGTCTCAGAGAAGTTACGGGCACGGAGCTCGTACTCCTTAACCTTAAGACCACGCTCGAGGATCTCCTCGGCCTTGGGGCCACGGACGGTGACGTGAACGGAGATCTTTTCGTTACGACGGATACCAAAGGTACGGACGGTGTAACGGGCCTTGGAGTAGACGGGAGTCTGACCGGTCAACTGTTCGAGAACCTTGGCAGCACGGGTAAGTCTATCACCAGACTCACCAACGCAAATGTTGAGAACAAGCTTCTCGATGTGGAGAGCCTTCATCTTGTTAACGGCAACGGTCTTTTGTTCGGCACTCTAATGACAACCAGAAATTAGATCCGAATCGAAAATAATGATAATAATTCAAGTCAATGGACAAAAAAGAATTTATATGTATATATAAAAAGATCGAGAGAAATTCTAATGCGTTTATTTAAAAACAAATGATGGATGGTGTAATTGCGTATAAACATAGATCTAGGTGTAGACGTGTTTGTGTATGGGTCTGCATCTGCATCTGTAGGTATGCAGTGTGTGTATGCATCTGTGTCTGCGTCTAAGTCCAAGTGAGTGTCGGAGTGTATAGATGCCGATGTCAATGTCGATGTCGATATTGATGTATTTGCAGTTGTAGGTATAAGTGTAGACAGGTTTGATGGTTGAATGGTTGTAAAATTGTAAAGTTGAATGACATGTCGTTCTTTGGGGCGGTCGAAATGTGCACCCGCGAGGTGGTGTGGTGGTGAGTGAGGTGTGTGCGGTCCGAGGTGGCTTCAATAGGGTCAACGAAATTGGGCGCTTTGTGCGATCAACATATCCAATACATCCAATACATCCATCCATCCATCCATCCATCTGTAAACCTATAGAAGAAGAAAAAAAGGTGCTAGCGGACGTACCATGGTTATTGGTAGAACCTAGAGGTCAATTGGTAGGGTGGGGAAAAAGGAAGGCTCGCTGGGTTTGCCGGAAGGTGAGGATGGTATATGCCTTGTTCCCCCCCGTCTTGCCCACACTTGGGCCAAGCCACAATTCAATGTCAGGACGACCCCTCTATCCCCCTTTATCCACTTTCTTTAATTCACACTTGTGCATATTTTTTTTCTTTACCAATAAACTTTTTGTTTGTTAATTTTTTCTTCTTCTTTATCTTATATTAGAAGCTTAGTATAATTTCATTTATAAAATCAACTATATATATTTACAGATCATTCAATGATTGATACAGTTTAATCCATATATATGTTAAAGAAGTCTATCAAAAAGACATATATATATATAGGTATGCTTATAAGCGCCAAGTATATGTATATAAGCCATATGTTTATTTACTTACTTATATATTTTGATTTTAAAGGAATAATGGTTATCGAAAAAAAAATGAGTGAAATGATCTACTCCAACTTTAATACTTGCATAGATAGAGAATACTCGTATCAAAATAGCCCTTTACGACTTACATCTAGTCTCGGCCGCAAAAACAAATAGTCACAAATACTCTATAAAAATGGCCAACAATTCCCTATTAAAATAGCCGTAATCAGTGGTTATATAATAATGATAGTAAACTATCGAAATGATGGTAAAGCTAAACAGAAGATTATATTATTTATTACACTTGCAGTACCTGCAACACAATTGTGTAGGATTACTATACTTATTATTACTCTTTTAGCCCTTGTAAAATGCTTTCTTTCTTTTCTCACATATTATATATATACTATCAGAAAAAGATATATGTAATTTCAGATATGGAAAGAACTTTAGAAGCATAAACTAAAACCAGAAAGAGGACCAAGCATAGTCAACCCTCTCACTCGAACTATATTCCAGAGCACTAATTTTAGGAACACGACGTTTTGAATAGACACGACATTTTGAGAGTGGACCCGATATTTATGTATATATAAAAATTTAGGCTTACATTTATTTACTGGACATTTGAAGTGTGGCTGCTGGTCAAAGAATTTTATAATTATTACTGCTCTCTAAAAATCCATACTATTCTTTTCTTTCATATTCAAAATCTCTTCTATAGGGGTATTCAACAGTCTAAAATACCTAAAGCTATAAAGCTCTGAGTTTAAATTTCAAAACTAATTGGCTGAAATTAATCTTCAGGTATTAAAAAAATCAAGAAAATTAAAAATTAAAAAATTAAAATCAGGGTACTCGTGAACTCTCAATAATTTTCACATACTATTGGATGATTATTTAAGCTAAATTTACATTTAAAAATCCTATAAAAGACTGTTGAACTCCTCTATTGTCTGACTCAAATTTTGTTTCTTGTGCGTGTAACATCATATTCTTTTCAAGCAATGATTAACCACCTATTCTTTTTATTTTTGTGGAATCGCTTCACTTAACACATATTTTTTATTTTCTTTGATTTTTATGTCATTGCGGATTCAAAGTACAATTATAGGTCTTTCCTCAGGTACAATTCGTCTCATTCTGGAAAGTGCAACCTTACACGAATAATAAAGTATTTGTTAGAAATAAATATACATAAATGTACATATGTAATGTACAAGTGCATCCCGGACTTCGGGTGAGAAGTCACGTTAAGCCTCATGGTCCGCGGTTCCCTTTACCCAGGCTTCTTTTTTTTTTTAAAAAAAAAAATACACTCTCCTACCCCTACAAAGTTTGTATTTATTTCGTGAATTCCTTACTGTTGGTACTTGTAAAGGAAATATCTGTTATTTATACCCAAATTATAAGCAATTATATATTTTTTATGGGGTGTAAGATTGTATAACTTGATATCTGAGAAGTTTAACAAAACATTTGGTTTGGTTGATAGTATCAATTGACGATTTATGATCTGACATTTCGTCAATATTTTTTTAAAAAAAAAAAAAGAATAAAAATATAGAGTTGGTATATCAACCGCCGAGATATCCTGAATTTTAAATTGTACCATTCAATCAAAAGAAAACGTATGTTATTTTGCCTAATCTTGACGTAAATATTCCTTTTGGAGAGCATTGGATAATATCACCACATTTGGTAAAAAAAGAAAGAGAAGAAGAAGAGTGAGGGAAAATATTCATATTATGCTAATAATTCATTCATTGCTTAGAGATAAATGTATATAAAATAAGAAAAAGGCGTATAATGATCTTTTTTGCTGAAAGAATTATACTTTAGATCAAGCAATTGTATGTTTGATCTGATAACAATATGGTTTTATACTCAGCTTTATTTTTTGTTGAGATGGAAAGGAAGAGAAAAAGAGTAAAAGGTGACTTAAAGGAGAATATAGAAAGGCATTTGAAAGGAAGAAATAAAGAAGGAATGAAACAAGATAGAGAGAGAGAGATTGTGGGTTTGTTTGCTTAGTCTGACTTTTTGGATCGAACTAGAAGCGTATATGTGTAGACACACACACACCATGAGAAACAAATATCAGTCAATTTTTGGGTACTTTAAACTTACCATCATTACGAATAGGTATCTTGAGACCTTGCTTGGCGAACACCTTTGAAAGCTCAGTAGATTCTACAGACACATGAAGTTGTTTATTTTGTTTTAATTAAAAGAAAGTCCCAACAATATCTTGCCCGTTCTACCCTTTTATCTCTTTTTTTACTTTCTCTCTTTGCCCTTCTCTACTACATTGCACCTTATCTTTGTTATTATCATTAGTATTATTACCTGTCATTCCGGGAAACTGGTGAGGGTACACAGAAAAAAAACAAAAAGACATTGTTAATAAACAAAAAATGGATAATTTAATATTCGTTTGTTTCAAATTTTACCTTTTTGGCCGAATAGACAGTAAATGGGTCTGAGAATATTTGAGCAATAATGGACGAAGTGGCGTCTTCTTGGAAGTCAGAACTATTTGCAATACATGACAGTATAATCATGAGTATCAAAATATAGAATAAACCACAGTGACTGATTCTTAATATTTATATCTACCTGACTAGTTTCATAAGACTGAAACGAAGGGTGTAACGTCCTTCTGTACGGATGCTAAGATCAGGGAATGCGAAATAAAGGCCTTGCTCGCCTTCTGTGTTCTTGAGTAGGCTCGGTGAACTTACAAGCGAGCCCATAAGGACACGAGTGCATTTAGGAGGATTGGAAATAATGTTCCGCTCTTCTTTGCGGTCATCTGACCAAAGGGTTACATGCAATACAAAAAATGGAATTTGAAGTGTCCTACCAAAGCAAGACGTCGTATTTAGTAAGGGCCGCCAAGAGTGGTGTGATGAATTGTTAGACATTTGATATCTTGATCAATCTTACTGGATATCAAGCATAGCTCCTTCTTGGCCCTTTTGTCTCACAACCAATTGTACAATAGGTGGTGGATCTATTGGTCTTCTATCCTTTTCTCCAAAGCCACACATTCGTGCGTGAAGAGGTTGTTGAGATACGATGAGTTCGTAGGTTCTGATAATAAAACCAAGGTATTAAGTAAATAAACAAATATATATACATAAAAGCTCATGTATGTATGTGTTGTGTGTGCATTTGGTTATACAACCAATGATCTAACCTCATCTCACGCTCATCGTAGCCAATAGATCCACATCGAGTAGATTCGAGTGGTCTTTCTTTTTGTTCAGGTATTTGTTGTGTTGGCAAAGTGTCATGGCGAGTGGAAGGGTCTGACATGACAGGCTCTGCAGGATAAGATTCATAAAAGGGGTGAGGATTAATTGGAGGGAATCGGGAATCCTCATAGCGGGTGCGAGGAGAGGCTGTCTCGTAATGAGGTGAAGGTGCTTTGTAGTGTGTATGAGACATGGAATACGCAAAATGGGTTTGAAAAATACCAAAGAAAAGGAAAACATGGGATTACATAAATTTAAACGGGTAAATGTTCAGACAGGCAACATCCTCCCTTTTGTTTCGCTTATTTATTTCTATTATTATTATTCTATTCTATTTCTATAAAGTGGTTTGAATAAGTAAATACAGCAAATGAAAATCAACGTCGTAGCCAATGGGAATAAATATCGTATATCTTTAAAAATAGATTTTCGCATTTTTTATATATGTATTCAAAAAACCATATTATAAAAACACACACAATATATATATATATACACATTTAAACAATAGTAAGTCGCATTTCTGAAAGCAAATACCTGATACACATATTCAAGATCTTTGAACTTCTTTAGATATACACACATTGAGTGCCCCTAGCTTACCTTCACAATTTTTCTTTACTTATAACAAAACAATATGTTATCAACAGACTGTATGTATGTGCGTATTTAATAGGTAGTACCTATGGATACGGGAATGTTATTTGACAAGAATTGTAGATCTATTCTCACCAAATCATCACATCATTAGTAACCAGAAGAAACTTGTTCTTGAAAGCATTTAGTTTTATAGTAATCTTTTCAGTAACGGTTAGAGAGAATAAAAAGAGATATACGTATGTGTATAAAAAAGAAACGCGCTCGTGAAATTCTCAAATTAGGCAAGCTTTAAACAGCACAAATGGCATCTTCGAGGGCGACAAAAGAAAAAATATAGGCAAATAATAGTCGTATTTTAGCCTAGTAACACAAAATAAATCATCATTTTAGTGGATTAGTGACAATACTGTCGGGATTGTAGAAACCTTGATTTGTTGATACTTTCACACGTAAAAATAAATAAATAAGCTTACAACTAGAATCTCACTTAATATAGCCGTGTTTGCGGTTTAGTTTTTGAGTCAAACACAACAAAGGCTACAAAGTTGACGATTATCATTACTTAACATTTAGCCAATTGAGAGCAGGAAATATATATACATATATATATTGAAGTCTAATATCGAATGAAACGTTATACTAAATTTCCTTAAAAAAGAAACTTTGGATGAAATAGATAAATGCTTAAAAATTAAAAATTAAAAAAGCCATTATCTCATCGCTGGTAATATTTGTGCACTCTTCCAAAAAATACACTACAGAATTTAAAGTCACTTATAAAGCATAAAGACGTGATTCAGGTATCTATATATCACTGGGTAATTCTTTTTCTCGGAGCTAATCAGATTAGAGAAATAAGCTATGTTACAAACAACAGAAAAATGTAGCTTGCTTTCACAGGGGTTAGAACCAATGTATTTTTTCTGGAATAATTAAAATTACATGTCCTTGTTTCTTATAACACTTTTTTTAAAAGGGGAATTTTCATAAAATAGTGTGTCTAATATTGAATGATATAAGTATCAAAATCCATGCAACCAAACAAGATACATTTATGCACATACCTTTTTTTTAGGCTTCATATTGCATGCCTATTCTTATTCTTATTCTTTGATTTCATTTGAATATCTCTATTTAATATAGAAAATATTTCCAGAAAATATGTATATCTAAGAGGTGAATCAGCAGCCTAATAGATAGGTATATCCTATAAATGACTATATTGATCAGTAACTGCTTTAGGAGAGCTGTTGGCAAGGGGATTTAAGAATTAATCTAAGATAACTTACAAATGACAATAGTTGCTTTCTACAATTTAACCAATGCATTGCCCCAATCTTTCTTTATTTATTAATATTATCTGTGTTTGAATATGTACATGCTAGGGAAACCAATCCAGAGCCAGTTTTTCTTTTTTATTCTTCTCTACATGTATAGAATCAAATTTGTTCACTTCGGCAACATCCCTGTAATATCCGTAGCTTCGTGTATTACATACATTCTATAGTAACATTTTATTTCAATGAGGCTTTCCTATTAGTCCTCGACCCCAGTTGAGAATCACCCGTGAACACTGTCCTCTAACGTGAGATGATCGCGGACTCTTCCACAGCCCAAGAGCATCTAATTGGCGGGCATGGTGAACGCATTGCTCCCAAAAATACTTTGCATACATCCTTGTCTCAATGACATGCTATACAGATAAATGTTTAGATACAGAAATAAAAATAATAACCAATCTCATTATCAGCAGCATCAGCATCAGCATCAGCAGAAACTTACGTTAACATGACCTATAGTTTCTGGTTCAGACACAGTTAATGCATATTCACTACCCATTCCATAAAACTCTCCGCCGGCTAGATAAATATCAAAAAAACATGCAGATCTCTGATCCATGAATCTCTCAGGGCACCTATGACATAGCATAAATTAGACTTACTTTCGCATACACATACACATACACATACTAACACGCTTGTAAACCTTACCATGGAACAGCTGTTTTGCTTTGTATAGCAATCGGAGAATAGCTCGGGTCATAGTGCTTAACAAGATAAATGCTGTCCGTGGTTTGCCATTGACGAAGATCGATGGGATCCACAGGTGTAATTTTATTTTTAGATATCTCTTCCAGAATCTCAAGTTTTGTCGCCGGAAGAGCTGGTGATGTAAACATGGGCAATACAAGCATGTGGCCATCATCAAGTAGTGCTTGGTAGCCAGTGTGGTTTGCCTTCCAGGTTGTCTGAAGGTGTGGGCTGGGTAAAACACCAATAGGCATGTCACACACATATCCAGTGCGGGCATACAACCTTGCCACGTTGCGTTCACCATTCCTTGGAATTAGCATAGCCGCAATTCCCGCCGCCTTCTCCGGGACCTCCAAAAGGTGGATGTCCACCTGTCCGAATAGATCCGGTCTTTTCCTGTGCTCCTCCACAATTGATGCCAGCTCACCACTTATACTTCGCTCTTCCTTAGATACCATCAAAGTAGCTGATATCGGACCTAGTTATTTTTTGTTTTGTTTTAGATGGCAGATTTAGAAAGGGGGTTTTCTTTTTATATGTATATACGATTTTGTATAGAAAATTAAATATAATACGTCCATAGCAATTGTCATTCTACTGATTCTTATTTATCTTAGTTTTTATATTCAATATTACCTGACCATCTTTCTGCTAGACGTCGAAAGGCAGGCCAGTCTGAAATTTTAAGACCAGTTGTAAGAGTAAGGTCAGTGTTGGGCGCCTGTCCTTTAAGCCAATATGGTTCTGTGTTACGAGTAGTTTCGTAATGGGATAGAGGTAGTAGTTTAGACATCCGAAGCCCGTGTGATAGTGTGTCAATCATCGAGTAATCCTGGGCTAGTATATGTATACAAAGAAAAAAAATTTTAACACAAAATATTATAGTTGCATATTGACATGATCCTTACCAGCATCGTATGTTCTGTGAGGTACAAGTACGCTTGCTGTAGACTGTGCACTAGGCTGCATATACCAAGCAGTAAGATGAGTTGCTGTCAGGCACAAGGAAAAGACAACGTAGCAACTCAATAAAAAACAAGAAAAAGGGTATCTTCCTACGAAGCCTTCACCAAGTTGCATATATTTATTTCTGAAAGACCGAGCTGTATTGATCCATTGCCGTCTTAATGCTGCTAATGAAGTAGTTGACTTTGTTGACAGAGGCTCATTTCCATGAGACAACATTGTTGATGAGAAAGAAACTGCCAGCACACACACACAAAAAAGAATACTTTTCGTAAATACAATTTACATGCGAGGAGTTGATTCTTTTCCTTACTCCTTATTGGTTCCAAGGGGCTTCTTTATAAACCCCCTTGGAGGGGCTGTAAAGGGTTGAAGGGGTTGGGGTTGGGGGTGGAGGGAGGTCGATTTGATTTCTTGACTTTTTTTTATATTAAGCTTGCAACACCAAACTGAACCTGTTTGTATTGTTCAAGTCACGTCATCTATGCATTAAATCAAGAAAAATCAAAACGCAGCGCAAGAGCAAAAACCACCCAAGCCAAGAAATAAAAAAAAATAGAGAAGAAACCAATGAACAAAGCATAAAAAAAAAGAACACGACACCTAGTGCAGAAGTAGCATGATTGACAGTGGCAAAGACAAGCCTAAACGACCTCTTTCTCTGTCCACAACCATGATGCGTGTATTTCGCTCCAAGGGCTGGGTGTTCCCTCTCTTGAGTGTCCTTGCTGTTATCTATTTCGTATTATTCTTCTCATCGTCACCCATTCCCGAAAATACAATACTTGAGACACCTCCTCCACCACATCCTCTCAGTCGGCTCACCCAAGAACGTAGAGCATTATTAGCATCAGTCCTCGCACACATTCGAATTGGTTACGTAGCCAACCGTACCCCTGATACTGACACTCCTCCCCTTGTGGTCATTTATCGATGCAAAGAAACTAAATGTGAATTTGCTTTGAATCTAAAGGCCATTAGCACAGCTTATTTGTTTGCAATGCTTCAAGAAGGAGCTGCAATGGGGTTCTTGATGGGTAACATTCCTTTGCAGTGGGAATGGTATTTTGAGCCTGTGCCACGGTATATGGCTCTTTCAACTCAACAAACATCCATGTACCGAGAGAGAGCCAATCCAGAGACTATTTACAGTATGGAAATTTCTACACAAGTATTGGCCAATACAGACTTTGCCAGTCAATTTCGATCCAAACAGGTTCGAATTCTAGAGGCAACACATTGGGGAAGGTGGACTGCTCTCAAGACCAGCCAGTGGATGAAGCCAATGCGGGGTAAATACCGGATCGACGAGTTGAGCGAATCAGAATGGTTTTGGGTGGCCAGTAGATTGTTATTCAACCCTACAGATTGGTTGCTTGAACAGCTCAAGCCATTTGAGATGCTTTTAGGCGGGCATTTGAGATGGTCAGATTCTTTGGCGCTCCATGATCCTACCAGCTACATCGCACCTTCTGTTTCTCGGTGGCTACGAATTGGATTGCGTGGAGATTCTATTCTCAAAAGTTGTCTTGTTCAACAAATAGAAAGTCTTTGTGGCAATATTCCAAAGAATATGTGCCATGTCTTTGTATCATCTTCCACTGCAGGCGATCTTCACGATCTTCTGAAGACTCTCAAGGCGTATGCAACTGTTTATGTTCTACCAGATGCATTCGGGTTCTCATCGAGTACCAATGGAGATCAGAGGATGCTTTATGTGCGTCCATTTCTGGAGTGGACTATCCTGTCTCGCATGGATAGGCTTTTAGGGCCACTTAATGATGAATTTTTCCAGAGCTCCGCATGGGCAGCTCAAGTTCACACAGATCTTGTTTCTGTTAATCACATGGGATGCCATTTCAAAGTATTGGAATCATGGTAATCCCCTGGATGACGTTCGTCAATCGATTTATCCCATTTTTTTTTACAAGCATACATACCCATAGAATAAACACATTATACCAAAAGGAACAAATGGAAACAAGGTATCAAATTAAGGTGCCCGTGGGGTTATATTTGGTATTGTCCTGCAGGGTTATAATCTACAGATATCTTTTCTTTCAATTATCAGACTGTCGGCTGCAGATAGATCACATTTATTTTGATTTTGCATACATCGAACTTGTCTAAATACATATAAGCAAGCAACATCTTTCCTCCTCTTTATTTTATTTTATTTTATTTTATTTTTCATTCTTTATACATCTTTACCTCTCCATCTCTTGTTCTTTATCTCTCTCTCTCTCTCTCTCTCTCTTTATCTTGTAAAAAATTAAAACTTAAAAATACAATGAATCAGTATCAATCCCAGCAACCTCCCGCTCCACCACAGGCATATTATGGGGCATCACAAGGAGGTAAATATATAAATATATTTATATATATAAGTAATTGACAACATCGCTGAGAAGAAGAAGAAACTGATATCTAAAATTCATCAATTAGGATATTATCAACCACCACCACCACCACCAACCACAGTCTACATACAACCCCCTCCACAGAAAGAGAATGGCGGCTGCATGGGATTTATCGTAGCTTGTATGGCATGCTGTGCTCTTGAGCAACTTTGTTGCTGTTGTGCCGGGGAGATTTGTGAAGCATGTTGCTGTTAAAATATCGAAATAAATTTTTTCTTTTCTTTACCAAAAAAAAAAAAAAAAAAGTAAATTATATATATATGTCATATTCACAAAATATATTTACGGAGATTAAATATGGAAGGAGGAAATATCCAGATATGGAAAATATTTTACAAGAACACTCTTCTTGGTATCACCTTCTATAAACAGACGATGGTAGAAAATCAACTGCCTTTTTTCGTTCATTTTCTATTCCACTACTTCTTCCTTCCTTCCTTTTACATCCTACTCCCATCTTCTGCCCTTGCGTCTCTTTCTTCTCCTCATAGACCGAAGAAAGATCGTATTGGACACAAATCCCCACATCAAGACTTAGACGACATAAAAAAAAACTTATTTTGCACATCCAGAGCACGCTTCATCTGTAAGTCATCTCGTGACGATGTTTTATTTTGGCGGCTCACAAGTGCATTACCAGCCATTGATCTGCACATCCCACCATCATCGCACCCTCTGCTCGGTTGAATTCCTTCCTTTTAACGTGTGAGCAGGTGGGAATATCCGTAAAATTGACAAGTACTAAGTCTTTCCTTCTCGTTCTTCTCGTTCTTCTCGTTCTTCTTTAGTCAATGACTCCTGTTGAACAAAGCCACTCCCTTCCAGGGCCCATAAAACATCTAGAGGCTGACACATTAAAAAAAGCCAGGTTTGGTCAACCGTACAGGTAAAAGAAAATACGGACTTGGGTATCATAAAAAGAAGGCGAGAAACAAAACAAAACAAAACAAAACAAAAAAACAAAGATAGAAAGAGATAGAGGGATATAGGAATCAAAGGCAAAGAAATAAAGAGAGATAGAGAAAGAGAGAATACTGATAGGCAAATGATCCACAGTGAGATCTACGGACAGTATACCCCGCCTGCATCTGGCCAGATGATTGTAAACAATACTTACTCACCTATGGGTGGTCCTGGCTTCCAACAGCCAACTGCTCTTGGTCCCTACTCAACCGGGAATTTGAACTTCCCGAATATGACCCAGTATCACGCTCCTGCCGGAACACAAACCATGAATCCACCTACCCCTCAATTCATCCACAACTCTCTGGGGTCGCCTTCAACCGCTGCCGCCGCCGCTGCCGCCGCTGTGGCAGCCGCACCCTTTGTTAATGCCTATGCCCACGCTCAAGTACAAGCACACGCTCATGCCCATATTTCTACACCTCCTCTACAGTCTACGCACCAAACAGCCCGTACTGTATATGTCGGCAATCTTCCATCTGAAACATCTGTAGCTGAAATTCTCGACCATGTTAAGTCTGGCGTTATTGATTCCATTAGACCATTGCCAGAAAAAAACTGTATCTTTATTACATTCGTCGACGCATCCGTCGCGGCGCACTTTTATCACGAAGCCACAACTAAGCGCTTGTGTTTGAACGGGACCGAGTTGAAGGTCGGATGGGGCAAACCGAGCTCGATCCCCAGTAATATTCAGCTAGCACTGCAGAATGGCGCCACACGTAACGTGTTTCTTGGATCATTGGATGAGAGTATCACCGAGGAGTTCCTCCGCGAGGATCTTGCGCGGTTTGGGCACATTGAACATGTTAAGATGATCAAGGACCGTAACATTGCATTTGTTCACTTCTTGAGCACATCAAATGCGGTCAAGTGTGTCAATACTCTTCCCACCGAGACAAACTGGACCACACGTCGCGTAAATTATGGAAAGGATCGGTGTGCGCCTGCAAAAGTTGCCCCTCTTTATCCCTCCAACTACCCTGCCTTCCCCGTTCGCTTCTCACCCATGACATACGACCCCTACACAGGCACCGTCGAGGCTTACCCAACACACGCCAGTCTTTATCCTCCTACATCTCTTACCGGTGTCGCTAACCGGACAATCTACCTCGGCAACATTCATCCAGATACAACATGTGAGGAGATCTGTAATGTGATTCGTGGTGGTATCCTTAGTCAGATCAGATACATGCCAGATAAACACATTGCATTCGTTGCATTTGTCGATCCTGCGCTCGCTCTTCACTTTTATAATCAATCGGTATTCCATGGCATCGTAATCAAGAACCGCCGACTCAAGATTGGGTGGGGAAAAGCGTCGTCACTGCCTTCTGCTGTTGTGGCCGCAATCCAGAATGGTGGTTCGCGAAATGTTTATCTGGGTAACATGGATGATAGTATGACTGAAGAGAAGCTCAAGCAGGACTTTTCTGATTATGGTGATATTGAGCTTGTGAATACCCTCAAAGAAAAGAATTGTGCCTTTGTAAATTTCACTAGCATTGCTGCTGCTGTGCGGGCCATGGAAGGGATCCGGTCCAAGGAAGAATACAAAAAGTTTAGAATTAATTACGGCAAGGATCGCTGCGGAAACCCTCCCCGGGCTCACAAGAACTCTGTTAATGATCCTCATGGACCACGCGAGATCGAGACTGAACTAGCCTCCCGAACTAGCCTCACTGTAGACGAATGCCAAGAAACAGTTAGTGGGATGTTGGAATCTGTTCTGGTGGCCAATGGGTAAATTTAACATATATACGTTATATATATACAGATTATTTTAACTTAACTAACCACCATCACCAAAAAAAAACATTGTTCAATTCAAACTGAATAGCATTTAATTTTTTTATACATCATCTTACAACTACAACTACAGCAACAAAAAAGTTTGATTTCCATGAAGCAAGACGTACATTATTATTACGATTATTATTACAACTACTATTACTATCACTACTATTTAAGAATTTGTGTCATTTTCAACAGCAATTTGGTGTTTCTCTCTTTTATATATCCACGATATTTTCTTCCTGTTTGGCTCTTAATACACATGGAAAAGATAGAAGTCATTCTGTCTGTATATTGTTCTTTATATATAATATTGTGTTTGCTTGTTTGATTGTAATCACCCTATTAAAAGAAAAGGCCACACTTAATGATAGTTTATAACAGATATATCATATATATTATGTATATAAAGAAAGAGAACAAAAAAGCAAAAATAACTATTTCAAGCGATCTAACTCAAGAAGTCTCTCTTGGTTCGAGCATAAGGCTCTTTTTGTACAACTGATCCACATCCCAGTCAGTATTTAGGTTTTGTCGAATGAATGCCTGAAGCCTTGGTAAGGCTTGCAAAGGATAAGGCGGTGACTGGAATTGTTTGATTTCTCGGATCACATCGGCTGTCTTTTGACGCTTGGCAAAATTTATGAGAGTATTCGATGCCTTTAGGAAGTCAGGATTGCCATCTTCAATAAACGTGAGATCTTGGAGGTAGATTCCCAGAAACGGAATACACGGTGGGTTGATAGAGTGGATCATTTCGCGGTATTCGGTAAAATTACGATTTGCACCCATCAGTTTCCGGATGTGTCCTAACATTTGGTTGGTGCGACTGCCTACCAACTTTTTTTTAAAAAGCTAAAGATCAGTTATCTTGGGAAACTAGATACACAATTGTGTGTATGGCTTACATCCCAAGTCTTTCGAAGTCTACCAATAGCACTGTTGTCAAACGCAGAGAGAATGGCCATACAAGTGTTGTAATTGTTCATACCTCGGCATCTCTATATTGTCAAGAAACAATTGGCGATTAATTTATTATTATTATTATTATTATTATTATTATTATTATTATTATTATTATTATTATTATTATTATTATTATTATTATTATTATTATTATTATTTGGTTTTTCTGCTTTCGCCATCTGCAGCTGTTTGTGATATTCACTTACATCAGCAACTTGTGTCCAATGCTTAATGAACACAGCTCTCTTTTTGGCTTCGTCGTGTGATAAAATACTATCTGTAACCCAGCAAGTCAATCGATTGCAATAATCGATTGACTGCTTAACATTCACAGCAATATTTCCTTCTGAATCATCTATAGACCACGCCTTACTTAGGCACTCAATAGGCCGAATTGTGCTGTAGAGCTTAAAGTCCATTAGACTCAATTGTCGTGCCATCTCAAGAGGATCTGCGTCTAGCAGACGAAGACAAGCAGAGTTTTTAGGAATTATTGGTATTGGCCGAGACTTTTCATTAGGAACCATCGTCCGCACATCTTCATAGGCATCGGTATCTCTTCGTTTCCGAATCAGTCTTTCCAGTTGGTCAGCAGCAAAACTTGAGGTGTCACGAATGACTGTAGTAGTAAAGAATTCGAGTCTGTCAAGGATCATTTCGTCTTCCCGGTTGTAATAGTTCTCTAACCAATTCTTGATTACGTTAAACACGCGAAGTCGAACCAATTTCTGTTTACGCTCTGTCCAGTTCTCTAATTCGTCTGGAGTAAGTCCTTCTGGAGGATGCATATTGTAGCGGTTCTCAAGACATTCTACAAACTCTTCTGTTTTACAAAATGACTTGTAAGTCAACAGAAATGTGGCGATGTAGCTCGTGTCTACAATTCGATAATTTATATCAGTGTGTTACTTCATTAATAAATTTGTACATATCTGTGTTTCTGTAGTGCTTACCAAGAGCATTGTGCATAGTCAGGCGCTCTACAAGCGCAACAAGGGTCCCGCCTTTGACAGTGCCGTCCAAATTCAAGAGAACCATGTCACTAGTTCGGTCCTGACCCAAATACCAGGGTTCGGCAGAATTAATTCCTCGGTCTTCATCTATCTTCATACTGTATTGTCGTTTTCGCAATTTATCACTGCCGATGGTCCGTGATCCGCTACTGGACGACACACACGAATCTTTACGAACTCCAGAATCACCAATGGTCAGATTTTTCAAAAGTTCATCATCTACACATTCAACAACCGAGGTTTCTCCTTCATGATCACTCAGCGAATTTTCTTCTACACTTTCCAAGTCGTCCTCGTTTTCTTCCTTTAGTGTCGAGTAAGTTACAAACCCAGGCGACCATGGTGGTAGAGAACGAGATTCGTCTTCAGATACTATGCTAGCAACCTTTCCACTTCGTCCAAGCCATGCCTTGCGCTCTTCCACCATATCATTGACACTTCCAAGGATATTTTCGACTGCATTTTCTACTCCAAGAATTGCTTTTCTAAGCTCGTATACTGCGTGGTGAACCTCGACGTGAGAGTTTGTGAGATTTTGGACAGTTCCAAATAAAGAACCAACTGTTGTGTAAAGAGACTGCCTGTTGGCGCGATAGCTCGACAAAGAAGGAATGTGTGCGCTGTCAATGCTGTTAAGTTCGATCTCTTCAAGCACACCCATGTACTGACTAATGTGGCTCGACAGGTGCCGGAACAGGAGAACGATTTCCGATCGAGCCTTTTGTGTTTCGTCTTCGTCAGGCTCATCATAAGTGCCCAAGACATGGTCCGCTGCTGTGATCATTGAGTCTGTTGATCCATAAATCTGATTGGCGTAGGTCTTGATGTTCACAATGAGATCTTGGTTAAGAGGGTACTTGGTTTTCTGGACAAGAGATTTCCCTCCCCCACCCATACTACCCCCACCTAAAGAACTCGAGCCACTCTTGCCACTAATTATACTTTGGGGCTCTGGATTAGGGCGTTTAATTTCATCCAAAGTGTCTGTGGTTCCGTAGTTCTTGGAGTACACAGATATCTCAAGTTCACTGTCAAGATCAGATGGAATGGTTCCATATATCCGTGTGTCTTTTAGTAACTTTGGTCTCACGTAATCAATGGGTATTTGGCGTTCCTGAAAGGCTGAAACAAAATTGCGTACAGCGGTCAGCACGTTGGCTGCGTCCCGTTGTACACGTACAAAGGGCTCTGAATTTCCATTTGCCTCGGACGCCATTCTGGCAGAGAGTACTAGTTTTGATACCGCTGACATGACGACGTTTCGTGGTGCGTGCAGCGAAGGATCCTGGAGGTGTTTGACCTCTTTTTCCATGGCGCGAGAAGAGTAAAGCATTATACGAATTGCGGCAACTACGGCTGCTGCTCGTGAAATCATAGCATTTGACTGGCCATTTTGTGTTGACTGGTTGAGTTGGTGAATAACCAAGGCTATATCTGTCGAAAGGCTTTGCCAGGTCAGAGGCTCGTCTTGGTAAAACGGAGAGACAGGAGGGATATGTATGTCATTGTGATCTGATGAATCGTGTACAGAAGTTGAATCTTCATTATCTGCAGAGTCTTCCCTAGATTTCTACACATATACACATATACACACAGATATATATATATATATATATATATACATATATATATATATATGTATATGTGTTTAGTGCCTGTAAGAATAATAATACTAATAATACTAATACTAATCATATAAATGCCTACCAAACGTCCCGTGGTTTTGTCCACTTCCTCAAAGTCCCAGGTCGTTTCCTGTGTAATCATATTACAAAAATATACTCTACCATTGGGTGTTGTCCGTTCTGTCCACTGAGCCATTATCTCTTCTTTCGAGTGATTAGATTCGGCGTGATCATGGTTCAATATAAAAGATCCCACGCTCAGCCGTTTTGTCTGTTCGAGGAAATCTTGGGATTGTTTCTGAGGGAGAAATCGATCGGGATTCTTTTCCTCAAGTTCATCTTCAGAGTTATTTAGCGATCCATAGTGTGTTCTGGCGTGGCTATCATCATGTATCTCATCTATGTTATCCATATGTGAATGCTAAGAATGTTCAACAACCAACAAATAAAGTATTAAATTACTGTAATCGATTTCTTTGTGTGTGTGTAAAATAAGAATAAAAAAAATAAAGGTTTGGAAGCAAGGTTTTGTGTAAAGATATATACATAATATAATATAACACAAGTATTATTATTTTCCTGACCTGTGGTGTCCAACTATTTGATGATGGTACGTTTTCGTTGAAACTCCCAGTAGACTCTACACTGGCAGTATCTGTGTGGTTTATTGTCCAGCTGTGACTATGATCAATTGGTTGTGTAGTGATAAACTCTCCATTAACCATAACTTCTGGGTAGCTAGGACGACGATGATAAGAAGAAGAAGAGGTGGTGGTCGTATCATGCAGTCCAGCTGCTGGATATAAGACGTAGTTATCTGTGCGGTGATGGCCGGACGAATTTGGTGAGCTGACCTCGATTGATTCTGCTGGCGTTACTGGTGTTTCTGGTTGTAGAATCGGACCGGGTATTTCGTTTCTTTCGACTAGTTCGACATAATTGCTGGGAAACCAACCTCTTCTGCCGTTGCACCTTTTGGATTTTTTTGGATTTTTTTTTAGTTGTTGGTTAATTGCAAGATTACGAATGAGGATTCTTGGAATCTTTAAAATGAAATGAGAAAGTATAGTTACCAGCCATCCCACCATCCTGATTCCAATTTTGCCAAGACTTCGATTGTGTCTCCCTGTCTAAACTCGAGAGCTGAAGGTTCTCCTGAATTGAATGGATATATCGCCCTTACTCGGTCAATTCTTCTCTGGTGCTGGGCCATTGGTTTGTAATTATTTATTTTATGGTTGGTTAAGGGATAAGGAAGGCCAAGAAGATGTACAAAAAGGAACGATAAGGAAGAAACAATAAAGGTGCGTTTTTTTTCTTGCTGATAAACAAGGGAATTCGTGACTAAAATAAAGAAGACCAAATGAGGGAGGGGTAAGGAAGAAAAAAGAAAAAAAAGAAAAGAAGAGAATAAAAGGAAATTTTGAAACTATAGGAAAACCCTTTCCAAAGATCGCCCAATTGTGTCCAGTAGTTGGAATTATTAGCTTTTTTTTTGGTCTATTCTTTTAACTATATGTATATGTATATCTGTACGTGTGTACATATATATATATATATATATATATATATATATATAGTTAATATTGATAAATAAACCTCTAGAATTAGTATGTTCTTTATTCACAAGACAAAGTATATTTGTACATAATAAGCTGATTTTCGGGTAATTTGTTCCTACAACAGTTCTATACATGAACAAGAAGAATATGAGTGGATTTATTGATAGGCAAAAGTGTAACACCATCGTACAGATCACGCAATTAGAGTCCATGAAAGGAACCAAGTAGAAAGAGAAGTGGTGGGGGTGTAATCTGTTAGGTACAGTGTCACATCTGTAGCTTACACACATATATATATTTATAGTGTTTTTTAAAAAGTAAAATAAATATCGCAAGCCCTGAAAATACGTCGCAGTTATAACAGAAAGAAACGAATCTTTTTAAACTAAATACAGGGTCCTTTAAGAAAATAACTGGATATTTTACGTTTCGAATGTGAATACATCCTTAAAACCACAAAGACAAAAGGATATGATGCAAGTTTAATAGATAATTTATCAACTGACAAGTGGCTGCAGAATCTTGCACAACATTCCTTTACTTTACTTTACTTTTCTTTTCTTTTCTTTGCTCATCGTCTTCAATTCTTCCTTATATTAAACTAAGTATTATAGTTAGAAATAGGGAGGTTGAATCAAGGTAGCCAATGTTCCTTGGAGGGAGCTGGTACTTGCATTGGGTTAGTTTGATATTTCTCAGCAGGTTTTTTTTTGGTACATAGATATTAAGTAAATGGAAACGTATAGATTGAATAAAGAACAATCTATATTAGACAATATATCTGTATAATTGCGTTTGTGGTATTTATGAGCAGTGTATTTTTTGTTTTTCTTTATATATAAATTATATCAAAAAGGGTGCACTCGTGCTTGAAATTGTAAAGTAGTGTAGAACAGCAAAAGAACAATGGTGCCTGTATTTTACCCAGAAGCGTCCAGATGTATCTCTGCAAGTCTTTTGTTTCTCAGAAAAATCGTATTTTTTTAAAACCACGACATTACTTTTTCTTAAATACTAAAAAAAAATTGTAATTTGAGCTTCTTGAGATCGATATGTTGGACGATTTGATGTTTTACCATCTATTTTTAGAGTACAAAAAGCTTAATCTGGAAAAGATTGTATACATATGTTATCTATTGGGGGTGTTAGAAAAAAGAAGAAGCTATCGACCTGGGTATCCGATAATGATCAAAATGTATATACAAATACGCGCATGTAATTGGATAAAGAATATTGTTCATCAGTGAAATATCGATTGTTCAATAAATAAGATATATTTATAACAAATATTTAATAAATTAGATGTAAAATTAATATATATATATAAACAGCCGTCTATCTTGTGGGCTGTTGCTTATTAGACAATAGCAATGTGATTTGCAAATCAAGGTGGTTATAATAAGGAAAGAAAGTAACTATACAATATTAATAATAATAATAATAAAAAGCCGTGAGGACGTAAATTTTGCAAAGCTATTAAACAGTGTATATATCTATCAGAAGAAAAAATAAGATAGATAAGCCCTTGAGATTTAAAGTAAATGTATACAGTATTTCCAAAATGATCATAATTACTATCGTGAGTATTGAAAACAAAACAAAACAAAAAGACCACAAAGAAGTACAGGATTTATTTTTCTTTGGTTTTATATTAGAATTCTAATTGGCTGTTAATATTAATATTAATATCAATATCAATATATCAATATGTATGTATGTATGTATGTATGTATGTACCTTTGGCTTGCATACAAAAAAGATGGTTCCACATGTACCAGACTCCAAAAAAGGACATAAGATCAAGATTAAGATGGTACACTTTTAATTAAAACAAGACAAGATAGAAAGTATGACAATATCACTGCAATGACTGAACCAAAAGAGAGAGAGAGGAACGGCCATGAATTATCTACCGTACCTAAAGACTTTTTGGATTTTCTAATAAATCATCACATTATTAAAGACTAAAGTAACCAAACCCGTTACAAGCCTCTTTTTTTAAATTTTTTTTTTTTGTTAAACTGTCCATTGTAGATAGCTGTTTTATAAACCAAATTAACAATAATATGATATATATATATATATAATATTGGAATTTGTATTATTGACTGTAATGATGAGAATTATTGATCTTATTCTGTTTTCAGTACCACTCAAACTCGTATGTTTGATTCAAAAGAGCTTGTTATTTTAACTAAGGTGTTAATAATAAGTTATCATATACTGGCTTACATTATACACGAGGGTCTCAAGATCGCATCGAATGATATTTTTTCTATTTAAACCAAAACATTTATTGATGTTTACGTGGGTGTGTTTTTTTGTTGTGTAAAGACATGACTTTAACATTTCTGGAGATTATGCTTTCTTTTTTTTTGTAGAAACTAGGTTGAAAATTTCTGGGAGCACTGAATTATTTCAATAATTGGCATACCTCGTACTGTATTTTAAAAAATGGTATATTGAAATGCAAGCAGTTTGGAAACAGTCTAGTACTAGGTTTCAACTCTTGTATTTTTCATTTTGTAGGGAGCAAAATGTCCTCAAGGTTTATTAACCAAGTGACGGATCTCAATTACTACAACCTGTAAGAACAATATGGCTTGATATCTTATTATCTTGAGATTTACGCTTCTGAATCTCACATACAAACAGGTTGGACTTCCAAAAAAAATTGATACTCGTACTTGAGCACACAATTTGTGCGAGTGACTTTGATCAAACACTTACATATCGGCAATGTCTTTGGTCACATTTGATTAGAAAGTGTTCCTTGATAATTGCAGCTGGGAACCCCTTATTTGTTGTTCATGCTGGTTTTTTTTTATCTGACCAAGTTTTGAACTTAATTATCTGATGAATCTTAAAAATGGAGGAACTCTTGCAAGTTTATATTATCAACACAAAAGTCTCCTTCACTAGTCAATAAACTAGATACTCCTTCCTCCTTAACCACCAAAAAAAACCTCAATCTCTCTGTAAATATATATTGGATATTTAATGTAGCAAACAAACAAACAAACAAGCCAACAAAACTATATTATTTAAAACAGTCATGTTTTTTTTTACTGCTGTTATTGTTGTTGTTGTTATCTATATTAATATATGAGTACATTCCCACAAATTACAGCAGAATCTATTGAAACTTACAAATATAGTAATTCCAAGAATTATATATGATTTCAACCCATCCATCTAATTACACATGACCGTGAGAGAACTTCTAGTAAACGAGCCAATCAACACTATCTTTTATGACAAACTATGACTTTTTTTTTCTAGTTCTCTCCTCTCTCCTTCTCTCAAAATCATAGACTACACTTTTCTTACTGCTATATTATACGCAGACACGCCATTACTAGTGACTAATGCTTAGAGCTTTACCCCGCATCTCGCCTTCAAAGCACATTCAAGCCGCTTTAAAACCAAAGGTAAAAAGAAAAGAAAAGAGAGAAAGAGAGATTCGGAATCAACTTTTTTTTTTTTTTAAAAAAAAAAACTGCACTAAACCTGAGCCAGTTTATTCCTATTTCAGTACAGAAGAAGCTACTACACACCGACCACGAAGAAAACAAGTATGTCAAGATTGTCGAAGTTGGTCCTCGCGACGGTCTACAGAACGAAAAGCAGCTTATTCCTGTTCAGACAAAAGTGAAATTGATCGAGTTATTGGCTCAGGCCGGCCTACCAGTGGTTGAGACAACCAGCTTTGTAAATCCCAAATGGGTACCTCAGGTAATAAAAAGAATAATAGCAATATATATATATATATTATTTTAAGCATTAATTATTATTTTTTATTAATGTATGCATTTGTGTGTCTGTGTGTCTGTGTGTGTAATTAATAGATGGGCGATAACCATGATGTATTCACAACTATTCAGAAAAAGGCAAATGTCAGTTACCCAGTTCTCACGCCTAACCTTCAAGGCCTAAAGGGTGCTCTCAAAGCTGGTGCTCAGGAAGTGGCTGTGTTTGTAGCAGTTACAGAATCGTTTAACCGCAAAAATACAAACTGTTCAACAGAAGAATCTCTCCAGCGTGCAGGACAAGTTATCAAAGAAGCCCTTGATAATGGATTGCAGGTTAGAGGGTAAGCTATTTTTATTACTATAATTTTAATCATCAGTCCCTTGAAGCAAGAAAAAAATACTGATTCAAATATACCAATTTACTGGTTGATCGATTGATCGATCGATTTTCTATATTCTTCTTTCAAGATATCTCTCTTGTGTTCTTGGCTGTCCTTATGAAGGGCCAGTTGAGCCAGAACTTGTGGCCACCATGGCAAAGAAACTTTATGATGCTGGATGTTACGAAATCAGTTTGGGTGACACAATTGGAACCGGAACACCCGGTTCAATGAACAAACTTCTCACGCAAGTTCTCAAGGTTGTTCCTGCTAACAGAGTAGCAGTACACTGCCACGACACATATGGCCAGGCATTGGCAAACATCTCAAAAGCATTGGACGTGGGTGCAAATAGCTATATACATATACCATTCTATATAAATATCACAATTGACCAAATATATATATATATGTATATTTTCTATATTCATACAGCATGGAGTTCGGGTTGTAGACAGTTCTGTATCTGGTCTTGGTATGTAACAAGTCTAAAATCTTATTTTATTTTAACCAATTCGAGATTACTCTTTAAACCAATCTTCATCTAATCTAGGCGGATGTCCTTATGCACCCGGAGCAAAGGGTAATGTGGCAACAGAAGATGTTGTGTATATGTTGAATGGAATGGGATTAGAAACAAACGTAGATTTGGATGCTTTGATTGATATTGGTCAGTGGATCTCCAATGAACTTGGACGTGATACAGGCTCCAGAGCAGGTGCTGCTTTACTAGCAGCCAAAAGAGCTAAGCTTCTGCGAGCCAAATTATAATTGGTGTCCAGGCACTTTATTAAGAATAAAATATAATAAAAACTATATATAAAAGTAAGAATGATTATTATATTATTAGTGTCTTCTTGACTGTGTATTAGTATACATATATGTATAGATAGGTAGATATATAAGGTTTATAGATGATTATATAGAGTGTAAGTAAAGAATTAGGTTTGTAGTATTAAGAAGAAAGGAAGAAGAGTAAGTAAGAGTATTTAGAAGAGTGGCAGGAGGGAGGGGTCTTTTGGTTTGTTTGTTTGTTTGCTTGATTTAGCTGTAAGAAAGAACTGTGTTGAAGCAGTAATCCCAAAACTTTGAAGTGATACCATATCCAGCCTCAAAGTCTTTGTAGTGGTGAGCAAGATGATACTTTTTCATTTCTCGAAGGTAAGCAGTGGCAATCTTTGCATGGTGCAAGTAGTAGTGTGTGATATCATACAGCACATAGCCAAAGAAGGCTCCTGCGATAATTGCATGGGCTATACCAATTGGAAACAGTGCATATCCAAGCGAAACAAATGGGGTTGCCAGAACGATAAAGAGGGCTGGTGGAACAACTAATCTTAGCCTGTTTTCCAAAAGAAAGAAATAAAAAAAAAAAGGTCAATTATTGGATAACCTGGGAGGAGAAAATAATAATAATAGTAATAATAGTAATAATAGTAATAATAGTAATAAAAGTGGCACCATTTTCTCACCTGTCCATTGGCAAATAATGATGGAAACCATGCAAAGCAAAGTGTAAAAGATATGCGATCTGGTGTTCAGGAAGAAGATCATCGAGATGGAAGAGGAATCGGTGAAGGATATACTCCAGTATGGTCCAGAGAAACACACCCAAGGCAAAGAATGAGAAGGTTTGGGCTGGTCTAAGATAGATCAATGATCTGCTGAGTTGATAACCTACGTAGGGGAACCAAATCATAGGCACCATGTACCAGGCTGTCTTTGTGAACGGTTCGAGGAGTGGGTGGCCAAAGAAGATGGCAGGATGAGGAAGGTAACGAGGTTTGTGGACTTGCTCGAGATAGAATTCCTTTGTAAAGTTTGCCTTGAGCATCTGCGGAATTAAGGCCTTGCGAAGATCCAGGAACTGATTCGCCTTTATGTCGGTGGTGATATTGGTTACTGCTGGCTCGAAATCATCCTTGCCAAATGTCTCGAATTCTTCTTCTTGTTTCAAAAGCTCGATTCTTTTGCGGTGAAGTCGAGCTCTCTCGCCATCAAAGTGACGGACAGGCTCCTCAGAGACCTGGCCGATGAGATACTCTTCAAATATCTCGTAGGCAGACTCGGAATGTTCATGTTCGTCCTTGTCTTTCATTATTGCCGTGACATCTTTGCCTCCGTATTTTAAAATAAGATCATCGCCGCCAGGATGGTCCATGATAAAAGGAGACACATCATAGACCTTGTTGTTATAGATAACCCAGCAATCCTTTGCCTTTGTATGTTTTTTGATCTCTGCAAGTGTATACAGTTTTGAAGTCATGACAATATATGCGCGTGTAACCTTGATAAAAAAAACTTGGAGAAAAGAAGGTGCAATTTATTTGTTTCACTTGTTTTTTATTATTTTTGTTACTCTTCATCTTTTCACAAGAGTCTAGGCGGTCGGGAACCGGCTTGTAATTTTCCTTTCTTGAATCTCCGTGCACGGAATGGAAATGGCCTGCGAATCAGGTGATGATTACTGCTGCAATTTAATTTGTTTTTATATTTGCATTTCAGACCCGGGAATTTAATATTTTCATTTAAGCTTTTTATACTTTTTTTTTTAAAAAGAAAATCTAACTAACAAAAGCCAATTTCAAAAAGAATCTTCCCTTTTCCTCCAAGGTTTCATTTGTAAGCACACAGATATACATACACGTAAAAAAAGAAATCTTTAAAGATAACGATAGTATTAGTCCAAAAAGCACAAAGTATGGGATGTTGTTGGTTTAAATCTTTTATTTGATATATATATATATTCTTTGGACGAAGTATTTACAGCATGCGCATTATCGGATATTTTCAGGAAACCAACAAGAGTCTGATAAAGAAAGCCTTTTATTGTTTGTTTTTTCACTATGCCTTTGTTATTAGATTGATAGGATATCTGCTCTTATGAAGATTCACAAGGACTAAATGTTGATCCGGTGTTATTATTCTTATTCTTATTATGTGTAAGTATATATGTATTGTTACGTCTGACGCGTGCAACATGATATTCTCGAAGGCCAGAATGAATTCTAAAATATCTAGATAATAAATTAAAGATAAATATGAAAAAGGAGAAAGGCATAAAGCAATTTCCCATTGTTTTAATAGTGTACCTGAATCAGTGTTCAGCCGGAATATCAGTCAAGAAGAAGAAGGTCGATTTCTTTTTTTTTAAAAAAAAAGAAGGAATCAATAGCAAGTATCTTGTATACTATGATATTTTGATGTGAGAGGCAGATATCAACTAACAGACTCTATTCGAAACAATAGAAAGAATGACCAAGATTTTTAAAGAAGTATCAATGAATTAAAAAAAAAAAAGGCAAATACGTTTATTGGTATTGAAAACAAAAAAAGAAGCACCACAAATTTGTTTGTGGCACTTTTTTTTTAAGGCTTTATTTTGGGAGTTTGTTCTAGGGAGTTTGGTTTTGGTGTTGTGATTTTTTGGTAGTGTAGATTATGTAAAGGAAAGACTTTGCTTTTTTGAAGGGATTGATTATTATACAAATTTTTTGTTTGTTTGTTTTACAGTGTGTATATACAAATGATTAAAATCGAGATCAAAATCGAGATCAATTTAAGACGAGCGATAGGCAGCTGGTCTAATGCGGACTGTGACTGAAGGATGATCAAAGATAAGTGAATCCAGGGCCATGGATTTTTCAGATACTGGGCAAGATTTGGAAAAGTTCTCGTCATCAGAAAGGGCAGAAACAAAGGAGTCATCAGAGATCGTCGATGAAGATGAAATCAAAGAAGGTGCGACTGTGTTTTGGACTTTGTTGCAGCTAAAGGCTTTCTTGACTGAAGCGAGGCCTTTCATGCATTGGCCCATTGATGATGTGAATGTGGAGACACGGCTAGCTGTGTTGGTAGTTGAAGATTGGCGACGCTGGCACTTTGAGATGATACGCTTTTGGATAGAGAGGATCTGCATTGTAGAGTGTTGGTTGTGAGGTGTAAAGGTAAAGAAAGGCTTGGTAGGTAAGATGAGGTTGAGAGAATATGTAATAAAAAGGAAAGAAGTGCAAAAATGTCAATCCTTTATATACTATTTCAAAAGATCCGTGCTCTTGGGGTATGAGTGAAGGATTTCATGCTTCTTCTTCACTTTCTTGCCATTTTTAGGACAAAGACAAGGGGCCATCGTATCTGATGTTTGGCATCTATCGGAAAATACAGCCAAAAATCCTGATCCACAAAACCACAGCTAAAAATCAAAATCAAAATCAAAGATCCATGATTCCCCCCCTATCGAGAATCAAGAATCGAATATGTACCTGTCTCCTGTATCAATTGATTCACGTCACCTTGATTATTATCTGCAAAAGGCATTGAACTTTTCGATTCCGGGCTTTTGATATTTAAGAGAGTATATTCCTGCTATGTGTCTTCTTCATTTTTGCTAGGTAGTTAGACATTGACATACAATGTCTTTTACATACTCTAACTGAAAAATCATTACACTATTAACGAAAAGCCGTATCCAACTATTTCTACAGCTCTTTTTTTTAACTAATGGTCTTGCCTTTGATGTATGCTTAGTATGTTTCTATCTTTTTTTTTTCAGTAGGACTAACACCTGGATTGCTGGGTAAAGACACCATTGTGGGCAAGCTTTTGTTTTTTTTAGCCCTCAACTAGCTTTGAATTTTGGTATGCAGTGCTATATTCTTGGCAAATATACTTCTAGTTATATTGTCTCTTAAAGACACTGAAAAACTAAAGAAGCTTTGTTCAAAGCGGGTTCACATCCGCATATTGTGCAAGTCCTTTCTTTATAAACTTCAAAGAGCTTGCCTCTCCTAGTCACGATTACAGTCTCGAGTAGCGATAGAACATCCACCAAAGTAAATTCTTTACTTGATTAGTTTTTGGTTGCTTATGATGGCTATTGACATGCGTCTTTAGAAAGTCAGGTAATTATTCCTACTGTTACAATAGTGAACACTGATTTTTTTAGTGCTTACATTTTTAAATTAATTCTTACCTATAATTGACTTATACAAGTCATTCTAGAGATGGTAATGGTACATTATAAGCTAAAAACGGGAATAGATCGTATGGCTTTCGGATAATCATCAGTATTATTTTGATGACATCCTCTTCTTGGTAGTTGCAAATCATAATATCCGGTGAGCTTATTTTTAGTGAATTCATTTTATTATCGGATATTTAAACATCATCGTTGGGGGTGGAAATATCGATATTGTCATTTGTAAATCTATCTATCTCTATGGATATTTGTCTATTGTTAGTCAGATAAATACTGCTCATCGTGTATTAACTTTCTACACAATTTTATTAATAGAATTATGGATCTTCAATTTTCTTTAGGTATATGCCCTGAAGGAACTCTGGGATCAAACATGGTCATGTAGTGGAAATATACAAAAGTTTTAGTAAAAAAATGTTTTAGAGTGAGAAAACGGGATATTTTGATCAATATTGGAGCAATCAATGGTAGATAACGCTTAAATTGTGGATATTTATGTGCTCCACAGTGTTACTTACAAATTTAAGGTAAATATGCTTAACTGATTTGGAGATATGGCTGATTTTCTGTATTTAACTTGCCACTTTAATAAAGAATAACCCTCTTTTTTTTTAGTAAGCAATTCTTCAAAGTATATAATTATTATTATATGATTTTGCTCCTGTCAATATCACCACTATATTAAACTTTTCTATAATGCATCGGGTTAATGAACCGTAATGCCGGGCCGGGCCGTGCGGGTTATTGAAAGAGTTACTGAATGAGCTGTCAATCCGGATAATGAGCCGGGTTATTAACAAAACGAACTTTTTTTTTGTTGGCCTTAGTTCATACCCCGGTTCATAGACATTTTTAATAAATTTAACATGGAGTGTGATGGGATTGTCGACTCTTAACACTAATATGAGATTTTTTGTAACTCAATTAGTGACATGGTTTCGATACGAAGGAAGGTTTTCTTTTTTAAAAAAAGTTAGAGAGCCATTAATAAAAGCAATGTCGGGGAGTTTATTTATCAAGAATATAATTGTTCCTATCACAAACCCGAGTTGACGGACAAGAATAAGAAGTGTCATGGCTCACCAGCAATAATATGGTCAGCTAACAGCCGAGATTTCAATTATATAAAGATTATACAGGAGCATACTGGCAAGAAATCGAAAACAATAGCTACACCCCAAAAGAAAAACCTAAGGAGTTGGATACTACCATACGTGTAGAATTGAATAATAATTTAGCTGAAATTTCGTTGAATGCAGTGGACCTCAATGCTTAATATCATAGATCAAATGAGGAGGGCTTATCGGGAAATCAGCACATCGTTTTATTTTATTTTTTAATAATTTTTTGTTTTCTTCACAAGCTTTATATAATATGTAGTGCTATTACTCAAGTAATGAGCTGTTAAGTGAAATTAGCTAAACAAAGGATAAGAAATTTAAAGAGATTGTTTTATTTATTTGCCAGTGTCTAACAATAATATGGTGCTTATTTATATTAATCTTTAGAATCGCCAATTAACAATCACATTCTACTAAAACAAAATCCAAAGGGAGCAATACTGAAAGGAGATATCCAGATATCAATTAAGCTCTTCAATGTATCTTCGACACCGTAATACAATCCAAATGATATGACATGTGACTGGACTGGGTCTCCCAAAAAGACATTAACGATACCACCCATTATAAATGTGTGTGGACGACGTTAATCCAAGTAAATCCAACAGCTTGAAAACTATATAAGCCCTAAAATGCTTCCTCTTATTCGTTAATCTAAGCACATCCAATTCCTGTGATATGCTTTCATGTATACATACATAAATATATGTATATGTACCATTGATTTGACAAAAAATATATTTTCTAACTTTTTCTAAGGACAACTGCAGTCAATTCTGCATCAAAAAATTCGCACTCTACACATTAATGTGGTCTAGTTACACTACTCTTTCTTTACTTTACCCTTCATCCCCCTCCTTCTGTACTGGGAACTAGAATGATATTTAAGAAATGTCACGTGGCGCGCACCATCCAACTATCTTCGTAAACCGGTGTTCTGGAGAAATATAAACTAAGAAAAAAACAGTGTCATCTTTCGTAATGACAATGACAGACGACAGCCCACAATTCTCCCAAGACTTTACACGTCTCAAGCATATCACATACTTTAAAACCAATCTCTCTTTTCTTCCAAATGCATACACCACGACAGAAACCAATAGGCATGCGTTGAATCCTTTCTTTCTTTTATTTAATTTCAAAGAAAGCTAAATCTTAAATGTTGACATTAATGGCAATAGAATGACACTCGGTTTCTTTTGTCTCAATGCCTTGGATTTACTTGGAGCACTTGATGAGTCAGTTTCAGAGCAGAATAAAAAAGACTGGATTGAATGGATTTATGCTCAACAGTTATTGCCTGAAACAGATGATGAGAAAGGTACCTTTTCCAGGAATTAGACTATTTATAGTCAAGTCGATCTTAAGGAGTACCTTTTCTCTTTCTTTCTTGATTTTTTTTTCGTTTAGATCCCAATCTTGATTATTGTGGATTCAGAGGATCATCATCTTCAGGAAGACCTTTTGATCCTACTGCAGTAAGAACTAATTAATTAATTAGTTGGTTAATAAATTAAAAAGAAAAAGAAAAATAAAAAGAAAAAGAAGCGATAAGCAATAAGGAACAGGAGAGAGAAAAGCACAAGATAATCAAGTATTAACTAACTTGCTTTAGACTCATACTTGTTACCAGCCTTATGACTCTGCTCATATTGCAAATACCTACACTGCTCTCTTGAACCTATTGATTCTTGGGGATGATTTGTCTCGTGTCAACATAAAGGCTATTACTCGTGCAATCCGAAGCCTACAACAAGACGATGGAAGGTAAATATATGTATATAGCCCAAAAGTGCTATATCTTTCTTTCTAAGATGTACATAAAAAAATTAATGCTGGCCCTGATATCTTTATATTGTTATATATATCTCAGTATTGCACCAACAGAAGGTAGTTATGAAAGAGATGTCCGTTTCATTTATTGTGCCACTGCTATCTGCTACATTCTCGATGACTGGAGTGGACTCGACATGGAAAAAACGTTAAAGTATATTCAAAATCTACAGGTAAATGTTAATATCACTTTATTAGCGTGTTTGTATCAACATCATTTTGGAACCTTTGTCTTTCTCTTTATATATATATGTGTGTATGCGTACTAATTATCTATTATAAGTCATATGAACATGCCATAGGTCAAAGTCCAGGACAAGAATCTCATGGTAAATTCCCAAGAAAATTAAAAACAAATATTTTAATCATTTATATTGTTGTAGGTGGATCCACATTCTGTGGTGTAGGCGCATTGGAATTAATGGGGAAAAAAGATGAAGGCATATCGAACAAAGAGAAATTAATAAAATGGTGCCTATTGAGACAATCTACTGGGTTTGAAGGAAGACCAAACAAGAATACCGATACATGCTACTGTTTCTGGATTGGTGCAGCTTTAAAGGTAGAATAGATATATAAAGGCTTGGTTTTGTTTTGGCTTTGTTTGGGAAAGCTAATGAGATTAAAATGGTGTCCACTTGATTATTAGGTAGTATGTATATTAGAAAAAAAGAAGTTGTTATTGAACATGAACTGTATTAGATACTTGGTGTATACGACCTAGTAAACCATGACAACTGTCGTGGATATCTCATGACAACTCAATCAAAGTATGGAGGCTTTGGAAAAGAGCCTGACGCATTTCCTGGTAATATGAAAAGATTAAAAATGTGCATACGAAAGTGATAAACTAAAGAGAATTTTTTGTTGTTGTTGTTGTTGTTGTTGCAATTTACAAGATGTCATGCACTCGTATATGGGAATTGCCGCCCTGTCGTTGTTAAAGGAGCCTGGGATAAAACCTATTGACGCAGCACTGAATGTGTCAGCAGAATTGGTAGAAAAATTGAAAAAGAACAAATAACTATTAAGCAGATTTGTAAAAAGTAAAAGAATAAGAATAAGAAAACAAATGGCTAATGAAGATAATCAATAAGTCTACGTACTGGTGCAATATGTACTAAAACTCTCCTCTTGTATGCGAGCGTGGTGTCTTGTAAGCTATGTTTTGCTTACAATGTAAAAATAAAAGTTATTATTATTTATATTCTTAAAGGTGAGTCTCCTGCCTAATGTATGGTCTTGCATACGTTTATATATACACTTGCCATGTTAATAGTAGTATGTTTTAAAAATACGGTATTTTTTTCTATTTTTCTTGGAAAGAAAATTTGTAAAATATAGGTGATATCTTACAGAAATTTTGAACATCTTTCCTAAATAGTGTTCAATAGGTGTCTTAATATCTAACTGTTTAATTTTTGCTTTTTTCAAATGATATCATTTTATATAGCTTATACGTGAAGTACAAACAAATCATAAGTATATTATATTCCGACATTGGGTTTTAACTGCTTTATAATTTCAACAATCCCGAATTTTCTATGAGATATCACTCTAATAAAGAAATACTTGGCTCAGTGATTAAAACAGTAGACACTGAAGAAAAAAAGAATAGATAAATCAATAAACCTTTATCCCCCCTCCATTTTTACTTTGGCTACTATACATTTATACTACACTCAGATATAAGTGGTTTGTTTTATTTTATACAAAAAATTGATAGATATTGCTTGTTGTATTAATTCGTAGTTCAAAAAGATAAGAGAAAAAACTACAATTGGATCAGCATCTGTTACTGATTATCATTGTTCTCTCTAAACGGCAAATTGAATAATGTGTAGTATACTTATAAAAGCTTAATATCCTGCTGTCTATTTTAGAAGTAAAATTACATTGTCAGAAAATAATGAACATTTTCTTCTTCTTCTTCTTCTTTCTATTGTACCTGTAAGCTACACTAATGTTTACATACTTCGTTATTGAAGAGGCTGTATAAATGAGTAAATGAATAAATAAAGAATCTCAAAAGAAAGCAATAATACAAGACATCTTCAAAATAAGAATTTTCTCCGTAATTTCTTGATAAAGTGGCTAAAGTAAAATATGTAAATATATATATGTAAAAAGAAATTGATGTGTGAGATTTGATTCATTCGACAGAAAAAAATCAAGAAGATTTTGTACTCACGTTATCCTGTTTTTTGGACTCTCTGGACGTGGCTGAAGCGATGTGGATGATGAAGACGGCGGATATATGGTGTAGAATGTATTATTATTACCTTTTTTTTTTTTATAAAAAATATAAGTATAAATTATACATAATGCTAATATGCTAAGAGAGAGAGAGAGAAAAGTATGATACAGTGGTGTACAATATATTGTATTTACCTTTCACATAGTCATTTATGAGAGCTTCTTTCGAAAATACAGACTTCATGATAGCTCTATAGAGGTTGAGGTGCAGCTTCAGGTGAAAGAATTAACAAGACCTAGTTTTGATTTTTTTCTTGGTTTCTTTTTCTTAGATACCCTTATTTATAGTATTAACACCCTAGTACATCTGTTGTCGTTCTTTTTTATTTTCTTTTTTGAGGGGGGGATTTATATATATATATATAGCAACATTGCATTATTCAGTACATATTGTGTATTTATCATTTTACAAGTTACAAATAAAGTGTTGTAAATACATATATATTGTTGTGCTTTGTGATTTAAATGTTAAAAGAATATACATAAGAGAAAAGTACAAGTAAATGTCGGGGACAACAAGATGGTGAGTTTAATAGGTCTGTATATTATACCTGTTGCCATACACAATAAATGCTGTATCTATCTGCTGTTTGGGAATTAGTCTATTCAAAAGACAATGGATTGGGTATAATAGGTATAACTGACAACGCTTATTAAATAATAAATTACAAGGTTGATTATATATGTCACTTGAAATTAATAAACCCGGAATAGCAAACAATGTGATATACGTCAAACTTGTTTGAAGTAAACTATCTACATAAATTAATGAATAGACACTCCATAACAAGGGAATTCATAAACATACTCTCCACTTGATTCAGGTTCTGATTCTGATGTTGCAAGCTACCAAGATAAATGCTAACCCCTAAATATAATAGCTATGGCCATTTGTATCTAAATATATATATATATATATATAGATATATTAATTTTCATAATGAAAAAAAATATGACAAAATGTGTCATACTAGCCAGACATCAAATACCACGGAAAAATGTGCTGTACGGGGTCTTGTACGAATTATCAAACACTTAATCTTTATGCCATAAATAATACCATAAATACAGTCTATCTTCAAACCTTTGATATAAGAAGATATATAGCACTTGTAAAATTCTAATTCATTCATAAAATACCTGTATATACATATAAAATAAAGCTTATTTTGACAGATATATACAATAAGAATTTTCATCTTATTTGTTTAAAAAGAGTTGGCATAATTTTAGGTAATGCTTGTTCATTATGTTGGCATTAGACATTATTACTATTTTATTATTATTTTACAAAGATAAAGAGATGTAAAAAAGCCCAAGTTGAACTTGTTACATAGCAACATGTATAAGATCTGATTCCATTCAATGTTTTATTCTTCAATTACTTTTCAATTGACACCTTTTTATTGTATTTTGTTGTGTTTTTATTAGAATATCTTTATTGAGCTTGTCATGTATGTCCAACGTATGATCGTATTCATTTCTGTGAATACGAATGCCTCTAGCTCTTTCAAAAGACTTCTTGTCAGTTTCCGAGTCAATCAGCTTGTTGTCTTTTTAAAAAATAAAATAAAAAACACTGATACCTATTATTATTATTAGTTGAGACAATTTTCTACATTCGCTCAATCTCTTCAATTATAAAGTCCACCCTATATTGAGGTTCTTATTATGCCTTTCTTCCCTTTATACGGCTACTGGTATGGACCGGAGAAGTAACTAACCTTTTTTTTTAATAAGCATTGTTTTAAAGGTAATATTAATAAGTAAAAGGAAAAGAGTTAAAAAAATGCAAAGGTGTGTTGAGAATATGTATGATAAAGTGATGATAATCTGATCATTCCATTCCAGTCAAACAACTATTTGCCATCATTGGTACAGAAAATTAATAACACTTATATTGACAATATTAATAATAAATGTAAAAAACAAAACCTTAATTATTGTGCAACCACCAAAGAAATCACACACATACACACACACACACACAAAGTCTTGTACTCTACTCCTTTGAGATTTACCTAGAATAAATAAAAAGAAATACAGAAACATGACTTAAAATCTGTGCAGTGCATTGAATTCATAAATTGTGGTCTGATTTTTTGTTTTAAATATATATGAGTGATATACAGTCAGTACTATTTTCATCTTGAAACATTAGAAGGATTATATTTCAAGAGAACTTGCTTGTAAATATACATTCTAGAAGACGAAAAAAAAGGGCTTCCGTACTGACAAAGACGACTAGTTGGTAATACAATTGGCTTAAAAATCAACTTTTATTAACCCTCCACACATACACGCACAATATTAAATCATGGCTAGTTTAGAAATTAAATAAAATACTATAAAAAAATTCTCTGGCAAAAAACTAAGGTTCCAACTTTGATAGATAACAAGAGCAATGATTCTTGGTAAAACTTCTTAAGAAATTATTGAGATTTTATAGTAATAATAAGAAAAATTTAGACAAAGCATAGTGTGATTGGATACTGTAGCACCTTCTTCGTGGCTTTATTTATTTATTTGATCAAGAGTATATAGTCAAAATATTCAGACATTTAGTACATAATTTAGCTTCTGTTTCCTGATACTTGGTTTGCTTTGACTTAATATTCTTATCAATAGTTTAACCTCAATAGTTAGTAAAGATATTTGCAAAGCTAATAGAGAATAGCTGTAACACTCATATACACTCGTATATCTTTGTTACTATTAGAAAATTTTGTACACAAATATAATTACATATATAAATATTGTATAAATATCTATTATTCTTAAAGGACATCCATTTATTATGTATGTTCATACTATATAGAGAAGATAGATACAATTGAAGACAAGATAATAGTGCTTTGACACAATATCTTATGAGACACGAGGAAGTAACATAAAGATGGCAATGGCCCGCCAGGATGTGTGACAGTTTGGAGAACAAGGGGTTGGGAGACTGACAAGTCCGTCTTTGACATGCCCACACGACAAGAAAGGAGATTGAAAATTTTAAAGGGGTTGCCTAGCAAAACCATCTTATTCTCTCTTTTTCTCTTTCTTTTTTCTTTTTTTTTCTTCTTTTTCTTTGTCTAAAGGGGAGCTTAATAGACTGCGGGTTTTATTTGTTTATTTATTTTATATTGCTATAAATTTCTATGGAAACCAAATCCAAACGATTTTCTTTCGCCGGACTTACCAGTCTAACCCGCAGTTTCAGCTTCTCAGGCACGTCTGCAAAGCCAGTCCTGGCTGAAGAACCCCCGGCAGTCGACGTTGAATCTGTCAAACGAACGGCCGAAGCTGATCGACGGACGACCGAAGTAGATAGACGACCCCTCGAAATTGACCGGCGAAAGTTGAGGGACAAAAAGTCTCAGAGCCTGTTTATCAGGTCCTTCCGGAGTCCCACCAAGGCGGGGGTGGTAAAGGAAGATAAGTCCAAGACCCAATATGACCCTGCAGAAGCAGCCCAGACGAACAGTAGCGATGTGCGCAGCTCGATTAGACGTTCATTATCCGCAGTCGTCTATGCATCCCCTCATCTCAACTCGCGCCATGAGAAAGACTCGCCTCGGATGAGCGGACTGGTTCCTGTGCTCGTGACACCGGGAATGTCGGATTCCCATGGTGGAATTGTGATGGACGATCCAAAGCAACATTTGGTTGAAGCTGAGATTAAGCTACCAAAACGAAAGACGATGGAGTACGATAATACACTTGTTCTCATGCCTGACAATCGAGACACTGCTCTGACTATTGTGTGGCAAGGCTATGGTTACACAATAAACTCTTCAGCCGCTACGTCCCTGACCACCCACATACTGGGTTCCGATCCATGGACTGACCGGGACAAGACTCAGGAAGCTCTTGAGGGTCGCTTTGAAGGCGAGGTCTGGACTTCATACCGCGGTCTTATTCATCCTCTCCATCTCTTTACACCTCTTCCGAATTCAGACGCAAGTCAGGATAAGGGTGCGTGGGAAGGACTGAGTGTAACTGAGTTGCGACAATACTATGACAACTACGGTTCGATGATGTTAAAGATCCGGGAAGCTCGCATGGCAGAACAACAGAGATATTATCATGATCTACAGTTAAAAGGGCATGTCGAGGACGATTGGATGATACCCGAGGTTAGCCAACCGGAAACCAATATTACAGAGTAGCTGAGGGGAGCAAAAAATTATATCAATACCATTACCAGTACCAGTACTAGTACCAACAATGGCTTCCATTTTGGCTGTATTTTGTCAATGTCCACCATGTACAGTATATTAAATTATCTTTTATATTATTTTATTCTTACTCTTATTCTTACTATTACTACTACTATTACTATTACTTTTACTCTTATGACCCTTATTTCTATTATTTTACTTTATTTTATTTTCTATTTTATGTTCTATTTTCATTCATCAGCATTGCCTTGAAACCCAATAAAAACACGCACGCACACGCACACACACATATATATATAAGATATATTTATCTTTAATTAAGTGTATTTTTTTTTCTTTACTTAATTTCACTTATAAAATCCCCTACACACGTACACGGAAAGACAAAACAAAATAGAAAAAGTCGCGTGTATTATCATTATCATTGAATGTGATTCCCGTAAAGAATAAAGGTGGGGGAGGGAAGCAGAAGTGTCATTGGTCCGAATGGAGCCGATCCGAGTTCCTTTTTATTACTTTATTATATAATCTTGAGCCAAATTCTTTTTAACAAAACTGTGCTCTTAAAGAAAGTGCTATTTTGGTGTTTGTACGATATATACATACATAGGGTAAATTTGCTTTTATTGACAAGATAAAGAAAATAAGGGGAACAGAAATAGGGAAAAAGAGGAGAGGATGTGAGTGTGTATTTTTGGTGCCTCACCCCCAATTACTTCCGGTATAAGGCATGCTGAGGTACCTTAAACAGTCCAGAGCGTGTTGACCTTGCTTACCACGTTGTACTTCAGGAGCGTGACACATTTTGTTTTTGTGTAAATGTCTTTAGTCTTGAGGGGAAAAGACCCGGATCGACCATATAGTTATCACGAAAAGTCAGATATAAATAAAAATAAAAAGCTACTTTGATTTCTTTTATTCTTTCTTTGGGGGGGTAGCCAATTCTTCCTAATAAGAAACAAGATGAAGGGGGTTGTGAGAGGGTGATTATCTTGTCGATGTGTTTATGTTTATATCTGTATCTGTGTTGTGAACTGTGGCGTGTAAGGCGTATGAAATGATAGATTGACGGGTTTACTGGAGAAATAAAGTTTGAATCCCCTTTCTATCAATCCTTTGACAAGCAAGTGTAGCTACAGATATCTGCCTATTATTAGCTCCAGCGCCCAGACATGAACTGGATTATCACTGATTATTACCATTGGTATCATAGACTCTCCTTGCCTTTGAAGACGTTTGATTGTCATTATTATTGGGTTTGGTTCAACGACTATATCCCCTCTTACTCCTCCCTCCTTCTTACTCCTCCCTCCCTCTTACTCCTCCCTCCCTCTTACTCCTCCACCTTTCAAATCTTCACAGATCTTATTTTTGGACTGCACAGACTGCCCAAAGAGAAGTTTACTATCAAAGAAGTTCACTCTTATTTTTATCTTCATTTTATCTCCTTTATTTCGTGTTTTTATCCTTCCTCCTAGTGCCCTCTTTCTGCATGTCATATTATATGAAATTTACGCCTCTTTATTTATTTATTTTTAAAAAAAAAGGAAATTGCGCCCACGCTTGTCTCACGCGTCTTTGATGGTAAATTACTTGCTTGTCATTACTCCCACTTCTATTTACTTATTTATTCTACCTGATAATCTATTAGTTTACAGAATAAATAAATAAATACAAAAACTAAAGTTAAAGATAAAGCTAAAAATAAGCATAAATATATTTCTATTAGCAGTAGTAGTGATTGTGGTGGTGATAGTATCAATATATAATATATACTTATATATATATATATATTCAAGAAAACAAAACAAAAACAGACAAAAAGAAAAAGAAATGCAATGCAATGTAACGAAAATCTATAGAATTTTTAGGCCAATTTGTCAGGTTCCTCAAACGAAACAATTACTGGGGCGTACTCTTCTGGTTCTCGGTGGAAGGCATGTACGGTGCTATTTAGTGGAGTCTTATTTGTCAGTTTCCACAATAGAGGTGTTGCCATTAGTGAGATTGCGGTCACACCCAGGAGAAGATAGTAAGCCTCCCGAGTGATGATGTTCAGCTGTTTGGCACGCGACGCCAACACAAAGCCGAATTCAGATATTTGCGCCAGCGCAAGGGCCATCGTTGATGACTTGTGGATGTCAAACTTGAATAGGAACAGAATCACGGATGTCACGATGTACTTGAATCCAATCACAGCCGCCGCAAGAGTCAGCAGCAAGACAGCCTCGGAGGCCAGGAAGCTAGGATAGATGTGTAGGCCAATTGAGGCAAAGAAAAGACAGGCAAAGAAATCCCGGATCGGTTCTACCAAGCCAATCGACGCCTCAAAAAGATGTTTGCGGGTTCTGATAATCACGCCTGCTGCAAAACAGCCGATTTCTATACCCAGACCGAGGTGTTCTGAAATGAGGAGCATAATCATGCAGAGGGTGATGACGCCTAGCATGGTCAGCTCATGGCTGTGAGGTATCTGTCGCTTTGGAAATAAGGCACGGAATGTGGTTGGTAATGCTGGCAATAACCGCACAACTGCAAAACAAACCAGACCGAACACAGCAAACGACACAAAAGTCTTGAAAATCGCAATCGCAATCTGTATTCCGGACTTAGCCAGTGCAGGCAGAATAGCCTATATTCACAAAATCACAAGTTACATTGCGGTTTATGATCAAATAAGTAGAATATTTGACTCACCAACATAAACCCAAGAAGTACATCCTGCATTACCAACAGTCCGTAGAGATGTTCAAGTTGATCCAGACGAATGCATCTCACGACCACAGCAGTTGAACTCAGACTCACACAGGCACCCATAAATACAGCTTCCTTGAGAGTCGTGCCCAAAACAACACCTAAACCAACAAAAAAAATGACGGTGACAAAAAGAATACAGACAGCCCCACTCAATGTAAGCCTCCACATGGCTTTGATCTTGTCAAGAGAGAACTCGAGACCAAGAACAAAAAGAATTAGAACAACGCCCAGCTGGGCTAATGTTTCTGTCTGGATGAGCTCCTAATAATTGCAAGATGCCATTATCATTATCGTTATTATTTGTCAAGACAGAAAAAAAAACAATTGAACAAGTGAATAAAGCACGACTTCAAATATGCATATCTTTGTATGTATGTACCTTGATGAGATTGTACCCGGATGGCCCAGAGATTATTCCAGCCAAGATATAGCCAAAAAATGCTTTGTGTTTTTAAATGCAAAGAGTTGATTCAGTGTTCGTTGTTCGTTGTTCATATAGTTCTTATTCTTAATACTTACCAGGCAAACCGATTGCAGAAAAGAGCCATCCGAATGCAAAGGAGATGACAATGATCAAAATGAGATCATGCAGTAGTTGCATATCTATCCGTCCCCCCCTCCTTACGATCAGCCTCCTTGCGCCTCTCAAATCGCAACTAAGGTACCTTCGTAAATTACAGTCGTATCAAAGGGTCTTGTCATGATGTATTCGTTGTTGTCTTGATCGATGAGAGTGGCGACATTCTCGTCATCCTTTTTGCCTTGCGTGGTGTCCCTGAGTTTTCTGACAGTCTCGATAGATCCAGCCTGGTCAGATCCCAAGGCAGGATTGTTCTGGTGCATGCCCTGCTCAAGGTGATCCGCGTTCTCACGCACCTCTTGCAGCATTCCATGCAACAGCTGGTTCATCGTGTCACTCGAGTCCTCCGCGTCACCCGGGCTGTGGGAATGGTGGGGTGCATATGCCTTGTGAGCATCCTCAAAGTGTTCTGAGGGTTGTTCATGACCGAGATCATCGGCAGGATCCTTTTGAAGCTGAAGATGGGATTCCTTGATCGCGTGCTCGAATTCATAAGCAAGCTTGAGGGCCGGAGAGCGGAAGTCATACTTTGCCAGCCGATTGGACTTGTCGACCGTATTGGCATAGATCTTCATCATTCCGAATACCAAGCTTTCAAATGCCTCTAGATCTTCTAATTTTACATTCACAAGGCGAAGAAGAAGAGCATCTTTCTCGTTATGGAATGTCTCATAATTATTAAAAAGTTGTGTTTTTTGTAATTGTAGCCGGTGTCGATGTCGTTTTCCCTGTTCAAGAATGGTGTGGATCTGGCTGGAATCAAGAACTGGAGTCTGTGAATTACATTTAGGATCAAATTCAGGATTTAGGATTCCATGTTGAAGGCGGATCTTTTTTTTTTGGTGTTTTACCTGAGCAGAAATACACCACACCCAGCTAATGGTCATTAGAAATATAATGACAAGGCGCATATTTGGGCTTCTTTAACCGACAGACAGAAATGAATAGAATAAATTAAATTCAAGCAACCAAGAATGACAAGAATATTATTATTATTTTTTCAAAAATAAAATGCAAGATCAAAAAACAACAAAATTAGCACAAGGCGTAGAAAGTGAGTGTACAAGAGAGGCAGGCAGATTGATTGATGGATAGATTGATTAACATACAAAATTGCTGTAATTCATATTCCTTTTTTAGGATAAAAGAACATCCCAAAATTGTAAAGAGAATTTATATATATGTATATATATATATATATATTAACTACTCCCCCAATAAATTTTTGTTAGCCTTCTCCCCCCTCTTTTTTTTTATATACATATATATTATTTTTAACTCCCCCCCTTCTCTCCATTCAATACACACACACATCCATGGACTTCTTCCTCCTCCTATTAGTCCCCCCAAGGTCTATCCTGTCTGTACGCCCCCCCCCCCTAAAATATATAAACTCCTGTAAGTGTGTGTGTGTGTGATTTTCTAAATAGGGCTTTTGCTTAATCTAGACTCTTTTTATATTTTGTATTTTATTTTATTTATCTGCGCAGTGATGTTTATAAATTGAGAGTTTGAAATGTTTTCCTGTCTTTATTACTCTCAGCTATCATGACGGGACTTAGCCAAGCAGCACTAGCAAAAGGCACAATTATACACAACCTAGAGATTGTCGATGTACTTGGGATGGGAGGATATGGCCAGGTCTACCTTGGACGTCACTTGGAAACATCTCGACTGTACGCCATAAAGTCACTCCCCCAAACTGGACTCGACCTTCGCCAGCGCAACTTCCAGCGCACAGAAATCAGTCTCCACAGTCGTCTCTCAGCTCACCCTCACATCATCGGCCTCAAGCACGTCATTCGCCAGCCGGGGTGGATCCATGTTGTGATGGAGTACGGCCCTGAGGGCGATTTGTTCTCGTCCATTGCAGACAAGGATGTATACTTTGGAAACCACGACATCATACGCAAAGTGTTCCTACAGCTCATTGATGCCGTTACTTACTGCCACGACAATCACGTTTACCATCGGGACCTCAAACCAGAAAACATCCTCGTTTTCGATGGCGGACACACCCTCAAGTTGGCTGACTTTGGACTAGCGACCACTGACCCAATCTCAAAGGATTACGGCTGCGGGAGTGGTTTCTACTTTTCACCAGGTACATTAGAGAAACATCAAATGCTTTGAATATAACAACTAATATTTTTTTTATCAGAATGCCAAGGAGATCTTGCTCACCCTGCACACAGAGTAGGATATGCATCTGCTCCAAATGATATCTGGTCACTCGGTATTGTCCTCATCAACCTTGCAGCAGGTCGCAACCCATGGCGACAGGCATCTCTCAAGGATGAGACCTTTAAAGCATACATGTCCGATCCAGATCTTCTGTTCAAAATCCTACCCATTTCCAAAGAACTCCACACTATTCTCAAACGCACCCTGTGTGTCGATCCTATCCGACGAATTGAATTAGACGAACTTAGAGAACGCATTGCTCGCTGCCGATACTTTACACGCACGCCGGAGAGTGAGCGCTACGAACAGGCCGCCTTGGCTGCCTCGGCTGCTTCGGCTTCTCGCCGCATTCGTCCAAGTCTTCGGATCGTTCAGCCTGTCCACCAAATTCAGGAACTTGATTCCTTCCCACCTTCTCCACCATCTACACCTCGCACCCATCGACCTTCAATTCCCTGGAACACCTGGTCACCACCCATCTCACCCGTCCTCTCTCAGAAATCACCCACCCAAGACTCTCTCCTCACTGAAATGAGCAACCTTCGGGTCTAAAATCTCTTTCTATATACTCTTCATTCTTTACTTCTTTAAACACTCTCCCTTCTCTTCTCTTATCATTTCTTTATACACCTATGCTCCGTATTCTGTTTTCCACTCCATCTCTCTTATGTATATTTCATTGCTTTATTTTATATCTTGTCTATAGCCTTTTCTCTATTTATTTATTTAATTTATTTTTATTTTATCTATGCCTCTCTCTCTCTTTATTTATTCTATATCTTACTTAGTTCATGGTTTTCTTTTATGTTTCTATATATCTTTTATGAGCCTCATTTCATTGTATCATACCATTATTATTATTATTATTATTATCATTATTTCTTAGATATGTACAGCCCTTCAGAGCCCTTCCGTCTTCTTTTGTTTCTTTTGTTTCTTTCATCTTATCATTGACATGTACAGCAAATCTCACTTTCCACATTTCTTTTTCTTTTTCACTACAGCATATATATATATATTTCTCGTTTTCATTCATCCAATAAAAATCATATCGTTGGCATCCACAAAAAAAAAGAATATGATTATAATTATTGAAAGTACATCTATTGTAATTCCAGCTTATATACTGCAGAGTTCAAAATATCTCTATAGTGCTTTCTTTTTAGTGCCTTATGTCTGATTCTACATGAACACATCACAATCTTGTGACCTTGTGGAAATTATATAGAATATCATCTATTTTATTCTAAAGAATAGATTTACTACTTGTCAATCAATTATTAATTCACGAACTCACAAACTAACTCACCTACAATTAACCAATCAATTCGACCAATTGATCATAAAAGCATATAGTTAATAAAGTGCTTTAGGGTGTAACAAGAGAAACAGAATATAAAGAAAGTGGCACTCAAATGCTTTAATCGTATCACACACTAAACACAAGGTTCGTATTATTTTTTTAATAGAAATAAAGAAATAAGAGTGTATATATATATATAAGAGATCCAAAGCAATCAAAAGCCTCTTGTATAAAAGTACATATATGTATTACTCAAAGATAAAGAGGGGGGAAAACAAAGGAGTCTATTCCAATTTGAACCATGCGTGCTATCTTTGTTCTTTCTTTTATATATATTTTATCTTTAGATATAGAATGTAAACAGCCGTAATGTCACACAGATCCAAAGCTGTTTAAGTAAAGCTCGCTTGAACCACCAAAAGGTCGATCTTTTTTTATTTATTTATTTTATTTCTTTACTATATTTTACTTTACTTTTCTTTGCCTTCATTACACTTTGTATAAAATGCTTATAATTTTTTATTTTTATTTTATTCCTTTGGCTTGATACTTTTTATTTCCTTATTTGGATATACTTCTTTAGAGTATCGCTTGCCATATATATATATATATATATACATACAAGAGAAAATCTCTTCCACAACTTCGGATCCTCACATGATCTGGTCTCACTTTGGATTTTTGCTTTTATTTTATTCTTGCTTCCTTTAAAATCACATATATAAATAAATTAAATAAATTTTGACACAAATGTGTTCTATCAATAGCACACACTCAACACGCACGTGTACGCAGTTGAATTTGGGACCAATTAAAAGGACTTAATAAATAAATAAGAAAAAAAAACGTTCGATGGCATTGACACCTGTCACCTTCACTTAAAGACTTTCTTGATAATGCTCTTTAATGATATGCTTTTTATTCTTTTATTCTCTTATTTATTATTTATTTTTAAAACACAACGTTTTTATTCTATTTATATATATATTTTTTAAAAAAAAATGTTTAAATTATGTGCAAATATGTTTATACAATTCCAGTTGACATTTCTTTAAATATATATATATATAAAGAAAATTGTTAATAGCTTAAGACTCTTGCTGCTAAAATTATCCCAGTAAATTTTAGATATATCTATGTATGTATATCTGTACTTCTTTAAAATACACAAGTGAAATAAATGTGCTCATATGTTCTCGGTCGGAATTCATCAAGCCGTTCGCACAAACACAATGAAAATGATGATTTTATTATTTTTTTGATTCCTACCATTCTTATTTTTATTCTTCTTGTGTCATACTTAGTGTACAAGGTCTCTCTCTCTCTCTCTCTCTCTTATATATATATATATATATAACACATAATAAAACGGCCCGAACGGATCAGAACCCGATCTAATTCTTTTCCTTTTCTTTTGTTGTTGTTATTTTCTGAACGGTAACTTGGAAACACAGGTAACACTATCAGTAGAAAACTAGAGCAATCTAAAGTATTTTTTTGTCAGATTTTGTAAATACGCAAATAAACAAATAAACAAACAGAAATACGACATAAGACTAAGAGAATGATATGCCAAAAAATAAGATGAAGCCAAAAATATTATGGTTGCCGTGGTTACCAATGATTCATTTTATTTTATCTATATTTTCTATAAATACAAAATGTATAGAGCATAACATTTATCCATTGTCTGTGGACAATTAGTATCTGCCGTGTAAGTCGGTCGATCACTTGCTGCGTCATGTACAGACCTTTATTCTTATTTCTATACATCCTCCTCTTGTTGTACAGGGACCGAGAACATTGATTTTCTTTGTTCGAGAACACTGAAAATAAAAAAAAGACACTTTGATTTGAGTCTCCGATTATCTTCCATAATAAGCTATGTTACTTTAAGTACAAATTTGGATATTTCTTTTACAGACTCTTACTTGACCAAATTTGGACTAATTCTGTTATACTTTCTCTCAGACGGTTATAAAATATACATGTATTGCTCTACCAGAATCTTATTCATGATTATTTAGCTATACAGGTTGCTATTCTCTTTATTTTAGAAAAGACTTGTAATTATTTAAAATTTAATTTTATATGGAAAGAACTAGTCAAGTGTCAATCCCTTCAAACTAGGTTGGAACAAGTCGACTGTTGCATTCCTTTACTTTTTATTCCATGTCTCTTCCAACTCCATAATTCGCAATATTATTTAATGTATTTCATGTGACTTTACAGTGTTATTAGGACTACTGCAGAACAGTTCGTCTGGTTACCTATATCATCTACTTCAACTTAATACAAGACCATACACATCAGGTTTTCTTTTTTACGCTATTTTAGGGAAGAACTCATGAAGTTGTCCGGTGATAATATTTACTTATTTTTCTTTCATTTCAGTAGATCCTTTTTCCGAAATATACGACAAAATCATGACAGTTCGAACAAATTATTTGGATAGTGGATGGTGAAATTGGCATTTTGATAGTTAAAAACTTATTTTTGCTTTTTGTCGTTGTAATTAATTTGGCTGTTACTTGCTACTTGCTACTATTTCTCTTGCCCATTTTCTCGCTTGAATTGTCAATAGTTTTTTTTTTTCTTAAAAAAAAATTAAAAAGTTATTGTAGAAATTTAAGTCATTAAATTGTGCTCACTCTTATCACCATCTGAGAGAAAGTATATCAGATTTTGTCCAAATTAGAATTCAAAATAAAGAGGGGGGGAGGTGCTGAGTTGTGAAGGATATCGTATTACTATATAGATCAAAATTTGTTAAGCACTTTCTGTTTTTAGAAATTATAGTAATAAGGTGTGGCTTTTCCACACTGTAATACCTTATTTATTATAGAGTGTGATTATAGAAATTCGATTATAGTAACTTAATCACTCATCCATTTATTTATTTATATACACAGCAGTATAAATAAATGTATATATATATATATATATACTTTGTGCTTTCTGCTCCTGATGACAACTTGTGGTAGGTCTTGGTGATCTTCATTTGCATGTATCGTTTGGATCAAAATTAAGTGTAAGCTAAAGGGCTCTTTAAAACGTTCCAGGCCCCTTTCATCTTCTTCTTTTTAAATCTAACTCTCCATTCAATTGATCGCTATTATCATTATCATTATCATTATTATTAATATTATTTTGTTGTAACATCATCGTACAAAGTCAAATCAAAACCCCTCCCTTCCACTCCTCTCTCCCCCCAAGAAAATAAGATAAAGACACACACACACTTACAAAATAAAAATAAAAAGTGACCTATTTCCGGGCGTTCAACTTTCCAATAAAAGAAAAAAGAGAAAAAAAAATGGTGGGACAACTATAAAAAGCATCATTTCTTGAATTAACTCCAATGCCTTTTGTTTTTTTTTTTGGTATTGAAATTGAAATTGACATTGACATTCATATTCATATTCATATTGATCATGGCAATGATAATGGAAACTACAGTGGTAATGATATTCATTTATCCTTTTTTTTTAAATAAAATAATCATAATATTGATGCCATTACCACTATAGATAGAATTAATCTCAGTAGGTACAAAGGTAACGATAATAATAGTCCTAAAGAGCGTCATTTGTCAACAGGATACCAATTATGCCCACCTATTTCATACTGAGTAATAATAATTAAGGTGTCTGAGATAATATTACTGTTTTGCCAAGAAGGCAGGTATACATACTTCTTTGTATATTGGTCTATTGGTCTGTATGTCTGGACCGTTCACACAGTAATGATTGTAATCACAATCATAAATATTGATGATCAAAAGTGTCACGATTACCCCAGCTGTGTACGGCGAGATAGGTAATCAGACCAGGAGCAATAAAATAAATATCAATATTACTAATGTGTAGATGTATATTATATATAAATAAAATAAAATAAAATAAAATAAACCTTGAATGAATAACCTGTCCTTTTTATTATTACACTAATGCACGAGAATTGATACGTTAGACTAATACACAAAGTAACCGTACGTCAGTTCCATTTTCCCACAAATAGACCGTTCTTGTTAAAATCACCTTTTATATATATATATATATATTTATTATTGTATTATAGATTGTTACTAGTCTTTGTTACTGCGGGACACGTAGTATTTTAGATGCATTTTCCATGTTCTGTCTGTGTAGCTTTGTAATTTTTCTTTCTTTTCTTGTTCTTCTGATGTTCTCTAAAGAATAAGAATCTTCAATCTCAAATTACACAGGTTCACTTTACTCCACTCTACTTTGCTTTAATTTAACTTAATTTACTGTGCCTCTTAACAAACCAAAGCAAAGCAAAGCAAAACAAAAACAACAAGGAGAAACCCCCTTTGTTGCCTGCAGTTTGGATATCTGAAACTTGGAGGCACAGTATTTTTTTAATGCACATATAGATTATAGACCAGTAAAAGATAATCTTATGTACTAATGATTTATGTATCTCTTGTCTTTGTCTTGAAAATTTTCTTAAAGAAATTTTGTTTATTTATCTTTTATTCTGCATTTTCTGATTGAAACATAGTCCCTTAGACTACGCCAATATGCAACATGCAAAATGCAATTAGAAAAAAAAAAGATAATACATATTCTTGTATCCAAATGACTGTTACAGATTGATTATTTCGTTTCTATTTCTTCTGGTCATTTGAAATATAGACTAAAAGGTTATTAATAAGAAAAAAATGATCGAGTATTCCAAATAGTAAATTAAGCATTTTTTTTTCTCAAACCTGCCAAACCGCATTGTTACATGTATTTTGTACAAAATACTTACAGTATCTTTTCTTGTCAAATAAGAAGAATTAGATAACAAAAACAACAACAACAAAAAAAGAAAATACACAAAATCTGACAACAGAAACTCAATCAAATCAAAATTAATAGATAAATTATATGCTTATTTTATACTTGTTTCTTTTGGAATATGTACACACACGCAATGCACACGCACACATTGTACATTGCACAGTGCATATTATATACTCCAGTACAGTCCCCAAAAACAGTTCTGTCCAATGACAAACCCAAAAAAATAATTCACTAGACAAACTGGTCTTTTTGTAATGAGCCTTGGCGTGTGTTTTTATTAGTAATTATTTTTTTTCCCTTTGCATTTTACCTATTTTCTTCCTTCTCCCCCCAAAAAAAAAGGGGGACCCCTGCTTTGTGTAAAAGGCAGTAGTAACGAACAATTCTCATTACATGCACATACATTTATCCATATATGCTATACTATTGTTAATTTTTCTTTTCGATCTTTTGATTGATTTCGGTTATTGAGCTAATTCATTCTGATCGGCTGCTAAAATACAGATTTCTTACTTTTCACTTCTCACACACATAATTTATCAAAAAAAAAAAAAAAAAGGGAAAAGATTATAATGCTTTTTACTTTCGGACAAGCTCTCCGCTCTTTCACCCAGCCAATTTCCTCGGTTCCTTTCCGTCGTACCATGTCTTCAGTTCTTGCTACCTGTTCTCCATTCAAGTTAGCTCTTGTTCAGCTAGGAAATGTTACGCATGACATGCATGCCAATCTTGAACATGCTCGCACAATGATTCTTGTTGCAGCAAGTCGCGGTGCTGATGTCGTTGTCTTGCCAGTAAATGTCAAACGCGTTTAATTTATATAAATGACGAAATGCTCACAGCTGTATATATATATATATATTTGTGTTTGTGTTTGTGTTTTCTTTTGTAGGAGTGTTTCAACTCTCCGTATGGAACTTCATACTTCCCTCAATACGCCGAGCCTTTGTCTACAAGTGCTTCGGTTAAAATGCTTTCTGAAACAGCAAAAGTAAAAAAAAAAAAAATTAAAAAATTAATTAAATAAGTAAATAGATGTATATACTAACCTGAAGCTTATTGTTTTGTGTAGGAAGCTAACGTTTATATCATTGGTGGTTCTATTCCAGAACTTGCTGAAGACGGTAGTGGTGCAATCTACAACACCCTGACAGCTTACAACCCAGGAGGTAAATATATATATATATATTGTAGTATTTTGGAAATAGAGAAAGAAAGAAAAGAGAGAGAAAACTTTACTTGATAATAATATAAAAAGAAAAGGTTCTATTATTGGTACCCACCGTAAGGTTCATTTGTTTGATATTGATGTTCCCGGGAAGATTTGCTTCAAGGTAAAAAAAATAAATAAAATCTATTGTCTATAGTAATAGTATTTTGTAGTAACTGTAATTTTATTTCATGTTATGTTAGGAAAGCGAAACCCTGACTGGGGGCAGCTGGTTGACTCACATTGATACTCGTAAGTACAATATCCTTAAAAGGAAATCTGTCAAGAGAACTAAGAAGGTCGTTTTTTTTTTATTATTATTATTTTAACTAAAAACAAAACCCAAAAAAAAAGGTTATGGAAAGATTGGCGTGGGTATTTGCTACGACATGCGGTAAGATTCTTTACATATATATATATCTCTTTATAATAATAATAGTGGTAGTAGTAGTATATACTGTAGATAAATTAGTATAATCTATCAGGTTAATAGATAAATTTATATAGATATATTTTATAGACTAAAATAAATAAATAAGAATAAGCATACTAATAAAAAAATATTAACTCGATTTGGATATAGATTCCCAGAAATGGCCATGATTGCCGCACGCAAGGGTTGTATGGCTATGATCTATCCAGGTGCCTTTAATACTACCACTGGTCCTATGCACTGGGAACTTCTTCAGCGTGCTAGGTAAGCGTTAGAATATATATATATATATATTACTTTTGAGCCAATTTCCAATTGATGATTATTTTTTTATTACTATCAGAGCTGTCGACAATCAAATCTTTGTTGCCGCTTGTTCTCCTGCTAGAGACCCTGATGCTTCATACCAGGCCTGGGGTCATTCCACCATTGTTGGTCCTAGGTAATATATACATACACAAAATAAATATATATTGGTATTGACTTCTTTATGTTATTCTTTACTTTTTAATTGTAGTGGAAATGTTTTGCAAACATGTGAGGAAAATGAAACAATCATTTACGCTCACATTGGTAAGTCAAGAAAGGAAGAAAGCGGTTTCATTCCATTTTTTTTTAAAAAAAGAAAGAGAGTCAATTGAATATCTTAATTGAACTGGTGGTTCTACTTATTCTTTGTAGATCCAGAAGAGATCAAAACCATTCGTACCAATATTCCTTTGTACGAGCAGCGTCGTTTTGACATCTACGGTGATGTCTCAAAAACAGTCGATATCAAGGAAGGCAAAGGATTCAAAAGGGAATAAATTCCAAATATATCAATAACTGTATCATCTTATTATCATTTTTAAAATACAGTTCCTAGCGCTTCAAACCAGCTAACAATACTAGAATCAGCTTGTACACAACGCTTAAATTCTTCAAAGCTAATATATCCATCCCTGACGGTATCAATACTCTTAAATGTCTTTTCTACCATTTCGTTGATCGCATCTTGGGACATGGTCTCCATAATCGGGAACTTTTCTTCCCACGCCTTCTTTTTCCCTTGATCAGCCATCTTTTCCTTTTCCCATGATCGTTTACCACCTTTATCACCGTTATCACTATTATCACTACCAATAAGACCACCTTTGTCTTTGGGTAGACTGGCGGCTGGATCCGATGCGTTTCGGGCCTGTTCATCGAAATAATTCTCTTTTGCTGGGTAACGTCTTCTTTGTCTAGAGCTCGATGTTGTTCCGATGGTTCCTGTGGTTCCTGTGGTTCCTGCAGTGATAGCAGTATCTGTACTTGTTACTGCTGTTGAATTTGTATTTGCATTTGCATTTGCATTTGCATTTGCATTTATATTTCTATTTGAATTCTCTTCTTCATTTTCTTCGTCGTCTTCACTGCTGTCTTCTGATGCAGGAGAAGGAATTGCGACGTTAAAGGCAGAACTGACAGGTTGGGAAGCCGAGAATTCAAAGTTGTCGATCATTTCGTCTTCCATTGCACTTACAACGTCTCGTACGAGCTCCATTGAAAGATAAAAGTACGATTTGAACATGCGGTAGAGTTCATCGCGTGATATGAAGCCATCTTCGTCTAAATCGTACCCCTTGAATGCATCTTAATTATATATATATATATATATATATATATATTTGCTGTTAATAAGAATACATATATATATATATAAAGTTTTCCGCTTACATTCGATCTTTTCATCCAGATTGCCTTTGCAGAGTACACTGAAGCCACTCACCATCTCTCCAAAATTAATCATTCCATCCCTGTCTTGATCAAAAAAGGCAAATATACGTTCTGTGATAAGATTCTTTTCTAATCCAAGAGGACCAAGGCACTGTTCAAAGGTTTCTCTGTCAATTCCAGGTTCTGTCTTTTCTACTGTTGCCAATGATTTGAATTGTTCATAAAGAGCTTCTAGTTCCACCTTGTCGACTTTTTAAAAAAAATTGTAATAACGATAAGTATCAGTTTGATATCTTTAACAGATCATAAGAATGAGATTTCTTACAATGAGATTTGTCTTGGAGTTCTCGAATTCTTTCGTGAGTTAGTGGAGGTCTGTTTATGTTGTTTCCTGGATAGAATGCGGGCAAGAGCGCATTGCGAGGGTTTGAAAGTGGGGGTATTGGTATACGGATCTTCAGGAAAACATGTGTATTGACATGGCTGTTGGTTCCCTCGCACATCTCGCACAGATCGAAATCGATACAGTTTGCACACTTGTAACGTACCCCCCGGACAGGAGTTACACTGCATTTGTTGCAAGTAATTCCACCTAAATTAATTCCATGTCAACTACAGTATTATCATATATAGATATATATGTTTTACGCAACCAAAATGGACCAATACATACGATGGATAAATCCCTCTAAGTTAATTTTTTTGAAAAAATCAACCAATATATATATATATATATATATGAGTATGCAATTAAACATGATTTTTAGCTTTAATTATTTGAAAACTGCATAATTCTCATCTACTTATTTATTTAAAATTATGCAATATAGATATGTGTTTATGTATTTATTTACAAACACACCTACCTACCTTTACGCGACTGATTATCTGAAATCGCATGAAGTAAATTCAATAGGTTTTTATTATCGTCTTCGTTCCACTCTTTGAATAGTGAAGTCGGTCCGTCTCCATCGTCATCGTCATCGGTGTCTGACATACCCAGCAGAACAGGAGAACCATCATCCTGATCTTCTGTCATTCGTGAATTCCCAACTCGCAATCGACGGCGGCGGACATTCCGAGACCTTCTCAGCCGGCCACCTCGGGATGAGTCTAGAGAGCTTCTACTGGAATGGTTGTCAAACAGGTATGCTGCGGCTGCAATAAGTACAATTCCTGTCATTGCTCCAGATGCAACAATAGCAAGAGGATGAAGTTTTATACTCCATTTCATTAGGTAATGAATATATAATAGTCAAAAGCAAAAAAGAAGAAGAAGAAGAAAAGAAAGAAAAGAAAGAATAAAGTAAAGTAAAGTAAAATAAATTGAATTGAAGTGAATTGAATTGAATCAAATATATTTATATATAGATATATATATAGAGAGAGAAAGGTAAAGATAGAAACCAAAAATAAAATAAAATTAAAAATTAATGCCAAGCGTCTATATGTTCAATAATCGTTCTTATATATATATATATATATATGTGTGTGTGTGTGTATGTGTGTATGAGAGAGTGAGAGTGAGAGTGAGTAAATGAGAGTAAGACTTTAGAACTTGCACTGCCTTAATCAAAGTCACATTGCGAGCTTTCCTTTTCGCTGCTCCTCTCTTGTTTTCTTTTTTTTCTCTTCTTCTTCTTCTTCTTCTTCTTCTTTATTTTCATATACTTCTTTCTTTCCATTGCTTCATTGCTAAGAAAGCAACAATATATTAAATATAAATAAATAAAAAATGATTGGGCCTGAAATCCCTTCTCATCTGCTTCAACCAAAGCAATCACCCGAGCCTTCACCTGCGGATGAATCCTCCACTGTTTCTATCGGACCAGTCTTACCTCCTCACCTTGCCAACCGATCCTCTTCTGTTCCTGAAACTCAATTACCGTCGGTTCCAACAGTACCAGCAGTAGACACCGCTCCTGCATCGGATGACGAAGATGCCTTTTTACCTGAATTACCTCCAGATTTACTTGAACAACGCAAAAAGACCGAACCTAAACCTCAAATTGAAGATAGAAACAACAACAACAACAACAAACAACAACATCGGCGTCGTAGACCTGTAGGGCCTGCAATGCCATCCTGTCCTTTGAGTGTAGCTACTTATGAGGATGCAGAGGACATTGGACCTGTTCTTCCATCGAGTTATGATCCCGAAAAGGTATTAGCATTATTATTCAAATATATATATATATTTATAATTATTTATTTATAAATGTTTGGTATTAGATGGCAGTTCAATCTACTATGGCAGATATCGAAGAACGTGCACGTCAGAGTAAAGAGCAAATGGAAAAGGTAAACCCTAATGGACAAATTGACAGGATAGGTACAGGTTAATTTTGTAGGTATATGTATTTAATATGGGCGTATGTGAATTGTAGAAGGATGACCCATCTGGAAAAATTGAAAGACCAGAATGGATGTTGTTACCCCCAGAAGTTGATTACCTAAAAGCTGGTAAGTTTGTTTGTTTGCTTGGGTATTATAGAAATGAATTAGATGTATATGTAATAAAGACATTTAATGACACACACACACATTTATACAACCAAACACTTCAAAAAAAAAAATTATTGTAGCTGATTCTGGACGTTCTCGTACGTTCAATAACCGCCAGCTGTCAGACCGGGATCGTGATAATAGTGGATGGACCGAATCTCCTTCAGATAAGAAGAATAAGAAGCGTAAAGAGGCTAAGGATGATGTTCCAAGAGCATCTCTTGAGCAGGAAAGAATTATCAAGCACAATATTGAGAAGCATAATGTAAGTTTGTTATAAATTCTAATGGATTGTGATCCTTATTTTTTTTTTTTGTATGTATATAGCGATCGGAAAGACCATTGTCATTGATGGAAATGCACCAAAAGAAGAGAAAGGTTAATAGAGAAATGGAAGATGTCAGAAATCGTCCATTTGACCGTGAAAAGGATCTAAAAGGCTATAAGCCTATGGACAAAAAGCAGAAGAAAGAGTTTATGCGACAATCTGGTATATTGGATGATCGATTTGGCAGCAGCAGTCGCGGTTCATTTTTGTAAATAAATTAAAATATACAATATTATATATACACATACAATATAATTAAACATTCTGTATATAAAAAAAAAATATTAAATGATGGCTTTGATTGATTCACCGCAACTGGTGTGACTCGTAAGTCCTACTGAAGCGAAAGAAAATTTTTTCTGCTCGTTGGAGATATAAAGCCCAGTGGGATTTTACAGTTGTTGTTTATTGTTTTTTTTTTTTTCATTACTGTTTTCTTTACGATTTTGTATAATCTTTTCTTCATTCTCTCTTGATATGCCTTTTATACTCTTGGCGGCAAGAGTATAAAGGAAACCTGCTGTTTCAAAATTCTTTCAAAAAAAAAAGGTAAATATATATATATATTATTATTATTATTTTTGATGCTATGTGTATTTTAAAAGAGAAAGAGACTGATGACAAACATGTCCAAACTCAACTGAATTAAAATTATGTTGCCTAAAAAGACAAAGTACAAGTTATCAGCCTTGTCTGACTCTTTCTCTTTAAAATGCAAATATACTTTTTGCACGTATTTTTTCATATCAAAAAGTAAATACATGTATTTTGATTCTAATCAAATTTTATTGATTTATAGATATGTTATGTTCCTTGGCTGGTTCGTCTTTTTATAGCGAAGTAGTATTGGGGGGGTAAATCGATTTGAAAGAATTGAAGTCAAAAGAGAAAGAAAAGAAAGAGGGTTTGTGTAAGTAAATTCAATTCCTTTATATATTCTCTTTAAATTATAGATTATTTTTTTTTGGGTGGGGTGTGATTTGCTATTCTTCATATATAATATACATTACAATAAGTGTGTATATAAAGTACTTTACTTTTAATGATGATACGTAACGACGGGCGGACGGACTCGTGCCTGTACAAGCACATTATAGAATGTCGAATGTCGTTTTTACTGAAATTTTAAAGTACTTGATATTCTTATTTTTGGGGTTTTTTTTTTGCACTTAAACAAAGAGGAGTACAAGTTCAAAAAACTGATCATCTTGTGTTCATTTTTTTTTCTAGATGTTGATTTTTTTTCTTAACAATCAGTCAAAAAAATTTTGGTGTTTCTTTAGAATTTTAAATATATTTATATTTATATTAGAGATCTTAGATCAAACTTTGGCTTTGATTTGGCCAATAATATTTTAATAAAAAAAATTGCGTTTTTTATGATCACTTTACACATTTTATTTTACAATGAATGTAGTCAATATTTTTTTTTGTGAGGCATTTTATTATATAAATAATATATATATATACATATACACCTGTATTTTGATTGATTTATCCCCAAAAGTTTTTTTTTTTGCCATCAAAGTAAAGTATTCAAATGTTTCAATTGCTGATAAAATATATATAAAGTAAATACAAGTTTATAATTTTGAACATAGTGCAGTGCAGTGCAGTGCATACAGTGTTTTTACACATTAGATCTCTCTATATTTTTGTCTTATTTTAAATAAATAAATAAAAAGGAGATTTGATGTATTCATCTATAAGATCTGTCAATGAACCTCTTTATTTATGCATTTTATTTGGTTATCTCTTATTCTGTCTATAGAGCTTAACAAATAAATTATAGGTATAATTTCGATTGTAAATTTACACATGACAATAGATGAAGCCAAAAAACATAATAATCTCATTTTCTCCCTCTATCTATCTATCTCTCTTTTTTTTTTATGTGTGGTGAAAATAATTGTGATCGACCAATTGATTGGACTGTAAATCTTTGCCATTTTGAAAAAATTTTCATATTTTGCTGACTTTCTGATTGGGTGGCTAATGTGATTTTTTTTTTTGGAAAATAAATAAATACAATCTTTAGTTTCTTCTTTAGTTTTAATTCCTTACACCTCTTTTTTTTTGCTATCCATTTATATTGTCAAAATGAGCAACACCTTCCTGTTCACATCTGAGTCCGTCGGCGAGGGCCACCCCGGTAAGCACTCACTCAGAATCAATACAGAGCAAAGCAATACTTTGACTTTTTTTGCATATATATTTTATTATTTTTATAATATAATTATTACGCTTTATTTTATTTTATTTTATTTTATTTTATTTTATTTTATTTTTTATTTTTTTATTGCAAAACTAAATAATAACAAAAATAATAATAGACAAGATCTGCGATCAGGTCTCTGATGCTATCCTCGATGCCTGCCTTGCCCAGGACCCTATGTCCAAGGTTGCTTGCGAGACTGCCGCCAAGACCGGTATGATCATGGTTTTCGGTGAGATCACCACCAAGGCCAACCTCGACTACCAGAAGATCATCCGTAACGCCATCAAGCAGATTGGTTACGATGACTCTGCCAAGGGTTTCGATTACAAGACCTGCAATGTCTTGGTTGCCATTGAGCAGCAGTCTCCCGATATTTCCCAGGGTTTGGTCCAAAAGTCATTCAACATTGAGGATATTGGTGCTGGTGACCAGGGTATCATGTTCGGTTATGCCTCTGATGAAACCCCTGAGATGATGCCCCTCACCATCGTCTTGGCCCACAAGCTCAACCGCCGTATGGCCGACCTCCGTCGCGACGGTACCTTGGCTTGGTTGCGTCCTGACTCCAAGACCCAGGTCACCATCGAGTACAAGAACGAGAACGGTGCCATGATTCCCCTCCGTGTCGACACCGTCGTTATCTCTGTCCAGCACGCTGCCGAGATCGAGACCGACTACTTGCGCAAGGCCCTTATGGAGCACGTCGTCAAGCCCATCATCCCCGCCCACCTCTTGAAGGATACCGTCTACCACTTGCAGCCCTCTGGCAAGTTCATCATCGGTGGTCCCCAGGGTGATGCCGGTTTGACTGGTCGTAAGATTATTGTTGATACCTATGGTGGTTGGGGTGCCCACGGTGGTGGAGCTTTCTCTGGTAAGGATTGGTCCAAGGTCGATCGTTCCGCTGCCTACACCGCTCGCTGGATCGCCAAGTCCTTGATTGCTGCCAAGCTCTGCCGCAGAGCTCTTGTCCAGCTCTCCTACGCCATCGGTGTCGCCGAGCCCCTCTCCATCTTCGTCGAGTCCTACGGTACCTCCCAGAAGACCCCCGAGGAGTTGGTTGCCATCATCCGCAACAACTTTGACCTCCGTCCCGGTGTCATTGTCAAGGATCTCGATCTCTTCAAGCCCATCTACCAGCAGACTGCCGCCTACGGTCACTTTGGCCGTGATGAGTTCACCTGGGAGCACCCCAAGACTCTTAAGTTCTAAGTAACTCTATTTCTTTCTTTGCCTTCATTCCACATAAAAAAATAATAATAATATTATATTATATACATATTTAAGAAAACTTGGTACACATTCCCCTCCCCCTATCCTCCCACCTCTTTCTTTTTTGTTTTCAACAAACTCTTTTCTCATTTAGTTTCACCCATCATATCATCACGCAAATCCCCCCTCACAACATCTTCTTCTTATTTTATTATAATATTTTATACACAGATTGTTAAAGATTGAAAAAAAAAGAAAAGGATAAAAAAAAAAGAAGAAGAAGTATTTAGGATCAAGAAAGAAGAAGTGTACAGCATCTTGCTTAGTAACTCTATCTTTGTCTCTAATATATTTCTTTCTTTCTTTTTTTTTTATCTCTTTTTTTTTGTTTTATTATTTGTTTGATTCTATTTTCTTTTTTTTTTACATATTTTCTTTTTTCTCTTTATTAATGGCGTTCAACATCGTCAGCCGACAGTCATCCCGGTTGCAGGATGGGTTATAATATACACTTCTTTACCGAATTGTTCAAAAAAAAATTAGATCGTTTTGTCTATGTTTGTCTGTGTGTGGGAGGGAAATGGAAAGGGAGAGTTTGAGTTCTTTTGGTTGGGCTGGGTTTAGGTTTGGTTGGGACTATAAAAAAAAACCAAATTGTACTTTTGAAATTGTTTGTGTACAAGTCTGTGGTTAATTTACTTTTTTGGACGAATTTTTTATTATTATTATTATTTTTAGCACTTGAAAAATAGAACAAGAAAAGATATATCTATCACTAATAATATATGTTATAAGTAAAGAATTCTGAAATGTATATAATTTTTTCTATTGTTGTTGGTTGCCATGGAGTTATATATATTTGAATTTATTCAGTGTCTTGGTCCAATCAATCTTTGACAGCCCGTGCGTAGAGAGTTACAATTGTACACCTGTGCACTTGAGCGATGTGTGAAACAATAGAACCAAAAAGAACAAAGACTGCAAAAGACAGACGAACGGACGAACTGACGGACGGATAGACGGACAATGAGAGAGAGAGAGAGAAAGAAATATAGGCGGTATTTTTGCGTGTGTTTCAATTTCAATTTCAATTTCAATTTCAATTTCAATATCTATACAGCATTTTTATTTTTTGTCGTTGTACCTGTTTCTGCTGCCTGGGAAAATAAATAAATAAATAAATAAATAGTTAGATAGATTTATAATAGAAAATAAAATAAAATATCCAATTATTTATTTTAATTTTGAAACTCATTACCCGTTTTATTTTATTTTCAACACTTCGCGGTCTATAGATTAAATAGGCTTTACTGCTTTATCAATTAGAAATCTCATGCTTTTGGGGAAGAACTCTGGGCGGGGATAAGATCATCATAGAACAAAGCAACAGAAAAAAGAAAAAAAAGATTTGAAGAGAAACCTATGTACCCCACCCACAAAGCCTTTACATATTTAACATCTCAAAGATCTCTTTCCCCCCCCCCTCCTTTTTTTTTTCTTTCTTCAATTTTCATATGTATTTATATTAGTCGTATTATTGTAAAATAAATATATATCTTTAAAGTGATCTTGACATTGAGATCTCAATTCCATCTCTTTTTATATATATATTTTATATATACATATTTTGGGTGGGGTTGAGAAGAAGTATTAAAATTATTATTATTATTTTTGGAACCTGTTTATGTATATTTAATAAAATATTTATATTTATATTTATATATCAAACTACGCGTATCTATATACGTGTGCGCGCGCGTGTGTATGGTTATATTGACTATAAGCAACGGATATAATAATAATAATAATAATGAACATTTTGGCTGTATATATATATATATATATTATTTATTTATAGTTTGAATAGATGTAGGCTTTATATGTATATACTTTGTATTATAATTCAAAGCGTTCTGCACAGATTGACCACCACGACTGCTCATTGCTAAATGTTGCACCTCGGACCTGATTGCCACACTTTTGAACCGTTTCATCAGCCGCGCACAGCCCAAGCGCCACATGGGTTCGTGAATTGCGTTGCCGGATTGTCTCTAGCACCAGCCCATAATCAGGACGCCCGTGATGGATCTTAATTACATCCGACAACAATCCTGGCTCAACATCAGCTACCTCTCTTGTGATATGAACATCAAAGTTCAATACCAAATCGCTTGAATATTCCCATGAACTCAATTCTTGCATAAAAGCATGCAAGACATCTACGAAACATGGAATTTTTGGTATCACACATACACATACACACAAGAAGAAAAAAAAACCCCCCCAAAACCATAAAAGAATACGCGATTTTGTTGTTGTTGTACAATAAAATAAAGATTATCATTATTATTTGTTTTACCTGAAGATGGTACAGACCAGATGAGATTGAGTTCTTTGGTCTGTACCTTGGTCTGTTGCATGTATTGTAGTACAGCTATCCAAGGAGTAATTCCAATGCCTTGTGCTATCAGCACAACTGTCTCAAAATCACCAAACCCATGGCCTGCCACACTCAACAATGGGAATCCAAGTGGTTTACTCACACTAAATCTCAGTCCATGGCTATCATCACCCGCAGTATCCTGAGCAAGTTTGTATAAACCGCTGGTACGCCTACCACTCGTCTTGATGTGGAATGTAAGCACAGAACGGCTTGTACTGGTCTTGACAACCATTGTTTCGGGCTCAAGATAAAAATTGTTTCCATGGTTCGGTAATCCCCCAGAACTCGAGATCGACACTTCAGTAGCGCTTGCTCTGATCGACGATTTGCCTATAAAGAAGAGGAAGAGTAAATAAAGAAAATAAAGCTAGTCTAAACAAATTAAATAAAGAATAACAGCGACAATAGTAGTAGTAGTAGTAGTAGTAGTAGTAGTAGTCTCGCTCTCTATCATCCCATCATCAAATGTATATACATATGTATATATACTTTACCTGGACTATTGTCTATTCGACTAATCGAAAACGGATGTGAAAATATCCAACTTGAAATCCTGGACTTTGCAAGAGACACATACGCAAACTGCCCAGGTATAAAGGTTGATACACCATAAGAAGGCTCCAGTCTAAGTCTGACAATCTTGCCCGGTAGTGCTTCCATCGACACCAGGTGCACCGGTCGAGACTCCACACCCCACCTCTGGATCTGATCCACCATCCAGACGCCAAACACAGCAGTGTAGAACACCAAGAACGCCCAATGGTGCAAGATACCCAAGACAACCAGTCCACCAAAAGACAAGAGATGCGTGAGCCGAAACAGGCGGTATGACATGGACCGCACAAGTGGGTGAGAGCCAAACACAAGAATCGATACCAGCAGAATAATTCCAGACCCTGAAGTGGCCATCGGGCTCCTTGTCATGGCCTCAAACAGACTGCTGTTGCTTTGCTGAGAATAATAGATTGCTATCTCAAGAGTAGCATGGTAAAGTGCGCACAGACTCCCGATCCGGCCAAACCAGGTGTGCCACATCACTGCCCATTCGAACCCAAACGGCCGCCAGAGAATCGAGTGTCTTGCCGACAGAGCGACGGCAACTGCGATATCAACCAAGGCAAGCTGGGCAATTCGGTTCCCAAGCTCTTGTTGATAAGTGACCTCGTCAGATTTAATAGATCCATCAGCGGGTATTTTATCTACCAGAGCTCCTGCTGCTCCTGCTGCTCCTGCTGCTGCTACTACTGATTGTGATTCTGTCGTTGTTGATGCTATTGATATTACTACTAATAGATTTCCTGCAATCTGGATCACATGAATAGTCACAAATCCAATTGCTACGAGTATTGTGCCTGGACTGATAAGCACTCCAAAAACCCGAATCTCAAAATTCAACCATCGGCGCCATCGACCTCGCCAGGTCCGTGACAACCATCCATCGATTATTCGGTCAGGACTAATGTCTCCTCTTAATCGTCTTCTTTCTCGGGCTCGTCGTTTGTAAAGAATATACCCCAATCCAAATGCATAAATTGTGCAAAGTGTGGCTAAATGGGACCATAAAGTAGAATGATGCAAATGTCTTGTCGTTGCTGCTGCTGTAATTCCTTGATCGATTGGGATATTGTCTTTGGAATCAACATCAGATGAATTAAATAGAAAGCGGGTGTGAGAAGCCACCTGGATGATGATGACAACCAAGAAAAGAGTTCCCAACCCCCATGCTAATCGTTGCCTAGTAATAATGTGCTCCATACCAAAAAAAAAAGGGTAATTTAAGCGACTAATTAAGCCTTGAAACCAGCCCATTTCATCAAGACAAGTCACACTAGGAGGATCTCACAAAGAAAAGAAAGAGGATATAAATGAGTTGATTTTCTTCTTCTTTTGGTTATATTTAATAGCTAAAGTATTAAACTAAAGAGATAAAAAGAAGAAGACTCAAGGTGAAGATATCAAGTTAATATGAATATATATATCTGTGCGTTTTTGCCAATAAATTACTGCAGTAGACATATTTCCTGCTAAATATCTGTTAGTTTATGAGTTATTACATTGTGTGGTTGATCCAAGAAGCTTTAAAATAGTATAGACCAAATTTATTGCTATCATTATCATTGCTATCATTAAAAACAGCAAAATGCTTTATTAGAAAAGATAATGCCTGAAATATTTCACCCATTTTGTCCGTGGAGTTAAAATCGGCATTAAGTGAATGATTTGTAAGTTTCCTAAATTAATTACTGGTAAACCCCAAAAGCCCGGAATCGAAAAGTTCAATGCCTTTTGCAGATAATAATCAAGGTGACGTGAATCAATTGATACAGGAGACAGGTACATCTTCGATTCTTGATTCTCGATAGAGGGGGGAATCATGGATCTTTGATTTTGATTTTGATTTTTAGCTGTGGTTTTGTGGATCAGGATTTTTGGCTGTATTTTCCGATAGATGCCAAACATCAGATACGATGGCCCCTTGTCTTTGTCCTAAAAATGGCAAGAAAGTGAAGAAGAAGCATGAAATCCTTCACTCATACCCCAAGAGCACGGATCTTTTGAAATAGTATATAAAGGATTGACATTTTTGCACTTCTTTCCTTTTTATTACATATTCTCTCAACCTCATCTTACCTACCAAGCCTTTCTTTACCTTTACACCTCACAACCAACACTCTACAATGCAGATCCTCTCTATCCAAAAGCGTATCATCTCAAAGTGCCAGCGTCGCCAATCCTCAACTACCAACACAGCTAGCCGTGTCTCCACATTCACATCATCAATGGGCCAATGCATGAAAGGCCTCGCTTCAGTCAAGAAAGCCTTTAGCTGCAACAAAGTCCAAAACACAGTCGCACCTTCTTTGATTTCATCTTCATCGACGATCTCTGATGACTCCTTTGTTTCTGCCCTTTCTGATGACGAGAACTTTTCCAAATCTTGCCCAGTATCTGAAAAATCCATGGCCCTGGATTCACTTATCTTTGATCATCCTTCAGTCACAGTCCGCATTAGACCAGCTGCCTATCGCTCGTCTTAAATTGATCTCGATTTTGATCTCGATTTTAATCATTTGTATATACACACTGTAAAACAAACAAACAAAAAATTTGTATAATAGTCAATCCCTTCAAAAAAGCAAAGTCTTTCCTTTACATAATCTACACTACCAAAAAATCACAACACCAAAACCAAACTCCCTAGAACAAACTCCCAAAATAAAGCCTTAAAAAAAAAGTGCCACAAACAAATTTGTGGTGCTTCTTTTTTTGTTTTCAATACCAATAAACGTATTTGCCTTTTTTTTTTTTAATTCATTGATACTTCTTTAAAAATCTTGGTCATTCTTTCTATTGGTTCAGATGCATTACGTGTTTTTAATTTTGACAATATCATCTGTACAGCTAAGTTAAAGGTGATACTTGATAATATAAAGCACAAATCGATAAAATTCTCTTTAAAACTTTCCATAATCTTCTTCTTCAGCATCATCATCATCGTATACTACTACTATTACTATTATTATTAATTAAATGTTTATTACCCATTAATTTGGAACGTAATAATAATAATATATCTTTGGATAACAAAAGACTGGATTTGATTCTGGTAAGGTCTTGAATTCAGTGTAAAAAAGATATCTTTCTAAAAAGCATATAAAGAATATAATGTTTTTATTAGCAGCTTTGTTTGCTAGAAATATAAAGGCATATCTCACACGCACACGCTATATATATATATATTATCTTATGAAACGTGAGTCTCATAAATCAAGATATAAAGTTAGATGTGTTTATAATTTATTATATAAAGTGCGGTAGAGCTGTTAATAGCTACTGTTGGAAATATGGTGAAGCCAACTAAGATAGTTTAAGTTGGATATGATGTTCTTCTTTTCTGTGGCATGTGATGAGCCTGTGCTTTCCACAAGATGCGATAAAAATAAAGAGCGCAATGGAGATTCGGCATCTTCTCTGATTATGTAAATAGATGGGTAGTATGTATGAGAATTTTTTCTTGATCGTATATGCTCAATGATTGAATTGACTCGTTGTGACAATGGGTTGTCAATTTTGGGTAGGCAATCAACCTAGAGATAGCAAAGATAATGAGTATATCTTATAAATCGCATGTTTTGTATCCGTACCTGTCCTGTGTTGATTTGATGTATATCAGAAACGTTTAAAAGATCTTTGCATAGCTGAGGCACAGCATTTCTCCCAATCCATATCATAATACGTTGTCCGTTTTCTAAAAGATAGCACCCATGGCTGTCAAACTTTTCCAAAGATAAATTCATTGGGAGTGGCATTGTATGATTCTGGATCCCATCCTTAGATACCATCTAATTTCCACATACATATATAAATTTACATATTGTCGATTAGAGTACATTTACGGCGTTGCTTAGGCAGTTAAATGCTGTCTATATTACTCCTACTTACGAGTGGCGGAAGGTTGTGAAGTGAGTATAAATTAGGGTGTACGATACGAGCCCATTCTTGTAGAGGAAGGGTTCTGAGCAAGAGTGTTGTTTGTGTGCATATATTCCACGGAACTATATTCACCTCATTGAAGGTTTCCTAATCACCATAAATAATAACAATAGTCAGCGGCTAACTATATTATGTATAGAATAATATATATAAAGACATGTACATACACTCTTTAGTATTCCAAATATCAAAAGCGGCAATAAGCTCAGATTATGGCAGATAGAAATATTATTCTCGCCGTTTTGTTTAGCACCTGTCATCTCTTTGTTGTAGGCTTTACAAATCTCTGCGGTCTCTTTAACCAAATGGTCCCTGCCATGACGCCGTTTTTGAGTAACAGCTTTCTCGATTGCTAAGAGAAGAAGAAAAAAGGGGGGCGTGTAAGCTTCATATTATTATTATTATTATTATTATTATTATTAAAAAACCTCGTGTACAAAAATTTACATTGAAGACAAAGAGACTTTGCAATTGCTACTTGATCTGCACGCGCATATAGCTCAGATAAACTTTTTGTTACTGGCAAACAAAGCGTCATTACTCGAATGCGTCTTTCTCCTGAACTGGTGGTGTAAATCAAAGCTGTTTGAAAAAATGATGTCGAAGTACAAATTTCTGCCTCGATTGACATCTCGACGCAGAAAGACTGTCCTTGCGGTACATTTGGTAAAAGCATCACATCCGATGACAGTGGGGTAATATTTCCGTGAAATGATGTGCATGCAATACCACTCGAGCATCTTGTTCTCATCACACCCTCGAGCCCGATATCTTGGTTTAGCATGCAAAGTATTTCTTGTCTAAGCTTATTAGCTTCTGCTCCGTTTGCTCCATTAAAGCCAGGAAAATAATGGGTATGTCCTCCTGTGAATCGTGGAAGCATATCTATAAAATACACACACACACACACACATCGTCTCAAATTAGTTTGCTTTAATTAGTATAATCTTTTAAGGATACTTTACTCATAGTTGCCAAGTCAACGCTATTACTTCCAAAAACAAACATATCAACTGAAATGTTTGCTTTACAGCAATCGGATGAAATTGATCTGTAAAAATCCTCTTGGTATGCCATAATAGGCATCTCGCTTGATACAGCTTTTTTAAAGTCTTCCGATCGAATTGCTCCTTCTCCAACACTGGGTAAACTTCCTTGAAAGCATACAATTTTTCCACCCGATGATATCTACAACATATAACGCGAAACGAGATTATCAATACAGCACATTCGACTCTTGGTTTCTTTTTATATATATATATATATTCATACTAGACATTAACTTACCAATAGTTGCTTAGCAGCTTCTATGGCTACTCCAAGACAATTCAAATTCGTACATCGCTTCACATGCATCTCTGACATCCTTTTCAACAAGTCCTCCACAATAGGCCTACATTCCAACAAGTTTACAACCAGATCGTCGGGTGTCCTTGGTAGGTAAATCTCGGATAGATCGCTTACAACCATAAGCTCCGGTTGTTTTCCTGACAGGCTGTAAAACCCAACTCCACTATCCACGGTTAAGAAAGTGACTTTAACTCGTCCTTCTGGATTGGGAATACTATCCAATGCTTCTAAGATAGAATTTGCTACAACTGGGAGTATTCCTGCTTGAACAGCCTGTACCGAAACGTCAATAATAAACACATAAACCGGAGGTTGAAGAGGATCTTGAGCATATTCAGATGGTGCAACTATATCTACACACCCGTGGTTAAGTTCCACTCGACTCCAGCGATCTACTGGACGCTGATTGATACTATCCCAGTCAAAAAAAGGTGGCACTATATAAAGCACAGTATCTATTTTAGTGACATATTCAATAGGGATATGGAAACATAAACCTCTACAAATAAACTTACCCTGATTTTTGGTATCACATAGGTTGCATTGCCATTTTGTGCCTCCTTCGGCAAATTGTATGAAAGGATTTATGTAAGACCGACACTTCGTACACCGAATTACGGAAGAGTTATTTATCAAGGGTATATTGATCTTGTAAATATATATATATGTAGATACGATCAGTAAAAGATTCTATGTTACTAAGTATGTTACATCAAAAAACGATACTCACATCATTGGATTGAAGATTTGGGTAAGGTTCTAAAATAAGTGACAGGGGTAGTCTAGACCTTTGCAACAAATCTTTTGTATGAGGAATAGCATTTAGAGTACATCTTTTGAAGACAGAACTACACTGAGCATGCGTAGGTAAAGAAACCGTACTCTATAAAATTATGATATTCAGTTTTAATTTTTTTAAAAAAAATTGGTTAATAAGCCTAGGTCTTACATTTGGCGGTGGCTGAGGACTAAGGCGAGAAATATGAAGGTCTTGCACGGTAGGAGGAGTTCTCATCAACAACACGTCACGACTGGTTTCGGTTGTACCATAGTTAGGGTGAGGTAGCTGCGGATGCAAGAATCGCTTAGTAGGGCTTTTTTGTATGCCTGTTGGCGTTTGTTGAACGTATGCTGAACTATACAACGGTGGCTTCGCTGTATCAAGATTTGGTCGATTTAAAGAAATTTGTCCGGAGGGACCTAGTGGTAGGACTAAAGGTACAGATACTTGACTAGCCGTAGAAAAGGTTGAATAGTGTTGCCTTGGGCGACTTGGAATGTATTGATTGCTTTGCTGAATTGGCGCTGGGGCACTGGCTTGATATCGTGAATTGATTTGTAGATTCTGGAAATTAAGGGGATCAAGGGAAGGTTGCATTTGTGAAGGGTTGTTCACAGGAGTCGCGGGATGCCATTTTGTAGGTTTTCGGGATAAAGAGGTGGTTTCATGCGCAGGAACTAACAAAGGAGAAGGGATTGTCATTATCTTTATTCGTTTTGTACAACTCTTAAACCTTTGCCTGTTATTTTGTAAGAAAATATTCAACTAACCAAACATTATTTGTGATAACAAATGAAAAGAAGAATGGACAACTATAGCATAATAGACCTTTATATAAACATCTTATCTGAGCTCATAGTAGACTTAATACCTATTGTTGCAATTATAATTATTCAAAATACTCAGTGTGTTAGAATAACTTTAATATGCAAAGAATGTAGCTAATTTGATGTTTCATAAAATTATGATAGTCCTATCAAGAAAGCTGAATATTTTGTTTATATTTCAATTTTATCTTGTAAATTAACCATGCCAGATAAGCCGTTTTATGGTCATTTTATAGCCCTGGATTTCAATCACACACAAGCTACTCCTGTGGCCGTTATATCAACCTAACCTCATAAACAGAATACTTAAAAGAATGAGAGTAAAAAAAAAGTATATCCTAACCTTGGCTCTTATTCTGCTAAATATCGTATACTACTTGTTTTTTAAACACTTGTGTTGTTTACAAGGGGAAAATAATACTCAAGAAATCACACACACAAATAACACCTTTTCTCATTTTAACATTATTTATTAAATAGATATATAAAAATGTTTTGCTCATGGTCTTAAACAACTAATTGCACAGATTTTCTTCAATAACCACATTCTATGCATCTTTTCTTTTTTAATTAATATAGTGGTCCAAGCATAATACATTTCACAGCAGCTCCCTTTTTAAGTTTTGCTAGGCTATCTGATCGCGCAGGAAGTTCCAGAAGACCATTTCCGGCTAATAAACTCAGCAAACGACTGCTCTGTTGATCTCCTGTAGATTCTGCAATAAGCTCACTACCAGAGACAAAAACTCGAACTCTGTGGTATTCTGGCCGGCCATCTAATTCAATGTCTTGAGCGATCTACCGAAAATTTAACGGGTAGAATATAATCAGTAAATAAGTGAAGTTTCAGTAAACGTGTTATTAAATTTCATTTTGAATAAATTAAATACATACTTTTACGAGAAGAGAAACATTCTCTGGGTGAGGGTGGCCAGAAATTTGACGTAGTGCAGGAAGCACGAAAAGGTAAAATGAGACAGCAGCAGACACTGGATTTCCTGGTAGTGCAAAAACAAGTTTTTCTTTTCCGCTTTCATGTTTTATCGTAGCAAATGTCGTTGGTTTTCTGCAATAGCCTTTTGGATTAGCCCCAAACAATATATACGCAGCCGATACTAGTAATAAAATAAGATCAAATTCACCTACCCTGGTTTCATTAGAACACGACCAAAATGTATCTTGGCACCAAATTTTTGTTCAAGAATAGGCTTCATATAATCAGCTTCACCCATAGAAACTCCTCCAGTGGTTATGATAACGTCTGCCTCTTCAAGAGCAGTAGATATTCCTTCTGTTATAGACTCTACTGAATCTTTCAAAATTCCCACGTCAAATACATCAAATCCAGCGCCTGTCACTGCTGCAGATAAAGTAACGCGGTTGGCATCTCGAACCTGTCCTTCAATAAGAGGACCATTCTCACTAGAAGCTTCACGTAACTCATTTCCTGTTGACATTATAGCCACAACAGGTTCCTGGTAAACATGTGCAGAAAAGACTCCCACAGAAGCAAATAATCCAAGCTCCCCACCCATATTGGACATAACCTGCCCTCTCTTGCCAACAATATCACCAATTGCACAATCGCTTCCAATCTCACGAATATTTTCTCCTTTCTGAGCTTGGACAAGGATCTCAACCGTCTCTTCGTGTTTTCCATCTTCAGAGGACTTTACCAATCGAGTATCTTCGATCATTACTACCGCATTTGCACCTAGAGGAAGAGGACCACCGGTCGAAATACGAGAGATTTGACCACGTTGGAGAACTTTCTTTTCTGTGGTGGGTGCCGCCAGGGATACTGATCCGACAGTATAAATTCCTGGCCCATCTTCCACTGCACACCAGCCCACAAAATTAATGAATTGGTGTACATGCACATATTACTAAGATCAATATACTTACCATGTACAGCATATCCATCCATAATAGAAGCGCGATAGCCTGGGACATTTTCAACGGCTGAGATATCTTCTGCAAGTACTCTTCCAGCCAACCCAGCTCCAAGCTCACAGGAAATAGTCCCTATAGGAAGAGTATACGAGGAAACAATGCTCTGTGCCTCAGATACAGACACCATGGGATAAGGAGAAGACCGGGCACGAGTGGGGACTAAACATGATCGATATGGCCACGGTTTAATTGGTTGCTTATACTTTATGCCCCATTATTAATATATATAAATCATACCAAATGAACCGAGATCCTTTGACCGGCCTGTTTGACTAGCGTGTCCTGGTGCATCATGTTTATGCGTGCATGTATGATAATGATGTTTTGTAATTTTCTGAGGGTTTGGTTTTTCATTTTCATCTTTCTGGATAGCAGCATGTAACATAGCAACTGGCTCGCCTCGGATAAGATCCAGACCGTGAGGAAGTACATTGATAATAGCAGCCATATTTTCTTTGCACGCCTTTGGACTGCCTGGGAGTGTAATTATGAGGGTCTTATTACGTATTCCTGTGACGGGGCGTGAAAGTGCTGCAAATGGAGTAATAGCAAGAGAGCTTGCCAGTAGTAGGTGAGTGATACCAGGTGTCTGACGTGTCAACAGAGGGATAATAGCCTGTATTCAAGTACAGTGAATATTGACTTATTCATACATACACATATACAGATTTACATGGTTTTCCTTGATTTAAATATACAATACCTCTGGTGTAGTATCTCTTTCTGAGAACCCAGTACCACCTGTGATGACGATAAGATCAAGGTTGAATTCATCCGCATAATGTCTGACATGCTTTTGAATCTGATCAACATCATCAGGCACAATGTCTGTTTTACACACACGATACTTTTTTGTGTCTTCCAGAATCTCTACAAGGACAGGTCCGCTTTTGTCAAGCTTAGGGCTGACCGAGGACGTGTCGCTGACTGATGCAGGCTGATGAGTAGTGCTCCTGGAAAAAGTTGGTACTTAATTGTTTACCTGTAATAATTCCTGTATCGTATCCTATAGATTCTACTGTTGTATTTCATTTGAGATTTATTTCTGTAATATACACATACACATACATACATATATATATATATATATGATCATAATAACTGTATCTAGTATTACCCTCTGTCATATTTGAAACGTTTCTTCTCAAAAGGATTAAATGATGAAAGTTTCAGAAAATTATAGCTTTATTTATTTATTTCTTTTTGTTTGTTTGTTTGTTTGTTTGTTTGTGATATAAGTGCCAAATATACAAAAGGTAAAAGACAAGAGCGTTCTGACTAAGCCTATCTATTTTGTTGAGGATGATTTTCTGAACCTTGCAAGAAAGAACCCACTTGTACGACTAGTAAGCGGATCAAATCGTACACACGATTTCTGTATCGCATCCTGAATTTCAGGTGTTGCCTCTTTGAGATCAGTACGTCTGATTGATGCAAGCTTAATATCCAATTTTTCTACACATGGTACATTCTCCAATGTTGCATCTGGATAGTGCGCTAAGAACCAAGCAACATTATCTTCATTTTGCTTGATAGTAAGAGAGCAAGTACTGTAGACCATAAGTCCATCATCTTTCAGCATCTTCCAGCCTTGTTTCATCAAATTGCGCTAATTGTGTTTAAAAAATAAGTACCAAATAAGATATAAGTAGATAATAACCAATCTACCTGCAATTCACTGATGGTGGCCAAGCGTTCTTTATCCATAAAATTCTTCTCAAAGGTATCCCAACCCCATTTCTCATACTATAAGGTACAGTTAGATTAATATCCAATATCACTTAGTAATTAGAATTGAATAATAACCTTAATTATGTGACTAATTGATCCATCGTGTGTGCATTCAGCATCAACGAGTACCTGATATACACAGAATATCACATTAGAAACTTCTTATTACAATGTTCCAATAAATGGGGGCAATTCGTTCACCTTGTCGTATAATCGACTGGGGCACATATCATCAAATCGCAACATTCTGGGAGCCCAAAATGGATTAATGTTCCCGGCCTTTTTTTGGGTCTTTCTTCGTTTTGCTGGTCTGGCCTCATCTAGTTTTACATCACCAAGTACAACACTTCCCAGACGCGATGGTGCAGGAATAGCAAACTGCGTTCCATCAGCTGCAAATAATCTTGCTCGTTCACCAACTCGATATTTCTTTAACAAAGATTGGCAGGTGGCCAATCGGTGAGGAGCCAAATCAACACCTGTCACAGTTCCTGTTCCCTTTTGGCCAATGATGTTGGCAATCATGCATAGTTTGGCACCAGGTGCACAACAGACATCCAATACATGGTCATCTTGCTCAATACACAAGGCTTCAACAGCTACGGCAGAACTCAAATCAATTCCAAAAAGGGAGTGGTCCTTGTACCTGGGAGTTTTTTTGTTTTATATATATATATATATTTAAAAAAAGGTTAAAAATCTGAATTATTTAGAAAACAAATTAACAAAAATAAATATAGAAATAGAACTACCTACGCAGGGATATCAAATAAACGTGGACCATTTTTCACCAAGTTAAACCCAAAGAAGCCATCAAGGCCCTGGACTTTCCAGACATCTTGTGTCTTTAGTTGTTCGCGAAGTTGATCAAGAGTTGGTAACAAGCTCTGATCGAGATGGCTGTTCCACCGTACGAAGCGAGGAAGTTTCGTGACTGTATAGATTCGTGGATCAATGTCATTGTCTTTGAGAAAACGTTTAAAGGATTCCGGAAGATTAGTGATGTCGAACCCTGAATCAATATCGGTATCAATGTCAAGATCTGATGGTGAAACTGCTGTAATGTCACTCATTAGGATAACGTCTAGAGACAAAAATCCAGCCAGCAAAAAAAAAGAGTATTACAAAAATATATACATTGTTTCCGGAAGGTAAAAAAAAATCGTGAAATATGCTGAAATACAAAAAAGAAAAAGAAAAATTGACTTGTCCATTTACTAGACCAAACATATTCTTTTTTTTTTTGTTTTCGTTAAATGTGAATCTCATTGTTGTTACTGTTATATGATTTTCAAACATTTGTATTTGTGTTTTGACTTTTAAGCAACACGATTTCACTCTCACCGAAAAAGAGAAATTACATACGATAATCTTAGCTGAACGGGATTACGGATGACAATCCAAACCATACAACCCCTGATTACGAAACTGCCACTTTAAAAAATACTCGAAACCTTTGTTGATGATCCTTTCTCTTTTTTTTGGGGGGGTTCTGAAGAGTCAGCCAAAAGATTAGGGCTAAAATCTTATCGATATTCCCATTTGGTCAAGGTCCTTTACTTCCCCCTCAATCTTGGAGCAGTATTTTTCAATGAGATTTAAAAAAGACGAGGTATCGTGGTAGAAACAAAGCAATACATCCATTGTCATGAATTGCTGTCACGACCTCTTTAGTTTTGTATATTGTGGAATTATCCATAACAATGCGCAAAAGACTTACTGTAAACTCATTTTATTATAATTGACTTTTGTAAGTTACAAACAAAACAACAACAAAAAAAAAAAAAAAAAGGGGGGGGGGGGGGGGCAGGGGGAGGCAACAAAAATTGATAATATCGTTCTTGCCCATCATCATTGGCATGACCATACTGGATTCCAAAGTTAAAAGTTGACAAGTCATCTATATAGAATTGGATACTACAGGTATCAATAACGCACTTTATTTTGCATTTAGGCAGAGTTCTTTATGATTTTTTCTGATATGCGATGGCTCAAATTACTTTACAGAGAGGATGTCATAGAATCACATATTTTTAAATCTTGAGAGTCGGGATTAGCAGGCCTATACTGGCCGACAAGACTAGGTCGCCCAAACTATGCAACAACTATTACTTGACCCAAACCTTAAAGGCAAACGTGTAAAAGGTAAGGGCCTGAAGTTCTCATGTGCTTTACGTCTCACCCTGGTAAAACATGTGTTGAACAATCAGAATGGTATACTTTTTTTTGTATTTATTGGTACTGCCGCCGCACACAGTGCGCGACCTTTGAAATTGAAAATTGAGGAAAGATAAAGTTACGGAAGGGAAAAGAAAAAAGATATGGACGCTAGTTAGGTGGTGTGGAGGTCATGGGATCTATGTATGGTAGTTACTGCCTTAGTTGTGACTACATTGAGGAGGAAAGATGAGGTGCAGTTGAAAATGAACTCAGTGGTTGGGACCCTTTGCCAGAGGATTTTCCACCAGAGAGATCGTGTGTTATGTGGCATGGACCACCGCCAGAACAATTTCCAGGAAATATCAGCGTGAATTAAAGAGGAAGGAGACGTGAGGAGGTGACGCCTGAGGGAACCAGTCAAATCCTTGTGGAGTTGGCGACCGTCGAGTTGAACAAGAGACACAAGGGAGAAAAGGCCGCCCACCGGTCAGAAAAACACCCTGCAACAATGCATGTGTTAATTGGGGTGAAGTCGCTTTATTGATTTTATCAGTAAGTAAAAAGGGCGTGTGTCAATGTTTGGAAAAATACTAGTTGATTGTTCTCAAAAAAATAACTATGAATGGTGACGCTCTATTTTCAAATAACACTGGTAAAAATAAGAAAGTGTGTTATAAAAACAAACACTCTCTTACATGAAATTATTTAGACACAACTGACAGCATCCTCCCCTATAATCACAGGCCAAGAACTGACTTAATTAATAAACTGGTACTAACTGACACACAAGTAATAATTGCGCTATCAAAAGCTCTCGTGCCAGAAGCGGCAGAAGACAGCTACATTTCAGTGCCTACATAATTCATAACCGGAAAAAAATGTGATGTTCTTTATACTAGCCAAAAGAACACGCCAGCATCGAATGGACCTTGTAATTGCTGGGTTTGTGATGATGGGTAATATAAACTGTTCTCTAATTGCACTAAAGGGCAATATTAATAAGTCTCAAGATCCGTGCTATAACGTTGGATAGACCAGCGACATACATATGTCGCTACAGGAAAACAATCGGAAGCAAACTTGGCGAGTTACTTGTGCTTGTTTCTCAAGTAAAGTAACTTATTTGCAATACTTTAGCAATAATGAATTCAAGTACACTCATCAGCTGCTAACAGTTTGAGAATGAGGAGGATAGTGATGCTGAGCTTCCTGTTTGTCCAACTACACCATAGTGGTGATCAACGCACCTTAAATATGCTTTTGCTTTATATTGATATATATATGTTTAGTAAATATACCTTGATTAATAATCAATAGGATAATTGTCAAGCATTTGATGTTTGAGAAGATCACAAAAAAAAAGTATTTTGTAAATTTAGAATATAGAAACGCAGATATTTTATTTAGGTTGGATTTGAGTGAGTTTTGAAAGGGGGATGGAATTGAAGGTATTTTATGTAAGTATCAATATCAAGTATGTGTAGAATTATTATTATTCTTTAGTATTACAATGGAAGAGCTGTATCACCACTGTAATCTGATACTGCTGTTATATTATTTATATCTACTACAGATTGCTATCTTATAGTTTCGTACACTTGAAAAATAAAGGGTATACGTGTGTACTTGTGTATGTGTATGAGAGCATAAAAGTCTATTCTTCTTACTCTTGTTTGTTTGTTTTTTTATATTTATTTATTTATATTTTAATAATTTTTGTATTATTTTTTTAGGGTGGGGGATTCTTTCTTTTTAATATAAAGCTGGTTGGTTTACCGGCCATCAAGCAGAATACTACTAGATTTACTGGGAATATGGTAGATGATATATTCGACCTCCTTCTTCAGGTCGTCACAATAACGGTTCAACGGCAAGTCGTTCTCATCGTAACCAACTATAGACAAAATGATGAGCAATTTAGGAATCATGGCTGAGGTGGGTTTATATAAATAAAAAAAACGTACATGGATTTTCAATTTCAGCACCAATGGCCTCAATACCGAATAGCGTAAAAGATACAAGTGCGACAATTGGAGCGGTAAGCCAGCCGATGGTTTCGACCAATGCAAAAGGAAGGAAGAAGATATAAAGAAGGACACCTTGTTTCCTATAAAAGAAATAAAGTTATTATTAATATTACTATTATTTTTATTGTTTTCTGTAAAGTTAGTTAAGTTTAAAGAGAGAGAAAAAGAAACATACAAATGAATATTGTAAGCCTTTGGTATAGGGGTATGAACAATGCGTTCGAATGCAGTAAGTGAATTTGTGAGGGTATCGAGTGAAGAAGTAGTAACGGCTACAAAACTAGACTCAATCTTTTCGGCCGCCTTAGCCTGGTTGATATAAAGTGCAATCTTGAATAGAATTTCGATGGGCAAGGAGATATCAGAATCACCGTGATAAGGCAAATCTTCAGGGCCAGAGAAGGCCCTCTTTGGCTTGAGACGGCGTCTAAGGTTGCTAAAATGATGCTTGTGGCGGGTAGTGTGAACGTCCTCATCCGAAGAGCGTACTCTTACGGTGGCCTGATCAGAATCTGGTACGACTGCATTATCATGATGAGGTGTGTCGTCCTCATCGGACCTTCCTTCCAGTTGAGCTTCTTCGTCTCCATTCATTATTAATCTTCCTGAACGGTTAAAGTCCTGTTGTTGCATAGTCAGCTGGCGACCTCTGCCAGACGCGGCCAATTTGAGATCTGCACATGAAACATCGGCAAGTCCAGCCTCAGGGAACCGGTCAGTAAGTTCGCTGCGACGGGCGTTCATGATATCGATAGGGTCATCGGCTTCCATGGGTTCATCGTGGTTTGGAGGCTTGACGCTGTTATGAAGTGAGATAACGAAAGGAAGAGCACTAGCCTTGGCAAGGGCGCGCTGGGCAAATGGTGTAAGGTTGAGATCTTTGACAGTTTTTTTTACAGGTTGGTTTAAGTCCTCAGAGTGATTTACACTGCATGGAACCCAATCGGGAGGCAGGAGTACTTCCACTAAACAAAAAAGTACGAATAGAAAATAAAGTAAGAACTATGTCTCCAGTCTCTGGATTATAGATATACTACTCACAATCATAGTAATCAATTCCATATTCGTGTCTGAGATGATGCTTTGTTGCTACCATGAACGCCAAGATTAGTTTGATGCAGCGCATTTTCTCGCGATGGTCCTGATCCGTCTCTTCGGGGATATTTATCCAGACCTGTCTGGTCAGATTGCGGATGGTAGCAATAACTGTTTGAACCAATTTACGCCCTTCCCAATAACGATCGTACGCGGTATTCACACGGAAAGCCAAAAGCAAACCAAGTGCGACAGAGACCGTTCCCACTGAAATATCAGGTCCACAAAAGCAACAATAAAAAAACGAAAAAAGACGTAAATACCAAATACTCTCTATTTGATAGACATGTCCTAACTTACAAACAGAGACAGGAATATTGATAAAGAAGTTGAGTTGGATGTGGCAGATACATATGACACAAGCAAAACAGGTCATGCCAAACACACCAGGTAATGTCGGGACAAGGACCTATGGACAATATGAGCTTTGGAGATTCCCTCTAACTATAAAATTTGAGATTACCGATCCCTTCCATCGCAAAACGTCAGGCCAGGCAAACTGTTCTTTTATGTAGTCCCAGACTAAGTCGAGGGTCGTCTTTGCATGAGGAAAAAACGCCCTCGTTAGCTCTACAGTTCAATATCCGTTTAAGCGTTTTTGAATATTTTTGAATATTTTTTTTTGTGTCAAAGAGTAATTATAATGAATTGACAATCCCATTTTTGCGAAAATGAGGTTTTTATTTTTAATTTTTTAATTTAATTTTAATTTTTTATTTTATTTTATTTAATTTAATTTTATTTACCTCGCTTTGGAGGTGTATTCATAATGTACGCGCCAAATAGATATATAAGATAGGATAAGACGAAATAAAGTGAAAAGTGAAAAGTGAAAAGTGAAAAAGTGAAAGGCTTTGACTTGAAGGAGCATTTTCTCCAAATTGAATTTGGTTTGTATTTATAGACAGCTAAGCAACAATGTCATCATTTTCCTCAATATCTGTAACACAAGAAGTTGTTGAAAATTGGATATTCATATTCTTATATTCATGTAAAAATAAAATAAAAAATAACAAGCAATTATTTATTTATTTATTTATTTATTTATTTTTCTTTACATTATATATATTTGTATTTTACATTTACAATATACATTTATACATATACTGGAGTGCGTTTATGTATATTTTTTTATGTAGCTAGCTTATCAATTATCAAAAACTGCCTATATATTTTTTCAAACTACCGGCTAACTAGCTTGATTACTTCTTTTTAGCAATTTTCTCTTTCATTTTCATTTATTGTGTAATAAAATATATTTTATATAAATATAAAAAAATATGGCCAAATCATGAAGCCTTGGATGAACTGATAATCATCCTCAGTGATTATTTTGGCTTTTCATTATTCCCTGTTCTTTTGTTTTCGAGAAAGAACCGCTTTGTCAACATTTTGTACAGCAAAGAACGGCGGTAGCAGGGTTAAGAAAAGAAAAAGCTTTCCACATTTGATGCCTCTATTTATGCCTTTTTTTTTTTATTATTATTCTTGAGAATAAAAAGAGTATTCAATTTCCGTTTGTGACTTTTTAATTCAAAAGTTTTTTTTTTATAAATTATTAGATATGCTTGGAATTGTATAATATATTATATACATAATTATGCTAAGTTAATGCTGACTTTTTTTTTGAAATTTCCATTCATGTGACTATCTTTTATCATAATTAAATTACAGTTTGCTGGGTTTTCGCTATCCATGGCTCTTCCCGCTAAGACTCCGCTACCCCTACCAAGGGACCCCTCACCACCTCCTGGCTCACCCACGCCATCACTCAACACTCCATCTACACTAACTGGCTCACCACCATTGTCTCCATCTTACGTAGCTGCGGCTGTTAAGTATGTAGACAATTCTTGTACATCTCGCATCATCGGCTCCATCGCTGGTAATGGCGCTCCACGCATATGGAAAGAAGGCTCCTCTCCATTTTCTGTTTTCTACGAGGTCCCTGCTGAGGGAAACCCTCTTCGTCCTTTGTTCTTTGAGGCTCTTAACACCGCTTTCCCATTGGGTGTTGGCCGCGGCCTCACATATGCCTCTCGTACTTCCCGCACCTCCTTCGAATTCCATCTAGTAGACCAAGAAGCATGCTCGCGCGCATGCCAAGTTGGCTTTCCTTTTAATGGACGTACTGTCTTCGCTTCTCCTGCCATTCCTTCGACGTTTAAGCTCTTGCGCTTACGTGTGTCTCGACTTCCTCTTCACGGATATGCGGATTTTGATGAACTTGCCGAGAATCTTCGCCGCTGCCTTGCTATATACGGACAGGTTCAGGAAATATCCTTGAATTTGAAATATAACTACCCCGACGGCACAGGCACCATCCATATGCTACGCCCACCTAATCCTGATCTTCATCTGCGTCACTTGGAACATGAGATCAAGTATAATGAAACTACAACTTTCCTTGCCACTTGGGCACGTATAGGTACTCATTGTACTTTCTGTAAAGAGATGGGTCACGAGAAAGAAGCTTGCACCAAGCGACCCAAAGAAACCCGCACCTGCTTCCGCTGTGGTAAGGTTGGTCACCTTGCCCATCAATGCCCACGAAACGAGGAAGCCGAATCAAAACGCCCTCGCAAAACTGCTCGCTCCCCAACCCATGTCCCTGCACCCCCAGCCGCTCAGATGTATCATGGTCTTCTACCCTCTGAAACAATCTACGGCTCACAGCACGCCCCGCAGAACATACCCCTACCTCCATTGGCTACTGAATCCCTTTCTAGACCACGCGCGGCCCCGGGCGCCATTCCGGGTGTTCTTCCCGCCAACCATTCTGACTTCCTGATAGAAGCAGCGGCTAGTACTGGCATGGATGACAACGTCCAATTGGTTAAGACCAGTGATGGCGAACTTGGTAACGAAGAGACGAAGAAAAGCGACGATGAGGAATACTACAGCGACGATGACATCGATGAGATCGCCAAGTATTTCGCTCAAATGGAAGATGATCCCATGGATGGTGAAAATGACGGTGGACAAGATCCTCCAAATCCAGCTCTTACTTTATGATTAAAATCTCCACGATAAACTGTCGAGGCCTGGCCAAATTGGCCAACCCCACCTTACGCTCATTATTTATACGCCACCTACGCTCTCAGCATGTCGATATACTCGCCCTGCAAGAAACTCATGCTTCCTCTATGGATATACAGAACACATTCAATATGCAGTTTAGGACTACTTCCTCAGTTTGGTCCCAACATTGTGGTTTAGTGTGCCTAACTCCTACGATTTCTATTGTCAACCCTTTAACCTCTGTCTGTGGCCGATGTATATCTGCTACAGTTGAGCATGCCAACAATAATTTTTCCCCTTTTCAGATCTGTGTGGTATATGCCCCAGCTACAGTTGGACAGCGGTATAAATTCCTATCTGCCCTGCTTGCTAACTCTTTATTATTGCCCACTCATCCTTCACGCTTCATCCTGCTGGGAGATTTTAATCACTCCTATCACACTCGTTCACCTCGGCCCCGACTTGCACCTCATACGTGGCTCCAATTCCTCTCTGACCACCTCTTTGACTGCGTCACTATGCCTGATTCTACCCCTATGCCTACCTTCCATCGCGGCACAACGTCCTCCACCTTGGACTATATATTCTCCTCTTCCGATATGTTTTCCCACCGCATTTCGTCTTCCGTGGATTATATTCATCCGCAATGGTCAGACCATTTCCTAGTTTCCGCATCTTTTCTCTTTGATTCAGGCACTGTCTTGGGGAAAGGCCTATGGCGTGCCAACCCACGTCTGTCCTACAACCAGCATTTCTGTCTCCAGCTTGACTCTCACATTCATTCCCTCGTCCACTCTCTACCAACATCTCTATCTGTTCAAGAACAGTGGGATAGTCTCAAAACCGATGTCATCCATTTTATCCGCTCTTATTGCCGTCGCCCTCGCCGCAACCTCACTACGATAGAAGCCCAGTTGCAGAGCAAGCGCGCGCACCTGATACAAAAGTACCGACTCAACCCCTCCATTAACTTCCAGCTTCCTTTTGTGGAACGACAGATTCAGGACATACAACACGAAAAGGTAGAAACACAGGCATTGCGCGCTGGAAAACACTGGCGGGAACAGGGTGAGACCTCTGCCGGTTACTTGAAACGTACGATTGAAACACGACAAGTCCGTAAGTCGATCTCTGGCCTACGCCACCCCTTCATCAACGTCCTTTCGACACAGCCTTCTATCATGACCGACTCCGCGGCTGCATTTTATGAAGATTTGTATTTCCCCGATGACATTGAGCAAACCGCTGTAGACGACCTTCTACATAATCTTCCGACTCATATTGTTCTCTCTGACGCTCTTGTAAACAAACTCACTTCCTCCTTTTCCATCGTAGACATACAAGAAGGTGCGCAGCGGTCTCCTTCCGCCAGCAGTCCCGGTCCTGACGGGATACCCTATGAAATCCTTCGTCTTCTTTTTGACCATCCCGCGTGTGCTCATATCTTGGAAAAGCTTTACAATGACGCTCTCACCACTGGAGTTTTTCCTGCCTCTTGGCAATCTACTTGTCTCTCCTTGCTACCGAAGAAATGAGACCTTACATCTTTGAAGAACTGGCGACCTATTGCCTTGATTAACACTGATGCAAAGGTCTTTACTCGACTACTCAATGCCCGTATGATTCCTGCTGCCAGCTCAATTGTGTCTCAATATCAAACCGGGTTTGTGAGGGGAAGGTTCATTGCTGACAATGGCATGCTTGTCAAGACCATTATGGAACAGGCCCGGCTCACTCAATCCACCAGTATTGGCTTGCTCTTGGATCAAGAAAAGGCTTACGATCGTGTACACCCCTCGTACCTGCGACAAGTCCTGCGCCATTTCCGTTTCCCTTCCTCTCTCATCGATTGTATTTGTAACCTATTCTTCTCTACTCGAATACGAGTCAATGTGAACGGTCATATCTCCCGAGAACTTGTTCAGCACCGCGGTCTCCGACAGGGCGATCCTCTGTCCCCCGTTCTCTTCAATCTCGCCTTTGATCCTCTTCTACGCCGCCTCCAACATGACCCTGAATTTTCTGGGTTTCTCCCACCTATCTCGCCAATCCTTCCAGCCCCCCCTCCAGTCAAATGTCTTGCATATGCGGACGATGTCATTGTTTTCCTCTCCACACCCGAATGTTTCACACGCCTCCACACACATCTTGCCACTTACTCTCAGGCCTCCAATGCCAAGATCAACATGGCCAAGACGGAGGCCATATCGCTTTCGGGACAACCACTTCCTCACTGGATCACGTTCCTACAGGCCCACCAAATAACATCCTGGCACGACCGTTCCTGTCCTGACTCCCTCCGCTACCTTGACTTCCCTCTTGTCAGTTCGATTGCCCAACGCGATGCCTTTTGTTCCTCATTGTTAACAACCATACAATCTTCCTGCGCCATACACCTCACTCGATCCTTATCGATCCGGGGGCGTGCCACCGTTCTCAATACTCTCATTCTCTCCCGTCTCTGGAATGTCCTACGCGTGATCTCTGTTCCTGTGTCGTTTCTCGATAAAGTGAAGTCGGCCATGGGTCAGTTCTTGCAGCACCGAATGTTTCCTCCCATTAAGCTGTCCACTCTTTGTCTCCCTCTTCGTTCTGGCGGCCTTGGAGTATTAGATCCTTCTATACAACAAGGTGCTCTTCAGCTGCGTTGGTTACGTCCTCTCTGTCTCTCTCCTCACTCCACCTCTGGCTTAGTTCCTCCTTGGCTGTCCTTTCTCTTACGTTATCATACGTCTGGCACCGACCCCCGATTGACACTTCTCTTCCACGATCTTCGCCCCCCCCCCCCCCCCGATCTGACTGGCCTTGCAGGTTGCTTCCGCAACATATTCTCTGCTATTGATAGGCTCCCGCACGACTTCTCCCTTGCCCCCAACATTGCTACGTGTTTGGCACTTCCCCTCCGCTCAGTATGCCTACCAGCCACAAGCACTACCTCCTTCTCTCCCTCCTGGCAACACCTCCGCGTTGAAGATGCCTTTCTTGTTGACCCTTCTTTCGACGTTCTCTGCCGTCGAGCGCCGGCTGATTTCCCACGCAACCCGCTCATATTGCGCAAGTTTTTCAAAAGAGTTGACTCTCGCGACACCTTGCTACAACCTTTCCTTGTTCGCGCTTTCCTCCCTTCTCATATCCTTCAGCTCAATGACCCTTCCATTCCTTCCCGTTCAGGCCCATCAATCAATGCTAGCCCTTTTGTTTGCGGCCTTTTACCCGGAATACCGTGGTCCAAGCTGAAACCTCGTATGTATCGTTCTCTTTGTTCCTCTTCTGTTTCTCCTCCCCTGTCGTCTACACTGTCCAGCTCACAATGGCGAATCTTTTGGAACCTTCCTATACACCACCATGTCCGCAACATCTGGTACCGAGGTCTGCACCACAAATTGTCATCCCGCTCCCTGTTGCATCGCATACTTCCTGGCCCCTTCCCCACCGACTCTTGCCCCATTTGTGAAGCCTCTACAGACACACCCGACCATTTCCTCTTCTCCTGCCCCCTCAAAATTGACGTTTGGTCTACATTCTGGCAAGATGTCTTTGGATCTCATCCTACTCTTCCTATACTCCATGATGCATTTTACAACCTGTCTTTCCCCTATACCCGCCCCTCTGATATTCACGCCGCCTCTCTCTTTAGCTGTGCCCTTCTGGCGATCTGGCGACATCATTGGTCCACGGTGTTCGACAATACACTTTTTGTATCTTCCACCGTCCTATCTACCGCTTCCCGCTTGGTTGCCATATTTAAGGCTGAAAAATCTCTTGATGACCTTGCCTGTTCTCTTGCTACTTAGCTCTACCTTTAGTTTTCCTTCTTACATATACACCTCAAAAAAAAATCAAAAACCCAAAAACAAATTTTGTGATGTGCGTCCTTTTTTTTTAGCTAGTGATCCTCACAATAAAAACCTGAGCTCTAATTGCTCCCTACAAAAAAAAAAAGTTTTCGCTATCAAAATAAAATTTGTTCAACCCAAAAATGGAATCATTTGCACATCTGTCAAAGTGTACATTTTTGGGTGATTTGGTTATATATATACATATACATATCAATATATCAATATATCTAGCTATTTGCCAAGTGTGTAAGGGGATATCTACATACAAGAAGTCTCTGAAAATAGAACTCCGTGCTCTGATTTGTTATTATAATACTCAATATCATTAAAGAAAGGAATGCTTATATCTCATTTGAATAAATCATAAATATAGATAAGATCAATATAGCTAATGTATTGTTATTGTATTTATTTTTGTATATACGATTTTTAAGCTACAACAAAAGATGATTAGACGATCTTATTTAAGCAATATATATATATATATATATATAAGGTCAAAAGGATACAATAAGAATAACCTTGTGGTTGTGTGATTTGGAATAGAAAAATAATTGAAGAGATGAGAGTCAGTGAGACGAGTAAGGGGAAGGGGAGGAGGGGAATGGGAAGAAACGAAAAGAAAGAAGTTATACAACAGTAAGTTTCTCCATCAGAGAGTTGATTCTTTTAGTCATATCATTCATACGATGTTTTCTATATTCAATAAAAAAAAAACATTACACGTCAATTTTTCTATTCATCGTCAAATAGTTTAACTTACTGATCATCCAAGTCATGTTTCAGGCTGGTAAGTTGTGTTGAAGACAAGGTATTAGTGTAGAGAATTGGCTGTTCTGTTTTCTTTTGAGGCAATTTTTCCTTGAGTTTTTCAACTTCTTTCAAAAGCTAGATAATAATAATAATAGTATATATATATATATATATATTAGTATATCCTTGTCAATATGTCTTTGCTGATTTGGTTTGTGATAATATTATTCTTATTATCGTGTACTTACTTTGTTTGTACGAGCAATGTATCCACTCTTTCCTTGAACCTTCTTACGATCCTGTCTCAACTTTTCCAAAAGTTGCTTTTCTTCTTCAGACCGTTCTGGCTGATAGGAGAGTATATTATGGGCAAGAATTGTGTCGATTTGCATAGACAGTTTTGCATATTGCTTCATGGCTTGCTCAAGTTTGACCTTGCGCACCTGGTCCATCTTTGTTTGAATATCCTCAAGTTTCTTATCAATCAACTGAGCCATAACCACCTGCTGCCGTAACTCAATCTGTTGCAAGGCCATCCGTTTCTCAGTCTCTTCTCCTGCCTTGACAATAGTACGAATGTCGGTCTGTAATTTCTCGGCACTCTTGTTGAAGAATCGAAGGGTTTCCTCGTTTACAATAATCTTCTTATTACCTCCCATAGACGCAGGAATAACAACCTTAGATTGGTTAGGAAGTTGCTGTAATGCCTGGAGAGACTTGGGGACCTCAAAAGGTGGCAAGGACAATATGCAAGTGTAGCCATCCTCTCCTCCCTTTCGGTCCTCCACCGCATCCCTGAGCTGACTTTCAACAGCCTTTGAAACCAGAGATCCCTTTTCAATGCTAACTAATCGACGGTTCCCAACTTCCACACTCAACAAGCTGTAGGTTGCAGAAAGTGCGAAAAGGCAATGGGATAGGTATATATCGGTGACAATACACAGACCAATGATAGGTACAGACTCTCTGTGATTTATAATAGGTTGTTAGTATTGCTCTCATTATTACATAGTATGCAATATACTTCATACCAAACTTACCCTCTTTTGTAAGGAGACGAATCAACCAAGCATCTAGTACTAGATCCACTCTTATTTGTAGCCCATTTTTGGAGAGAGTCTCCAACATCCTTTTTGTTACCACCCTTTGAGAAGGTTGCATTCATTTCTGCCAAGAGATCAATCCATTGCTTCATTAACACAATATGTACACCTCTATTGTGATATACGTAATAAGTATCAGGATAAATTGGATCCACGACTATATTCATGCGAGTATGTCCTTGGATGTTCTTGTTGAGCTTAATACTCTCATAGAGGGCCATTTTTGGAAGAACGTCGGTACTGGAGAGAAATTCGCCAAGCTAAATGACATGTAAATTAAATAAGCTTGTTCAATATATACATATATACATATATTATAGTCAATGCAATTAAATGAAAATCATACCTTGGCCTGCCATGGATACCGAGGGTTATTTTGAACAGGCATAAGCCATTGAGGATCAACTTGGGTTCCAAGCAAGAAGTTTCGGACAGAGCCATCAGTACATGCCACGACAAGAATATCAGATGCCTTGGACTTGATGAACTGAATGTCGCTAATTTGTGCAGTATTAATATCCAAGACACCGTCAAAGTTTCCTCCAGTCAAAAAAGGGCCTTGGCGTTTAACTGTAAAAGGGAGTGAACATTTGTTGCTTTGGATGTTTATCATAGATCTGTCTACAAGCGAAGGATGATTTTGGCGGTCAACTACAGTAGATTTGAGCATTTCATCCAACCACTGGTAGTGCAATTGCTGAAGATAATAAAGAGCTTGATGATCATCATCAAGTTGATCAAATGTCTTGCCCTTGCTTAAAAGCATCTTCATTTTCGCATCTGCAACACATCCCAACGTCTCCATGTGCTCTCTTTTCACCACACTATGTGATGTACATCATATGTAAAAATGTAGGAGTATAAGTATATAATTTTGTATGAGGTTATTAATCACTCAAAAAGACATGATATATATATATTTATGTGTATCTAAAAATTTACCTTGCGTAAGGGAGCACAGGACAGAGAGCATAAACGTGACCATTCCGCAGCGCAAAATATACTGTGAATGCTTCCCATCCACCATCCTTGTTACTGTCTCCTCCCAATGAAAACGACACAGCTTCTTCACTAGGTCCCATGTATTCAGAAAAAGAGAATCCTTTGAATTTCGAAGGCTTTTTGCGAGACAAGGGTGAAAGATCAAACGACTGCTCGGCTTCTTCAATATCTTTGCTCACGTCAAACATTCTGCATAAAGCATTAGGTTTTTTGTTTAATATATTTATAAATATATAAACAATATATATTAAATAATATATATATATATATACATATGTTTGTGTATATATATAAAAGAAAATGATCTTATACCTACATACCTCAACATGCTGTCTCCACTCAGAACTACCAAATGTGAGTGGAATTCACTCAAAGGATGCCAGGCTACCTTGAGAACAGATGTGCTTGCTTCATCGAAATAACGGCGTCCAATCCGCATTGTACGACAATGGAGTTCGCGTTTGTAATCAAGTCCCTTAGTTACAGTGCAAAAGCCCTCGCGTGGCAAAGCTATGGCAGCGAGTGATTCGAGACCGGCTACAGCCAAAAGACGCCCATTATCATTTGGTGTAATTGAATTGATGGGGAAATTAATATCAGGCGTGTCTAAAATCTATGGACAAAAGGAAAGCAAAAGAAGAGAAACATAATGTTAGCAGATCTATCGGGAATAACAAGTTTTCTTCTTTTTCTTATAATAATATAAAAGCGAAAATAAAGATAATATAAAAATTTCAAGTCGCTCACTCTGTAGGGAACCTGCCAGAGCCATTCCTTGTCAGTTGGTGGTGCATTGTCGTTATCATGTGCCTCTTGCAACCAAGCTTCCTTGACCAAGTTAAGATTAAGAATTCTGATCTCAGAGTCCACTGCAACAATAAGGTCATTTGTTTTGGTCATGGCGATGCATTTCTCCTGGTTATTCAAGAACGTGACACCTTCGCGTTGAGAAGATATATTTGACTTGGTAGAGTTCGTTTGATCAAAGATAGGATGATCGCCTAAGCGTTCAATCCAGCCATCAGGTAAAGCGAATCCCATGCTGTTGATCAAGTCAAAAGTGAAAATATGTAATTATTATTTTCTTTTTTTTTTTTTAAAAAAAAAAGGTCAAAATGAAATTCACTCGAGTTTGACTTGGTCGTCAGTTTCCTTTTGATATATGTGAGGGAGATGACAAGTTCAAGCTGTGTCGTGACGGTTGCATTGCTACACGTCACACACGGAATGCTATTTACACGTATTTTGAAACAATGTTCAAAAAGTACCATTTGTTTTTGGTAACATTTGTTGATGGAGGTGGAATTTATAAAACAGAAAAGAAAATAAAAGAAAGATAAAAGGGGGGAAAAGTAGGGGGGATAAATGTGTGATTTAAACAGCATTGACTTGTTCCTCGGTATCATTTTTCTTCAAAACAAGTTCATCGCCTGTAACACGGCGCCATAAGTCGTGTACATCCTCACACACGGTTTCAAAGTGAGAAGTAGCATCATAAGAGCGCGATACAAACACTTGATCCTTCTTGCCATCTTCTACGGGAACCTGGAGAGGAGTTACAGAAACAAACTTCTCGACAATAGGACCAAGAAGATTGAGTCCTGCACTGATTTCTTGTTCGGGCTGATCAGACTCAACAATGGTGGATACAATTGCAAGATAGTAGTTGTTTGCGCAAACCATGTGGGCAAAACTAACACAGGCAACATAGACGTCATGTTTACGTCCAACCTGGTTTTGAGGAATCACGATCTGGACAGAGTCAATGTCACCGGTGTTGGGAATAGGGTGATTGAGAATGCAGATAGCGCGTACAACAGATCCGACAGTTTGAACCTTGGTGGGCACGTACGAAGGGTCGCAAATGACTTGTTTAGTCTTTACTTCTTCACCACCCGAGCGTACACCCACAACAGCACCGCTCTCATTGTAGACAATCTCTGAAATGTCCTTGTTCAACATATAAGTACCACCATACACAGCACTCAATCTATTGTACAGTAATCAGTAATGATAAATGTTGAGTACCGGTTCAAGTTTGATTTGCTTTTCTTCCTTTTCTTCATTGTTTTTTGATCCACCATCATAATTATAATTACAATCGTTATAATTCTTACCTGGCGAATGCTTGAGGAAGATCTCCCAAGCCGTAGAGAGGGTAAATGTAAGGACTCTTGCCATAACGGACAACTGAACCAGCGTAGAGACGAATACGCTCAACAGTGTCTTTGGCGGTTTGTTTCAAGTATTCATCATCAAGGTGGAGTGCCATGGCATGACCTAAAAAATATTCCGATTGATTGATTCAGTTTCCTTTCCCACAATATTTTCCTTTCCTTTTTTTCTTCTTAGAGGAACACATTCTGTAACATGTCCTTACCGATAAAGTCCTGGGTACCAGTCTCAAGACCAAACTTCTTGTAGACTTCTGCCATAGTGCTCTTCTCTAAGCTCAAGCCCTGGAATGTGGCTGGGTCCTGCTCATTGTAGTTCTGTGCCCACTCAAGGAACTTCTTCATGCGGCGTTTCTCAAAGATACCCATCAGAGGAGAAGACAAGGCTTCCATCTCGTTGGCAGGTACTTTGGAAATCTTGCCGTTACGGTACACAAATGAACCGGCAATCTGCTTGAATTCCAAGTAACGAGTGACATCAGTATAAGTCAGGAAACGGACAATTTCACCATTGGCCATCATAAACTTAGGAATCAAGTCAACGTTCCAGTCGCGGTCCCTGCCCAACTCAGCTGGGGGTTCCTGTCCGGGTCTGAACTTCTTGTAAAGCTACAAAAGTGATAATATCATATATAAGAACGAGAAAGTATTTTTTATGCAGTTTTTTGAAAGGTGCATTGCTATATTTTACCTGAGAGAGGTTAAGGGATGCAGACTCTGCTCCGTAGTAGTCATTGCGGTCCATGTGCAAGACCTTTTTGCCATCGACGGAGAGCAAACCAGAGAGGATGCACTCGGTCAGACCAGTACCGAGGATAACGACATCGTATTCTTGTTCCTATATAAAGAGTCAGAACGCGAGATGGTCGATGAAGCCAAACTTACCATTATTGTGTGAGTGAAAGAGATGAGCTTTAAGAATTTCCTTCTTCTTCTTCCTTTTTTTTTAGGCGGATGAATTCTATAGAAAATGGATAATAGGTCGGCGCTTAATGAAATAATATTTTGTGCAGCCAATAAAAAGAAAAGAAGAGATTCAATAAGGAGTGGTACGCTTTGGATGACACCCTGGTCTGGATTTGAAAGATCCAAAAAGCAAAATCGATAAAAAAGGTTCTATAACTTAACTTACGAGACAACTGCCGAACAATGATAGCATGTTGAGGATGTCTCGCTGGCTTTGAATGGAAATTTGCAATTTTGTATATCTACCTGCTCTACTGCTTCACATTACTCTCTTGTTTGCTCTTTCAAAATGACGTCTTCTAGCGACAACAACTGTGATTATGTGCGCGGGGTGTCGTTTAACACCATGACAGATCCTTCCTTACCGGATTACTCCTTTACTCTCAATGCCAAGACACCAGAATACAAGAGAACACGACGATCCCGGATGTTCATGGTTGCCACTGATTTGGCTGACTATAGTGAATATGCGCTCTCTTGGACATGTGACGCAAGTGCAACCAATCCAAATATATATGCATACATGTACCATTGTTTGTGTGCCATTGATACTAAATATTATTAACAGGAAATGATGGACGACGGTGATGAAATTGTTGTTTTAAGAGTATTGACAGTGGACCTTAATGGTGAGTGGGAATGCTTTCTATAGGCTGTATACTAACACATAAAACTTTGTGCGCAGATAAGAAGAAGGGAGTCCACAAAACACTAAAGGAGGAATGCAGTGACGCACGGCAGAGTGCAACTGACGTACTGAATAGAGTCATGGAAAGATGTACACCAAACAGACAGGCAAGTACACAACTTGTATTCAAACAGTATCAATTCTCACAAATACATTTTACACTTTATAGATTAGCGTCACAATTGAATTTGTTATTGGAAAGGTCCAGAGTTCAATCCATCGCGCAGTAAGTTTTATTAGAATAAAGAGTTTCATAATGTGTGTCTATATAAATTCGAAGATAATAATACCAACAACAGATTAGTATGTACCAGCCATCATTACTGGTGGTTGGAACACGAGGAATGTCTGAACTCAAAGGTATATTTTCCGGAAGTGTATCAAAGTATTGTTTGCAACACTCGCCAGTCCCAGTCACTGTGGTACGCTCAGATCCAAAGGACAGTAAAAACAAATCTACTCGAAAACGCCTAGGAAGTCTTATTGGACTTCCGGTTTCAAGCGACAGTGACGACGACCAACTCGGTGATGATGATCAGCAAAAGAAACGACCTGCTTCCCGTAGAAAGTCCATAATCGAGGGTTTTGGAGGACTTCTCTCTCGAACTCGGTCTCGTTCAAGCTCACGTTCTCAGTCTCGGTCTCGCTCGAGCTCACGCTCACGCTCTCAGTCTCCTTCGAAAATTGTAGAAAACCATCTTGCTCCACCATCATAATAATTATAATAAATTATTTTTATATTAAAATAATCATAACCATACCTTTTCAATTAATTTGTTTCAATTTAATATCGGTTAGTCTGTTAATTGACTCCGATTTGCACATTCATGTGCACGAATCTCTTCTTTACTGTTGGCAGTAAATAATAATAAGAGAGATAAAGAAAAAAAAGAATGCTCAAACCAGTATATATCCTGTGTTTCTGCTGGAGTCTACTAGCCTCAACTGTAATGTGCAAGTTGGGTGATATTCCCTCTCCACGCATTGTTGCAATGGGCGATCTGCATGGTGACTATGACAATACCCTCACTATTCTCCAGTTTGCTGGAATTGCCAACCAGACTGGCCATTGGATCGGCAAAGACGCAATTTTCGTCCAAACGGCAAGTAGACTTGAAACGCTCTTTATACACTTTAGAAATGCACATACGTGGGTATACATATAGTCTGACTATGATATACTATTATACAGGGAGATGTCGTCGATCGCGGGCTTGATACTATCCGGTTGTATGACCTCATTCAACAACTTCGAGAAGAAGCTAGAGATGCCGGCGGGCTAGTGATCCCTTTGCTAGGTAACCATGAAATTATGAATCTTGTTGGAGACCTTCGTTACGTGAGACCTGAAGAAACAGCTACATTTGGTGGAGCCAAGGAGCGTTCCAAAGCCTGGGCTGCCGATGGATTTATTGGCAGTTACCTCATTAATCTCAACATGACTACCAAAGTTGGATCCTCTGTCTTTTGCCACGGTGGAATTCACCCTTACTTTGCCAAGTTTGGTGTCGACTGGATCAATGACCAAACTCACCAATCTATCGAAGGATACATGAAAGGACGAGGTCGGCACGGTGATCCTGAGGGAGTATTTAGCGGCGAAGGACCAACATGGTACCGTGGTTATGCTCTTGATCCTGAAGAAGATGTCTGTCCTATGCTCGATGCAGCCCTCAAGATGATGGAGGTATTTATTGACATGTTTTGTTATTAAGATTCTAGTTTGTTTTATTTTTCTTTTGTCTTTGAAATTTAAACGCTATCTTTTTTTTAAAAAAAAACTGATCTTTTAGGCTGATCGCATTGTTGTTGGTCACACCGTCCAAAGAGATGGAAAGATTCACACTCGTTGTGATGGAAAGGTTGTCTTGATTGATATTGGTATCTCCTATGTGTATGGTGGGCATCGAGGTGCTATTGAAATTATCGGAGACCAGGTTATAGCCATCTACGAAGATAGAAAGGAACTCTTGAGTCCTCAACCCAAACCTTTTCACATAGAATTATAAAGAGAAGTATTGTCTTGGTTTGTCAGCTTATTGAAAAGAAAAAGGGCAATTGAAAGATTCTCGTAAATAAGAAGTTAATAAATAAAGGGATAGAAATGAAGCTTTGACTTTTTCAACTTTGTGATAAGTAAATACTGTAACGAAATCTGATCCTACGCGAAACAAAAATATAAATGCTGTCTCGAAAATCGTGTATGTTCAAGAGAACTTTATTTGAATGATTGTGTATGATTATGTATAAACGATTGTGTGTGTGTATTTCTTTAAAAAAAGATAAATAAATAAAAGATATATAAAAGTATGAAGCCATTTCAACAAGACCAATTGCTTTTTGGTTATTTTCTAATGTGGATTAAAATTTACAACTTGTTCTCATCATCACCCACAGAACCACGCCGGTGGTGTAGGTTTTCGCCATCGGCATGACGTGCATAGCTTGTAACTTTGTCGGGAGAATAATCACCTGAAAAATATTCTTCGGTAACTGCAGGCCCATCAATTTGTGGGTCAGGCTCTAAACTTCTACCAGGGCCTGTGAACCATTTTCTTGCACGGAAATGGTAATATCCTATAGAGCCACCGAGAACAAACACCAGAGGTGCACACGCATAGTTCATATTGGCTATTTTGTCGTAATAAATACATTAGTAAATGTTCAAATAAACAATTGCTACACTCTAACTTACAAGCTGTTACAGGGTATTCAGTAGGGCACAAGAAAAGAACCGAGGTAAACAAGATCCAGAAACAACTAACAAGGTTGATGATGTTTGAAAATGGGCCAAGGTTGAATGGACCTTTTTGGAAGCTCTTTCTTGCAGTAGTGAGTCGGAGCGCAATTGGAATAAAGTACGCTAATGAAGATGCAATAGTGTTGATAGACACAATAGCATTGAAGGCGGTGGTGTTTACAATGTACTATTATTATTTTTTAGATTAATATAATCGTTATAAGCAGACAGCCAAACACACATGCCCACACACAAAAGGGAAATATGTAAATATGTAAATAAATAAAATTACCAAGAGGCCAACAATTGCGGCAAAAATCACATTTGCCCATACAGCATACACAGGTGTTTTTGTCCTTGGGTTAACATAGCTCAACCAACTGCTGAATGGCTACAAAAAAAGAATATAAAGAATATGCCCACATATATACTTTTAGCATATTTGGCATATTTGATACCCACAACAAAATATTAAATAAAATATTAAAAAGAAAAAATCATACCATAGCTCCATCTCTAGCAAAGGCGTACACCATACGTGAGCTTCCCAGAGTAAGGGCAGATCCGGAAAAGAACATTGCGCCCATGATAATTACAGTAAACACAATAGTCCACTTGTACCCAACACCATCCAAGAATACTTGGGTCATTTGTGGACTGATTTTGGCATTCACAACTTGAGCATCAAAGTCCTGAACGCAGAAATTGACAGACAGCATGAATGCTAGGCCGACCAATGCAGCCACACCTATAGCATAAAGAATTCCACGTGGGGCGCTTCGTGCAGCATCCCGGGTTTCTTCTGACATGTGAGCAGCACTATCGAATCCTGAGAGTGTATACTGGGACTGCAGTAATCCAATCAAGAATACGTAACCATTCGATGAAAACCCTGTTTCATTTTGGAAATCAGTAAACTAAAGAAGAAGAATAAAAAAAAAATATGGCTTGGATGAGATCATTGGGAAAAGTAATTACAAGAAATAAATACTTACAACCCATTTGGCACTAGATTTGTTGGGTGTCATTACCAAAGCGACAATGATAATTAAAAGTGTTCCAATCAAATGCCAGTACAAAGATGTTTGATTAAAGAACCCATTGTATTTTACACTGACAGAATTGATCATTCCATGAATGAACACAATGACCAAAAAGATTCCATATTGCCAGTAAATTCCAGCGTCGTAATCTGGGTTTTTGATTCCAATGACTGAAGACAAAAACTGGGCCAGACCAAGGTCAGCAGAAGTAATGGCAACTGGTAAATAAGCAAATAAATAGGTTATACATGTAAATGATTAGATCCATCTGAGCAATTTAGCCTTAGCCTTAGTCCTTGTCTTTTTAGCTCTTTAATTGCATACCAGTCTAACAATAGATAAGGGGAAAAATAGATATATAGATAGATAAATATAAAAAAAAGAAGAATAAGCCAGGTAAGCGGATCTGATAAATTATGCTCTAAGCAAATACGTTGTAAATTTTGAGGTTTAACAAACTAAAAGAAATCTTACCAAACCAAGCCAGTTACACCAGCCTGTCAACCAGCAAGCAATAGGAACCCACTCGGGAGGTGCCAGACGAGACACCCAGACATAAAGACCGCCAGTAACTGGATAAGCAGAGCAAATCTCGGCAAGCGACAGACCAACACCAAAGGTGAATATAGAGACAAGGATCCAACCATAAATAATGGCCACTGATCCACCAGATTGCATAGCATCACCCCACATCTGAATAGTAATAAAAAAACAAATAAGAGTGAGTACATATTTTATAAAGAAAACTCATTATTATAGAGAAATAGTAAAAGACGTTACGGGACTAAGACCGGAAAGAATTGAACAGCATCCAAAGGCAATTGAAAAGTTTGATACTGTAGACATTGTTTTGTGCATTTCCTATAACGATAATAAACAATAAATAGGGTTGAATTTAGTTCATTTTGTTTTAATGTGATATGATGTGATATAATGCAATATTAATATAAGTATATAATTTTTGCGTGCACAGGTATGTATATATGTAAGTCTTACTTGTTTATAGCCAAAGGAGGCTAGGATATCATCTTCTGAAATATGGCATCGAGTGCCTGTTTCTTCAACTTCAGCACAGAGCTTTAGGTCACGGCTGGAGCCAACCATCGAAGATAAAGGTAGAGTTGCGGAATTTTCGAAAGAAACGAGTGGGAAAGGGTGAAAATAGATCTTCAGATACGTGAAGCGTCGTGCTATATCTATGTAAGCTCGATTGCGGTTGTATCTCTCTCTATTTTCGTCTTTGGAGTGGTATACTAGGAGAGAAAATGGTCTGGTTCAAGGTAATGTTTTTTGTCTGTTTCGAGGACGACGGTTAGAGTATCGGTGAGGAAGAAGAAGAAGAGCAAAGAAACAAATAAAAATAAAAAGTTTTGGGAAAGTGACAGATAAAAATAAATATGGCAAACAAGCGGAATTCTATAATTCTTTTTTTTTCATAATTTCGATCCACGATTCTTCCAATGGTTCACCATGATTGTTGAAATTTTAACCCTTTAATTATTAATGTTAAATGTTCTGTTGTGCTCCAAAGACATGAAAGTTTATGGTTAAGCATAGTCTCCAATGCACACAAAGACTGTAGTAATTACTTTAATTACCACACAGCAAAATGTTGGAATTTGTGATCAATATTGGAATTACTGCTAAATCTGTGTATGTATTATATATATTTATGTATACTACTTAGATGCTCTAAAGTTCAATGTCAGTGACATAGATTTACTTTTTTTTATGTAGCCCCGTCTTAATGTTTTGGTTGAGCTTAACTGATGCACACAGTTTAAACAGAGGAAAATTAATGGCGTAATATTCGATGGAATTATTTTGCGTGTGTTGAAAATAAAAATAAAAATCGTGATATTCATGCCAATACACTGGTTGGAATGTACCTGCGCAAAAAATCAGTAAAGACCTTTATCATTATTATTATTATTATTTTGTATTCAATATAATATTATATCGATAATATTTAAGCTATTCATTCTGAATGTGAATTTATTAAGGCAATATATATATATATATATACTATACATTGAAATGGCTACATTATTTGCTTGTGTTTCATAAGAACCGCAGGCTTGCAAGGTTTGGTTGACGTCAATAAGCTTTTCTGCAGACTAATACTTAAGTGTTGTATAAAGTATCGGTCAAAACTGCAATAATTGGGCAAACCCTTTTCATCAATTTCTGTACTTAGCCCAAGTCCCGAATATATATATATATATATTCTTTAAAAATAAGCACAGTTGCGATGATCGATGCGCATATTTTCTTTGCCCTGGATTACAACAAACAAACAGGAAATATAAAAAGTGAGCAACTTTATAGATCGAAGATTCGTAATATATTATACTATGAGTACCAAATGCAATGCTTATTAAAACATGGATATGCAATATAATAGCTAATGCAGTCTACTGTCTACAGGCTCTTTTTTTTGTTAATAATAATTAGAAAACCTCACAAAATCACAAGCTACTTTATATAGTAAAAGAAGCTAAAGAAGAAGAATAAGAAGAAACATTTTGGCGTTTCTAAATAGTAAAAAGGAAATGGCTTTGGTGCCTCAAACTATGTTTATTTTAATCCAAAAAGTCACACGGTACAACTTGCCTCCCTTTAAGACAGGAACGAATATGAAGCGTGGGAAACTTGTAAGCCTGGTATGCATCAAAAATAACTTGAAAGGGGATTGTCGATTCACCTCCTCTCTTTTTCATCTTCTTTCTTCTCTACCCCTTTTATACATATATATACCTTTTTTTTTTACTTCTTTCTGTCTTGTCAGTCTTATTAATATGTTGGATGTCGATGAAATTCGTAAGCTTACAAACCGATTTACTCCCATGATATCTGACGTTTATTTGGTCATTTCTAGCCGAAAGACCAAACATTAACACACTTGCAAGTTTCTGGGCTGGGTTTGTTGGAGGTTCGATTATAAAGACTTTACAGGAACGTATCGATTGAAATAACTTCTTATCAATATATGCAATTTTTGGTTATCTATAGGTATCGCAGGCCTCGCTGTCGGACACCCATTTGGTACTTATCATTAGTATTATTATTAGATATATCTACATATATATATATATATATATAATATATATATAAAATATTCTCTTAGTAATAAAATACAATAAAACCATACTCACTATTCTTTTACTCTTTTTAGATACTGGTTTGTAATCTACAATAGTAAATAACAGTAAATAATACTTGAGCCCTTATTTTTTTGCAGTAAAGGTTAGATTACAATCTCGAGAACTTGCTTCTCGGTACAAAGGCACATGGCACTGTTTTGCCATGATCATAAAACAAGAAAAGGTAATGTTATATATCCTCTAATTCATCGCAATTACTACAATTCAAACTCATTTATTACTAAACCAGGTGTTTGGACTTTACAAAGGAATGGTGAGCGCAACATATACTCAAAAATAAAGTCAAAACTAAAATACTTACTTTCTATTGATCCATTTATTTTCTCAAAGGCATCCCCAGCTGTAAGTATACAAAGTACATGCATGTGTGTATTCTGAATTACTACGCTCAAGACTTAGACTTTGCGTGTGTTGGTGTGTACTTGTGCCTGTACCTATACTTATACTTGTACTTGCATTTGTATATACATATGTATGATTGTACGCATATATGTATTATAGGTCGGTGTAGCGGGTGCGAATGCGCTTGTGTTTGGATCTTATACCTTTCTGATTGAGAAACAAGCAGAACTCAGAGGAAGGCCAATAAGCGAAACAGATTTACCACCGCTGCTAGATGTATTTATTGCTGGAATGGGAGCAGGAACTATTACAAGGTATAGTACCCAAACCAAGAACCAGATATATATATATATATATATGGTGTAGTACTTACACCATAAAATTTACATGATGGTCTGGTAGCATTATGACATGTCCAATGGAATTGGCCAAAGTTCAACTCCAAAACCAGACAACCACAGGGGATGCTATGAAGTATCGAGGCCCAATTGATTGTATTACCAAGCTATATTATGCAGGTGGTATACGCCAATGTTTTAAAGGTATGGGATCAACCGTTCTAAGAGAACTAAGTTTTGGTCCCTATTTCCTTTGTTACGAGTCCATATGTCGAGGTTTGACACCCAAAGGCAGTACAATGTCACACCATGAAATCACAGGTCCCAAAGTCATCTTGGCAGGTGGAGCTGCGGGAATTGTTTCATGGTGCTCCACATATCCTGCAGGTAAGAATATTACTGGGTTTTATATATATCTGTGTGTGTGTGTTACTAATTCATTATTATGTTATTTTAACAACAAAAAAGATGTTATAAAGACTCGTATACAGTCTGAACCTAATCGATATAAAGGTTTCGTGGATTGTTTAAGACACTGTTATAGAGAAGAGGGTTACCGAATCCTGTTTCGAGGTTTGACACCTACTATTCTAAGAGCTTTTCCATCAAATGCAGCGACATTTATGGGATACACTTGGACAATGCGATTATTCACAGCAGAAAAACCGTTCTATCAACGAGAAGAAGTTGCTATTTAGATACAGTTATTATTATGTTTTTCTTTAAAAAAATAATATGAATTTATACACATACGTATATATACTTATAAATTGAAGAAATAAACATATACATGCGTATGTGTATTTGTGCGTGGTGAAGAATGCTACCATGCTTAATTTTCTAAGCATCGAAGAACTTGTAGTTTAATAAAACTTTTGGTGTTGCTGAAAATCTATTTATTTTACTTTATGGGGTATATTATATTATATTATATTATATTATGTTTTATTTTCAATTATTTTATTTTCAATAGCTAAAATATCGTATCATTTAGCTCGAGATCAAATATCCTATTAGAGACACGGTAAAATTGTTCCGAATATCCTTGGAATTTCATTAACTATTATATAGATATAAATCTATATATCCATTATTTTTGTATTTAAACTAGTACAGTCCAATAAGATTTGTACACTCTGCAAACAAAGTATATGCGAAGCTTTATGTTCAACAAACTATTGATTGACATACCAACATATATTGTACAGCTTAACTTATGATTCGATTATTATAATTTGGTGCTGAGAACTTTGTGGATGCCATTAGAGGTACCTATTATTAGTTATTATCTTGATCCACCTTGCTGAATTATGTATATACTTTTATACATGTGTGTATAGTCTTCTAAAGTGTATTTTAGATTGTATTTCTTTTTTTTTCTAAAAAAAAATCTGTATATACATGATAAATTATCTTGCGAAATGTATACATGTTTTGTATTTTACATATGTATTTGTATATATATATATATATATCTGTATCTATAATCTCAGTTTGAAAGAATAAGAAGAAAAATAAAAGTAAAAGTAAAAACGTTCATATATATATAAAATAAAATAAAAGCTATGGTAACAGAATCACGTTTCAAAAGTATCGAAATGAAGGCCATTGCATTCTAGACAGTTCTTCAAAGATTAATTCTGGAGCTACAAATCGAAGATTAATGTAAAATAAAAGTGAGTGTTTTTTTTTCTATAGAGATCACCGCTCGTTTGTTGTGCAGACTGTCCAAACACAGAGCTCGAACGTGTTTTTGGCAAGACGATCACTCATTTTACTACACAGCGGAGGTTGGTGTCAAAAGAACACTGATCCAGCCTTCTGGACCACGTGTAGGTGCGTAAAGTTAAGCTTGCAACATAAATACACTTGTATATCTGTGTGTGTGGTATACACACCACAATTGAGTGAAATACAAACTCCACAACCAAACTCTGGTTCCCTTCTTGCTAATGAACCTGGCAAGTTAACAATCTCCGGAACTGTTACACATTTAGACAGTGTAAACCAACCATTACACAACAAGGATTTGAATTACAAGGGATTTGAATAGTAATGGATATAAACAATGTTATTTTGACTCTTTTTAATAAAGAACACTCTCCCAGTATCTACTTTTCCAAATATTAAGATACAAACTATAAAGCAATATCGTATACTTCAGTATGCATGTATGTGCGGATGTGCAGGCAACCGTTACCAGAATCAATGAAATATTCAAAAGACTAGACGCAAGGAAGGGTCAAAGACAAAATAAAAAGTGTTACCAATGTATATATATATGCTTGTATGTACACGGGATTATTTGAATATTTGGATAAGTATATAGTGAAAACAATGCAAAACGTTGGATGTTTAAGTTATATAGCGGGAAATGTAATACCAAAGTGCGGGGAAAGAGTTTTCAAAGTCATAACCAAACAACAGAATAAAAATAATCGAAAAATTCACTTTGAAGAATCCTAGTGTTCAAGTTTTCTTGAAAAACGAATACAATCTCTCATTCAAAAGAATTATCCATAATTCTGCAGTGAGAAACAACAAATTTACTCAAAAATTAAGATAATATTATTTCCAATTGGTTTTTAGAGCTTAAAGGGTGCCTGATCGCAGAAGATAAAATAGATCAAAATATGGCTCAGAAGTTGACGCTATTATTGTCAGCGGTGAGGATAATGAAGATCTGGCACTTAATTTAAGAGATGTTGTAGCTATTTATCAAGTAGTAGAGGACCTTGTCAAGATATTAAGCCAATCTAATTCTATGGACGGCTTTATTATGTTTTTTTTTGTATTTGTGTTCTCTTTAAGTGAATATGGTTGGAATAATGATTTTCTCTCTAGGTACCACAATCAGAATCACCGAAACAACAGCAAGAAAATCAGACTAAAAAGTTCAAATGGATATTAGATAAAAACTAAAGGCTCATAATACCATCTCTCCAATCAAGTAAAACTCTTTTATCGCAGTTTTTTGGATCTTGCGCACTGTGCCCCATATTTTCCATCAAAAGCATAATCTTCTTCTCGATCCAATCTCCAATGGAAAAATACTAGTCAGCCAGAGTTTTTTGAACTCTTTGCGAACTTTCTAGTATCTCAATACCAGATGGTATCATTTATTATTTCTAGTAGTACTTCGAGAATGCAGAAAAATGGAGTATATTTTTTATACATAAAGCATGTAAATGCCATTTACTTCTATAAATATTACTCAATATATAATCCTAATATTGTATGGTTAAAAATATATGGCTCTATAAGAGATACAGAAGCAGCTCACAATGTCATCTGTCATAATCTCAGCAATATGATACACACAACAAGCCCAGAGATCTTTGATAAGGAGTATGAACTGTTTACTTTGGAGTTTAAAGTATACGAACTGTTTACGAAGTATTTTACAAAGATTTAGACTTCAAAAAATTGCAATATTTGATACCAATAACTTGATTGAGTCATACCACAATCAGTTAAAGACATATTGTATTGGACGGGAATACTTTCTTTGAATATATAGTCATGTATTCATAATTATCAAAGTTTTGACAATTGATTATCGAAAAGAAAAGAACACAATTATGTAGGGTGCTCAGGCAATGCGTCTTATACGACAAGAACAGAATAAGATGAGGCAGGAAATAAGTAGGTACTTCCCCGCCCTTTGGCAATAAAATAATCGCCCTTTGAAAATCAAAAAGTCTGCCCTTTGGTATTATATTTCCCGCCCATATATTTCAAATTCCGGAATTTGGCACTGTTTTCACTGTATCTAAGAATATTTAGCTTGATTTGCACCCAGGATTTATATATATATTTTTACTTTTTGTGGTAACGTAAAATAGTTTTATTTTAGGGTCCGTCTATTCATTTCTCTCTCTATCTATTTGTCACCAGGCAACCATATACACATTTATGTAATTCTTCTTTATTTTGGATCTTCAAATCGATTTGCTTTCTCATATATGGAAATAAAGAGTGTTTTGATTAACAACCAAAAGATATAAAAGAAAATGTTATATTTTATTTTTCCATCAGAATATAAAATTCGTAACCATGGAAACACAACAAAAGATAATATTAAAGAACAAAAAATAAAATAAATAAAAAATAACACTAAATTATATTGAGAGAAAAAACATCAATAAATCAATAGGATGATTAATTAACAAGACTGATAAAACTCAATACACACACGCACATACAAGATATATATATACATAATTTTTAATATCTTTATATAGTAAATCCATTTTGACCAATAATATGGTCGGGGAGTTGAATGGAACCTATATTGTCGTACATCCACTTTCAATGGTAGTACCTCACAGACCAATACAGACAGAAAAAAATAATGTATTATTGCTGCCTCTATTTTGGTGCTTTTAGATATCAGGTAAAAAGCATTTGTATCACCAAATACAAATATAAGTGCAAATACAAATACAAATAGATAGATAGACATATATCATAATACACTCAGGTCTTGTTTTTTTTAAAAAGACATATACACATATATGAACAAATTATCATTTATAGACATGCAAAGCCATATGTATGTATTTTTGTTTTGATACCCGCGATTTCTTTCTCTCTCTCTCTCTCGTTTTTTTTAGACTTGAGTATGTTTGCAATTAATATCATTGTTGCACGCGCATGTAAATATGGCTATTTCTGGTGATTTACAGCGGGAGACAAACACAGGCACCATGACATTTTTAAATCGACGACCCTAGAAGACGTGTAACAGACTAAATGTCATGTCCTGTTGAGTGGCCAGCTATGCACTTCTGTGCTGCCAAGGTTCCAAAAATGCTCTTTTCAAACGATGCTCAAACGCCATTTTGTTTTTATGAAATATTGCAGACAAGTGTAACCTATCATTTTTTATTATTTTTATATTTATATATATATATCTATTTTTTTCTTGTTCTCATCAATTCATTTCTTTTCAACTAGTATATAAACCCACCCTTTCTTTCATTACCCAGGATACGTCTTTGTTTTTCCTTTTACAGACTGGATTGTCTTTCCTTTATCTTCTAGTGCTGTAGCTTTGAGTAAGCATTGGTCAACAGTAGTAACAATAACAATGGCAATTCTTTTTTTTTTACTAAAATCCTAATATTATTATTTCTGTAGCCAAATATACGTTTATATATATCAATAGACATACTCATATACATATATACATATATAACTAGCATCCCCAGAGTCATTCTTTTTTTACTTTTACTATCACCTCCACCAATCTTCTGGATACCGTCTAAATGTACAATCCAGGCCAATACGCATCGCCTACTTCGCCTGCAGGCTCACCATTGCCTCGCTATACTGAGGAGCAGTATCCTCTCCAAGACACCAACTTTGGTACACAGCCACCAGCCCGTAGACCAAACAACAACTTTGATACAATGGGCTATCACGATGAACACATTTCCTCTGAGACCATGAACCAACCACTTCTCGGAAGCCCCAATTCTGTCATGCAACCTTCACCAATGTATCGTGGAAGATCAGGTGCAGGATCGCCCAACAGCCCTGGCCTTCACTTCCAAAACTCGAGTCCATCTCCTAATGGCTCATTTACCGAACCTCCTCGCCGCCAACCTCGACGATACAAGACAGGTAATTATATCTCTCTCTCTCTCATTATATATATATATATATGTGTGTGTGTGTCCATGTCTGTGCACTATTTAACATGGCTGGCTTTTTCTTTTTCTTAAAAATAACAACAATAATAATAATAGTTCGAAAGGTCAAGCTTACCAGAGGTAATCTTGTCCTCGACAATCCTGTCCCAACAAAGTATCTCCAAAGTCTTCCCATCAAAGAAGGCGAAGAATTTACCCACATGCGATATACTGCTGCCACCTGTGACCCTGCTGATTTTGAGTCCGAGAAATATCTCTTGAGACAGAATCTGTCTGGAAGAGACACTGAATTGTTTATTGTATTAACCATGTACAACGTAAGAAAGATATATTTACATTTACATTTAGAGTTAAAGTTATAATTGTATTTATATATATGTGTGTATGTGTACGATTTATAGGAAGACGAAGTTCTTTTTTGCCGAACAATGCATGGTGTCATGAAGAATATTGCCCATTTGTGTGCAAAGACCCGCAATAAGATGTGGAATGCTGAGGGATGGAAGAAGGTGGTTGTTTGTATCGTATCTGATGGCCGTACCAAGATCAATGCTCGTACCCTTTCCGTCCTATCTGCATTAGGTGTATACCAAGAAGGTGTTGCCAAGAACGTCGTAGAGGGCAAGCCTGTGGCCGCCCATATTTTTGAGGTAGGCTTCTACAATATATATATATATATAGATATATATAAACCCGTGGGTGATTTCTACTTTATGCTCCGCACCGCATGGGGCTCTTCCCTTCCCTTCTCTCTCTATCCATTTTCTCCCCCAATCTCTTCAGCGCATTTTATTTTATTTTATTTTGCTTAAAAAAAAATCTCGCACATTCTTGTAGCACACAACACAAATCTCCGTCGAACCCGACATGAGTTTCAGAGGCGCCGACAAGGGCATTGTTCCTGTTCAGCTGCTGTTTTGCCTAAAGGAAAAGAATCAAAAGAAGATCAATTCCCATCGATGGTTCTTCCAGGCCTTTGGTCCTCTGCTTAGACCTAATGTCTGTGTCCTACTCGATGTTGGAACTAAGCCCGGACACAACTCGATTTACCATTTGTGGAAGGCGTTCGATATCAACAAAAACGTGGCCGGTGCGTGTGGTGAAATTCGAGCCATGGCCGGAAAATATGGAAGCAATCTGTTAAATCCTCTTGTGGCCTCACAGAACTTTGAATACAAGATTTCAAATATTCTCGACAAGCCTCTCGAGTCTGTATTTGGACATATTTCTGTACTTCCTGGTGCATTCTCTGCTTATCGCTACAAGGCTCTGCAGAACGATCACAATGGCGTCGGTCCCCTCGAGAAGTACTTTATGGGTGAGAAGATGCATGGTTCAGATGCCGACATCTTTACAGCCAATATGTATCTCGCCGAAGATCGTATCCTGTGCTATGAATTGGTTGCCAAGAGAAACGAAGCCTGGACACTGCATTATGTCTGCAATGCCTATGGTGAAACTGATGTGCCTGACAATATTCCTGAGTTTGTATCTCAGCGTCGTCGTTGGCTCAACGGTTCCTTCTTTGCTGGTATCTACTCCCTTGCTCACTGGAGAAAAGTCTGGAGTTCGAACCATTTTATTGGACGTAAACTGGCCTTTATGTTTGAAGATATCTATCAGCTGTACAATTTGTTCTTTTCTTGGTTTGCTATCGTAAGTAAAACGTCAAACGTCTCTCAAAATTATACGCATCAAATTGCTAACTTTGGTGATTTCAGGGCAATTTTTACTTGATTTTCTATATCATGACTAGCTCTATGGAATCTGAGGAATTGAACCCCAAACCTTTCTCTGCTGATGTTGCTAAAATTCTCCACATTGTCCTCAACTATATCTATTGTAAGTACCATTGATCAAACAAAACAAAAAAAATCAAGGCATACATATATATATATATGTGTGTGTGTGTGTGTATTGTGTCTGACCAAACAAAAAATAAAAAAAAATCTCTAGGTGTTTTGCTTGTTGTTCAATTTATTATTGCTATGGGTAACAGACCTCAAGGCTTCAAATGGGCCTACATTGGAGGTTTTGCATTTTTCGCTGTTATGATGGTGTACATCATGTTCTGTACTCTCTGGATTACTGTTGTTGGTATCATCACTGCTGTAGATGCTGCTTCTGCGACCGAAAATGCAGTCGTTGCCCTCTTTAACCAAAGTACTTTCCGTCAAGTCGTCATATCCTTCCTTGCAACCTATATCATGTACTTTGTGGCCAGTATGCTGTTCATGGATCCCTGGCACATGTTCACAAGTTTCATACCATATATCTTCATGTCTCCCAGTTATATCAACGTGCTCAACATTTATGCTTTCTGTAACACTCATGATGTTTCGTGGGGTACCAAGGGTGATAATGGTGTTTCTACCGATCTGGGTGTTGTAAAGGCAAAAACTGACAAGGATGGTGGCCAGTCAGTTGAAGTCGAAGTACCAACCGAACAAAAGGATCTCAACGAACAGTACGAAGAAGCTTGTCTGGATCTCAAGAGAAAGTTTGTACCTGAAGCCGAGCATCGTGACGCAAAGACCAAGCAGGATGATTACTACAGAGCTTTCCGTACCAACCTTGTCCTTTGCTGGATAATCAGTAACATGGCCCTTGTTGCTGTCATTACCAACGGACAGATCTTACACTGGTTTGGTTCTTATGAGGAGCGTAGTACAGCATATCTTGGTTTCATTCTTTGGTCTGTTGCAGGCCTTGCAGCAATTCGTTTCTTGGGATCGTGTTCTTACTTGTTCATGAGAATCTTTACTGGATAAACCTCCCAAAAAAAACCCCCACTCCAAAAAACAAAAGAGATAGAGAACGAAAAAAAAATTCACTCATACATACCCTGTCAAGAAGAAGAAGTGAAAGAAGTGAAAGACAAAAGAACACAGTATTCTTTTCTTTTTCACTTTTTTTTTTCTGCTTCTTTCTTCTTTAAACCATTGCCCTCTCTCCATTATTATTATCTTTCCCTTTCCTTTCTTTCCCTCATCATATTTGCTTTTTATTTTTATTATTATTATTATTATTTTGTCTTTCTCTCTCTCTCTCTCTCTCTCTCTCTCTCCTAGCATACTTCTTGATCCAACAGTTTTTTTTTGTTAAAGGTTTTGGATCACCCTCTTCTTTATTCTTCTATATTTTTTTTGCCTTTCAAGGATTCTTCAACATCCTTGTAGGTTAATCAGATTTTCCTATTTTCTTCTTCTTTTTAATACATTACACTACATACTTTTATATATATATACTTATATAAACAAGCTACATCATCACAGTCAAGAAAGACAGCAAATGAAAAAAAAAAATTATCTTAATATATATTGATAAAAGATAGTTGTTTCAATTTCAATTTCAATTTCAATTTAATCGATCATTTAAATATTGATCACTATTTATTCGTTGTAGAAGGAATGGAGGGAAAGAAAAAAAAAAGGTGCGTAGATGGGTGCGTGCACCGTACTTTGTGTGAAGATAAATGTGCGGTTTGGAAAAATTTCAAACCCTGTCAACCAATCACTTGTAGCGTGCTGACATCACAATTCCTTTCAAAAACAACAAATCCTAGGCAAGAGCCACCCCCCAAAGTGCCGTCCCATCAAAAAGTTAACTTTTTGAATTCATCAAGTACTTCTTTTTTTTTCCTACCCCTCCCTCCCCACTCTTTTCATTAAGAAAGAAAAACCATGTCCGCACGAGGTGCTCAAGATCTGCCACCTGCCGAGGGTTACTCTGAAGTTAGATACCGTCGTTATTTGCCTAAGCGTGGTCCTTCCGGACTTGTTATTCTTGCTAGCGTTGCCGCTGTATCTGCCTTTGGTTTCTACAAGCTTGCTGTTGGCAACCTGGAGAGACGGTAAGCGCGACAAAGCATATATATTATTATTATTATTATCATCACTATCATATTTATTTTGGGTGTGGGTTAATTAATATATATTTTTTATTATTAAATACTATTATTATTATTATTATTATTATTATTATTATTAGTGAACTTAAGCGCGAAAACCTCTGGGCTCGTATCAATGTCGTTCCTCTCTTGACTGCTGAAGCCGATCGCGACACTTACCGCCGCACACAAGCAGCCAATGCTCGTGAAGCCGAGATCATGAAGGATGTCAAGGACTGGAAGGCCGGAGAGTCTGTTTACAACAACACCAAATACTATATTCCACCCAACTTCGTCGTTGTTCCTGAAGAGAACTAGAGAATAAAATATACACACAAAAAGACACCCACAAAAACAATTGTATATACATATATACATAAATTGTATACACGCAAAAATACAAACGTACGCACAATCTGACATATACGCACACGCACACGCACACACACACGCATACATACACACCCACACACACACACACATACATACACACACACACGGACATATACACCTTACGCACAGACACAGACACAAACACATGCACATACACATACATATACACATACACATACATACACATATGCCAAGATCATACTAAAAAGAAAAGGAAAAAAAAGAATGAAGGATATTGGGAGAAATTAAGGGAAAAACAAAAGAAGGGAGAAAGCGAGGGAAGAGGGGGCTATAAAATAACTGACTGAGACGAACATTTATCAAAAGTGTCTTGTTACTTTATTACATTTATACATGTATATTAATATACCTGTACAGAGGCTTGTATATATTTGTATGTGTGTGTAAATGTGGAGTTATATGCGTGTGTGTATGTATGTATATGCTTTGATGATAATTTTGACTTGAATATTTTGCATGAGGAAAATTCACAAAAAGAAAAGAGAAAGAACTTATCTTTCTTTTTTTGCTGATAAATAACCTTTTATTTATTTATTTAATAGATTAACATACAAACCTTTATGTGTTGTTTCCTCTTCCTCTTCTTGAACACGAGTGTATGAAGGCGCATAAATGATATATATATATATATACATGTGTGTGTGTGTGTGTGTCTACAAACAGGGAGTAAAATAAAGAGGAAGAAGAATAGAAGAAGGATAAAAAGAAGAGGAAGAACTGTGTAGATCGATGGTCAAGATACCAAGTGTAAATGTAATATTTGATTTATACAATAATGAATTTTTTTTATAGTGAAAACTGAAATGCAGAGTGAATATATGTATAAAGAAGAAGAATTAAAGGGAAGGGTTATTGTAAATGGATTGCATGAATTTGTTTTTTTTTTTGTTTTGTTTTTCATAGACTGAATAAGTACAGAAGAGTGATGAAGCCAGTAAGTAGGAGAGTAAAAGAGAGGCGTGCAAGGTTAGAAGCAGAGGACTGTTGGGGTGTTAGGGTGACAGGTAGGCCAACACTATATTCGACATTTCTATAGTAACTGTACGTGTCTTGAGGAGTAGCATAATTGGCTGTTCCACCACCAAAGAAGGTACTGAACATGAGACTGGAGATCGCAACTGCATTTGAAGTTCGATACTGAAGTGACGTTTGACTGATAAGAAGGGAGTCGTCTTGCCACACCTGGAGGATACCGTTGGATTTTGAAGGATCGTTGATCTTAATGTACAGTTCGAGTTTTGTCCACTGGCCTTTTTTCAGTTGAAGCAACCCTCGCGAAAAGGTAGTTCCATACTGATCATTGCACATCACCAGAGGGAGTGAGCAGGTAGCGTCGGAGTTTGGAATATAAGCATAGGCCTCCCCCGAGCCTATATTTTTGAAGGAGAAGGAGAAGGTAAGGTGAGAATAGAAGATAGAAAAAAAATACAAGAAATAGACTCGTTTTAGAAAATAAAGGGGGTAGGTTTTTTTTTATCTTTATCTTTATCTCTCTCTCTCTCTATATATATATATATATATTGCTATGGCTATATATCTGTGTATATACACGTATATGTTTATAGTATATGTCTATAGTGTGTATGTGCATTGACTTGTTTTCATATTGGTGATCGATTATATTAACAAGGTAGAACTCGAGATTTTCTCACCTGCTTCTCGCCACATCAGTCTAACAGAGAAACAATTGGACCCCGTAGCCTTGTCTCCACCAGAACAGCCTTGACCAGGGGGACCTGTATTATAGTTATTATTATTCATTCAATAATAGCAAGATCAGTATAATGAGTACAACAGTAGTAATAAAAATAAAAATAAAAAAACAATAACACCAAAAATATGTAGATACATTTATGTAACTGCAACTGTAATTGTAATTATGATTGTAATTAAATTCACAAAGGTAATAATAATAAGAATAGTAATAAATGAATACATAAATACATAAATAATCTTACCGCCGAATAATCCTGGTAATTTACCACCAAGTACCCAGTCAAAATCTTTGTCAAAGGCAAGATCATAGCGTAGGAGCACACTGTCATACGAATTGTTTCTAAATGGGGTTGAATAGAATTCTGCACCACCCACTGAGGCACTGGAAGATTTTGTACCGGTTGGCGAATAAGATCCTTTGTTGTACTTAATTTGAAGTACTTGAGAGCTAATATTGTTGTTGGCGCTGTTGTTTGTGGTGGTAATGGGGTCAGGTACATATGATACGTCAGTAGTTCCGTAAAAATAGTTGTTTGGGTTGTGCCAGTTGGTGTTTATGTACGTAGCCGCACTATCGTCCAAAAGAGGAGAGGTCGGAAATGGAGCCGACCAGGTCTGATTGAGTCCCAACTGTCTTGCCTTGTCTGATAATTGTTGAGCATTAGCGAATGCTAGAGCTATAAAGATGACTAAAATACTCGATGCTTTCATACTTCTTTTCTTTTAAAGAAAGAAAAAGGTAATAGAAAAGAATTAGTCGTAGTAGTTGTAACAGTGATTTTGGTAATTAGAATTGAAACAATATATGTAAAGAAATGTACCAAAAGATAAAGACCACAGAAGAGAAAGAGAGAAGAAAGGGAGAAGAAGAAAGGGAGAGGGTAATATAATCGGTTACTTGGCAACTAATCTTTATTTTTATTTTTATTTTCATGTGCGTATATTTTTTATACTTTGCTTAGCTATATATTTATATATATATATCTACGTATGTACGTAAATACACACACACACCTATAGATACACAATTGCTGTACCTAAAAAAAGATTTAATGTTTATATAGTGTAAGAATAGATGTGCAGGGTCATCAAAATATACATACAAAAATGATAATCTGGGGGGGGGGGATACAAATGGGAAAATTCCCGCTTAGAAAGAGAAAATTAGGACAAGGCTGGAATATCGATTTATTTGAATGATTGAATAATTGAATAATTGAATACTTGAATAGCTATTTAATCATTAAGTCATTTTATTGATTTATTGATTTATTGATTTATTTATTTTTCTTATGGAAATGGAGATAGACAGCGTATTCCTTTATATATACTTTTTATGAATGTATTTATGTATGTATGTATATATATATATAAAAGAATTGCAGGGTTGAATAGGATAGGAAGCCAGAGGAAAGATGGGAAAAAAAGGAGAATTTGCTACATGTCTTCTAAAGACATGACTATTATTGAGATTATACTATGAACAAAAAATAAAATAAAATAAAATAAAATAAAAAGCTGGGATTACATTACACGCTCACATTTTGGCGCAGATAAGAAAACAAGTTAAAGAAGAAAAGCAAAATAAATAAAAAATAAAAGGAGAGATAGATATAAATGAGAAAGTTAGAGAGAGAGAGAGAGCATGGCCCATGAGCACTAATGTACAAAAAAATAAGATAAAAAAAAATAAAAAAAAATAAAACAGATGAAATGAATAGTAAGCATAGTGTCAATGGACGCTTATACGCTATAGAATGAGACGGGGTTTTCATCACATAAAGATAAAGAAGTAAAAGAGGTAGAATGAAAGTGTGAAATAGAAAGAGGATGAAAAAAAAGGAAGAAAAACGGATATTTTTTTTATAGCAAGCAGTAAGCATGAAAGTGAAAAGCATAGAGACAATATCGTGAAAGTCATCTTGAATATGTATAAAAAAAGGGGGGGGGGGGAAGAAGAAGAATAAAGACAATCGATTGGGACGTTATCCAAAGAGATTTGGTTTGCCTTCTGGTGACACTCGGCCAATGCGCTCTTTTGTGTTCCATGCTTGGTTCTTTTCTTCGTCATCAACATCATCTTCAAAATCAATGTCTTCATCGAATCGCTCGAGCACGGCCATTCTTTGATGGCGCTGGTGCTGTTGTTCAGCCGCTGTTGTTGCTTGATTTGAGTGGTTCTGGAAATAACATTCTGAAGGGTCAGCCAGAGACATCACTTCGTCCTCCTTATTATGCTTAGGGTCGTTTGGATTTGAGTTTGGGGTTGAGTTTGGGTGCTGTTTGTCCTGGCCCAAGAGCCGCTTGAGCATCTTTTCTGCAAGCATCTTTCCCCGGAGACGGTCGCATGTTGCCTTGAGTCGGCTGTTTTCTCGCTGGGCATGGTCTAGCTGGCGAGACAAAAGATCGTTTTCTTTGGTAATCGAGTCGATCAGAGACCGCATCTCTCCGTGCTGCTGGTTTTTCTTGGCTCGATATTTGGCTGAGGCAGCCTTGTTACGCTGCCGACGTTCCTGTAGGGACAGTGGAGAGGATGGTGAGAGAGGTGTCATGCAAGGTGAGCTGTTGCTGCTGGAGTCTGATGTGTATGATGCCATGGTCTGAGGAGAGGCTTGATTGTGAGTATGGTTGCTATGGGTGTGGGTGCGTTGGAGGGGAGAGTAAGCATATGAGTGGGATCCATGTCGATGAGATGATGGAATTGAGGTGCGGTGGATATTTTCGGGTCTGTATGGTCGAGTCATTTGGGTCATTTGGGTCATTTGAGTCATTTGAGTCATCTGGGTCATCTGGGTCATTTGGGTCTCTGGATCTGTAGGGCCGCAGTTGGGCGTAAATAGTCGGGGTGAGCGTACAGAGAGGGCCTTTTGGATGGGAGGAGGAGAAGTTGAGGAGCAAGTAGAGGATGAAGAGGATGTTGGGGAAGAGTCTGATGAGGCCAGAGTAGGGATTTCTGTCCCGGGTCTGAAGAAGGGGTTTGGAGACAGAAGATGAGAAGAGGCAAGCGGAGGTGATGTGATAGTAGAAATGGCCATTGGCCTGGAGTGGAATTGAAGAGATGGTTGTCGATTGGAAAGAGATAAAGACATGGAAGTTAATCAATTAGTTTTTGACCTTTTTGCTGAACTTGGGATTTGTCATATTTATAGAGCCCGGACTTGTCAGAATCTTGACGGGATCCATGCAACCTGAAAGACTGTCGAGCCAGTTATGGATATATTGAAAAGGTTCAAGGCATCCCACCTGAATGAGCTTACAATTTGCTTTTTTTTCTTTTTCTTTTTCTGTCCGTGCAAGAAGGACTGACAAAATAAACTTCCCCCTTCTTTGGATTGCCGATACAACCAAAGACACCCTTCTTTTTTTTGCCTCTTTCTCTCTCTCTCATTGTGTGTGTGCGTGTGTATGTATATACAAGTGCTTATATCCCTCTCTCTCTCTCTCTCTCTCTATCTCTATTCATTTTATGAATGTCTGTGTCCTTTGGCTTTGGCTTTGGCTTTGGCTTTGGCTTTGGCTTTGGCTTTGGCTTTGGCTTTCTTTTTTTTTCCCTTATTTCCGTAGATCAATTACCAATGTCGCTGGATCACCTATACTCACAGCCCTGTTTTATTTGATCTTTTTATTTATTTATTTATTTAATTAATTATTTAATTATATTTAGATTTCTTGAGATTTCTTGAGATTTCTGGAGATTTATTTCTTACTTTTTTTATACATATGATATTTAATTGCGTAGTAATATTTTTTTTTATGATGGACTCTTTATTGCTTAACCAAAAATGGCTTTTTATTTTTATTTTGTATTTTATATTTTATTATCTCTCTTTCGCTTTTTTACCTAGACGTTGTATTGCAGTGCGCGCATTCCATTGATGCATCTATCATGTTCTTGTAAACATTACAGTCAAGTTGGGTGTCCCGCGACGCCACGTCTCATCGCACCATGTGTTCCATTCCTTTCTCTATTTCAAGCCATAAGGTGATCTTTACAACCAGTCCAAGTGTTGAACCACCCACATATATATAAATATATAAATAAATATATATATATACAGCATCATACTCATACTCATACACATACACACATCACACGCACCACACAGACCATACTCCTGTAAAATGGTGCATAGATATATGCATCCAACAGCGGGAGCCTAATCAAACGCACCAATCTTCTTTATATTCAAGCCATCATCTCGCATAAGATGTCCTAAATCAGACCAGGGAAAAGGCAGACTCTCCCCTCCCTCCCTCCCTTCAAATCCCCCGAGACCTATAACTCTTACCCATAGACAGCTTGTAAACCCAGAATCCAATAGATAAATCAGCAGTCTGTACCAAAATTTGTTCTTAAATGTAAAGATAACTTGTTGTCTATTCAATCAAAGAACCAAGAAAGAAGAAGAAAGATCATGTACTTATACTTGCTCCCAGACAATCGATAATCTTCAAAGGTTCAAAGTATATATATATAGTTTTGTATATTTAGTGTGATGTGCAGAAGATCACTTATTCGGATTCAATGCTGTATTATCATTATTATCATTACTTGCCCTTGTCTACGCCTTCCTGGATGGTATCATGATGTAACGCATCCGTATGCAGGGTCTTTTTTCTTTTTTTCTTTTTCTTTACTAAACCTGGGCTATATCATCAATTATATGTCCAACACGACACATAAGGTGGGTGGGTGGCTGGAAGAAGATGTTTATACTCTTTATAAGCTCATAACAAATCACACATATATTTCAATTCAAAAATAAACATCTTTAAATTCCTTTTTGTACATTTGACATGATCTATTTCTTGTACATAAATATATATACATATATATCTATATACATATACATATATATACACATAAATATCAAATGTAATTGTACAATTTTTTTCTTTTACTTTGTGGCTTGACAAGTATCAATATTCTTGTCATATTCCTTTAGGTATTTACTCTTATTTTTTTTTATTACTATTACTGTTAGATTTATATATATATTATTCAGACTAGATTTAAATAAAGAAACTCTCTTGGCCTAGAAGGCACTTTATAGATCGGCTTAAATTCAGGCCAGTTTGGGACCAATACTATTATCCCCCTTTTATTTTATTTTATTTTATTTTCTTATTCTTATTCTTATTCTTATTCTTATTCCTATTCTGGTTGAGGTTGAATAGTGGCTCAGGAATATAACTATATATATATATATATATATATAAGAAATAAGGACAGGTTAGCTTGGAAATAAAACCAGAAATATACTTCTTTAACAAAAAAGCAAATCAAATCAAATCAAATCAAATTAAATAAATAACAATAATAGTATACAAGTGTAAAATGAAATGTCTCCTTTCAATTAGAAACACAGCAGCGGCAACAGCAAAACAATAACAACAATAACAGCAGCAGCAGCAGCAGCAAAAGAAGAAGAAAAAGACTTTTAGTAGTTTCAAATAAATAATCAAGCAAATGAAAAACAAAAAGCAAAACAAAAAGAGGATAAAATAAAGGGACCCCTACGGTGTATGGAGCCTCATTGCGCTATACCGCATTGTTAGAAAAAAAATAAGTTATCAGAAGACGGTTATCCTAAATGACGTGCTATACTCTGCTTATACGCTGTTTAATACCAAAAACAACAACAACAACAACAACAACAACAAAGCATATTAATATCAATATCAATATCAATATCAAGATCAATATCAATATCAATATCAATATCCTTGCTCTTGCTCTTGCTCTTGCTCTTGCTCTTGCTCTTGCTCTTGCTCTTGCTTTTGTTCTTGTTCTTGTTCTTACTATATATAAGAAATCTTCTTCAACTACCAATTCTTACTCTACCCCCAAGGCACCCCTTTGGCAATTATTCTTTGCTATATTAATATATATGATATTTCCTTTTTCTTCTTCTTCTTAAGTAAAATCATTAAGACAAAAACCAAAATCAAGGACTCAAAAAAGACACTGCAGAAGCACAACACACACACACGTACATACATATGCACACGCAATACACACAGCTAGGGTTACATTTACTGAGTTTAAAAGATATATACACACCCATTTTGTCAGGAAAAATTGTTTAGTTAATTTTGCCCTTTAGTTTTACTAGAATAGGCAGAAGAACAAAAAGAAGAAGAGGAAGACAAAGAAAAGCTTCTGTAATGGCAACACAATATTACCCTGCAGCAATTAAACAACATCCCCAGAGTTTACTATGATAAGGATCTATTAATAAGCACAAAAGAACGAGTCTGTGCTTTTTTAAGTTTGTCATGACCGTTCATCCATAATTCATCATTCGCGATTTTGATCTCAAGTTTACCATCATCAACATAATCATCATAATAATTTCGAAAATCTTTTAAACAATCTCCTATACATCATTCCAATAAGACTTTCTTTTTTTTTCTTTTTTGATAAAGGCCAATTGAAAATTAACATTATGACACTATAACAGAATTATACGTGTATATGTACATAGATATATACAGAAAATTCAAAAAATAAAAATAAAAATAAAATTCCATATAATTTAATCCTGTAATTGTTTTTGAAATGCCATTCACTTATAAAAGAAATCTATATAAAAAAATCACAAGCACAACCCTGAAGTAAAAAATAAAAATAAAGGAAGGGGGGGAATAGAGGGGTGGTGGAAAGGACAAGCTATTAGCCACATTGTGTTTTATTTGATCATTCATTGACAGAATCACAAAGTAAAAGTATTCGACATACTGTAAAATGGCGCTTCCATGTAAGCCTAATAGATACAACAAGCGACGCCAGTTGAGAAAACAATAACAGTAAAATAAAATAAGGTCTTTGTCATTTTGCTCTCTTATTTTTGCTTTTTTTTTTGTTCTATTATAAAAGTGCATTAATGAATATATAACTGAGAACCCATTGTACATACATACGTATGTATGCAAGTATGTATATGTATATCTGTATGTGTATCTGTGGGCTGGTGGGTATATTTGATGTGTTTCTATTCCACACCACGGTATTGAAATATATCTGTCAAACTTGGATTTACGCTCCAGTTAAATAAATATCTCATTTACAAATATTTAATAAATGAATAAGAAAACGATAACATCATGCCCAATACCATATTCACTTGCAATCAAACGAAATATACACATCTTTAATGGCTCCTTTACTTTAATCATGATGATGATTACTGTAGACTATAAAAAAATCATCTAATGAACCAGTCTGTGCACAAAGGTTATAATAACGAATATTTATCATTTACATAAATTTATAATATACTAATATTCATAGTAGGACAAAAAAGAAAGACTAGGAGGACATCTTTGGTATCATGCTTTTTTTTTTTTAATTTTTTGTACATGTCTAACAATCCACCAACTCTTGTCTACAAAATCCAATAAAGATGTTCTAAATTGGCCAACTTTAAATATTTTCCAAAATCATAAAAAACTCCTGTTCGTCTCAAATATAGTATGTCTTTAATAACAACTCATTTAAAGATAATTGTATTATATATAGCTATGACAGACCTTGACACATTTAGGATAGTACACATATGATTCCGCTCTCATTATTCTGTGGAATAAAGAAATATAACTTCAATAATTTTTGTGATCATTACCAAGAATTTAAGCAAACCTTTTACGCGTGTATAAAAACAAAATGGGTTCTTGTTCTTGAACTTCAGGTCTCTTTGTTTTCTTTCTCCAAAGTATTATTCGTGTTTGTTAAACAAGGAGAAGGAGAGGGCGTTTTTTTAAAATAATAATGTAGCATTTACTCTTGTTCTCATCGTTTATTCCGTGTGTAGCTGTCAAATGATACATGGGTCCAGTATTTTTTATTGCTTCTATAAACTATACATTGTTTAACCAAATATCTCTCAATTAATTAAAATAGAATTATTACATCTTAATTCAAAAAATAAAAATAAATGTACTCTGGGTGGAAAAGTCAAGTTTTGGTGTTTTGTGTTTAGTACAACCTATTTAACCCTGCTTTATTTGGAAAGTAATATGGGTATCTGAGAGTTATTGAGTTCAATGTTACGTATAGAGCAAAAAGACATCCTTTCTCTTTATTTTGGTTTTTGACTTTTATTTGCCCGAAGATTTTGATATTTTACAAAGGCCATATTTCTTTATAGAGAAAAAAAAAGACTGCTATTCATATTTGATAATATATCTGTATATTACTTGTAAAGAGTTATCAGAAAGAAAATGTAAAATAAATAAATTAATGGCTTATAAAGATGTAGTAGCTTGAAAAGTATGTATTTATCATATGTATTCATATATACACAAGTATCTGACTAGCCAAATTTGATCTTTACCAAAGGGATACACCAAGCAAAGAAGTATAGAGCAATAACTGAACAATATACATTCATTTATTTATTTCTTGTCCTAAAGAAAAACTTTGTATTTTGTTTCTGGAGACATGTATAAAGAGCCATTGTTGATATATGTCTAAGTTCCTAAATGTATATATGATGAGTATACTAAAGTCTATCTATTCAAACTGTCAAAAATAATCTTTAAGAAGCAAGTATCTAAGAATATCATAAACAGAATATCTGTGATCGTACACACCTCCTTTTAAGTACTGTCAAGTTTTACAACTTTTCATTTGGCTGTCTATCTATCTATCTATCTAGCTAGTTAGTTGGCTGGTTAGCCTGTACCTAGTTATTAAATCTCTTTTGATGCTTGCTCGATACAAACCAATATAGGATTACAGAATCGAAAAACACCTCCAAGTCCACAACCCCTCCTTTATTATCGTATTAAAAGCAAGCTTTTGAGAATTTTTACCTCGACTTACCCACTTACACTCCACCTGGTTGGTACACCCGTCTATAAATCATCATCATAAAATAAATAGATATATACAAAGCCTATTTTTACTCCTTGAGTTATATTCAGATCGTGTACATTTTTCAAAAAAAAAGATTATATTATATTCCTAGTCAATAATAATAATAATAAATAATAAGAAATATATAAAAATTTAAGTAAAACAATCGGCCGTTTTACTACCCTGTTTCGGGTTTGTACATCCAAATGTGGTACAGATGCTACCACAGCCATGCCGTTCGATGTAGGTTTTAGACTTGTGTAATTAAAAGGAAATAAAAAGGATTATTTAATTCAAAGAAAAAGCTACGATTCGCTATATTAATTTTATGACCCTTTTTTTTTCTTTACACAGATTTTAACAGACTAAAATCTCTTCAAAGGAAAATCAACAGGTAGTACCATTATTGAACAGTAATATTCTTTTCTCTATATACTTTTTTTTTAAAAAAAAAACACTAAACAACTATAAAGCTATGCATACTACATAAACGTATAGACGCACAAGCGTACACACGCGCGTGCGTTATTTAGGCAAACACTTGAGAAATCCAATTAATCTTTATTGATGACATTTCCAAAAACAATAAAGAAAAAAAAAAGAAAAACAAATTATACAATATCTAGACACTTTTAGCTGTCATACAGCTCCCATGTAATATGATATAATGTATCTACAGCTTGCTCTAAATATCATTAAATGAAAATATATATATACAACTTTAGCATATCTTTAGATTCGATTTCGAGAGGTCGATACCAATTTATCTATAGTGTTACCGGATATCTGGAAAGCGGACTTCTTTTGCTTCAAATATATTATAATATTTGATTAATAAAACATATAGATTAACTAATTTTCGGTCTAGATTATGCACGGTATCTTAAACTAGCGGCATATCTTCTTTTTCATGAATTATAGTCAGAAATAAGACAAAATATAATAAATGAAAATATTATAGCACTTGGCCTAGACGCGTGAAAAAGTAACATATAATTTATTGAATTAAATGGGAACTGTGCTGTAAGAAAATTGGTATAACATAGGCTGTAGCTGTAGTCTAACTAAAATGACAAGCTTGAAATTAAGATTCACCAAAATAATCGTCCTACCCAAGGACCAGCATTAGGTCTTAGACACTAATTGACTAGTATAGGGAACTCTTGAAGGAGTATATATTGTTTTATTCTATATACCCCCCTTTTTTGTTGTTGTTATTACTACTGTTGCGGGAAAACAAGTACCTGGAAAAAAATCTTTATGACTTTAATTTATTTTTTATAAAAAAAATGATAAAAATATACACCCTAAAAGGAACTGACAAAGGAACAAGTATACCGAGTTTTTGACATATAAAGTTATACAAGTTTCTGTTAATATATCTGTATATCTGTATATCTGTATATCTAATAAATATCTCTTTCTGTGTGCGAACTTGTCTCTAAGAAACTGTCAATGAGGCATGATATGCACACCAGATAACGGAGAAAAATATCAAAAAAAAAACAGGGTTTGCAGCTTCTTCGTATTCAATTCTACACGTGTGATTTTTTTTTCCACTTTAATTTTTATTTTATTTTGCCAGCGCGGAGTCGATTCCTCATTAAGTGAAATTATTGGCATAATATTGCGTGTAACAAATCCTCCAGAAATGGGTATGCGAATTACTAGGTTGTTACCCACAACCACTTGCTAGCTGGCCAAAGAGAGCAGAACCAGGTCTGGGATAGGGTGGCGATCCCGAGGCTCTTAGGTCAAATTGTACAAAGTCTCTCATTTGGATTATACTCTTCCGAAGCGATGTAGCACTTTCATTAACCAAATTTTTTTTTTGGCTTGTTGAAATGAGCAGATCTGCACACTTCATCAAAGGTGTACCAAAAAAGAAATATTTCAAAATAATTAAAAAAAAGTATATAAAGGAGCCCTTGTTTGGCTCAAAGGAAAAAACTCATCAACCCCACTTCCTATCCTTCAAAACAGAACAATCATCCAATCATGAAGTTCTCCATCATCGCCTCCGCCCTCCTCCTCGCTGCTAGCTCAACTTATGCCGCTGAATGCAGCCAAGGCTACTATCAGTGTGGCGGTAAGTCCGGGGATGGTAATTTGGTAACACATTGTCTCCAAACCATACTTATACCAAACCATTTCTTATAGGCAAGTTGTGGACTGGTCCCACTTGTTGCACTGCCGGATTCACTTGCGTAGCTGCTGAGAACAACGAGTGGTACTCCCAGTGTGTTCCTAATGGTTAGTATACCAAAAAGAAAAGAATAGATTTTTTGTCTTTCTTTATTATAGAATTATGAGCCTAACAAGCTTTTAATTATTAGCTCAAGTAAACAACAACACTACCACCAAGGCTGCTACCACCACCAAGGCTACCACCACCACCACTAAGGCTGCCGCCACCACCACCTCCAAGGCCCCCACCACTACTACCACTACCACCTCCAAGGCCCCCGTCACCACCACTACCACCAAGGCCCCCGTCACCACCACTACCACCACCACCAAGGCCCCCACTACCACCACCACCACCACCAAGGCCGCCGCCACTACCCCCGCTGCCAGCACCGGTTACAGCCCCATCTCCGGTGGCTTCTCTGGAAACGGTCACACTACCCGCTACTGGGATTGCTGCAAGCCCTCCTGCGCCTGGGATGGAAAGGCCTCCGTCACTAAGCCCGTTCTCACCTGTGCCAAGGACGGTGTGAGCCGTCTCGGTGCCGATGTTCAGAGTGGTTGCGTTGGTGGCCAGGCTTACATGTGCAATGACAACCAGCCCTGGGTTATCAACGACAACCTTTCCTACGGTTTCGCTGCTGCCAGTCTTGGCAGCGCCGGTGCCTCCGCTTTCTGCTGCGGCTGTTACGAGCTCACCTTCACCAACACTGCTGTTTCCGGCAAGAAGTTTGTCGTCCAGGTTACCAACACCGGTGACGATCTTACCACCAACCACTTCGATTTGCAGATGCCCGGCGGTGGTGTCGGTTACTTCAACGGTTGCCAGTCCCAGTGGAACACCAACACCGACGGCTGGGGTGCTCGCTATGGCGGTATCAGCTCTCTTTCTGAGTGCGACAATCTCCCTACCCAGTTGCAGGCCGGTTGCAAGTGGAGATTCGGCTGGTTCAAGAACGCCGACAACCCAGATGTCACCTTCAAGGCTGTCACTTGCCCTGCTGAGATCATTGCCAAGACTGGCTGCCAGCGCAACTAAAGATGACCGACTTTCTTCTTTTTTTTTGCATATAGATAGGCTGAGCCTATTACCCTACCACTGTTTGTCTTTAGCATATAGTCTATCATTTATCATGGATTAGCTTATACCAAAATAAAAAGATACTTTCAGTTGTAACAAAAAAAAATCAATTGCGACTTGGTTCCACTTGAAAGATATTTTGATTGAAGCTAATGCTGACTGCCTGACTGCCTTACTGACTGACTGGCTAGTCTTGTGTGATTATGAAATATGTGAATTATATTTGTCAAATTAACACTATCTTCAAGGCATCAAATGGCAGTCCTACTCAAAATCATGAAAAGAAAAAACAGAATTCAAATTGAACCTAAAGATGTCCAATTCAATTAACCATATCTCTCTCTCTCTGGTGCTGTAATAAGGGCTAAAAGAAATAATAAGGCTATTTGTCAAATTTGCAGTAACTTGAAAGGCTTGTTTCCAATTTGAAGAGTCTCCTGTATATACACACTATCTGATAAATAGCCTTTGGATAATACTACTTCTTTTTGCAGCACGATATTTTGAGTTATATAATAAGCCTTTGTTTTAGAAAAAAAAAGTATGAAATATGTATGCACTCTTGTATTTTGCTTTATTGTTAATTTTAGAATTTCTGTATTAAACGGTCAATGTATCAATGTACAGAAATATACACACATGTATATATATGTATATGGATCTATATAAATACATACATATTCCTATGCATGCAACTAAATATAGAGACACTTATACTTTTACAAAAATAGCATATTTATCTCACTACGGAAATATTGCATTTTTTTTTGGTTGCTGGTTTGTTTAACATTCAGCTCTATTCTTCACAAACATGTGGAAGATACAACCTTTTTTTTTGACATTCGGTAAATGATTTTGCTGCAGGCTAGTGACTAGCGTTGGAACACAATAAATATGCCAAACTCGGTATAGCCTCCATTAGCAATGGTACCTTAAAGCCTTCGTTTTTTTTTATTATATCTAACTATCTCATCTTGGAATATCATGCATATCTTACATTTGAAGTAGTATGTACTAAATTTCTATCCAACTGCTTATTGGGATCTAGTTCGAGGACAATACTTCTTGTCCTTTCGTTTTGCTCCGTTACTTATGATTCTATATGTACTGATGGTGTGAAATCGTGCCAGAAATTCAACTACGTACATTACAGAAAGGAAACAACGAAAAAAGAAAAAAAGAATAAAAAAAAAGTCAGTGACCCCGACATTCATCTCCGCGTATAGAAAATATACCAAATCCAGTTATGAATCTTTCTCAAATCTCAAATCCTTCTTGTTATTCTCTTGTCCTTTTTGTTTTTCCACTCGATGTTACAGCCGTCTTTTCTATCAAGGATTCCTCGTAGATGGCGTCTGGTGATGATTGTCATTACTTGCACCATCCTAGTACTTCAGCTGAGCCAAAATATACTTATAAATTCATTCAACAAACCCGAGAGACTTAAAGAAACAGACGATATTATCGCCCTCATACCAAACCAAACGACTTTTCAGCGACTCAAAAAACCTCTTCTTGGAGACCCAGACTTTACTTCATCTCTCCCACAATTACAATATACATTCAAGCCTGAGAATTCAACCGAGAAATCCAAACGTGAAAGTCGGAAACAGAGTGTAAAGAAAGCCTTTCTACACGCCTGGAATGGTTACAGTCAGTATCTACACACATCTTATACACAAATACACTCTAGTTTCTTTATATTCGTCTTAGTCTTTGTCTTCGTCTTCATTTCATTTTTCTGTTAACCAGACCGTATTTTGTACCGTATTTTGTAAGCAGATAACCATGCCTTGGGATTTGACGAGATTGCTCCTTTGTCTAATAGAACAAAAAACACATTTGGTGGTTGGGGCGCAACACTAGTGGATAGTCTGAGCACTCTGCTCGTGATGGAGCTCAACAATGAATTCACTGCTGCCTTGCCCGAGGTTGCAAAGATAAAGATGGTTGTGGACCAAAATGTAAGCGTATTTGAAACCACGATTAGATATATCGGTGGACTCTTGAGTGCCTACGAGCTTTCTGGAGAAAAGGCATTGCTTGTTAAAGCAGATCAGTTCGGGGAGATGATTCTTCCAGCATTTGATACACCGTTTGGTTTACCTTATCACACCTGGAACAGTGCAAAGTAAGAACATACTCTCAAGTTGAATATGTATACAATTCGTGTGTTTGCTTCTTATTCTTCTTATTCTTCTATAGACAAAAGGGCACAAATAATCACACACTCGTTGCAGATGTTGGTACGGTACAATTGGAACTTATCACTCTGTCATTCCATACTCGAAAGCCTATCTACGCAGAAAAGGTAGAGACAGATATCAAAACATTTATTGTGCTGTTTTGGATATTAATTTGATTGTCTATGAATATGACTGACTTTTTTTTTTCCTCAAAAAATAAATAACTCCTCTCCCCATATAGGCCCAAAAGATCACAGAATTCTTGGACAGCGTTGGCTATGCTCACGGGCTATTTATTCCCGGGTTATATCCGAGTGGCATCAATCTCTACAAAGGAAGATTTACGGATGGTAAATCAAAAGTTAAAGCATATGATACACCTTTTCACCAAACCAATGCCTCTTGACAGCTGTTTGTACTTTTGGTGCCATGGGCGATAGTGTATTTGAGGTATTTTCTTTATAAGCAATAAAACGGAACTATCGGCTAAATTAATAAATATGATTTCAAGTACTTTTTGAAAGAGCATGTGCTATTGGATGGATCAGTGCGCCAATATAGCCGAATGTGTAAGTTGGATAAATGTATAGATGGTAGAAGAGCAACAAAAGAATTACAAAAACTGATTAGAGCACAATAGATATAGAGGCCATTGATAATATGAAGATCCACATGCTGCAACAGCTTCCGGGCACTAGCCTTCTCTTCCTCCCTCCATTTGACACTCGTAAGAAAACGTTCAAGAAATCCATGGATCATTTGGTAACTTTGCTTCCCAACGTCTCAAAATGGAAATAATATACCATTACTTATCTTATCTTTTCTTCTGCTTTGGCTTAAAGACATGTTTTGCACCTGGTATGCTGGCCATGGGTGCCACTTTACTTGACAGACCAGAAGATATGATTATTGCAAAAGGTCTTTTAGAGACATGCGTTTATATGTATCGCACATCTTCTACTGGCCTGTGCCCCGAGACATGGCTCTTTCCGGCAACTGAACCATACAATCCGCTGACATACTCTCTCTCAGATGAGGAGATGGCTGGGTCACACGAGTGGTGGTACAATACGCAGCTTCCTCCCCCACCTCTAAAAGAAAAATTCCCTGCAAAGCAAACGGATATATTTCCAGACATTTTCAAATTTAATTCTTCTAGTAAAAATACTATAGAGGGTTTGATGGCAACAGATCGACGTTATTTGCTTCGACCAGGTAAATACTCTGTACATGCGATACATACACATATAATATACGGATACTAAATAGTGAGTACAGAAACCGTCGAAAGTCTTTATATTCTTTACCGAATGACGGGAGATACCAAATATCAGGTAAAAGAGATGTATATAAGAGTATATTTCTACAGACTATACTAAAAAAAGAACTCCTAAAGGAATATGGATGGGAGATTTTTGAGGCTATTGAGAAATGGTGCAAGACACCAAGTGCATATGCCTCTATTAGAAATGTAAACATTTTAGAGATTTACGAACAAAACATTCAAGATAATCAATTAGATTCCATGGAGAGGTAATCGTTTCTACTGATTCTTTACTATTCCATTTCTGGTCCTCATGCGTGTATTATGTAGTTTCTTATTGGCAGAAACCTTCAAATACCTATATCTCCTCTTTAGTCCCACGGATCATATTTCCCTTGACAAATTTGTCTTTAATACAGAAGCGCATCCCTTTATGCGTAGATCTTGGGCTTAGAAAATCCGGGACCTTTATTTGCCTCAGACAAAATATAAAAAAAGGCAAAAACAAGAAATATACATTTTATATAATTTTTGTGTTTATTGGGATATATTTGATCATTTTAATGCCGTTTCTGCTTGCTATTTTGCTTAATATTTTGATGTGTTTGTGTGTTTATATTTATTTGCGACCTAAAAGTTTGACAGTTCCATTTGGAAAGACCTCACCAATCATTCCAGTCATAAACCAACCATCAGCATCCATAACATCGGAAGTAGAGGTCGGGTCGTTCCAGTAACCACTGAACACGTTGTTTCCTCTGACCCAAATCTCACCACGAGGGTTGGGCTTGTCCTCAGCTGTATAACCATTCTCAGTCAAATCTGTCAGCTTGAGTTCGTTACAGGGCAAGGGTGCACCACAGGCAGCAGTGTCAGCGTTATAATCATAGAACATGGATGCTGTCATTGTTCCACCAGTCTCAGCTCGGTTGAATGTCTTTAATACTTGGACACCCAATACAGCACGCAAGAAAGGAGCAATTGGTTCAGTATTGTCATCTATATATTTCAATACATTATCATTAGTATCCACAAAACCAACCCTCAAGCTCACTCCACACATTCCCTTATGTAAGCAATAACCGTTACCATTATCTATAAACACAACACGCAAGTTTCCACCAAAGAGAGTCTGTCGTATATCTCTGAAGACCAGCATATCGTATTTACTGTCGTTTACCAGACGTCCTTCTTTGAAGCACTCCAATTTCTTATTGAAACCACGTCTGAAGAGGAAAGAGTTTCCATAATTTGACTCGATCACTTCTTTAACTTGGTGCAGGAAATGGGGGCCACTACAAAGCAATGTTGTTAGCCCCAATCTTTGTGAATGTAAACATTTTTAGCCCAGTAATCTTTTACCTAACGAGAATTGTTGGCTTTGCCTCCGAAATTTTGGAAAGTGTTGCTTTTACATCCTTCTTGGGCTCATCAGCCTCAAAGGCAATAGATCCACCGACATAATAGAACACGCTTGAAATCGTGTGACCAAGAACATTGTCTGTCAAAAATAATTGTTAAACACAAATACACACACATGTTACTTTAAGTATTCAATTTTATTATGCCTTTTTTTTATTATTAAGAAAAAAGTATATTCAAAACTTACCAATAGGGAGGTTATGAAGTAATCTGTCGTTGGAAGTAATTTTTTGTTGAGGAGGTAATACCATTAAGTAACTTGCTGCAAATCCAGATAATAATAGTAGATATATAGATAAGTTTATGCCCCCTTTACATTTTCTATCTTTGTAAATAGCTATTTACCAACATTGGCCAATAGGTTCTTTAATGTATATATAGATATAGATATTCATTTATAGGTTAGTATTTTAACTCCCTTAATTTTGTATCTACAGCCTACCTTTTGTGTAAGAACAGCACCCGATTTAGATAACTTTTAAGGAATATTGTTGAATACAAATCCAATGTGATTAATACATAAACATGTATATATTTATAAGTTCAAGATAATCTGCTTACTTGATTGGAAGTACTATCGAACATAATTGAAGCAACATCGTTTGGTCCTTTTAAATCAGATCCCATAATTAATAGTCGGTCTTATTTTACCAATGACCGCACCAGTATTTCACATTATGTTTATGCTTTGTTTTACCTGGGCGTACAGCTTCCACTGTGCTAGACTGTCCTAGCACCTCAAGTTCCTTAAAGGTGAGCAATTCAATACCAGCCTTTTTTGCAGCGTCCTTGTTAGCAGCATCAATTGATCCCAAAACAACTATGTATTTGACATTTGTGCCTGGCACAAGAGATAAAGCTCTCTCAAGATTCACAGGGTCGACGGCAAGTACTTTGAGTAACGTATCTTTAATCACATGCGATACATGCGATGAGGTGGCCTGAGCAGAAATAGGAACAGTCACAAGGCCATTGCAGTGGCAAGCTTAGGAGTGAAAGAACGAAAGAACGAAAAGTAAGCGCAGTGTCAGTCTAAAGAGTAATTAATAGAAGGGTAAACGCGCGTCTTACCCAGCCCAATTGCAACAGTCTCTGATCGAACCGAAAAGATAATAATAGAATGTTAGCATATTCTCTAAGGCACAACTATACACATCACACAAAACTTTAATATTACCAGGTGAATTGGAAGCGTAGATGCCTACAAACGAAGACTCGTTTCCAGAGACAGGTACAAGTCCTGCCCAAGTACGAAGACCAGCCTGAACGTGTTTGGATTTGTTACTAATAACCTCTACAGAAAGTACATTTTGCGTTTATTATTTGCTTCTTCTTTTTTTTCTGTCTAAAATACACAATTTCTCTCTTTCTCTTTCTTTACCATAAGTGGTCTATAGGATTAATGGTCAATATAAATAGTCAAGCATATGTATCTGTATTGCATTCTAAACTTACCCACTCCCATGCACCAGAGTCGGTGTATTTTCCAACAAAAGGAGACGTTCTCTGCTTTGACAGACCACCAGCTTCATAAAGATCGCAAAGGGTACGCATAGAGCGGTCAAATGTAGACAACAGTGGCGAGCCGTTGGGATACATACGGGAGCGATAGCTACAAAAACAAATCCCACATTTAGAGAAGAAGAAGAAAAGAAAAGTACATGTAATTTATCTTCTTATGTATCTTCTGATAAGACGAAAAAAAGAATTTACATTGCACTTTCGCCTGGATGCCGTAAACGCGATACATCTGATTGAGTATTAAGTAAAAGAGGATGAATGTCAGGGCCCTTTGTATTATGGATTGACAGGAGAGCTGCAGCCGTCAAAATAGATGTTAGGAGCGTGTAGCTTGTAGTGTCGAGTTCAAAACCGCTCATTGATGCGTTAGTTGTATCTTGCAAAAAAGGATAAAGCCAAAGAAACTAAAAAGGTACGCATTGGCTCTGGGCCAACTTTTTTCTTGACCCTAATACGGTCAATATGGTTTAATGTCCGAACACACCTACGTATTTTTTTTAGCTTTCGGATAAATGTTGTACCGAAAACCATCTAAAGTGTCAACTTGTAAGAAACATAATATTCGAGAAGTTTATGATTATAAGAACTATGGCAGAGAAGTATTTATACAGTTTTTTATTATTATTTACAAATAACCATAGTCGATTTGCCTTTTATTTTATCACTATAAAAAGCCTGGGGGATTTAACAAACAAGATGGGGTTCAGTCAACTGAGCAGACCCAAAAGCAAATCAGATCGAGGAAATAGATCCAAAAATTGGAATAATTATAGTATGTATTCCCCTTATTAAAAAGTAGAGTAATAAAAAGGCTGATATTAATAATATTGCGTGCATTACACCACTTGTTTGAATGTAGGAATCGTGTGACCATACATATCTATGAGAAAATCAATATTTGAACTACTTATTACCTTTGATGCTTTTTTTTTTATTATTCAGTTCCCATTATTAAAGCTTAAAGAAGTTATACAAGTAGTACAGCAAATATACAATTTTCTTTAAGATATATCCAAATGTTAAGAATAGGAAAAATAATAGAAAAACAGATTCCTATGTCTCTGGTAATTTGTACTCAAAGTCTGCACCACCCAACTCACATTTAACTTTGATATATACACAAAATTCAGAACAACGAATATAAAGCGGTAATACAGTGTTTCTACTTTAAGGGGGTACTCAGCCAGATAGATCAATCACATTTTAAATTCCGAACGCAATATTATTGGATCACAATTGTAATAGCGACGATCAAAATTTGATCGAAAAATATACGGCTCTCTGATTGGCTGAATCCTTACTTTTTTATATGCAATACGATACTGTTTTTATTTTTCTCAATATACACTCTTTCCAGAAATTATTGATGCAAAAATAAAAACAAATTTGGTGCAAAAATAAAAAATTATTTAGTGCAAAAACAAAGATAAAATTTGGTGCAATTTTTTTACCATTTCTCTGCTTAATTCATCTTTTTTGGTGCATTTGGTGCATTCCATTTTTGCACCAAATAATTTTGTATTTTTACACCAAGAATTTCCGGAAAAAGTGTATAATCGCTACTTTTAGGGGACAAAATTTCCTTGTGGGAGACGACAATTTGATTCTACCGGACCACAAATCCTGACCTTTTTTCCGGCATGAAATGGTTCTATTTGTTCCCTAAGGACACATAATATTCGTATAAAGACTCTTTCTTGTGCTTTGAAAAAAATTGAATGGGGATTACTTACCAGTTTGTCTTGCCAAACTTTGGGAACATTAGGTAAAATAAAGACAAAGACATTATACGCGTAAGAAGGCCAATAAATAGTGAAATATTCAACAAGATTGCACCACACTTTAATGACAACAGCTCCTTATGATCTTCTGCATAACTGGCTATTGATATAGTGCATATGTGATTAATTATTATTACTTCTTTATTGTCAAGTCTAAATTTAGGACGCAAACTGTTATTAATTGAACATACAGGATTTCTCTTTGGATGGGATATCATTTTATTACTAAATTGGCTAAAAACAGACTTTAACCCTTAAAAGAATGAGAGTTAGGTGTCTGGGGAGATAGATTAACACAAAATGTGGTGACAAAGTAGTAAGCTAATATGTACAATAAATATACTGCGTTTTTCTAGGTCACATCATTTTGCCCTGAAGGATTAGAGAAAGACACCGGGACCCGGACAGGTAGCCACAATTAACTAGTCCGGTTAGATAAAAACGTCGTGCCCCATTAATGAACGTTGTGCCCGTAATATTACTGTATTGTATTGCCTGGATTTAAGTATCTAAGTTTATAAAAAACTTAGTACATCATACATATTAATCGATGTTCTTGAAAGCCCTGTTCAAGAATACTTCTTATCTCTAATGTCGCAGATTTGAAAGCAATGCGCAAAACTAGCCTATCCCGAGCATTTATTGTCAATGCTGAATCGCGAGCCCATTTTCCGCCACATCAATGCATATATTTTTGCAAGCTCCTACCTCCGTATCTCCCTCTCAAACGTCCTTCAAAATCCACACCGTTCACATAGGCAGTATCTCCGCCGAGTGATCATTGACTTTATTTATGTAAAAAGAAGAAAAGGGGAGAAGGGTCTTAATTAGTAGTTACATTAACAAAGAGTAATCGATAAGAGGGTCAATACAATGCTCACAAAGCACATATTCTGATCCGCCAGAGTGCTTAAAAAAGAAGTATCAACTTGCCAGTCTAAAGGTACCTTTACCAGCAAATAATGCAAAAATTACTTCACGGTAATCTTGCCTATCTTGAAGACTTACCTAGAAAGATATACATTCTAAAAATATTTTTACCTACTACTATACTGCAAAAGCATCTATCTTACAAATAGTATTATAAGCTAATAAATAATATATATTTGATATATTCAAACGCTGCCCTTCATACTTACAGTAATTTCTTGAAAAGTTTAAGCAAGTCTCAAATAATTGCCCCATATTTTCACTATCAAACACTATATGTAATCTCCCATGCTCTTCTAGGATGATATTAAAAAAGAGGCTTTTCTTTTCGATTATCTGTAAACCTTTTCTTTTATAGATTATTCTAGATGAGCCAATCCAACTTTTTTGGTGAACATTTCCTCATTACAGCTTGATAATTGTTTGGTGAAATAGAACTTATGGTATTGTAATGAATTTTCAGCACATCACTAAAAAAATAAAACATAATGACAAGATCCCTGATATTTCCAATCATTCTATTCAAAGTAGAAGTACTATAAGATCAAAAGGAGATGTTCCTAAGGGCCACTGCGTAAGAAAAATCCTGACAGCAACAAGAGAAGCATAATTACTCCAACCTGGTTATCGCAAAGTATTCTCAAGATACTTTTTTGGCAAGTTATTACATCCTTTGGATCACTTAATGAATTATGTTATACTACATAGTGTAGGATGAATGTTCTTTATTTTGAACTACAGTAGCAAAAAGTTAAAAGCTAGGATAAAATTGAAACATACCAAAATAATAATAAAAAGGGAGGAGGAAGAGTAGTATTTAATTCAAATTCAACCTCAAAACAACCCTTAAATCTTCACACAAAAAGAAGCTTTCAAAAATCGCCTACTAAATTCGCCTCCTTTTCACCATAATGGAGGGGTCAAATAAATCCAAGCTTTATAGACAAATAAACTATTGGAATTTGTTTTTAATTTCAGTCTTATATTCCTGATAACAATAACCTGTAAAAATCTAATGTGCATAATTTTTCTTTAAAAATAAATAAATGGTAACCTTAATCTTGTTTGGTAGTACTTTCTCTTTACCATCTAATAGCTAATAATAAAACCAAAAGCTTCTTTCTTTTTTCTTGGCGTTACTCATTTATTATGACGATCTATGTAGGTAAGATATTTATTTTGGCTGTTAAATGATTAACTATCTGGAAAGCTAATACAATAAATATACATAATAAGTATACACATGTTAATTCCTTGTTATTTTATTTTGTTTTTGCTACAAGGTAGCACAATTAAATATAGTTCACCGTTTTCAGAGTAAAATTATGCCACATGTGAGAAATGAATATTTTATAAATAAAAAATTTGCTATTTTTTTTTCAAGTAAAGAAAGGAAGAAAACCCCTCCAGTACGACATAGTCTATTAAGTGAAAATGAGGGAATACTAAATACCAAATACTAGTTGTAAAAAGTTTCTTTAAAGTCTAAAGATCTATATAGATATTATCTCTTGATATTTTATTTAGTTATAGATGATAAAGAGATTAATTAAATCTTGAGGGAGTGATTCTAGCATGTGCAAATTGTATAATAAATAAATTGAATAAATAAACCTTTGGTGTGCTAGAAGCTCACAAGAAGGCTTCTAACATCAAAGAAGTGAGAAAGTACAACGGTAAATACGACATATAGATTTGCATTGTGGGTTGTAAGCCCGCTCATAGTTATCAAAGCCACTGCCGAATTTTTTATGCACCTTTCAATTCAACAGAAGTTACTTATTCATAATCATGTATGAAGAAAGTGATGACGATCTTGAATTGTTACGACAATACGAAGAGCAAGATGCCTCAGATTCAGAGAGGTAAACGATCTCTCTCAGGAAAATATTCTGAAAATTGCTTGAATTGAAGGCTCATTATGAGTTTCTAGCGATAAGGTCGACAGCGATATCGAAGAGAAGATCATGAGTTTGACGCAGTATGGAAATGCACCTACTAAAAGAGAATCCGCAAAAGCACCTGTACATGAATCAGACGATGACAGCGTAACGGAGATTAAAGATATTTCTTCCAAGGAAATGTTCAGACTGGATGACTCAAGCTCAAGTGATGATTCTGATTCATACGAAGATTCTTTGAATGAACCAGCTGAGAAAATTATAGCAAAGGAAGAGGCTCCAAAGGTGACTCGATATATTGACCTCGATACTCCTGAGTTCTATGTGGCGGATGACTCCGAGTCTGAGGAAGAACGTGAATCAAATGAAAAGCTACAAGCCCTGATTGATAATCAGGTAAAGCCAAAAATCCAATTGTGTGGGGCTTTTTAGGCCCATGTTTGTTTGCTTGTCTATAGTCGCTTTAATATCATTTGCTACAAAGACCATCGCACGTTCAAAAACCGCCGTAAAGAAACTCCAGCATGTCAATGTTTGCAACTTATGTTATATGCCAGGGCATAGACGACAACGCTGTAATACGGTATGCAAACTAATTAGATTTCTTGTTAAAAAAGAGTAAACATTGAGGTATATATCTGTCTAATACGGAAGAAAACCATTTAGTGTCTATCTTGCGGATTATCCGGACATTATATAGATACCTGTAATTCATCTATCAATTGTACTAGATGCAAACGCCGTGGACATACACAAATTGTAAATAGCCGATATACACAGCAGTATTTCACAGAAAGTTAATCAATTGAAAATAATAATAGGAATGTAAGTTTCCTGAGGTGAATCAACCTTGTAGTCATTGTAAATCTAGCACCCATATTTCTACGGTAAGTTCATGTTGGTAATATAGGTATAGCATATTAATGTTTGTAAGGAAACAGCAATGTCCAACTCTTGCCCATGTTTACATCGGGGAGGTTGAAGGTAGAAAGAAAACCACCCCATATTGCTACTATTGTGGTGATATTGGTCATTATGGTGATGAATGTGGAATGCGGCACAACTTGGACAATATTACCCCTTCTGCCTTTAGTAAATACAGCATCATGCCTGGAGGTCGTTACAGTCAGAGTAATATCGCTAAGCATTCCGCTAGCTCTTTTACTCCATATAAACAAGGAGATCATATCCGATTCTCTAGTCCAAGTCCTTCAGAAAATCAAAGAAATAGAAATGGTGGAAATCGCGGTAATAATTCTCGAGGAGGATCGCATTCAAGGAACATTGGGAGAAATAACAGTGTTTCCAGTGGAGAATTGGATAACTTCTTTGGTTCTGATCGTCGTAGAAGACCAAATCCATCTCCACCTCAGTACCAGAAGCCATATCAGCACCAACACCAACACCAAAATCAACATCAAAATCAAAATCAAAATCAAAATCAATATAAATCACAACACCAACGCAACATCAATAACAACAACGCCAACAAAAACAATAGCAATAACAATAATAACAATAAGAACAATAATAACAATGTTGGAAAGAAACAGAAGAGGTTATTCCATGATGAGCCATTATCATTACAATCAAAGAAACCAAAGCAAAACAACCATCAGAGATTTGATGGTGGCAATATACACGAGTTCTCCCACCAGCGTCCAGTTGAAGACACGTACCATGTACGAAGTCATCAATCGCCTACTGGAAACAACAACTGGAAAGCGCTTGGGGGAGAGTCTATGCCAAAACCAACCCGGTCCGGAACAATGAACGTCGGAGGTCAAGTCAGTGGAGGATTTGTAGATTACCAAGCTGATTTCCCTCGTAACCAACGCCACATTGAGATCCTTCCAAGGCCTAGTTCGAGCGGAGTCATTGATATGCCCGAGTCTTCTAGAGCCAGAAGACCTCAGTATCACGGAGGCTATTCTAAGCAAAAGTAATAATGGAAACACCAAGCTTAGGGACCATTTAGGCAATGCCACATATGACGTCTATTTCGATCTTTTCTTTGATCTTATACTGTCTGCATTAAGGAGAATAGTATATATATATATATGCATATATATATACATACATCATGGTCTTTATTTTACACTCTCATACCTATATCGACCGAATAACATATTACTGTTCAAAAACACTCTTCTTTAAGAAGATACGAATAAAAGGCTGGTAGAGGACAATAGAGTAAAGGAGTATTTGGTGTGACTATCTATTATCACTGATGAAGGTCAGGTTTGACTAGCCCTGGTTTTTTGGTGGGATTTTTAGCTGTGAAGACAAAAGCCATGTGCAGTCTGTGCTCCGCTAGCAAATCGGCGCCAGAATATCCCCAATTTGCTATTGTTGTACATCAATATGGAGAAACTGAAACAAATTATTCTTTTTTGTCTTTCTACTCTTGGGGTTTGTTACGTTCCTTCTTTCATTCATACACTTCAAATGGCGAGCTTCGCAAGAAGCCCTAAAAACGATCTTAAAACAGTAGTTCTGGTGGACTGTCTACTAGAATCATCACCACCACCACCATATGCTTCTGTTCATAGCCATCAGGATATGTGGGTAAAGAAAGTATGTCGAATGGTGGTGTGTGGAGTGATTATTATTGTTTATACTTTATTCCACAAAAAAAATATTGCCAGACAAATGCAAAACTTTCAATTAACTAATACTGCTTGCTTTTTAGATGTATGAGCTCGACCAGACATGCTTTGAGATGAAACAAACGATAAAAGACACTCAATCGATGATGCAAAACCTCGAGGATCGTTTCTCAAGGTAGATTGATTTTCATTATTCATCATCTTTGATCAATTTCGTATTTGGACTGTTTAGTGTCTATTACAATTCCTGCATGTCGAAGTACTTCAATTGGATATAACTTATTTAACACGTGAAGATTCTTAGGTTAGAACAGATATATCCGTCAGTACCAGTCTATCCAAAGAACCAGCCAAAGTATGAGTAAGTTGCCTTCCACTTGAAGAGCACAATTAAGATTCACGCCTCATTTGCCCCACTTTACTGAATTCTATATTTTTTCCTTTTATAGACCGGCGATCAGGGCACATAACAGTAGCCAAGGTTACATTTCAGCTGATGCCGCACCTCTATCACCAACTACGCTATCCGGCAATATTAGTTTGAGTGACAGTCTTGGACGCATTGGTCGTTCGGTCGAATACATGATTGCAGAGGCACAAGCCAGTCTTTCAACCACAACCAACCCCGGCAGAAAACCATTAACGCGTACTAGCTCTTGCCCGAATCTCCGGGATCCTTTTGAATTCGACGCATATGAACACCCAATCGACAACGATACATCTTATCTATCAAATGACCATTCAACAAAATATCTTCATAGTGAAAAAAGTCTAGCCAAGGCTATGGACGAATTATTTGAGACAGTGCAGGCACTATCTCCCTCCCAGTCGCATTTGGACAGACCAATACAGAAACATCATACTCATCAACATATACATCAACATATTCACCATCATAACCACTTTCATTTCGGACAACATATACCAGCGATTCGTTTGCCAGACTGCTTCCGTAACGCATTCTCTCTTCTCAAGCAAAGTCCTTCTTCTCCTTCACCATTCCTCTCGAATCTTACTTCCTCCAGACTCATTCTTTTTCTCACTCTCCGTATATTCCACAGAAAAACAAGCCCCAATGCTTCTATTCAACAGATCTCCAGAAGGGTTTGTAAACAATGGAGCCCACTAAAGCGAAAACGGGTGTTTTTATTATGGATTAAATGGACCACCTTGTTATTCTATCACTTGCCTCTCCTTCGCCTCTCCCTTTTTATGAAACGAGACTTGGTTTTTCGAGTATAGTTAGACTCTTTAAATGAATCTCTTCCCCCTTCATTTGTATATGTAAACTTTTTCTTCTTCTTCTTTTATTGTTGTTATTGCTTATTGCTGTTGCTGTTATATTCTATATTTTTATTGTTTTTCTCTACCTAGTGTTTTTTTTTTCTATATATTTTTTCTTTGTATTCTTAAAGCCTTTTATACTTTTACTTTCAACTTTTTTTTTTCTTTTATCTATTGCATTCTCACGCCGCTTTTGCTGATTCGAGGGCAGCATTTGTCATCTTCTCCTATGCCTCACTCTTTTCCGATTGGTGATTTTTACACTCCGCCTCTCCACAGTATCAAATACAGTTTTTTTTTCACATCCTCTTTCTTCTTGTTTTTTTTTTGTCTTCTTATTGGTTGGATAAAACTTTAGTACTTATCACATGATCCTCAGTCCAAAGTGCATTAAGTGGTCGTTGATTGCGGTCGTGGGTCTTTACTCTTTTCTTCAGCTTTATTCACTAATTTTCAAGATGTCTGACCGCAAGCTTTGTATGATTCCCGGTAAGTATCCTTTAGTAAAAGCCCTTGGCGACCAAATAGCTAACCCAGAGACGCGTTCACGATACTGCGGTCGATTCGATAAGGCCCTATCGAGTTCCACGAGGATGTCTTGACAGCCATGAGCACCCCTGCTACTTCCCACGTTGATCCTCTCTTTGTCCCTATCTTTGGCGAGTCCATCGAGATGATTCGTGAGGTTGTTGTCTCCAAGGTCGCTCAACCCTTGATTTTGTCTGGCTCAGGAACCCTTGGATGGGATCAGATGGTCAACGTAATTGAACAGGGAGACGAGGTTCTTGTCCTGAACACTGGTTACTTTGGTGAAAACTTTGCTGACTGGTAAGAATCTTGTGTGTGTGTGTGTATATGAGTCGAGGGTAAAAAACGATATACAGATCCTGAAATCGTTTTTTTTAGTCTCAAAACATACGGCGCCAAGATTACCCAGTTACGTGCCCCTGTTGGTTCCCGCCCAACTTTAGACGAGGTCACAACCGCTGTCAAGGAAAAGAAGTACAAGATGGTTACAATCACTCAGGTCGATACCTCGTAAGTACCCATAATATAATATTTTATACAAAAAAAAACCATATCCCCTTTATTTCTTTTTTAATTTTACTGATCTTATTTGTTATCAGGACTGGTGTTTTGTCTGACATCAAAACTTTGTCTTTGGCTATTAAAGCCCTGTCCCCTGAGACTTTGGTTGTGATTGATGCTGTGTGCGCTGTTGGATCTGAGGAGATCCAGTTTGATGCCTGGAAATTGGATGTTCTCATCACCGGCTCCCAAAAGGGTCTCGGTGTCCCCCCTGGACTTTCCATCGTAGTTCTCAGTGAGCAGGCTATTAACATCTATGAGAGCCGCAAGACTCCTGTTGCTGCTTACTACTCTAACTGGAAGAAGTGGCTTCCCATCATGAAGGCTTACGAAGCTCGCAAACCTGCTTACTTTGCCACCCCTGCTGTCCAGCTTATCTATGCTCTCCACACTTCTCTTAAGCAGATCACCAGCCAGCCTATTGAAAAGCGCTGGGCTAAGCATCAAGAGGTCGCTGCTAAATTCCGCAAGGCCGTTAAGGATCTTGGTCTTAAGCAGGTTGCTGTTACTGATGATGCTGCTGCCAACGGTATGACTGCCGTCTGGCTTCCCGAGGGTCTTGTTGCCGGTCAATTGGTTGGATCTCTCGCCGGAAAGGGCGTACAGATTGCCGGTGGTATTCTTGGTGATCTTTCACCAAAGTACTTCCGTGTTGGGTAAGTAAATCAGTATTCATCGGAAAAAAAATTATGGTTATTTATTGTTTATTGAAATAATTAGTCACATGGGTATTTCTGTTATGGAGCGCAACCACATTGACAAGGTTATCAAGGCCATGACTGAGTCCTTGGCTGAACTCGGATACAAGCAGTAGTTAGATTTCCCTATATTTTTTATTACCATATCGTTTTTCATCCATCATTAAAACACTCTTGCTTTGGCATGAAAAATAATTCACAGTCACGCCTGTTTTGACTCCTTCTCCATTTTGAGCCTTTCTAGACAACCTTTGTCCTCCTCTTTACTTTTTTTTTTGTTTTGCCGACAAGTAAACCTGTCGACGACGTCGCCCTAGTCTTGATTCATTCCCGCTTAATCACTTATTGTTATAGGTAAACCAAATCATTCAGCAATTAGTGCAAGATGCACCATGCCCGCGTGAATGCCTCATCGCCGAAATCACTACCATCCTTCATTTCATTTCATTTATTTCTTTCATTCATTCTTTTATTATCATTATCGCTTCCCTTAATCTGTTATCTTAATGTTTGTTGCTGGATTATCGTTAGCAATGGAGTCTCAATCCCCACCACACAACGATGAAACCCCTACAAAATCAGTGCCTAGTCCAGAAACTGATCAAAAAGAGAATGAAAGACCCGAGAAGCGGCCACAAGAAGACGAAGAGGGTGGTCCCGAAAAACAAGCTAAGCCGGCAACTGATGCCCCTGTACTTTCAGCAGCAGCAGTTGCAGCAGCCAAAGCAGAACATAGAAAACCTCAATATGAACTCAAATATTCCCTTGTCGGTCATCGTATGTCCGTGTCGAGTGTTAAATTCTCTCCAGACGGCAAATGGCTGGCTAGTTGCTGTAAGTTTAAGTCAAGGCAACTACTTTATTCGATCAAATCAGATCATACGTGTTAAAAAAGGATTTTTTTTTCTTATTTGACACTTCTCTATGTTAACTAGCTGCGGATAAAACTGTAAAAATCTGGCATGCATTGGATGGAAAATACGAAGCAACATTAGAGGGACACACACAGGGCCTTTCTGATGTTGCGTGGGCATCAGATTCCCAAAGTCTGTGCTCTGCATCAGACGACAAGACAATTCGTATCTGGAGCTTGAGCACAGTGAGTGGATATAACCAAAAGGGCAAAAAACGAGGATTTGGCTAAAAGCTAGATTTATATATGTATAGAGAGAAACAGCAAAAGTACTGAGAGGTCACTCCAACTATGTCTTTTGTGTCAACTACAACCCTCAATCAAATCTTATTGTCTCTGGCTCGTTTGATGAAAGTATCAAGATCTGGGATGTAAAGAAGGGTAAGTTATTTTTGGGATGGCAAGCTTTGACGTGGGATATTTATGGTGTAACTGTATGTAGGTAAATGTATGAAGACATTGCCAGCACATTCAGACCCTGTATCAGCCGTTCATTTTAACCGAGACGGGACAATGATTGTGTCCTGCAGTCATGACGGTCTGATGTAAGGCATACATAAAGTATCAAAGTATATGTACATGATATTTAATGTATAATATAGTCGCATCTGGGATACGGCTAGTGGGCAATGTTTGAAAACTCTTGTAGATGATGACAATCCGCCAGTGTAAGTCTAAGTTTAGATCGTGATATAAATGAAAGAAAGAAAGAACTAATATAATATATTGCAGTTCATTTGTTAAATTCTCGCCCAACGGTAAATATATTTTGGCATCCACTTTGGATAATACACTCCGTCTCTGGAATTACCACACCGGAAAATGCTTAAAGACGTATCGTGGACACGAGAACAACAAGTACTGTATCTTTGCAAGCTTCAGTGTCACTGGTGGCAAGTGGATTGTTAGTGGCAGTGAGGACCATTCTATCTACATCTGGAACCTCCAAACAAAGGAAATTGTTCAGAAATTGGAGGGTCATTCAGGTAATAATGATTGGAACCTTATTTTTTATCTGTATTAACCATACTATTAACTCCAATCAGATGTTGTTCTCTGTATTGCCTGCCACCCAACTATGAATATTATTGCATCAGGGTCCATTGACAAGGACAAGTCAGTGAAACTTTGGTTTGACAAATCGCAACCACTTGCATAATAACATCTTTTACAATCTTGGCACGTCTGGGTCTCGTTAAAGAACGCTTTTATCTCTCTCTCTCTCTCTCTCTCTCTCTCTCTCTCTACTTTCTTCTTTTTTCTTTCCTTCAAGCGCATGCATCTCCATACTATTTATATATATAAAAAGGGTTCTTTGATCTTTACAGAAACAGATCTCGGAACAAAGATATCTTGGGGGTTCAAATAGGAATTTGCATTGAATTGGTATATACAAAAAAAAAGAGAAGGGGCATGAAGAAGGGAAGTGAGAGTATCGTACATATAAAAGAAAAAAATATAAGCCTTGAGGTGTTGGCATGACACAACCAACGTTGTGTTGCATGAAAAATGGGGTGCGTATGTGATGTGAATGTTTGGTGAATGTTGCGCTTGTGTAATTATAATAATAATAAAAGAAGGTCCCCTCATTACTTCTTCGACCAGGCGCCAACCCAGCGCGAGAGGAAACCAGCTTTGCTGTTCTTACGTGCTAGAGCAGAGGGGTGAATGTCAGCCATCGAAAAGTTTCTGCCATCATCCTCTGAACAATCGACGCTTTTTCGGGAAAGACCCTCGACACTCTTTTTAGCGAGGTGCGACAGTCCATCGAAGCTTGGTCTGAAATCAATACTCTTTCGGGGACTATCCATAGAAGTACGACCATGGTGGTACTGATAAGTAGCAACATCCATAGACTTGCGCCCTCCAAAGGCACTCCACCATGCCTTCTTCATCTCTTTTTCGTGGAATTGGCGCAAGGCTTCTGCCTCAGGTCCGTCTTCAAGGGCAACAGAAGGTCGTGGTGCAGGTTCGTCGTCTTGGTGTTGTTGCTGACTTGCATTAGCAGCCATGGCATTCATGAGTGCCGTTGTACGTAAATGTCCTCCATCAGATGAACATCGTTTAAGACTTGGTGAAACACCATCAATAGAAGTTCTAGCGGGTCTACATTGGTCCAATGATGCTCGTCCAGCACGTTCGTTAGGGTCCTCTCCGATACCATAGGCTCTACGCTCGAGGGAGGCAAGATAGGTGTCGTCTTCGTAATGGTTCACAACGCCATAACCATACCAATCTGGACGCCCGTCCATACTGACCTTTGGTTTGGGTTCAACCCAGACCGGATCACCATCGTTCGGCGGTATGCCGAGGATATCGTCGGGTGCTGAGCCGTCGGAAGACTTGGACGACGCCAGTTCGGGGGTTTTGTGTTTTGAGGGACGTCTTCGTCGGATATCAATCGAGTTTGTCGTGCTTTCTATCTCTGCAATTGTTTCTGGTTCCTTTCGTATTGGTAGGGTTGACAATGGTGGAAGACCGGGTCTTTGTGACTTTCCTTCAAATATAGCTGGTAATGACGGTCTACGCAAACGTTCTGTCCGCTCGTCTCGCGAGCTACTACCGACATCCATTGATCGTCTTTCGGTTCCTTCTTCTCGATGTTTTAAGATGGATTCTTGATGTTGCATTGAGCCAAATGTTTCTAAAAGCTTGACAATCTCAGCATGATGTTTGGCTGCTGCAATATCCATGGGTCGTGAGCCGTATTTGTCCTTGACGTTGACTTTGGCGCCGTTTCTTAGTAGTAAATCTACGATTTTTGCACATCCGTTGGCACAAGCAACATGCAGTGCAGTTGACCCGATTGCCCCTGCGACTGCCTGCGACTTATCGGCACTGTGCTTTTTTGACCATCTAAAACAGAAAAAAACCAACAACGGTAAGGTTGTACGAAACACATGACAAGGGCATTAGGGAGGGCCTAATTAGCGAGGCTACAACGTGCCAGATGACTTGTGTTCCCCTCTTTTTACCTTTGGGCATTCACGCCCGCACCTCGATCAATGAGATATTGAACCACTGCAATATTATTGTCACTGATACAGGCCAGTTGAAGAGGCATGAATCCGTTAACAACGGCATCAATGGGTGCGCCGTGGTCCAATGCAAATTTAACAAGGCCTTGTAATTGTGTGAGGATAGGGTGTTCAGTCGAGGGCTCGTTTACTCACCTACATTGCCTGTCGTGGCTGCCCAGTGTAAACCAAGGAGATAGTCCTTGGACTTGTCTTTTTTAGGATCGAGCATGGTTTGTTATAGTATTGGTTGTCTAAAGGGAAACAAGATTGGGAAATTGAGGAATAGCGGAACAAAGAAACAGAGAAACAGAAGAAAGGTAGAAAAGAAGAAGAAGAAGAGAAAAAGGAAAAGGAGTGAAAGGGGAACAAAAGCGGGTTTATATTTGGGGGGTTCATATTATTATTTTTAAATATTTACAAGCGTGCTGATTACCAAAGTCTTGTAAGACTGAAGATACTCCTCCATTTTGTTTGAAAAATCCTGGAATGTTTGCGCTTTGTGTGGCGCGGTTTCTTTCTACTCATCCACTGTGAAGTCCTTGCACCACGAAACTTATTGTGAATCCATGATTAGGAGTACACCGGGCTACAGCATTAATTAATCAATACAATCTTCTACCTTACACAGCAAATCACTCTTGCTGTGCTTATTCACACGAGAATGCAAGTCGTTCCATATATATATTAATCAACTTTTCGGTGCTCAGCTTCTATATTTTGCTGCCATCTAAGCTGCTGTACAACCTCTTGATGTTTTCTTTAACAATAATGGTCAGTATAGTTCTTTGAACTGAATAAATTACATATGAAAATTGTATATATATATATATATATATATATAAAAGACAAGGGAATTGAAGAAAAGTGCTCAGATATATCGTTTCTTCCCGCAGATTTATACATGTAATCAAAATCAAGTGACCCTAGCCAACAGTCGATTTCATCTATCTGTACTGTTGTATATATATACGAGTGTGTATACTACAGCTTGACGAGACACTAAATCCATAATATTTTGTACGAAAGCTCGTATTTATCAGGTTCATTTGTTTTTTTTTTGGGCCTGCCAAGGTAACCTCTCGGGAAGTATCACACACACACACACACTAGGTACCCGTATATTCCACCCTGACTCAATGCCAACAGACTGCTATACTGGTATCTTTAACAAGGCATGCTCGTCTACAAGAAGATATACTCCTATTGCTTAACTGAATAAAACTCCCAATATCCATTTTTTTTTCCTTTAGATACTTTCATATTTTAGAAACTTATTAAAAGTAAGTAAGCTGACAAGCACATTAAAAAAAAATTTGTCAAACACACCCACTGATACTCCACCCATTTATGGAAATTCATAAAAGCGCCCTTGATTCCATTGGTTGGAAAAACTCTTCTGAAATTAAACGAGTTTAGTCTCAGGGCTGGGTGTACCAAATGGTTAGAAATGTTCTAAAATAGGATTAAACTTATTTCTTGTGCCCTCGAATTAAATTCCCGATTGTAAAATATATATATAAATTATTATTTTTTGAAATGGAAAAAAAAAAGGGTAAAGGTAAGGGACCTGGAATAAAGATTTTATTGGTTAAAAGCCTAATGGTAAAAATGGCTTTTTTTTTGCCAAGTCAATGAAAGTCTAAAATAATATGCCGAAGTTTGAAACATTAAAAGCTATTTTTTCGTCTTAATAGAACAATTATACAGCAATAATCTAGACAAAGACAAGGTTATTCTTGCTGGATTCAAAGGTCATTTCCTCAAGTATCATCGCAATTCTGTAGTAGATTGCTACTCATCTTAAAGAAGAAGAAAAAAAAAGAAAGTGCGTATTAATTCAAATTTCTGACATTTAAACAACATATACAATAAAATTATATATTATGTTATTATTTAGTTTGCTCTTGCAAGTGATCTTGATATTCACCTTAAATGCAGAGAATCAGAATAGAATATTTCAAGATGTGATATTTAAAGTATTATAGACTAATTGTTCTTTCATTCTTGTATCGTTATTGGAGACGGGGTTTTTTTTCTAATCACTGAAAGGTACATTACAATTGTGATCTGGCCAAAGGATCCTTGCCTACTACAAGTGTATTGTATGATGATATATCGAATGTATACTTTTATAATTAATTTCTAGAAAAAAAAAAGATAAACTTATATGATTCCAATGACATTATAATAAGTAATTACAAAAACTAGTTCATCATTAGAGCAAGTAGATATCCAAAAGTACTTTTTTAGTATATCTGTTGCAGTATTATTAGGTGTGAACCCGTCATATAACTGAATAAGTTGAATATTTTCTTATCAAGAATATTATATGAAAGGTTTGTATATCGATCATACTACCTGGTAGTAGAGTTAGGATAAAATTAGTTGTAGCACCGCTTTTTGAAACAAAATCAATAAGTATATGCATTTTTTGAAACAAGAAGTTTCCAACAACTGGACCCCTCTTGTATTTTAGAATTTTGGTGTTCGCCTCTAATTCAATTTAGGAATCTTTTGAGAAAACACCTTTTGTTCCGCTTTAAGAAATCTATCGGGTCAGTTTAAATCAAGCTTGTAAACTGATCCCGAAAAAATCAGTGGGTGTAACTTGGATTCATATTCCATAACCCTTTTTTTTCAATTTTCTTCACAGTTGTATTTAAAGAAGTTAGATGATGAAAGAGACTGCACTCATAATTGACCAAGACATTCAAGGTTTACTACGTATTGATGATATTGCTTTCATAAATGTTAAAATTTAAAATGATATTTTTTTTTTACTTTTTGTATAAAGCGCATAAAAGCATTGTCCTACGCACCCTTCTTATTTGGAACATTCTAACAGTTATACATGTTCCAGTATGATAAAATATGTATATGTATATTCAAGCTAAAAAAAGCACTATGGTGCATACTAGTCTATACTTACACATAAAAATGAACTGAAATTGACTAGATTGGTTTGGATATAGTCGGTTTGGTAAAATACAGATAGACGTCATGTTTTATATAGATGAGCCATGTTTTATCTGCTCTTATTGGAATTGATACATTATTATATTACTATTATTATTGGTATTGGTATTATTACATAAACTTAGAAAGTAAACTGGCAGCCATGCCACCGCTGCTTCCTCCACCTCCGCCCAACATGCCCATAATAGAGCCAAGTCCACCGCTGCTTTCACCGCCGGCCTTGGAAGCCTGGCTGGTGGTGTAGAGCTTCAAGGCCATCATTGCAGCACTCTGGAGCATCTCGGACTGATCTGCCTTGCCACCCTGTGCGTTAAAAAGCTTCATAGCTTCACCCATAGCCATACCGATCATCTCGTTAGATCCGCCACCGCTGCCACCTCCGCCACCAGAGAACATCTTGAAGGCCTGGAGGGCAGCAGCTGATCCAAGGTCACGTGAAGTGTTTCCTTCGTCGGGCTGACCGTTGTTTTGACTGTAGATACGGTCGTGAGCTGAGGCAGCCTCGTTGGCCTCATCATCCTGGATAGGACGCTTGTGGGGTGCTTCATCATCATCGTCATCATCTCCGGTAAAGCGGGAAAGGACAGAAGAGAACATGCCTTCGTCCTCTACAAAACAAACCCCCAAAAACAATAATATGCGTTATTATCTTTCTGGGATGTGCTACTAGGAAAACACTTCTATATCTTCACAAAGACGAATAGAACGCGTCCTTAATTATTATTATTTTATAGTTTGTACCTTCTGAAACACCTTCCTGCTGAGTAGCATAACGGGCAGCAGCCTGAGGGTCAGGTCGGGAATAGTGGCCTGCAATAGCTAATGGTTAGTAATCATGTGTTTTCACTACGCGTCTTTTCCCGATAGAAACGATAACCTACTGAGGTATGAGTTTGCTTCGCCAGACATGATTATAAGAGAAATATAAAAAAAAAGATAATTAACAGAAGAAAGAAAAGGAAAAGAGTGAGGCTCGGCGGAAAGACTTCTTATAGAAGTAACCAGCACGTAAATCATCAAAGTTCAGCTGCAACCAATCGGTCGTACGCCAAGGTTACTTTGGATACACAAGAATATGGTTCACTCATTACTTTTTAACGAAAATGTGCGGCCAAAGAAGATAAACTGGAAATAAACTATTTTATTTGTTTATTTTTAAACCGATAGAAAAAAGCACTTGCTCACACTTCGGCATGTTACACTACATTCCCCATTTACTACAAAATAAGCTAAATTCTATCCTTCTAGACTTAAAGTGAAATCATGTACTTGAAATTAAACACTGAATTTTCGTAAAGAAAAGGATTTTTGAAACTTTGATCGAGATATTAAAAGATATATTCGGGAAACCATAGAACAGTATCATTTTTGATACATTGACTAGCTTTTGAACCCTAGAATATAAAAGTAAAAAAAAGAAAAGAAAAAAGAATTCACTTGAAACACTAAAGGTAGTTTACATTGATAATTTATTTGTTTTAACAGCTGTCGTGCTTGATTATACGATCAATGGCGAAAGTTATACGTCATCATTTACTAGCACAATTCTAATGGTGCCATAGAGAATGTGTTCGAGGCTTCTTCTTCTAGTTCTCTCTACTACTTACTTTCTTTAAGCTATTGTGGCTAGCTCAAAGGAATCAATAAAAAAAAGTCAATATTACCGGGAAATATTTCATCCTGCTTATTTCTTTAAAGTATACCAGCTACCTCTAGTTATTTCTTGGGCGTATTTGTACTGAATTTGATTAATCTATCCAAAAAGTTATAAACTATCTTGACAAAATAAAAGAACGGCAAAAAATAGACAGCTCTTTATATATGTACATATCATGAAATAAAGATATATATATATTTAATCTTCTTATATATGTATAGCATGCGTTGCTAATTATACAAATATTTCTTTTTAAAAGAATTATGATGAGGACATATTGGAACTATCGATACTCATCTTCTTCATAAGTAAAATAATAAAAAACTAACTCTTGAAGACAGCTGTCGGACCTGATCCTGATTGGCCTAATTAGTCACACGAATTGTAGGCAAGTGGCATTGGCTGTGTGAAAGTCAAGAAGATAATAATATAAACAATCTTCGCATTTAAGTTAAATAGATTGAGTATATCATTGGAGGTTTGGCTAAATTGATCGGCACAGTAGCACCTAATTATTCTATGGTTTAATGTCAAGCAAGTTCCCAAGTAGAAGTTTATTTTTGAATTGATCGTTTGTTGGAGCCAATGCGTCAAAAAAAATTATAAAACCAAACATTAATCCTGATAAAGAAGTATACCGAATTGTGAATCTATAAAGCATATTTGTACTAATGAAATTGGATAGGCCGATTGACCTAATTCTCTACTTAATACGTGGCAAATATTAGAGTTGGGTATTCTCCAACTTTAAATCATACAAGAAGCACGAAAACCATCAAATATTGCTGTAATATTTTCTGTAGTAAAAGTGCTCATTCACTTAATTTTATACTTTAAAAGCTTTGCCTTATTAGCAAAAATATTTGGAATATATTAATATTCTTCTGTCATGTATTTAACACGAGGATCTGTGCTATGAAATATATCTCTTTTTTATCACATTCTCTTGACACCTCACTCGGGCGTACCTTTTTTTTTTTGGTAATAGTGTATTTTGCACACAAGAGCTTACAGGGGTTCACATTATCATTCTCAATGTTATCAATGCCTACAGTTAATACATTAATACAATGTATATATATATATATATATATATAAGTATCGAGAAACATGTAAAGGCTACTGTGAGTTCGGAGGCCATTCTTATTTCTTAGATGGTAAAGAGGTTTGCTCACGCAAGACCACATATCCCTGTAGACTTGATCGTACGCTTAAATTTTTTTTGCTAGTCACAAAAATGTCCAATTTAATCCTTTCTTTTTTAAAAAAAAAAATCCAAGTGAAGAGTTGAAAAAAAAAAAGTGACAGAAGAAATATAACGATCTGATCTATTAAGCACTTTCGACCATGAAGTTCACACCCAGCATTGTTCCCAAGAACCTGGCACTTGCGGATGTTACAAAAAAAGTGCATATGACATTCGATCTTGACGAAGAAACACCCATTACGCAGAAGAAGAATAAAAAGTCCAAGTCAGAGAAACGCCCAGCAACGGAAGATCGGTCATTAACAAATGAGGATGGTCAGATAAAAAAGAAAAAGACGAGACATCATGCTGCTCATGATCCTCCAGTTACAAAACAATCCGGATCACTTGAATCGCCAAAGACAATTAAACCTGTTGAATCTATGGATATTGTCGAAACGACCAAAGAAAGCGAACCTTCGGCTGAGAATAAAGATAGCAAGAAAGACAAAAAGAAAAAGAATGTTAAAGAATCGTCCCCAACAACCACGCCTGTAAAGAAGGGAAAGGCACTAGATACAATGGTTCATGGTGTGTTGGAAAGAATACTAGAATAATATATCAATGCTCGAGTCATGCTAACAAGAATCTCTATAATGTTATACAGTTATTAAAAAGCCAGCTCACAAGCTTTTCATCGCAAAAAATAACGTAAAGGCATCCACAGATCCTGAAGATGTCAAGGAGAGAGTTAGAAAAAACCGAGAGAAAAAACGCCTGGCAAAGTTGGCCCGAAAGACTGTCGATGGTGTTGTGGTAAGCATATATAATATAGTGAATAAAGACTGTGGGTTGATTACTGATCTCATATTAGACAAAAGTACCATCGCTTATCATCAGACCTCAGGAGGTCAAGGTCAAAATGCCTCTCAAAAGCATTCGTCAGTTCATTCTCTACTGTCTTACTGAGGCCTCGACTCCTTCTTGGGCCCCAATTGTCAACAAGGGCCTGGTGAAAAACTTGGTACTTGTGTTTGCTCAGGGCTTGGATATTACTTATTTTGGAGCAGAGAAGAACCGTCAAAATGTACCAAACACTATCTCCTTCACTGATATCAAAGATGACTCTATTGGAAAATCCTCCATGCCATTTTTCTCTAGCACATTCAGCCATATGATAGTGAGCAAGCTGTCGGGTGAGAAGGGAAAGATTGAATCTCCTATCTCTGAACTTCTTAAATGCGATGTCAGTTTGACTGAGAAAAATAAGATGCTCCAGGAGAAATGGGATCGTAAGTTCAATAACTACAAGAGAGAGAGAGAGAGAAAACGAGTGTCTAAAAGTAACACTTGTATATAGGTTCGATTGAACACAAGGATAATATGAAGGAATACTATGTTATGACTCTCAATCAGCTAAAGGCGGCTGACTACCCTATCCCTCCTTCCCTTGATCCCACTGTGAAATTGGCTGAGGGCTGGAAAGAAACTAGAGCTGTCAAGGTCCCATCAAAAGAGAAGAAGCTGATTGCCGTAGATTGTGAGATGGTGAGTAAAATTACTGAGTTATGTGTAAATGTTTGTAAAAAAAAACTTATTATATTGTATTTTATTGTAGGTCTTGACAACTAGTGGAAGTGCTTTAGCACGTGTGACATTGATTGACGAAGGTAGGTTTGCCTGGCCAGATAGAAATATTGAGATTCTAATTGATATGCGCGTGTAGGTGGAATCGTATTGCTTGATGAGATTGTAAAGCCAGATGAACCTGTCGTGGACTACTTAACACAATACTCTGGTATTACTCCAGATATTATGGAAAGTACCACCTGTTCATTCACCCGTGCCCAAAAGCATATTCGTAAAATTGTCGATCATGATGTCCTCTTGATTGGTCACAGTTTAGATAACGATTTAAAAGCCATGAAACTTGTCCACCCTTACTGTGCAGATACATCGCTTCTATTTGATCACTACAGGGGTCCTCCTTACAGACCAGGTCTCAAAATGCTCGCTCGTACTTTCCTGAAGCGTGGTATCCAGGAACAAAACGAAAACACTATTGGTCACGATTCCGCAGAAGATGCCCGCGCAACTCTTGATCTCTTTAAACTCAAACTGGAGCGTGGTCCTGGTTTTGGTGTGTATGGTAAGAAGACAGAGTTGATCTTTGACCGACTCAGAAAATTTGATCCTCCAAAGACCGGTGCTATCCTCGAGAGTGCCGATGCTGCCAATCGCCTGTTGGGATCTACAGTGGGAAGTGAATACGTTCGATGCGATACTGATCAGGAGCTTGTGGAGAAGATAACCGAAAAGGTCCAGACACAAAATTTCATTCTTTCGATGTTCCGCTGTATGAAAACCGGAGACGATATAAAAGATGACGAGGAAATACCCAGTGTTATTCCCCAGACATTCTCGGATTCACATGATGTGGCATCTAGATTGACTCGATTTGATGCATTGTTCAAGGAACTATACGAAAGTCTACCTCCTTCTACTGTTGTTGTTGTGATGGGTGGACCTGGCGATGTACCAAGATATAAACAGTAAGTCTTTGAGTATTAACTAAAGTGAAATTAAACTAATCTTATTGATTTTATAGATTGCTTGCAAAATCAAGACGTTATCATGAAACATATTTGGGCAATGGTGTTAAGAAGAATGATGTCCCTGAACAAGACGTCTGGACACCCACTGACCAAAAGATCATGCTTGGTGAATGTGCAAAAGCCAAATTATCCAGCACATTCGTTACTATTAAGCAATAACTTAGACCCTCCACATAGAAAAGACCATTATATACATATATATTTCTAAAAAAAAAGCATACTTTCCCTCATATTGTCTGATTAAATAAGAAAAATACCCTTTACAAAATTACAACAAAAAGGTGAGAAAGGGTAAGAAATCTTTTGTATTAATATTTACTTGATAAGTCCAAATTCATTATTAATGGCCCTACTATATATTTTAAGATAATAAATATATAAAGATCCCTTTTGCTTTTCTTGTTAATTTTACTTTACCCACTTTCATAAACTTTACGTAATAGTCACTCCCCTACATAATACAGAAGAAGAAGAAAATGATAGATTTCGAGGACGATTTCATAGAGGATTTTAGGGGATACTTAGCGTAAAACTTACTTTTTATGAGGGGAATATCTGATAAAATATATATATATTATTGCAAGTTCATTTACCAAGGAAATAACGCTGTATATCAAAGGCTAAAGCTTTAAAGTGTCTCTGAAAAGTGTCAGATCTTATTAGTGATGGTGTGGCTACCAAACAGCCCAGAGCTCAACACTATCATCCATAAATAATGAAAGGATATTATAGCTAAAATACTTGAAATATATTGTATATATATGTCTAATCACAAAGCACAAATAAAAAAAAGTTATATGAATAATACATGGAATTATTCTAAGGAATCTATATTTTTTTGTCGGTGTGTTTTCATGTGTGTGTATTTGTAAATAAAGTAGAAAACTAGGATAAGAGAGTTAAAGAGGTTGTATTATTGTTTTGAGGAGAGCTTAGATTTATGATGACTACTGGTATATAAGCCTACGTCTCTTCGCATGTTATTTAATCGCGTCCTTGAAGTTGTAGTGTTCTCTTTACAGTGGATTCTAGTATCTCTATCCCCACTACACATACTTGTATTCTCTTTAGTAACTACTATTATCGGTTTAATGGTAGCTTCACTAATAAACTAACTACAGATTAATAATTGGTTTTCTCAAATGAATGCTTAATTTGACACAAAATCTATTTAAAAAGACGCAAACCATTAGGATCACTTGCTTGATTCTCACTATAGACTTTTACTATTGAACAAACAAGATCATTTTCTTTATCAAATATAAAGCAATTCTACCATGGCGGAACACAAACCCGCACGCGTACGTACAAAATACATATGTACAGACACACAGACACGATCAAGGTAAGTATAAGCATAAGTAACATATACTTTTACATATATTTATATGTAGATGAAATAAGCTGCTTTTTACTCAGGCTTATACTCCTCTAATGCCTGCAATGCATCCTTAAGTTCCTCCGAGTCAGCATAGGCTGGATCGGTCTTTGATAAAAGGAAGATAAGTATTAACAAATAAAGCATATCGTTATTGTGTACTTACAACTTTATCTTCAAGGTCAGCGTAAGCTTTTGCCAGACGCTTCTGAACGTCGGGAATCATTTGGAGTGTATCTTCAAGGACCTCTTTCTATTTTTATTGAGATAGCTTAGCTCAAGAATCTGGAAGGAAACGATTTACCTGTTTTCTGACATCGGCTTCATCAGCACCATCAGCAATCAGCTTGTCAATACGCTTCAGCTGCTGTTGTTCCTCCTGGGCGTAACCAATATTTTCTCGGTAGATACTGTATTTGGTATTAGCTCATGACTTTGAAGAGATTCTAACTAACCGCTTGAGAACGTTGGTCTTAATCTTAAGTTCGCGGAGAGTCATTGGTATAGAAGTGTAAAGAAGAATCAGTTTTTTTTAATAAACGCGAAGACGCAGTAAAGGGGAAGCCCCGGGGTTTAAATATTCCGAAAGAAAAAAGAAACTTGCTCGTCTAGTGTACGTTTTTGTATTCAAGTTTCCAAAAGTAATGCATTGTTATTTTTATCGATATTTCTTTTATCAATAATACGGCATCAGAGAAGCTTTATTTTTATAGTACTTGACTATGTTAAACGACCCAACTAATTAATAAACACAAAATCTACTCGAGCTTATATTCATAGTGATAATGATAATGATAATGATAGTGATAGTTATGGCCATAGTCTTTATACAGTCAATACGTGTTTTCTCTATCTATCTTCTTGTTTTATTTTTCGTTTGAAATCCAAGGTGAGGTATGATTTTGTTGTTGTTTAAAAAATAAAGAAAAAAAAAGGGAAATGAAGAAAAGACGAGAAACATGACATTCTCTCTTCTTTTCTTCTTCTCATTTCTTATATGTCAATCTATGAAATATCTGATGTTTCTTTACTTGGTGGTACGCGATCCATATCACCTTCTGTGAATTCTGTATTCATGGCTTTGATCCAGTCAATTTCTAGTTTGAATGGACCTTCCTGACGATCCATAAGAGATACACCAACTGTCTTGACCTTCTCACGGAACATCTCGACCTGCTCTTCCTGGATCATACCATTGTTTGTCAAGATAAAATCACGGAATGGGATCTACACATAGCAGTAATAGTGCGAGTGTCAGATCTAAACAAAGTTTCTGTACGCCAGAGACCATTTTAAGAGGTGTGGTGCAACTATACCATAACAGTTTCCCATTGACCTGGCGTTCTCAAGAATAGTCTGTGCTGGTGAAGATCAGTCTGGATTACGCCGTCAGTCTGAATATTCACAAAGTACTTGCGGTTGTCACCTTTGACGCGAAGTCCAAGGTAGCGGAACAAACTTGTGTCCCAACAAGGAGTACCAAACATAGATGAGGGCTTAACCTAAATATGTTCACATACAAACCGCAAAAAAGTATATATACAAGCACATGTATAATTGAGCGCCAGTTTTCTATAGCCAAATAAATGTACAAACCTTGGAGCGAATGGCAGCATAACCACTATGCTGAATCTCTCGGTTAGCAGGCAATTCAAGCGAAAGATTGCCATGGAATAGTCCAGTGTTGTCGGGAGTAATGTCGAGACTAGCCTCAGTGAAGCCACCAATGTCTTTGTCGCAGCCAATTGCCCATTGAGCAAGATCTTTTTTAGAGTTGAGTGCAGCCATTGGTAGCTCTTTTTGCCAGCCCTGAAGACCGTCCATGCGGAGGGCTTTGAGAATGTTGAGAGTTGAAGGAGGTAAGCATAATTTCTTTTGACGAAGAAAAAGGCGGATTCTATGTACCCTTGGCACTGGAGTCTGCTAAGACACCAGCAGATCGTCGAAGAAATGAGAACATGGGCAGGGAGCTGTATATGGATAACCACGACTAATGTGACAGTGATGAAATGTCATTAAAGGTAATTGATTTTCATATACCGATCACCTAAATCTTCGATAAGTTTATATACTACAAAATACAGGCGGTCACATTTTTCCCGAACCTGAAGGAATTCAGCGGGTCCGGGACAAACTGTATTTCTATTGTTATTCATATTTCTCTGCTTAATTCATCTTTTTTGATGCATTTGGTGTATTCCATCTTTGCACCAAATCAATTGGTGTGGACAGACTAAAAGTTCAAAAAAAGTGCAAAAAAAGGGTAAAACAACTTCATCCAGAACTTAGTCAATCAGACTAATTTATGACTGTCCACACCGTTTTTTTTAAAAAAAAAAGTTCAGAATTAGTTCAAAATACATATTAGATAAAATTGTGCATAATCCCGTCTCTGTCATTAAGTGAGAACCTTTTATTGCGAGTTTTTCTAGACCTCTCATCATATGGGATATCTTCTCCATAAAAAAATTCTTCTCTTCTCAATCTTAGTGGCAATGGAAGAAAACTAGCTAATTAGAGTCGATTAAAAATTTTGCCCTTTTTTTGAACCTCCAAAAAAAAGGGCAAAAAAGGGGTAAAATTAATTAAAACTCTCGCCCAATGATATGACTTAAAGTTTTGCTCTTTTTTTGCCCTTTTTTGAACTTTTAGTCTGTCCACACCAACTATATCGGTAGCTAGTTATGCAAAGGACTATAAGGAGTTGTTGTCATTATATTGTGACGCAATCTTGTTTGATATCTTATTATTTATTGACCTTCTTACGCGTACAATGCATTTGTCTTTCTTTCACCTAAATATTCCCAGAGTCAGACAGTACCAGCTGGTAAGTAATCCCCATCCACTCTTTTTCTGAAAAGTACAAAAGAATGTCTTTATTCAAATATTCTGTATCCTTAGGAGCCAGATAGAGTTATTTCATGCCGGAAAAAAGGCCACTATTTGTGTTCCGGTAGAATAAAAATGTCACCCCTTACCAAGAAATGCCGTCCCCCTAAACTTAGGGTACAAGCTGTCCAGGCTGTCCTGCCAGACTGTCCGTAAGGTTTCCCTTTTATCTTTTTATTTTGAAACTATAGCAAATGCTTTTTTTTACAAAAAGTAAAACTACTGTGGAAAATTAAGGTGTTTCCACTTAACTAAAACAACGTATAATGGAGTTACTTTTACGACAGTGTTGAAACACTTTTTTAGTTTAAAATACATAACAATCTAACCAGCTATTTATTATCTGCTCTCTTCCTTAAAAAATATTATGTTAAGCACCAGTAGCAACAAGATATTCTTACTTTTCTTGGTTACCAACGGCTGGTCGGCTTTCTCCAGCATACGACTATTTTGACTTTGCCAACACTTTTGATGAAAACCAGAGATGTATAAATCGTTGGTACGGCAACGCGATAAAAAAAAGCTTCGGAAGTTGCAAAGGGAGCAGATAAATTCGAGATCGCTCAAAAAAATAATGGATTTAATGTAAGAAACTACCCTATATAATCAGATATAGACTTGTTGTTAACTTATCTCTATCTTTTAATTTCAGGAAAGAAACGCAGAAAACACAGCATTTTTTTTAAGAAATATCAAGAATACTGGTCCAGTCGAAATAGTAATGAGTTACAAGAGAGAATAACAAAAAGACAAAGAAGAGCATCTGAATCAAGTAACGAAGAAGCTTGTTCCACGTTTGAAGCAATCGTAAAGAGGGCAAGTTCTGGTTGAATAGAATTATGATAGCTGAAGTACTAATTACACAAAATAGGTTGCCGCTGCTGCCAGTGGTGGTAGAGCTGCAAATAATTCATCAGAAAATGACAACTCTGATAGTGTTGGAGCTAGTAGTATTTCAACTAATCATAGTTTACGAGATACCAAGGAAAAAGTTACTGAAGATCTTGAATATCACTCTTTCGATGAGTATGCTTGTTGAGATTTTATTTTTTATGCTTAATTAACTTTATTTTTTATTTATACAGATTAGGCGAGAATTTTTTTTTAGACAAGGACTCGACTCATCACAATGAAGCTGCTCAAATTTTAGCTAGCTCCACGAAAATTCCAAATAAACCTCTCACCCATGTTTGTCACTTATTGCTGAATAAGTTGGCCAATTGCGCACCAAGTACAAGATTAATGAGAGAATTGATCAGATCTTCTCCCTTAAATACGGATGAGCCTTTTGACCTTTCAATTAACGCAGATCTCATTTTTACAGAAGTTATGGGCACTCATTTGTAGGTTGTTCATTTTGACAAGTTCAGCAAGAACATCTGCAGCGGCTACATTATCAAAAACATTATATATAATATAGTATAGCCACACCGGGGATTTAATAACAGTTAAAAACAGATTGCCAAATTGTGGTTACATTACAAAAGAACAATTTGAGCTTTTTGACTGTCTAAAGTTGCCAGTTCTTCACTAATGGTTTTGTTCATATTCTTTTTCTTAAAGTTTATTTTATTGGACATTTGTTCTCTATAGATGCATTAAAAATATGAATTTAATAATTTCAATATTGTCAAATTAATAGTGAGCATAATTTGTGAGAATTTCTTTGCTCATTTCTATAGACCATTGTTCGCTTTAACAAAGGATGTGAGAGGGAAGAAAACAATTCGAAAAGATAATATCGATTTATAATGAAATACTACATGTAATGTTCCTGGTCTTAAAAATGGACTACATTATCTATAATGTTGTCTGTAATGTAACCGCTGCAGGCGATTTTTTGAGAACATTTCGGAATCTACATTAAAACAGTTGCAAAAATCAACTTTAATGTAACCGTTGCAGATGCTCTTAGATAATTTTACTATCTGGTACAGTCTTCTTCACTAGTAAAATTCATTAGTATTATATATTTTTATTTTATTTTTAGTATAAAAAATAAAAGTTAAATGTTCTCAAGACTATCAGCTTTGTAGTGAGCATAATTTTTTTTGAGTTTTTGTAAGTATTGCTATATACTATTATTCGATTTAAAGAAAAAAAATAACAAAGAAAAACGATTTAAATGCTCGGCAAGTTTTTAAATTGAGCATCTATTTCCATGCTCAAGGTCATAAAAATCACGGAGCATGTAAATACATGCTGTCGGAAATGTTACTGCTGCAGACGATTCTTTTGAAAAGCATTTCCAAAAAGTACTTAAATCGAGAAAAACTGAATTGAAATGCTACTGCTGCAGATGCTCTTATCATTTATTTATTTTTTTAAAAAAAAGGACGTAACTGCCAATGTTTTGTGGGAAATAAAGGCACTCCTAAATCTTCGTTTGTGTCTGTATGTGTGTGTATAATAAAAATATTATAAAATATATATATAGTTTTATTCTTTTGCGTTGATAAATGTAGCTATCAAGCTTGCTAATTGAGGTGTCTTTAGCATAATTGCATGATCACCTTTGATTGAAATATCAATGTCGACTTTGGCGAAGGGCCTCAAATGATCATACATGACTTGTGCCTGAGCATAATCCACCAATGTATCTTCCAAACTGTGAACAATAAGAACAGGGGGAATATTAAAAGCAACTGGGATTAAAGCAGGGGAGCATTCTGCATATTTTTCATCATCATCGCCAAATGCAGCCGTGATGAAGCTAATGTAAGATGGGAACGTACGGAGCAAGAGCTTAATGTCATATATACCATCAATACCCACTGCTCCCTTGATAAGAGGGAGGATAGAGTAGGATGGGTCGATGAGTAGCATCATAATGATATGTGCACCGGCAGAGTGACCTGAAAGGTATATTTGACGTCCCTTTCCTACAGTTTGCTCCAGATATATGATCGACTCGGCAATATCATTGCAATGGCTGGGATGAACAATCGATTCTTTTGTGTATTTTCGAGGACTAAGTCTATTGATATACAAATGTATATACAAAAGATATTAAGCAAAAAAAAAGAACAGTATTTCCGGGAAATTTATGTATATAATTACTTGTAATTAGGAATGGCAACCACCATGCCCAACTTTGCCCAGGCCATTCCGAGATCAGCATGATCTGCCTTATCTTCCGAGACCCATGCACCGCCATGAACAAAAACCATTAAGGGTGTTGTAGGTTGGACATCAGGAGGAGTGTAAATGTCGACTGCTCTAAGAGGATCCTCTGGAGTGTAATGTTCAACGGTGACAGCAACTCGATTCACCATGTTAAAGTGTCAGACGAGAAAAAGAGATGCTATTTGATTCCCAGATTATCCTTTTCGGTTAAACAATAAGGTGTGATCACATATTTAAAAACTCTCAATTGTTTATAAACGGCGTGTAACGAACCCTGAAGGGACAGGAAACACGAAATGAAGATTATCGAGCAATTGTTTTTATCAACCCTATTTTTCTTTCTTTCTTTTACCACTTTATCGTTGCTTTTAATTCCTCGGTGATGCAGGCTGCACAGTCCATTGCTGGCTTGACAACTGAAACCAAGCAGACGACCGGCGACATGCCGCCCCCACTTGTGGGAGCATCTACCTCAATGGTAGGCCATCATCTGTATGTGTTCGGAGGTCGCCTGGTTTCATCGCGCCAGATGACAAATCATCTCTACATTCTCGATGTACGCACACTAGTGTGGGTGAGACACATTGCGGAACCTGGTTCTGCTGATCCTCCTCGTCCACGTTACTTTCATTCTGCAAATGTGTATAAAAATACCCTAGTGATTTTTGGTGGAATGAGTCAATCTCAGCGAAGGGCATCTCAAGGACTGTGCGCCCTAGACGACATATGCATCTTCGACCTTGGGACGTTGACGTGGAGACAATCGCAAATTATTCCCAGTCTATTTAGCCCTCAAGCACGATATGCCCATCTTGCAACTTGTGCTGAAAATAAGCTCGTAGTTATGGGTGGTCAGGATATGGAGAATCAGTATATTCATGAAATCAACGTATTTGATTTGGATCGTCTGCAATGGGTTCACAACGGACCTCTTGATCGCCAAATAGGTGCTTACAGAGCGATTGTGTTTGTACCTTCCAGAGTTGATCCAGCTTTGGTTGGACACACGACGTTTTGGGATAAAGAAGAACGACTTGATGCAGATGATGTCCCAGTATGCGTGTACTCAAATTACAACTTTGCAGACGTCACTAGAGAACTTCAGAGCTTCTACCCCCAGCGCCCACACCCCATCACTTTCCACGATCATTCATCTGCAATGTCCGGGACTGCTCTCCCACCTGGGTTACGTTTTCCCACAGGAGATTTACTTGGACACCATTTACTATTGACTGGAACCTACCTTACCCCAACCCACCAGTCTTTCCATATTTGGGCACTAAATCTTGCTAACCTTGTTTGGGTACGCATTGATTCAGGCCCACTATTATCTGGTGGATCATGGAACAGAGGTGTGTTGAACGAAACTAGCCAGAAATTATATGTCTTGGGCCATCGAGACCGTGATCTTTTAGAAGACTATAATCACAGACAGGTAAACTTTGACCATCTGGCCATTGTGGATCTGGAGGCCTTTGGGATCTATTCATACCCAAAACCAACCTGTGCGCCTATTGCACAAGAGCTCGGGCTAAGCATGCTGAATGAACCAAGTATGTCAGATATGGAGGTCGTTACTGTAGACAACAAATCGATTCCAGCCAATTCTTCTATTCTCGCACAACGCTGGCCGTATTTTGCGCAGATGCTTCAAGACACTTATAAGACCAACAAAGCTCTTCACAAGACATTTATGTTTCCAGAAACTTATTCTGTTACTTTGGCTTTCCTTCAGTTTGTTTATACGGATCATCTTATGACAGCCCAGCAACACCAACCTCATATTCTTACTCGACTATTGGTAATTGGTGACATTTACAATCTTCCACGCCTCGTTCTCCTCGCCAGCCATGCCCTTCATCAACTACTTACGATCTCGACTGCAAGTACAGTCTACGAAACCGCAGCCCTCACTTCCCGCACTGCTCTTCAGATAAGAGCTCTCCGTGTGATGATTAATGCCAAGAAGATTCTTCAGCAGACGACTGATGAGGCTCCTACTCAACGGACTGCCTCTCCCTCCACTGCAGTTCGTCGTTTGGCTACTTCCCGGTCAACAACCACTCCAGAATCTGACTTTTTGCCTATTGTCCCAAAACCTTCCAAATCTTCTACTATATCCTCTTCTATGGCCAACAATGGAGGGCCAGGAGCTCTATTCTTTGACCGCCAACGCAAAGGCAGCCTTGTACCTCAACAAGCTAATAGATCAGGACAAGTTCCTATTTCTGCTGCCAGCCGGGCTTCGCTTGGCATAAATTTTTAAAATCCACAAGATCTACAAGTTCCACAAAATCCACAACCTCATTTTCACAAAACATTTTAATTAATAAAAATTCTTGACATTCATTTTATTTCCTAATTATTACTTTTTAGTAAAGAGACTGTCTGAGCATAGGGTTTTGTTCAGATATTACAAAAGCAAAAGCAAAAGCAAAAGCTAAAGTGAAAATGAAAGTGTGTTGCAATTTATCCACCTCATATGTATATTGTTTGAGATCAAATTTGAACCAAAGTTGGTTTAACTTGAAGTTTGCATTTTATTTCAAATTGATCTCGATGTAATTTAGCTTTTTTTTTTTTAATGTATATTTGATTTATATACAATAAAGTGTGTGTGTGTGTGTGTTTTCTTCTTACTGCTTTATCGGCTTGACTACAAATTAGATCATTGTTTGTTCGTTTGTTTTTGTATTGTTTATTAGAAAGTAAGGTCAACAATGCGTCTGGGTATTAGGTGACATTTCATTATGAGATTATGTGTTCAAATTACGCAACAAAATATACCTATTTAATATCATTTATAGATTAAAAGTACAATATCAGAAATCCAACTGGCCAGTGACACTTGGGAAGGGAATAAGCAATACAGAAAAAAAAAGATCGAGGATCAAAATAACAAAAGTGCCTATATTGTAAAAGGTCTTTGTTTTATCTCTCTATCTCTTTCGGTTATCAGACTTTTCTACTCAATTTTTGTGAACCAGTGGACATTTACTTTCTTTTTTTTTAAAAAAAAAATGGTTTACATATTATAAAATAATGTCACTCTATCACTTTAATAAGGTGTGATATATACAAGCGTTTGTAAATACGTGTGAGTTGACGGGTGTATGTACGGGTATGTGTTGGTTTAAATACATAAAAGACTGTTATTGAGTCTTATAAACTCGAGTGCATTTATAATAGACAGAATACGGATATGATCTTGTTCGATCATTAAAATCAATATATATATATATATATATATGATTTTTATCTTTAACCCGAATATCAGGTTTTTTTTTGTTCTTTAGATGTGTAACTTTAATAGCCTACCATAATTATGCTATTAAATATGTATATGTATGAAATGTGCGTTATCAAATAATAACAGACCATAAAAGTTCGATTGTTCTCTCATTGTTCTTATTCTTTTTGATTTTGCTTCAAAAGGAATATTTTGGGCATAATATTGAATTAATAAAGTGTTAATATTTACGAGAGAGCCTGTGACTTTATACTCTAATTAGATTATTATTATTATTATTATTATTATTATTATTTATTAATTGAAATTGTATTAATATATTTCTTATATTTCATTACATTTCTACAATGAATACTGTATAGAGAAGAAAGGCTTAACAGAAGTAATGTATTCATATATATATATAAAATAAAGAGAGAGAGAGAGAAAGAAAAGGGGGAAATTTATTGGTGGTTTTAATTTTGGTCAAAGTTTAATAAGGACTTGTGTATTTATATTGGCAATTTTCTTGAACAAGCAAGATCTACCATATGTCTAGAGATATTAGCAATTTATTGAAAAATAAAATATAGTTATTACTGTAATATTCTCTATTTGCTATTCCAGGAGAGTATTTAATAAATAAGGAGTGCTCAATACGCCTTGTATTATATCTGTAGTCTATCCAATAAGAAATAAAGATGAATAAATTTCAAGTCTTTATTAGATTTCCTTTTAGCTTGAGTAAGTGGTAGCTTATACATTCTAGCATTGTATTTTCATTTTCATTGTAATTTATAGCTCTTTGAACTAATAGGGTCTCTCAAAAGATGTTCAGTTGGATAGCTCAAGTCAAGTTTGCGCTTTTAATTATTTTTTTCTTCTTTCTTTCTTTCTTTCTTCTCAAACTAATATTGTCTATTGTATTACCAGTTCCACTTGTAGTGTTATTGAAGCTTATTATGTGTATAAATATATATATATATATAAAAACTTTCGTCATGAGAATACAAGAGATATTTGTGCAAGAATAGATATACATACATATTTACTCTATGTTTTCATGTGATTGATTGTCTTTATAGCTGTGTACTGACCCTTTTATGTAATTAGATATCTTTTAAAACGAATTGACACGTAATAATGACCTACGCTTTCCTTACAGTAAAAATAATAATGAAGAAATAAAACACTTGAGCTGGGGTAGGGTGGGGTGCACCAGTCCTAATACTTCAAAAGCCAAAAAGAAGAAAAGAAAAAAAAAGGTTTTTTTTTCTGAAATAGGAGAGAATTCGACTTTCAAAGTATTGTACCCAGTTTATGACCTTTAGAAGCTAGGACGTTTTAAAGTATGACCACCAAAATAAAATAAGCCTTTATTCTTTTTCCCATCTTCTTCCATAAATATATATTATATTTATTTATATATTTGCGTTTATAACTTGTAACAGAATATCAATCTGGAAAAGTAAAAAAAAAAAAAAAAAAAAAAAAAAATACAGGTTCTTTGGTGATGTGAATTTCATACCCAACAGATAATAATTAAAGAATGGCTTTCTAATTAGATATATAAACACTTATATAGCTTAGTAAACCTTTATTAGTAAGAAAGAAAAGGTAAAAAGGTGTGTTTTGACACCTATCATATGGTTGCATTATTCATCAAGGATATCTACAGAATAATTATAATAATAAATTCAAGGGCTTTTTTTTTGAGGTTTATTTTCTCTAAACATATATCTTTTACGTATCTCTTGTGTATCACCGAGACAGCCAATAAGAAATACCCGACATTTGTTGTACCAATGAATACTTTAAGCATATCGGTTTAAAGCAGTGAAAAGTAGTGTAACAGGTTGCAATTTCTAGTTGCAAACCCAGATTTTATAGAAAATCTGCCAACCTTATTGAAAGAAAGAAATAGAATTTCAAAAGACCTGTATATTGCTGGTACAAGTTCTGTGTGCGTGGGAGATATATAGATAAATAGATAGATTGTTGCTGTTGTTGTAACTGAATTTTGACGCCAGATAGGTCTTCTTTCTTAAAAACAAAGATACACAAGAGTATGAATAATAAGAATATATAAATATAAATACAAAAGGCGGAGTGATTTTTTTGAGTCATTTTTAAATTACTTTTATATTTTATTTTATACAGAAGAAGTATGGGTAACATTACATTGATCTTTCCCTGTCAGACGCCCAAGACACAATATTCTATTTTTTATATATTCCTTTGACTTGGACTCACTCCGCTATAGTTATCTTCACAAGGAAATAAAAATAAAGAGCGGACACTCATATTCGAGAACCACTACCAGAAACCACTTTACTTTTGATTCTGTCTCTGTCTCTCTCTCTCCGTCTCTGGCTCATATAGTTGAATGTATAATATTAATATTACTGATAATAAAAATAATAATAAAGGAGTTTATTATTAATATTAATATTATAATTATTATTATTATTATTATTATTTTAAGAAAAAAAAATATAAAATAAAAGAAAAGAAAAGAATAATTGGTACAAAGTAAGATAAGTAAGTAAGTAAGTAAGTAAGTAAGAAAGAAAAAATAGCAGAAAAACATACAATCAACACCGTTTCATTGACCCCAATTCCCAATAGAAAAAATTGTGTTCAAAGTAAAGAAGAAGAAGAAGAAGAAGAAGTAATTAATGTCAATAAATTAAATGTAATAAAACAGAAAGAGAGAAAAGAAAAAAGAAAAAGGAAAGATAAAGTAGTAAGTATTGAAAGGAGTATCCCACTTTCTTTTGTTATAAAGCAATATCGTCTCTCTCTATCTCTCTCTCTCTCTCTATCTTTCTTGCTTTCTCTTTATCTCGCTCCAATGAATTTAGAGCATAAAAGCAATGCCAGCTACGGCTGCCAAGGCAAACAAAGTCTTTGTGGCCAAACCGGGGCTAGTCATGGCACCCGAGTTTCCAGCAAAGATATTAGAGGAAGCTGGAGTAGAAGCACCAGACCCACCGGTGGGCGACGACGATCCCTCTGTGGCGGCCTTGCTGGGAGGAATTGTCGTGGATGGAATTACAGCGGCGGCACGGACTTCAATGGGCACAACGAGCTTAGTCTGGGTGGTTGCATCGAGAAAAACGACGTTGTATTGACCAACAGCCACAGTGCTGGGGATTTGGTAGTTAATCGAGTGCTCATAGTAGGTATAGTTGCCCTCGAACTTGGAGAACTCGGTAGTCTTTGAAATGTCAGCATTTGTTGTGATTGGGAAGTTAATGCTTGAATTAGTGGCTGATTCGAGGCTGATCTGGAGTTTCAAAACTAAGATGATGGCATTAGTCTTTACATTTTTTTCTTCTTCTCTTGTTGTTGTAATAAAAAAAATTATAATATTTTGTATGTGTATGTGTGGCATACCAGAGGTATCGTACTCATTGAAGAGCTGATAGGTACAGGGCACAACCTGGCCAACCACATAGGGTCCATTGCTGACAGGGCTTGTCACATTGTAGTTTTTCATAGGAGCAGACAGCTGGGCGGACACGCCAGCCACGGTGGCAACTAAAAAGGAGACAAGACCAAGAACCTTCATGAGGAAAGACAGGAGTGCGAGGAGAAGAAGAGTAAAAAAAGGGGGAAAGAGGTGAAGTCGAGCCACTCGGTTCTTGGCTGTGAATTTAAAGAAGAACGCACTCACACACAGGCACACAGGCACACAAGCACAGGCACAGAAACACACACACACACTACAAACACACACAAATAAGGGGGGGGGGGGAAGTGGGGTGAGGTGAGATGAGGCGAGGAGAGGAGAGGGAAAGAAGAAAAAAAAAAGAACAAAATAAGGTAAAAAGGTAACCAGTCATTTATTTTTAGATCCAGACATTTAATGTTGTACACTGAATATCTAAACTGGGCAATCTGATTCACCAACAGCAAAGAAAGAACAAAAACGTGTAAGGCTTGTGCCCAGAAAAAAAAAACGAGACTAGACTGAATTATCTTGGAAAAAAAACGCGTTCCTGGATAGAATCTTCAGCCAATAATATCCTTTGGTAACAATTTCATCACAATTATTACAAGATAAAATAAAACAAGATATTTGGCTTTTTTCTTCTTCTTCTTGTCTACATAGTACACCAAGTAGCCATAATAGAGTACCCACTTTTAATATATATATATATGTGTGTGTGTGTGTGTTTTTGATAATAGTGCGCTTGTTTCCAAGCTGTATATTTTCTCGAAATTAAATTAACTTTAGCTTATCCACCTTTTAAAAAAAATTGCATCTAACAAATATCATTAGGGGTCGTCAACCGTAAATATTCGATCAAATAATGTATCCCAAACAAAAAACAAAACAAAAACTTTAATTTCAAAGGTGAAATTCTTCAAAAAGATAAATATATATATATATATGATCATCCAATCATATTACCCAAAACAATTGCACCTTTTTTTCTTCTTCGAAAAACCGATGAATATTGACGGCTGATGACCCCTAATGATATTTGTCCACATATATAGATCAATAGACAAATTAAGTGTATCATTAAAAAAAGGTGGATATTTTTTTTTATTACAATACAGTATCATAAGTATTCATTCAAAATACAGTATCAAGGCTCTTTTGTATATGGGTGTGTGTGTGTGTGTGTGTGTGGGTATATATATATATATATATATATAAAAGTCTGAAATAATTCTACTAATGTAGTATAGGAAGCAAAAATATATTATTATTATTATTATCTTTTTGGATATTTTTCTCTTTTTTTCTCTCTCTTTTGGTTTTAGAGACAGTAGCACACAACAACGGCAATAATTAGGGTTGAGATTCCAGCAAATGATGCACTACTTTGACCGGCTGCAGAAGCTGGAACTGAAGCTGCACGGGAAGGAAGAGGGAAGCCACCCAAAGATGGCTTGGCGGATACTGATCCCTGGGCGGGAGGTGGGAAGGCAGCTGGGGCAGGTGGAGCAGCACCAGTGGAAGCAGGAACAACGCTTGCCTGAGGTATAAGGGCAGCTGCAGATGCTGGTTTGCTAGCAGGAGCAGCAGAAGCACCAGAGGGAATTGGTGTTCCACTCGCAAATGCAGAACCAAGGCTTCCACTTTCTACTGCTGCGGGGGAGGTGCCAGAAGCTGTAGGTACAAAAGATGTACAGATCACAAGTTAATATGTAAATTCTATATGTACATGTACGTGTATATATATGTATATGTATGTATGTATGTATGTATATCATTTTTATTTTTATTTTACCGAGAGGATCGGCTGAAACCGAGACCGTCTCTGTTGGAATAGAGTCGGTAACGCTAGGAACAGTTGTTGCTTCAGCTGGTACACCGGAGACAGAAGCAAGGATGGTGGCGGCTGAGGCAATTGGAGCAGCTGATTCGGAGGGAGTGGCTGGGCTAACTTCTGGCACTACACTAGACGTATCAACACTAATTGTGGCGACAGAAACAAGAGAAGGTGTGGCTTCTGGAGCACTTGCAACTGATTCGGAAGCAGCAGGAATCGAGACTATCAATTAGTTAATACCGAGACATTATTTTTTTTTCAATTGAAATAGGTATACAAATACAGACTCACACAAACACTTATATACAAATGTATGTGTGTGTGTGTTTGTATTCATTTGTTGGTACCTTGGGCCATAACTTGGCTAGCAGCAGCAATGGTGATCAAAAGGGAGGTTTGGAACTTCATTTAATTTCTGTAGAGGGACAGTAAGATAAAGAGAAGGAAAAGAGAGAAGCGAGTGGTGAAGAAGAAGAAGAAAAGCTAGACAATTGGGAAAGAGGGGTCCCTTTTTATAGGATTCAGAGATGTAAGCTCTATGTGTATATGTGCGTGCGGGTTGAATGGTCTCAAGTCGGCAAGGTGGATCGCTCTGAGAACAGATCGAGTGATTGGTCTACAGTGTCTTCTAGTTGCAGAGGGAGGCAGATTCGGATCTTACATTGGAAGCAAAAGGAGGCTGCGAGAACCTGTTTTCTTTTTTTTTTTGATCGAATAAAGATAGGCGGCAAATACTAGTACTAGTAATAATATTAATAGTGGTAGTTTCAAAATACAGACACGCAGATAGGAATAGCATATAATGGCACTGAAGTTAGTTTACCATAGTAGGGATTTGTTTTTATTTATTTATTTATTTCTTCTTTTCTTTCTTTCTAAAGACTTGTCTGCAGGAGGCCAAGGGGTTAAGAAAAGAGAGGTTCATAGAAAGAAAAAACAAGGGATCAGGAAGTGTAATGACATGGCTTATAAGAAATTTGTATGTGTATGTGTATGTATATGTGTATGTGTGTATAACAATAAAGCGGGTCATCTTATTAAGAGTATCTTTATTCGCTAAAGCCTTGTTAGTACAGAATAGATAAATAGATAAGTAGATAGACGTTAGAGACATATCCCTTTTGAATTGCTTTACATGGCCGTGCTGCTTGTGCACCGTAAATGCCAAGTGCAGTTAAGAAGCAAATCATGAACCAAAGGCCTTGAAAGTGTAAGACCTGCTTCTTAAAGTGGACGATTGTTTATTTATTTTTTACAAACCTGTGTTTGAACTGTTACAAACTGGAGTGGTTGAAATGGAAGATCTCTGCGCTTGCACAGGCATACATGCACTATAATAATAATAATAATATTAATAATAATAATAATAGAAAAACTTTGACCGTATTTATCGAATGTTTAGCTGTATATCGCAAATTATTTCATTGTTTATTTTTAGACGGGCCAGGATGATCCAGATCGACACATGAAATTCAAATATACATAGATAAAATTACATAGATTTATAGATAGATATAAAAAGAAGTATTTATACTTATACATATATGTATGTATGTATATAGGTAGGTAGGTAGGTAGGTAGGTATCTATTCCAAATTAGTGTAATATAAAGGGCTCTTTGGTTTTTCTTTTTGCTATTAGTCTGCATAGAGAAACGCCCAATTGAAGAGAAATGGACGTTACTGTCGAGCACAAAACCCGTAGATTGAACCTAAGAATTCGCAACAAAGAGTCTCGATTGTGTTTCTTGAGATTTGGTGGTCTGTCCTTAGACTCGTAAGTTTACATTTCAATTCGTAGATCTTATTTGGCTTTGGAAGTCTAGAACTAACCAATATAATAATAACAATAATCTATATATAAAAGAATTGCATGAAATGGTTAGCAGCAATAATAATAATATATATATATATATATTGTGGTCAAATACAACAAAGAAAAGGGGTGTTTAGCTTCTAGTATATATATATATATAAAAGAGGGTATCTATTGATAGCCTGTCTAAGAATACAATAATACCGGTGCGCAATGACAACCATTGTTATGAAACAGAGTCATGCAGAGCCATAGCACATAATAGAGTAGCCAGGAATAGAGTACCAATCTCATTTTACGGATTTGTATCAAGCGTCCTATTTTTTTATAAATATATATGTGTTTGATTAAACATTCTGTTGGTATCCAATTAGATTATCGAAAGATGATCGACAGGGCAATACAACCGATGTTCACACATTGTCCTACAGAACTACCCGGTAATCATTCAACAAACCCAAGATATATATTTATATCTCTTTAAAGCATATACAACAAGCATCTTTTTATTACTATTACTATTACTATTATACAAGTATTAATAATAAAATAGAAATAATAAAGGAAACTATAATGTACATAGTAGATACAGCAGGGACTAGGCATAAGGAGGCCGCATTTTTGCACATGAAAATAATATGCCAAGTAACACACCTGTTTTACCCATTTAACAAACCTAAACTATTTGTGTAGTAAAAGTACAACCTTTCCTTTTTTTTATATATACAATTTTATGGTCTAGTAAACCTGAATACTTTAAAGCCACCCTAAAGTTAAGGGCTAACTAACATCGGCCACTCTTCTGAGAGTCCACACAAGTCATCACCTTTGGCCTTTAATATTCATGGGTAACAATGCCTCTTGACAAATACGTTGAAAATGTGGTTGATTCTGTTGTGTGTCTGTATTCCAGGTAGCTTCACAAGAAAATTGCTTTGCAGTATGTTTCATTTCAGATTTATTCTCAAGATTTCCCTCTTCTTCCTCTTCCTCTTCATCATCATCGTCATCGTCATCATCATCATCATCTTCTTCTTCTTCTTCAAGAAACCTGCTTGGAGTCGAGGTATGAGACCCAGATCTATCATCGTCTGGTAATGACGCGTGGCCAAAATAGTCTGTTCGCTTGGAACAAACCGATGAGGAGGTAGTCAGGGGAATCTTGGGAGTACTTTCATCTGTCTTCCAGGAGCGAGTCAACAAATCTCGCCACTGGAACATCACCTCCTCGTCTTGCATCAGCTGTTCCTCTCGCGCTAGGTTCTCTTTTAGAGACATTTCTAGTATACTGTCGGTATCTTCAATCGATATCTCGTCCGTCAATACATCAAGCGATAGATCTGTAGAGCTTCCTATTGACGTTTCAACCACTGTATCTGTGCCTACACTAGTCGTACTTTGACTCAGCACTTTGTCTGAGGGATCAAATACAATTTTCGTATTTGTATTTGTTAATGCCAGGATTTCAAAATTGCTTGTTTCTTTGTTATTGAGAAAGAGACTCAATACAATAATAGTAAGAATTGAAAAAAAAATTGTACCTTTGAGATTTGTATCAATAGTGAGGCCGTTTTTATACTTTGGATCGGGTAGTTTTGTGTCAATGTTGCCTTGAAAGCCATATATACATATTGTTAATTAAGGAGGCAAATCCAATGCGTGATATTGTAATTACTTTTTTTGTTACTCACTCATCCCACTGCCAATCGCATCGCACAATTGAATAGTCTCTCTGTTTAATGAAACTGGTCTTGTGGGTTTGGTTTCTGTAGATGACGGTAGTATAGTAACCGGTGCATCATGCAATTTATACACAGTCTTCTTTTGACCATTTTCATCATCTCTGACGTGACTATTACCCCTATCATAGTCTCCACTAACTCTTGGAGTTATCAACCCTCCTCTCTCTTCTTCTTCTTCTTCTTCTTGCTCTTTTGTGTCGCGTGTGGGTATATTTGTTCCAATATTAAATTGGTCGTCTCCAAGACTTTCGGGCGAGTACATTGGAGTTCGGATCAAGTTGATTTCGAGAGTGGCAGGACGACGTCTCCGAAGAGCAGGTACCGTATTTGATGGACATTTGCCGTTTGATACGGTTATTATGCGCCCAAAGGCCGATGATGACGATTGGCGGGACCGAGATGATTTACGACGTGAGATGGTTTGCATACCAAACAACGAGTGGAACTCGATTAAGAACTCGATTACTCTTTGGGAAACAACGTAGCTGATTGGTGTATTTTGAGACGGGTGACTAAGAATAGCAGGGCAAAACATGGCCGCAAGATTAGAAGCGTCCATTCGGTTGACACATGAGTTCTGTGCAAAGACATTGAGCATGTCGAGTAGATAGAGCAAGAGGTGTTGGTGAGCCAGAGGCAATTTATGGATCAGAGATCGAAATGCGATGATTCGTTGATTGGTTGTTGTGTAAGTTCGATTGTCTATAGAGACCAGTTTATTTGTTTGTTTGTTTTTGATAAGTTGTAATGGTGCCTGTAAGTATTATTTTCTTTTTTTTTTCTTTTCTTTCTATTGATATGTCTACTTACGCATTATATCACAAAATGGCTGATAAAATTCGTGTGTAATGACTGGGTTGGGTAAATGGTTGAGGTATCTTCTGAGGAGTGTTGCAACATCGTGTACTGTAAATCCATGCCAGTCAATGTGGACACCATAAGAGGTGCTTGATTTATCGAAAATGTCTTGAAGAACTTGTATTCGCCTAGAGCTTCCCGAGAGTCTAAAGATACCCACAGTAGAAAGGGCTTGAGGATTATTAGAAATGATATAATAAACAATCAATTGATTAATTAATTGATTGATTGATTGATTGATGAATGGTACGACTATTTTATATATGTTACCATTTTGTTTCAGAAATGCACCACATCTGGCTACTATTATAGGAATTGCACCAAGTTGGGGTTGGTCCGAACGTGCTGTGTCATGATAGCTAATGGTTGATTGGGCATATCGAATGGATACTTCAAGATGAACACTAAATACTGTAACAGAAAAATATTGTACATGTTTAATAAACAATAATACCAATAAAGTCAGACAGGACTTTTATGAACCAGTTATTCGTTTATCGTCTTACCTCTACCAGTATTTGGGGTTGTAGAGGTGACTATTTTCCGAGTTGGAAGGGTTACTTTCTTGAGCCAGTTTTTAAAAGATTTATCAACGTGAGACATGTTTTGTATGATGAATTGGTATGCGTTTGAATGTAGTGCTAGTTGAATATAAAAAAAATAAAGAATAAGGAATAAAGGAATGGAAAGGACCAAAAGACAAGAAAAAAAAAGGGGGGAAGCTGTTTAATAAGAAATATATATATAATATGTGTAGCAATTAAGAATTTATCATCTACAGACACCGTCCAGTCCTTTCCTTCCAAGGCTACAATCGTGCTCTGATCGAAAGTATGTGTTACGATGCAGAGTGAGATGACGTAGAGAAAACATTAACAAATAGTTTATGTAACCAAGGAAATAAAAATAAAGGCAAAAGAGAGGTTTTTTTTTAAGTATAAGCTTTTACTTGATTTGATTTGATTTAAATATAAATATATATAAATTAAATACCATTAATATATAGTTCTTGACACACTTCTTGTTCTTTACATTACAATAATGTAATACACTAGAAGAAGAGAATTGGTCTTTTTTTTTAAAAAAAAATATATTCATACGTCATACTCTACATACAGCTGCATGCCTTGACACAAGACATTCATATATCCATTTTTATCAATGAATTGACCTGATTTGTATTACAGCTTTGTATTGTGTCAATAAGGGACCTGAATTCTTGTCTTTGTCTCTGGCTTTTTTTTTGTTTCTTTAAACTACATTTTAAGCCTTGTAAATTATCAATGTCGACTAGGCGCTGTTTATACCACTGTACAACTGATTTTGACAAAAGGGAAAATTTTCACTGTAAAATAAATAAGAAATATCGTTGTTTGCCTCGATGATTTCTTATTTGTCTACATTTTGTGAAACTCTGGCGTTTGTAGAATGCCCAACTCAGATATATATATATTTTGTTATAAAAATAAAATGTTTCTTTTTTAATCTGTCATTTTCTTATTCTATTCTATTCTATTCTTTGATTGGAGTTACATGAGCCATAATTTTGGACATCTTCATTGTACTTTCTTTTACTTACATTTTATACAGCTTCAAAATAGAATTCACAAGAGGTACAAAGACAAAACCAAGCACACCAAAGAATTACATGTATAGATTCTTGATATTTAACAAGAGAATTAAAGACAAAGTGAGTATAGGTGTATAGGTGTGTGTGTGTGGGTGGGTATACTAAACTAATTAATATTATAAAAAAAAGTCAACTGATAGTCGTTCATATTAGTCAATGGTTTACAGGTGTTCATCAACCTCATCAAGGTTTGTCTTTTGTTTTTGTTTGGAATGGGATACCCAACGGAATTAGCATACAAAATAGCACTTTTTTTTTCCTTTTGTCCTTGGTGTTACTGAATCGATAATTTTTTTTTCTCTTTTCTAAAATAACACAATACTATTATAATTGGGGGCTTCACTGATCTGGCTTGAGTCTGATTTTAATCATATATCCGGATAAGTTTTCCTATTAATCGAACAATAATATCGGTCAAAACTCAAAGGGAAGATAAAAATCTCTAAAATACACACACACAAGGTGATTGACTCAGGTACGTCTGTATTTATTAGTATTATTATACAGCTATAATAGTAACAATAATAGAAATAAGCCTTTGATTTGTTTCAAGGTCATTTATTGGTATAAAGAAGAAGAAAAAAAGAAACTGTCTGCAAAATTTGAACTAAACCTATATGTTTGTATATTCATATGTCTTGGTGCATGCAGCTCAATACATACAAAAAGAATATTCTTCAACTGTTAAGAAGAAAATCTATACCCAAGTTACTAAACAGCAATAAACGCATACACGGAATATACCGTCTCTTTTACTTTCTCTTTTCACTCTTGATTTTATCATCCCACCCTCATATAGACAATTGAGATTTTCAAATTACCACAATGAACATACTATCAAAATATATCACAAATTATATATATGTGCTATATTTTAATTCTGGTGTGTCTATAATTTCATTAGAGTCGAGCAAATCTAAACTCTTATTTTTTTTAGCAGAAACCCCACATAAAATATGGTATATTAAACTGATTTCAATGCAATTTCTAATTGGTCTAGCAAGTACTCATTGTCTTGTTCAGTACCAACAGTGATACGAACACATCCAAAGCACCCATACTCCTTACACCTTAGACGAATCACAACTCCAAGACAATCGGCCAGGCGACTGTACACCTTTCCAGCCCGTACATTACACGGCTTGTTATTCTTGTCAAGAATTTCAACCAGGATAAAGTTTGCATCGTTTGCACCAAGAATCCTACCAAGTCCCTGAAGAGGAAAGGCCAAAAGCCTTTGGACCAACATGCTACGTTGCCGGATAAGGTATGATCGGTGTGTATTCATGGTAGCTAGACCAACATCAGATAAAGCTTCGTAAGCAATTGAAGCCGCCGGAGTACCGATATTATAAGGTGCCTTTGTATTATTGAGAATCTGGATCAAGTCCGGGTTACCCAGCGCTATTCCTAGTCTGTGGGGGCTGGGCGGTTAGAAGTCTTGTTTTCTAGATATCTACAGACTCTCTCTCTTTTTTATTGTACCTGATACCTGCTAAACCAAAACTCTTTGAAAGGGTTTGGATAACAACTAGATTTGGATATGTATCTATCCAAGAAGAAACAGTGCCGTTCTCATGGTCTACAAAGTCAACGTATGCCTCATCGACTACTACAATGCCTTCGTACCCAGACTTGAGTATCTCTCGAATGCTATCATGAGATAAAGCAGTGCCAGTTGGGTTACCAGGAGAACACAAGAATACAACCTTAATTTCTGGGTTGTTTTTTAGGCTAGCTGTTATCTAAAGAGAGAGAGAGAGAAATAATGGTAACGATAATGATTCAATATATATACATATATTATATGATGGTGTACACAAAAGGTTCATGACTCACATCGTCCAAGCGTAGTTGATATAATCCATTCTCGATATTAAGATTAGAGTGGACAACGCCAACATCATTTACTTGAGCAGAAACAGAATACATTCCATAGGTTGGAGGTGTAGTGAGAATCTTATCCTTTCCTGGTGTGCATGTCACACGGATCAGCAAATCAATGACCTCGTCAGACCCTACTCCAAGGAAGACCTGACGAATCAAAGACACATTCCTCAACTTGACAATACGTTCTTTGATTTTGGGGTGGTAAGGGTCAGGGTATCTATTGAGCTCCTCCTTGTACTTAATTGGCAAAGCAGAGCCAAACGCATTTTCGTTGGCATCCAAAAGAACCCCTTTGCTGTAGTCGTCGCGGGCACATCGATATGGCGCAAGGGCAAGAATATTAGGACGAATGACCTTTTCGATATTAAAGGGCATGGTTTAATAAATTGTATGATAGGCAATAGTGATAGCAATAATAAAAATACACGCTCACAAAAATCAAAAAAAAAGCTCTAAAGAGTTTATTAAACAATTTAATCAAGCCAAGTTCTACGAGCAAACAGTCGGAATTATTAAATAATAATAATAATAATTAAGTGTCATTATGAGCCATAAACAAAATCTATAAAAAAAAGAAGAGTACACCAATTATGAACTGTAAAGACATATAGTCGAATAAACCCGGCAATTTGGATCTCTGAGTCATTCTTTGCCATCAACAGCCTGTCATCCTACATGCCTTTTTTTTTCTGCTTTAAAAAGTGGGAAATTGTGTAATCTTTTACCCGTATCTAACATTTGTGACATCTCTAATACTCGCTCTTATTTTCACTATATCAAAGGATTCTGATATATCACTGAAAATAAGTGCTTTATTCATTCGATTAGATAAACTTGATTGTATTTTGTGTATATTATCCATGCTTTTCTCTCTCTTTAGGTATGAGCACCTTGATACGGGAGCTTCATGCTGTGGAATAATGTCAGGTATGGGCAACAAGAATGATGCCATATACCGATTATATGTTAGAGCTCAGAGGCAAAAAAAAATGAAGAGATCAAGGTATATCATTGCCTGACAGTAGATCAGCTTAAGCTGGTGATGGTGACACATTATTAATCAACCTTCTATGCTCATGATAGAAATGTAGACATGCGGCTTGGGGAATTTTAAAACTACATTCGTAATAAAGGAAAGGGGCGAGTGCTGACGATTAACGAATTTCAGTGCACTTTCCATGGCACTATGCGGGTCAATATATGAACGTATCATCCCTCGAGCATTTTATGAAACAGTTTCGGAAACAGGTGGGAGAAAAAGGAAAGCAAATTGCGTACCTGAGAGTAAGAGAGTAGCATTGTAATAAAAATAAAGATATAAAGATCTATGCCGACAGCTGAGGGTAGACTAGAGAACTTGGCATTTAGTCCAAAGATTGAGATAAAAAAGATAGAATTACAAAGAGATAAAAGAAGTTTAGTGTCAGTTATTTAGGTTGAATATCACCCCTAAGTACAGAGTGTCTTGCTGTTATACAAGACATAGTTTCATTGAATCGTTGAGGCCATTGTTTTCGCATAAAGTAACACTAATGTTGGTATGAAATAATGTAATATGTAATTACAGCAAGGCAACTTGCCTGACCAACAGTCGCTTATACAGTTCATCTAGTGTCTTTTTCTTGTTACTATAACTATGGTATTTGAACTTTCTCAAGCCAATCAAAGTAATAGCCTTTGATCGTCTCAAAGTTCCGAAAGATATATTGTAAAACCTCATTAAGTTAGTCCCAGTTACATATCTTTGTTGATGGAGTGTTACAAATCAGGTGGTGCACATAATGATTAACTCTGTCGTGCTTGGCTCTTTTTATGGTAGCAGACTTGAATCCGAAAAGCTGGTAATACTCACCCGTGGAAGTTTTACGTCTTCTATGTCTTTGCCTATTTTAGCCAGCACCAGATCTAGAATCTAACTCCAATATAGTAGCAGTTCTCAAATCGATCTTGGTGACAATATCAGCAGGTGCCAAAGAAGCTTCAGCGGCACGGACAGGCCGTTCGCAAATAAATTCAAATGCAATACCATCGGTACGAATAGCGCCAATGGATCTTTTGTCTGATGACGCTTTTATACCAAGGCCATTTATTGAGCGAAAACCATTACGACCCCATGCTAAAGAGGTTCCAACATAGGTCTTTCATATCTTCATTGGCTGCTACCGATAGTTTTTTTTTTTGTAGGGAGCAATTAGAGCTCAGGTTTTTATTGTGAGGATCACTAGCTAAACAAAAGGACGCACGTCACAAAATTTGTTTTTGGGTTTTTGATTTTTTTTGAGGTGTATATGTAAGAAGGAAAACTAAAGGTAGAGCTAAGTAGCAAGAGAACAGGCAAGGTCATCACGAGATTTTTCAGCCTTAAATATGGCAACCAAGCGGGAAACGGTAGATAGGACGGTGGAAGATACAAAAGGTGTATTGTCGAACACCGTGGACCAATGATGTCGCCAGATCGCCAGAAGGGCACAGCTAAAGAGAGAGGCGGCGTGAATATCAGAGGGGCGGGTATAGGGGAAAGACAGGTTGTAAAATGCATCATGGAGTATAGGAAGAGTAGGATGAGATCCAAAGACATCTTGCCAGAATGTAGACCAAACGTCAATTTTGAGGGGGCAGGAGAAGAGGAAATGGTCGGGTGTGTCTGTAGAGGCTTCACAAATGGGGCAAGAGTCGGTGGGGAAGGGGCCAGGAAGTATGCGATGCAACAGGGAGCGGGATGACAATTTGTGGTGCAGACCTCGGTACCAGATGTTGCGGACATGGTGGTGTATAGGAAGGTTCCAAAAGATTAGCCATTGTGAGCTGGACAGTGTAGACGACAGGGGAGGAGAAACAGAAGAGGAACAAAAAGAACGATACATACGAGGTTTCAGCTTGGACCACGGTATTCCGGGTAAAAGGCCGCAAACAAAAGGGCTAGCATTGATTGATGAGCCTGAACGGGAAGGAATGGAAGGGTCATTGAGCTGAAGGATATGAGAAGGGAGGAAAGCGCGAACAAGGAAATGTTGTAGCAAGGTGTCGCGAGAGTCAACTCTCTTGAAAAACTTGCGCAATATGAGCGGGTTGCGTGGGAAATCAGCCGGCGCTCGACGGCAGAGAACGTCGAAAGAAGGGTCAACAAGAAAGGCATCTTCAACGCGGAGGTGTTGCCAGGAGGGAGGGAAGGAGGTAGTGCTTGTGGCTGGTAGGCATACTGAGCGGAGGGGAAGTGCCAAACACGTAGCAATGTTGGGGGCAAGGGAGAAGTCGTGCGGGAGCCTATCAATAGCAGAGAATATGTTGCGGAAGCAACCTGCAAGGCCAGTCAGATCGGGGGGGCGAAGATCGTGGAAGAGAAGTGTCAATCGGGGGTCGGTGCCAGACGTATGATAACGTAAGAGAAAGGACAGCCAAGGAGGAACTAAACCAGAGGTGGAGTGAGGAGAGAGACAGAGAGGACGTAACCAACGCAGATGAAGAGCACCTTGTTGTATAGAAGGATCTAATACTCCAAGGCCGCCAGAACGAAGAGGGAGACAAAGAGTGGACAGCTTAATGGGAGGAAACATTCGGTGCTGCAAGAACTGACCCATGACCGACTTCACTTTATCGAGAAACGACACAGGAACAGAGATCACGCGTAGGACATGCCAGAGACGGGAGAGAATGGGAGTATTGAGAACGGTGGCACGCCCCCGGATCGATAAGGATCGAGTGAGGTGTATGGCGCAGGAAGATTGTATGGTTGTTAACAATGAAAAACAAAAGGCATCGCGTTGGGCAATCGAACTGACAAGAGGGAAGCCAAGGTAGCGGAGGGAGTCAGGACAGGAACGGTCGTGCCAGGATGTTATTTGGTGGGCCTGTAGGAACGTGATCCAGTGAGGAAGTGGTTGTCCCGAAAGCGATATGGCCTCCGTCTTGGCCATGTTGATCTTGGCATTGGAGGCCCGAGAGTAAGTGGCAAGATGTGTGTGGAGGCGTGTGAAACATTCGGGTGTGGAGAGGAAAACAATGACATCGTCCGCATATGCAAGACATTTGACTGGAGGGGGGGCTGGAAGGATTGGCGAGATAGGTGGGAGAAACCCAGAAAATTCAGGGTCATGTTGGAGGCGGCGTAGAAGAGGCTCAAAGGCGAGATTGAAGAGAACGGGGGACAGAGGATCGCCCTGTCGGAGACCGCGGTGCTGAACAAGTTCTCGGGAGATATGACCGTTCACATTGACTCGTATTCGAGTAGAGAAGAATAGGTTGCAAATACAATCGACGAGAGAGGAAGGGAAACGGAAATGGCGCAGGACTTGTCGCAGGTACGAGGGGTGTACACGATCGTAAGCCTTTTCTTGATCCAAGAGCAAGCCAATACTGGTGGATTGAGTGAGCCGGGCCTGTTCCATAATGGTCTTGACAAGCATGCCATTGTCAGCAATGAACCTTCCCCTCACAAACCCGGTTTGATATTGAGACACAATTGAGCTGGCAGCAGGAATCATACGGGCATTGAGTAGTCGAGTAAAGACCTTTGCATCAGTGTTAATCAAGGCAATAGGTCGCCAGTTCTTCAAAGATGTAAGGTCTCATTTCTTCGGTAGCAAGGAGAGACAAGTAGATTGCCAAGAGGCAGGAAAAACTCCAGTGGTGAGAGCGTCATTGTAAAGCTTTTCCAAGATATGAGCACACGCGGGATGGTCAAAAAGAAGACGAAGGATTTCATAGGGTATCCCGTCAGGACCGGGACTGCTGGCGGAAGGAGACCGCTGCGCACCTTCTTGTATGTCTACGATGGAAAAGGAGGAAGTGAGTTTGTTTACAAGAGCGTCAGAGAGAACAATATGAGTCGGAAGATTATGTAGAAGGTCGTCTACAGCGGTTTGCTCAATGTCATCGGGGAAATACAAATCTTCATAAAATGCAGCCGCGGAATCGGTCATGATAGAAGGCTGTGTCGAAAGGACGTTGGTGAAGGGGTGGCGTAGGCCAGAGATCGACTTACGGACTTGTCGTGTTTCAATCGTACGTTTCAAGTAACCGGCAGAGGTCTCACCCTGTTCCCGCCAGTGTTTTCCAGCGCGCAATGCCTGTGTTTCTACCTTTTCGTGTTGTATGTCCTGAATCTGTCGTTCCACAAAAGGAAGCTGGAAGTTAATGGAGGGGTTGAGTCGGTACTTTTGTATCAGGTGCGCGCGCTTGCTCTGCAACTGGGCTTCTATCGTAGTGAGGTTGCGGCGAGGGCGACGGCAATAAGAGCGGATAAAATGGATGACATCGGTTTTGAGACTATCCCACTGTTCTTGAACAGATAGAGATGTTGGTAGAGAGTGGACGAGGGAATGAATGTGAGAGTCAAGCTGGAGACAGAAATGCTGGTTGTAGGACAGACGTGGGTTGGCACGCCATAGGCCTTTCCCCAAGACAGTGCCTGAATCAAAGAGAAAAGATGCGGAAACTAGGAAATGGTCTGACCATTGCGGATGAATATAATCCACGGAAGACGAAATGCGGTGGGAAAACATATCGGAAGAGGAGAATATATAGTCCAAGGTGGAGGACGTTGTGCCGCGATGGAAGGTAGGCATAGGGGTAGAATCAGGCATAGTGACGCAGTCAAAGAGGTGGTCAGAGAGGAATTGGAGCCACGTATGAGGTGCAAGTCGGGGCCGAGGTGAACGAGTGTGATAGGAGTGATTAAAATCTCCCAGCAGGATGAAGCGTGAAGGATGAGTGGGCAATAATAAAGAGTTAGCAAGCAGGGCAGATAGGAATTTATACCGCTGTCCAACTGTAGCTGGGGCATATACCATACAGATCTGAAAAGGGGAAAAATTATTGTTGGCATGCTCAACTGTAGCAGATATACATCGGCCACAGACAGAGGTTAAAGGGTTGACAATAGAAATCATAGGAGCTAGGCACACTAAACCACAATGTTGGGACCAAACTGAGGAAGTAGTCCTAAACTGCATATTGAATGTGTTCTGTATATCCATAGAGGAAGCATGAGTTTCTTGCAGGGCGAGTATATCGACATGCTGAGAGCGTAGGTGGCGTATAAATAATGAGCGTAAGGTGGGGTTGGCCAATTTGGCCAGGCCTCGACAGTTTATCGTGGAGATTTTAATCATAAAGTAAGAGCTGGATTTGGAGGATCTTGTCCACCGTCATTTTCACCATCCATGGGATCATCTTCCATTTGAGCGAAATACTTGGCGATCTCATCGATGTCATCGTCGCTGTAGTATTCCTCATCGTCGCTTTTCTTCGTCTCTTCGTTACCAAGTTCGCCATCACTGGTCTTAACCAATTGGACGTTGTCATCCATGCCAGTACTAGCCGCTGCTTCTATCAGGAAGTCAGGATGGTTGGCGGGAAGAACACCCGGAATGGCGCCCGGGGCCGCGCGTGGTCTAGAAAGGGATTCAGTAGCCAATGGAGGTAGGGGTATGTTCTGCGGGGCGTGCTGTGAGCCGTAGATTGTTTCAGAGGGTAGAAGACCATGATACATCTGAGCGGCTGGGGGTGCAGGGGCATGGGTTGGGGAGCGAGCAGTTTTGCGAGGGCGTTTTGATTCGGCTTCCTCGTTTCGTGGGCATTGATGGGCAAGGTGACCAACCTTACCACAGCGGAAGCAGGTGCGGGTTTCTTTGGGTCGCTTGGTGCAAGCTTCTTTCTCGTGACCCATCTCTTTACAGAAAGTACAATGAGTACCCATACGTGCCCAAGTGGCAAGGAAAGTTGTAGTTTCATTATACTTGATCTCATGTTCCAAGTGACGCAGATGAAGATCAGGATTAGGTGGGCATAGCATATGGATGGTGCCTGTGCCGTCGGGGTAGTTATATTTCAAATTCAAGGATATTTCCTGAACCTGTCCGTATATAGCAAGGCAGCGGCGAAGATTCTCGGCAAGTTCATCAAAATCCGCATATCCGTGAAGAGGAAGTCGAGACACACGTAAGCGCAAGAGCTTAAACGTCGAAGGAATGGCAGGAGAAGCGAAGACAGTACGTCCATTAAAAGGAAAGCCAACTTGGCATGCGCGCGAGCATGCTTCTTGGTCTACTAGATGGAATTCGAAGGAGGTGCGGGAAGTACGAGAGGCATATGTGAGGCCGCGGCCAACACCCAATGGGAAAGCGGTGTTAAGAGCCTCAAAGAACAAAGGACGAAGAGGGTTTCCCTCAGCAGGGACCTCGTAGAAAACAGAAAATGGAGAGGAGTCTTCTTTCCATATGCGTGGAGCGCCATTACCAGCGATGGAGCCGATGATGCGAGATGTACAAGAATTGTCTACAGACTTAACAGCCGCAGCTACGTAAGATGGAGACAATGGTGGTGAGCCAGTTGGTGTAGATGGAGTGTTGAGTGATGGCGTGGGTGAGCCAGGAGGTGGTGAGGGGTCCCTTGGTAGGGGTGGCGGAGTCTTAGCGGGAAGAGCCATGAGTGTAATATTTGATTTAAATATATAGAATACTTTTGGGATAGTGGAAAGTCACAGATTGAGCGAAAGCAAACTCGGCGGGCTTTCCCTTCGTCATCTTTCTCCCCTTACCCTTTTCTTACAAACATCTCAGCCTAGGACATGTCCACACCAAATAATACCAGACACTTTTGCCATGTGTGCAGTACTGAAGTGCCCATCTACATGGCCCCAGATCCTACTTGTCAAGTGTGCAACCAGCAGTTTATCGAAGAGGTTAGAATTAGAAAAGATAATAAAAATAAAAATAAAAATAAAAATAAAAAAAAGAGTGTCTTACGAATCGAATGATTGTGTAGATTGAAGATGATGCTGATGACCCCCGACGCTTCCTCTCGGGGACTGAGAGTCAACCACCACTTATGAACATTTTCCGGTCCGAGACGGGTAACATTAACTCAGAGACTACATTGGTTTCAATCATCAAGAAAGAACGTATGGCGGCTGACTAAAATTGAGTATTTCTTTAGGCGAAGGTGGACCCGATGAGAACGCGCTTGGTCCATTCTTTGAGAGCATTATGGCTGCCATACTTGGGCAGACACCAATGCGCCCCAATGGAACCAATACTCCAGGAAATGGAACAGATACTGATGGTACACCCGAGACAGGTGGTGGTCAAGAGAACCAGAGAAGTCCATTTGTGCTTTACACTGGTCTTGTAGACGGTGGTAACATTCACCCAATACGTACCAACATGCCCCGGCGGGCCTCTTCTGAAAACGACTCTGCACAAAACAGAGATGCTTCGAATCAAACACCCGACGGTGAAGCGGGAAATAGAGTCAGCAGCATTGCAAGGTATTATTACGATTACAAATATAAAATTAGACCACACCCAATCCATTCTTCATCAGAATACTTATTATGTACTCCTGTATTTGTTTAGTGTAATGCAAATGTTGCAGACATTGGCAGGTGCACCCCTTGACGCTGGTTTTGTGGGGAACCCGAACGACTACGTATTCTCGCAAGGCGCACTGGACAACATCATCTCGCAGCTAATGGAGCAGACGGTTGGGTAAGTGGCGTGAAAAACAGACGAGGGCTAAGACGAAGAAATCAGTCGCACAGCACCTCCCCCTGCCCCAGACGAGGTTATCGAGTCTCTCGGAGATCGTGTATTAACACAGGCAGAACAAGGTACGACCAAGTGTGATGATATTATTGATTGTGAAATGATGGGTAGTAACAAGAAGAATATCCATGTATCTAGATCTCCAGGTCGACTGCGCTGTTTGCAAAGAAGAATTCGATATTAAAGAACGAGTAATCGAGTTGCCATGCGCACACATCTTTCACAATGAATGTATCAAGCCCTGGTTAAAGATGAATGGAACCTGTCCTGTATGGTAAGTAAAACATATGGAAAACGGGGGGGGGGGGTGATGGAATTATGGGGTTGTGGGTGATTGTCTGTTTGTTTTGCTTTGTTTTTCCTTTTTTGCTTTGATTGTTTTATGTAATGTTTCTGTTGGATTTGATGACCATTCCAAGTCGTCATTCGGTGGTGCCAGAGACAGCAGGAGCAAGAGACGGAAGCCAGACTACGAATGATCCATTATCATCCGGTCAAGCGACAGACACTGCTGCCGACAGCAACCAGTCCACAAACGACACTTCTTCCGGTAATCAAGGCCAACAACCCCCCACTAGTGCCTCCATCTTCTCTTGGTTAGGAGGATCTCGACAAGACCGAGGTGGTTCAAACACACCATCATGGCCAGCCAACATTCCGGGTCCGTTTTCTTGGGGACCTGGCCAGAGACGCGCCTCAAACGGCCATAACCATTCACCCGCTAGTTCTGACAACAACCAAGATCATCCTGATAATGATGCTCCTGATCTGGATCTTGATTAGTAACTTCACATATTTCGTTTTTACTTTTTTCTTTTTCTGTTGTGGAGGCAAAGGCGAAGAAATACTTCTTTCTTTCTTTCTTTTTAATAATATGAGTTGTCAGCCAGAATAAACAAAGTACAGAACGCATTTGCATACCAAGAAAGCAATTATTGTTCTCTCACCACAAGAAGGTTTAGTTTGTGTGTCTATTGATGTAGTTTCTTGATTTTAGACCATAGGCAATCCAAGCACAAGATATTGCTAAGATAACCACACCAATAAGTGCCGAATATACACAGCCAAGATGAATATCTGACGCATTGAACAATGTCTATGGTTCATTCAATCAATACTTGTTACAATTAAAGCCGGTCAATATCGGTTAAATTTTATCTTACTGCATAGGAAGCGCCGTAATGTGAAAAGATTACCCAGGTAATCTGTAGCATGCCCGATTTTGTCTTGTAAGAAGAGAATCCTTCAAATGCGACCATCATCCAAGCCATATGTAGCAGAGAGAATATTGTGGTATTGATGGCTAATAGCACATGGAAAAATTAATAAATCCAATGTCTATGCACACCCACATATATGCACATCTACATTTACATCTACATCTACATCTACAAATATATATATATATATATATATATATATTCTATTCCTTTACCAGATACAAAGAATAGGCTAAGTCCAGGGCAAGATTGGCACATCTTAACGCCAGGGCCTAAAGATTCTACAAGCAGGGATATGTAACTGACCAAGCAAGACATCAATGCATAACCAAATCCTGAGACTACAATATATATATATATATATATTTGGGTTAATAAGCAAGTATCAGAATCGCACTTTGGTTATTATAGCACAAACCAAAACCAAACACAGGCCTGTTGAATGGGGAGTTTGGGTTTCTGGAAACGAGGTTAAGACCTGTTTCGGCACGACTGTCATATTATTAGTAGACATAAACTTAAAGCTAATTATAACCGAGGGGTTGTCTTTTTCTTTTCATTTCTTTTTTTTTGTGGTGGGAATAGAAGCCTTGGATGCATTACCTCAGGATTCTAAAAAATCCCCAGCGGAATATTTCCTGGATTGCGACACTATAAGCTATCGTGACGGCATGAGTAGATTGAGTTTTCTTAGCCAGGTACCATATTACACTCGAGATCAAAAGGGCAATCAAGCAAAAGAATGCACTGGATGTTGGTTAGTTTACTCTTTTTTTATAGAGCATGTGAATAATAAAAAGGGGAATGATGAGTACCTTGAGACCATCAAGAGAACATATTGAGCATTACGTGCAATGTAAAGAAAGAATATGGAAAGAATGGGACCATAGGCTAGAAAGAGACAGCCAAAGAAGGAGTAGAGTGACATGAAGAAAAGGTATGTGACGGTGGGTGTTTTCTCTGTGTGTTGAACTACTGAGTTTCCTGACAATTTTTGGTTTATAGTTTTGATCATAAATTCTTTTTTTTTAAAAAAAATTAAAAAAAATAGGGCGTTGTGAATGAATTCAAGGGTTGTATAACGCATCTAATTAAAGTGTAATACTTATCAATGATCCAATATTTGATTAGATATTAAGCTTTTAATAGCTGTAAAAATAATTGGGCAATAATGTCTCTTGAATCAATTGGCCCACCCACAATATATTTGTCTGTAAATCATATAGTTTGTAACAAAGAAATATTTGAGCAAAGACATGTTTAATTTACAATTATTTCTTCTTCTTCTTCTTATTCTTTCTATCTGTGGTAGTAAAGAAAGACTTGACATTAAAATAGAAAACTCACTGTGCTGGAAACCAACTGGTGCTTTGTTATTATTATTTTGATACTGTTTTACAAAGTGAAAAAATTATAGACTTTTATAGATTAACCATCCGTGCTGCTAATCATTTTCAAAACCAAGACAGGATTTACTTGTAGATTATAAGATACACGCGACTCATACTATTTGAGCAATAATCTAGATGTATTAGCTTTAACTTAATTTTATTAGAATTACAATGGCACTGAGGATGAGCTTACTCACGATTAGAAGCATCACAGAAAGATTCAATATATATTGAATGCCCAAAACAAGTGTAATAAAAGGACAAAAGAAAACTTGCTCATATGCAAAATGGTGGATTTTCAATTTGTGGTACTCTTAAATTGGAAGTTAGGTAGACAGAAACATCTGTCTGAAAAAAGCACAATACCTATTTTTTAGACTCTTTGAGTTTCTTATTTTAGATGACAGGACACGAATTAGATTCGATATAAAGACATTTGAAGTAAATTCAGTTACAGGATCAACCAAATAGGCAGGCTAATGAAAATTATCACTTGGTACTTTAGGTCTTTATTCATTGTAAAAGGCGAGTATATAGTAAAGCTTACTGATATTATCTATAAATAAAGTAACAATACACTTTGATCTAGAACTATTTTTGCGCAGGAGATTCTTGAGTACCGTGATACTTGGTAATAAATGCAAGTCAAAATGTGTAGATAATTTATTTGGTCTAGAACTTTTGTGGCGAAAAAAAAACAGTACAGCACATTAGAATGGCATGGCTATCTGTACAAGATTTCTGTGGGTCATGCAATTAAAATTCTCTAGCAGTAGCTCGTTCAAAGCCTAGGATTCAATATTCAAGTCGTATAAAGAGAGTCAAAAAGAGTGTATGTAAGAAAAGGTAGATATTATACTTACCAGTTTTCTTTCGGAAACTATGCTATAAATATGTCAAGGTGCGTCTTGTCTCAGGATATTTCGTATTAACTATCTTGGTTTTCTAAAATAAAATAAAAATGCGGCAATAGTATACAAAATCATCTTATGCTTCGGGAAATAAGCTTTATACTACAACAAGTTATTCCCTGCATAATAAATACTCCATTTTCTTTAACTCGTTTTTGCTCTATGCTTTAAGCGTGTATATTGAATTACTCGCAAAAATAAATAAAGAACAGGGTTGAAAACTAGGCTTTTAAATTTTCAAAAATGTAATTTAAATAATTATGTTTTTTTTGGTTTTTTTTTAAAAAAAAGAGAATGGTAAAAAATATAGTGAAAAATGATAGTGAAAATGATAGTAAAAATAAGAATAAAAAGGATAGTAAAAGAGAGAAAATGTCTAAAGTCTAAAGAGAATAAAAATGAACATTGCAATATAGAAAATTAAGAATTAAGTAAGGGTGTGTAGTAAGTATTTGGATTGATTAGTGCGATTAAGTTAAGTGTTGGATCGGTGGGTAGATTGGTGTACAGTAGCGGTGCTACTGTAACTGGCTGTATAATGAATAATGATCTTACGAAGGGCTTCTTCGAGAGTATCCCAAGGAAAGACTTTAAGGTCTTTTTCAATATTTCGTGGTCTAGGGCCAGGATACCCCATGATCATACGAAAAAATCGGCTTGTTTCTGATTTGGTTTTTCCAAGTGTCAGAGGATGAAACTCTTCCAGGTTACGCCGGACACGATTCTTTTCTTGTTGAGTGAATTCTCCGTCAACAAGATACTCCAGTAAACGAATACAGTCTACAGACGTGTAATAGAATGCATCTTGTTCTTGCCAATATATACACGATATGGTAAGAGTGTCATCATTGTCATCAGCCCACGATTCGATAAGGCTGAAACCACAGGTGACTACATTGTTGCCAATATTACGCCAGAAGCTGACAAGGCGTCGACCTGCATTGAATTCTTCGGGAGTCCAGTCAAGAGTAGCCTCTGAAAGTTGACCATGAAGATAAAAATCAGGTTGATTCAATAATGCCGCTAGTGGAACATCTGGAGTAGTAGTGGCTGAATTAACCGCTGGGTCAGGGTTAATACCAGTAGATGAAGTACTAGCTTCTGCTGTACTAGTAGTAGCAGAGGTAGTAGATACTGTAGCTCCTTGTTGTGATATTTGGGGTCGAGAGATTTGAGGTGGTAATGGTTGAATTGGTAAAGGCGGTTTAGGTTGAATGTTAGAGTGTGAATGGGACCGAGAGTGAGAACTTGTAGCTGTGTGCTGTTGTTGCTGTTGCTGTTGCTGTTGCTGCAGTTGTTGCTGTTGTTGTTGCAATTGTTGCTGTTGCTGCAGTTGCTGTTGTTGCTGTAATTGCTGTTGTTGCTGTAATTGCTGCTGTTGCTGTAATTGCTGTTGTTGCTGTAATTGCTGCTGTTGCTGTATTTGTTGTAGTTGCTGTAGTTGTTGTTGCTGTTGTTGCTGTAGTTGCTGTTGCTGTTGCTGCTGTAGCTGTTGCTGCTGCTGCTGCTGCTGCTGCTGCTGTTGCTGTTGTACTGGATTCTGTTGTTGTACTGGATGCTGATGTTGTACTGGATGCTGATGTTGTACTGGATGCTGCTGTTGTTGGTTTTGTGCTGGATTTTGGATAGAAGAGGTCTGAGGTGGGGGAAGAGGGGGAGGTAATTGACGTGTGGTTGAATCAAGAGAATATTCTGCAGCTGGAAGTGTCATGTTAGACGAATAGGTAGGATAGGAGTTGGGAGGGTAGCCTTTGTCGGAAAGTGGAAGAGTTAGTGATTGGTTGAGGCGAAACAATGGAACACAAGCATTTTTTTTAAGAAATGAATATTAATATCTTTGACTTACTATCATAAAAGGTGTCATCACGGGGAGTAGAGTATCCCAACTGAGAAGTACGTCCGAGGTCGTATTCGTTAAAACCGACAACGGAAATTTGAGCCAAATTATCTACAGAATGTTAGCCACAGGAACAGAAAGAACACTATGAGTACATTCCGGACAGAGTTATTTTCTTACCTGTCAAAGAAGGGATCGGCCTTTGACGTTGATCGACATAAACTGCAACAAGGTCAGCTCTTTGGTCTTCACGATAGATACACTCTGCAACAAGTGCACTATCCTGCACTCTATCTTGGTCAATTGCAACAACCCAAATAGGAATTCGATCCTGTCCCTGTGGTCCCGATAAAGCCGGCAGAGATGTGAGCAGAACTGCCGACGCAGTGTTGTACGGACAAACTTTTGTGGGTACTATGTACGAGCCAACACAGAGCTGCAAGTTCGGGATAACTTCTGGTCTTTCGACTGTCAAGGAGACTTCAATAGCATAAAAATTGTGTTGCACAAATCTACAACTGTTTAAATGCAGCCTATGGTAATTGTTTGTGGCCAATGGTATCCATTCATATAGACCCTCGATGTTTGTGCGTTTGACGGTCAGCGCGGAGGCTGAAGAAGGGTTTACTGGCTGTCTTGGAAGAAGTTCGTCGTAAGAACAGCGGATAGGTGGCCAGAGGATGACTTGACTCTCTGACATGGATGGAGCCACAATGGAGAGTTAAAGAGGGGGGAAGATTACTAGAGAAGAAGGCTAAGTTGAATTTTCTTTGGTATGTCTATTGCTCTGGTCTTTGTCTGTCTGTCTTTTGAGCCCAGCCTACACACTTTGATCGCATGGTCACACAAGCCAGACAGAAAGACAAAAATATTGTTATAGACGAGGTATTCCTACTTTACCAAAGTGCCCGTTAAGAAAATGGGAATCAAAAGGGAAGAAGGAAAAGGTTTACACCACACAATTCATTACCAGGCCTGTCTAAAACCACCGTAATCACATCGATTGCCCACACAAATCCTCCTACCTTTGATTTGTTGGGTTTCTGCCTATGCAGGACTGCTCTGTTGTCACTACGACGATCTTCCCTTCATCCACAACAAGTCCGCCACTGACAAGTTTTTTGTTCTTCTGCTTAATCAACGCTCGAGCCATGGGCGGCGGTGGCTTAGCCTATTATTCAACCTCCTATTCGTCTACCAGAGAAGAAGAGCAGGAATCTAGAAAAAAGAAAGGCAAACCCCCCCCCCCACTCCTACAAGAAATTACGTTATTTTGACCTCTATTTTATTTTCTTATTTTGTTATACTTTACTACCTTACCTGGCAAAACAATAATCCAAAAAACACATACACACACACATACACACATATATACACACACATACACATCTTCTTGTACCAGTACCGGTACGGTTATTCTCTCACTGTCTTTCTCTCTCTCTATCGCACTCTTTTGCTCTCTATACTCATCTATTGATATTTCTTTCTTTACGCCTATTAAAAAATAATGTACATACAAACACACTCGCACTTCACAATTATCCATGACTCAATTCACCAATGAAACACACATTTTCATACTTGTGCATGCATACATGCACACACAACTGATCATTTATTCGGATTCCAGCAACCATATACACAACTATATTTATTTTATTGAAAAGCCAACGATTGTTTTTATCTGGGTTTATTCTTACTCACCTTTCCTTACATTAGCCCCCACCCTTTTTGTAACAATAAATCAAAATCTGTACACGTCTGTATTGTCAGCCCTTTTCACTCCGTCATAGCACCGCTTTCCACGTGACATCAGGTAGGTAAATACTGCGATAGATCGTCAACCATGTCTCATTACTGTCATCCACCCCCCTTCCACAGCCCACAAAAAAAAACCTCACACCCCACTGTAAACACACTCACGCACATGTACCCCTTATATTTACCTTCTAACCCTAGCCGTGTCCTGTAGATGGCAAACACTTCTGACGCAGATCTCATTGACTCCCCTACAGATCGGTCTAAGCGCCCTCGTCTTGAAGACGAAGACTGGAACCAGGAGTACGATGACCGCAATACAGACCGTCAATCTAAGCGACAAGCCGTCCCTGATCCAGAAACAAAGGCACCTCACTTTGCTGGAACTGCTCCAGACGAATCAGACGACGACACAAAAAAGGATTTTGGACGTAATAGACGTAAACGCTGGGAAGAGTATGAGAATGGCTCCCAAGAGTCAGACGGTGACGACGAGGTTCAGATTGTTCTTGACGACACCATCAAGACTGAAGAACTCTCGCCATCTGCTCAACCAATCCAATCTACCTCAACTGACCAGTCCGTCGGTAATGGACTTGATCCAGACGATCCATCTCAGCAGCCTGTTCTCTCTATCCGCTCACTGGTAGGCACTAAAGACGCTGGAGTAATCATTGGACGTGGAGGCAAAAACGTAAGCGAGATTAGAGAGATGTCCGCTGCTCGCGTCACCATCTCTGACATCGTCCCTGGCGCCTTTGAACGTATTCTCACCGTCAGTGGTCCCCTTGCTGCAATTGCAAAGGTAAGAAAAGTCTCAATAATAATAAGAAGTATATAGTAATACCATTGAGTGATGTAATATAAAATAAAATAACAAAATAAAATATATACATATATACACGTATTAAACGCTTCCTATCACTACTACTACCATTATTATTATTGTTATTATTATTATTATTTTATAAAAAAAATCTTTTTTTTATATTATTTTATATTATTTCAATTTTATAGGCATATTCCTTGGTTGGAGAAAAGATTTTATTGGAGCAACCTGTTGGTGAAGATGGACAAGATCAAACACTTACCATCCGTATCTTGGTTCCTGACAATCGCATGGGTACATTGATCGGTCGCGGCGGAAGCGTAATCAAGTCAATACAAGAGCAGAGTGGTGCTCGTCTTATTGCATCAGAAGAAACCTTACCCATGTCTACAGAGCGTACTATCACTGTCATAGGAACTCCTCCTGCTATCCAGACAGCAGTATACAAGATCTGCGAGATCCTCATGGACCACATGGAGCGCATTAATGGTGGGATGATGCATTACAAGCCTCAACCTCAGATGACAAATTCTGCCAATGGAAACAATAGCAGCAATAATAGCATTCCTTCTGCAAGTAGCCGTGGGTATCATTCTATGCCTCGATCAAACCCTGGAATGGCTTCTCATTCAAGCAGCAGTTACGGAATGATGGGTATGGGTATGAATGTTGCTGCCAACCCGCAGTTCTACTATCAGGCAGCTGCAGGCTACAATGGTGCTTCCCATCCAAGAGGAGGTTGTGCTGACTACGGAATGGTAGCCAGCTCTCAAGCTCAACAAATTCTCATTCCTAATGAGATGGTCGGATGTATCATTGGCAAAGGCGGTTCCAAGATCAACGAAATAAGACAAATAAGTGGCAGCCATATCAAGATTGCTGACCCACACGGAGACAATAACGAACGTCTTGTTACTATCACTGGAACTCCCGAGAGTAACCAGATGGCACTTTATATGCTGTATTCACGCATTGAGAGTGAAAAGAGTAGAACCTCTATGCGCTAAAAAGCAAAACAAAACGAAAATATCTTTGACTTGAACCTCTTTCTTTCTGTCTTTTGCCCTTCTTTATCTCGGGCGCTTTTTCTTTTTACCTCTCTCTCTCTCTATCCCATTATTTCTATGGCTATATTTTTCTTATTTGAAACTTTTTTTCTTATTATCTCTTTTATATAAGAAAAAAAAATATATTTCATAGTGGGTTTGTGCTGTGTTTAAACATCCTTGATAATCACTTTGTGTCTTGATTCTGTGACCGGTCGAGTTGAACTTTTGCTTTCCTTTTACCTACATTATTATCTTTTAATATGGCAGCCACATGCAGGTCATGGTATGGCATCTTTGTGTTAATTGTCATGGCATCATATACTATGGCCTATCCAAGTGCTCCTGGTGCTGTAAGAATAAGCGATTTAAACTAAACTACTTGGCTCGGAGAACGCTAAATTATAGTTTTTAAGTGTGATGTAGAGCTAATGGCCACTCAGGGCCATGGTCCTTCTCAGAGTACTTGCGATCAATGCTATACAATCAATATCATCCCAATCACATCACCTAATTCATTGCTTACAGTTCAGATTACTGGCCCTGTCAAGTACCAAGGGATATTGCTACAAGTTAAAAATGAACTCAACCAAACCGTCGGTATGTTTACAGACTATAGCGATTCCGATTTTGCGCCGGTCGCATGTGATGATGAAGCTGGAGACGAAAACTTTGGTGTACTTGGGCATTCCAACCCAAGTCCAAAGTCATGGCCTTTTAATGTAGGCTGGACAATTGAGACGATACAATCAAAAACCCAGTTGCGAGTCCAGGGCATGGTTGTGGTAAATATATTAAAGTATAGTTAATGGAATAAAGTGGATCTGATGAATTTGAGTTGACCTGGGCTTAATTACTCTCGATGTAGATCGATTATGACAACTACCATGTATTACCAGAAACGCCTTTTAAAATTAAGAGAGTTCCCACTATCTCTAAACCTACTACTTCAACATTGGATACTTCAACAGTCTTGGAAGATTTACCTACCAAAGACAAAAATTATCCTACTCTCATTGATAAAGAAGACCCATTTGTTACATTGCACACACCTACTCCCACATTGATTGTCGAAGCTCCTCAATTCGTGAAGCCAAAGCAACCAAACCAATTATTCTTCCAAGTTCTATGTCTTGTCTTTGGCATGTACCTTATTATGTCTTTTGGACGTTGTCAATATCGACGTAAAAAACGCTCTTTAACCACATCTAGTGTTGATCAAGAAGCTCAACAATCACTTGTTTCCAAATACGCATAGAAATTATATAACCTAAATATATTCTTTTTGTACAAAAGTACTGAGTCATCTAAAAATGTTCAAAGATTGACAGTAGATCTTATAAAGTAACTTCAATCAGTATATTGTCTGTCAAGTCTTCTATTTATACTTTGACCTGAATGGTGTAGAATCTTAATTCACCTTTACATAGAAATCTTACAGGCACTGGCCTACCAAAGTTAGATATGTTGTGTATGCCTCCCACTTCTTTTATTTCCAACCCTCAAGAAAGTTAGGGCCATATTCACATTAAAATAAGAGTTCAGTATATATATATATATCAATTTTACCTTTCAACCACATTTACATTACAGAGTATTTTCTAATCCCAAGGCTTTTTAATACAACACATGTACATAGTTAAGTTAGACGGCTAAAAAGTGAGATTTCTATTACTTAAAGCGATAAAATACACTCAAAGGCAGAGGGTAAGCGATGAAATTTCGAATATTTGGATTTTTCCCAAGCATATTATTGACGGTGTTTTCTTATTGATAATTTAAATCTTGAAAAGTGCTCAGAATAAGACTAAACTTTAAGAAAACATAGTCCAATATATATATATATATATATATCAATGAGAAAAAAATACGAGAGACTGGTATTTGGTTGTGGCATATATAGTGGCACTTAATTCTTGAACTCTATTTGGTACGCTGGTCACCAAAACCTCCAGCACTTGAAGTGCTATCTCTATCGATGTCTTATAGGTTACCACCTAAGGTATATTTACATTGGTTTCATCCTCTCGGATTTTGCGTAGTTTTTGGGCAAGCTAATCCCTAATATACCTTCACAATATCTTATATAATGAGCGTAGCATGGCGACATAAGTACTCTTGGTACCCTTCCACTTCCTTACTAGGTGATATTACGTCTATTATACATTTTTATCTCTAAAGAATTCTAATTTCATATTCAATCATACTTTTCGGAATATCAATGAATATAGTATATCCATAGGTAACAGCCCTTTCTTATTGTCTTATTATTCGGCTTCTGACCAACCCATTTAAACTTTGTTCTACGATTTTTTATAATTCAAATAAGTGATAGAGTGTCTTTTCATTTCTTGTTCTAACTGCTTAAGGGACCTGGAAAGATTCACAGAGAAAAGAATGTCTTGTTAACGTTTCTAAATGATAGTACAGCATTGTGTAGCAAACTGGTCATATAATACGCTTAGCTGTATAATGCTCAAAGTTGCATGAGACTCATTTAATACCCACTTTCACAGAAAAAGACATGTATTTTTAATGTCTAGCATCATACACCGATTTTGATGGACCTTTTGAATCAATATTTGAAGTAATTTGCCGGATTAACAAAGTCGCCACTGAGGCTTTCACGAAACAGTTTGTATTTGATAAGAAACATTAGTTGTATGACAATTCCCGTAGATATAGACATTAAAGTTTCGTCTCTATGTCTATACATTGGGGCCGGTTTTTTGCTACTGTCTACTCAAGCTGCTTACAAATGCATTGGCTCTAAAACTAACAAGATCAGATATCAATACCAATACCAATACCAATACCAATACCAATATATTGATTATTTAATTATTATTTCTGTAAAGATAGCCAAATCCCTGGAAAAATAGACGCCCAGTAGTGGTTAAGCCTGTCTTTGGCAAAAATACATTTATTATCATTTCATTAATTGTAATGATGGGAGTATGTTATCAATCTAGCATTACAAAAACCATGGATACAATTGATTAGGTATACTATTGTCATTTTCTTGGTATTTTCTATACATACATTATTGTGTATATTCTCTAGTAACAGTGTGCTTCATCAGTGCCACTTAACACCCAGGACTTTAATATTTTACTATAATTGTTGTTATCTGTTCGTATAGCTTATGGAATAATTGTTAAATGGTAATATAAAAAGTAAAAGAAAGAGAGGGGGATATTATGATGGATGATCTTTAAGCGTTATTTTTTGTTTGTTTAAAGATAGACTCACAGGAAAAGCTTGGTTTATTAATATAGTTAGAAGAATAAAAACCATATCACTATATGTCTTAAGATGATTTACATCTTTTTGATACGGGAACGCCATGCGTATTTGATGTAACATTGACACAGAAAGTACTGGAACTACTGGTCTATGACGCTCTGAATTGCTATCATTTCGTTCGCACTACATGCTATAGCCGCTGGCTTGGCACATAGGTCACATATTTACTTGGCCCAACTGAGCCATTATGTAAAAGGCAAAATAGTATTAAAATCGGCATCAAGAAAAGAAGAGAAAGACAACCTTGTTTTGAGGCTCGAGTGTTAATGCAACAATACATGAAATGCATCAAACACAGCTCTGGATAAAGCTTCTGCAGTTGCTTACATAGATTTTTGATAAAGCATAATAAGCACGTCAAGTCAAAACACACTAAAATATACCCAAATGGTAAATTGCTTGACAGCCAACTATCATATCGTGTATACCAAAAAAAAAGTTCTGCTATAGGATTAAACCCACGCCCAATAAGTCGAGAAAACGTTCTCTTTATTTTACCAGGTTTAAATCTAGCGTCCAACCGCAAGGCATTCGGGACATGTAAATTATGCTACAAGCCATGAAAACATCCAAAAAAAATAGCATTGCTACTGCAAGCTTTTGGGAAAGTCAAAGTTTAGGATCCACGCTAGTAATCCCAATTCTAAATAGACTTTGCAAAAAAGCATTCTTTTGAGCACTTTTTTTTTGACATTAGTCAACAGATATTTATTTTTGTGTAAATTTCCTTGGATGTTTTCATACAGAAACTGAAAGTTGATATAACGTTCAGTTAGAAAAATAAACGACTCGCGTATTTTTGTACAGTGATACAAATTGTACTCATTGAACGACACGATGTGTAAGAGTACGGCACAAAAGTTTGCAGCTGGCTGTATAGAGTTTAATATGAGAAACGTAGCACGATATTAGGAATAAATAAATAAAATTATTATGAAATGCAGAATATGATCCTTATCTTGTATAACTCATATTTAGATTTATATTGCCTTGAGGCTCAAATTAAGGTTAAGATGCCTCCAAAGATGTATTCAAGAGTAAACTTAGTTTTGCTTTTAAAAGTGAGTGTGCTGAAAGGAAAATAGATAATGAGAATTAAGAGAAAAACCTAAATATGAAATTAAACTTATTTGATCAATGCCCTCAGTTACATAATTAAACCATTCAACTGTAGCTCTTTAAGGGATTTCTATTCGATCATTATTATTTTCACATTATTAATGTATTAATATATTTAATATGCATAAAAGATATCGTTTAGATGAATTCTTGGGGAATTGATATATTTATACAGTTTTCTTCTTGGTACTTTTAATTATCTGTCGTTTTTTATATTATAAGTACCTATATCCTATAGATTTTCAAAAGAGTATATACTATATAATATCTGCCCATTTTAACCAATAAACTAGATATTGTGCTTATATAAATAGTGTATTATTAAATTAGGGTAATTTGAAATATATCAATGGTTTTAAACCGACCGAGAGGGATCGTCAGATACACTGAGGAGTTAAAATACAGTCAAAACTAAGATGTATAAGTATCTTTATAATACTTAAATTATATGCTTCATATATATCCTCCTAATATCAGTATTTTTTTAAGCAGCCAAAATATTCTTATATTATACTGGTACTTCGTGCAATACCACAATAATATCAATGGAGGTTTGCTCCTCTTTGAGTGTCAATCCTTTTTCTCAATCAGAGGTACACTAATGAGCTTAGATATGCAATACATAGATAAACTAATGAAATGTATTGGTGACATTGTTATAGTCTCCTTTCTTTTCTTTTGGCCCATTCCTTAGAAGGTCCTTTTTTTTTAACCGACCTCCCTTTCCTTTCCTTTCCTCCCGTTGATTTTACTATCTAACTGTTGCCAATGAAAACCAACCTGCCTATCCTTTATATCTTTATAACTACCTTTACTGTCATATTTGCTGTACCTCAATTCCATACTGGTAAAATGAAATATTAATATTTGTTTCTTCTAGGAAACTGATGTAAATGCGTGTAATATTTTCTATTAGTCAACCATGTTTTTCACAATGGAACTCTTTGTCCATCAATAACAGTTGACAATATACCATGTCCCATTCTTTGCGTTTCTGATCTAAACATGTGCCCTGGACCAGTTTCAGGCATAACATCTTGTCCTACAGGAACAGATCTGTGCGGAGATGGTACCTGTAAGCATAATTGTCAAGGAATTCAAAACATCTGCACTTGCTCCTCTCAGCCAGGGGTAGTTCGTTATGCATGTGCTGCAATGCTCAAGGTTAAGATCAGTCACTACAATCCGGCAAAGTCACAGCAGCAAACTTTGGCAGCCTGTTCACTTGCAATGAACCAAACACCACATCAATACACATGGGCTAATGGCTTTACTGATATTAACTCTACTATCAATGGTGTGTGGAATATTTGTACTGCACCAGAAAACATCATATTTCCGATTAAATGTAAGTATATATATATGCACTTTTTTTTAAAAAAAAACAACAACGGCTGGCTAAATGCTTGTATTGAACCAAGCACCTGTGGTAATTTTATATCTTGCTCTGTATTGGACATTCTATATACTGCTATTTCTTTGGGTTTTTTACAAAAGATGCCACGAAAAGGTAATTTATGGGATAGGATCTACACATGAAATCAGTATAGCACATATTTGTTCGAATATCTGATGATCTAGTATGTCTTTAATAGCTTATTTTGAAACAGGAAATAGTTTACCAAAAAGATGACGCCTATTGTCTCAAAAACATTGCCTTGTCTACATCCAACTATACTCTAAAGGGTTATAATGATCATTGGTTTGGCACCTTATTGGTTTTTTACACTGTCATTGTATCAGTTGGTCTTTCTGTATTCTTATTGATCCTCTCTTTAGATTATTATGGCTATGTGAGTAATAAGAAAAAATAAAGAGCTAAAAGACCAAAAGGAGTATACCAATAAAATAACCTCAGACTTGTAATCTTTTCTAGGTCACAGGCACTCCGTTTGGGCTTACATACAGTTCATATGCTTTGAGCAGTAAAGCCTTTTGCCTTTTATGGTTTCTGTCTACCAGCTGGTACTTGGTCCTTAATATTGTTCGTTCCAAACTAAGAAATTGTTTTCGACTTCGACACGATATTAAGACTGCGTCATTTGTTCAAATTGAACAACCACTCAAGTCAATCGAGATGTTTACACATGAGAGCATGACATCTAATTACATATTGCTTTACATCAAAAAACTAGAGGCCGTATTTAAAAGTATTCTTGGATTGGATTATCAAGTGTCCACAGTGCCTGTACTTTTGACTGCTATGAATGATCCGTTTTTTGAATTTCAGAGCACACGCTACATATGGAATGATACTCTGGCTAATTTTATACCGGCTAATATACAGCTATCTACCAACCCGCCCGCTCTTTTGGCCATGGTGTCCGGACTTTCAGAAGTAGAAGCGAGCAGGAGGCTAGAACTTTTGGGACATAACTTTATTGAAGTAGCCATCCCAAGCTTTGCAAAGGCCCTTTTAAAAGAGTAAGTAAGGCGCATAGATTGTTTCTTTAACATACTCATCACTACAGTTCTCTTTTAATTACATATAACACAAAAGGTTGACAGGGTTTTTTTACATTTACCAAATTATGATCCTTTGGTGTTACTTTTACTTGGCGTATTGGCAAATTGGCCTCTCGGACACATTTGTAGTTATTTTGGCAGCTATTGTCAAAGTTGTGATCCGTCTGCGCTCAGAACACCGGATCAAAATGATGGCTGAGAATATTATCAGCTGTGATGTTTTGCGAGACAGCCAATGGAAAACATTACCTAGCTCACACCTTGTACCAGGAGATGTGATTCAACTAAAGACAGGGCAGGTCATGCCTGCTGATGCTGTCCTTCTTCAAGATGATATCGTGGTAGATGAGAGCTCTCTCACCGGAGAACCTTTGCCGATTCGAAAAGTTCCTTTGCGCAACGATGAACAGTACTACTCTTGCGATACGTGTGGCGATGGGAAAATTCACAGCCTATTTTCTGGAACAACAGTTCAATACACTAGCCTTAAGCCACTAGCACTTGTGCTAGCAACTAGAACAAATACGGACAAAGGAAAACTTATTCAGAAAATACTTTACCCACAGAATGTATCATTTATATTCCACGAGCAGCTCAAATTGGTATTTTGTATTTTGATGGGCTATGCACTCATACTGCTTGCAGTGGGATCCTGGTGGTTAGGAGGAACAGGGATGACAGCATGGTTTTATGGGACTATCTGTGCAGCTCAGGTTATGAACCCTTTACTTCCAGGTATGTTTGGCATTTGGGTACGGCTGTTATGTGATTGACATTTTAATATTTTTTTTTGTTTGGGGTAAATTAGCAATGCTAGTGGTAGGACAGTCGGTGGCTGCTGGCCGATTAAAGAAAAAAGGAGTGTTTTGTGTAGATTTGCCACGAATTCTAATGGCGGGAAAGGTCCAGGTGTTCTGTTTTGATAAGACAGGAACTCTAACCAAGGAAGGATTGGAATACTACGGTATACACCCCTCCCACGGGACTAATGGAAATGAATTGAAAGAGCCTTCGTTTGGAGATATCATACACAATATCAACGAACTAAACGACACAGAGACGGGGCGCTTAATGAAAATTGGATTGAGCGGATGTCATTCCGTAACCCATATTGGAGCAGAAATTGTTGGTAATCCAGTCGACAGTGCTATGTTTCAAGCCAGTGGGGCACATCTTTGTGAAACAGGCGATATCCTGCTTTCTCCAAGCGGTCCCGATCACGTCCCTTCAACACTTAAAGTATTACGACGATTCGAGTTTGAGCATACGCGAGCGCTGATGTCGGTGGTAGTTATGGATACTAAGACGCAGCATATTCACATCTTCTGCAAGGGCGCTTTTGAGCGAATTGGGAATATCTGCTCAAGTACGTCTGTGCCTTCTGAGTTTGACAATGTAACATCGCACATGGCACGCGAGGGACTGTATGTGTTGGGAATGGCTCATATGGATTTAGGTTCAGCGATAGATAGCAGCCAGGTGGCCAGTTGGTCCCGGGACACGCTCGAGTCCAACCAATTGCAATTTCTGGGCTTGATCCTCTTCAGGAACTCTTTGAGGGATGATACTGCCAACGCTTTACATGCTCTGCAGAGTGGCTCTACTCGTACAGTGATGATAACTGGCGACAATGCACTGACGGCAGCAGCTATCAGTCGAACCTGTGGATTGATGCCTAGAGTCACCCAGCTAGTGCTAGGAGATGTAGAAAATTCAGAAGTAGTATGGAGGGATATGGATACAAACCGCCTTGTCAATTCAGATATCCTACAATTAGCTTCAAATGGTAACATAGAACTCGCTCTCACAGGGTATGCTTTTGACGCTCTTGTCGATACCAATAAGATACGTGACATACTATTTGAGACCCGTATATTCTCTCGTATGACACCAGCCAACAAACGAGTGTGTGTCGAGCTTATGATGGAGCGAAAGATCACAGCAATGTGTGGCGATGGTGGAAATGACTGTGGCGCTCTTAGAGCTGCCCACGTAGGTATCGCTATGTCTGAGGCAGAAGCATCGGTTGTAAGTCCTTTCAGTACACCCAGACGCTCTGTTCAAGCGTGTGTTGATCTGCTAATAGAGGGCAGAGCGGCCTTAGCAACGTCTTTTGCAAGTTACAAATACTTGATAATGTATGGTGAAACCATGGCAACCGTCAAGTTTTTTACATTTTATTACACAATGTCTTTCTCTCAGTGGAACTTCATTCTTGTTGATGCGTTTATTACTGTCTTTTGTGCATTTGCTGTCACACGCGCTGGTCCTGCCACAAGCCTGTCTCCTTACCGTCCTACTGCACGTATCCTTGGACCTCAAGTAATTCTCTCTGTTCTCGGGCAGCTGGTGATTAATGCAGGATTTCTGGTTGGCGCATTCATTTGGCTTTATACTCGCGATGATTTTTTTCGGTGCAATGAGTGGGATTCTCGTGCCACAGATGCATCGAAATGGTGGTTGCTAGGAGACAGCTTTGAAGCATCTCTCTTGACTTTTGTTTCGCTCTTTCAATTTGTCAATGCAGCCCTGATATTCAACTATGGCAATGTCTTTCGGCAGTTCTGGGCACGCAATTACCTGCTTATTATTGTTTGGGCTGTATTTGTGGCTATTGTGAGCTACTGGGAGTTAGCGGGTAAGTGCAGAGTTGAATAAGCCGACAAAATCCAATATTAAGGGCAGACAACGTATGATGATAGACCCGAATTTTTTCGGTTGCCTTGTGCGACTTAACTGTGGCAACCCAGATGTCCTAGTCTCTCTAGGCTACCCACGCCCTGACTTTCTTATCGAGCCTTACAACAACCCGCTTGGGCATAATGTGCTCCCAAAGGAGTTCAGATATCATTTATGGATTTACTCTCTAGTTAATATGGTAGTCACCAACACATGGGAATTAGTCGTTATTATGGGACCCGTACATAGCTGGTGGCAGCAGCACAGCTTGACCCGGCGGTTTAAAATTAGAATTTAGATAATTTGAAAAGTAATGTAAGATGCACGGTCCCTTATCGTGTATCCTAATCCGTACGAAAATAGAACGGATGTTGTTTCAACAATAAACAGAAAATAAAACAGCACTGGTTAATAGAGTAAGGAAAGGGAGATACTGGAAGCCGTTTATCACATTAATCTCCCAGTATCTCTCTATTTCTTTTTTAAAAAATTTAATCTTAGACAGTTCTTCCCTTGTACAAGAATATTTTAAAGTCTCGTGCACTCCGATGCTCTCTTGCTGAGATTCTATACATGTGAAGAACTTTATATGTATATAGGACTTGAAGAACTACAAGGTCCTCAATCAAGTTCTAGTCCTAAGATATGAAAATTTAGTTATAATATATATATATATGTATATATAAGTGATAAAGAGTGAAACAAGTATAGAATAGTGATTAAAATTGAGCTTGTCGCTTATAGGTAACTAAAGTATATTTTACAAAACAATGGTTTGATATAAATATTTCATGTTAACAAGCTGTTATTAGAAATAGAGTGTTGCAATTAAAGAATTCAAATACAAATACGTATATATATATATATATATATATATATATTGGTTAAGTAATTTGAACCAATATTAGGTATATAACCTTTCAAGGTATTTCATATATACATACATGGGTTACAAAGAACAATAAGTCTATAGTTTGAATGGTGTGTTACAAAATTAAATCAAGAAATTTGATATTTAATACATTAAGAATTGATTTACGGAAACCGTATATATATATATATATGATACAAAGCTAAACGAACAAGAAAAAAGAAACAAACGTCTTTAAAATGAGCAAGATGTGTTTAAAGCATATTACTCTGTAGATCCAAATCAAATAACTTTTTCTTTCTTTCTCTTTGGAGGGGTTTAAGTAGCGAAACAGTATAGCATGATATGACGTTTTTATATTTCCGTTCAATTCATGCAGAAAATGTCACAAAAATAAGCCACTATGAGCAGTAAAGTATTAATATATGTATATTTAATGGCATATCATATTGTGAAAGGCTTTGTTATATCGATTCTACAGCAAACAAATGGCGTGTTTCGATCTGTTTCTGATAGATAATGTCTTTATTTAAAGTATTGCTAATGTATTTGGTAGCTCAAATACAATATATAGTGTATATCTTTCCTGGCCTACTCTTACACAGTAGCAACATCAATACTCACAAGCCAATTGGTGCTAAAGTTCTCCTCATCAATCCATTTTAAAGGTATTACTTTTCTCTTTCTGTCTTGTAACCAAATATGGAGTTTGTCGGATATACAAAGCAAGCACTATATTAAACAGCTTTTATATAGATATAGATATCTTTAATCCTTAAAGACAAGTGAATGTGCTATCGATATAGAAGTGACTAAGTCTATATATTTTTGGAGTTTGTACGATTGTGGGTGTATGTGGGTTGGGTGTGTGTTGGGCATAATATCTGATTTTATCTTCATTTACCTCTAAAGACTGAATTTCTTTGGTCAGCTGATTTTGGCAATGGCCGGAACACTTTTTTTTTCTTGTGACCGAAGCAATCGTTCATTTTCACTCCCCTCTATTTCAGAAAGTATTTAAGCGACCATCAAATTTCCATCAACTAAATCTTATTATTCTCCTTCAGAAATTTTATTTTATATATAACAAATATGGCTCCCCACTCAAGAGTTGCTATCGTCGGTGCTGGTGCTGTCGGTGCCTCAACTGCATACGCCCTTATGCTCAAGGATGTCGCCTCTGAAATCATGATTGTTGATGTTGTTGCTGATATTGTTAAGGCCCAAACCCTTGATCTCAGTGATGCCGGCCTCATCAGTTCAACAAAAATCCGCGCTGGTACCAACCAGGAGGCCGGTCAAGCCGACATTATTGTTATCACTGCTGGTGCCAAGCAGAAGGAAGGAGAGGCTAGAACTGAACTTGTCGGCCGCAACTACAAGATCCTTGAAAGCATCATTGGTCAGATGCAACCCATTCGTCCTGACGCAGTTATGATCTTGGTTTCCAATCCTGTTGATGTATTGACAGCCATTGCTCAAAAGCTATCCGGCCTCCCCCCTAACCAGGTTATTGGTTCCGGCACCTTCCTTGACACCTCCCGTCTTCGTGTCTTTTTGGCCGAGACTCTTCATGTAAGTACAATAACAAAAGAAGAAGAAGAAATTATTGGGTTGGGATTAGATTGGGAAATAAGGTGGCTGATTGTGGTTTAATGATTATAGGTAAGCCCCAATGCTGTTCACGCCTACGTCTTGGGTGAGCATGGTGAATCGCAAATGATCGCATGGAATGCTGCAAGTGTTGGCTGCAAACCCCTCTTGTCTTTCCCCGAGATCCAAGCACTTGATAAGGAAGAGGTTCACCAGACTATTCGTGGAAAGGCCATGGAAATTATTCGTCTCAAGGGCTCGACTTACTATGGCATTGGTGCCTGCGCCGCTGACCTGTGCGAGTCCATCATCTTGAACAAACTTGATATCCGCCCCCTCTCTGTCTTTGTTGAAAAGTACGGTGCTGTTTTGTCTATGCCTGCCAAGCTTGGCTGGAACGGTGTTGAGGATGTTTATGAGATTCCTCTCACTGATGAGGAGGAGGAACAGTTCGCTGCAAGTGCCAAGGCTATGAAGGAAATTGTGGAGGGGCTTAACTAGACTAAAAATCTCATCTTATCTATCTCTTTTCGTTCTCTTTTCGCATGTAAATTTTTTCAACTATTTTCATATTTTTTAATCTCCCAGTGGCATTTTGTCCCACATATTCTACCAACTAAAAAAAAGTTTCTTTTTTTTGTCTCAATAATGACACGTTCTGCTTTGTGTCACCACAAGGAGGGTCTCTGTATGAGCTGATGTTAGGCAATGGTGAGTGGATTATTATTATTACTTTTTGCAAATTTTCAACATTTGGATACACCAATCAGTTCCTTTATCATGGCTGTTGTATAATTGGTCAAAGATAACAAATGATATATTAACCAGTTGTGAGGAACTTCTTGTGTAATTCATCACTTTTACATGGTCCCGTTCGAGTACCTCGACTATTGTTCTACAGCTTCGGTTTATCTCAACTTCCAATTATGATCAGAATACTACACATTCTTTTTTACTGCGAATCCAAAGTGTACAAAAATTAAACATTTATGTAACAAAGAAATATCACAATCTCGCTTTTTTTTTAAAAAAAAATTACAAGCACCACACAATACAGACCGTATTTCTGGGTCATTCAATTTTGACCATCAGGGTCTTTGGATTTGAGCTTTTATATATTTTTATAACCTAAAGGAAAAAAAAGTGATTTTTTGTAAGAGTAAAGAGATATCATTAACAATAAATAATCATACTAATGAAATGATAATAATAAAAAGATATATTCCAATATACCTCTTTGTGAAAAATACAACACTTTTACTAACAATATATTAATATTATATATAAGGAGTGACCACAAGAATAATCCATGATTTTAAATTCCGACTATACTTCTTGTAATGCTCCTGTTTTTTTTTCTTAGATTATCTTGGATTATTTAAACATGGCACTTTAAAAAGCAAATAATAAAAGTACATATAACCAGATGTAGACTATTATCTGGTAAGAAGAAGCCTTGTGATTGATAAGTTCACAAGAACATTATATTTACCGTAATAGCATGCCCAACAGGCTAATTAGTGTCAAAAGCAATACAGCATCTGATTTATGAAAATTGCGTTAAACTCAAATCTCTTCTTGCTGCATTCTAAAGCTTTACTGTGCATTTTTTTCTTTCAAAAAGAAAAGAGAAAATAGTCCTCTGCTTCCATACAATATTCATGAAGACTACCATGATATATCGTATGTCGGACTCATATGAAATGCAAATGCAAATACATCTAATGAAAAATGGCTTTTTTTTTATGGTTACTCGTTATAGCCTATATTTAATTTTACGTTGTTTTACATGTTACACTACAATGTATTAAGAAGAGAAGTATGAATCCTTGGTGGTTTATCCAATAATAAAAGCAAGATATCTTTATTTGCAAGGCATTTGAAGTCTAGGATTGGTTTATCTTTAACAAACCAAGAAATCGTTTCTTGATAATGACTACTACACTTCCAATATACTATTCTAATTTAATGTGCTTAATTTTCTTCATAGTGTATCTTTAGTACGACACACCGATATCTAGGTTTTTTTTTTCAAATAAAAATACTTTATAACAAACCAAATATTTTCATAAAGAGCTATAAGTGTATCTATGCCTTAATTAGTACGTTACTACTTCAATTTTTCAAAGGCTTTATGAATAATTTTGCTGATATACTATACGTTATTTTATTTCTATTTATCCAATTCCAAATGAGTAACAACAGCACCAACAGCACTAACCCTGCTGTCAACAAAACAAGCCTTCAGAGAATGATGGATAGCAGATCGGCAATATGCACTAGCAGCCAATTAGCCTTATCACAAAATATGGAGCTTTGGTCTGAGAATACTTCCAAAGCATATTCTGCCAAGCAATAAGAAATGACAGTATATATAATATTGCTCGTTATAAAAAAAGGTATTAAACGTATTGCTTTTAGATTTTAAGCGGCAATTGTGCCATGAGAAACTAAGCTTTTTATTGATGTGTAGTGTCACAAAGAGAGGGCGTAAAATAAAGAGGATGGAAGACTGCTCAGAGATTTTATTAGACAGATTATTAGTATTGTTATGACAAAGCAATATCCGACATATGTAGTAAACATAAAGCTTTTTAGTGGAATCCTAATGGTCTAGTAAGAGAACCACTTTTCCGCGCTTGCCTTGATACCATGAATACGACACGCGCACCAGATGTTAAAAAACGATACCCGTGCATGTCGAAATAGACTTTGCTTTCTTATCGGCAATGCAAATCTATGCCAAAGTCAAATAGTTCTTGGAATGCAATTGTCCGATTTTTCTCTCTTTGGAGCTAGATAATCAAAGTGCTACATAATTTATTGCTCTGGTGGCAGCCAAGACCTTTGAAAAAAACGGCACGGAAAGATCGAGTACGGATAGTCAATCCATCGTCGTCAAACTGAAGTCAGTGCTGTCGGTGCATTGGCCATGAATTTATTCTTAAGATTCTATAATGAAAATGAGCTGTATTATTCAAACAATATCTCTTTCGAACCATTGCTAGTAGCTATTTGGCGAACAAAATACTTCTCATTTCGTTATAGCAAATACCGCCGTTCGACAAAAAGTTCATGAACCTCCACAAGTACTAGTGAGAAAGACATAACAGAGTCCAACAATCAAGTTATACATTAGCATAAGGCATATATAAATTTTATTTATTCATCTTTACATTCATTACTAATGTAACGTCTTTTATATTGCTAATCTCTGCTACAGAAGTTTGTTAGCAACATCTTTCTGTCTGTAGACCTTGGTAATGAAAGGGCTTACAAACGTGATGAGTTTTCTTCGAAACAAGTTTTCCGGATAGCCCCTCATTATACTACTTTATACAAAATAAAAATCTTGGAACCTTTACTAGCTTTGCCAAAAAAAAACTAGTAAAAATGTGATTATGTATCTTTATCGATTAATCCAGATGATATCTTACTCTTGGTAAATTGCGCCTTCATACCATGATTATTTATTGACAAACACGCAAACACACACTAACACTTGGTGTAAGCATAGTAAAAGTTCGAAATTTTGAACTTTTAGTCTGTTCACACCAAGTAATAATGAAGGATAAGTAGTATGAGTGGGTAAAATGACGCAAGAGGTAGAAGTATGTTATGAAGGTGTGGATGTAGATGAATTACAATGGAAAGGTGTACGATGCGTATATGCAATAAATGTAGGGAAGAAACTGGAAAAGGAAATGGGAAGATGTATATATGTAAAAAGGGTAAAGGTGCCAAAAGCAGAATATATGAGGAGAATATAAATAAGTAATTATAGTAAACTCAAAAACCGGCTCACCAAATGTAAAATTTGTACTCCGCAACTTATATCTTCTTGAGTTCTTCTTCTTTCACAATAGTTCTAGTACACACTAGGACGTCTGTTAGAGAACTACAACATACTATGCTAGTACCCATATATATATAGTATTAATAAAAAGTTATATGAAAAAAAGTTGAAATTTTCAGTGAGCCGGTTTTTAGGTATGGGCCAAAAAATAGAGTAAAGTATTCTTTCTTCACTTCCAATGCAGAGCTCCTTGTCACACTTTGCATACGTAATATGTTTTGTCATTGCATCACAATCCTGCAAAAACATAGGTATATTATATTAAATTATTCAGAGTTTTCTTCGCTCTTTTGCTCAAATTTAAAATCAAATGTCTCCTATCTCGCACGAAAAAGCCCTATCAATTGCAGTCGAACTTAGACACGGAAAGTCTACCGCTCAAGTAGCGAAGATTGCTGGTGTTTCGCAGTCTACTGTCAAGAGATACGGACAAAAATATGACATCTCTACCTCAGTTCCTGGGGGTAGATCTGCCCAAATTGACGAAAGGCTCGCCCACCGCATTATTTATGCATTCTTAAATGAGGAATTTGTAACAACTACACAAGCCGAGAGACAATTATGTGGTGAAGGTTTTGCTGTGAAGGTTCCAGCAATCTGTACCTTGTTGAAAGCATCTGGGTTTACCTGTCGCCTGGAATCGCCTCCGAAGGTGAAAACAAACCCCGCGATCCGTAAGCAGCGCATGGAGATTGCCAGGAACTACATAAACTTCACCGTGGAGGACTGGAAGTGTGTAGTCTTTTCAGATGAGTGTAAGGTGAATCGCTTTGATTCTGACGGAAAGAGGTGGAGATGGAGGTTGAAGAAGTCGGCCCTTAAAAAATACAAGGGTAAGGCTTCCCCTGTTCGCGCTGGAGGACATGTCATGGTTTGGGGATGCTTTTCGTCTAGAGGTCACGGAGAGCTTCTTAAGATCAAGGAGACTATGACAAGTCAAAAATATGTAGAAGTTTTGGAGCAGGGCTTGCTCGAGACCTTGAAGAAGCAAAACTTCAGAAAATCAGAAATCATGTTTTTGCATGATAACGCTCGGTCGCACACTGCAGCCAATACCAAGAAGTGGTTGAAGACAGAGGGGATTGAGGTCATTGATTTCCCACCGTTTTCGTCTGACCTCAATCCCATCGAAAACCTTTGTGTATGCCCAAAGGGTAAGCTGTACCAGCATGAGGAGCCGGCCAGCTCAATGAAGGAACTGTGGGCTCGATTCCAGAATGAATGGGATAGTATCCCAGAGGAGACGTGCACGAATCTGATTGCATCCATGCAAAGCAGAATGCATAAATGCATTTTGAAGAAAGGGTATTTTATTACCGAAAAATAATAAAAAAATACCTTTACCTAAAAAACCGGCTCACTGAAAATTTCAACTTTTTTTTTCATATAACTTTTTATTAATACTATATATATATGGGTACTAGCATAGTATGTTGTAGTTCTCTAACAGACGTCCCAGTGTGTACTAGAACTATTGTGAAAGAAGAAGAACTCAAGAAGATATAAGTTGCGGAGTACAAATTTTACATTTGGTGAGCCGGTTTTTGAGTTTACTATAAATGAAAAAGGTAAAAATGTGATATTATATAAAAGTGATTTTACGAAAAGAATGGTCGTGGAAAAGGGAGAGGGGAACGATCGGGAAAGAAGAAAATAAATCATGGTGTGCGAAGCTGGAGAACACACAGCACCCGTGTCAAGAGTAAGGGACAGCTTGGATCACTTTCGGGACTGCTAAAAGATTAAAAGAAATTTAAAGCCAACGTCGGAGTAAATGGCTCCGAGTAAAACAAGGGAACCTTTGTTTCTTTCTTTATCCTATCTACTAGAGAAGCATAATGATTGATATGGTTTCTATTATATATACATGTTTTGTATGATACTTCTCCTAACAGATATATCATATAAAGTGTTGATTTGCCTACATAAAACCTTTGTTATATGCTGTGGCTTATATAAACATCTGTGTGCCACAACAAGTATACTTTTTGGAACTATTGTATTATAGAATCGATAGTAGGATAATGCATATGAGCTATATAGGATAGTCTCATAAACCAATTCATGCCCATGCTTTTCATAAAACCCAAGACTATCCTTAGAGTGAATGTTTTCAAAAGTGCTCCAGGTTTGTTCCCTTCTCGATGTTTGAAATAAAATCGAAAGAAAATCTGTAACCAAATTTGACTTTCCACGAACATAAAGCAAATTGTTTGGCTGTGATTTTTTGGTCCCAGAAATATATTGTCTTTTAAGATGTATGCTTTCTTGCATGCAAATCTTTTTAACAAGGAAAGAAAAATCAAAGACTACTAGCTTAAAAACAAAAGCAGATAAGCATACAGACGTATTATATATATCTATTTAGTGCTTTGGTAAAAACATGCTAAAGAATAATACGTGGAACTAAAGTCTAATCAAAGAAAACCCAATATTTTACATGAAGCTCGGCCTCACAAAAAGTCACATCGCTGTTAATGCTTCTGTCTTTCTTCAGACTTTTCTATTAAAACTTGGGTTGTATCGTATATTACTATTACTATTATTATTATTATTATTATTGTTGTTATTGTTATTGTTATTTATATTAGTATTTATATTCGTGCTCTTATTTCTAACATCTGCAGGTGGGATCTCCCTCGACAATTAAATTACAATAGGTATAAATATAACTAAATTTAGATGCTGTACATAGAACACTTGATTGAGTCAAGAAATAAGCAGCTCTGGTTCTATCGGCAGCCCCCCAACCCCTTGGACTTCAACCCCCGCTGAATCATATGAGTGCTTTCTTTCACTCTTTTTCTTCCATCTATTTTCTTCATGAGTTCTGTATCATCACACGAAGGCAGCGATAAAGACGGTTTTTTTCATAGGAGTTTCCCAGAGGGGCTTGCATCTCGTTATGCATATCTTCGTAAAACAGATTTACTTGACACATTTGAATCTAACACCAGACCTCGCGACACTGATGCCTGGAGTGTGGCTGCAACAGTAGATGACCAAGAGTCAGTTATGAGCGGTCATGGAGGCAATATGAGCATAGCAGGAAGCATAAGTAGAGTCACAACAGAAGGGAAAGAAACAGACGATGACAGGTCCACCCTGGATGGAAGCGCCCGCAATGGTGTCAGCTCGAGTAATGAACCCGCTCTTTCAATCGATAATCCAGGAATACGTTTAGAGACATTCCGTGATCTCGACATGCCATCAGCATTCCATGATAATGCCAGTGTAATTACTGGTGATGATGAAGAGAAATACCCTCGCTCAGTCGCTGCAGAGTTTGGTGACGATGGTACACGTTCTGCTGCTGGAGACTTTAGCCACATTGACAGCAGTGATGACGAGGAGCGCACGGCCGACTCTGGGTACCAAGGAAATAGTCAGGCACCTGTTGCACTTAACGATGCTATATCAGCTCCTCCTCAGCCTCAACCTAGCTTTGCATCGGCTACGAAACCTTATACAACCTTGATAGAAGAAAATGAGATGCTGAGAGAACAACTTCAGAACCTGGAACGCAGCCAGAAACAACAAATTGAGGTTATTGCAAACTTGAGGACATTGACGGCGTGTGGTGAGGAGGTGTATGGAAGAGCACTTCATATGTCCCATGCAACACCAGAGGAGCAGGATCGGCTAGGTCGTGAAACAACGGGTCTATATCTTCCTAGCACATCTTCCTTCCCAGATGCCGCAGATTATTCTTGCCAGCAAAACAATGGCTATCTCGACATGGAACGTAACGCACCTTTGTCCCACATTGTCAATGCTCGTACTCTCACTCAACGACTGGCACAACTTGCCGAATGGCTTACTCGTTTCGTCCAAGATGCTGTCGACCAAGACAAGCGAATAACTCTTGAACAATCTCTCTTTACACAAATTGTCGAGTCTTATCTGAGCTCACTTCCTTTTGGAACCGAAAAACAGGAATTGCTTAACACAGCTTACTCGGATCAAATTCGGCGATTTCAGAGCACACTTGGTTCCAACTTTTCAAAATGGTACAGACGACAGACTGTCCAATCGCTCTCCTTAAATCCTGCTACAAAGGAGTATCTTGGAGAGATGCGTACTCAAATGACAAAACATCTTGAAGATCTGCTGGCAAGCATGAGAAAGACTACAGACGATCAAGGCGATGTAATTCCAGATCGACAGCTATGGGACGATATCCTCGATCTCTGCATGGTCTTGTCATTGGAAATTCACGGTGGAGATGCTGATGTTTATGCAAAACCAATTGCGGCCGGGAGCAAATACGATGAAGAAATCATGGCGGTTGTTGGAGACAGCACCGCAGACAAGAATAAGATTGTCAAGCTTGTCGTTAGTCCACTTTTTATTGATGAGGATGAGGTTGTACTTCTTCCTGCACGCGTATTGTTGGAATAGTTTCAGTGTATTGAGTATAAGAGAGAAAGAAAGACAGACAGAAAGAAAAATAAAATAAAGTAAAATGAAATGAAATACTTGCAAAGGAGAAGTATTTACAACATCGATGGGCAGAAGAGACCAAAGAGGAAATCAAACAGATGGTTTTTTTTGTAACTCTCCTGAGCCCGTGTCCTCTTCTGCTGCTTGGTTCCCCTTTCTGTTCAAACGAAAACTTTTCATTTGTATTGTTATTTTTGATTTTTCTGTTATTATTTTTTCCCTTGTAGTTCTTTTTCTTTTCCCCTTTCTTACTCGTTTGGTTTAAGATGGTCGCTCTAGCAACTGTATCAGTTCTCAGTCGACGGTGGCGCCCTCCTACACTCTGTTCTATTACTCTTGAACAGCATCCAAATATATTTCAAATTGTATGTGCTAAATTCTAGCTGTCACTTTTTTTTTGAAAAAAAAAGAAAAAGAAAATAACCATAGCTGATATTCGTCTTGCTCTATTATCATTTGGTCATCAAAGGTACCTAAAGACTTGTTTGACGCCCGAATTGACTCACTTGATATATTTGTCCGAACCTCATGCCCGAGTATACATCTTGAGTACTATGTTTATGTCTTTACGGTTGCCTGTGTGGTATGTTCTGCTGCGTTTTCTCTTGCTGCACGCTCTGCTGGTATATCAATGTGGTATCCACTCCTGCTTCTCTTGATCCCAGCCGGTCTTAATATATGGACAAACCAGCGCCGATCTGGATTAATTGACCGGATAAGAAGTGTAAGGACGAAATTCTTTTCTTCTTTTCGCTTTATTTTTCTATTAATTCAGTCGCAAAAGGTCTTCAGTCTACTTAATATTTCTAAAATCCAAACAAACATAAAAACATATCTGATAGTTTGAGCGTGCTCTAAAAAAGACCCTCAAGGAGTTTACTAAACTTGACACCGCTGCACACCGTATCAAATGGTGTGTACGTCGTCCTAACGAACGCGACCCTTTAACTCCAGCCGAAAGAGTTGGCTTATTTTGCCTTTTGATCGAGGTAGTGGATGTAGACTCTGAGATGGAGCAAGAATCTCTACCACCTTACCAAGCAGCAGTCGATTTCACAAATTCGAATACAATGAATGGAATATTGGTACCGTCAGACTGTCTCCCTCCTAGTTACACCGAGATTACTCCGCTACCCTCAGCTGTTTACCAACGTCCTCTCCCTTTAGTGACCCCAGCATCAAGCACATCACCAATAGCACCGATTCCAGCGCAATTGTATCCTAGAAGGCATGAACCTGTTGCTTTGATGCAGACTCCCGTTGCTTCCCATAATCAATATTAGCAGAGAGCAACAACATTCATGAAGTGTAAAACTAGTCTGCGAAAGTCTTTGAGAAAATACGAATGTTAAATTAGTTTGGAGGGACAGGTTTTTATCTCTTTATATATATACTTTACTGCTAGTAATAGAGAGAGAGAGAGAGAGAGAGAGAGAGAGAGAGAAACAGGATAACTAGTCGTGGATGATCCACACACACAAAACATTCATGGTGTAAGGGGGTGGATGAAGGAGAGAGATTTCCCTTTCATATTTCCCATTCTTCTTCAACATATTTCTTTCCTTTGGACTGTAAAAACAATCGTATTACTGAAGACAATACAAGAACATGTTCTTGTCCAATGTCATATTTTAATTAATTAATTTATGTTTAGTTTATCCATGTAGAATGTATATTTCTTTATTTTGTTGTTTTCCTGTTTTTTTTTTTACATTTTAACATTTTATCACATAAACACTAGAGAAAAATTAGAACAGACAATTATGCAAAGAAGTCCGAGAATGCTATCTCCAGCACAAGCAATATCTTGTTTTATTAATTTGTTCATTTTCATTGAGCTATATATCTCTTTTTAACCCTAAATTTATTACCCTTATTTTTATATCTTACAGTTAAAAAAATAAAGCTATTAGATCTCTTAATACAAAATTCTTAATCTCAAACAGTCGAGAAAATTGGAGGACTATTGTGAAGAAATTATATATCGAAATCCAAACTATTTTGGGTCAATATATTTGCATACACAGATATGAAACATAAAAGAAAAGGGGGAGTTCAACTATTAAGTCAATTATATATAAAAATTGGCTAATGCTCTATTAGAATATAGGATTCCCAAAACATGGATTCGAAAAACAATATCCAGACAATTTATAGCCACTTGAAATTCAATCTTTTTTTTAAAAAAAAAACCCCCTTAATGAAACCCTTTTTTATTTATTTAAAGTTTAATACTTTATCAATCAATTAGCCCTTGTTTGATAAATTAAACTGCAAGAGGTACCCAAAACTTACTCTTCTATTGTTTGTCTTTTTCGTTTCTATCCCCTATTTTCTCCTTTACTTTATTTATAAATGTCTACTCACATATCATATCCAACAATCTTACGTGGGCAATATTTTCTGACAGGGAACTACCTTTTTTTTTGCCAGACTAATTTATTTATTTATTGTAGTTATTTACCTGGGATCTAATGTATTTTCTTTACTCCTTCAGGGCAAAAACGATGTGTCCTGAAATTCTTAATTCAATACTTAGATATGAAACCTTCTTTTCTATTGTACACTCATCTCATAAGAACTATTAATCAGTTGTATTAAAAAATCATCATTTTTCTGGGAGATAGCAAAGAGATTACTTTGGTCATTGCAGATTAGCAATTTGAAACCGTGCTAATAAGTACTTTCTGGAATTTACTTCAATAGGAGCCCTATTAATAAAGAATTTTACTTTTAATAGAAAAGAGAAGAATAGGTCTTTTGGTCGAGGCTGTAGGCCAAAGACCTATTCTTATTATTTGAGGAGACAGAGACTCTGACTGTGTTACCATCATCTCTTTATTTATACAAAATTTTCAGAATAAATTGTTGCTATACATATTCTGTACTCATTATCATAGTTAAGCGAATGATATTAAGAAATTAGTAAGAGGGAAGGGAAGGAAGGGGACAGCCTGAGTCTCTGTCTCCTCGAATAATAAGAATAGATCTTTGCCCTACGGCCTCGACCAAAAACCTATTATTCTTTGTTTGACAGATACTCTGACTGTGACTCCAGAGGACTACGAGAAGAAGAAGAGAAGGAGAAAGAAGAAGAAGAAAGGGCTAGCACGGAAAAGTTGCTGACAGTTTGTCAGAACAGGCGGTAAAATGTGTCAAACACAGTGGAGAGAGCCCAAGAACAATGCATAAGAATGTCGTTGATGGAAGCACCTGCAGCCAATGCAAAAGTGGAACCTAGGGCTCTTGCCCTGGGACGTGCCATACTAGCAGGTCGTGAAATTTTATTCATAACAAACCAGATATGCTTGGATATCCACTCGGCACCAATAGGGCGGTTGGGGAAATATACACCACGTACAAGCCGATAGATGCGAACATTTGAGAGAACAGGGTGTGGACGTACACAGGCGATGCAAGCAATCCGAAATTTGTAGGAGTTGTAAGTGGCAACGGGACAGAGGAGAGGGTCACTGTGAGGTTGAATAGCCATGACACGTTCAATATGACGACCAGAGCGTTTCTCCTTGGGTCACCTTTCTCCACTAAAGAATAGTTTTACTGAAATTCATATAACCGATACAAGTTAATACCAATTAACGTTTTCTGACATGAGTACCCCTGAGGGATTGAACCCACAGGACAGGGCACACACGTTATGGCAAGGTAACTTACCTAACCGTGCCCCGTCTACAACACTATGTCCAAAGAACAAATCTTTGCACATCTTCACTGCTCCCAACTTTGACAAGAATATGATTGTAGATCTTGCATCCGCTGCATGGGCTAGTACTATCCATCCAATGAGGGTCTTGTTTAATCTCAGAAAACTCGTTTCCGCAAGGGACGTGGATGATGTTCTCTCTGACCGTGTAGGCCGGATGACCTCTCTCACTCTACGTTATACTCGCTCAAAAGACCTTCTGACAGAAGCCTTCTTTACTGACCCTTCCTCCCGCACCAAAGCAACGTCTGACGAGTTGACCTATCAGAACACCCGAATCATTGCTACACTAAGATTGCCTTCTAACTGCTACATTGTTAAGGTTAATCTTTACCATATTAACGCCTGCGATCCTAGCACAGATATTCTCAAGCCCATCGAAAATGCATTCCGGCCTTTTGGCAAAATCGTTCAGCTGAGAGCTTATCTCTCACACCGTGGTACTTTCTATGGCGAAGCCACTATCTATTTAGACACCTCTGAACAAGATGAGGTCCGCAGTCTCCCAAGCCGTCTCCACCTTGGTGGGTCTCTTTCCTGCCTTGCTGAGCTCCGCTCCACCGATATCACACCTGTGTGTGGATACTGCCGAGAGGAAGGACATTATCTACGCTCCTGTACAAAACGTTCTCCTCTCGCACCTCGCACCTCACACCTTGCTGCCAATGATGCAGTGTTCTTGGTCACGCCATAGACAGTTGCGAGTGACCTACTCATCCAGACAATATCGAAGCCAAGCGCGCTACCCAAGAGCAGCAGCAGATTGCACTTGCCAATACTGCATCCCTTCCAACACACCAATACTTGGTCGCTATGATAGAGACACCTGTACCACCAGCCACATCATAAACCTTGACTCCTACCCATGCTTCACCCATTCTCAACCCACCTGCTACACACACAATATGTCGCTGTTCCATATCAGCGATGAATACTCGCGCCATGACGACCAGAAACCAGACCCCACACAACGACAATCCCCCAATTCCATTTGATACAACTATGTATGACCCAACTGGCCGTGGGCTCAATGCCAGCAAGCACTCACCAGGCACCTGAGGCCTACATAGTTGCGATGATGGCATTTACCCAGCAATTTACACTGATGACGAACTTTGACAGTCTCTTTTTAAGGCTACTCTCCAGACTCGCACCCAAGGTGCACTGCCGTATACTGATCTGGATGGTAACACACCTATGACTGATGGAACTGAAAAGTCTAACCGCTCAAGTCAACCAAGTTCATAAATGACTGTACAACATCTTCGCATAGGAACCTTGAACGTTCAAGACCTCCTCTCTACCATCAATAACCCGCAATCCCCAAAACTTCTTTTCATCTGACACCTTCGTTCCCTTTCCCCTTCCCTTTCATTACTTGCTCTCCAAGAGACTCATTTACTCCCTATACATCACTCATCTATTCACCTTACATTCCAAGCACAGACCAGCCTATGGACCCCACATTGTGGCCTTATCTCTTTCGATCCCCTCCTCCAATTATCTCAACTGCATGTTTCTCCTGACAACCGTGCACTCGTTGTCAAGGTTACATATACCGACCATCATGTTAATCCTTTTGTAGTTGTGGTCATTTATGCACCCAACATTCCTTCCCACTGGCGCACTTTCTTCTCCTCATTAGCACGCACTCTCTCTACTGTCATTTCTTCCCTGCCCGCCTTTATTCTTGGGGACTTTAACTGTGATCTTAGCCATCGTTGCAGCCATCCACCAGACTGGAAAGGATACATACAGGGTAATTGCATGAATGCCATCACTAATTCTTCTTCACCCCCACTACCCACTTTCCACAGCTCTCTCACCCGCACACACATCGACTACATTTTCCGTCCACACAGCATTGTTACCAAACGCCCTGATGTAACATTTATCAATTCTTTATGGACTGACCACTGCCTTTTTGCTGTCTCTATTCCTTTCTCTCGCCCACCAGGTCCTGGAGTTTGGAGGTTTAATACGCAATATCTCCTGCATGATGAATTTGATGCTCTCATTACTGGCTTTCTGGATAAGGCCAACTCTTTCCTCTCTCCTGACATGTCTCCCAGTTCTCGGTGGGATCATATTAAACATGCTATCAAACAGCTTGCCCTAACATACTCTAAACGAGTTCAACGTCAACTCCAAAATCAGGAACGCCATTTTCATCGTGCTCAAAATGAACTTGCAATTCATACTCGTTCTCCTCAACTTCTCTGCATTGAACATGAGCTCACCACCATACAATTGTCTCAGGCATCCACCTTGGCTGCCAGATCTGGTGCTAAATGGTGTGAAGCTGATGAGACTTCTTCAAAATATTTCTTTTGTGTACTCAAACAGTGAGCCGCTGCAAAAACCATCTCCTCTCTTGTCGACCCTGTTACTGGCATGATCTACACCTCTCCCACGGATTTGCTTGGCCATACTTGCTCTTTCTACCAATCCCTTTACTCGCCAGAACCCATTGACTATCCTGCTGCACACTCTCTTATTGACAAATTCCCACCTTCTGCCCATCTGTCTTCCACTGACTCTGCCTACCTCATTGCTGATGTCATCTTGGATGACATTCTGTCTGTCCTTAAAGCCACCCCCACCAACTCTAGTCCTGGGATGGATGGTTTGCCCTATCCACTGTGGGCTCGGCTCTTCTCTCACCTAACGGTCCAAAATCTTGCAGTTCAAGTCTATAATGATGCAATGCATGGTGTTTTTCCTCCATCTTGGCTAGAAACCATACTTGTTCTGCTATCAAAAGCCGGTGACACTACCTCTCTCCGCAACTGGCGACCCATATCTCTTATAAGCTGTGATGCTAAGTTGTTTACCAAAATGCTCACGTCCCGTTTATGACATGGTATCGACACACTCATAACACCATTCCAAACGGGTTTTATTGCAGATCGTTTTATTGCTGACAATGGTTTGCTGACATGCCTTGCCATGTCACATGCACAAATAACCCAAGACCCATGTGTTGCCCTTCTTTTGGATCAGGGGAAGGCCTATGACCATGTCCACCCTGCATATCCATCTTGTCCTGGCCAGAGCCGGTTTCCCCACAATTTTTGTTGACTCCATCTGTGATCTCTTCTTCTCTACTCAAATCTACATGAATGTGAATGGGCACATATCTTCTTCTTTTCTACAAAGCCAGGGGCTACGTCAAGGTGATTCTCTCTCCCCCTTGCTGTTTAACCTGGCCTTCAACCCTTTGCTTAGATCTATTCTTGCTTCTCCTGCCATATGTGGTTTCCAATTTCTGGTTCCGCCATCTCTCTCATCGTCCTCTCCTGAGCTCTCACCACCTCCACTCAAACTTCTTGCCTATGCCAATGACCTTCTCGTCTTTCTTTCTCTGCCTGCTGAGATGAGTGGCCTACTCAACCTTTTGCATATATTTGGCTTAGCCTCTAATGCAAAAGTCAATCTCCATAAGACAGTTGCTGTTGCTATGTCTGGACAATTTCATCCGGATTGGGGCCCTGTATTGGATGCTGCTGATATTCACAGTCAACATGACCATCACTCCGCCACTGCCATCCGTTATCTAGGTTTCCCATTGAGCTCACATCTGTCCCAGCTTGAGACCTTCCGTGCGGCTTTACTGGGCAAGCTTAGAAACCATTGCATGCTACTTTCTCAAAGATGCTTGTCCATTCGTGGTAAAAGTATTGTGGCAAACTTACTTCTTCTCAGCTCAGTATGGCATGTGATATATGTGACTCCTGCACCGCTATCTTTCTTTGCTGCCATTCGCACTCATATTTGCTCATTCCTGCAACTGGATTTTGATAGCCCTAGTTGGCTGCTTCTCTGTCTGCCACGCAAATCAAGCGGTTTGGGCCTGATTGATCCTGATTATCAACAATAAGCTCTTCAATTGTGTTGGATTCTTCCTATCTTTCATTCTTCCTCTTTTTCTTCTACTTCCTTTATACTGCCATACCTCGAATTTATACTTCCTCTAAACTTTTGCGCTCCTTCTGCCAGTATTGCACTTTTGCTTCCCTGTAGTAGTGCAACTTGCCTGACTTCACTTCTTCTACTGCATCGCGCTTGTACCTCACTTCTTCCAGCTTCTCTCCCATCCAACTTGCAATTGCCACCAACTGTGGTACAATACTTCCCATTAACTTCAATATAGATGAGCGTACCACCCTTTGTTGACTCTTCTCTGAACCTGAAAACAATTCTGGTCCCTGACACATTTTCTCTGGAGACTGATGACCGTCTTGTCTGCAAGGTTTGTGATACATTTTCTCAGGCACGTAATTATATTGGTCATTTCTTTCAACAGATTGATTCTGGCAGGATGGTCCTCTGTCCTTGGTTTATCTCTTGCCTTGAACATCAACCTTCTACTGATACCCCTTCCCCCGATCTTTCCTCACTTCTTTCTTTGGTACAGTTGGACAGCAGTAGTTTGGGTAAAGCTAGCACCGGATCTCTTCAATGCTATCTTTACCCGCAAGTGCCCTCATCTTTAAATTTGTCTGTCCAATGGTGTAAATTCTGGTCTGTCTCTATCCCCCACTACTGTCGCACAGTCTGGTGGAAAATGCTTTGGGATAGAACGCCAACCCAAAAACGTCTCAACCTATTTATACCTTGACGCTTCCCCAGCTCATCTTGCATCTTTTGTCAAGATGCTACTGAAGATCAGTATCACTTTTTCTTTGGCTGTTCTATCAAACGCTAGGTGTGGAACATCATTCTCTCTCGCTTTTGCCTGGCCTGGAACCTTGCTGAAATCTGTCTTCTCCTTACCAGAGGCAGCTTCCTATGACATTTCTCTCATCAAGGCCTTTGGATTCTCCTTTCCGCTGTCACTACTAAAGCGATTTGGAGTACTCATTGGAAATTTGTTTTTGATGACCAACCCTTTCTGTCAGGTGTTATGTCACAAAAAGCGTCTAATGTAATAGAAAAACACATCGGTACACTAGCTTAAGTATTTCTTGTCTAATTTCCTCTCCTGTTTCATTCCGTTTTTTTTCTTATATTTTCGTATTTCCTTCCCCTTGTCTCTCTATCTCTTATCTGTTCAATTAAGTCCACTTTGATGGCATTTTAAAAGCTGCATGCAGAGCGTGACAGCAGATCAATAAAATACTAAAAAAAAAGTTTCTTCTTGGGTGCAATGATGATGACGCACAGAATGACATTGTCAACAGATATGTGTACATCATCAACCCTTTCAAGATCGGCTGGTTGCAGAAAGCCACAAACTGCAAGAAGCCAACACAACTTATGGGTAAGAGCAATGGGAATGGGTTGGTTGTTAGGACCAACGTTGCAAAGGAAGGGTATAACTAGCACAATGTCAAAAACAAGATGGTGAAACAACAGTTTTTTTTTGTAAAGAGGAACGAGTCCTTGTATTTAGTGTGTGTTAAGAAAGGAACACAATTATTTTGGATTGTTTTTGGTGTTTGAAGAAAATAGAAATATAGGTTTAAGGGAAGTCTATGTTAAATCTAAGTCAGAGGAAAGGTGCGAAACAAAGGTGTCTATTTTAGAGTTAATTGAGGAGGTCTGGAAAGGTCTGCTATCAAAAACAAAGCTTCAGTGAGTGCACCACAGAGCAAGGATGATGCTGCTAATTATTTGATATAAGTGGATATGTAATACAGATAATGGATGGTCAGACATTTTTAGAGAATAGTGTGCAATGGATATCAAATGTTGATGGGGATAGTTCAAAGTACTTAATCTATGGAGTTTTCCACACCGTCCATTTTTGTAGACACTGGTAGAGAAAATGAGAAAGTGTGTCCACCTCAGACAAGCAAATGGGACAGTTGAGTGACAAATATGATTGGTACACAACTGTGAAGGGTGTATTAACATGACATGCAGTTAAGTATAGCTCGATACCATATGTTTCTGGATGTGTGATAGATGGAAAAGGCCCAAAATAAATGTCATTGTTTAGCTTGCAATGGGAGGGGCACAAGAGGAGATTGAGTGTGATCTCGGCATGCCTCCCAAAATCGGTTGGTTGCAAAGTCAGATAAGTGTTTACATCCAGTTTGGAGGGCTCCAACAAATGGCTTGCAATCTATAATCAAAAGGTTAACTGGCAGTAGCAATTCAGGATAGTCATTGGGAGGTAAAGTAGCACGCCAAAAAAAATGCGTGAGCTCAGCAGTTGCATTATCAAGGACCCAAAACAGCTTAGCAATCAGATATGACAAGGTGGACTGTTTGGTTTGCGTTTGGGGGCAGATAGCTTGCAGGTTCTGATCAAAGATTAAAGCATCAGAAGCATTAAGACGCTTTCAGCCAGAGGTGACAGGTGCAGAAGAAGCTGTGTAGGTTACAACATTCAGCAGCTTCAGAGAATGACAAGTGGTTTAGCTCAGAGTGAGAAGTAAAAATTTTTGTGGGATAAAGTCCATTGCGCCAATAAGAGTAGAAAGTACACTGTTCTTTGTCCATAAAGCAGGAATACGCAGTCTAGAAAACAATAAAGGAAGGCAAGAGTCCCTAAAGGACGTGTGGAGGTGAAAAAAGTACTTTATCTAAGGGGTGACAAACGATACTGAGGGGTGGTCATCAAGAATTGATTGTAGTTGTGGTATTTCAGGTACGAAACAATAGAAAAATAAAATATTTGATAATAGAGACGTATCGAAATACTTTGAGACTGTATATAAGTTGTCTTTATTCATAAATAAAAAGTGTCCCTTTTTATAAGAAAACACAATCTGCTCTTGTCATTACGTCTTAGTTTCTTAAGGCTTTCTTCCTTTACTATATTTGGTTATTAGAGTGTATTTACTGCTTAACTAGTGTCGGTGTTACAATTATGACATCAAGTCATAAATCGTACTTCTTTAGCTTTTAGCTATTCTTTTCTCTTTTATACTAGAGCTTTAGGACTTCCTACTAAATTAGCTCCATATCGATCTGACACAGTTTACCTGGCAGTATGATATAATTATCTTAACAATCTTTAAGATATTATCTACAGTACTAACTGTAATAATTATTGGGCTGATTACTTAATCGTTTATATATATTTTATACTGACAAGATGATAGCTACTATGCTATCCCAATATGAATATGTTCTTATATGTGATAAATCCAACATCCGAGTGTCTGGATCACCACAGTAGTCATCGCATAGTCAGAGCTTTTTGTTGAATCTGAGAGTCCAATACACCTAGACCTCCTTGCAGTTTTGGAAATCATAGAGTAGACAAACTTGTTATAGAGAACATACACTGCTAGAGGAACTGATCTACAATGAATCGGAGTTTGTCAAAAAACTTTTGGGAGATTGGTATTATTCAAAGAACATGCCAAACATGGGAAAGAATCAATGTGCTCACTACAGTAGCTTGACCTAGGACCAAGAGTGATTGTTGCAGATACATGCTACAGGATGAGTCAACTGTATTCAAGAGTGAGGTGCAGAATTTATCTCTTTGTGCAAGAGATGATATCAATGTAAAGCCCAAATATGTAAGAGTGGTTAGGTAAGTACGATTATGACATGAGGTAATAAGCTTTTGTTATAGGTGTATATGCCACTCTGAGAGTAAGTTACCAGACAAGTATAAGGCTTGTGCCTTATGCATCTTAATTTGCGCATTTGAGGCTCTGAAATAAGTTTTCAGGTGTCTGTGTAGAGTATCAAGATCAGATGATGTCTTAAAAAATATAAGAATGTCATTTGCATAAGTTAAGTATTTGAGGGGTAGCAGTGGGGATTGGTCAGTGTGATTGTCAATAGGCAGACCAAATCCTAAAAGAAATTTATCAGCAGTTAGCTGGCAAATCAAAGGTTTGAAAGCAAGGCTGAACAGAACAGAGAACAGCAGCTCACCTTGTTGTGGCCCTCAATTTTGTACAATTGATGCTGACAAAAAACCGTTGACATTGATCAAGATATTTGTAGAGAAAAATAATTGTGAGATACAGTGCACTATTGTGTCAGAGAACCGGAATTTTTGAAGAACTAATCTCAAATACTCAGGGTAGACATAATTGTATGCTTTTTCTTGGTTAAGTATCAGATTGATTGAGATATCAGAAGTGTGTTGGGCGTGTTCTATAACCATATGAGCCATGAGTCTATTGTCAGCTATAAATCATTCTTTCACAAACCCAGTCTAGTAGTGATTGACAAGGGAGTTTAAGGCATCTATAATTCAGGTGTTAAGTAGACAAATACACACGTTTGCATCAGCATTGATCAGTACTATAGGCCACCAGTTTTTAAGACTGAAGAGATCCTCTTTCTTTGGGAGGAGTGACAAGCAGGTGGAGCTCCAAGAAAATAGAAAGACTCCTTTGTTGAGAGTGTTATTGTAAATGTTTGTTAATAGTGTGAAATATCTGTCTTTGTAAAACAAGAAAGAGAATCTCATAGGACACACCATCTAGGCCAGAACTGCTACGATGGGGGAAGCGGTTAACTGCAGCACAGATATCATCAAATGTTAGTGAACATGTCATTGAGAATTGAGTGGCTTCACTCAAGAATTTCTCAGGAGGGATATGATTGAGTAGATATTCAACTGACAAGTTTTTAATTGAATTGACAGTATACAACTTCTCATAGAAGTGCATGGCCGCATCTGTTATGGTATCGGATGTGGTGCACAAGGCCTCTGAGGCAGGGTGACACAAAAAAAATATCTTTTTTAATGGTCTTTGCCAAGATTGCTCTTATCAGGTACCTGGCTGAACGTTCACCATTTTCTCTCCAGTGTTTTTAGGCTCACATGGTCAGTATTTCGACAGTTTCCTGTTGAATAATAGACATTTGGCATTTCACTATGGAAAGCTGGGTGTTGCAAATATTGTTTATCTTAAATTTACACATAAGATGGTTTTGCTTGCTTTGAAGAGCTTTTTCTTGTTGTGTCTGCCAAGCTGTGAAGCCACGAGTGTGTTTCTTAGCAATCCATTGGACTGTGACCTTAACCTTTTCCCATTGGTTTTGATGTGCAACACCAATTGTCTTAAGTACGTCAGACAATGGGAAAGTTGATGAAGTGGAGACAGAGGATGTGGTAGGCACCCGCCACTGGTTTTCTTTTCTTTTTTCTTAAACCAACATTTATATCTTAACAATTTTACAGAATTCTTACCTTAAACAACAAAACACACCACATCATGACAAAAAAATAGAATAATTAGCTAGAAAAGATATAGGGAAAAGGGGATACTTAAAGTGTATTACTATATATATTATTTACTGAAAATAAAAGCGCAGCTCGGAGAGCCTAATATCACATTCTCTGTCTCTACTTCGTCAACTTTCCCATTTGTATAAATACTCATTGCACTTAATCCTCTAAAGATCAAGCAAACAACACGTTAAATAAAAAAATCTCTTCTTTTTTCTCTTATCTGTTTTCCCCTGTTTCATTCTGCCTTGTCTTGTTCCTGACACTGATAAGTTATACATTATTATGACTTGAAGATCCTATCTCCATGTCATGTACAGAGTAAGTTGTGTGTTTGTCTGGTAAGCAAAGAAGTCGACTTGGTGTGAACTCACAACAAGACCAAGTGACAAAAGAAGGTGTGGCAAATATGTCATTCTAACTGGTGGGTACGTTAGTGAGACAGAGAGTTCACAGAGTTGAAAGGAGAAGGTACATAGGCTAGGTAAAGCCAAGTGCCAGTGGCCAAGCAATGGTACCAAACTTTGGTGGCAAGTGACATGTCATAAGCAGACTAAGTCCCCCCAAAGTGGTTCATGTAGGCAATGGCAGTGTTGTTGTCACTGTAGACACATATGGATTTTTCCAGAAGAACAGACCAGTGAGTGACCTTCGAGATTGTACATTATGAATGAAATTGGTGTGGTAATACTACTAATTTGCATGAAATTTGATGGCTGGCCACACTATGCTAAAGCAGGGAAAATTGGTAGTAAATGAGCTATGGTTGCCACTAATTATAGTGGTATTGCTACTAATTTACTGGATAGTAAAGCAGCATGTTTGATCAACTTAGTCTCAAACAGATTGATAGTAAAAAGATGGTTTTTTTGTATTGTTTATTGGATGTAAATTTCCTTATGTGATATCTATCTATACATGTATTTAGAAGATTAGATCTAAATACCTTTCTGCTTCAACTCGTCAAATAGCTAAGGTGGCTATTACGGCTGTTAAGTTGGGTTGAATGGTATTTTATCAAACACTAGTCTGAAGTAAGCAGACCATATGGCACTCAGAGTGCAGCCTAGTACCGTATGTACATTGACAATAGTGTTTGTGAGTTGTATTGAGAATAGAGAGCAAGACATACAGAGTTGTTCAAAATTCAGTGTAGCAGGGTTAGAAATGAATCTGTTAGTAATAATATTCCATACTGATCTTTTTGAAGGGTACTCTCAAAAGAGATGCCAATAATCTTCTGGATTGTTGCAAATTATACAATTTGAACTGTCAACATCCTTGACTCTCCTGTCATATAGTCTTTGACGGCATGAGATTTTTTGATGTATCAGTCTCCACCAGATTGTGAAGCCATTGGGTGGAATACTGGAGTTCCAAAATGTGCGCCAGTGGTTTTCTGGGGCACTAAGAAAGGGAGGTGGAAGGGCTGCTATAGGGATACGAATATATGATCAAATCTGTTTAGGTGTGAATTAGTGAATATAGAGCACCTCCTCTAGGCCTGGAGACAGGAAACCATTAAAATGGTGAGGAGGAGTCAGGAAGAATGAAGCTATTATAGAGTCTGGGGGCTAGCTAGCCGAGTTGGTAAGGACAGAGAGCCACTCAATTAGCTGCAGTTTGCCATGATCTAGAAGTGAAAAGGCTGAGCCGATAGCACTTCTAGCCTTCCAAAGTTTCTAGTCTCTTCTTTGAAAAATGCACCCAATGGTATAATCATAAGTGTATGCATCAGAAACACGCAATCTGCCACACAAGAGGAAAATTGATAATAACTGACGAGGGTCCAGTGAGACTACAAGTAGGAGCTGTTGTGTCATTACTGCGTTGGGTACTGGCCAGTTGAGTAAAAGTATGGTAGTAAATTCATATATGGAAAAATTGGTGGTAAATTTGGTGGTAAATTTGGTGGATTTTATTTTTATTTATATGCTTGCTGCGCAGTAGAATATACAATAGAAATATACAATTAAATATACAATGGGTTGTACAATATACTATACTATATACTATGGAAAAAAAAGTGGTTAGACTAGTAGTTTGACTGATGGTTTGACTGGTGGTTTTTTGCAAGTTCTCCATTCAAACCACTGTTGAGTTTAAACAAAAATAAATGACTTTCTGTACTCTGTTCTTTAATATATTGTTTGTATAACATAGCCATATTCTTTTCTTAGTATTGGCTTTTCTATTGGATGTGGTTTCTTTTATTTATTGTATAAAGCTTATACGTCATTGGATACTTTTATTTGGTACCCTCTTATATGACAATTATTGTTTTAAAATATAGATTAACTAGACATTTTATTGGACACAATTTATTTTTGTTATTATTGCTCTAAAGAAAATAGCTGTCTATTGGATTATATTTATAAGAATTATTGTTTGATTTAATAATTATGCTTTTATTAGGTATTATTAAAGAAAAAAAAGCTTTTATTTTTCATTTTATTGGATATTAATATAAGAAAAAGTTTTTATTGTTTGTTTTATTGGGTGTTATTATACAAAAAAAATTAATATTCATTTTATTGGCTATAAACTACACTATATTCTAAGTTAGTATAGTAGAGTATCTCATTCAATTTTATTACATTCGATTACTTATGAGACTACAATCTTCTATAATGGTCTCTCCAGAGATAAGAGATTCTCGAGGCAGATGTCCAGTTTTCATGGCATCTGATAAGGTTGATACCAGCATCCTTCATCAACATTGTATGTTTAGTACACATTTGTTTTCTAACCATTACTGGTATAGACCTCCAGCTAGGACAAGAACCAAGATCCTTCACCAAAGGATGGACAGCCAACTCATCACAAATAATCTTTGTAGATACTTGAAGAGTGGCCTTCTCTTCATTGTTTATCTCAATACCAAGATCTTCACTCATCATTTTGAAGACGTGCTTCAAAGTTATATCCCAGGTATTTGGAATAGGTGCACGGATAAGACTGTTGCAAGGCTATTGGATTACATGTTAATACATATTTCTTTTATTTTATTTTTGACTTACAATGTCAGTGGCAGAAGGTACTGTCTTTTGCTTAGAAAATCCTCTGTTGTCCAGTTGACTCTGGAGGTAGTCAATCTTCAAATTCAACTCTTCTCTTGTAGAATTCAATTCCAGTTTGATTATGTCCTGTCCTGTCTTCAAAAAGATTATTTTACTGTGCATAGCTTGTAGTAAAGATATGATCTGGATTTCTGTGTTATTCATGTTAAGAGTTTAGTTTGTGTAAGCAAAAAAATGGTTGTGAAAGGAGAATAAAGAGTGAAAAAAATTTCTATCATCTATTATTAGTTTCATATTAATTAGCTTAACTTTTTTATCTCAGTCAATATTAATTTTGACTTACTATAGTTATATTGACAGCTAATATGCAATGTTTTAGATTCTGTTTCTGAGTTTATACTCATATTATCTATGTCATTATTATCTTGAAGCTATTATATCTACACAAAACTCAAAGTTATTAAGTATAAAGACATCATTTAAAACGAATTACTGATACTCATACCTTTACTTCAAAATGTTATTTTCAACCTTTAAAAATGTTCTCAATTACAAAGCGTAGTAGTTACAAGTGCAGATTCTGCAATACATTTTATACTAACACAAGAAAAGTCAATTTATACAGAATTCAGTGTATGAAAACCTGTTCTTCAAACATAGTTAATTTTGAGATTTCCCAACCCATTTCTGTCTCTCAGCAAACCAAAGTTGCATCAAGCATTGTACCTGGATACATCTCTGAGTAAGTCTATGAAAGACATACACACTGTTAGAACAAGTAATTAATTATATTATTATCTTTATGAACAAGCAGAGAAAATACAGCCACAATTGATAATCAAACTGTGAATGCCTTCAATAATGGTGACAACAATAATGATCAGCCCATGGTAAGATATATACATATATCTATGTATCTATATCTATAACACTAATTACTATTTACCTTAATAAAGTATGATGCCAATCTGAATCATGCCATGAATGACATTCACGTCAAAACCTTTTCTCTGATATTTGATTTCAGTCAACTAACTCCCATTCCTAACAATGACAATGTAAAAAATCTTGAGTTCATTAAGATAATCAAGAATTTTGGAATTTCACATGAAGCACATGGAATGATTGCTTGTCATTTCAACAAGATTCTAGAGACATCTAATGACATAACATACAGAGCATACTTTTCATACCTTAGAGATAAACTTCTTGAGAGATTTTTTTCTGTAAAAGAAGATAAGTATGACATCTGTTATAACGATTATAAACTTTACAATGACAGTCATGAGACAGTGTGTCCTAATTGTGGTGGACCATCAAACACCATTTTCGATTTCCAACTGATGCCTTTCTGAGGGCATACTGGCACTCTTTCACTCCTCAGCATGCAACCTGTTTTCTAGACTGCTATGGATTTTCCACGTCAAATAGTTGAACCCACTGAAGTCAACCTGATTGGTGCTTGGTAATCTGGTAAACTGTCTCACACATCTGAGGCATGCACAAGTACTGTTGTGGATGGTGAATCCACTGGTCTTCCTGGTGGCGGGGATGTCACAGACAATCATATGTAATGCGGCACATACATTAACACCAGCTGGGCACTCAAAGGTTGGGATGGTTATCCCCGTAAACAACTGCAGCAATTCATCAACTATTGGCTTTGAATAGTGGTTAATCTCTTTGGTCTTTGGCTCCTTAGGGCCAGGCATCAAACCAACAAGGATGACATTTTCAGGCTTAAATCTTTCCTCATAAGGCAAGTTATTTATCGCAAGGTAGATAGCTCCAGTTGAATATGTAATACCATCCAATGGCTGGAACCAGTTGATGTTCATTGTTAGCATCAATGAACGAGGTTCATTCACAAACAATACGCCACTTTGGTCCTTTAGCTCCTTCTATATAGCACCATCATAGATGTTGCATAGTGTATCTACGACCTTAAGCTCTTTGTTCTATTGTCTGATTTTTTGCTCGAACCCAGAACAAAGAAAGAAAACTTGTAATAATCTCTGGATAGAGTTGTAGACGTATGATTGCTTGGCTACCATAGCATCAGAAGATGAAACCTTCATCAATTCACAATTGCATGCTGATCGAGAACCATGCTTTTTGAAGTTGCAATGAGTAGGGAGAGGCACATCTTGTTCATAAACCTTGTGGCAGTCTTCACATACAACAGACTTCTTGATACCATTGGCGTAATTGGAAAAACCAGTCATTCTTTGCAGGTCAATAAGACTTGTTGGTAATTGGAAATCTTTGCTGTACATCTTGAGTAATTGATTGATAAATTCAATCAATACGGCAGCACCTTTGTTAACAACATAACGTGAGATAAAAAGAACGGCAAAGGTAGCAATGAACCGATAGACAGGGTTTTCAGACATGTTAGGAGCATCAAATGGGTCTATTTAAAATTAACAAAAATAAATTAGAATAAATTTTCTTTAGGTCTGTTTTTAAGAAAACAAAATCATTTATGACTGACCTTCATTAGCAAACTCTTCAACGCCTGTCTCGACACCTTCTTTTTTACCACTGCCAGAGTCAGAGTTCATGTCTCTTTCAATGTCAGAGTCATTGCCATTGACCTTGCTGATCTCATCGTCTACCGAGACATTGTCCACCATTGTGGCGGCATTCAAATCAGGTGAGTCGGCCTGATAGTCTATTTTTTCAATGGATTCAGATTGACAGGTTGGGATATATACAAATATAGATTAGTTTAGCTTATTGTCTCTACTGGTTTTCAAATATTTTTTTTTCTTTTCTTACATTGGGTATCAACGTTCATCATTTGTTCTTCTTACACAGCTGTGTTTCATTAAAATTAAAAAAATAAAGAAGTTATTACTCAGTAATCGAAAAATAAACCCTGAATATAACATACTATTTGCCAATCTTTAAACCATATCCAGTCTCTCGATTCTCTCAAGCTCATCTTTTTTAATATGGCACTCAGTGGTTCTGCTTGTCACCAATGAGTATCTCTGTGAATTTCTGCTACATTGAGCACAACGGCAGACAACATTATGGCTGTAGGAGATAGAAGACATTTTATGTGTTTTGTTTGATGTGATTTATTGAGAATAAAAAGAGAAACAAGTATAAAATATACTCTATTTTCACCAACTTTATTGTAAAAAAAAACATTATATTTTATGATTGTTTAATTGAATTCTTCTAACAAATTCTTTTCTATATCATTAAATATAGAAAGAGACATGACAATTATGATATTATCAATTCATAGTCTTTATTCAAATGTTTTCAAGAATGCCTGTTGTGTGTAAAAGACATATATTTTTTACTATGAGTTTATAAATAGATTATTGCGAAAGTAAATCCAGAAAATAGTGGGAATAAAAAAAAAGAAGTGGTAGAATGAGAATTATGATAGGTCTCTGTATGTGAATTTAGCCTTCCATACCAGACTGATATTCTAAAATTCTAAAATTCTGTTAGCTAATGAAACCAACTAAAACTACATCTTTGACCTGAACTTCAAAAAACACACTGAGTTGAAAAAAATCACTATTTCTACACATGTGTTTACCAACCTGGCCACATTGTTAATCAGGGCGGTTTTTCCAGTGTAACATTCTTACAGATGAGGCATTATATCGAATAAGACCCTAAGACAAACATTCCAAATAATTAGTATAAATATCAATAGCAATTGTTCATAATAAAATCATCTTTTTATCTACTATATTATTTTGTCTATTTGATTGTACTTCCTTAAGTATACTTCTTTGCCTGTTTTTATATTGCTTGGCTAGTGATTTAGAATTGTAACGCAATCCAATAGAGGTATACTATCCTCAATGGTCTAGTGGCTAGGATCCGACGCTCTCACCGTCGTGGCCGGGGTTCAATTCCCCGTTGGGGAACTATCACTGTAGAAAACAAATCTACAATTATTTTTTGATACTCGTAACTTGGAAAAGTCCAACACAGATGTCGTTTCTGATCTGGGATGGTCTTCCTTTTACTATAGCAAAGTCAAAAGGTCAAACCCACTGGGGATCGGAGAGTATATGTAAAATCGAAGAGAGGATAAAAGGTGCTTTTTATTGATAGGAATTGAATTATCATATAGTTTTCTAAACTAATACTGCGCATTATCCGCAGTAAACTATTATACTCTATTTAATTACAAGAGAAGTCCTTTTACTGCAGTTGATGCTCAGAAGATGTTACTGTGGTTAATCTTTACAAGACATTACTGCAGTTCGTTATCTATGAGGTATCTTTGACATACAGAACTGCTGCGGTCAATTATCCCGATTTCTTGGATTCATCAAAATAATGTCCGACACAGACTTGTCAAGTCTCGATCTGGTATTTCTTTTCTGACACTTGTAACTAAGTCGCAGAATCAATATCACTGGGGATTGTCAAGTTTATGAATAGTTTTTAGATAAGAATAAAGATGCTTTTTATTAAATATATTTCTTGACTATTTATACAAAATGATAATTGATTTCTGGCTAAAAGAATAGCTACAATAATATGTTTTAGATGCCTGTTGTTCAGTAATATCTTCTACAAGTATATTCACCATCTTAAACATCTAAAACATATATGAAAAACCAATCAACAAAGTCAAGATTTTTATCCTAAAAAATCAACTCTTACTGGTTGCTTATAACTACTAATTTTGTTCACTGATGTCAACTCTGACAGACTTATCATGCTTAATTTTGGTGATACAAGTTCTAGTGACTTGTTATTACAAAAGAAGCAGAAATTAGAATGATTATTCATCAGTTTATAATTTTAGAAATTTGTAATCAGCTTATAATAATTTGTAATATTACTAGACACTACTTGAGTGTAGTCAAAGATGAATAATCATTTCAAAAACTATATAAGATAACCCAAATCAAATAATAAAAATTGACTTTTTATCCTCTCTCTTATTTGCTTACTCCTGTGTTATTAAAGCTTGACCAATTCGGCTACGTTTACAGTGAATTGGAAGATAGCCTAGATCAGGATTGAAAAAAATAATTTCAGACATATTGAGAATAAAATTATACCCTTCCGGCTTACCAGATTCGAACTAGTGACCTAAGGATTACAATTCATTACAGTCCTCCGCTCTACCAACTGAGCTAAAGCCGGGTAGTTGCGTTATCACGTGTGTTGTAGGTAAGTAGCACATTTGACCATGTCGTGGTGCCTGGTACCAGAAGATTGGTCTGCTCGGTAGGTTTGTCCAGCGGTTTGTTGTGATGTGTCGTCCTGGTTATGAGAGGCTGATGTCAACGGTTTGGTGATGTGGTTCTGTGCCCTCGGTGGTAAGAGGAAAATTTTTCTGTGCACAGGAAAAATCTCGCTTTTGTTCTCTGTTTCTTCTACACACAATACTTTTTCCTTTTCCTTTGTTAACATATTTGTCTACATTGTACTCATTCGAAATCATGGTTCCCCATGCTAGTAACATTCCTCTTCTACAATGCACATAATTCATCTTGCCAACATTTCCGCGCAACATCAGTACCTTTATTATTATATTTTTATTATATTTTTATTCATATATTTTATCCTTGCCGTATCGATTATTCATCATTCTATTTTTACTATCTTTATTTTTCCAAACTTCTATTATCAACTTAAAGTCTTGTCAACTATAAAAAGAGAAGCAAACTCAACTCAATAAATCATTCAATTCAGTTTCAGTATCTTTTTCTTGTTTTCTTCTCTTTGTGGTCTATACCATCTTATGATATAATATATTGGTTCCTTGGTTTTAGGAAGGTTGTTTGTTGGTTTTTGGTCTTCTCATCAGTTATTACTTTCCTGTTTCATCATTCCCTTTTCATATACCTTTCTCTCTCTCTCGATTTTAACAATGATTCTATTGGTTGTTCTCTCTTTTCTTACCTGTCAACTATTGTTGTTTGCCACCTTTTGCTGTATCTGTCTTCTGTTCTATTCTATTATCATTGTATTTTATTTGACAAGTGATCTGTTACAATCTACAACAAACCTAACACATCACGCATCAGCTTTACTATGGTGGAGAAAATGGTAACATGTTACCACTTTGGTAACATAACTGCCATTTTTTACTTAATAAAAAATGGCAGTTATGACTCTGTATAAGGCCAAAACAGGCACTGTTACCATTTTTTATATAGTAAAAATGACAGTTATTTATTATGTAAAAAGCCAAAACAAGCACTGTTACCATTTTTCAAAAAAAAAATCAAGCATCCTTCCTTTCCTCTATTACATTCTTTCTTTTGTTCTATTGTTTTCAATTTTAGCACAACCTCTTGTTTTTCCTTTGCAGCTTTAACAGAATGGTCTGTTTTTTATTATACAATATTGAATCGGGTTTAATTAAATTGAATCTTTATTTCAATGCATGTTTTATTAAATGAAAATGATAATAATAATAGTAATAATGAAAAAACAATTCCATCGGTCACTCGCAATAAAAAATAGTTCTGTTTAGCTACTACAAAATGTATGCAGTAAAACACTACTATTCAAATTGTATTTCATATACTTTGGGTATTCTAATATATCTTAGATAGCACTTATTATTTTTTACCAATTTCTACAAATATACTAATATTAGAAAAAAAACTTAAAATAAATAAATAGATATAATATTATTATAATGCTTACCTTTATATAATATGCTTACTTGTTCAGTAAAATAAGCATTTACTCTAAGAATATATATATATATATTAAAGAATGTATTAATATTTAAGATCTATATATAAGAAAAGCGATAAAACATAAGCACTATAGAAAGTCAGTATTGTAGAAGAAGAAAAACTTGAGTAAAGATTCAAGTCATGTAACATGAAGCTAATTCGAATCTGATTCATACAACCGGAATGAGCATCTTGTTAGAAAGCTCAATGTGTTTATTCTACTCAATATACTTACATATAATAGAACGACTCCCAAGTATAATATATCAGTACAAAAATATTACTATTAATTTTTTTCTCAAAAAAAGGCTATATACTATTTCCTTTTATATTTGAATATAGCGGAATTGTAGATGCTGTACATTAGCTTCAAATTCTTGTAATCACAACATTAGCAATCATATGAAAGAGGTCAATAAATTTTTTATATGAAAGAAAAAAGGAATAAAAAACATAAAAAGAAAAATGACAAGATAAGAAAAAAAATGCACTAAAGACAGACTAAAAAAATCAAACTCGGCCAATCACAGCAGCCAAACTATGATCTTCGGCTTCTCTTGCGAGCAGGCTCAACACTTGCTGTGGGTGGAGGAGACCTACATAAAAGAGTAAGAAGTTTATATTAGTTTTGTATTAACAGCGCATGAGAAAAAGCAACAATGGTAACTTACAGCACATCTGCCATTATGGGCAACTTAACATCACCAGTTTCTGACATATCAGGAGAAGAAAGCAAAGAATCACTTATGTCTCGCTGTGTCTATAGCATAATAAAAGGAAACTGTGATATTTCAGGTACGAAACAATAGAAAAATAAAATATTTGATAATAGAGACATATAGAAGTACTTTGAGACTGTATCAGTTGTTTTTATTCATAAATAAAAAGTGTTGTGGTATTTCAGGTACGAAACAATAGAAAAATAAAAAAAAGAAAAAAGAACAAGCTGATCAGAAGAATTGCATAGAGTACTTGAACGGTATTTAGTTAATACCTGGGTGGGGATAATGTGGTGATCCAGACACTCGGATGTTGGATTTATCACATATAAGAACATATTCATATTGGGATAGCGTAGTAGCTATCATCTTGTCAGTATAAAATATATATAAACGATTAAGTAATCAGCCCAATAATTATTACAGTTAGTACTGTAGATAATATCTTAAAGACTGTTAAGATAATTATATCATACTGCCGGGTAAACTGTGTCAGATCGATATGGAGCTAATTTAGTAGGAAGTCCTAAAGCTCTAGTATAAAAGAGAAAAGAATAGCTAAGAGCTAAAGAAGTACGATTTATGACTTGATGTCATAATTGTAACACCGACACTAGTTAAGCAGTAAATACACTCTAATAACCAAATATAGTAAAGGAAGAAAGCCTTAAGAAACTAAGACGTAATGACAAGAGCAGATTGTGTTTTCTTATAAAAAGGGACACTTTTTATTTATGAATAAAGACAACTTATATACAGTCTCAAAGTATTTCTATACGTCTCTATTATCAAATATTTTATTTTTCTATTGTTTCGTACCTGAAATACCACAAGTGTCCCTTTTTATAAGAAAACACAATCTGCTCTTGTCATTACGTCTTAGTTTCTTAAGGCTTTCTTCCTTTACTATATTTGGTTATTAGAGTGTATTTACTGCTTAACTAGTGTTGGTGTTACAATTATGACATCAAGTCATAAATTGTACTTCTTTAGCTCTTAGCTATTCTTTTCTCTTTTATACTAGAGCTTTAGGACTTCCTACTAAATTAGCTCCATATCGATCTGACACAGTTTACTTGGCAGTATGATATAATTACCTTAACAATCTTTAAGATATTATCTACAGTACTAACTGTAATAATTATTGGGCTGATTACTTAATCGTTTATATATATTTTATACTGACAAGATGATAGCTACTACGCTATCCCAATATGAATATGTTCTTATATGTGATAAATCCAACATCCGAGTGTCTGGATCACCACAGAAACGATGTTAATTAAAGTTTACAATATATAGATTTGTTAATTGATAAACTTACTTTGTTCTTCTCTGCTATTCTTCTCTTGTGTGTCTGGTTGTCGCTCTTGAAGCTTTCCTGAAGAAGGCTTCTTGCACACCACATTCTTTTACATTGGTGGATGTGCAATCCACTATTCTTTGCCAACCTCTCCAAATGCATCATGTAGTATTCCCTGTTTTTCTCTGGGATATTCTTCCATTCTTTTGAGGCCGCAGGATAGTCTTTGTCAATGATATCATGCTTTACTGTACGGCCTATTGTTTTGAGATGTAGTCTTTTTACTGTCAAATCATGGTCTGAAAGAGGGACTAATGGGGGCAAAGGCTGCCCTTGTGGAACTTCTTTGCAGCGCGCCTTCCAGTCCTACTCATGAAGAATCTGAAGCAACAGATTGTATTTTTGTGCTTCGTTTTTTCCTTCAAACTCGCCGCCAGTATTGATTACTCGCTTACCGAGCTGATCAGGGTACTCTGTGAGCTGAGCTCTTTTCACAGACTCGGCAATGCGCTCAAGAGCTACAAAAAATGTATGACAATATTAATAAAGTAAATAAACATCTAAGCACAGAATATATATGACTTACAACTCTGCTCAATAATGCTTTGTTGCATTGTAGTTAGATCTTCTGCACTGACTGCTGGCGCAAATTGATTGCTGAATTGCCTTTGAAGCTCACACAATGCTTGCTTGATTTCAGTAAGATCAACCTCAATCTTTTGAATTGAGTTGAGAGTTGTATTAATATCGGACATGTTTAAGTTTTTTTTTAGCTATAAGCAGTGAGTTGAAAAGAAAAGGTGATAGTTTAGACAAGTAGAATAAGAGCGATTTGAGTTTGAGAAAGGCAACGATTTATTATAAGCAATTGATAGCTATTTATATGAAAAAGATACAGACAGATGTACAAACAAAACATATAAAAGAAGGGATGCTTATGCACTTGTATGCACCTGTCTGCACCTGTCTGCAGTAGCTCATGTGAACATGATACAGTCTTTTTGTGTCGATACAACAAAACTATAAGAAATATAAAGATAAAATGAATTAGACTTTAAATCAATATTATATGTATAAATGTTCATACTTTGCACCGTCTACATATTAAACGTTTTAAAGTATATGATATAATAATATAACTCTATACATATTGCAGATATAGCATGAAATTTGGTTAAAGTTCTCGATGACAAAACTCTGTACCAGTTAAAATTATAACTTTAAATATACTCTACAGTAGCTATATAATATCTGAACATCATATAGTTAATTAGCCCCTTTTTATCAACATTAAAGTAAATGTTATGATACTCAAGTTCATATCATACTTATTATCATTATCAACTAAAACGCGTTTTAATTGATGTGGTGATCCAGACACTCGGATATTGGATTTATCACATATAAAAACATATTTATATTGGGATAGCGTAGTAGCTATCATCTTGTCAGTATAAAATATATATAAACGATTAAGTAATCAGCCCAATAATTATTACAATTAGTACTGTAGATAATATCTTAAAGATTGTTAAGATAATTATATCATACTGCCAAGTAAACTGTGTCAGATCGATATGGAGCTAATTTAGTAGGAAGTCCTAAAGCTCTAGTATAAAAGAGAAAAGAATAACTAAGAGCTAAAGAAGTACAATTTATGACTTGATGTCATAATTGTAACACCAACACTAGTTAAGCAGTAAATACACTCTAATAACCAAATATAGTAAAGGAAGAAAGCCTTAAGAAACTAAGACGTAATGACAAGAGCAGATTGTGTTTTCTTATAAAAAGGGACACTTTTTATTTATGAATAAAGACAACTGATATACAGTCTCAAAGTATTTCTATACGTCTATTATCAAATATTGTATTTTTCTATTGTTTTGTACCTGAAATACCACAATTGATGCTGTCATCAAAGGTAAAAATAATTTTAACTGTCATTACTATTATTTACCAAGGGGCATTTTTGACTGAAACTGTACATTTTTGAAAAAGGTATGCTTTAACTCACATTGGCACTTTCAATTAACACCCCTTTCGATCAGTAGTGCTTATCTTGATGATGTCAGTAAAAGAGTATCAGACTATAGCCCTCATTATCTATATCTATTCCTTTAAGTTTTATACATAAACAAGAAAACAATGCTATTAGCTAAATATATATTCACTATCTCAAAAATAATATTAGTACAACACAGATAATATAAATATGTCTTTTCTACCAATGTGTTTAGACAGTACTACTTTTTTTTAACTGTTAATTATTAGAAGGCTGTTTTTCTTTGCCTTTGGTATTAGAAAGTAATTGATAATTTATTTAAAAAAAACATAAATTATTTGGTTGTTAATTATCCTAAATATACATATATCTCTTTATAAAGCCCAAAGAATATCTAATCGCTCACAAGTAAAGAGTATGTGTCTGTTTCACCAGTGCTCTTTTAATGGTACCCCCTTGTTAACCAAGAAGTATTTTAACTTACATCATAATTATTAATGAAGAAGAATCTTTCCAATCATGGGAATTATTTACTGACAGGTGTTTCACCTAGCATTGACATTACTGTAATCATTGCTATATCATTACTATGAGAGAGAAAAAGGAAAAGAGCCGCAAGCATTTTGGTTAAAAAATAAAGAGTATATAAAGATGTCTTTTACATTTAATGAATAGCACCAAAATCCTCTTCGCAGTTTTATTTTATATATTACATACGTACCAACCCAACTAATATGTCTTCTTCCAACGCCAGCCAGCAGAGAGATAGAATATCTACACAGCAATACCAATGTGATCAATGTGTCTTGTTTTTTAATAACTACCAGAAGCTGTAAGACCATAAGAGAATTCACAGAGGAGATTCAGCAACAATGACTGAAATTGACCAGTCTATTCTGAATGATGTTGACATGTACCATGACGAAAATAATACTAGTAATGAAGATGAATCTGTTAGCAATTCAGGTAATGAAAAGAGCTGTAATTGTATTATTTATTTTCCAATTACTAAATAATGTATTACAGAATATACTATGGAGTCTATGGAGCTTGATAATACTATCATATAAGTGCGCATGTAATTTTGAGGACAGTGAGGGTGAAGCTCACATTTACGACAGCAGCCAAATCAGTACAAATACTTTTACCAAGGCCAAGTTGATGAGTATTCATCTGTCTCAATTGATGCTACAGCATAGAATTGCTAGAGCAGCATATAGAGATATTGTTCAATTTATAAACACTGTCATCCGAGACCATGACGATATAATGATGGGTAAAATATTATATTTTCTGTTATCTTGTGCTTTAATTCCAGATCACTAACATGTAGTGATATCGTTTTTTTTAGAACGTGGGGCTAAGATCAGTCATGGCGAAACTGTTGATGCTTTGCTCAAGTCAAAGTCAAGTGTCAAGGGCCATGAGTATGATATCTGCTCTAGTGGTTGTCGATTATATGGCATTAATGACAACCAGGAATCTTGTGTTGACTGCGGCAAACCGCGATACAAGACTGATCCCAATCAAAGTCAGACACCAGCCGCCAATATGAAACTTATGTCAGTTGGGGATATGCTTTCTCAAATGTTGGCAGATCCAGCCACAAGAGAACTCCTCTGTTACAGAGCAAACCGGGAATCTGTAGCTGGTCAGCTAACCAACATTTTTGATGGTGACAATTACAAGCAGTTGGTGCAGCAGGGCCTGTTCTCCAATCCCAATGATATTGCCATTGGGCTTTATACCAATGGGTTTGTCAATCAAAAGAAAGGCAAAAACTCATATACCATCATCCATTGCATAATATTCAATCTAGACCCATCCATCAGGTAATTAATTAATTTATTACTATTTATTATTATTATTACATTTTTTTAAAAAAAAAATTACTCATAAAATACTTATATATACCAACAAATACCTTTTGCAACTGGCAATCTTGCCTGGCCTCAAGAAGCCAACTCATTTGGACTCCTTTCTTATACCCATCATTAATGAATTGCGAGATCTTGAGGCACATGGCTTGGTTGTCAAGCACAATGGAGTGGAGCTTTGCAGATCCAAGGTCTATCTTCTGCTTGCTTCTGGCAATATTCCAGCTGTAGCTGATATGGCCCACATTGGTTCCCATACAAGTTTATTTGGTTGCCGTTTTTGTAAGACCAAAGGCAAATGCCCTACTAACAGACGGCATGGCATGTACTTTGATGACATTTCCACCTGGTTAAGACCTTTGAAAGACTTCAAAGTAGGCAACCCTGTAAGTATACAAATGTTCAATTAGCCATCTTTTTTTCATACTAAATAACTGCTTGTAATAGTCGAAGAACATATACCAGCCAAGCATATATACCCAACTCTCAACCTTCTCTGGATCATCATTTTTTGCATTAGATGAACTTCATTTAATTGCAAGAGGGATTGGAAAGCTTATGTATGACCTGATTACTGTCACCCTCACAAAGGAAACCAAATTTTATTATACCCATCCAGACAATACCCTCAATACCACCGAATACCCTTTTCATATACCAAGAACAGACCTTGTAACAATCGGAAACTGTATCACCAGCTTACAAAAATATATACCCACCTCATTTCAAGGCAGTTTTGACAACATATTTGCCAATATCGATGGTACTCGCATAGTAGACTGGCTTGACTTTCTCTTATACCTTGTCCCCACTTTGGTCATGCCTTATTTACCAAATAGGGCTGTCAAAACAGCTCTATTATCTCTTGTGAAAGGTTGTGCGCTTGCCTTGCAATGGACATTGACATCAGAATTGCTTGATGAGATGGAGTCGTAAGTTATTATACATCTCATATATTATCATTACAAATAGCTGATTGTTACCATTTTTTAAATATTAATAATAGATACTTCAAGCACTGGCACTCGTTTTTATACCAACAAGTCCAGAATAATATCCTGTCTCGTAGTGTTTTCTGACCAGTGCAACATTATCTGGTCCATATACCCTATATCATCAAGCAGCAAGGCCCCCTGCAATGCTACTCCACTCGCTCAATGGAGAGAGTAATTGGCGTCTTCTCGAAATTGATAAAGTCCAAATCAAAGGGTGGCCGAAATGCCAGTTTTCTTGTCGAGCGATTTGCAATTCACAATTATACCAGCACGGCAATCAGCATCTGTGATGAAATCAACCTCATTCAGCCAAAGCCATATGGAAGAGAGAGCTACATGGACCTTCCTAATGATCCTAGTGGTGCGCAGTTGTGGGAGCCGTTTCATCAGTTTGTTAATTTGAACAATGATTTGGTGGAAGGTGTAGGCGGCCCTAGTGTAAAGGAAGCTTTATTGAAATACTACTGGAGAACAACAGGCTTGACTGGCCACGAGTTTGGTGACTCTGTTGTTGTTGTAGTTGCACGTCTGTGGATGGACTTGACTGTATATTCCTCATGCATGTACTGAAGAAAGAAAAACGAGACCAGCCGTGGCAACCATTATGTGATGTTTACTTGCCCCTATAGAAAGTAAGTATAATATTTTTTGATATACAATCAAAAGTTGCTTACATTCTATTTATTTATTTATTTTAGCAACCGTAATGTAATTGTTCACAGCTGGCTCGTCGGTACAGTACAGTTCTACTTTCAGCATGTAGATTTCTATGGCTTCCCACACTTTCTTGCTTTCGTGGAGGTCATGAAGGAACATGACACGGCTGGCCATGACTCATCAGTACCTATTGTCAAACAACGGTCACAAAGCACCAATACACTAGGCCACCAAACGCAACCAACTTATGCAGTTATAAGTGTAAATGACATTTGTCATCAAGTTGGTCTGGTCCAATACCCACCAAATGGAAACCAGTTTTATGTAATTGCGCCCTATTATATCTTTAACAACAACATGCGCATTACTAAAGGCAATCTTTCCATTCTGTAATCCTTTTTATTTTTATCTTATTTTTCTATATGCTCTATATCCTTATATTTTTTATATTTTTTATATCATCCTTGTATCTTATATTCTTTTTTTAATTTTCTCTATTTCTTATGTTTTTTTTAATCTCTATATGCCCTGTCTTTCTTTTCTTCTTTATATACTCCAGTTTTTTTCTATTCTCTATACACCTTATGCTTTTCTCTTCATTCCCTATATGCTCTATACACCATTACGCGATTTAAATAAAATCAAATTGCCAATTCATCAAGATAAAAAGAATATCTAAAAAAAAAAAGAACGTAGTTTAAAAAATAAAAAAATGGCAGTTATGTTACCATTTCGTTCACACATTCCAAAAATTATTAATCTTAATAATTGTTGATATCTTTGATATTCAATAAAACATATATTTCAATACTCAAAGTGGTCATTACAACATACAAACATTTTTTACAGTATTGAAAATATTGTACAGCAACAAAAAAAGTGTTTTCATGTTACTTTTTTAAATTGCTACAAATGACATTACCATCTTACAACTAACAGTGGAGATTTTATTGGGTTTCAACCAAAAAAATGGCAGTTATGTGCCTACTTTTGGCCCAACTGCCATTCATCCTGCCATAGTGCTTATGACACGGTGCATTGTGGTTTTTATCGGCTGCAGTATCAGTCCCTTTTTCAATCGATTTCAATCTTTTTAATCAGTCCCAAAGTCCCAAACCCCCAATTATAATTTTATATTTTAATTTTAATTTTAATTTTATTTATATTATTTTTATTTCTTATTCTAAAAATTTCACCTTGTTATTTTTATTTTTATTCTTCTCCAATTTTCTGAAGACAAATTTCCCTTCCCTTTATTCTTTCCCAAAATTAATTTCTCCCTCTTTTATTTTTCTTACTTTTCTTATGCACTAAATATGACGTTTTTCTCTCAACACTACTTTACTAAAATTGTTAACTGTAGTTTTTCTATTTTTTTTATAACATACTCCTTCCCAATCTTTTTCATTCTCTGTAGTTATATATTATAACTTCATTTATTTTCCTTTTATAACGAATCCTGATTACAGTTATTTTATCTATCTTTTTATCATAATTATCCCCTAGACATCAGTGCAATCTATTTTTGTCATAAATTTTATCCAAGAAGTAGTATAAATAACTCTTCAAAATCAATCAATAAACAATTGTCAAATCTTTCTGATACAAAAGTTTTCTCTAAAGATGCTATCTATTTTCCCTGATCTCTCTTGTGAATTTTTCTTCCGTTTACTATTTTTTTTTGTCAAGTCTTCATGGAAGATTGACTATTTTCTATTATTTTTCTTCCCCTCAAATTTTACGGTTTTCATTTTGTCAAATTTTTCTTTTATTTTTCATTATAAAATTACCTTAAAAATTCTCTTAGTTATTTTTTAATCTTTTATTCTCTGAATACTTCTCTTAACTTAGTTTATTTTACATTAGCATTCTTTATTTCCTTTTGCTAGCTCTAGATATTTCTTCCCTTCTGAAATTCCTTCTATTTTTCTCTTCTAGAAGTAGTTTCTCTTGTTTAATTTACATTTTACTACAATCGTTTCCCAATTTAAATAACCCTACCTCATTACAGATTTCAATCCTTATTATTATCCATACCTTGCTTTTCTTGTACACATCATACACACAACAAAGTATCACATATGTCACTTACTTAGTATAGTAAGTAAACCTTGATACTTTTAATCAAAAGATTGTGGGTTCAACTCTTGGAAGCTACACATTTATCTGGGTCTGTACACCTGGTTCCCTTCTTTGTTCTTGCTGTCATGGTGTTGCATCATAGGCGTTAATGTCTGAGTGCAGCCATTGTCCTACTACCCTTCCTGTCTCCGCAAGTCATTGGTTCTTCTATCTCCTGTCCCATTGAGTTTTGATACTGTTCTGGTGTGGTTTGGTTTGGTTCTGGTGCCCTTTTCTGATGCAATTTACGATATCTGTCATGGGTTTAATGAAGCATGTTCTCTTCTTTCTAAGTCTCTGTCAGAAAATTAGCGATAATCAAAAATAATTTCTTTCTTCTTTCCTTTCTTCTCTATGTAATAAAATTTCTCAAATAAGTTCTTATCACAGCTATATGATCCATAGATTGTTAGCATTATGTGATATAATAAAAATAATCTTTAATCTGAGCTAAAGCTGGTAGTTGATTGCTGATACAGTGTTATAGCTTAAAATTTCTACAGAAATAATTGCGGGTTCAACCCCTGGAAGCTGTTATATATGAGGTAAAAATAAGATATAAAATAAAGCAAGTGCAGACAAGAGTATGGTGAGACTTTGTTTTATTAGAAGAAGTGAAAGAATCAGAAAAGAGATGCTGTTCTATTACTATTAGTATTGTGCGTTTATATAGACATTGTATTTAACTTGGTGATGATATGATGATATCATGTTATGTTTGTTTCTCTATCATTATCTTCCATGATTTAGTTCTTATGTTTTTAGTGTTATTGACTAGAGTCTTAGTATTTGTCTTAGTATGTTCTTTATGTAATTTCCTTGTATAAGGGAAGATATATCTTTTAGTATCGTTACTAGTTGTTGGTAACTCAATGTATGTATTTATTGAGTGTCTGTACTTTTAATTTAAATCCGATTATGTTAGATACAATGGCCAAATTGGTCAAGCTTTAATAACACAGGAGTAAGCAAATAAGAGAGAGGATAAAAAGTCAATTTTTATTATTTGATTTGGGTTATCTTATATAGTTTTTGAAATGATTATTCATCTTTGACTACACTCAAGTAGTGTCTAGTAATATTACAAATTATTATAAGCTGATTACAAATTTCTAAAATTATAAACTGATGAATAATCATTCTAATTTCTGCTTCTTTTGTAATAACAAGTCATTAGAACTTGTATCACAAAAATTAAGCACAACACTAGGCTATTGTCGTTTTTGATCTGGGTTGTTCTACCAATGCTATAACACAGCCAAAATTGGTCAAACCCACTGGGAATCGTAAAGATAGATAACTTTTATTGAATGAAATAACGTTCTCTTTTATATCTTTTCTAAACCTACCCAGCCATTATAAATGTCTGTTTCAGTTTCTATTCTACTTTTGTTAAGCTATGTGCTTTCTAATTCTTTTGTGAGCAAAAGGAAATCAGTTTGGTCGTTGTTCTCAAAAGAGAATTCTGTGTAATCGTCATCCTGATTGGCTGACAAGAATTTGGGCACGTCACTTGTGGTATTTCAGGTACAAAACAATAGAAAAATAAAATATTTGATAATAGAGATGTATAGAAATACTTTGAGACTATATATCTGTTGTCTTTATTTATAAATAAAAAGTATCCCTTTTTATAAGAAAACACAATCTGCTCTTGTCATTATGTCTTAGTTTCTTAAGGCTTTCTTCCTTTACTATATTTGATTATTAGAGTGTATTTACTGCTTAACTAGTGTTGGTGTTACAATTATGACATCAAGTCATAAATTGTACTTCTTTAGCTCTTAGTTATTCTTTTCTCTTTTATACTAGAGCTTTAGGACTTCCTATTAAATTAGCTCCATATCGATCTGACACAGTTTACTTGGCAGTATGATATAATTATCTTAACAATCTTTAAGATATTATCTACAGTACTAACTGTAATAATTATTGGGCTGATTACTTAATCATTTATATAAATTTTATACTGACAAGATGATAGCTACTATGCTATCCCAATATGAATATGTTCTTATATGTGATAAATCCAACATCCGAGTGTCTGGATCACCACATACATTGTTATTGATGTTATTATACAATTGAATTGAATTGAATTGAAATAAAAATAAATTATATCAAATTTACATACTTAAATTATTTGAAATAAAATAGGTTGATGTGTGTGTGTTTGAGTATGAGTGCAATAAGTAGCAAGAAAGCAGGAGAAAGAGTAAACAAATTGTATAAAACGTATGGTTTATATAGATATTCAGTATATCTTTGATATATAAGTCTCTATTAATACTTCTTGTAATCACTGAAATGCAAATTGGCTTTCATACTGCTTTAGAACCCAATTGATCAAACCAGTCTAGTCTTTTATTTCAAACGCACTTTTCTTTTTTCTTTTTTTTTCTTTTTTTATTGTTGTTCCTGTTTCTCTTTTTTTTGCTCTTTATATTTGCTATTGGTCTTTTCTTTGTTTCTCTATCTATGCAACTTCTATTATATTTGCAAACTATTTATGTAAGACATGTTCTTTCTAAAAAGTCTTCTTTATAGAAAATAAAAGAATTTATTTATTCTGTTGCCATAGACACACTCTTCGTCGCTGTCTCCACCCATTTTTTTATTTTTTTTATTAGTCTTTTTTTTAATCTGCTTTTTTAAAGTACTTTTTTTATATAACTAAAAAGAATTAGTTGTTTTAGTTGCCATAGACACTCACCCTCTCTTTTCTTTTTACTTCTTTCTTTTTCTTTTACTCTTATACTTGCAAATATTTCTGGTAAGGCACTTTTTTTTCTTTTTTTTCTTTATTAGTAATTTCTTCAAATATAGCTGAGTAAAAACAAGTGTTTCTGCTACCATAGTCACTCATGTATTGTTTCCTTCTGATGCATCTTCTTCACAATGGCCATCTGGATTAGCCAAGGTTGGTAAATATACTTCATGCCATCATCTCATAAAAGTATCCTGATTTTTTCCTTTCTTTTTTATAGGACATATCACCAAAAATATTTTCTACAACTAAACACGACCACTAACACAATAATATTTTTATCTATTTATTTATTATATTTCTCTTTAATATTAATCAAACTGAATCCAATTTTTACTATAGATGAACAATCCTCTCCAAAACATGTTATGGATCAAAAGCTTCTATCTCATGCTGCTGTCATTGACATGGTAAGACTTTTTTTGTTCTTTTACTATTCTTATATATATCACTATATTACTTATGCTGTTTATTAATAAAAAAACTATCAGATACCATATCAACT